TTAACAAAAAAGTGCTTAACAAAAATTGCTTAACAAAAATTGCTTAACAAAAAATTGCTTAACAAAATTGCTTAACAAAAAGTGCTTAACAAAATTGCTTAACAAATTGCTTAACAAAAATTGCTTAACAAAAAATTGCTTAACAAAATTGCTTAACAAAAATTGCTTAACAAAAAATTGCTTAACAAAATTGCTTAACAAAAATTGCTTAACAAAAAAGTGCTTAACAAAATTGCTTAACAAAGTGCTTAACAAAAAAGTGCTTAACAAAAAATTGCTTAACAAAATTGCTTAACAAAAATTGCTTAACAAAAATTGCTTAACAAAAAATTGCTTAACAAAAAGTGCTTAACAAAATTGCTTAACAAAAAAAAAAAAAAAATTGTGAGATTTCGCCTGCCACGTTTTTTAGTTGACGGATCAATCCAAAAAGGAGTGTGTTAATAATATTATGCCATGGATAGAAATTATATAATATGCATGGATCCAAATATGTACAGTATGTATGCAAGCGTGATATTGGACCGGACTTTTTGGCAACCCTCTTGCTTGCAATTATCATTTTCTTTATGCACATTATTGGTCGTACCTACAATAATCTCAGTTTCCTCCGCTTCAGCTCCTAATGTGATAAATGCTCTCAGAGCCACGCTTTATTTTTTATAAATATAATAATAACCAATAAAATCCCTTTCTTCCCTATATCTTTCAAAGCCGCGCATCGTGGAAACAAACTATGAGTGATATCCATAATGATGTAATCAACAACCAGGAACGAGAAACAATCCCCTTTCTTTACAAGAGAAGACGTTGCTAAGATTCTCAAAGAATTTGAAACACAAAAAGAGGAACAAAGAGAAATCAATTACAGAGGAAAAGACCTCCCAGAACGGATCAGGGAAATTTTGGACGAGACACCAACCTCTGATCTCAAAGACGATATCAAACGTTTTAAGAAACGCATCCCCAAGTATAATCACAACGAATGGACCAGTACTCCACAAATCAACAGGGAGTTCACCAACGACCTCAAGAAGTGGAAAGTCGACTCCCACCAAGTCGTCACAACAACCAGTAGACATGCAGAGGAAGCACGAGTCCAAGCAAGAACAGCGACGGAGATCTATGAACTTTTGGAGTCTATCCAAGAGAAATGTATTTTTGCTGACGAAGGAGCAAAGCAAACCTTCATGGATGCTATGTCCCAAGCAGAACGGGCAGCAGTCTTTGGATTTTCCCATGCAAGAGACTTGGATCACGAAGCAAAAGAGCTTAGTGCCAAAGCACTTAGACTACCTGCAAGTCTTCGACATTTGGAACAAGAAGAGGATGCTAGAAAACCCAACATCTTTGACACCGAATTTGTTAAAGAACTCCATGAAGCACGATTTGCACAAAGAGTGCTGTCAGGCGCTGCAAACAACAACACCTACAATAACAGAGGAAAGGGATACAATAACAGGGGCTATGGACGAGGATCGAGACCATTTAACCGGTACCAACATGGAAATTTTCAGCCCAGAGGACGAAGTCGTGGAACATTCGGATCCTCAACGACCAATCAACATTCCACAAACGGCTATGTCGACACTACAACAAGCCAGCAATAAACATAACACCGTTGACTCACATAGACTCAACCAATCCGAGAACCGACCAATCATTCACTACACCTACGTCACCAACTACCACACCACTTCATTCAACCAACACGACAAAGATTAACTATACGATACCAGAGGATGGTATCTTACCCGGTGGCCGTCTTACACATTTCATCAAAAATTGGAAAAAGATTACTTCTCATCCTTGGCCTTTACAGATAGTAGAGGAAGGATACAAAATTCAGTTTATCACCAACCCAATTCCATGGAGAACAGTGCAACATCCCGTCAACCAAGTGGAGCAACAGGAGACGAATCTAGCAGTGGAAAAATTTTTGACAGCGGGAATTATCGAGGAATGCAAAAACCCCACATTTTCAAACCAATTCCTGTCGAAGTTCTTCACAATTCAGGAACCAACGAAGAGACGTCCAATTCTCGATTGCAAAAAATTGAATCAGTTCATTCAGGTTCAGCACTTCAAGATGGAAAGGGTACCAGCGCTGAGAGAATTAATCGAAAAAGGAGATTTTATAATAAAACTCGACTTAAAGGATGCATACAGTATCCCAATTCATCCAGCCTCCAGACCTTATCTGGCATTTCAAAACCAAGGAACAACGTACACTTATCGAGCTCTAAATTTCGGTTTGAATACAGCTCCCAGGATTTTCTCCAAGCTACTAAGATACGCTTTAGAACCAATCAGAAGAGAAGGGATTCGGCTAGTATACTTTTTAGACGATATCTGCGTTCTGGATCAAGACAAAGAGCAGTTACAAGCATCAGCAACCAAGATAATGAGACATCTAGAGTCATTAGGATTTCTAATAAACAAAACCAAGAGTGTACTAACTCCAATGCATGTCCAAGATTACCTAGGCTTCACCTTCGACACAAAGCGGATGACTATAAAGGTACCGGAAAAGAAGCTTCAAAACTTAAGACAACGCCTGAAACAAGCACAACAGATGACACCCAGAACATGCAGATGGATGGCGGGTCTGATGGGCAAGATGACAGCTATGATTCCGGCAATGCAGGAAGCTCTCCTTCACATTCGATACTTACAGAGGGATCTGACAAGAATCTTACGAGGTCACTATCACAAGAATCTTACGAGGTCACTATCAAAAGTGGGAGACGGCATTTCGTTGGTCGAAGGAAGCGGGAGACGAGATACAGTGGTGGTTGCAGAATCTTACAACAAAGAACGGAAAACCCATCAGACAGATCCAAATCAAAGTCCCCACAGTGACAATATACACAGACAGCTCGGAAACGGGCTGGGGAATAGCATCAACATTCATGAAGACACATGGATACTGGACGGAGGAGGAGAAACAGTGGTCCATCAACGTATGAGAACTGATGGCCATTTATTTTGCTCTGAAGCTCCATGCGCCAAACTTCAGAAACAAGACGATAAAAAATTTCACAGACAACAAGACGTCTATCAAATACACAACAAAGGAAGGCGGTACTGCATCTCCACTGCTTCAGGAGATTGCGATAAAGATTCAGGAATTATGCAACAAGTTCGGGATAGAAGTAGATTACCAGCATGTGAAAGGAATATTGAACACAGAAGCGGATCTCTTATCGAGAAAACAGGTACCGGTATACGAGAAAAGCCTCCCCAAGAGAATAGTAAGGGAATTGAAACAGGTATGGGGCCCAATACGAGTGGACACATTTGCGAGCAGACACAACCGACGATTCCACCAGTACTACAGCTTGAGACCGGACCCGGAAGCCCTGGCGGTGGATGCCTTCCAGCAGATATGGCCGAAGAAGACAGCTTATTGTTACCCTCCATGAAAACTGATACCCAGGTCCTTCGACTCATCAAAGCACAGCGGTTAGAAAAGGTGGTCCTTATCACACCAAACTGGCCAACCCAGTATTGGTTCCCAATGGTGATGGGGATGAGACAGCTAGCAAAACCAAGGATTTACCGTTCTCAATCTCTGGAGTTAGCCGCCTGGCTCTTATCAGGCAAGCCATACAAAACCAAGGCCTAGGCAAGGAAGCAGTAACATATATTTCCGAGAGTACTAGAGGAAGTACATCAAAGATTTATGACACTGGATGGAAAAAATGGGTTGAATGGTGCCAAACAAGAGGTCTCAATTGTCAAGAATACAACATCAACAATGTAATCAATTTCTTAGTTCACAATAATCAATATAGTCCCACACACCTCAACACTCTACGCTCATCCATTGCATCAGTGTTTAAATATATTCATGCTGATAAACCAGCCATAGCGTCAAATAAAAAAGTACTCCATTTTTTTGCAACCAAAAGACGCAAAACCATCAAGATCCCCAAGCCTCAACAACTTCAAACATGGAATACTGATTTACTCGTCAACTACATAAGGAAACATTGGCTTCACAACAACACTCTACAAATCGAGACACTCCAACAGAAAACTATTGCATTGTTATGTCTGGCAACTATGGCACGACCAAGATCGGATATGGGCCGATTACAACATCGAGATGTAAGGTTTCAGTATGGGGATGTTCAGCAATTGGAAAGTGTCACTTTACACTTCCGCGAAGCCAAAGAAACGCAAGTAAAGTCGGTTACCTTGGGAATCATCCAAGACAAATCTATATGTCCGGTAGGCACACTGCAAGACTTTATGATGAAGACGAAGACCTTGCGGGAAAATCTACCAGAAGAACATACCTTGTTCTTGGCGTATATCACAGATAATACAAAGGTTACATCTATTCGGCCATCCACTTTAGCTGCATGGATTAAAGACATTATGAAAAAAGCAGGAGTTGATCCCCAGTTCAAAGCACATTCTATTCGATCTGCCGCGAGTACCAAGGCAGTAGAAAAAGGAAATGCCATTCAAGATATCAAGACACATGCAAACTGGAGTTTAAACACCAACACTTTTGAAAACTTCTATTACAAACCAACAGCCGCTGCTTCTACTAGTACAAAGATCACCAATTCAATTTTTTCTACGGAAAACCTTATCACATTAGGAGCTGAAGCGGAGGAAACTGAGATTATTGTAGGTACGACCAATAATCAAGACGTTTCCGAAGCGGAAGCGAGTAATGTGATACAGACCCACCCGTGGTATAAGTTCTGGTAAACTTATGCTTACTTAGTTTTTAACTTAATTTTAATTAATTTAATTTTTTGTTTGTACTCATGTCTGCATGAAAATTTAATTTAGTTTACGCGTATAAATAACCATGTTAATCATTGTGTTTAGCACTTTGTGTAGCATTAGTTTTTTAGACCTGTTAAGAGGCAAGCATGAAAGAGCATGTATGTGGGCAGGTGGGGTCAACAAAAGTGAGTAAATTCAGTGTTTTTTTGTAAACCAAGCTTCTCTTTATATTATTCTTCTTGGTGGCTGCAATGACGAGCAAGACAAAACTAGTTACTATTTTACACCAATGTTTTACATGCCAAAATGCATACAGCACCCCACAATCCCTTCGACAACACTTACGAAAGCACAGTATACTATTGCCACATCGAGTAACAGGGATTAGACGATATGATAATGATGAATATACCTATATTAAAGCTACCCGCTCACACGATGACATTGAGAAGCACTTTGGCTGCCCTGCTTGCATCGCTCATTTTATGGAAATCGGCGAGTTAAAGACACATTTTTATGCTAACCACCCAGAAACACTACCAAAACAATCACAGACGATATCACAGGAAGAGCCAACGACAGGGCAACAACAAAGCCACAACAACCAGGACAAGCCTAAGAAACGTCACTTAAGCAATGCCCTTACAACTGAGTTGTTGGATCCATTATGCCTATCTTTTCCGCCTCTTGATCACGATGACCATTTGTTGGTACAAAAGTTCGATGTAACAATGGCGTTTCATAAGCTGCAGCTTTCACTATGTCAACACAAATGGAAATTATCACTCGAAAATCACATTCACTTGGCTTTGGCTGCCACCCACATTTTGCTATTGTCCCGTAATCAGTACCCAGAGGATTTATCACCCTACTTCAACAATCACAACCTCGAAGCGACTATCAATGAGATAGAAACAAAATATGGCATTAAAAAGCTCCAAATGTCAATGGAAACGACTACCAGCATGATCGGCATCGCCCAAGCTCTTGCCATGGGAATAATCAGTCGAGATAAGGCGACTGCAAAGTTTTTGGATTTGGACCTCCCCTCTAATGAAAACAAGTTCAAAAATTGCATAATCGACCTAATTCGGAAGCTTCCTCCTGTACCAATTGCAGAAGATATCAACGAGTTGGAACTTAGCACTCGATATGTTGATCCTTTTTTGTCCGGTTTATTTGACGATCCGGACGAGGGCATATACCTACGGTGGACCAATGAACTGACTTCAGAAGCCCGAAAGCACGAAGACTTATCAACAAAACGTCCCGATATATGTCTAAGTCGTTTACATGGGATGACATGGGCGTCGAATTATGGTTATGGGGAAGCTAAGTCAGCTGCTCAAGGTGGTAGCAATTATTTGATTTGTCAGGATCTACTTCGCGTTGGTTTATTCTGCAAAAATGCTCTTGACGCACAAAACATGGAAGGTGTACTGGGCCTACAGGTAATTGGAAGAATGATTACGTTTTACGTCTTGGTTTTGCCGTCAACAGGACTTTATGTCATGTACGAGTTAGAAAAAATCAAAATTCCTAGCTGCTTGGATGATTTAACCAAACTTATTGTGGATATGCCTCGCGTTTGTCGCGTACTTGAAACCTTCAATGGCATCTGCAAACCATCAGTCCATCCAGCAATGACAAGCCGAAACCGCCCAACGATCACCACCTCTGCATTTAATGGCATTTTTTCACTATCCCAAAGTCGCAAACGACAATGCCATTTGAAATATCAACATAATTAATAATAATTCAAAAGTAAAATTAACTTATTCGATCTATGTGGACTTTGCCGTGTTTTCTTTTTTTTTATTGCTGAGCATTCTGTTAAAAATTTTGTTAGGCATTGCTAAGCGTGTTGCTGAGCATCAGTTTTGTACAACCAGTAAGAAGAAATTATGTTAGAGCATGCATGTAGGCAGGCTGGATCAACAAATGTGAACAAATACAAACATGCTTTCATCATGACGCCGTTACCTCTACTCCCACGTGCTTAACAGATGCTTACCAAACAGCCTAACAAACGGTAAATTTGAGCAAAATTCTTATCGACGAACAGCGTCTAAATTTGATATTTCCATTTGATGAAACCGAGGACACGGCTAACATTTAAGTATTTATTGAAAGAAAGAGTTTTGATGAAAGTATAAAGGGAATACTTAACTCTTTTTGCATGTGTTTCAATGATGATCAATCTTGCAAACCTTCTGTTTGCTGTCCTTTCTATTTTTCAACATCTAATAAACTTAATTTAAACCTCTTCATCTAATTGTAACACCTCGCGTTTACGCTTATCAACCAAACCCACAAACACTGAATATCACAGGAAATTTAACCTTTTTCTGAAAAAGTCATATCTGCTTATCTTTGGGCGAGAACATAATACCGTTGGCAATCAAGCTGCATAACTTTTTCAAAATGAGTGTACACGTTTATTTAAATTGTCTAACCACTTTTATTCTACCTTGTCTTTTAGAAACAATATGGGCATTAGAACTAATAAAGCTTTTTTATTGAATAATTGGAACAAACTACCAAGATTGGGAAAATAGAAAAGAAATGGCACGAATAAACAGCATGATATGGTACTTTAGATGGATGAGTTCAACTTTTATAAGTTTATTATTTTCATTCACCAAATCAAGTTCCTTTCTACGTTTCAAAACAACTAACTCCTCAGTTTTTACCTCATGTCTTTTTAGTGATAGTACCTTTTCTCTTCGTACGATTTCACCTACCAAATGCTTGTTACGTTCTGTGTTAGAGATAACACCATAGAGAGAGATTCCTATCAGTATTACTGTTGTTGTGAGACAGAGACATATCTGTATCTTCATCATTATCACTGTTGCTTTTTTGTTGCTTTTTTGTTGACAAATTTTCATATCATTATTACTGTTGTTTCTTTTTTTTTTTTTTTTGCAGAAGTTCGAATAATTATGGCACTTTGACAAGTACAGCTGTTATAATACCCGTCTTCAACCAAGCCAACATTGTACTCCGCCTCATTGTTGTTTAAAGCGATAGGCTTTTTTGTGCATGATAAGGTATAGTATGTTTTATGATTTTGCAAAGGGGAATTTACTGGTCAATTCAAAACGACAGGTATTATAAATAGAAGTGTTGTGATCTAGTCTCATACAATCTTTATAATTGCATTAAATAGTTATAGACAATGGTAAGTTTTTGCTAAGGACGAGGGTTATAGAAAATCTTAAATTGACAAACAAGACAACGATACGATAATAAATTAAGAAAGTATTCGTTGAGCAGAGTACTTTTCCTTGGAAATTCAATTGTGACCTGGAATACAGTAGGATAGGGAGGGGCACACGATAAGTTGATATGATAACTATAGTAGATGCATGGGACGGATCAATTTTTTTTATAATAAACAATAACAAATAGATGCAGAAGGACCAAGTTCATTTTCTGACGAAGATAACAGCAGAAATTACAAATAAACTACACAATTACTTTCTGATAATTACAATAAAACAGTTCGTGTAACAATGATAGCACTTGTTCATGTTTTTCTCAAAGGCAACCACAAGCCATAGCACGTGATTAAAGCTTTAGACGAATCGTTTTGTATATGCTTTTAATGGGGCCCATACAGTACAGTGGGCTATACATTTGTTGTATGTAATGATACAGTGCGAAAAGTAGGATTGAATAATGATGGATTACGATATAAATGATGAATGCATAGATAAGATGTGACGGGAGAAAGTGTAATAAACTCATCCTAGCTGGCGTCCGCATTGATCACTGTTGTAGTAGTTACCGGTGCTGCTGAAGTTGCATTCAATATTGCAGATGTGTTGTTAGTCATGTTTGTAACAGCCTTCGTTACAGTTGCTCCACTTATCGATGTCGCAGCCAATTCAATTGATAATGAATCAATATTGTTACTTAATATTAACCCTCTCTTCTTCCTTTCCTCTTCTCTGTTAATAGATTTTGCTCTTATTCTATTCATAGCTTTCACAGCACTGACAGCGCTTTTAAACGTACGACGAGCGTTAAAATTCTCAATCACTGTATCCAACAGATCAATCTCCTTTGCTTTTTGTCCGGTCATCCATCCATCCTTTAAAGCTGCTGAGGCCGAAGGTCTATTGCGAGGGTCCAATGCAAGACATTTCCGAATAAAGCTGCGGGCATCAGACGATATGTTTCGCCAATAGCGGTCGTGAAATTCATACCGAGCGTTTGTTATATCGTGCATCATTTGAAGGTTGTCTTCAGCTTGGAAAGGTTGGTAACCGCAAAGTACTGTATACGTTATCACACTATTTAGTTGGATAAGACGTTGCTTGTAATCGAAAAGATCTCTGTGTATAGATGATTTATGCTATTACATTCTTTACCCTACGCCCCAAATATCCACAGGAAAGCTATAAGGCTTCTTTGAAAGTACTTCGGGAGCTAAAGAACAAAACTACAAGCGTAAGTGGCATATTTTTCCTACTTGACGCTCAACATTTCTTGGTTTTTGCATACCAACGTAACCCGGTGATCCGCATACAGTTTGCACTGCTAAATCATCATCCTTCAATTCCTTAGCGATACTATGTATTCACACATGCTCTCGTAAGTCAAATTGTACTTAAATTCTACGCTGCTTTACTTTTTTCTTTTCCTTACCCAAAATCGCAGATAACTAATTCTGCTGTACTATCTGGAGTTTTAAATAACAAGTTTTCAGGTTTCATATCTAATTCAAGTACCATGGGCAAGAAATAGAAAACTGTTAGCCAAATTGCATGCATGCGCTATGAATATTCATGCAACATCTCTAATAGGAGCCACTCTCGTGCTCAACGTTATCAAACAAAGTGGAAGTGTATACCTCTGTGAACGATGTTGTGCTGATGGAGATATTCTAATCCTTGCAAAACAGATTTGATGACAGCAATAGCATCTTTCTCAGTGAATTTGCCTCTTTCAAATAACCGTTCAAAAAGTTCACCACCGGTAGCTCTACAACGTAGAGGTATACAAGACGAAAATGTTAGCTTTTATCTTGTGTTCTTCGCTCTTTTTTTTTTTTTTTTTTTTTTTTTTTTTTTAAACAAACGACAGAAGCTGATCCGCTGTGTTTATTTACAATTCAAATACTAGATAAAACTTCTCACTATGCAAAAAAACGAAGAATTTGCAAAGTTAATGACGATTGAGGTTCGAAAACAGGATTAACGATTTTACCGAGATTCAAACCAATCATAAAAGCCTATGATGTTAGGATGAGATAGACCCTTTAATACGTTCATTTCTCTGTGGACAATCTCAAATCGATTCTTGACTTTCGACTTGGGTATGATTTTGATAGCTACTTTCTGATGATCAGAGTGTCTGGTCGCCTCTTTGACATAGCCGTAGGATCCACTTCCTGTAATAATACATATTTTGCATAGTGATTGCCTGTCATTAAAATTGCTCACTTGAAATGCTGTCTCAAGAGTTGATATCGTTACCTAGCTCGTCTCCAAAATTATACAGTTTCTTCCTCTCATACGATTCTGGTTGAGGCACCCCTCCATGAACTATTGTATTCAATGTCTCTCGAAATCCCATTTGATTTTTATGTAGCAATATTGCAAAAGATGTAGAAGAATAGTAAGAAGAGAAGCAAGGGAAGAAAGATGTTGATAGTTCGATTAAAAAGAAAAAAACGAACTTTAAATTAAATGCACTATTTTTGGTAACTGGTCGTAGCTCTCCCCAAACTGCTTGTCGCCGCACCACACCACGGGAACGACTCATTTATTTTTAAAGAACGCTCATCTTCAAATCATTATGATTTTGATGCTAAGCTAATGGATCGCATTAAAAATTGGAGAGGTCCATGAGTATGGATCTCTGCAATCGACGGATTATTCAAGACAGTATTAACACATGCTCAACGTAAGCCGCCAACTATAATTATACACACAATGGAGCTTGAGTGTGTAACCTTTTTAAGCTTGCCAATATATGAGAATATAGCTTTCATCTACAGGGCATTTAAAGCGATGTAGCATCTGTTACATGATTCAGCAATGTTTGACGTACAGCAGCACTTATACAGTGCGTAAAACAATTTAAATCAAACAAATATACTACGCGTACTTGTACCTGAATAACAAAGAAGCAAAAGTAGAAATCCAGCATTAAATTTTCAGCATTTTAATCTTTTTTTTTTTCTTTTTTTCTAACTTAAGCAACATACAAAGAAACGCTCTTTTATCCAAATTCATACATGTCAAGTGAAGTTAACTGCATAGCACTTATTGGCAAACAAGTAAATGGCAGACAGTTTTGTTGAATGTTAAGCCATATTTGATTATTGACATCTGGCTTTGTAGAGCAATCCTTTGTACATCAAAAACTTCAGCACATCGCATCCCGATCTTAAATACCACTACATTGCACACACTTCAATTGACGTGATAGAGGAAAGAGGTACAACTGCTTTCACTTGCATCTACAGTGTATTGAGCGCTTGACTCTTCTAATTTGCCAAAGCTTGAATTCTGCTCGATTAGTGTCCAATGGACCCAAGAACCTCGACTTGTACCTTGGTCTATTATATGCCATGGAAGATTTGGCAGTGTAAGGCGAAAGAAAACTCATGGGGAACAATTTTGAGCACTCACAAGACTTCTAACTATGGTATAGATATGGGTACATAACCAATACCAGAGTTAAAATTGTAGTAGTTGTCTCTGTTACAGACGGCATTATACGTGATGCAGATATGAAAGCGGTACTTTAATACTCTACAAACAATTTTAAGAAAGGAGGATGGTTCTAACCTGTTCCCATCGTTTTGTTTCTAGCTATTTCGTAGAATCCATTCAGCTTACGTGGCGACGGTTTGTAATCCATTCTATAATATTGATTTTCAAAAATCCATTCAAAGTAAAGCCTTTGCACGTGCCATTGAAAACATTGGAATGAATGCGAAAACAACCTTAGATATCTGATCTGTACAGACTGTGTTTATATTTATACCGTTTTTTTTTTTATGAAATCATTTTGACTGTAAAAATAGATAAGGTACAAAAGATGCGTGCAAATTTTAAATAGTAATAAAGATGGTTCTCAATCTTTCTCCTTGACTACCTTTGCTGCTTCCTTTTCTGTCGCTTCTTTACCACCGAACCTAGTATATCCAGAGATGAAAGGCGTATCAGTATCACAAACCTCATGTGTAGTACTCTATCACTGCTTCACGGTTATACTTTACTTGTTGTACTTTAGAAATCTGTAACCTTGGTTTAATTGGGCTACTTCATTTGTAGCATGGCATGCGAACAGTAAATAATTGACAGGCTTAACAGCCAAAGCAAAACGCATGAATAGACCAGAGTAAATACATAAAGCTATTATAATGTAAAGCAGATGATGAACATTTCAGTAGCTGTCGCCCTTTATGTTTTTGGTAAATAGCAAAAGATTACCTAACGTCATATTTCCTGAAATTAGACTAGGATCCTTTTGTGAATCTGCGATAGCAGCTAAGGGTAAGCCCCAGTTAGCGACAGGTCCCCAGAAATGCTATCATCAAAGAGTCACGTCAATTACTACATCCTATACAAGTGCATAACGTCTTATAATATACTTTGATACATTACGGTACTGTAAACAATCAGTGAAAGCAAAGAAGGTCAGCGTCGTGTACAAAAACATACCAAACACACAATAGCATTTACCTCATTAAATAGTTTCTGAATTCCTTTGAAGCGATTTTAGACACAAATCTGTTGGTTATTGAACTGGAAGCCTGTGACATTTTTCAATAAGTGATTTTTGAAAGAGTTATTGGAAGATGAAGAGAGATAAAAAACCAGCACGAAAATAGAACTCTTAAATGATTTTACCCCACTTTTTTTTCTTTTTTTCTGTTTTCTTTTCCCGTTCATTCGTTCAAAAGCAGAAAAACTTAAAACCTTTTACTATTGGATTATAACTCATCTTTTCATCTTCATTTACCAACAAAGAGCTTTTTTTTCATATTCCGTAAAACATTAAATGAAAATGGGAAAAGCATTCTACCTTATACATATACTTCAACGTCTAAATATACACAGTCAGTATCGTCATCTTCTTGTGCCTGGATCTCCATTTCCTAAAACCCAGCGAATACGTCCAGTAGTGGATCCAAAGACAGGTTCATATCGATGGCTTGTAATAAACTCTACAATGATCCAAGCATTCACAATAAAGAAGAATAGACCGCATATCCACAGTTGCAAAAATGTGTTTTGTCCTCGAAACTCAAGTTGATACGCGTAATTCAACCAAAATGCCTGTGTACAACATAAATCGATGAGCTTCTTAAGTTTGTTTCTACTGCAACAACATGTTACCTGTCCCGCAACCCATGCTATGAGTAAAGCCAACCCTTTCCATTTGAAGTGCATCTTAGTTGACGGTAAAACGATGGGTAAAAAGCATATATACCACATAAAGTACTAAGAATAGAAGGCAGTTCTTATCAATGTTTTCTCTTCTCTATTTGTGGACTTGAAAGACAACGTTTCTGATTTACCTGAGATGTTACTACCTTATTGAAGGTGACAAATACGAACGTTTGTATAAAGCAGGCAAAAAAGGTATCTTTGCCAAACACAATACCCGTGGTGATAACCAGCATGAATTGCGGTAAGAATGTAATTAACCCCATCCAAGCATTCTTGTTCATCATACTAAGATACATTTGATAAAACCAAACTGAGAAATTGTGGCGATGATCTTCTCTGGTTACATGATACAGGTAGGTGTGTTGCAAGAATTCATCACCAAATCTAAAACAACAAGCAAAAAAGCTGTTAGAGAATCCTCTGTCATGTTAAGGCAGGTCCTACAACCATAGCTGTGACAATCATAGTTCTTACTTATAATACATCCATCCCGTCAATAAGAAAAATACAGAAGCACTGATAAAAGCAAACATAATTCTGAGAGGTGTTATAAACTCGATCAGAAAAAGGAAAAATCGACACAGCCTGTCTTTTTCATTTTGCCTTGTCTTTTCTTTCAATGTATTCTTCAGATTGCAGTGTAAGTGTTGTAGCTTCAATGGTATCAAAATGGGTAGTGAAGAGTTATATTCGATTGCTTCGATCGTTTTAGGTGCGCCTCTTGTTGTTGTTGTTGTTGTAGTAGTAGCAGAACTGGAAGCGGCGTTATTGGCGCCAGGCATAATCTCATAAGTCTTATCAAGTAACATTAATAAAGGGACTGCATAAATCACTGGATAAATCTTGAAATGCACAGCTAGTCCAAATAAACAACTTCCTGCAAAGAACCACTTTTTTGTCAAAATTAAATACAATGTTCCCAGAACCATGACGTTCAGCAAAGACTCAGCATTGCCTCTTGTTGATATATTTGCCACCATTGGATTTAATAACCACAACATATTGTACAGTAGTGCCGTTCTACTAGGCATACCACGCAACACTAGTATACGGTGAATCAAATAGCCAACAACAAGATCGGCTAACGCAAATATACATTTTCCAAACGATCGAAACCAGTAGATGTTAGGTGTGAGTAGATACGCCAGGAGTGGTGTATACCGGTAGGTGTCTCGTAAGTACGGCGATTGGCCCTGTGTGATGAATCGTGCCGCGTCGGTAAATACGACGTAGTCTATGTCGGTGTATTTGACAGTGAAGTAGGCATCTTGGTATTCTCCATAAACTAATAATATGGCTCGAAGTAGAAAAGAAACTATACAAAGGTTTCTGAATGTTAACCTTGATTTCAGCATTTCCAGATCTACTTCTTTTGTTAATTCATCCACGTTCTTAAAAAGAGGCCAAGAAAGAAGAAACTACAGAAGGAGGAAGTTCTCCTACTGCTGTTGCTATTCAATAGCAGCAGCGAAATTCAATACCCGCGTATGGCTTCCTTTGTCCTATTATAAGATCTCTATAATCAGGTAACAAAGTTCGATCTGTGACTCTGGGAGGCACAAAGAGTAATTGATTGCTGCTACAGTGAAGATATTTATGTGGAGGCCTTCTCTGCCTTTCACCTCGTAAAGAAGACTTCTGTAGCTGAGTATGAATTTACATCTTACGATAACAACAACGACGAATACACAACATAAAAACAATGCTACAATTAAATGATACTTAATCATTTCCCTTTTTTTTTCTTTCCTTTTCATTATACAAACAAAGCGAGATTCCGTTTCGAAATCTCTCTTTCGCAGACACCAATTCTTTTGCCATTGCTTTTGTTTAACTTGTTTTCCATTTCTTTTTTTTCCCTTTCTCTCCCCCACTTAAGTTTATACCATTAACAGCTTTTTCAATTTTGGTCGGGTTGCGATACCCTCACTCTTCTCCTCTCCGCAAGTGAACATTCAACCTAATCGTATTGATCTATTGAGAATTACGCAGGTGGGTACACAATAATAATAGAGAAAAGAAGCTCTTATTGAAGGTCTACTCTATAAAACTGCAGGTTCAAGATGTTCAACTTGATAGGAGAGAAGACAAAGAGACAAAGACCACAATTGGTACTTTACACCTGACAATTCATCACCTGATATTCAATTATTCAGAAGATGAGATATGGGTAATGAAGATAAACCTATAAATTATTGAACTTTGAAATAGTCTTTTGATCTCCATCTAATAGAAGCAAGTGGTCATTTCATATGAATATTAGATTCCTTATTCTATTGTACATATTGTTGAAAGACAACCACCTTCTTTTCAAACAGGTCGATACCCAATCCAAATTAAATGCCGAGATTTTTCAGTTATTACGTTATCCTTTTTGAAAGATGGTGATGCTCTTGATGTATACGAAAGTATACAGAGACTAGCCTGTGTTTGTGAGTTAACTTTTCCACCAATTCTAAAGTATGGCTGTGGCAAGACTCTTCACTCACTGTTTTCATTCTTAATAGCTTCCATCGATCAATTATATGCATTTTCTTACCAACCAAGAGAGCCTTTTACAACAAATGATGGTTGGAATATCTATGATCCTATCAAAGAATATGAAAGAATGGGTGTAGATGTTAGCACAGATCAATGGCGGTTCTCTCTCATTAATAGAGATTATAAATATTCACCAACCTATCCCAGAGTCCTTGTCGTACCAGCGAAAATCAGCGATACTACATTAAATTATGCTGCAAAATATCGCAGCAAAGCGAGAATACCCGCTCTATCTTACGTTCATTGGTACAATTCAGTAAGTTTGTAGGAATTGAATAATTCTTTGTCTTTTCCTTCATCTCACATGAAGGGTTTTTCTTCTGATCTCTCCCATAATCTAATTAGGCGACCATAACGAGAAGCAGTCAACCATTAGTAGGATTTAAACAAGCCAGATCAGTGCAAGATGAAAAGCTCATTGAAGCCATTTTTTCATCCAACGTACCCACTGGGCCAAATGGTGAAACATTATATGGCTCAACGGCGGCCAATTTGATTATTGATGCTAGACCTATGGCAAATGCTGTGGGTAATGTCGCAAGGGGAGCAGGAACAGAGAATATGGATCATTACCGTAATTGCAAAAAAGTTTATGTAGCTATCGATAATATACACGTCATGAGGGACAGCTTAACGAAATTGACTGAAGGTAAAAAAAATACAATGCACACTGAATGTTCTTCTAATGTATGCTTACACACCAAACCATTCTTCTTTCTTTTTCAATAATAGCCATGCAAGGTATAGATGGTGCTGGTGGGCCAATCAATAAAGTCGCCTTACAAAAATCAGGATGGCTAAGACATATCGCATTAATTTTGGATGGTGCGCTTACAATTGTAAAGAATGTCCATGTGTATAATTCTCACGTTTTGGTACATTGCTCTGACGGCTGGGATCGAACAACTCAGCTGGTAGCGTTGAGCGAATTATGCTTGGATCCATTTTATCGTACTTTTGAAGGGTTCCAAATACTCATTGAGAAAGATTGGGTTTCTTTTGGACATAAATTCCAAGACCGTTGTGGGCACTTGACCAACGATCCGAAATTTACTGTAAGTAGTAGTACTACTACTATTAACAACAACAGTAACAACAATGAGTCAACCACATCAGCTATCAATGGAAGTAACAACAGTAATAGCTACAGCAGCAGTTCAACCAATGAAGAAAATACAACTACCAATAACCTGAGTAAATTTTATAATAGAACCACGAACTTTTATAATTACCAACAGCAGCAAAAAGAGACAAGTCCAGTTTTCCATCAATTTTTGGAATGCATCTATCAACTTTTATGTTTATATCCTACTCGATTTGAATTCACTGAAGCCTTTTTAATTGAGCTTCATTATCATCTTTACGCGTGTCAATTCGGTACATTTTTATTCAATTCAGAATCAGATAGAAGAGGCTCTTCGATACATGCTCAGTCGAAAACCTACAGCATTTGGGACTACTTTAATACCTATAAACACGAAAAAGGGTTCATTAACGAATGTTACGATCCTATGAAAGATAAAGACTTGGTGGATGACGGCGGTGTGTTGATGCCCGATCCAACCAAAGCGAAATATTGGGCTAAACTGTTTAAGAGAAGTGATGATGAGGTGAATAGTACAGTTACATATGGTGTATCACCATCACTCACAGCAACAAGCACAACCACAGATTCAGCTAGTACCAACAATGAAGAATTTTGACTTCCAAGGAAACAATGACACGAACTTAGTTTTCATTTTTCTTTGCTTTTTTCAACATAATATTATATCCTTTGCTTTTCTTATGAAACTTGACATGAATTAAACTGATTGGCACTCCTACACCCTCCTACACCCATTTTTTTTTCTTATTTTTCCCTTTCTTTTAATCGATTCTAGGGTCTAGAAAGCATAATTTTGTATATTTCTCAAAGGGGCAGCCCACAATTGGAGATGACCTGCATTCTTATTGATCGACTCCTTTTGATACACCATTTTCGGAACCGATTGCACATAAAAGTTCTATCTTGCACAAACGAACTGCACATTCCTTAAAAATAGAAGCCGTTTAAGTTCTTACAAAGTGCAGTATGCCCAAAAAGAATATGTAATATAGATATTTACAGCATCAAATTCTTCTATACTAAGCAAGTATATAAAAGTGAATGGATAATCTTAATTCATATAAATTAACAGAAGCTATTACCTACGCTGCTATTTTCTCAAACTCATAGACCTGAGCTCATTGCATGATCGGATAGCGATATATAACATTCTCAGCATCTCTTTGAGAGCAAGTCTGAGAGTTATCTGCTATTATAATTAAGTCGAATCTTATGGATAGTTTTAATGCAATTCGTGTTTGAGCGGCATGGATGTTGTAGGATAGAACTGAACAGAATATTGCTACGTCAGCATTAACGTTTAAAGCGGTCTTTGAAAAAAGTCTTCAAATGATCAATACAAAACTGAAGACTATTATATATTGCAAAACGCGTTCAGTTGAAATGGAAGCTTCATATGTACGTTGAAATTGCTGACTGAAAAAGAACCACTGACTAACAAAAGCTTTGTTACAGGATCACACAGTTTTTGAGACACGGTTAATTGCATCAAATGTTTGATACTGTTGTTCTTACTAGCAATATCGTTGATCATAGCAACCCGAAGGTAGCAATACCAACGAATACAACGATACGACTGGACTGATATGCATCATTGAGCGCATATATGATGATGAAAACAAACCAAAAAACGAGCACTAGTTGGAATTCTTTTTTCATTTCCTTTTATAAGTATATGTGTTTAAAAAAATTCAGAGCCCCAGAAGGGCTAGAGAAGGTTGACAAAAAATTAGGGTAAACTTCCATTGCGTCCCGCATCCACGGAAATCTTTAGTAAAAGGCGAAAGATTTATCCGATCTGAGCACAGGACAGAAGTACAAAGAACAAGATTAACTTTTGCTGTTTTCATGGTCTTTTTATATTTTTCGATAAGAAATCGGGGTGTGAAATTAAACGGAGTTAGAGCAGTCAAAAATACACAGTCCTTAGATTTTAGTGCCAAACAGAAAATTTCCCAGCTCTGGATGTTTTTTGTAAAAATCAGTAAGAAAAATTACAATTTCTTGATGTTGAAAATTGGAACAAACTCGATACATCTATCCCAAAATAAGGGAAAAAGAGGTAATTGAAGATCTGTAAAGTAAAAGTAGCTTAAAATACGTCTGCCCTGTTGAAACCATTAGCTTTAAGAACTCTGTTCATTTAGCTATATTCAATCTTATAATCCAATATTTACCTCAAAAATACATTTTATCTTAATCGTTGGCGTCGTTCGTCTTTTCGCAATAGACAATCACAAAGACAGAAATAAAGATAATAATACTCATGAGTCTACATAAAGGATAGTAATACTTCTAGATATTTCTGTTGATTTCAATACAATTATAGTACATACAGAGAAATACATATACCATTTAAGAATTACATCTTTAAAGATAGCCTAAAAAGGCTCTTCCTACCCACAAGATCCTCCATAGCTAAAATTAATCCTTTGCTATTTGCTTTTGCTTTTGCTGACTTCAACTTACGATTTTTCTGTCTTATTTGGATTATGGTTCGTAACAGAAGTGTGCAGTCTTTTGAATGTGCAGGCATTTATTTAAAGAATATAATCAATTTTCCCAATCTTTTTAAACTGTTGATTATAACTGTGGAAAAATTAATTGAAGGCAAATTTACAATCAGGGGCTTACGGGATACAAGAATGAATTTCTGTGTGTGCATGTTGTTTGTTGGTTTCTTTCCGAGACGAAATATGCAATTAGGGGAGTCGGGGAAGGTTGTGGAGAAGATAGTACGGCTGTGCGCATGATGGATTATGAATCGGGACAAAAGGTAACCTGATATAATAGAGCTTGGTTGCAAGTATACATACTCGTTGCATCATCATAAGCAAAACTATAAACATTAGGGCATTGTTGCTCAACAACAGTCGCGAAAGGATTCACCGAGTTCAAACAAGTTTCAGCCGTGCCAAAATCTCCTGTACAGCAGTATTGCTCCGTTCCATATTTTGAGCAAGCACTTTCACAACCCACAATCCGACCTTGACTATCCAATACCTGGAGGTCTTCAGGACAAGAAGGAAGCTCTGTACACTCTGTACGGGTACAATAATAACCATTACGGAATTTGCTATCAACAACAGGCTCAACTCGGATGGGAAGGTTGAAACCGTCTACAAAGGACACGTCATAGTAGTCTGTATCGATACCTGCTGCTACGCTAACTTGGTTATTGTTATCGAAGAAATTGAACTCGGCCAGGGACGCCGGATCCTTTGCACTTGCTACCCTAGTGCATTCATCACCTTTGTCACAAGGCGGCCTAGCCCAGACACGACCTGACCAGTCTGGTTTAAACTGTAAATTTATTGCTTCACCTGGTTTGAGGGAAGGGAGTATTTGTGGATCGCCAGCACCGTTCGTTTGATAGCCGACGTGAATCGCATGATGACATCTATTGTCAACAGTGATTTGCCTGGATGCAGAAGGTCCCTCAGATGTTTGTTCTGGGAAAGGATTCTTGATAAGACCTTCGCCATTTAAAAAAGGGCGCATAAAGTCATTGAGTGTACTACTAATGGTGCCTGTAATAGATGAGGCAAAATCTCGACGATAAACAGTGACAGTATCGATAATAGGAGGATTATTAAGAGGTGCTGCATAAATATGGTTAGCAATAGACGCAAACCATAGAAAAAAATAGGGATAGTACATCTCTATGAAGAACTATATATAAAAATGAATTCGAATGTCGAGTTCTTAAAGGAAGAAGCTACAAAGAGTTTAAGAGATTTTTCTCTGACTGAAGAAAACAAAAAAGGTAGAATTGTTATTGACAGAAAGCTTTTTTGATTTTTGATTTTTGGATCAGTAAGCTTATTTTTAAATGACATATTTCCTTTAGAGTTTATAAGCAACCCTCCACCCCCTTCAATGAATTAATGTATAAGAAATTCCTCGATATTATAAGCGAATAAAGTCTAATTGTATTTACCAGTATTGCTAAAATAATGATTCTAGACAAAAGAAGGACGCTTATCATACTTTAATATATGATTTCGGAAATGAAAATTAACCTTCAGTACCAAGGTGGATACTGCTTTACGTACTCTATATCAAGTATAATAACAAGAATTACTGTTCCATTGGGTCAGTGCCTTCTTCTTCTTTCAGTTTCTCAGCTAAAATTTCCTTGGTTTTTTTCAACACTTCAATTTCTGCCTGAACATGATCTTCTGTAATTGCTTCATCGTTGCCGACCATAAAATCTGACAAAGAACTCACTGGAAGCTTTTGGTCATCTGTTGCTTCTCCTTCTTCGCGTTGTTCCTCTTGTTGTTTGACTTCTTCTTGCAGTTTACTGTACAACCCTTTATAGACTTCCTTTTTTGCGTTGTAAATCTGACGAATAAGTGTTGGATGGCGTGGATAAGTAAGACGAGCAGCATGCAACAGTGCACCATTAGCATAATTGAATCTTTCCTTGGAAGGGTCTAGAGAATCATCAAGCTCAGCAAGAGCTTTATCGATCACATCAATAGCTGAAGGAAACTGTCGACGGTTTCTTTACAAAAAAAAAAAAAAAAGGTCGGTTATATTCCTGTAAGCTGTGTCTGCCTTTCATCAACCCACTTACTTCATAAAGTCAGCTAAAGACAAATTGTCTTTTGTGTATAGTTTAGACACTTCAGGACTACCATGTGTATATCTAAAATTGATAGGATTTGCTTCTAATCTGACTTTCTTCTTTCTTAGGTTTATTTCTAATGTTTGCATATCCGTAGGTTTCTTTTCGAATGGTGGGCAACCTGCTGCCTTCCATATAATCCAATGGGTCTCGTTTTTCAGAATAGTCAGAATAATATCGGTATATAGATTGCCATGAGGTTTGGTAGCTCTAAGTAAGGTTAGAAAAGATTCTCGTGTTTCTCGTATCCATTTAATCTGTTCATCTTTCAAGTTGTATACTGGTTGAATAAGAGACTGCTTTGTGGTACCACCACGGGCTTGTATCTCTGCTAAAGCCTCTTTGGTCTTTTCTTTTTCTTTTTCAGAAAAACCTGATAGATACTGAAACAGAATAAGGTATTGTACAATGACATTACGTCTGAATTTAACATCTTCCAACTGACAAATTAAATCTGTTAGTATTAAAAGAAACATGCGCACTGACATATACATAGATATATATGTGTGTGTGTTTGTGCGTTTTATATACCTCTAATCCCAGTAACTTTCTACTGCTCAATAACCTAGGGAATTGGTAGTCTCTATTGATCATGGCTAACATTTCCTCTGCTAATTGCGGATCTTCCTCCATTTGCTGTACAGTATTATCCGATTCATAATCTGTTCTATCACGTTTTGAGCCAATGGCTTGTCCACCTTCACTTTTACGTGCGCCTGAAATCTCAGCCTCATTCTCTGCAATGATCTTGAATCTTTCTATAATTTTATCGGTGCCTGCTTGCAGCTGTTCAAAGTTATGGTTTGTAAAGATGCTAGGTGGGTTTGCAAAATAGACGCGCGTAGACCAGAACAATTTGTAAAACTCCTTTTGGTCATCTAAACAAATGGGTATCCAACCGGTATAAGGTTATGTATATCAAGCAAAGACAAATTTTGACACCTAGGGGTCAGACGATAGCGTTTACCTGTCATATTAGGATCTGAATCTACTTGCTCATTATCGTCGTAAGGCACCATATTTGTGTTGAAATCACCTCTCAAATTGACACCGGATCTTTCAGCCAACGGAAAGGAATTGGCCACAAACATCATTATCCGCCCACAAAATACTGTATTCGTTTCTTTCGACAAACGACGAAGTAGTTCGTTGCACATTCTTAAAAGAATTAATCCTTTTCCTTTGCCTGGCACCATACCCTATATTGGATATCATGAATGTCAGCTCTTTGCATCGTTTTGAACCAAGCAGTTTCTGATCGCTTGTACCAACCTTGGTGATCATATCTTTACGACTTTCAATATAATTGAATATTTTCTCGCAGCCGACCGTTGTATGTACTTCAGCTAATTCTTCAATCATAGTCAATGGAACTACGTTGTCCAATAAATATGTCTCTGTAAAAGAGGATCATTGAAAGTGTTGCAGTAAAAAGAAGGCAAAATTGAGAGAGAAGGAGAGAGAGGTGATTTAGTTGTTTTTTCTTTGCAAGAACACCAGCGTATAACAGAGACTGTGCGTAACGTAATGTAATTCTACAATTTTCTAGTCTGTAATCTAACCTTCAGCACAATATGTGATGATATCCAAACAGTCAAACATTCGTCCATATCGTTCTTCGTTTTCCTCAAATTTCTTCTATTTGACAATTCATTTTTTTTAGACCTGGTGTTTGCCTTTCGTGAAAATCGTTTATAGATGACTTACAACAATGTCTAGAAGGGTTTTACGAAATACAAGTTCAATAGCAGTTCTTCGCCAGTCAGCCTTTCCTTTCTCTGGAGGAGGTAGTCCAATCCTTTCATCATTCAGGCCAATTATCAATATTTGGTTTTCTACTAATTGCTTAACAAAAGAGGTTGGAACGTCCGTGATATTGTTTTCTCGTCTATGGCTCTCGGTTTGTTTCAGACAGTCCTGAATAACGTTTTCTGCCTCTTCTTGATAAATTAGAAATTTCGACATTGGTCAACGGTTTGGTAGAGATTTGGAAGTGATGTTGATCAAGCAAGGAGAAAAATTATTGACAAAATGCAACAAAGTGTAAAATTCAAATGACGGCAAAGTATTACGTAATAGAGTAGATCATCAGTAGCTCAGTTTGTGTGAGAATTTTATCTAAGGTTTATGCAGGTAAGATCCAAAAATGCACCACAAGGAAGAGGGTTTTTGTGCAATCTTGATTATGGGACGCGTGACATTTAGTAGTACCATTCAAATAGATGAGAGCCTCGAAAAAAAAGAGGTCTTATTATTGACGAATCGCGGGTTGAGAGCATACAACAGAGCGCTCAGATCTGAAAGTGACTTGAAGGCTTTTGCACGCTCTTTACCGAAAACATGAAAAGAAAAAAAGCCTAGCCATAGGATTTAGGGCAATTACAATAAACGATGCTGATTCAGATCAGATTGGCACAACCTTAATGTGAACCAATGGGTTATAATAAGGTTCACACATTTTAAGTGGTTGAAATATGTTTATAGGGTCTTCTTTGAGTTTAGACTGCCTGCGCGGTCTCTCATATGTGCGCATGTTTTTTGAGGCAAATAAATCTATGGAAAAAAAAGAAATCGAAGTATACAAATTCAGAGTTCTCTAGAACAGAAAGTTTATGAATGGAGGGTGTAAAGCAACGTAATATGTATATATCAGACCCGTGATTATCAGGCTCCATATGTTTATAGCCAGAAAATACAAACAAATAAACGATGTTAAAAATGCCCGAAACCATAATTACAATATAAAACAGAAATTTCTGTTCTTTTTAAGTAAGTACGACCACAGGACGAGACATGTGTTTGGTGGAAAACAGATAATAATATTTTGATTGACCTTGTTCTTTAGCTCGACTAAACAGAAGATTTTAAGCGGAACATTCCGGAAAATGAAATACATTTTGTGCAGATTAAATCGTGTCTTGCTGTGAACAATGAGCTCTCCTTAAAAAATTGTTATGATCTTCCCTATTGTTCTTTCTTTCTTTTTTTTTTTTTGTCGTTTTTCCTTCTTTACTGTACTTTTATTACTATTTAAAATTACTAACATTCATACCTTTTACTTACTATAATGTCTATATCCCCTTCAACATCTACTACATCCCTAACTTCTCTTTCTTCTAGATACTATTATGACCTTGTAAAATTCCCGCAAGCGGATACTATAAAAATCATTACATTCCTATTAGAGCGTATTACAAAAACAAATGATAAAATTGCCAACAACAATAGCAGTAACAAAAGGCATCAGAAGGACAGCAACTCGCCTTATGCTTTATTCTATGCTAAGGCCGTTCCAGTGATTGATATACATGCATACTTTACTAGAATTCTAAAATATTGTCCATGCACAAACGAATGCTTTTTAAGCTTGCTAGTATACTTGGATAGGATGTCCAGTAATTCGAATGGTTTAAGAATTGACTCTTACAATATTCATCGATTGATTATTACCGGCATCATGGTCGCTAGCAAATTTTTCAGCGATGTGTTTTATACCAATGCGAGATATGCAAAAGTGAGTAGTGAATAATTTGGCTTAGGAATGAATAGAAATCAATATTAATCAATTGCTGTTCTTTAGGTTGGAGGCTTGCCTATCAAAGAACTCAATGCTCTCGAATTGCAATTTTTGAAACTTAACAACTTCCAGTTAAATGTACAGGTTGAGGAGCTACAACAATATGGCAATAAGTTACTCTGGCATTGGGTCAACCAGTCAACGAGATTAAGAAAACAACAAGAATTGCATCAACATCAACTCATGTCCTATAATAACACCAACACTGTAGCTACTGAGAATAATGATACCATACCTATTGCCTACAACAACAATAGTACCACTACAAAAGAGGAGCATAAACAACTTCGTCATCACTACCGTCATCACTCTATGAATAGTACTACGGCCACCTGCTCGTCCCCTGCTTTGGTCACTTATACCTCTCCAGCCACTCATACCCCTACTAGCGGTATACACTCCTGCTCCTCCAATCTCATGTTATTTCGCCATCATCATCACGAAAAGTCTGCTGTTGTTCCTACAAAAGAATTTGTTGATTCAGTTACCACAACCATTTAAGCCCATCGATGGTTTTTTTCGGTGGTCAAAGCATTACAACCCAACAAATTCAACCAATAATTCCCTTCTCTGTAAATAATTTAACCGCTCTTTTTCCGTACACACCAAAAAAAAATTATTCTCTCTACAGTTCTATACATACACTTTTTTGTTGGTCTTTTACCCATATTTTTGCTTTTGTTTAATTTAAATACCTATCTACACATATTTACATCACTATAGTCTACCATAATAAACGAAAATTGCTGCTTATTTTTGGTTGCTAAAATTTGTTCTAAAGCCTGTTTAAAGCATAACTATCTGTCACACTTAATATGTGCAACAACGATGCGAAATGGCAATAATGTGTGATACTGTGCTCAATTTACCGATTGTTTGAAAACCCCAGCCACTTTTTTTAAATAATTTTAGACATTTGTTTGAGGTCAATTGCCTAGAAAAATGAGATTAGTTTGACCAAATGTTTGGGGCTACTTCGCCAGATTTTTGTAAGTAAAATTGCTCATATTTCTCCAACTGTTTGACCAGCTTTTTGGTTTTTTTCATCATATTTATTGTTTCTAAAAATGAATTTCTTTCATGAAGATGGTAGGAGTAGGATTGTAGATGAGTCTGAGCAGGAAACGGCCGCTTTCGTGGTAGATCAAGAAAAGTAGAATCACTGATATTATGAAAGAAGAATACAACGTCAATACCAAAGTCATTACCCGTCATCTTGTGGCTAGAAACAGTAAGAAACTCTTGAAGATCATGCGAAATAGGCATGATTTATATGCAAAATTGTGTCTTTCTTGACGAAGCAGGCTTCGACATAAACATGCGTCGTTCGAAAGCTTGGTCACAGCATGAAGGCAGGTGATTATAGAATTTCCTTCTGCAAGAGGGGTTTCTCATACAGTCATGGGTGCGATTTCATCATTTGATGTTGTAAATGTAAGTTTGAGAGAACCAGGAAATGCCAAAAAACGGAAAGCCCGTGGAGATGCAGCATCTGCCATACCAAAAGAAAGTATAGCCGATCTTTATGTTTAGTTTATCGGCGATACGTTGGACGTTATGGATGCACTTCCCGATATGAAGGTTTTTCATATTATCTTGAACAAATACCCCAATCTATATACCTGAGAGTATTGATCTTGTTATATGAGAAAGAGGCTATATACCCGTATACCTTCCGCCTTATTAGCCTGAACTCCATCCTATTAAGCTGTTTTGGAAAGTTTTGAAGGACAGAGTCAAAAGAGGTAAATCGACTGATATAGAAGCACTTTCTCCGAGGGTGACTGAGGGTAGCGAGGATGTTCTCATTGAACATTTGGAAAATTTTATTCAACATTCCGCAAATGTATTGCCTAAATGTTTACGTAAAGTATCTTTATAACTATTTGACCAGAAATTGCTCAAATTATTTGTGAAAAACGAGCAATTTATTTTCAAAAAGCTGGGCAAAGTAGCCCCAAATATTTGGCCAAATTGATCTCAGTTTTTGGGAAATTAACCTCACACAAATGTCCAAAATCATTCAAAAAAGTGGGTGGAGTTTTCAAACATTCAATAAATTGAGAGTGGAAGCACAGTACATAAGATGCTTTAATAATCTTTTAGATGGTCAAAAAGATACTCTACGTTATGCAAATAGTGATATGAAAATTACTTAAGCTAATGATAGCATGGGCATGCCACATCTGATCATTCTCCTATCCTGTGAAAAAATAACCTGTTGTAGCTTCCCCTTCTTCAGCGAACGCTTCTTTTGGCGTTTTCAGAGCCTCCTCTTCTTCTTCAGCTTCCACTTCAACTTCATTATTTAATACACTAAGATCGCTGGTGCTATTTTCATGAGATAATGCGGGTGTCTGTACGCTGGAAGACACTGAGGATTGGATACGATCTTGTACAGCAGTTGTTGGTGTTGCAACCACTGTAGTAATAGCAGCTGTATCATACCCATTTTGCGTGATTTCCTTTGCCTCTTTCGCTTGTTGTTGCTGGTCTGGCTCCGACTTGTTTATTGTTGACAATCGCTGGAAAAAGGCATCAGGACTAGTACAAGTACCTAAGGCGCGTCTCATCTGTGTGGTAATGATACTCAAGCCAATTTGATAAGATGCGTTCATCCATCCAAAGCCTTCGCGAGGAACATATTTGAAATCGGTACCAACGTTACCGTACTCCACCTGGACCTTGTGTGTAAGACTGACGACATCGTATTTTTCAGGGACGACACCATTGAAATCAACAAACGATTTTGTTATTCTATTTTTGTATTGAGAGGAAATGTGGTCAGTGGAAAAGAGATGTAGTCATCACAGTAACCAGGCACGTTACTTACATGTACAACCATCGATAAGTCAGCCTTCTTTGAATATCGATCTTCCCATAGTTCTCAAATGCTTTCCAAGCCAAAATTTGGTGCGGAGCCCAGCCAAATGGAAAATCCCATTGGCGATTAGGTCTATCTATACTAATAATGCCTCTCGACTCAATGGTGCCAGACACTAACCCACCCATCACTTCAAATTTCGGCAATGCTGACTCGGCCATCTTAGCTGCCTGTTCATGACTAGCAAGCTTAGCCCACATTGCCCAAAATGTTGTCACTGATTCATATTCGCTCTGCTCCTTCTTTACGGTATCGTAATCGAAATACATGCCCTTCTCTTCATTCCATAAGTATAGGTTGATACGTTCTTTACGTTGTTGAGCGCGTTCATACCATACTTTGGCATCCTGACGTTGATTGTCGTAATCAACTAAAACGCCATCGAGATGTTCGTTAATCATTTCAGCAATATCCATTTCATATTTATACAAAAGGGCATTCAGATCAATAGTGGCTAGGTTAGCGCACCTTCCTTCATAGCGATAAGTGGTGTCATGGCCGGACTCACGTACAGCACGGTCGTGCAAAAAGTATTCATCGAGTTCAGGTGAAACATAGTTGCCCTCATTATACTGTTTCATGAGTTCTTGGATGCTCACACCCGCTTTTTGAGCATAGGGTTGAATGACGTGATCGAAATGAGAAGCCTCTGTTTCAGGAGGAATGCCCTTGCCAGCAGGACGGAAACGAGAAAGCCCAGTTTTGGTATCATAGCGAGGAGCTGCCATCCAAACAGTATGATATTCTTTCATAGCAGCCTGCAACATACGACGCAACCAAGCTTTATGATTCTCTATGTCGCTTGTGTGCTGTTTCTCCACCTTCTTCAGGTACACTTGTCTGGCCATATCCGTCAGGAAAGGCGGTTGAGATCGCGACAAGTAGTACGACCGATTCGCATTGAGTATCTTGCCATAATGCTTGATCTCGTAAGCAAAGTTCTCTACCATTCCCTCAGCCAAATCAACGCGCTCATCAATGAGTAGTCCGAGAGCCTCGAAATAAGAATCCCAACCGTACATCTCATTAAACCGGCCACCGGGCACAACAAAAGGAACGCCCTCAAAAGTGGTTGTGATGGACGATGTATTGCCGTCATAGACCTTCTTTGTTTTTTTCTTTAACGCCAATGCTAGAATACCGGGCTTGTCATTAATACTTTGCACATATTCTGGCGTAATATGTTGAGGTAATCGTTCCACTTCTAATCCCAGATGAGGTTTTTCTACTTTGGCCACCTTTTCGTAATAGCGATAGACTTCTTCCTCATCAAAGGGCACGTAAATTCTTGGTTGGTGATCAGCCGTTCGATTCTTGGGATCCATACAGATTCTTTCCAAGCCTTCTGCATCAATGCGTCTTGTCAGGCCGTCCCAAAATTGATGTTTGATCATGCGGGATAATCTGTCCACAGGGTTTTCGTTCAAACGCGCTTCATCCAAAATAATATAATTTCGGTTACAGTCAGTAGCAAGTGCAAGCTCTTGTAATAAGTTGGAGAGCATGTAGGTGCCACGGATGTCAATTTTACGAAAGCCCCCAGAGTCTGCACTGCCCAGTAAAAATGATTTGGGGCCCAGGTCATTTACTGTTATTTGGAAATCACCATCCGTATCTTCTTGTTCAACTAAAAAGCGCTGTGTTTCTTTCACATCAATGAGAAATTTGCGAGCTTTGCTCTTATCGTCTATAAAAATAGGACTTAGTCATTTTTCAGGCCAAAAAGTAACATATGTAAAGATACAATCCGCGTATCATCGATCCTTTTTCAGTTACCAGTTGATCCTCGTCTTCTACGCGGTGTATATGATTGGGTATCTATGGTAGAATGATGTTGTCCCTAGGATGTATGGTAAGTTGTGAGTAAATAAAATTCATGTTTTTCTATTGCATCCTTGACCATTCTGGTCCTCACTGGTAATTCGATGCCGTAATTAACAGGTATGGCTTACGGAAAACGTTCTCAATCTGTTGATGTTAGATCCAGCATTATTTCCAGTAGTATAGTATGTTTTTGCTGGAGCGTGAACGTCAATGAAAGTTTCGTTCTTACTTGTGCTGCTGCCATCCTCTGGTCGATGAAATGCCACATGCTGGTTAGATAAGAGCATTTTTAGAGCAAAATGTGAATGGAAAAAGATAGAAAAGGAGAGAAAGATACAAAAGTAATATTCTTGATTACAAGGAAACAAAAATTTATAGAGGTTTGACAACTCGTGGTATTTATAGATTGGATCGGATGATAATGAATATGTACCTACGTGTGTGTAAGATCACTTTTGGCTACCTTCCTGTTGATTGGTTCCTTTCTAAATCAAATCAAGGAGAAGTTATAGAGTGGGTAACAGGCTTGTACCTAGAAGCCTCACCCTTGATTATGAGGAAAAGGGAAAAACAAACGTTGCTCAGCTAGGATAAAGTTACATATTTTTGGGATCTTCAAAGGACTGCTTTAAATGAGTCAGAGCATCGGTTTCTTTAGTCAATGATGCAGGCAGACAAAGTACATTTCACCATGTCGCCGACATACAGTAGTGAATTGTGAGACAAACGTAAGATAGCACCAACTTCCAATCTATATACAATGCGTACCCGGGTGTAACGTCAAACCTGTCAAATATATTGACGTTCACAGGGATAGCCAAAATTTTTATTTCTTTTAAAATGTCGTTTGAATTCAAATTGTAAGGTGAAATCGAAAATAGCAATGGGTTACGTCTCTTTTGGCGTCAATTGCATGATAGCAGAAACAGGTACAACTTCAACATCCCTCGCTCGAGCTTTCACACCCAAATTTCTATCACCTGTTACTAAACAGACAGGCACGACTGACATATCCTCCTTTTGTTGTTGTTGTTGTTGCTGTTGATTTATCCACCATAAACATGCTGATAGAATCAAATCATCCAAGTTCTTATCTGTCTCGCCGAATACAAATTGCTCGGATCGTATAGAAATAGCATTCATGAAATTATTATGGGATGTTTGAATACGCAACGTTGTACTTTGCTTTTGTTTGGCTGCTAGCGTGCTTTCAATGAGTTCGATGGCACTTCGAGCTACAGTACCTAATTTACTTGGATTCGTCTTCAAGCCATCCAATTCAGTGATGACTATTTTTTAAAAAAAGAAGAAAATAAAAAATGTAAGGAAACAAATTGTTATTGTTTTTCCAAAAGTTGACTGAAAAGCATCATCTCGCTTACCAACAAGAGGAACTACGATCGACCATGCTTGTTTTTGGAAAAGCTTGGTAACAAGATCGAGATGCCCAATAAAACAGTTAGTGTCCAAAACCAGCACAGTCTTGCCAGGTACAATGCGTTCACGAAGATAATTCATGCGGGTCTCTCTCTCCTTAATACGAGCAGGTAATCTTCGATAACCTGAGCGTGCTTCTGCGTCTGCAGTAGCAACCATTGCTTGAAGTTGTTCACGTCGTTTCTTCAATTGAGTCATGATATCATCATCATCCTCATCTCCCCTCTCCTCCTCATCAACTGTATTGGTATCTTCATGGCTAAACGAAATATCTGTTGAGAACAAAACATCATCGTCCATTTCCGATATAGTTGTTCCTTCAATTGTAGCGCTTGCTACATTGTCATGCGATTCATCATTATTATCATCATCAGTGTTGGAATCTTGGTACAATGACGAGACCTGCTGTTGCTTTGTAGCTTCTTCTTCCAAAGCCATGATGCGATCTTCCACAGATGGTGACATAGCAAATTTCTCTTCGACGGGATCATAAATGCAAATGCCCTCCAAATGTTTTACAAGGGCGAAACCGTACTCCAGTATTTTCATTTTTCGATGGGTTACGATGTCAAATGTACAGACTTGACTATGTTCATGATTGACGTCTGTAAACTGCAAAAATTTACCGTGAACGTCATCGACCCAACCGAGGCCACGTAAATGTTCCTCTTCCGGAAGTTCAGGTGCTTCCTTCAAAATAGATAAGGCCGACTTGACAAACGCACGTTCAGTTGGTGAACACTTGGTACCGTCTGAACATGAGTGGTTTTCGGCAAAATCAGCAGTTTCCATTTTTTCTTGCTCATCGTCGTCTAGAATATGTTTGTTGATAATATTGTATTTCTCGTCCTCAGGGATTTCTACTAATAATTTATTCAAGAAATCGAGCAACAATGGCCAAAATGCTGAAGATATCTTTGAATTACGTTGCAAATTCAATGGTCTGCCTTTGTATTGATATGTAAGCAAATCGAAATCGACAGCCCCAACCAACAGTTCCCATAGAGAAGGTTTGTCTTCACAACGTACACAAATACCGTTGATGACCATCCAGTGGAGTAAAACTTCGACATAGATGAGGTAGCCGTGTGTTTCATCTTTTAAACATTGAGTATCTCCATCATTACTCACATTGTTATCGTCCTCTTCGACATACGTGGGAATGCAATCATTTAAACGTTCATTTCCAAACAGAAATTTCTGGCTTTGTACGTAACTATAACTGACTTGGGGTAATTGTAAGGGTCGTGGTATAATAGGTGGCGATAGCGACCTGTCCAAATATCTTTGAAAGATTTCAACAGCAATCTGACAGGTCAAATCAATTCCATATATAAATAAAATACTATCTTTTAGCTCGTCCACCATTGTTTGGTATTGCTGGTCTTGCTCATCTCGTTGCTCGCTATCATTTGTAATCATTGAATAAAAGCGGTTCGTGAAATTGGCTTTAACAAGTTTAGCTATTTTTGAGTTTTCATAATCATATGTGTATAATGATGAGATGCATAGAATGATAATTTGTAGCCAGAAATTATCAACTACAGATAATGGTGACCGCCCTGTGACAGAAGTGCCATACTGCAATTCCTCAGAAACAACAAAAAGTTGATCTTCCTTCAATGCCTCAGCGTCCTTTCCAAATAAAGAATCGAAGAAAAGGCGTTTGACTGGAGCAAATTCATCCAATCCAATCTTTGTGAACAGCATCCCATGTAGTCGAACAAAGAAAGCAGTTATACTCGTACCTTTGCTGATGAATTTTGCGGCAGCTTTGCCCTTCGCTTTAGTTCGTTTGTTTTTCGTTTGCAAAATGTTACCAACTGCTGGAAAGTGTCTTTGAACCCACAGACGGTTTCTTTCAAATAACACAAGTATACCTTCTCTGGCATTTAAGAATCCATTTCGTCTCACCATGAGGCTGCGTATACTAAAATAGAGCTTGTATAGGTCAAGCTTCGGTGAGGAACCTTGAGAATTCGGTTGTTGTAGCAATAATGACAGATTATAATACAAATTTCCTCTTGCCGGCATGAGCCATATGCCTAAAGAGTATCTTTTCCAAGCTTCTAAAAATGCATCTTTCTTTGTATAAACTGTTATAGTTTGCTTGCTTTTTTCCTCCTGAGTATCGTTGCCGGCCAAAGGCATATTATCTTCTGCGGGTGTATACATCCATCTATATCTCGCAATATCAGCACGTAGTGAAATACTATTGTACCATTTGTATCTTTTTGTCCTTCTCCATTGCTGTAAATAATCTTCGATTCCAATGTCATTTGAGGTTTCATCGACAGTTTTCAAAAATGATGCAAACTCAGAATACAACTCGTCTGCTTGGCTAAGATATTGCAAAAGTAGTCTTAAAACGCGATTATAATACTGATGCAGCAGGTCTCTGTTCGTAACTGCTGAGTCAATCGGCTTCTGTTGTTCAACTTTCACGAATGTCATACCACCGCTTTCGTTGATTACTGGTATCTCTGTCAATGAGGTCTCTAATGCATCCTCTTCTTCATCATCACTGAATAGCATGGCCTCTAATTTGCTCCTTTGCTTAGACTGACTGTTGGTGATTACTACAGTAGCGTCTTCATTGACCTTATTTTTTGTACTTGACGGCTTTGTTGATAATTCAATGGAGAGCTTATCTAAAGTTTTTCTGAATTGACTGATAAAATTGTATACAACTCTCTTCCAACATAGAGTTCCTAGCCCTTTTCTTTCTGCATATTCGAAATCACATTTTACAAGCTCTAAATACTTTTCTCCCAATTTTCCATGAGATTCAAGTCTTTTTAACCAAATCTGCTCAGCATCAATAACATCTTGATCCATCAATATATTGGATTTATCCTCCTCAATCGGTTTATCTTCCGTCGTTGGACGACGACGTCTACCTGAGAAATGCTCATCATCATCCTCATGTTTACAACTTTTATCCTTGAATAAAGCCAATGAAGACGCTCTCTCATTCAGTGCCTCTAGTTCGGCTTCTAAAGCCCTCATCTGATTGATAATTGCTTTGCATTGCTTTCTCTTCCGATCTTTTTCTTTATCCTCTTCTGTCAAAATCGATGGTGTTTTGCCGTTTTCTAATGAAGGTGAGAAGTTTCTTGTCTCCTGGTTTTTTTCATTGTTATCAATGCGTGGTGAGTCTCTAAGCAACAACGCATTCGACTTTAAACTCGCATTAGGTTCATTAACGACCTTTTGTAAAGGTGAAGTCTCTATATTTGCGATTAATGGCACACCATCTTTAGCAGTCCACAAACGTCTTCCTGCAGCAGGTAGTCTTCTATTTTTTGACTGAATACTGTCATTCATACGTCTTTCAGTAAGATATAAAGCAGTGGACGGTGTCGCGCTCTCTGGCTTTACATCGGCTTTGACGGAATTTTTCTCTACAAAGGTATGCTTAAATCTAAGAGGGTCATCAACGTGAGGTCTGAATAATCGTTTGCTATCTTGAGAGGCTCTTGTAGTCAATTGAACAGAAACCCTTGTTTCATCCAAGCTATTATTCGAGCTACTGACTCGAGGTCGCTGCTGTTGCTGTTGCTGTTGCTGTTGCTGTTGCTGTTGCTGTTGCTGTTGCTGTTGCTGTTGCTGTTGCTGTTGCTGTTGCTGTTGCTGTTGCTGTTGCTGTTGCTGTTGCAATTGTTGCAGATGTTGTTTGTTAAAAGTGATGGGATTGTCAGCACGAGGATCGAACAATTGTCTTTCGGTCTGTTTGTTGCTACTGTTTTGACCATCTCTGCTTGAAAATATAGTGCTGTGGCGGTCAAAACTCGAGTTTTTTTTTCTTAGGTTGCCCCCTTTCTGTCTGCTCATATTACAAAAAGGTTATTTATACCTATTCAAACAAATAGTTAGTTGTCATTTCGGCAAAAGTTATACTCAAAATGTTGTATCTTTTACTTGATATAATTTTCAAAGAACATTAGTAAGGGTGATTGTCAAAAGAGACTGAATTACTTGGGAAAAGAGTAATCTAGGATAAAGATATACTCGAGAACGATAAAAAGCCTAATAAATTACAAATTATAACGGAACAGGTAAAATAATTCCGGTCATTGCCCATAATCGCCCTGATTGCCTTTTTTTTTTCTCTGCGCGGGCCTTAAGGCTATAAGCGGGGCGGAGGAACCCGCAATTTTTATACCAAATCTTGGAAATACCTATCACGTAAGTTCCGATTTGAACGTCAAATAGGTACCATGTTTTGGAGTTAGAAGAATAGGTCAACTACGACAGGCCATCAGCGATCTGGAAGCTTCAAGGCAGAGAGACAAAAAAGACCTTTCAGACACCTGCTAAGAGTTTACAGACTATACTGCATCACAATGCAGTCAGTTGTGAGTGGACAATTTTATTGGCTGACTTTATTACATATCTTTTATCAGTAACATAAATATCAGAAGACGGCTTCTTCATAATCAGTAATTTTAGAATGTCAACGATTCCTGTAGAGAAATTCGAAGCCTTTGAGAATTACAACTTTGACAACGACGAACAGTTTCAAGTAAAAAGTATAAAAAACGCTGGTTTCTTCCGTCTACATCAGTACGGCTCACTTTTCTTTCTCATATTGCATATTATCAGACAGGCCTTAAATCGTTAGCCTACAACGAGCAAGAGAATAACGCTGAATTGCTGCAACGCGCAAAGTTGTTTTACTATACCAAGTAAGAATTTCATATATAGTTTCAAGATAGCTTTGATATGCTTGCGAATTCCTTTCTGACTCTCGAAAGGGGCAATATTAAAGATACAGAGATTCTTTTGACATTGATGAATATCTGAGTTGGAGGAAGGCTAAACTTGGTGAAGAGCCAGCAGTAGAAAATAAGGAGAAAAAGAGTGAATTGGAAGGTATTTGAAGATTCTTATCCTTAGTAATTTGAAATTAATAACTGATAAAGGAGCGTTTCCGCTTTACGTTTTTCTTTTGTAGGCGAACCACCCAGATTTTCATTTCAAGAGTTGGTGGACATGATAGAGAAAGGAATTGAAATACCAGGTAAAACCAAAAGTGTACACTTCAAGGGCTTAATTGATCTTTGTATCTAAAAGTGAGCACTTCTATATAATCAGGTATAAAGCAAATACCGAACGTATTAAATGAAGGTACACCTAGTCAGCCCAAGATGACAGCGAGGCCTAAACCTTGGGAAATAAACAAAAATTCTCCGACACAATAAGATACCAATAATTTAAGTAACAATTATAGAATAAGCTCAGTAATGTTCAAATAATGTATTTTTCTACTGCATCTCTTTATTATCTTCCCTACAAAGATATACGTCCCATATTCAATCTTAAAACCTTATATAAAGGCGAGAAATTCCAACGGATAGTAACTGTGCCATAAAAAGGGTTCCTCCTTTTCTCTGCATCGTTCATATTCTTCTTACGTATTACCGTTGTATAGCTCATTTTCCTTTTCGTAAAAACTTATACCTACTTCGCATACTTTACACAACAGTATATAGTAGATTTCCGCTCGTGCCGCCACTAGCACTTTCTGTTTGAGTTTTGTACCGAAAACATCACCAAACCGATGCTACATGTACGAAAATCGGCTATAGCCTCTTTCCCTATAAGAATTTACAAACTGTGTATGATTCTTATCCAACTCTGAGCTTTATTATGGTGGATTCAATTATTAATAAAGAAACCCTAATGATGGGGCAATCTTTATCGCCACTTTCTAACTTGGATGAAGTAATAAGCAGAGTTATGCCAATGAAAGCAAAGAGAACAAAATTGTCTAGTGGAAAGATTGTTCAGATACTTATCAAGGTTGATGGTGTATAAAGTAAAGCTTTTTGAGTCAAACAAGCACTGATATTTGTCTATCAATATAGAGCTATAATATCATCATTTAATAATTGATCTTTCTGTTGTATAACTGGCTTTAGAAAGAATGCATATTTCTTTTTCGAAATGAATAATAAAACATACGGTAGCTGCTTATTTAGTTTAAGCTTGTTTAGCAATATACCGTAATATAAAGGTTAGTATAAACATATGTCAGATGCTAGTAATCCTTTTTGGAGGGCATGACTCAAAACAAGTGATACAACGCCTAGTGTGCTGCTTGATTATGTCTGGATTCCTTATCAGGTATCATTGGAACCTCGATATTGCATCTTTGATTCGTCATCGTCTTATGAATTGTCTTTGACAACAAAGTCGATAGGCTTCTCGTGCTGAGTGGCCTTTTGAAGGTTTCTTTAACATATCTTTCGTTTACTAATATGCTTTCCTCCGATGGACAACCATGATACATATAGCATTGCTGACAATATGACTTCAATTTGCTTGTGTAAAGGCTGCTTTGAGATACCCTTCCATGAATAATGAAGCATGGTATCAAACCAAAACATTCTACAAAGACCGTGGCTAAGCCATATGCAACTTCTATTGATAGTAGGATGATATGAAACACGATCATTGACATTGAAAATGTACCGGTGATAATGGTTAAAAAAGACAGTGTCAAACCTATCAAAATGAGAAACGGTGCTATAATAATACAGCTAAGAGTAGGACGAAATGATAGTTGCATTGATGATAATTAATGCAAAAGAAATGGCAAAACCAGTTAGTGTGTAATATAGAAGTAATCAAGTGCACGGCATTCTTCCTTGGTGACGAAATAAAAGAAACAATGAATGTAGCCATGTCTGAAATTTTTAAGCTAACCTTAAGTTTATTTTGAGAGCATTTTGAGAATCGTTTGCACAGATACAAACTTCATAACGATAGAATAGATAGGACAGATGACTATATCTAACACTGTTCATTTTTATCGAGAAATATTTCTAATTCTGATATAAAAGTAGTAATAATGGGCAAACTTGGAGAAAACGAAATGGCAGTAATTCGATTTTTGATTCAAATTCTTCACACATGACTACTTACCTATCCCACAGCAGAAAGTCAAGTATCACCGTTTTTGTTATGGCGATTTCTTCAAAAAAAAACCTTTCATTGACTTCGCCTGTATTATCGCAATGTTATCCCCCAAAAAGGATAATGACAGTTTTTGTTGATTTATGTTATGAGGAAACGACACGTTGCTTATTTGAGCACTTTTATGTCACTGTTAAAACAATTGCTTAGTATATATAAAAACAATCTACTCATCCTAAGCGAAGGCATTCCAACAATGCTAAAAGTAATATCTACCTGGAATATATATTCATTATAACACTAACTGCTAGTCTGTCGCTGTTCAAACAAAGCTGCAGATATTCGAATATGACCCCATGGCCGGGCACAATATCGCTGATTTGCATATCATGCCCACTGACCGCGATTGCCAATGTCACCCCGTCATTGGCGGATCTATCAGGAGCTACCTTGACCTCGTTCTCCTGAGGCGTAATGGTGGAAGTGAAGAGGGTTTTCTCTAACAGTTACATAAATGATAATATACATTGAATAAGTCTTTTTTTTTTTTTTTTTTTTTTTTTTTTTTACTAATCCTCGCTTGCCTACATTCTTTTCCGTGGACTGCACTATTAACACTCCGTTGGGCAGTTTTGTCATTCTGCACTCGCTCTCTGTCATCCTTGATATTAAAAGTTGAAAATTCGACCTGAAATCATGAAATTGTAGCACCTTTACAAATGCATAATTGTGTACACTAGCTAGATTATATAATTTTTCTGTTCGTCGCATAACAGGATACTCGTAGATTCCTTTGTGTTCGTGTTCCACTTCGCCATAATTGGTACGTATTTTTACTTCAACTGTATCTGCTCACCATATCAATCAAACTCACCAAGTCTCTGTAATACAAAACGAAAAACGGATATTACGTGATATTACCTTCGACTACTTCTCAGTTATCTTTCTTCTATTTGCTTTTAAATAGAAGCATGGTTAATTATAGGTAAAGTGATTATCAATTGGGGTTATAAAAAAGAGTTGTATGCTCAGGAAGAAAAAGATAACCTTAAGGCACTATTAAAACTTATGAACATTTGATTTGTTGGCAGTATACTTTTTTCTGAAATTAACAACATGCTAATGAATATACAATAGGTTGTTATAAAAAGCGTACGTATGACATTTTTTGATATCCTTACGCTAAGAAAAGCCATTATTCGGAAAATAGTTTCATGATAAATCTCCCGCTCGTCCGTTTATCTATCGTTATTTATACTATTATGAACGTAGTCGGCCTTCACTTCTAAAGAAATGGTGGCATGTGGTAAAAGTTGAGGGCAGCTATGGTTATATCGACTGTTTTGAAAAAGGAGAAAAATGCTCGTTGCTTGTTCAACAACATCATAGTGTGAATCATGTATTTGACGTAAGCCGTGGTGTCTCTCGGATTTCCCATTCAATATACGTTAGATTTCGCATGGAAGTCACTACGCTTATATTTTCTTGCTTAATATAAAGGCCAGTAATGGTTACTTTCCAGTATGTGTTCTTGAATCAAACGGCGCACTTCTCGTGCATGCCAAACAGTAACCTCCGAGAAGTGCTCTTGCAGTTTCAAAGTTCCATTGCAACGACATAGGTTGCTGAAACTGTGTTTAAGGTTGTGGGAGTTTCTGGCTTCGTTATTAGGCATGGTCACAATAACTGATATATCTTTGACAGACCAATCGTATAGAAACATCGTTCATCATGAAAAGTGCTCTTTTATTTCTAATCCATGTTTTATTTTTCTAACAATTCACGCACTACGTATCGCAATTTCTCAGTGGCGGTTGTTAAATCATTCTTCTGAGGTTCATTTTGATTCACAAAGTTACGTTTAAAGAGATATTTTATTACAATTAAATTTTACCCAATGAGCACACAGATAAATACTTATCAAAATTGCCCGGGGAGGTTCAAGGAAAGTGTAAGGGAATTAAAAAACCTTTAACGGGACAAAGGAAAAAGGGAAGGTGATCAGAGGCAAACTAGGGAATAACGGAGCGATCAAGGTGTAATTATCGGGGGCGCATACATCCAATCCAAGAGTAGCTGTCCTAGGTTTTCCGGCGGTGTTGGAGGCTCTTTATTATGCTGGAGGTAGTCAACTTCAGATAGTATTAGCTGTAGAGTGGGCCATCGAAGTGTCCAAGCGTGGCACCGTATTTTGTGCTGCCTTGAAGGACTGGTGGGTAACAAATTCAGCAAAAAAGAGATGGGGTCAGATATGGTGTGAGGAAGCTGCAAGCGGTTGTGTATCTTAAGGCAGTCAATGACGTGGGCTTTTGTAAGTGTACGCGTTGGATGGTAGAGGCAACTGGTTGAATAGTTATTGGGTAGCCAGCCAAGGCGCCATCGTAGACATCGATCACGTTCAACAAAGGTCATTGGGAGCCAGAGAATGGGGTCAAGCGATATATCGGGGCGGCAGAGCAGTAGTAGTTTTGAAGGCTGTGTCGCATTCCGCAGTTTATTGAGATTCTCTTGACGGTAGACACGGATAGCTTTGTTTAAAGAGCGAGAATCATGGGTTGACGGGAGCCGGTTCCAAATGACATTAGTGGCGGAGAGCTTGTACCATATCGAGTGACTTTCACGGTTAGCGATTGTTGGTAGTAGTCCAGTCAGTAGAGCATCATCAGGAAGATTTTCTGACCTAAGCAAGAATTTTGCTTGAAGAATATGTAGCCTTTCTCGTATAGTTGGTAACTTTAGCAAATGTAACATAATGGTCACTGAGGAGCGAGAGGAACCACCAAAGATTCGACGCAGGCACTTTTTCTGGGCTGTTTCTAATTTATCGATCGTGGACTTTTTATATTTGACAATGGCTAAACCATATTCTAATTGAGGGCGAAGTATATGTGCGTAGAAGCGAGAGGCTAGTAGGCGACTAAAGCCGCGGGGATTTACTCCTATAGCAGCTAATTGATTCAGTGTTTGAAGAGCTTTCAGTGCATTTTGGGTGACAAGTTGTTGGTCATCGATTAACCCACCAGGTTTGAACGGAATACCCAGGTATGGAAAAGTAGAAGCTTGTGGTATCGGATGGTTGTAGAGTTTATAAGTTTGCTGAATTTCACTGTCATCTAAGATCACACATTTTTGAGGGTTCCAGCGAAAGCCCATGTCATAGCTGTAACGTTCACTTTGTTGAAGAAGGTTGTGCATATCGTCTTGAGAAGCTATTAGGACCACATCATCAGCATATAAGAGGCAATTGAGGGATGAGACGAGTTGTGTCGGGCTGGGTTGTGCAGGAAGTATCGTAGTTCGTAGCATGCGTGGAAAATTATTGATGTATTGTGAGTACAGGAAGGGTGACAAAATGGATCCTTGTAACACACCAGTACGCGGTTGGAAACGATATGAAGTTGCGTTCTGTAGTAATACTTCGATCTGTACATCATCAAATAAATTTTGAAGAAGAGCTAGTAAGGGCGGAGGTGCAGCCGCGGCCAACGCGTTCCAAACAATTCTACGATCAACCGTGTCATACGCAGATTTGATATCCAAGAAAGCAAGTACAGGAGGTCTATGGTATTTGCGACGTAGCATATTGCAAATTTCTGCAAGGCACAATGCTTGGTCCAGCGACCCGCGGGCATTTCGAAATCCACGTTGGGCGATATCAATTGGTGGGCTATGGACTTGCAGGTAGTCTTTCAGACAGTATTCTAGAATTTTTCGAAAGATAGAGGTCAGGCTAATAGGCCGATAGTTATTAGGATCTTTTGCATCGCCTTTCTTGTAAATAGGAACCACCTGAGCCAGGCGCCATTCTGGAGGAGTATATGACCAGGTCCAACAGAGAGTAAACAGGGCTGTTAGGGGGTTGGAGATCTCATTGACGATAGGGACTAGCATTTCTGTCCGTAGATGATCACTGCCAGGTGCTTTTCGCCTAGGCAATTGCTTTATAGCGGTTTTGACTTCTTCTACAGTAATCGGACACTCCTCAGAGAGGTACGGTGGCGAAGTGTCTATCCGAGTGGTACTTGAAGGTGAAGGTTGAGCAGGTAGAAAGCGACCCGAGTATACAGCTTCCATTGCGTTAGCCATGGTATCCGCGGCTTGCTGTGGTCCATCAGGAGAAGTGAATGTGGGCTTCACAGCTCGGTTTTTTCGAATTTTGCTAAAACGGGAGATAGCTGTTGGGTATTCAAGCGTCTCTAGTTGATGACAGAATTGACGCCATGTTTCGCGTCGACGTTGTAGGACAAGCCTACGTAGCTTAGCCTTGGTCTGTTGATGGAGAAGCCAAAAGTGGAGTTTGTTTAAACCGAATGCTTTCCGCCATTTGCGATAGTAGAGCTCTTTTAAATCGAATGTGTGCCTCATTGCATCAGTCCAAAAGTCATGCGCTGTAATGGTCCTTGGTTTTAGAGCACGGCCACAACTGACATCGAGAGCATTGTAAATTGACGAATATAAAGTTGAGGTTGTTTGATCAATAAAGTCGATTGCAGCCTGTCGAGTTGAGAGGGGCGGTCTGTTCTGCATCAGTGGTAAATCCTTTATCAAGTCCCGGAAAGTCCGCTGGTAGTGCTGGCGACAATCCTTTTTACGGAGGTTTGAGAGTTTCCATAATTTGCGAGGTGGTGGGGGGGGCGCCTTGGAGGTGGGGTACGAATATCAAACTTTAAGGTCATGAATTTATGATTTGAGTCCAATGAAAGGTCATCCCGGATCTCCAGGTTGGGATTGGCGAGTTCCACATAACTCAGGAAGTAGTCGATTATGCTGCTGCCATTAAAGGTCATCGAGGTGGGCTGTCCATGTCTTAGTCGTGCATTCCAATTGTACATATTATGCTCTTGCATCCAGGAGAGGAGTATGCGTCCACGATAATTAAACGATGAATCGCCAGTTATCGAGCCAAGTCTTGCATTCAGATCACCACATACTAATAACGAAGATGTGTTAGGAAAGGTTAACGGTAGTAGGTCAAAAATGTGAGTAACAACGGTATTGGGCAATGAGGGGGGTAAATATAAGCAGTGAATTAAAAAATTTGCTACGGTAAAAGAGAGAGTATACTTATTCAGCAAGGGATCGTCATGCTGTATATGTTGTACTGGGTAAGGATTGTCAGGGTGCACCAAAAGAGCAATGCCGTCTCGGCCACGTTGTGGACGTAATGCGTTGACAGGCATACCATAGGTGTGATACTGTTGCCAGGAGGTAGGATATTTGTTTGGTGAAAGAAGCCATGTTTCTGTGATTAATAAAAGTGAACTATTCCTAGCTGTATCTAAAATTGGAGAGATAGCTTGTTTGGGTGAGCCAGTGGCATTAAATAAGGAAATCGTGATGGTACTCATTATTGTTGGTTTTGGGGGGGGGGTGTAAAGTCGGTATCACTCATAATGTCGTCATTCTCAATATCAAAGATATCGGCTGGTGAATGTTGCTTTAATTGTGTATGTCCTAATGATGATGATGAGGTGTTTGCCATTACGGATGCATAAGTGTCTTTGTCGATCCAATCTTGCTTGAGAAAGTAAGTGGCGACAGCATATTTGACTGGTGTACGAATGAAGTTCAGGGCACGGACAAGTCGAGCGGTGTGGTGTTCTCGGGCTAAATCGTTACGTTCAGCGGGAGTCTTTTGCTCATATTTTGGATCCATAAGGATGCTGCCATCATTAGGATCAAAATCGTGTTTAATAGAGATCTTAAATTGTTGTAGCTGGTCGGTAAGTTCCTGAGCGTAGTCGTTGTGGACCAAGAAGGCGACAGCGTTACGCGTTGGGTAGTGAATGTCAAGGATTCGGCTGTTATTGATGTTAAGTTTACGGAGGCGTGCACGAAGTTGTCCTATGGGCACTCTAGCTTTGGTGGGGACATAAAGGTATTTGAAACCTTGTGTTAGCGATGGAGGTTGGAAAAGACGAGCTGCTGCTGTTTGACGTTCTTGTTGGCGGTGTTCTCGGCGTTGTTGTTGAGCTTGTTTAATGATCGCAAGGCGCGCTTCATCACGCCAGGGGTGGACAGGTGAATCATTGGTAGGATTGGTTTTTTGACTATCGGTCAAGGCTGGGAATTGGCTGTTATAAACAGGTGTGGGGTTCTGCATGGTAGTTAAGTTCGAGTGTTGTGCAGCACGAAGGGCTGCATTTTCAGCTCGGAGTTGACGGATTTCATCCTGTAATTGGTGGATGAGGTCTCTTAAGGCAACTATGTCATCGTTGGTGATAGCAGGGGTTGGCTGAGCAGGTGTATCTGGGGATCCATCATTGCTGGAAATTTCCATAGGCAGCTGGGTTTGGTTGTTGACATTACTGACAGTCTGTGAGCTGGGAGGATCATCGTCGACGTCCTGGTCGTTCTCAGGACGGGTAAAAGGGAGGTGAAGATCAGGTGTATTGTTGATTATGTCGAACATGACAGCGGCGTTAACGTTCTTACCACAAGTCTTACAGATGTAATTGGGCTGAGTTGGGTGACCCGTAACTGAGCCTGCTTTATGAAAGGTGGCAGTTTGGTGGCAGTTGGGACAGGCTATATCTCGGCGGCAAATGGCGAAGACATTCGTCAGATAAGTAACTTGTCGTGGGGACAACAGGTTAACAGTGGGCTTGCGACCCTTTTTTCCAGGCGGCATGAGAGAATAGGATTGGAGAGACGGTAGCAAATGTCGAAGATGTTAATGTGTGGTAGATGTATATGAAGGTCACTTTCCAAAAAAGGCAAAAATTAGCTAAAAGTTATGGAAAGCAGAAAAAGAGCTGATTCACAAAGTAACAGTCTTTTCGGTTCAGTTTCGGACAGCATTGAGGTGATTTTCAGATTAAAGAACAATATTTTTGGATATATTATTTATAAAATGTAGACTTACTTCCTGTAGAATCTTTAAGTCTCCCATCGAGGGGAGACAACCAGATTCGTTGTGGCGCTTTGTAATTGACGACAAAATGGGACAGGTCTTCCATGACCAGTCCAAATCTCTTGAGCAATATGATACATGTTTTGAGCCGCCATAACATCACGATTCCAAAAAATACTACAATTTCTGCAAAAGAGTATCTGATGGATTTCTCTACTTGGTGTACGAGAACTATACTTTCTTACATCCGACGATTTACACGAATTACAGATCTATACACAGATTGATGTAAATCAGAGGTTTTGAGCTATGTTTATGATCATATGCAATTGATTACATACCTTTGATGTACGAAATTCATCAATATCTAATACTGACACTAGCCCTTGTTTCTCTTTAGTTTTCAAATGCTTGTATATTTTCCTTGAAACACCGGCTTGCAAACCTTTAAAGCGAACTTGCGATCTATTGGTTAACCCGTCACCAAACAGTACCAGTGGCATTTTGGACTTATCGCCAAGTTCGAATGACCTTTTGTACGTATGACGACTATTCAGAGAAAAGTGAGAATACATTATTACAGTAACGCATACTGTGCGCATTATTTGAATCATTCTATTTACATGGTATTGACTGATTGATGAGCTATGCCGGGATTTCGGTGATTGTTTTGCTTTTTACGTCTCTTGTGATTTCTTTTACTCATATGCCGTGATCTCTTCTGCGGGTTATACTTCTTTCCTCCATTCAGCAGTATGTTTGTAGCATATTCTAAGGATACTTGTCTTCCACAAAAATTCTTCCAGTTCAGCTCTGCGGTTCTCTACCCATAAAACTGATGCAGAATAGTCATATGTGCGCACATATACTGTATATGATCACGATAGCGGCTAGCAGATGTTGTTTTAACAGATGGGATTAGTGACTCTATGGTTTTGATACCCTGTTGCTGTTTCAATTCTTCTTCTATCTTCATCCTGCCCTTATATCCCATGGCTTGGTAATACTCTTGAGTTGAACACTTTCTAACATCTGTTCCTCCATGGTACGAAACAAACGCATCTTTGCGCCCGGGGTCTACAGCACAGGGACGGAGGTGATTATTGATTTCCTCTTCGGTGAAGTCGTATATGCTCAATTGTACATTTCCAATAATGCTACTGGTAGTCTTTCTAGCAAAGGCAATCCGACATGTGTATCCGTAGGTATAGATGCAGTTGATGAACATTTTATTTTTACCTGTAGGTAAATTAATGAACTCTTCAATGCTAGGTCAGCAATATAGCAGATCTGAATTAGCCCTTCCCAGTTAAAAAAATAGATATAATTCAAGAAGCTTACCTATCTATTTTGAATATTGTGAAGTTAAAGTATCGAAAGAAACACCTTGAAATGTAGTCAATTTCTGTTTCGTAGTCCAATTTCGTCAAACGATCATACGGAAAGAAGTGATGAAGGTTTTGAGAATCCAGTTTTTTGAACCGCCATTTCATACTTGGGTTTGGAAACATGGCGAATTTGGTCGGTGTCAAACGGGCAGGAAATTGATGGCCAACAATGCCAGGGTTTTGAAGCTTGTACGCTTCGAAATCCAATTGTTATAATACATTCCGCAACTGAAAATCCTCGTACTGCAGCATAATATAATGGTAGAGGGGTATCAGCATTAAGGGATTAGAGGAGACAGATACTTTGTTGGCTGGTATGGTTGGAAGGCGGTTTCTTATTGGTCTTGAAGCAGCATTTAGGAGATGCTCCATCTCTGTGATGAACGGCATAAACTCTCTAGGAGCAGTAGTGGGATTGATGTTGAAAAGTTGGCCGGCTGGCTGAAGAAAAATGTAATCAAGGAGCTCATTATAAACAATGTCTTTGATAGGGTCAACATTGAAATCCCACATGGTTATGGTTGCAAATTTGGTGAATTTAGATATATATATATTCATTGGTAATACTTACAGGGTAATGAAGGCGAAGCTAATAGATAAAGTATTTTGCCACCGTGCCTTCAAATTTCTCAACATGATAGTTTTCATATGTTTTGGCCAAAGTGATATATGCTGAAGATACAATCTGGCCGTAATATGCCAAATAACCACAATATACTGAAAGATTGACTTCATGATGATGTATCAAGAGCGTATAATATGCCTCTGCGAAACCTGTCATTTCAGGGTAACGAGCCTCCACATCTTCAATTCTGGCACTTCCATAGACGACCCGACAGACAGTATACCAGAAGTTTTGCTCAAACAACGCGTTTGTTACATGCGTATGATACATAAGAATGTAATGGTTGACAATGAATTGAGCCTTGACGACCACTGTTCGCAGAAAGGCTGACTTTTCCAACACACGTTCATGGCAGGGGACAAAATTGGCAGGATTCGTAACAAATGTTTCTAACGGCACTGAAATAGTGAACCTTTCAAAACTACCCAATTTCCTTGTTATGGTTTCCTCCAATGTCCATTCATGATTAGGGCATAATGGACTTCTTTTGCTTCCATGTCCGAGTTCTCCACATGACTTGCACTTGGTAGTGTTCGTGCTGGAAGATGCTTTTCGCTTGGTTTTTGCGCGTTTCTTACCTTTAACAACGCTTTCGGAATCTTTGGTTTTTTGGCCTAATACAATATTTACAGTATATTATTAAGTTTTCAGTAGATATAAGCAATACTAGGAATTCATACTTCTTAATCTTCTTTTCTTTGTGGAACTTTCGGTAGTTTCATCATCGAGAGCAGCTAACTTTGCTTTCTTCTTTTCATTAATGAGAGCTTCAGCTTCGGCATAGAGCTTATGCCGTGTCATAAGAGTATACGACTCTAAGTAACTTTTAAGAAAGAAAGAAAAAGATGGAGAAAAAAAATAAAGGAAAGGGAAAAGTGAGAATAGTTAGATGACAACATTTATCACTCTATTACTGTTTGATATATTGGAATGGCGTAATAGTTATCTATTTCCGTATGCTCAACAGAATGTGCAAGCAGAGGTTTACGCTCAATAAGGTCTATATTTTAGCTCTTCAAAAGGGGCTCTAAGAGGGAAATATGTAAAAGAAAGATTATTTAGGCTGCTATGCTCCCACTCCTAAGGGTGCTTTAGGTTGAACAGCTGCCATCAATCCGATTTTATTCTAGGAAGTGCCTAAAACAAATTGCAAATTGTCCAATTTTATTGAATAGAAGAGTCTTATTTCTTTTTTGAAAATAGTTCGAATCTGAAGCGAAAAAACAGTAATTATTCAATTCGGTTTCCAACATGCATTAATAGTCATATTGTGATTGAAGTTCATGAATGTAGTCAACAGTCTCATGCAAAAATCGGAAAAACATATATAGTCAAAATATATTGGTGCAGAGAGGGCTTGATGGGCGGGGCGTAAGGGAAAAATGTTGCGCAAGGCCAAAAGCTCGGGTCTTGACTCGATCAATCAGATTAAACTTCATGAACCCTGTATACTCCAACAGCGTTCTAAAAAACAAAACACTTCAAATATTGCTATTTGAATATATTTCATCATCGAAAAATATAAATTCGCTATATATAGATAAAATGTCAGGGATCTGGATTTGTTGAAAATACCATTTGCATTCAGGTACATTGCATATTACGTCTCATTACTTATCACGCTTCAAAAAAAAATACGCTTCAGAAAAAATAAAACAAAAACCAAAAAAAAAAATCCGGGTCACATTTGTGTTGCTAATGATCCCCCATTTATTACTGCAGATTATGTATAATGTGGTATATTAATGAGTATTAGTTAGCAAACAGCTTGTTCCTTATTTAAAATGATGGTTTTTAATCAGAAACATGCTGTAGAATATATTTTCAAGGTAGTTTTGCCTTCTGAAAACTACGCATTGGTAATACATCTTTGAACCCTTGGCTTCATACGTTACTAGATATTTTTAAAAATGAAGATATGACGATATCAGCCAGCCCTGAAAACATTGGTTTTTGTCAGTGCCGATAAAATGCAAGCTCGTCCCCCTTTTTATTCCAAATATGTGCAAATTATAAATTCCTCGATTACCACCATTACAAACAGCTGAAAATGTGCAAAGTATCCTTTTAATGATTGCAATGGGTATGCTGTGAGCTCTAAATTTGATACTTTAGATCTATAAAACTTAATTTATTTTTAGGATAGATATGGTCGGAAAAGATTTCACTATATAAGTTATTTAATCAAAGACAAACCCGTCGCCTACTTACATTTAAAGGGAATGTTGGGCAACAGAATAATATAATTTTACCATCTTAAGAGATAAAAAAAAAAGGGTCAGAGCACAGCATGAATAGTAAAAGTTAGACAAGCATATACTTTGATGAATTGTGTCCACTAGGGACAACATTATCCAATAAAATATCCCCATCGCGCGTATGGCCATAAACTTAAAGAAAAATTCTGTTCAGCCATTTTCGTATGTTCTAACGAGGTCGTAAACTCTCGTTTCATTAAGATAAAAAGAGCATCCCTTAAAAAAGGTATAAAACTGACTTCCTCTACCCCTAGAATCTAACTATAGAATTGAGGTAAGGTGGTGTATGTATAGCTCCATGCATATATACGTCTGGTACCAATGCACAAAAATACATAAGAGTAATTAGTTAGATATTTTGTTCTTGAAATATAAAAATTGTATATTTGACAAGGTAGGTAAAAGGGTAGCTGTTCTTAATTGTAGTCTTTGATTCGACTTGTCTGCTCTTAGTATAGGCTTTACAGCATGAGACTAGTAGCAATTTTTCTAATATGAAAATGTCTCATACATAGCAAATTACTATGATGAAATATTTGATAAGGACATTTTAGAATAAACAAATGTAGTGATAATAGCTCAAATGTGAAGAAAAGAGATAAAACCAGAATTAAGTACAATATGCAATGCACATAACCCTGCCTGCATATTTTTTATTTATTTTTTTATGTGCAAAAGAGAACAAAAACTAAATAAATTCACCATATTTGGATTTAGAAGTTAACATATTAAGTAATAATAAAGGGGTTTAGGTTAACATCTTCAAATTTTGGCGGCATACATAAGGTCAAATCTTATAATGCATTAGTGTTAGGAAACACTATGTTCCTCAATTTACTGAAGTAAGCTCCTAGAATGAAATGCCTTTTTGCTCGAATGTGTAAGCTGCAATTCTCCGTCTATCTGCTTCCTATGTGCTGTTTGATGCTGCTGCTGTTTGCTGCTGCCGCCGCTCACTTTTGTTATACCCCTGTTTGCATTAAAATTCGTATTCTGATATGCTGAAAGAAAAAGGCATGAGCAAATATACATAAAAGGTAAGGTTTTCCCTTTCAATTTCCCCTGACTTTTTTTTGTAGGCATTATGGAAAGCAATGTAATTTTGTTTAAATAGACACTCTTTAAAATTTGTCAGTATCCAAAAAAGCAACTTGATGGAGCATCCCTTTTCTTCTGTTAAATAATCTCTACGTGTACAATCAATTCTTTTATCTAAACCTATTTACCTTATCTTCCTTCTTTAAAACCTTTACTGAGTACTACAATTTGTGAGCAACTTGTATCAATACTGGTACTTTACTAGCAAATGTTTGCCTTCAAATTGTGTGATAGCTAATCTGATTATTTTTAAATAGAAAAAATGGATTTGAAATATATATTATGTGAGCCAGTCTCAAAACTTACTGTAAAAGCTAATGAACAAGCAGCACTTATTCAGAGCCAATCACTAAATGACAAGCAGCCATATATTTTGGAATGGACTCCTAGTCAATCGTATCAATCAGTGATTACAAACCAGCCTGAATGGAATAGCAATAATAACCAAGCACCAATAGTAATGAGCAGTCCTAAAAGCATTTGTAGCAGCATTAGCACATGCAGCAGCACCAGTTCTAACAGTAGCAACGACGAATATGTCACATCGCCTGCTTTTAGAAGTAACAGCTTCAGTACGGTAATGACTCAGCCACCATCGCAATCGGTACAGCAACAATGCAGACGTCGTACTGCTAGTGATGTGAGCCAAACTAGACACCATATGTTCATATATAGTCATCCTAACCGAAGACAAAGGTCAGAATCTGCAAGCAGCAGTAGTAATAGCGTGCAGACAAGAACACCCTGGACGCCTTATGAAGATCATCTACTCCAACAAGGTTATGATCAAGGATTATCATGGGCGATGATTTCTTCGACATACCTACCTCATCGTTCTAGAGGTTGCTGCTGGGGTCGATTCAAGACTTTACAAAATAAGAACATGATTGACCCTAATCATTCCCAGTTACGCCATTTTAGAAGACCATGGAGAGCAGTTGATTTTGGCAGCAACAACGACAGCATCAGCAAATAAGCATAATAATTCAAATGTAAAACCAAAAACAATCGTCAAGCCGATTAATAAAAAAGAAAAAAAAAGGGACGATCATTCAACCCACCCCCTTCTTTTAGTACATCAAGCGAAACCAGCTTATTATTATACACATTCCTTGTAAATACAACAACATTTTATGCTTACAATACTTTCAACCATTCAAAAACTGCCAAAGAATTATCTTTATGATCTATTTTACTTATGCACATTAGCCTTACTCTATATTCCTTATGCACCTACCCCAAACTTATGTTCATACTTATCAGAAGCGGGTAACTCCAACACCTACCCCCGCACCCCTTTCTGAATTCAATAACTTTTATCACACAATAAGCCTATATACAATTCCTTCTTTTTTTGTTCGCGTTCAAAATTTTCTATATGAAGATATCTAATACCCCCCTTCCTACGTTATTTATTCACGCTAATTTTTTTTCTTTTTTTTCCTATTTTCAACCAGTTAGTTGACTTACCAGCTTTGCCCTATTTTATTCTTCGAATTCACTTACACAATACCCTTAAATTTGATTTACTTTCTGCAGACTTAACAATAAAAAGTGCTAGCCAATAACTTAGTGTCGTCAATCAATGTCATATTGAAAGGGTGAAAATGTTGATTAACGAGCATCATGTCGGCATCCCCCTTGTAACCTTATGCTTGAAAGTAAGTGAAATAAATTTTCGTGATGTGCAAAAACCTCTACTGACAAGGAGTGCATGCTGACCTCGTGCCAGAACTCTTATTGAGCTTTCTACTTCAAAGTAGATTGAAAATTTTGCATTGTGAATTACTTAAGAGTGTTTTTGATACATCTTACTCAATGTGGCGGTAAGCAACGTCTATTAACAACTTGAATATTCTTTTATAATATCATTTGTACGCATCATGCTTTCATATGTCGCTGGGAGGTCATCAAATAGCCAAACATATCACTGAATTCATATATCACGTAGTGATGACATTACGGCTATTCGAAAAGCTTTGCGAGTTCAAAAGTGCAATTGCTGCTGCTTAAGATGACACGGTATTGAAGGTCGCACTAACGCAAACTTTATTTCATCAGAACATGTATTAAAGCATTTGTGAGTATTGCTAAAAGTAAATGAATTGAGTTTAGAAAAATGATTATTGTGTACGGCTGCTGAAGTTACATAATTTGTCTTTCACCGTAAGGATTCTACAACTCCTTTTGAGTAACATGTCTGTTTGAATTTTCAAGCAAAACTTAGACAATAACTGCTTGACAGAACTAGTGCAATATTCTTAAAAATTCCCAGATTTCTCCACCCCCCTTCTTTGTTTTTCACTATATTAAGCAATTGACAGCTTTCATGCTTACTCAAAATAAGGGGGGGGGTAAAAGTAGGCATGGTATTCACTCCACAGTAAAGCTGTAAAAAACGCTTCACCTCAAACTTTGAGAGCTTAGATGACTTACTAAATAGCATAAAAATGTTAGGAAACAATATCTATATAATATATACGCATCGTGCGGAGACAATAATTTGAAGGGTACTTAAAGGCACGTATTAATGAAAATTTATTGTGTTGGGCTTCTAAGGAAACCAGTGCCGGGAACTTCTTGCAAAACTCAAACTTTTAGCCAAAAAATCGAACGTCATCCGATTTTTGTAAGACTAATCTTCAATACTTGACTTGAGATTGAGCCTTTCTGAATGATCTTCAAACATACCCGGGTTTCCATGTTCGTTTTGCGGATTAGCCTTCTTCGTTAATCGGGAGATATTCGTATCTTGCTGTAATGATCAGAGTGGTGTAGCGTTTGTGACAATCTGTAAAAGATAAACTGTGGAAGCAAGACTTATCGCCTTTTTTCCTATTAAGTAACCAAGTATCGGCACCATTTTATGACCCGTAATTTGAAGATAGACGATAGCGCTTTCCTATATATATAATAAGAAAGTTAACATATAAACTGCTGTAATAATAATCAGAAACCGTCCATATACACTTAGCAGATCATCCGTTTGGAGGCCTCCTTTGGAATCGAATCCTTGGTTCGTATACAAAAATTTAGTTTTCATGCTAATCCTTATCTGTTTTGCTTGTCTCATAAAATTACGCTATGGGTTTTGCGATTTTGAAAATGCTATTGCAGACTCAAGGAGATGAAACAAGTGATTTTTGCCAAGTCAATAAAAATGTGCCTTTAGCCCAATAACCTCAATGAACAAAAAAAAAATAGCTTAATTGTTTTGTGGTTTACACCTGTCGCTTCTGTCAGAAAGAATCGTCTGCCACCTACGTATAACATTTTAGGAATCCACAGTATATGCTTTCTGTTTTATCGATTTTACCCATCTCGAATAGCGCTCAATTTTGAATACAAATCAAAGACTCAAAAGCGTGGCAGCAACCTGTAAGCAGCTGGTAATATTGAGAAATCTGTTGTACTAGCCACATATTACAGTAACAAGTTCATTTCGAAAAATTTTATATTTTTATTTTAAATGCTTCTTGCGTATACGTTCATTTTTCATATTTGAACTAACATTACTTAGCCGGAAGTCAAATACTCTCGTCGCATTGAATGCTCCAGTTGCCACGAGCTTTTAGGTTGTATTGAAGAACTGGAAAAGCACTTTTTTAATCATATTCTGCGCAGCAAACAACCAATGAAGAAGAAACGGGTAGTAATAGCAACAGTAATAACTACACCAACAAGAAAGTAAGCTTGATTGAACTGTTTGTGCTCTTTTTTTTATCATTTAACGATCATCCACTTTTCTTCTTACTCTCTCTTTTTTTTTCCTTTTTTTCTTCTCTATTCTAACGTTATTTTACAAATGTTTCTTACGTCTTTTGCCTCATAGTTCTCTTTAAACGAGAGTAAACAGGTCCACACATTCGACTTCCAGCTTATCTCAAAAATAAAAGAACAGAACGGCCCAAAATTCACTATGTTTTTTGTTATCTACTAATTTTCTTCATTAAATTCTCAGGCAAATTTTAAGCACAGTGATTCAGGATCAAGTATCTGTAGAAGAAAACGTTGTTATTGTGATCTTTTGATAATTGCAAATTTATTTTAAAATCCACTTTTGGACAATATGCAATACTCAGTTTGGATCATGACATACAGGATTAGTCTAAACAGGATATATGGAAAAAAAATTATTGAAGCATAGTGATGCACTACTTCAACTGATCAATATAATGAAGACATGCATTTGTTCTTGGTACTATAAAGCATGCTACAAGAAGGGCCAAGCAAGACAAATTAAGAAACAATAAGAAATGGATGTTTTGTTTTTCTCTTTATACGGATGCTATAGACCTGAAGAGTTAGCATCACACAATAAGGTAATAACAAGAGAGGTTAAACCGACATGAATATTGCATAAAATATGAGCAACATTTTCATTTGAGGTACTTATAACCCTTCTAAAAACCAAGTATCAACATAAATCATCCAATTATATCTACTCTATTGGCCATAAGTAAACAGGTAGTGTGCAAAAAATGGTGTGTCCATATTTTTATAAATCACACGTCACTTGGAAATTTTGTAATCCCAACAATAGACTCCCTTTTCTCTTTTACTTGCAAATGTTTTTCAAGCTATCTATCCTAAATGTATTAATGTGCGCGTCAAATCTGTTCTTTTGTAACCTATGATTTAATTTTTCCTCCTCACAGGCTTCTATCGAAGTTTCTTCTTTATTTCTGTGTATTAATTAGAAGATTATTTAATGATGATCGTAAGGTAGTTATTTTTCGCGTAGTGATTGCGTCGTAATTTAATCGATTTAAATCTTTCGTAGAAACTTAGTTCAATCTGGCAAATACATTTGTATGCTACTCGGTTTTTTGATGAAAGCAATATTGCAGCTTGTGTCAATCTTGTTATCGCTTGGTAGATGACCCCTCTAGCCCTGGAATTGGTTGCTATCAACTGAGATCAAGTATCAAGTACGTTCTGTTCTATGCTCATGAATTTGAGTTAGCGAGATGGCAATCTGAACGAACGTGGCATATTTTGCTTTGTGGAAGATCTCAAAGAGACAATTAAGGTAATATGTGTTAGAAGTAGTTTTGTAAACATTAAGAACAACACTGATAAATATCCTCTACATTAGATTTCTTCAGTATGCTATGTCCGAGCACAGCTTGTGTCAATCTTGTTATCGCTTAATAAATGACCCCTCTAGCCCTGGAATTGGTTGTTATTAACTGAGAACAAGTGTCAAGCATATATCTTGTTCTATGCTCATGAATTTGAGTTAGCGAGATGGCAATCTGAACGGATATCGTGCTCGGTTTTTTTATGAAAGCAATATTGCAGCTTGTGTCAATCTTGTCATCGCTTGGTAGATGACCCCTCTAGCCCTGGAATTGGTTGCTATCAACTGAGATCAAGTATCAAGTACGTTCTGTTCTATGCTCATGAATTTGAGTTAGCGAGATGGCAATCTGAACGAACGTGGCATATTTTGCTTTGTGGAAGATCTCAAAGAGACAATTAAGGTAATATGTGTTAGAAGTAGTTTTGTAAACATTAAGAACAACACTGATAAATATCCTCTACATTAGATTTCTTCAGTATGCTATGTCCGAGCACAGCTTGTGTCAATCTTGTTATCGCTTAATAAATGACCCCTCTAGCCCTGGAATTGGTTGTTATTAACTGAGAACAAGTGTCAAGCATATATCTTGTTCTATGCTCATGAATTTGAGTTAGCGAGATGGCAATCTGAACGGATATCGTGCTCGGTTTTTTTATGAAAGCAATATTGCAGCTTGTGTCAATCTTGTCATCGCTTGGTAGATGACCCCTCTAGCCCTGGAATTGGTTGCTATCAACTGAGATCAAGTATCAAGTACGTTCTGTTCTATGCTCATGAATTTGAGTTAGCCAGATGGCAATCTGAGCGGATATCGTGCTCTGCTACTTCGTTGATCTAGGTGCAAACATGATTTCCCTGAATAATCCTATATTTTGCTATGCTTTACTTTTCGTTATTCATTGCGTTTTGAAAAACAGATCATTTCCACTTGAATAAATGATTAAAACTCTATTTTCCTTGTCATTCGAAAGAAGTTTCTTCATAGATATTGTAGCATAATGATAACCGAGAAACAATAAAGAAGAACAGAGTATGTGATAATCTATTGCAAATGTATTTTACTGTTGGGAAAGTGAAGTCTTCGATAGACTCACGCTTTGTTTGGATAGAGTAACTACAGGAAGAAGAGCAATGTATCTGCCGTTCTTCATAACAACAGAGCCCCAAAGTGTTCATGTAAATGATCAACATATTCCAAGACACTACCTTTTGTAGAACCAGTGTTACAAATATAATCAATTAAAGAAAGATATTGAACATATTCACACAAACCAGCACCGCCTAATACAATTTATGTTAGAGCACAATCAAGATATACAATAAACACAGTAACTTACCAGCATGAGGACAAATAGGGATGTTGAACTTCTTATCCATTAAGAGAATAGCAAGAACTTCATTTAAACCAGCAACACGACACAAATTGACTTGGCAGAATTCGATAATTTGAGTTTGGAATAGCTGCTTGAAAATGATACGGTTTTGAATGTGCTCACCAGTGGTAACCTTTGTACGATGATAGAGAGCTTTGGGAATAGCAGTATGACCGAGCACATTGTCAGGGGAAGTAGGTTCTTCAATGAAAAGAGATTTGAAAGGTAAAAATTCTTGCATCCAATTAATAGCTTCTTGCACATCCAAACTTGGTAAGCATCCATCATTAGCACACCTTCATCACCAATTCCTCACGATAATGCCAGCATGACGAATATCAGCTTGTATATCACTTCCAACATTTTGCTTAAAGTAAGTGAAACCTTCAGCCAGGAACTCACGAATCAATCTACGGACTTTGTCATCACTTTAACTTATTTACAATCTTTTGATCAGCATGCAATATTTACTTAACCATCCAGCAGATGTGGTGTAACTAGGGTAACCATGTACTCTTACATCTACTTCATGTTCTGTTTTAGTAGCTACGTTCTCACGCAACATCTCAATAGCTTCCTTGGGGGCAATGACGTCTGTAATATAACGGAAATCGATGCATTAGACGAATTGTTTGGGTGTCATATCAACAACCAACTTCCAGACAGGCTTGTTTACAGCCTTAGCTCAGAGATCCCAGATAGCATTGATGGCAGAACCAGTAGCGAGATAAAGGACACCTTTTTCAGGTCCAATCTATTGAGAATCACCAGTATAAATTTGATGAATAACACGCATATCAGCAACCAAATCTTTTAGCTTCTTGTTGACAAACTTGACAGAAAGCTGCGCAATATAGCAGTAGACAGTTCCATTACCACGGCCACTTGTGAAAGTCATACCATGGCCTTCGAGATCAACAGCATCAGTGTAGAAAATAACATAGGCGGCGGAATAGTCATGATCCTTTTTCATGGCATGTGAGCCACCCAACCTCTTTAAGGTAGGGAAACGAATGTCTCCGGCTTCGACTTCAGTATTAACTGTGTCAGGTAAATCTGGTTTAATTTGACCAATTTCTGGTCAAATCATTATATTCTTTATTTAAACATTTAGGGAATACATTTCCGGAATGTTGAATAAAATTTTCCAAATGCTGCATCTCCAAGGGCTTTCCGTTTTTTGGCATTTCCTGGTTCTCTCAAACTTACATTTACAACACCAAATGATGAAATCGCACCCATGACTGTATGAGGAACCCTTCCTGCAGAAAGAAGTTCTATAATCATCTGCCTTCCATGCTGTGACCAAGCTTTCGAACGACGCATGTTTATGTCGAAGCCTGCTTCGTCAAGAAAGACACAATTTTGCATACAAATCATGCCTTTTCTTTGCCGCTATTTTGATTACAGTTTCATATGGGATTCGTTGATTGTTGCTCGACAGAAAAATTTGATGAATTTGAGCAAACTAAAAAATGTGCATATACAGTTTTGATGAGGTGCATCGTATGAAATACTAGAAAATGGTGGTTCTTTTTTATAAAATCACTCTTAAAAGACTCAAAAAGTGGAGTTCCTCCGTATCACAATGTGCATAAAACTCGTCCTTAAAGTAGTGAGGAAATGTGTAAGGCATACAAAGCCAACGTTGCTTAACGGGTGTTGCGCTTACGAGTTTCTGTGAACCTATGAAATAAATTAAGGTGTACCGAAGAACTGAGCCGGTGCGGGCAACGCTCGCAACAGTCTACCAGTATGTATATAATGAAAATGCATTTTATACTGAATGATCGCATAACAACGTATGAAACTGTACCTGTGTGTCTCCAATTGCCCTTTCCATATCAAAAGGCCAGGTAATTAAACATTGTTATATATATGCTTTTATTTATATCTATATCATGTAAAATTTAATGTCTATCGGGCTTCACTATTTAATCCTCATTAAAAAGTCCCATCAAATATTTTCAGATGATGGAATGAGCTATTCCTGTTATTTGATATACCATTATGAAAAATCTTGTTTTTCAGGTGAAAAAGTGGACGATGCCAAAATGTCATTTTTCCCTTCAATAGAGCTGAAGTCATGAAGACTTGATGATTTGGTACAAGTAAAAATTAGCGTTGCGTCAGGGATATAGTCTTAATGTAAAGATATGCGCCGTTTAAAGTGCTTTTCATGCAATTTTCATTGAAACCTTCTACAATTGAAATAAATTTACAAACACTTTCCAGTTGTCAGCTTTAGCCAGTTTAATAAACAACAATATATCTGTTTTGAGCATTACTTCATGTTCTTAAGCAGCTCCGCATATAATAGGCTTGTAATGGTTTTAAATATGAGTTTTTATGCTTTTTATCAGCTTCTCTGACCCATTTGCAAAATGTGTACGCGCGAGTTCTAAATGAAATCTGCAAACCAAAAAAATCCGGAGTCATCGAAAGATACTTGATGACACCAAAATTGTAATTGCTATACTGTATGCAGCCAAAAGTATTCTTTATGTGTCTGTAAATAAGCAGAAGTTGCCTTAATCAGCGCTTTTATTAGCAAATCTTGAACCTCAAGCTTTTAAACCATACATATATGCTCTCCATGTATAAATATACGCGACAGCACTTTTTAAAAGATGCAAATGATTGCATTTTACTTAAAACTGGATATAATATATAGCTTTGTTTACTTTATCGAACATTTTAAAACCACAGTATTAAACAAGGAAGAGATTTTGTCTTCAACATTAACAATACCCAAGCTTTCTTTCAACAATTCTACATGAACTTGTTCTTGTTGAATCAATTCTTGATGTAAAAAAGCAAACATCTCAAGCACAGGAAGCAATAAATTTCTCTTTGACCATAATAATGGCATCTCAAGCGAAAAACATTCATAGCAACTCCATTTTTGACCGTTCTTCAATTGGTAGCACACCAAGGACATCTTTGTTTGAATGATTTGTACCGAATAGATCTTGACCTTTTTCATTGTGGCAATTGATGCATCTTTGTATTTAGACATGATGAATTTCAAGGAGTCTGTACCATTCTTGATGTTCTTGATGCAATCTTCGATGCTGTGTGTATAATTTTGCTCCTTTGAAAAACCTGATGACTCAATCAAAAGCCAGCTGATATCCTCCTCTACCATCACGCCAATTCCGTCAAGAAGCTTCTTATTAACACCACCTTTCTTGAAATCGCTATCTATTATCCAAGTTGAGCTACTATTCTTCATTGCTTTTTCCGACCAGGTGAAAACTAGCTTCTTTCCAAATAGGGCAAAATATCTAAATAGAGGTACAAACATCTCAATGTATATAGTCCGTTCATCATCACTTGGATAAAAAGCAGCTCTTTGACTACTAAGAGCGAATTCTGAGACAGTCTTCTTGATAAATTTTGAGAGTACAGGATCAGCATTGACACCAGGATGAACGTTGGCCAAAGAGTCATCAATGGTTTCTCTGTCTTGAAGTGAGGTACACTGAATAGCAAGATCAAAAACCTTCAGAGATTGAAGGGAACTGTATTCTTTTCTTTTGATGATGATACTACTAGATAATTGCAAAAGATCTCTTGAGCAAGTTTCTCTTGTTGAGGAATTAATGCAAATATCAGCAATTGATGTAAGCTGTTCAGTATCTTCTCTTTGAAGAGCAGGTTTGTTTGGAGATGCAGCATTCTTGCTTGGTGTTTGCAGCTGATAGATGGAGTTACCTTTGACAATAGTGATATGACTTTCCTGCAATAAAAGAGGAAATTCATCACTTGTTGTTTATCATACATTTTTCCCAAGCTACTTTACCATTGGAGATTGATTAATGGGAGCAAATGGGTCATCACCCTTAAGTACATCATCATTTTGATCAGCTTCGAGCACATCAATATTAGCATCTTGAGTTCTCATCATGTTGTTCACTTCATTAGCCAATTCCTGGGCACCTAACTCTGATAACACATTTCCAGTGACTCTTCCTTGGGCAAGAGCCCGATCTCTTGAAGTTTTAAGATCATAAGCGAGGAGTGATGATTTAAATGCTTCTTGGAAGTTATAGATAACATCTTCACCAGCAATGTATGATTCGATCTTTGAAGCATATCTACTTAAAAGCACGTCGAAATTCCGATTTGAGCTAGATTCTTTCAATTTAGCCAGACTTCTTTTCACACTGTAGTATAAGTTTTGCCACTTTCTAGTAGGCACCTGCACATTTTCAAAATAATCGCGCACTAGTTTCTCCATGTTTCTCCAATGAGCGACCTTTCCTTTCAAAATTCCATCTGGTATATTATGTGTTCGTCTTGTTACATCATTTAGTACATGTGTACTGCGCAGGCCATTAAGAGCAGGTGATTTCAATTTTGATTTGACCATTTAGGAAATAAAAAATGGTATTGAAGAAATAAAGAGAAAAAGGCACAGATTAGAGCTTTGCTGTGAGATCAGAGTTTCAGAATCGCGACAAAGGGGCGTTCCCAAATCGATTTGGCGTTTCAAGGTTAGACACTTAGTTTATTTTTTTTAATGGTGACGTTTATTTAAGTAGATACTGAAACTTGTATGTAATATAATAAACAGATTCTATTCTATTCTTTCATAAAAAATTGATGTGTCTGCTATGTGTATGTGGTGCAATGGATGCAAAAAGTAAGGTGTTGAGGTTAAATTTCTTTTAACTCCACTGTACTATATGAATGAAACAGATATAAGCCGCGAGGTTCTTCTCACTACAGATTGGTTAATAAATGGATTATAAAAGTTATTAGCACAATTGTAAAAGTAAAAAGGGAGAGGAAGAATAAGTAAAGAGAAAGAATGCCTTTTTGTAACGGCGATCTGAGTGATTGAGAGAGGACGTACAAAGAAGAGGTGAATGGGAAGCCCAAAAAAAAGGGGAAAGTCTACACATTCGTCTAAAAAAAAGGGTGATTATAAGACACCTCCCTATTATTTTGCAAATATGTCTCTAAAACATAATACATTGTAACACGCTTTTGAGTACGGCTTTTACTTTAGAATGTTTATGACAGAAAGGAAGCTATGACGGCTGGCTCAAATTACCTTTCTAGATCTATACATATACTAATGACGTCTTACGAAATAAACATAAAAATACAAATATTACAACCGCAAAACTTCATCTCCAACTGATGAAAATTCTATCTTGTTCAACCATATCACTCAAAAAGGATTAAGTTATTAGCAGTAGTAGTAGTTTCATATCACTCCCTAAATACGCACCAGCAGGAAAGCGAAAAGTTCAAGAATTTGGTATAGTGAATGATGCCAGAGAAAGGGAGAGGGGATATATGCAGAGTGGCATTCAACAACTTTACATTGGGAAGTAGACTTGATTTTGTATCGAGCTAAAGCCATTTTATTTTGAATTATATGGCAAGTGTAGACTTGTGCCTTCTTCATCGTACTGAAAGAGGCTTTTTTGTAATTTGATGGAAAACATTTCAAATTGTCTGAGCCATTCTTCATATTCTTTAAGGTATCGTTCAAACTGTGCGACAAGACGTTTGAATTGTTGAGTCTTAAAGCAAGAGAATGTTAGTGAACACTATTTAAGATAAAAAATAAATAATCTATCATACCCAGATAATTCAAATAAGAAGACAATCTAACTCTTTGTCAACCAGTCATCCAATACTACCAAGTAGCTTCAAGCTATTCTTATTTTTAGCAAAGTCCACAAGCCATACGTAATCAGAGTCTTTAGCGTTTTTCCACACCTAGAGTACGCTCCTATTCAAGTATTATTATCGGATAATAACTTCCAGACATACTTGGTTTTTTTTTTGTTGTATTCCCAAATGTTTTAAAGATAGGAATGAAGAGTTTACAGTAAGCAGTTCTTTCATCGTTTTGATTATATATGTGTGTACGCATGCAATTCAAGAGGAAGTAAATAACAGTGAATTTTACAAAATTCAAAAACGGCAGATCAGGGACGGTTCATAAGTTTTTGAACATATCCTTTTCAGACCAATTTACGATTCTTGCAACCCAAGCCATGACATCAGATCCCAAGTTTTTCAAGCTTTGTAAGTTGTTTTGTTCTTGTATCATAGCTTCATATTCAGCTTTGGTTTCATCGGACGCTTCCGATTCACGAGTGCTTACACATATGTCAAAGTAACATCTGTCAACCGGTAGATTTTCAGCTTGTATGACAGGTTTGTGTGGCGAGATTGAGTAGTTGGCAGGAGGTTGGTGTAATGACCATCTGTCTCGTTGGTTACGTTTCAGACGTAGCATGTATAGATATCAATCAAAATCCTTTAGTCTGTTCAGTAGTTGTTTTGATCTGTTCTACCTGTTCTCTGTTCTTAGATCACACTATCTTGCATTCTACCTTAATAAATTTTATCATAAGTGTTAATCCAGTCCGCCTTGTTGTAACTTGTCTGTTCAGAGCCTTAACACCACATCTAGTCTCGTTCTGGGCAAGGGTCTTTCCAATTAATTCAATAGATCACTGCCATCTTTTCCAACAGTCATTCCATAAACCTGTACAAGTATTACGTTAACAAAGTGCGATAGTCAAGTTGTTAGAAATACATACGTCGTCTATGGTATTGAACACGTCATCATCATCGCTTATGGTAGTTTCAGGAGCGCTGTCGTCTTCAGTAAGGCATAAGGCAGTTGGGGGTGTTAGGTATGATATCTCGTTGTCTTTATCGAACAACTTCTAGTTTACGCTTCTCTGTGAGAAACTCAGGCCAACTTAAAAGCTTAATATATACATACATACTTTGTCAATTTTTGCTTTTTGTTTGGGTCTTTTTTAGAGCTTCCTTCACCAACCTCTTTTATTCTTTTAGTTATCATTCTGTTGCTTGCAATTCTTGTTTCTAAGTTTAAACTGTTCTTGCTTCTCTTCTCTAACTACTCTACTTCTTTCAACGCACAAACAGTCATAATTTGATTTTTGACGGATATGTTACTAAGATAAGTTTCCAAACGACCACAGTAGTTTTGTACAGCTTTGATTACTTCTTTGTTGTCCCTAATCTTTTTAAGGAAGTTTGAGACAGTCGCTAACAGAGCATGGGCATTCTTTGCAATAACAAGTGATGCTTCAAAATAGGCATCCAACAACTCAGGCATCTTGAGCCAGTTTTGCAATTCCCCAGTAAATAAGTAAGAATGTAACTCCAAAGCCTGTCTTAAACTATTGGGTATCTTGTAGTCTTTGATAGTAGCGTATGGTTTGGGTATTTTGGGTGGTATTATGGACATTTTTTTGTTACTAAGATCAAAAGGGTGGAGGTTCTAAGCGCGTTTGCGAAATTCATTGAAGTTCGACTTCATTGTCTGGACATTTAATTTTACTGGGTTCACAAAAAAAAAAAAAACAAAAAAAAAAAAAAACATGTTTTGATTTAATTAGAACTAATTTACATCAACTCATGTGAGTCTGCTATGCTTTGTTTTCTACTATTTGAGCCACCTATGGTGTTCGCAAAGTACAAGTGTTGAGTTAGTGTACAATGTTCTAAGCAACCATTGAGGTTTCTTAAAGATTAGGCGATCTGAACTTTTACCGGCATAAAGCTTAATTTTATTATACACAGTAAAAAAAACTGAAGCAAAAAGGAGATAATAAACGTTGTGGCTTTCCTATTACATTTCTTTACTTCTTGCTGCCTTTTCTTACCTCCAATGTCAGTTTGCAACCCGGCTTTTGCAGTAGGAGATTCCACGATAGCTGGTGAGCCATGAAAAGGCCAACCTCTACTGGGATCCATATTAACATCAAACCCGAATTCCTCAAGAAATACGCAGCTTTTGAGAAAATCACTTCTTGACCCATACAACATGCACTAAAAGAGTAGTATCACAAGTTCTAACTTTTGGAAGATGTTTTCTTGATGTTCAGACCTGCAAAATTCTTGATCAAATCATCCGTTGCGTCCTGAATAACTGCCAAGGAACTATCGTCAAAAAACTTAACAAGCATTCCTTATAGCCATCGTTTAGTCGACTGATTGGTCTGTTTGAGGTGCGATTGGTTTTCCTCAAGGGTATATTCTTTTCTGAATCATTCTTATAGGCTTGTTTCCATATGCGTGAGGTATCAGAATTGGCGTTCGCGGCTTTGGCTGCTTCCTTGAGCGTCATTATTTTTGATTTCAAGAAATAGAAATATCGCATGCGGTTCTCATCAGCGTAGCCATTGTACTGAATAGCTCTTTCTTTTAGGGACAAGCTCCTTCATTACCACATCGCAAGGAAAAGCTGCTTCTAGCTGAGCTTTTTAGTTTTTGACAACTCAATTGTAACGACTTCTCCTCAACAAAGGTTGTTGCCTCTTTCCCTTTATCATCGACAATGTTAGCACAACCGTCTTCCTGGAAAAAACTGCTTTTTTTAAAACTATTAAATGTGAGAGAAAATTTTTGTTTCTACAAAGCAATCGAATACAAAATATTTCCTTGACCAATTTATTTACAAACATGCGGGCAATTGCATTTCTTTTTTTTGACCAAGCTATTTTGAAAAAAGTACAGATAACAACATAATTGATCGTTTTTTTATTGGGTATACGTCATTAGTGGCCATTACATGTACTCTTTATTGCGACATTTATCCCAGCACTTGTAAGAATGCGAAACGAACCCTTTGAAGTAACTTTTTTCCAAACTTTTGCAGGCTTTCGTAATTCTTTTTGATAAAGTGTCCTCCTGTAAAAACCTATGGCGCTTAACCTTGCTCTTTGCCACTGCCCAGAATTGTTCTATTGGGTTAAGCTCGAGAGAGGAAGGAGGAAAATACACACATTTATATCGATATTCAACATACTTCTCTATGTTTTCATGTGTGTGAATGGTAAATTATCCATGACTATATAATGGTCTTTTATGTATGGATGTTTATCCATTTCATTGAGAGTCGTTTTTTGGGAAACTAATGTAATGGTCTCTTACAATCCCTGAGCTTATATATCCATCAGCCTTTCTGTTCTTAGCAAATCTTGGTTTTTTTTATGCCGCCGCAGAGATAGCGCCCAATTTAGGTACTGTAATTTGTTAAACGAAAATTTGGAAACCCGCACCATTCGGAAAGACTGTACTGTATCTTTATTTCCTGTTCCTGGCCGTTTATTCGCCCGCATAAAGTCTATTAAGTAAACCACTTTTGCAACAACTGACGAAACTTTTTACTTCGTCATTGTTTCTTTTTTCTTTTCTAAACTTCTCGTACGTCTTCTTCGACATTTATCTTTGCTTATAATGACAACTTTATATGATTTTACTGTTAAAGACATTCAAAATAATGACTGGAACCTTGGCGATTTGAAGGGAAAGGTAACATTAGCTTTTTTTTAAATAGATAGGATGAATTGTAAGTATCATGTTCTTAACTGTTTTCATTTCTACGATACATGAAAGGTTGTATTATTTGTCAACGTTGCCTCTAAATGTGGCTTTACCAAACAATATGCTGGTTTGGAAGAATTATACCAAAAGTACAAGGACCAAGGTTTTATTGTTGTTGGTGCACCTTGTAACCAGTTCGGTAATCAAGGTAAGATGCTTTACTGAGTTCAACCCAATACAGTAATAATGTTACCTTGGTTTTTATTAACAAGTCAACATATAAATCTAATAGAGCCTGGTTCTGAAGAAGAGATCCGTAACTTTTGTACGATGAATTGGAGTGTTACTTTTCCATTGACAGCAAAACTGTAAGAGCGTTATGAATATTCCCAAGTTGAGATTTTTGATACTAGAAGATTTACACATTAATTGGTCATAGTGAAGTCAATGGAGATAATGAGGCACCTGTCTACCAATGGCTAAAGTCATCTCAACCTGGCATTTTAGGGTAAGCTCAATAGTTATGGTTAGTCTGGGAAATTCATCGTAGCAAATAAGGAACCTTTCTAACTGCCATTATCAATCAAGATTGAAACGTGTAAAGTGGAACTTTGAGGTGAGTCAAAAATGTATTCATTATACTCTGTTTGCATTATAGTAACTGGGATATCTTCTTCATAGAAATTCCTCATTGATCGCGAAGGAAAGGTAGTAAACCGCTTTGCTTCCACAACCGAACCTAAAACAATTGCCTCAGAAATTGAGAAGCTTTTGTAAACATTATCTATTTTCATTCTCTATTGACGAAGGTAGCTAACGCGTATATATGATGAGTAAAAGACATTCAATTGTACGACATGTCGTACAGATAGTCCTACAATTCTATCAATTTTATCAATAAATATGGTATACAGAGCATAAGAAAAAAAAAAAAGAAAAAGAATCAGTTGTGGTAGAGAATATAACACAATTCAACGGCGAGTATATGAGTACTGGCACGGTAAATGAGTATTACGTAACCGGAAAGGGTGGAATTCCCTTTTATATATTCTTAGCGGGCGGCTTCATTTCCTAAAACTTTGCCTTCACCACCGTCTCTATGAGTTGTACCCTTTAATCCCAGCTTTTCCATTTCAGTCCACAGAGAATGCCCATCAGTTCTGTTTATGTCTTTCTTTGCTTCGTCCTGATTTGCTTCCTGCACTTTCTCATCCAACGTGATACTTGCTCCGCCTTCAAAAGGTATAGCATCTAAGTTACCGTTCGCTTTACTACTATTGGATTGGTTCAGAGCACCCTCCATCATCAGAGTCTCACGTGCTCTACGAAATGCTACATCGAAATTGGTCGGCAAGTGATCAAATAAGATTGATTTCTTCAATACGAGCTCACTGCAGACTTTAGTAGCGGACGTTCTTTCAACAACAATACGTGTGTCGTTGCTAGGTGTCGGGTCCTACAGACAGCCATTCATACCATTAGCAAATGAAGAATCATAAGTAAGCTTCTGGGTCGCCAATGGATGATTATTATTTAACACTTACTAGCCAGAATTGGAAGACTTTCCCTGCTACATACAACTAGGAGAATAAAGCATGTGGTTAAGCATTTCATAAAAGTACGCTAAAGATTTAAGCTTGAATACATGGCGTTTGTTACTTTTGGATTATTAGTGCTAGCCAAACAGTGCTTACGAACTTCTGCCACTTGTTTGAAAGCTGCCTTCCATTTTTCACCAGCAAGGTCACCAGACCAAATGAGTTCTGTCAACCCCATGTTTTTGGCTCCTTCTGCACTGGCAATAAGCAAGTCTTTGATATCCATAACTGTTCCATAACTAAGTTTGCTGACCATATCGTCTGCAAACACAAAAGATTGTATGCAGTCCTACAAAAGTGTCTCTCACTCATTAGTAAAACAAGCAGATAAGTAGAATGTGTTTAACTTCCTAACCTACCTTATACTTCTTCGCTAACTCCAAACTGAGCCCGCAGGCAGGTGCATAGCCATAGCACTGTATACTAAACTCATCCTTTCCTCTACGGAACTCGTCAATGTAATCCATAAGAATAATAGTCAATATAGCAGCTGTTGCTGCTCCTAGACTGTGACCGACGATAATCAATCCTGTCGTTGAGTGCTCATTGCTGTAGGCTATCAGTTGTGGTGCGATATTTCTAAAAAACCATATCGCAGAATTCTAGTTCAATGGTTATTAAAGTTGTATGTGGGATACAAGCTTTTAAATCCATTTTATACTGACTTTCATTCCAGAATGCACAAAGCCTCCTCTCCACGGCTCATATTCACAAACCAAATCGGTTAGAGTATCCATAACACTCTAGCGTGACACAAAAAATGTTAGCTGTTCATCTCTTTCCCTTCCACGATCTGGATTGAAAAAAATTTCATTTTTGTACCATTGTCCCTCGAATAGACAGAACAATACTATTTGTAAAGCGATCTCTTGCTATAAAATAACTGGGCCTGAACGCTGCCGCAGATCTGAACTCGTAGGCTAAAAGATCATCTCTTGGTATTCCGAGGTATTCAATGACGGATTTAGCATCTGCATGCTCTCTCATGACGTCCGTCAAGATACCCTTCCCTTGCTTGATGAAATTTAAACCTTTCCAACCATAGGATGCCATGGCAAACTTCCAAAAGCGGGCACCGCTCTCGATTTCGGACAGACTCTGCACCAAATCCCATGTTCGATTTCTAGGCAAATCTGTATAAAATCTTTCTAATACAGTAAGGCCGCTGATGGCTTGCATTTTTGACAGTTCAAAGCCTTGATGTAGTGAGGTCAACAGTTTCCAAATGGTTTTGATGACTTGACTGAAGTGAACCACTTCTTCGGTAGTGCCACTTTCTGTTGCGTTGGCAGTATCATAGTTATCTGTTACTGTTTTGACTGCTTTGTAAGATTCGGGATCCATTTTAACTCCTTTCACGGTAGCTGCTATCTTCTCGTGAGTCCTTGCCCATGACGAGCTCTTGTGTAGGTTGGGTTCCGCTCCTATTAGAGCCGTGGCGTGGCTAGTATCTCTGCTTTGAAGGGTATGATCCTGACCGTCGAAGTTGTGCTGCTGCTTAATGCCATGATAAGAATTTGAATTCGCCCTTAACTTGTTCATCGTCAGAGGATCGTTTATTGAGGTGGAAGCAACTTTAGGTTCGTTTCGTATGCTGTTGCAGTTCTCGTTGTAAGCCAAGAGGCCATTTTCATCTACCTCGCTGAGGTCGATTTCATCAAGCGTATCCAGAGCGTCATGTTTCTGCAGATGGTAATGACGATGACCACCCGGTTTTTCTTCGATTTTTTTAAAAGGTATAGCGTCATACAAGCCAGAATTTCTTCTTTCTCTATGAAGTTGTAACTTTTCTTTAAATTCAGCTTCCACTTTCTTTTCTACAGACGTTATAGATGCTGTTTCTTTTCTGCAGTTCAAACCCATCGTAGACGTCGTCAAAGTATCCGTGGTAGGGTCAGCCGCTCCAAAACTTTGATCATCCTCAGAACGAATGTAGCGGTAGGATATCTTGGCTTTAATCATGCCGATATGGCGAGCAGCCGCTTTTTCTCGACCATAGCTGGAACTAGCGCCAGTGGAGAACTTTCTATGCCAGATTTCATAATAGGTCAATGTTGTTTCTGGATTCTTTTCCAGAGAACTGAGACGGATTTCTGCTCGACCAATATGTTTATCAGGATATAACATGTAGCTTTCGTAGAGATCTAGTTGTATTGTACCAAAGAGTTGAGCGTGGAAAGTTACTGCCAACTCGAAGCATTCGTTCCACCTTCCGTCGCTGAATTCGGAAGTCGAGGTTCGGTAGGTCTGATCTAGCAAAACACGTAAAACGCTGTGTTACACTGACGGATATTTTATTGATTTCATGCCGCTTGCACATCCAAACTTACCACCTAAAGTGATAATGACATAGGGTCGCTTCACTTTGACATTTAGAAAACAATCGATGATTTGTATCTGCATTTATAAGATTTCTTTCTTTTAGCCTCCCTCTTCCTGTTAGCCATTTCATACATTGATCAAGCCCGAATAGTTACCCTAACTCTACCCACTGCAATAGGAGTTTGATTATTGCCGAAAGGAGAAGGCACTGGTGGCAATGCTCTATGTTGATGCCCAACGTGTGCTGACATGATGTTATCTTTGATAAGACCAAAAGCGCTTTATGAAAGAGGGAAAAAAAAAAAGTGAACAGAATTAACCTTTTTTTTTTCATGCTTCATTCCCCAAAATGAAAATTTTCGAACTCCAATGTGAGACCTACTAATGGTGTATAGCCATATCTGGAAGAAGTAAAAAAGTCAAGCCACTACCATCCCCAAACGTTTCCACATTCAGTCGATCTTTATGGTTACGAACAACCTTATTCTGTTAAATACCATTTGGGTATTGCGAAAACTGTCGACGAGCAGCCATCTGAATACCCAATTTTGAAGGATCAAAACTACCGTTTGCTGGAGAACGGGAAGTCAGATACAAAAAAATGTTCAAAAATCTCCCAAAAACGCTCACCTTCAAGGCAATAGTACGTAAGTCAATTGAACAAGAAGTCAGAGTTCCTCCATGATTCTATTTTGCCTGTGGGCAACCTCATTGATGAGTAGAGATAATCATTTATCAAATGAATAAAACACAGAATCGTGAATTTTAGGCGACGCATCACGTGTTTCACAAGAGTTGTACCTGCCTTTTTTCGTAAATCGTTTTTTCCTTCCTTCTTTACTTGATTTCCAAACAGTTTTTACAAAAAGAGAAGCCATGTTGAAACGAAAAGCTGTAACGGACTCCTCTAGTTCGAAAAGGCAGGCCAAAACAACGGCCATAAGTTCATCGTCGACAGAACCATGGGAATTAGTACTCAATGACGGAAAAGAGGCCATCAAAGAAAAAGATTTCAAGCGAGCAGTCAGTCTATTCACTCGCGCTTTAGAGCTAAAACCGAACCATGCCACTGTACTGGAATATCGAGCGGCATCGTATGAGAAGTTGGATCAACTTAATTTAGCACTTCAAGACGCGACAACCATGATCCGCCATGATCCGACATCAGCGAGAGGTTACCTGCGAGCAGGCAAAATCCTCAGTCTGCAAAAGAAACATAAGAGTGCGGTGACGATATATAAACGAGGGCTAAAAAACATCAGTGTTCACGATGCCCGATATCAGCAAATCAAGGATATGCTGGCAGCGGCGGAGAGGATTCTTCATCCTTCACCCACACATGACCCTATGAGATACTTGCCCTACGATATCATGTCTACTATTTTTTCGATGCTTTCTTTTGAGCGGCGTATCCAATGTACAAGCGTTTCGCAATCATGGCGTTCCTTTGCTTTGAGTTGGCCAGGCATGTGGCGTGATCTGGATTTCAGCGATAAAAAAATTTCGGTGGCCACCATCAAAAAGTACCTTGGTCATGCAAAGGGCCGCCACGTTCGAAGGCTTTCTGTGCGATCTGTGGCCCGTAACAAACTAGACAAGATATTACAACTCCTTATAGACGAAGATTGCCAGTACTTAAATATCCTAGGTAATGTGTGTTTTTTGAAAATTAAAAAAGAAACGCTTGATGACTGACAAAGTACCTTTGCAGAATTGTCAGATTGTGAAATACCAGTAACGACGTTTCTGCGACTGCTGCGACTCATAGGGAAACATATCACGTATATGAATCTTGATTATGCTACTTTGACCATGGATGCCATCGTAAGACAGGTTATACCACGATGCCCCAAGCTAACTCATTTGACGGTGAACGGCGTACCAGATATTGCAGATATTACCAAACAAGCATATACTACTGCAGACAATGACGTTGAGCTGCATCAGTTGACCCATGTACGCATAGTGATGAACGATGTCAACAATATAAAATGGTTATTGCGTAAATGCCCGAAACTAGAATTGTTGGATATAAAATCAGAAGACGTTCGCTTTAACGATATAGCGGAAACCGTCATTCATGAGTCTTTAAACAGTATGAGGAAGTTTCGTTTCAGTCGAGCCATATTAGATAGTAGTACTATTTGGCCAGCAGCAGGCGTCGATTCATGGGTAAGCAAAACGAACCATCGTCCTTCTGACACCAGTGACGGACTAGAGGCGTTTTACATCGTCTCCGACCCATCCTTCACGGGATCTATGTTGAGAGGAATTGTTCAACGATCCTTTAGAACGCTTAAGCAACTCGTCCTACGAGACTGTCGCTCAGTAGGTGATTCGCTGGCTCATTTGGCCACGTCTCCTGGATTACCTTGCCTTGAAAAACTTGAATGTGGACAAATGGAAGAAGACGATATAAGAACGATTCTAACTGCATGTCCGACCCTACAGGACGTGACCATAGGATTTACGATAGGGATGACTGACAACGCCATGAGCGACTTGGCGGCCAACGTGAAAAAGTTGAAAAGACTCGATATCACTGGCTGCCCCCATGTCACTGGTGTTGGCCTTGAAAAAGTTGTTAAAGCTCATCGCTCGACCTTGGAAAAAGTGAACATCAGCCAATGCTTCCGTATATCGGTGGATGCTATTGAGTGGGCTACATCTGTCCTCGGTAAACGCGTTTTGGAAGCAAATTTCAACACAAGATCCTTTTAACAAGATACCCTACAGCTTGACTCTACAAATGATGTAAAGCACATACCCCATCATCAAATGCATGTTTTATTTATTTTACTTTGAAATCACCTTCTCGAAATGGAAAAAATAAAACCTCATCTGTACAACCTGCAGACAGATGGGATGGCAAACTATTTCATAGGGGCTTAGTCATCATGAAAAATCTTGCGTAAGAAAAGTCCACAAGTGGGTGATGATAGTATTAGGCTGAGTAGGGTCCATCTGAGCTCCCTTTCCTTGATGTTTATCACATTTTTCTTATATCCTCTTTATCAGGTCGTAAAAAAGTATTGTGTGAATCTGAAACAAATTGAAAGCATAAAAAGAATTTTTCCCACGACGACAGGCATTTTGAAACACAAAGGTATTGTCACCATGGTAACAAATAACAAAGGAAAAAGGAAATGCCCTGAAGATCCTTCCCTTCCCCATGACGATACCCATTTAGGGTTTTATTGTGCACCTATTTAGGGAGGTCAGAACTCCTTTTTACAATGTTTAAAAAAGCTTATCGCGTTTCCATGGAGTTTTTTAAATAAACACTGCAGTCTCATAAACGAACCTACCTTTTCTGTAGTCGGTCTTTCAATAGTAAAATAAAAACGGAGAAAATGGTTTTTTTTTGTATCCGACACAACTCAAGTGGTTAAATTTTGGATTCAGTAAGTAAAGAATTGATAAAGAACTACCAACCTGACAACGGAGAAAAGAAAGAATTGCGCCTTTTTTCCTTTTTTTTTTTTTTGTGTGGAAACTGATACCCATTTTAAAAGAGACAAAGATTACTGTTATCACAACCTTTTTTTTACCACCGTTTTGTAGTTTGACAAAAAAGATATGCCAATTGCTGTACCGTTTTTGACTGGTAGCAGACAACTTTTGATCGAACTAGCAGAACCGGTCATTCTACTCCGTGGACCACCCACTGATCCATCGACACATGTTTTACGTGGAGAAGTAGAATTGATGTTATCCAAGCCCATGAGTGCGACACAGGTACTCGTCAAATTGGTTGGCAAATCCAACATGCTTTGGCCCGAAGGCTTGGGTTCTCGTGGTGCCAAAGTGTATCACGAAAAGACAATTTTAGAGCAAAACATCATTCTTGATCGTCGAGAGGATGACTTTGTGTTGCCAGCTGGACTGAATCGATGGCCTTTTGAATTTTTGCTACCCAACAGTATCGTCGAAACGATCGAAGACGAAATGGCGCAAGTGTACTATTACATATCAGCCACTGTTCAACGGCCGGGCCTCAGCATTGCCAATCTACGGACGAGAAGAAACATCCTTTTACTTCGCACGCTGTCACCGTCCGATGATGTAATTGCTTCCAATTCATTGCCGGTCATCTCCATTGTGGCAGAAAGAAAGACCGATGCTTGCGATGCAACGATCTACATTGAGAAGTCTATTGTTTCTTCCGGCACACAGTTTCCTATTTCCATCGTCTTGACCACTCAGATGAAGCATGTCAGCCTGGAGTCGATTAATGTTACATTGACCGAGAGAAGAATATATCAAGTGCCTGAGTATAATGCGAAACGAGCAGAGCTCCATGATTACAAGCTGCAACTGAATTCAGTCACCGATATGACGGATTCAGAGCAAATGGAAGAAGCATTGGTTCCTTCCTCGGATATTTCGCTGCAGCAACTTCGACGAGCTCTCAGTGCCAAGAATGCTCATATTGCTTTAGGGTCGAACCCTTTTCAGTACAAGTTTACGTTTACGCTTCCTAATTGCTTGACCATGAACCATACCACCTACTTTAAAGAAATGAATTTCCAGCACCACTTGAAAATTGACATTGAACTTTCAGTGCCGGTCAAAGTCAAGCAAATGGCTTTATCAGAAAATGGTAGTCATAGCGGAGGGCATCCGAATACCCTTTCAGCAACATCCTCCGCCTCCTCCTCCTCCTCCTCCTCCTCCCCGACTTTGACTTCAACGCAGCCTACAGAAAGCGAATCAACGATGAATGCGATTGAAAGAACACATATCCATCTAGAAACGCCCATTACAATTCTTGATTGTCGACTCAAAGAAGATTTTACTACGTTGCCCACGTATCAAGAATCCATGTCCGACGCCGCCATTGATGAAGACGATGAAAGAGATGCTTCGAACCAACGTGGTTTCTTTATTTGCCCTTGCTACGTCGAATATAAAAGAAAGAGTACACGAGCCAATGGTAACAAGGAACGAATTTTGGTGCGGCAGAATAGCAACGTTGAGTCCTTGCCGTCCAGTCACAATAATAGCAGTGAAGACCTGAGTTTACCGCCTCCACCTCCTTATATTGAAAAGTAACTCACCCATCACTCAATTAAAAAAAAGAAAAAGATTGTAGACTCTATTTGCATTATTCAATTAATTATTATCATCTTATCCAGACAACCCATGTACAGTTTTCTTTACTTTTTTCATTTGTAGATATTCATTTTTCCTAGATATTAATTTTTCATTTTTTGTATATTTCTTTCATATTTCAACACCTTGCAATAAAAAGTATACTTTTTTTTTTTTCATCTATGATTTTGAGATAACAAAGGTCGATATTTTATTTACAAAATCCCAAAAAAATCAGAAAAATTGTATTACGAATTAAATCAAAAAAGCAGATAAAAAAAAAGTGAGTATTAAGTATGAATCAAAACGGAATAATGTAAAAAGGGGGGGGGGATATTCGCACTGAATATATGGCCACAAAAAAGTGAGCTGTAAGGGAAATAAGGTAAGTGTAGAAAAGAATGCCTTTAAAGAAGTGTATATAATAAACTGTACAATATTCAAAAACGTTTACAAAAGAAAAAAAGGTACAAAAAACAAGGGGAATGGCTAAACCCCTTTCCAAACCGTTTTTGTTTAACATGTAACACGAATCAAATCATCAAGCGTTTCGATAGTCGCTGGTGTCTTGACGGTCTTTCCTTTAACGATGTGCTCAATACCTTCACCGGAATAAGAGACGACAGGAGAGATTTCAAACATGAGTTCAGTATAGTCGTCGGTGGTACGCATGACTTTGCCACCTGCCTTTTCGATGAAACGGACATGTTGAGCAACGACATCGCGACGCGAGGTTTCCGGACAATCAGCACCTGTACCAGGAGCGTTCTTTAAAGGTGAGAATTCTTCATGACGTTCGACTTCAAGGACAGACATATTTTGGGCATAAGGAAAAACATCAAAAACGAAACATTCTAATTTCATGCCAGAGTTCGCTTTGGGGGTAATCTGTTCACCGGTTTCTAGGTCGGTATATTTGATTTTCTTCTTAGCAATGTGGTATTCGAGCTCAGCTTGGAAAGTAGGGACGCGCTCCAAGAAAGCGGTGGAGAAGAAATGGTTGGCAATGTTGGCTGCGTTGTATTTGAGAGAGCCGTCAGGGTGACGTTCATGAGCCGTTTCTTCAGAGATTTCAGAATATTCGACAACACCGTATTTACCGTTACGTACGCAGACGACACCTACGGGTTCCTCGGGAGCTGCCTTACCGACGACCTTGACACCACAGTCAGTTCCCTTGGAGACACAGTAACCGATGAAGATGGGGTCAGCTACGCGCGCCAAACAGTTATCAACACAGTAACAGTGGCTATATTCGACACCACGTCGCTTCAAATCAGAAATCACTCCCTTTTCTTGAAGGGCCTTGTAGATACCACCATTGCCATCAGGAGCAATAGCAACCTAAAATAAATACAAAAGTTTAGCGACATTGCTCCGTCTTACAAGCTTCTTCATCACATCAACTGCGCTATGCAAGTAGCTCGATTTACTTTACCTTACTCTTTGATTCCAAAATAATCTTGCCGTCCATTGTCAAACAAGGTAAAGTACCTAATAGAACAGAAATGAATCGTTAGAGAGGGACGTACGCATTTTAAAAATAGAAAAAAAAAAAAAATTGAAACAAGGATGAACACACACACAGACACGCATACACGCGCACACCCCTCTTCTTTTCTTTTCTCGACTGAGTATATTACCTTGTTCGAAAAATATAACATTTTCTTTCTTGAGGCCAAAGAAGTTGTTTTTCGTAAAAAAGTCAAAGGTACGCTTGTTTGTAGGGCCAGAAGTCATAATATACCAGGGAATGATGACGTCTTGACCATCACGACGGTATCGTTGGGTTAATTCTTGCACTTTCAGAATACGTTCAGCTTGCAGTTGGAACAAAGACTTGCCAGAAGGCAAATTGATATTGTAACAACCCTTAGGATCAGAAGAACCGAGACGGGTACCCTGACCGCCTGCCATTAAAATGACAGCCACTTTACCCTCGGCAATCTTTTCAAGACCTAAGGTTTCCCATTCCTTCAATTGAGTAGGGTCTTGCTTCAAGACAGAGTCAAAAACTTCCGTAGAAAGAGGTTGCAAGCTGTTTCCTTGTTGACTGTGAAGGGCGTTTGCAGCACCTTCAATGGCTTTGTCATAGATCTTGTTCAAGTTTTCAACATCAATTTTCATGAGCTGCTTTAGAAGTTCAGCTTTCTCGTCCTCATTGATAGAGTCGTAAAAGTTGAATACGTGGCCTTGACCAGCATTGTCGAAGCGAGCTCTCAAAGCTTGAATTTCGTTGTCAGAATAAGGTAAAGGTGAAGCAACAGTCATGTTTATTACAAAAGGAATTGAAGAAGGAGAAGTGAGAAAGGAAGAAAAAAAAAATAGAAAGAAAAAGAAAAGAGTGTATATATAGAAATGCAAAAGAATAAATTATGCCTTTTATTACTATTTTTTGTTGATTACATAGAATTGTGTTGTTGTTTAAATGAACATTTTGTCAATGTGTTATTTTTAATTCCAGTTCCATGGAAAGGCCTTAATATTGCCAAATTTAAAAAAAGTTGGGTCAATAGAAAGGAAAAACCAACTTTGTAACTTTTCATCTTCCGCTCATCTTATCAGTGCGTGCTTGCCCCCCCCCCTCTCGCGTGCTTGTTGTGCTGTGGCATTTGAAAAAGTGGCTGTGTAAAACAACCATGTGGAATTTGGGTTGGGGGAAGGCAAGGGTAGAGATAGGGTTAGCGGGTGTTAGCGGGCCGGCGGATGGGTGATTGGGTTGGTCAGGCGAAAGCCAACAATTAAACACGACACGTACTCAACAAATACCTCCAGATATTCATTGATTTCTATATAGTTGAGCTTTCTTTTTAGACATACTCCAGGATAAGTGGTTTTGCTGATAGATATAAACATAGAAATTTGATCATTAGCAGTTTTGAAACTCTACAATATCATCCAATGACCAAAGAGCATTTAGAAACCAGAGCATTGCCTTTTCATATAAATAGATTTATCTTATAACAAGCTGAGGTTATTCTTGATTGAACGTCTTGGCCCCTATTGGGATGTAAGGTTATTATCAGAAATGAAATGACCCGTGTTATTTTTGTTATTTTTCTGTAGCACATAAATCGAAAAACTGTGTTATATTCCATCATCAATGTCATCATCATTATGATGGCACTGCAAAGAAAAAAAAGAAAAAGAGTTTTAGCGTTTTACGAGTAATTCAAATTTGGAGCTCCGGGTGAACAATGCCCGGCGTAACAAAAACCGAATTTTACCAGATTTTCTAAAGGTTTTTGGGCGACAGATGCCTTTTTCATACATATTCAGGGGTTTTGTATCGATCATCAGTGTTTTTGTTTAACCTGCTTACAAACTGTCGCATGAACAATTTCTATAGAATCTTTTCGAGCTTTCCTTCACATGCATAGACGATGAAATTTGAGCCCAAAAATGATGGATTTAAACGATGCATTAAAGACTTATCACTTAAATGAAGACACTGCTTTTATCGACTCAAATTTTTACAGAATAGGCAATATTCTGTATTGTTAATATAAAGCTTGCCCAAAGCCCCGTTTTTTTGATAAGAATTTGTAGGTCAGCGATAATTTTTTATCAGTGCTTCTAACCAAAGCAGCATAACTTATATGAGCGTAGCAACTACATTTTTCAATTTTTTCGTGTTGAAGACGACGGATAACCCATTCAATACCAACCACGCAACAAAAGCGCCGCCTATTGGGACCGCTATAAATTCAGGGCATCACACAACCTGTCGTCACCTTTACTTTCACAAGCTATCATCTATCCTTTTTCATGCGAGGCACACGTTATCGTCAATGTGCATAAAAAGCAAATTCAGAAGAGTAATCTTGAATAAAAAGAACAAATTGAAACCTATGCTTCGTTTTCCGACAAGAGCGTGTTTATGCTTCTGATTTCATTTTACACTGTATCACTTTTTTTCGTTATTTTTTCAATCAATCAACAAAAACAAGGAAAGAGAGAGGCACACCAGACGTCATACTTATTTTCAGAGCAAGATGATGTAGAAGCTTCTTTCTTTTATTCAAGGAAAGCATCATTGTATTACTGTATGTCAATAAGCGAAACTATCAATTTTTTACAAGGCTATTTTATCAGGAATCATTTTTTGTCGAAGTGATCTGTTTGTCTTCTGGGTTACTATATTTTCTCTTGAGCATATCGTGGACTTGACGCGTGACGCCATCAATAGAACCTTCATCGACTTTCCAAAGATTATGCTTTTTTAGCAAATCTCTTTGTGCATCATCAGCAATCTACCAACAAATAGATAATTCATATTTTTATTTTTATTTTTCACAAATGAGTTGATCGCTAGTCCACTTGCTAACTATTTAAGGCAAATGCCCATTTTTCTTTTTCTTCTTTTTACCTTGGGGTCAGCTTGTACAATATATGGTTGAACGCCATTTGACTCTGATAGATTCTTCTCAAAGTAATCTTCACCAGTTGGGAAGTGCAATCTATCCAAGAGTAGCAGCATGCCAGTCTTCAAATGTAAATCCTGTTGTTCCAATGCCTCATTGAAAGCTTGTTGTTCTGTCAAGTGAGGGCGATGATTCAGGATTTGAATGACGTTGGCTATCAAACGCTTTAGAGACTTTACATTGCGCTTGAACAACATCACGTCTGTACTAAGGAAATTACCATGCTGCTGCTGCTGCTGCTGCTGCTGCTGCTGCTGCTTATCGATGGCGACGGTAGCAATCATTTTCGTATCGCCTCGTATGTCGATCAGTGTCTGCATGTACTCTCTTGTACGTTGTCGAAGCAAAAGCGCATGCACATCCAAATACAGCACATTGACGTCAGTGTACATCATTCGCTGCAAAATCCAAGATTTGACCTTTTCCAAACGGACAAGAGAGGAAGCTGAAGACGACGGTAGACTATGAATATACCATTGACTAGGAACAAGCACCGCTCTATCTTCGTATCCAGATACAACCATATGTAGATAGAGCGCTTCGTCGAGTACAAACACTAGAAATTTATCTTCTTTGGCTGCTTCTGATAATCTGATCCAGTTATAAACATCATATCGATCGTTATCGGATTCAGATCTTGCTGCTATTGTCATCAATAGAGTACCATCTACTTTGTTGGTGTTGACTTTGTCAAGGATATCTTGTTCCATTGGAGGTAGACTCTCAGGTACAAAGAGTGGCGTATTCTCGCCATATCGAATGAATTTAGCAGCAGTGCTCCCATCGACGTCACAGTTGCATTCTTCTTCTGTAATAGTTGTGTTTACTGTATTGAAACGTAGATCCGCAGTATCCGCCGTCGTGTCGATTAGAGCTTGTGAAGTATCGGTATCAGTAGTAAGAGGCATACTCGTGATGAAGTTGGTGATGGCTGAGTTGTCTGTTGTCGGCATGAGCGTTTGAACATTGACAATGCCAAGCTTATATGTAAATACAATAAATAAAGTAGTGACAGTACATAAAATAGCTAGCTTATAATAGCCATTCATGCCGGACCTTTGCTGCTGCATTCTGGCATTTGAATGAAAAGATGGAGGAAATGTACCTTTTTTTTTTGCTGCCCGTGTAATATGTGTGTGTGTGGGGTAAGTCCTTTAAATCTTGTGTGATTCAAATGGGCGATTAAACCAATAAGAGTTAAGGTTGCATAACCTTTATTTTTTTGTAGTTAATAGAAAGAGCAACAGCACATTTACCAGAATAAAAAAAGAGAGTGCCTGATTTCATGCAAACCGCTACTTTTTCCCTTTTTTTTTTTATCAAACTAGCAAGCATGCGGTTCTCAACCACATTATCCTCAGCAACCTCATTTTCACCGTCTTCTTCACCTTTATCAACACCTTCCTCTTCTTCTTCTCTTCCTAGTGTTCACCAAGATCTTGTCACGCAATATCAAACACAAAATCAAGAAATCATCAAAGCCAATGTTAGGTTGAAAGAAAAGATCACTTTCTTAGAGGCTGTCATTTCAAAACTTCAGGACGAGAATATGCAAATAAGACGTGAGCAGCTGAGACAGCAGAACCTGAGTGATAGTAGCCATACTAGTGACAGTGGTGAGATCGACCAAGTGCAACAAAGGATGGCCAATAAAAAAAAGAAAACAAAAAGGAAAATGGCCGCTATCAAGAGCAGTTCGAGTAGTAGCAATAGCAGTAGCCGTAGTAACAGCAATAGTAGTATGCGTATTGGCAAACGACACTTTGAGGCCAATGACAGTAGCTCCTTATTCGTTGTTGAATTAACCAAAAAAGAAGTTCCCAAAATTGAAAGTAACGATACAACGGACAACGCAGCAGCGACGAGAAAGACACGACGCAGTACTCGTAAACCCGTCAGTTACACTCTACCAAGTATTAGATCGAAATTACGCAAAGGTGATCCATTTACTTTTGGTAATACGATTACAGAATGACATTTGAGTAATAACCATATGTCAAGTTATTTTCTTTTCTTTGGTTCCTTTTATTTTATTGTAAGAATAATAAATCACAATGCATGTAACAGTTTTGGACTTGATTTATGCAATGTTCAATATAACCAGCGATAGGGTTTAGCGTAGATGCTGGCGTGTTTGCCACGATAGCACTAGCTGCACCAACTGCAGCAATCGGGGTCGTCGTAGCAGTACTGTTGGTAATATCAGGGCTGAACGTATGCATTTTGTCGTCGCTGAACGGCATGAAAGGATAAATGGATAGGGCAACTGAAAATGAATAAGCGGCAGAAACAGAAAGTTTTAGCTTTTCAATGAATTGCTGAATGGATGTGTATTTACTGAAATTGATCAAATGAGTTGCTGTGGTAAGCTGTTGATGCTGATGATGGTTGGTGTTTTCTTTGAAAAATGTATGATCTTTCAAAACAACGGGTAAAAAGGGCACTTTAATGGTGGCATTATTACTGCCACTGCTTGCAAATGTAGCTGCTGTGGGTGACGATAACGGTGTGGACGAGTTGACAGATGAAGTTGACAATTGAATTTTTTTTCTATAATATCGCATATTCATATCAACATTGAGTAATTTATTCAGGGAATTGAATGTAGCCATATCCTTATTCGACAGCATGTCGATCGTTTCTTTTAACTTTGCTGTACTACTCAAACCCAGTATAATCACCATGCAAGTATGAAAGTTATTATAGTCAAGACAGATCTAATAAATTTGACAAGTAGAATATACTTGAGATAACTTTTTTTTTTTTTTTTTTCCCTACGTAGTCGGAAGTAATGAAAACAATAATTTACCCTGGCGATCTCGATGAACTTTTTCAATAGTTGCTTTCTAGATTTTGCACATTCTACTTTAAGTATATCATGCACAACCCAATGACTTATCTACCAACGGAAAGAGATGAGTAACTCGTATAAACTCTTTTTCAAGCAATGTTGCGTAGAGAAGTAGGAAAGTCAAAAGAAGCATACCATATTGGCTCTTTTTGTCATGATCTCTGTAAATGTTGGTATAGACTTATCTTTGGTATCTTTGGGTTGAATCAATTCATTGGAGTACAAAATACATTTAAACAAATAATAATCAGCTAGTGTCAAGTATCTCGCGATATCTTTGGCATCCATGATCAAAAAAGTATCCATGTCCGTTGAAAAGTGAGGCATAGACATTGGGATTGTGGTTGAACACTCTTCAACAGTAGCAGAAGAAGCAGCAGCAGCAGTATGTACAAATGGAAGATGAAAGTTGAAATGGTTCATGGTCGGTATAATTAGCTTACTACTGTTGCTATAGTAAGTTAATGCTGACAGTTGTCGATCTCGATGGTACATTTGATAGAAAAGTAACGCTTGCTGCCGAAGTTTATCTTTAAAGAGATCTGCGTTTTGATTTAGTGTTGACTGAATTTTATCAATTCGCTCTCGTAAAGCTTGAGGGGCCGTGTTGTATTCATTGAACAAAAACTGGATCAGCTTTGCTCGTAATTCTGCGTTGTTTTTAAAGTCTACATATTGAATTGTTACCCAGATGTCAATCACATTGAGTACCCTATACGTATATATATATATACATACAGACATACATATATAGATGAGTTGGGCCAAAAATATACGATTCCGTGTTGCTTTTAGTTTTTCTCGGAATTACCTTGTTTGAATGGGTAGTTGCCATTTTGCAAAGTGTTCATATTCTCCAGGCAGAGGGCGCAGTCGAAATCGATGCATCAGACGTTTTAAAAACTCTTTCGACGTGGTAAAATTTCGGTAATGGAGTATGTAAGTTTCTACATAGTCTACATCTTGAACCGTTTCGTCTGCCAGTTTTTCAAATAACTTGTCTGGTGTACCAGCAATGACCTGCAACTTGTTTTGGCTGCCCACCATCTCGTATAAGAGTACTATCTTGTCTTGGTCCGTAACACGAATCAGTCGCTTCCCATTATTCTGCTGATGTTCCTTTCTGGATAGTAAATCCGACGAAATAGAAGCGGTTAATGATCCTATCAAAAGAAGAAGACATAACCATATATTCTTTGTGAGAAAACATGATCATCCAGCGAATACTTTAAAGTGAGTATCAACCTAACGATAGTCCCAACTTTGGCTTTGTATGTTCCTCTTTCTTGGAATGACTGGATTGAGCAGACTTTGACAAGGAACTCCACGGACTTATTTGGGATATAGAAAATAAAGTTTAGTTATAGTTGTAAAACATAACTGTCAAACCGTCTATCCTTGTCCGACATTACCTGCCATCCACCTTTTTGTCACTGACAGAATTTGTAGCAACATATTTTTTTCTGTTATAAATGTTGGCTATCTTATCTTTTGCATTGCTCGGTAGAGAAGGCCATGATGATTGCTCTTCTTCCCCCACCAATGATTTAGGTAGCGGTGTAGGCATACTACTGCGTCTCGGCGGCGGAATAGGATGCTGTATTGCAGTTGCGTTCGCTGTTTTTGCCATGGCTGCCAAAGGCGTGATAGGATGGGGCATATGATGTGTCGTCGTCGTTGTCGTTGTAAAATATGTATGGCTCCTATTACGATTACTATGGTGACGACGCGATGAATGCTGTTGATCATGCACATGATCGCCATACAAATACCCACTCCCCATAAGTGCTGGCTTCCCTGCTATCGTGGACCTACCATTGGGCATCGGATGATCTTGCTGCTGAGGATCTACTCCAGGGCTTGCACCATTATTTTGAAAGGCCAATGGATGTTGAAAAAAATAAAAGAGATTATCTTTCGGCGGTACAGGTGGAGGAGGTGGAGAATTGGAGTTTTGCCTACAAATAGTTTGTATATCACTGTTCTCATCATCGTCATCTTCCAGTATCTTTGACAAAGAAGTGAGCGATGAGGATCGTGATGCTCCAGAAGAATGAGCGGACGATGTGTCATCAAGATTGTTATTACTCGTCAAGATAGATAGGAAGCTTTCAATCGTTGGTAATGAAGGGGATAGCTTTTGAGTATTTGCGTATTGGTAGCGGGGTCTCAAAGGTAAGCTATCAACGTTGCTGTCACTGCCAGTGTGCGTCGATGCGTTTGAAAATGCAGCCTCGCTTTCTACTTCTTCATCATTTGTGATATGGCTATGATGATGCCGAGTATGTTGAGAAGTTGCAAGGAACATGGTACGGTCTGTTGAATACCCATCCTCTTTGGCAGCATGATCTGTCACAGTATGACGCGAACTTGCAGATGAAGGGATCATGGTGGTAGACGTACAAACGCTTGGAGCTGAAGCAAGGAAAGAAGAAACGTCGGATAAAGAAGGATAATTGTGAAAGGATAAATCCTGCATTCGGTTTTCTGGAGTATCAGACTTAAATTTATTTTATTTTTTTCGGTTTTGTCAGGAATACAATCATAAAGGGAAGGGGGTTATATTCAAGCATTTTTCAATCTCACCTGTTCACTTGTTGTTATCGTTAAAAATGGTATCTTTTCTTTTTTGGTATTCTTTTTGTTATTGTGCTGGATTGTTGTTGACGTCATGATATCAAGCCAATCCCTCTTCTTTTGCGAGAACAAGGCTTTGAGTTCAGCTGTAGAGGAATAAGATATTGAGAATTCATTCTGTTGTTGTTGTTGATGGTCACGGCTCTTATTGCTATTACTGCTACTGCTAAGTGAAAATAAGCGCTTTCTTTTAGATAACGTTTTCTCATGGTCCTGAAGATGTTGCCGTGGAGGGTCGTTGGAAGAAACTGATTTACGTGGTAGAAGGAAAGTGGATGCATTTAACGTAGGGCGCGGCCTTATACTCTTGATATGAAACCTTTTGTTGTCAGTATTGCTACGGTAAGTGTGAACAGCTAACCGATGAATAGGTGATCAAGCCAAAAAAAAAAAAAAAAAAAAAAAAGGTCAGACTTTCGTATTGCAAAAAAACTAAAAGATATTCTATCAAGAGTACTATAATCACCTATGTTTCTTTATAGCGTAAATAAATAAAATACAAATGGCTATTTCTGTTAATACAAGTCATTGACAGGATTTTTGCTTTTCTTTGTTTGTAAGTTTGAATATTGGTTCATACCGATGCGGACCAAGACAATCATGGTTTGTTAACGGAGGTGCTGAATTCTCAACTACTCCAAACGCATTCTGTTGGTCGGTGATCAAACATGTTGCTGACTGAGAGTATCTTTTCTTGTAAAGGCCCTGATTGCTTCTTTTATTGTTCCTTGTATTACGTAAAGCGGGTGAGGATGTAGTTGGTAGCGGTGCAGAAGGAAGAGCGAGTATTGCGTTTCTGAGATTGCTGCTACTATTCTTGCCGCTCACTTCTTGTAATGCTGCCATTGCAGTTGTTAACGACAGGGATATTGAATAATAAGCAACCAGTGAATCTATGAGTCTATTCAAATGATGAACAATAACTTCCTGCGCGGTTATCAACTGCCGTGTATGATTGAAATGATTGGATTTCAGAATACTCTTTTGTTGTTTAGATTTAGTTTCAAAAATACAGATTGCTTGTTACCTCTTCTTTATTATGGGTATTATCCGATACTATTTGAATGTGATACTGAATTATTTGTATTCCTTGTTTAATTTTTGTCTCTGTCATGTCCATTGCCGCGCTTGCTGCTTCAGAAACGGTAGAATTATGTTGCTGACGCATCATCCTTAACCGCATTTTACTGCTGGTATGCTGATTACTGTTCCTTGATTGTAATCTGAAAATGATATCCATCATAGAGGAAAGCATTGTGGTGGCATTGGATATAGATGTTACAATTTCAGTCATTGTCGTATCATTTGACAAGTCGATGAGATTGAAAGCTATAATTTCAATATAGGACTTGACTGATTTCCATGTCTCTTTTATCTGTTCTCGACCTCAAGGGTTAGCCATCAACCTTTATGAAAACAAACAGTGCTTTCATTTACCTCTTCATCTGATTGGCATACAGCACTTGTCATTGAGGATCGAGGGTATAGTGGCTCAATTAAATCAATTTTCTCAAGAGTAGCGTGCACAATTTCATTCATGTTGTGCATTTGTAAAAAGAAAATAAGGAATCAAAAATAAAAAGAAAAAAAGACAAGAAATAACAATGATAAAAAACAGCATCAACTCTTATAGTGAATAGCCATATTTTTTTTTTACTTTTTTCTTTCCACTGCACAAAAATGTTACTGTACACGCACATGTTTAATGGCATTATTAACATATTAACTAAGTTGCAGCTTAAAACATGCTGCATCTGATCTGAATTTCTGGCTATTTCATTTAACTAAGCTTTTTGTTTGCCGAAAACAGCTGTTGTTTATAGTCAGACCCTAAACCCCTTTCTACAATATCAGCAAAAAGTATAACGCTTGGACTGAAATGACATCATAATTCACATCTGAAGCAAATGTATGTTGTTGGCAGAGGTTACATTATTTTCGTTTAGATATTATAGAAGCTCATGGGCATCAAGTAGAGTAAAAAGCTGAAGCACTGGTTTTGGGGAGATCAACCTCTGCATCAACAAATTTCATGCCGCAGATGCTGCATGAAAAGGAAGGGTTCAGGAACCCCCCTCAATTTTGACAATGAAAAATAGTCACAATTTCTCAAGAATTGTGGCGTAGCAATCAATAGCTTTTTTTTTATTGGGAAAGGAAAAAGGCCACAAAAAAAAGAAAAAAAAAAAAAGGCTTTAGTGTCTTTTCTCTCCGCCTTCATATACTACCCACTTTTCCCTCTAATTCCTATTTATTTATAAATGCATATCACTCGTTGCTATTTCTGTTCAGGGCCATGCTATCCTGGTCATGGTACTATGTTTGTTCGTAATGACAGTAAGGTAAATCAAAGATGTTTAAATGATTAATTGAGTTTTTAAAGTCAAGCGGCTCAAGTGACAGTTTCAGATCTAATCGTTTCTACTTTACACTCTTATCAGACTTTCCGATTCTGTAGATCTAAATGTCATAAGAATTTCAAGATGAAGCGTAACCCTCGTAAGGTTCGTTGGACCAAAGCTTTCAGAAAAGCCAGCGGCAAGGAAATGGTCATTGTAAGTTGTTGCCAATTAGACAGGTGTAACGGCTAGGAACAGAAGGACTCACCGTCCCTTATTATAGGATTCTACATTTGAATTTGAAAAACGTCGTAATGTACCTGTGCGTTATGATCGTAATCTCATGGCCACTACTATTAAGGCTATGAAGCGTGTACAAGAAATTCGTGCTAGACGTGAGCGTGCATTCTATAAGAACCGTATGGCTGGTAATAAGGATTTGGAAAAGGAAGACGATATTCGTGTGGTCAATCAAAACATCGAATTGGCTCCTCTCGAAGCCAAGAAAAGAGTACAAGCTATCAAAGCCGAGAAGGAAAAGAACGAAAACATGGATACGGAAGAGTAAAAGAGAAGTATTCTACTGCAACGACTCTATTTTACAACGATTACAACCACAGCAGCGACTGCAATTCTATTATAACAACAGCAGCTTTATGCAAAAGATCAAATTGGCAAAAAATCAATTCAATTATTTCCTATCATTCATTTGTACATTTATAACGAGATATATAATATTTATATACACACACACACACAGACTTGCACACTCACCCTCACACTCACACACCCCCCTTCACCTATACTGCATTCGACTTTGTCTTTTTTCTATATAGCTTTCAATAAAACTTACCCTATTGGGTTGTTTCTTTAGACTTTACTGTAGATAGGGTTAGAACTAGTTTGTTTTAAATGTTGAGTATTTCATTATTAACATTTACGAAATGAAGTTTGAACCATTTGAAAAGTTTGGAAGGCTATACTGCACAGGGTAATAAGGGATGCTTAAACAATTTTTGGGCAATACTTACTTACCAGACGTAGCAAATTGGGTGAATTAAGGACAATTAAACTAAAAAAGGTAAATTTTTGGTAAGGCGTTTCAGTGGTAAGTTTCAATTTGGACGATATGGCGATTGACACAAGTAACATAATGGAACCACTGCAAAAGTTTTCACCTCGGCCCATTATGAATGAATTTTAGAAAAAAAGGAAATAAAAAAATAAAATAAAAAAAGACTTTGTTCTTTTACTTCAATACAGTTCGTGAAAAGCCTTCAACAAGTCTTTACTCCACATTTCATCATGTTTTTACTTAAACTACTGCTAACATTATTGCTATTCACAAGTGCCATTCTTGCACAAACATCGTCTTACAGTACGTTGTTTTCAGGCTTGTTGCATGCATTTAAACAGAATAATGAATCTTTCATGTTTGTTAACACATCTAAAATACATAGTGACGTATCCTTACGATGGTATTACATGGAAAGTTGGAGAAAGAGTGAAAGTGGTAAGGTGTTCGTGTAGCCGACGATTGTAGGAGCAAAAGAATACTTATTTTTCTCTATAACCTCTTTCAGGCATTTTCACCTGGGCAGCCGAATGAGACTGTCAGTGTATTCTTCGACAACGATAGAAGTCAGTTATTAGCAGCAGGTTCCGTAACCAACGGAGCAATATTTAACTTCCAAGTACCCCATGGCGCTATGACGAAAGGAGGAGTCTCTGTACTTGTTGCTGTTCATCGTGTAAATAGATACCTTGCATCAGTTGACACTATTACAATTCATGTTGTATCCTAAAGAGCGTATATGAATACATAAATATATATATACCCTCACAAAACTAACTTAGTTAATCCTACATTGCAAACTTGCCTAATCAATAATTTATTCAACAGAATCTCTGTCGTTTATCTGATTAAACATCATATTTACTGTTATTATAACTGTTCGTCACCCATCCATCATCTCCGTTTGCGTAAATTTATCTTTATCTTATTAATATTAGCGCTTCAGTATCATATTCTATAACCTTTTACAAGCATAGATGCAAGCTGAATCATACCATCTCTTTATTTACAAAAGCCGCCTTTACCATCATTATGTAACATGTCAGTCGCTCAATTACGTTGATGTGGAACGGAAAAAAAAAAAATCGGCTATTTCCCTTTCTGGTAGAACGACATTGTCCACATTGATTCCAACAAAGATTGCTGTACTGCTAATCTGATTGGACCAATCTTATTTGCGTTAAAAAAAAAATGTACTGTTTAATATGCAATGCTGTCAGAGTGACGGAAGTGCCTTGAAAATGACTTCATGACTCTAGAAAGAATTTTCTCCAAATCAAGCATATAAATAATGCGCGAAATTCGCGACGTTTTTGCATTCAACTCATCAACTCTTATACACACAACAGCATCTTCTTTCTCTAATCTTTTACAACAACAACCTATTCCAATAATGACTGCCTCAAAAGCCGAAGCCAAGAAGGACCAATTCGTTGGTAATATCAAGGAAAACGCTGGTTCTCTCGTTGGTAATGAATCACTTCAAGCTGAGGGAAGAACTCAAAATAGTTCCGGTAATATTGAAGAAACCGCTGCCAAGGTCCAGGGCTATGTTCAAGGCGCTTATGATCAAGTAGCCGGTGCTGTCAAGGGTGCTTATAACTCTCTTACTGGTAATAACACTGATGAAGCTTCCAATAATGTCCAACAAAAGAAGGGCGAAGCTCAAAAAGAATTTAATGCCAAATTTTAAATTTGTTGATACCCTATATCTCTTTTAATATTTCTTCCAAACCGAAATAATAATACTTATTTTTGATGTCACACCTTCCTACTTTCTACAATAAACAAGCTGATAAAATTATCCAATTTTCATATGAGCGCTTTCTAAGAAATTCTATCCCAGCACTAACTCCTTTATATGGTAGCCCCGGAATTTTTGGTTTTTTTCAAAGTGAACTTTGACCTGAAGTAGACAGACATGCATCGACAGATCAGTTTGATCCAGCTCAAGCATGGGCTTCAACGACAGCATCAGCCTAGACCTCTCCAAATTTATCTTGGTTCAATATTTTACCAACACCAGCAGCACCGCCACCTCCATCATCAGCGTACTGAAGCTTCAACTCACAATAACAGTTATTATGACTTTGACGTTATTGTTGTAGGAGGAGGTCATGCTGGCACTGAGGCCTGTACAGCTGCAGCACGATCCGGTGCCAGAACCCTATTACTGACACAGAACAAAGATACTATTGGTAAACCAGAAGAGAATCAATATAAACTTGGCATTGGGGTTCTGATCGGGTACCTTTAATTCTTTTTTCCAGGAGAAATGTCTTGTAATCCATCTTTTGGTGGCGTAGGTAAAGGGATCTTGGTCAGAGAAATAGATGCCTTGGACGGTGTTTGTGGTCGAATCTCAGGTATAAATTGTGCAGACTACTTGTCCGAATCTGTTCCCTGGTGTTGACCTTTCTATTGTTCTATAGATCTTGCCGGTATTCAGTTCAAAGTATTGAATAAATCCAGGGGTCCAGCTGTCTATGTAGGTCTCATCCTATATAATTTGAAAACTGATCTGTTTCGAAAACCAACTAATTATCTGATAGGGCCCGAGAGCACAAATTGATCGGAAGCTGTACAAAAAGCATATGCAGGAATATCTCAACCACTATCCAAATCTGACAATCCAGGCGGGCAGTGTTGCCAATTTAATTTTAAATGAAGAAATGACAGAGGAGGATTACCGAAGAATAACTGAAAAAGGTGCAGCACAGATAGTAAAAGGTGTGAAACTAGGTAATGCAACATTTGTCAGATGGTTGTACTTTGTTTTTTGGGTATTGAGATGCTCATTTTTCTCTGGACTCAATAGATAACGGGCAAAATATTAGAGCACCGAATGTAATTATCACAACAGGGACATTTTTAGGTGGCGAAATTCATTTGGGTAAAGAAAAAAGAGCTTGCTGCCATGACGTATATCATAGCACCTTATTGAAATAGATGACTACGCGCTTTAGGATTAAAAGCATGGCCCGCTGGAAGATTAGGTGAGAACCCTTCAATAGGGTTATCCAAATCATTACGGTCTGCTGGTTTTAAATTAGGACGTCTAAAGACAGGTAACGATCGCCCGCCCACTCCCCCATCCCCACGATTTCATATAACACAACACTACTTTTGGCTGACAGTTTTAATTTGATGTAAGGTACACCGGCAAGATTGGATGGCCGAACAATCAATTATGAGGGCCTGCTGATACAAGAAGGTGACAAGCCACCGTCTCCTTTTTCTTATCTTCACAAAACTGTCCCTCATGCCGTGAGTGCTTCAATCAATAAGCTTACCATGAATACTACTGTACTATACGTTAACATCTTCTTTTTCTTGTTACGAATTTAAAAGGATAATCAAATCAATTGCTTTCAAACAAGGACCAACGAGCAAGTACACAAGTATATAATTGATCATTTTCATGAGAGTATTCATATCAGAGAAACAGTGAAAGGACCACGCTATTGCCCTTCTTTGGAAAGTAAAATACAGCGATTCACTTCAAAAAGCTCCCATAATATTTGGCTAGAACCTGAAGGCCTTGATACCCCTATTGTATACCCAAATGGTATCTCCAATACTATGCCCGAAGATGTTCAGCTGAATTTTTTGAGAATGATCCGTGGTTTGGAAAATGTGGAAATGGTACGACCCGCCTATGGTGTTGAATATGACTATATTGATCCAAGGGAACTGAGAACAACACTAGAGACCAAACGTATTCATGGTCTCTTTCTAGCGGGGCAAATTAATGGCACAACAGGCTATGAGGAAGCTGCTGCTCAGGGTATTATAGCAGGTATCAATGCTGGATTACAAGCACAAGGGAAACCACCCTTTGTTTTGGATAGAGCAGATGCCTACATTGGTGTTCTCATTGACGATTTAATCACAAAAGGCGCAGAAGAGCCCTATCGTGTCTTCACGGCTCGGTCGGAATACCGCTTACTATTGCGCGCAGACAACGCAGATAGTCGATTAACAGAAAAGGGCTATCATGCTGGTGTTGTAGGTACAGAAAGATGGGAACTCTTCAAAACTACATCAAACACGCTTCAGCACGCTTTGACTTGTTTAGAAAATACAAAGATGACAGCAAAACGTTGGGCTGATTATAATATTAGGCCATCATCCCGTGCACCCACAGCTGATTTGAAGGATGCGGGCAATTTAAGGAGGTAAAATGTGAATGAATGGCTGTGACATGGAATGATAGAATGAATGGAAGGAAACTCATGCACTTTATTACTACAGCGCTTTGGATATTCTGTACTGGCCAGATATAACTTTGGACCATTTCAACGAAATCATACCTTTCCTTAAAGATCTTGATCCTTCTATCAAAGACCGTATGTCAATCGAGGGTAAGGCGCTGTCAAAACTTTGTTATGATTGCAATGACTGTTTACTCATATAACTTATATTCATACTAGGACGCTACAAACCATATTTGAAAATACAAGCTAAACAAATTGCAAAACTAAAAAAAGACGAGCACTTGAAGTTGGATATCAATCTTGACTATGCAAAGTAAGTGCTTTCTTTTCATACTTACCCATGCCTGTATGTTCTTTTTTTTTTTTTTTCTGAATAACAACTGGTAAAAATTTTATTTCATTTGCAGCATGGAACAGCTGTCAAGCGAGATACGTCGGAAGTTGATGGAAATACGTCCTGAGACATTGGTAAGAATATAGGATGAGTACTTTCTTCTCCCATGAGTTATGAGAATTACTAAGAAGCATTTTCACAAAAACGCAGGGCGCTGCGAAAAGAATTGAAGGGATGACACCTGTCGCCATGGTGGTTCTCATGAAGTACATAAATCGCCGAGAACATGTGAAGGAGGCATCAGCCCTGTAATATCGCAAAGCCGCAAATTATAATTGTAATTTATGTATTTATAGTATTATATTTATTGGAAAACTATTCCTTCAAAATCTCATTAGAACAAAATCATTGCACAATAATTGTTGCAGAGTTCTTTCTGTTGTATAAAAATATCGGTATCATTTGCTTCTGTTGTATGCCATTATGAGGATGGGGAAGATGACGATGATGTTCCTTGTCGAGCTGCAAGCTAACGATTTTAAAGTGTGTTTGTTAACGGTTATCCTTGGGCAAAAGGTTGCTATTTGTAATGAATACTTACTCTTGCCTTAAGAGCGGCCATTCGTTCAGCAACAGTTCCTGTGCGCTTTGGTTTGGGTTTTTTAGCCTCTTCTTCTTCTTGCTTTGCTTTCTCTTGTGCTGCTAAAATTGCTTTTACCTATAAAAAATTGAATGTGACAGAACGAGGGTATATTAGCCTACTATACTTATCAATCAATACCGATGTTTAGGATACTTTACGCCAGGAGGGAGATTATCGCTCTTTTTCCATTCATCTTTATCTGTCAATAATTTGATGCTGGGAAGTGATGCTTGCGGTATGACTGCATCTGCCTATAATAAAATAGAGATATAACAAATCAATTGACAATGTTTAGTTTCTGAAAATTAAAGAGTCTGGTATTTTCTTGTACCTCAGGATGATCTCGGAAATACTTGTCGACAGCTTCTGCTAACAAGTCAGCACGCTTAACAAAATCTTTGGCTGATAAGGGAACTACCCAATCCACACCGCATTCAATCACATGTGCCTCTTTGGCCCTACCCATGTAGTCTCGAATCTCTTTTGCCTGTACCAAATATAACGTGGGCGCAACATACATTATCTGAGCAACGTGCGTCAGAGTAATGCTTCGGTTTGTACTATTCTTTAAGGTGTTCTGAACTTCGTGAAACACTACAGGACGAGAATGAGCCATACGTTCTGTAATAACGGTGTCAAGTGCACGGCGCAGTCTCGAAAGAGTAGTCTTTTCATATTCAATCCGTTGTTTGTCAGCCGGAGATCTGTAAATGAGAGGACGATGTTTGTCATTGTTATTGGTATCTTTTAATTGCAATGATTCGGAAGAGTAAATGGATGGGAATGAAGTTGGCGTCGTTTTCAAGTAGGAGTCCTCAGAATGCTGACAGACACTTGATGCAGCATGATAGAGTGGCGTAGATGGCTCGTCATTATAGCTGACAAATGAAGGAGGTGATGAGGATCGGTCTTGTTCTGAATCGAAAGATGTGCTTGCTGACATTGATGCTTTTTCCATTTCTTCGACGTTATTATCCTCTTTGTGTATGTGGGCAATAGTGGCTTTTTCATTTATTACAGTGGTTTGTTGTATCTCATATTCACTTCCAATCGTACTTATTTGAGTGGCTCCTTTCTCTGAAACTTTGCTAATTTCTACTAGTGAACCATTCTTTTTTGGATTCTCATCTTCTGAAATTTGCTCTTTTTCTTTGTTACTCAGTTTTTCAAGTGTATCTACTGTATTTTTCTCTTTCTCAGCCATGATCTTTGCTGCATTTTTATCTGCCTTATTACTTAATTTCTGCTTCTTATTGACTTTTTCTTCAGTACTGGTGTTTTTACGCTTTATTTCTATCTTTTCCACTGATTCTGGCATATCATTCGTTTTGGCAGGTGTAAGATTGAGTTTGCTCTGTTTTAATGTTTTCTTCTTTTGTGCTTTCACAACTTTTTTAGGGGTGTCGAGTTCCTATGGTGGAATTAGCATGTTGAGATGCAAAGAATATGTTTCAGTCAACTTTCACAATTTACCTTCAATAAGTCAAACGGTTGCTAAAAGTATAATAAAGAATGTTAGATGTTATTCTTCTTTGAGAATTACTAAAAGCTTCGAGCATTACCACCGCGACTGTTGGAAGTGAAGCATCGTCAATCTTTTTATTGGCATCAGCTCCCTGTGTATTCAGCCGTGCACTTCTCTGTTTAAAGCAAAGTAATTAGCTAAATTATATATAACCCATGTATTTTAGTTAAAACATTACCCTTATATGATATAAGGGGCGCATTCGTTGTTCCATGGTAAGTGTAAAAGACAGGGAAAAAAAAAGTAAACGTTTATTGAATGAAAAGCGAAAATTAACTAAATCAATGAAATGTGGGACTGGCAAAAATTTTCGTAATTCTTGAAATGCCGCAATACACCAGCGGAATACAGAGAACAAAGCACAAATTTTATTAATTTTATACAGAAGGTTCGTCATCTATTAAAGCTACAATATCTGATAATTCTCGTAATATTTCTGGGTCTGTTGTATGTTTCAACATGGATAACATTAGTTTTTCACGGAGAACTGACACGTCTAATAATCGGTTCCCAATTTCTTGAATCGTTAAACGATCCTTTTCATCTTTTTTGGTATCTAGGTGATACTGCAGACTTTGTTGAGATAGAGCAGCCAGCGGTCTATGTTGTTGTGCATTTTGCGAGCGTTGACTTGGACGCTTATAAATACCATCACCACCGCAAATAAGTGCGCGAATTAATTCCATACCATGTTTTGTTACTAAACTGAACTGAGGATTGCCTGATTCTGCCAAAGTAATGCATAGTCGCATTATCATCATTCCCATTCCCTTATTATTTTCTAAGAACCTCTGTCGTATGGTATCAGATAATTGAATGATGGCAACAATGTTGTAAAGCCCCATCACAATAAGCTCTAGTGTCGCTAGTTGGTTGGATGTCATAGCATGCATCACGCGTCCGTCGGAGGAGAAAAAGTCGCGTCTTATCACAGAAGTAAGTTCAAGCCATATATCTTCGATTAAAGTCAACATCCTTTCATTCTCTTTTTCTTCATCTTGCTTTTCGATAAGTGTATGTAATAGTTGTCGATTCTCATAGTTGACAGTAAGCTTCGTCCATGTTTCTATAGCTAACAAAGAGTAATATGTGTCGGGCCCGTTTATTAAGAAGTCATGCACTAGATACACCAAGACAGCTGCTGTTTTCTTCTCATTTAATGTCAGGAACATGGAGATATTGGACAAGATCATTAAGACGCTTTTTCGAAAGTCAAGTGTATCCATCAATCGTATACCCACAAACCATGTTTCGCGACCTGTAGTATCTTTCCCACTATTACTATTGTCGCTGTCATAACTGTTGCTTAAGAAACCCGTTATGTCGCAGAGTAGTCTGACAAAGCGAGAATGACGAGCTAAATATTCGATATTGTCTGTCATAAAAGACAAATTGCGAATAATATTAAATATGCATAAACATCTTTCACGAAGTGACATCCAAATATCTGATGTAGATTTTTCTAATTGTGGAATCAGACTCTTCATTTCGTCCAAAGACATATCAAATAAGTCGATGTAGGTTAAAACTGTACCTACTGTTGCTGTTTTTGCTGATGGGGTCGATGTCGATGCTGCCAATGAAGGCTTGGATAAAAATCGACTACTGCTACCTAAAATATCCTCCTCTAAATAGTCTAGTAACACATCTAATAAATCATCGCATTGCATCAAAGGAAGGTTACATTGCTGCTGTTGTTGTGGATGATGATGGTGAAATATCTGCGATTCTGTCGTTAAAACGGTCAATACATTAAGAGCATTGGTAACTTCCATCTTCAATCCAGACTTCAGTGACATGATAAGCGCTTGAATATCAATTATACCCAATTCATTCAAATGTGGTGTTAGGGGCTTTATTTCGAACTTGTCAAAATACTTCAGATCTACTCCACCGTAAGTATCTACATTACGTGTTTTCGGTATATAGGCTATCTTTTGTTGAGGAGTTACAGGTGGTGCTGGCGTTGATGGCTGCATATTTGCTAAGGGTTGTCGTTGTTGCTGCTGTGACTGATGGTTGCTATCTAATTGATTTTGTTGATTTGCACGGTTAGGTGATGCAGAGGTCTCTGAAGGTACATTAGGAGATTGTGGTTGTTGTGTGGATGATGGAGAATAACTGGCAGTCGTCGGTTTGGCCATTGGAGTCATAGGTGTAGGAGCTTGCTGCTGTCGATTACGCCCTGGGCTCATTTGAGGCGTCCCTATGGCATTATCGATTTGCCGGTGCTGTTGATGTGGAGTAGAATGATTACTAGCGGGTGTAGCTGATTGGCGGGGAATCGGTGACTGTTGGTGTGCTTGTTGCTGCTGTAATTGTGGTGAATTATACGATGTAGAAGGTGGATTGCTATTTAGTGAAGGTGAGCCGGCAACAGAAGTAGGATGTTTTTGTGGCACTTGTTGTTGACGGTGTTGCTGTTGCTGAAGAAAATTTTGTTGCTGTTGCATGAATTGATTATTCGCCTGGGAAGGTATAACACGCGTCATTTGAGGCGAGGGCGAAATACCATTAGTATGTTGAAAGCTTTGCGCTGGAGAATTTACATTTGGATTCATTGGAAAAACTACAACGATGCAGGAGACAGTCAATTAATATCGACAAAGACATTGTACAATCTCACAATCAATTGAATGAATATACCTGCATATTCCTGTCCGACTCTAGCACCTGCAATATGAGGGCTATTGTTTACAGAGGGTGAACTTATAACATTGTTGGGGATATTGCCGCTCATGGCCGGTGACTGGCTTGGTGATTGTTTGGCTATCAGAGGATAAAGTGCTCAATTAACTTATTCTGTATTATTTTCCATACTGATAAAAACTAACCTCTGGCCATAGCCATAGCAGCCGCTTGTTGCTGTTGAAACATAAGTGCTTGAGGTGAACCGGCCATTATGCTTCCATTGTTTTGATAGAGACCTCTATTCTGATACTGAGCGTGCATTGCTAGTAATGACAAGATCAGTATCGAAGACAGTACTTTACTAATTATCCCTTGCTCACTTTACCTGGACTATTTCCTTGAAGCCCCATCAAATTTTGTGGTGAATATACAGACTGAGGATGTGATGGTTGACGTAAATGTTGTTGTTGCTGTTGTTGTTGTTGTAGTGCTTGCTGTTGAAGTAAGTTCATATTCATATTGCCGCCAAAATTGGGATTGTTTTGTATGAAAGCGTTCATGTTCAAATCATTCGGATCAAGATTGCTGAAATCCGGTTGAACGTAATTCAAATTGGCCATATTAGCTGTATTAAAGGCCATATTGTTCAAACCGTTAAGCGGATTAAATTGTTGCATTTCAGGTTGAGGATGTTGTTGCTGCTGCTGAAATGACATCATCATATTAGGAGTTTGTGGATTCTGCTGTGGGTTGATGTTCATGCCCTGTGCAGCATTTGCGGAAAGTTTAGGATCCATAAAGGAAGATAAATAATTTACACACTCGCTTTGGTCTCGGTAAGAAAAGACGTTTAACTGAAAAGAACAAGTAAATGTCGGTAAATGTAACAAAAATTAAAGGGTTGAAGTTGACGGGTATGGCTGATTCAGTACTCTATATAACAAAAAAATAAAGTAGAGACATATAGTATAACAGCAAATTAACGTTAGCTTATAAAGAGAAAATCAAGACGGCCGCGTGTCTTCTATTATGCCTAACTTTTCAATACCTCCTACAATTATATTCTTTCACAATTCAGCTTCGGTATACAAGTAAAATGATGATGTGCCGGTGTTAGAACCAAAAAAAAAAAAAAAAAAAAAAAAAAAGATTATTTTAATCTGTTTTAAGCGTAACTAAACTTTTTCCGCTTGACGTCCTTTTGTGCGAAAAAAAAAAGGCACTTTTTTTTTTTCTTTTCTTTGAGAGGAATGATTTACTTGCGGGGCATGCTGACGTAAAAATTTTTACGTCACGGTTCGAGGATTCTTTTAGAGTATGTACTGTAAATCAAAGCAGTTACGCCCCCAATACATCAGTTCTTATTGGAAGAAGTATGAACATCGTTTTGAATGATAATGTTGCTAATAGTCCGGCGCATACCTAAAGTGTAGAAGTAATCTAGTATCTACGGGCTAGTGAATTGGAGCCGTTATCATTTTTGAACATAAAACAATTTAAACTCACAGTAACGCTGAGGTGTTTGCTAATTGAGGATACTGACACCTTTGCGTTTATCAAATTGTTGGCAGCTTCTGCTGTCATTAAATTGAGTTGGAAGAGCGTTGGTTTTCATGGTAACATGTGAACAAAAGAAAGAGAAAACATATATTGATGACTTGAAGAGAGATGGTTCATCTCTTACAGAGAACACGATATCTCTCCATTCTACTTTAATAAGGCTAAAAAGCTATATCTTTATTGTTCTGTTCCATATATCTTTTGCATACCGTCATAGAACCACAGTACATCTTTTAAACAAATTTTAACTGTCTGAGACTCACGCTGATACAGGGGGACCCACATCATAAACAACCCAAAAGAATGGTTATTCAGCTTGCCTTTATCTGAACTTGTAGCCCCTATATACTAGTAATATTTTAATAATCTCGTTATTTTCTCTATGGGCGTGATAGGCTATTTCATATTTATATTTTTATGACATTGCATTAATGGCTACTCTTTACTTTTAATTCAGCAAAACAAATGGAAATATTGATTCAATGCTCAAAAAGTGCTTCAAGTACATTCCAATGAGTAGGAGATATTTCAGGCTTTTGAATACACTAGGATAACTCTCAGCAAAATCTTAAAATAGCTAGCAAATGAGTCTCAGCGCTTGGTACGCAACCATGTAGTGTTGCTGTACGTTGTAAAAGAAAGCCACATTACATTTGTTGGTACGACGGTCCTGATGTGAAATATGCAATATACAGTGCTTTTCGTTCGTTTTTGAAGACTCCACATTTATGAATTGTCTTTGATGGACACTATAATATGATAGCAAATTCAGTCATACGTGGTTATTGATTTTGTTTGGTAAAACAAAATATAGTTTCCTTTTCGTAAAGGCGTTGTTGAGACGCAATTGCTAATTTACGATAAAAGGTCCTGCACAGAATATTTTCACAGATGGAAGTCATTTTCAAGAAGCACTTACAAAGTTCGTACAATTCGTCAGAAAAAGCATGCTAAGACTCCTAATTTATATACTTGGCTTGTGCAACTGCTTAGAAAAAAAAATGAAAGCATTTTACAGAAAATGATTAGCAATGTTGCTATAGTTTTACAAAACGTGATACAGAGGGAGGGGCCAACGTTGTTTGTTACTCCATACAATGTGCATGTTTAGGAGTAAAAAAAAAACAGAAATTTGATGTCAAAAATGGACGATATTTTTTCGATGAATATAACAGAAGGTAGACGATCTCACGATAGAAAATAGTTTCTCCTATCGCATAAATACATCGTTGATTAGAAATCCATACAAATCCGAGGGAGCTTGGATAATTGATCCATATTCATATTCTGCAAAAGCATGATGATCATTTACAGAATTTTACCGATTCTAAAATCAAACATTAGAAAATGGCCAAGCCCCAGTTCACGATTTGTTTGTGCTTCTCTGCCATTGCTTGTCGACGACGAGATCACTAGGCTTCAAGCATAATGTCAAATATTTTTCTGATGTTAAAGTCAATATACTATAATTTATTAACTGATAAAGGTAAAGTAAATTACATGTGGCTGCGTACATAAAGAAGTACTAGATACGTATTAATGTCAAAGGAGAATAAATAAAGAAGGATATGGAAAGTTAAGTCGGATTTCTCGAGGATGTTTATGATTGAGCAGCCTAATATAAGACGGCAAAGAGCAAAGCGCCGAAAAGACCAGCAGTTGAGGCAGCGGTAACGCGAGAACCAGCACTAGCACTAACGGCACCAGCAGCATGAACACTTGAAGCTGTACCGTCAGTGGAAGCAGAATTGTCATTGGAAGCAGAATTGTCAGTGGAAGCAGAATTGTCAGTGGGGGTAGAATTGTCAGTGGGAGTAGAAGTGACAGTATTTGCGGAAAGAGAGGCAGGACTAGCAGCAACTGAAGCAGAAGCTGAGGCAGATGGAGAAGTAGTAACAGTTGCTGCATTTTTAGGAATGCTTTCATCGGCGACAGGATACACAAAATTGGTTTCCCAGTAGGGATTAGAGATATTGAAGCATTGGTTCCAAGGAACAACATTGAAGACTTGTTGAATCTTAGGAAGCCATTTTTCAGCCATAGAGACAGTGGAATTGTTCAATTCATGTTGAAGAACGATGTGGCCATGTTTATTATCGGTACCATTCTTACGGCTATTGATCCAACCTTCAAAGTAGCCGTCAACAGTCGCAGGAGGTAAATTACCTCCACCTTCACCAGGCATATTCCAGTCGTCGGTATCTTCATCCCAAAGAACAGTAGTAAGACCCATTTGCCAAGCAATGGCACGGACACGGTTATCGACATCACCGTAAGGAGGACGCCAGCACTTGGTAGTAACACCTGTAACCTCCTTGATAGCCTTCATTGTCCAATACAGTTCAGCAACGATTTGATGGTTTGTTTGACTGGTCATAGCAGGGTGGGACCATGTATGAACGCAAAGCGTATGACCGTTAGCTAAGGCTCTTTGAGCAGCAGCAGGCGCCGCAATAACATTTGAACCGATGTCTGAAGTAAAGCAGGAAAAAGTGTAAGGTGTTAATGGATTTTTTCTACTTGGCAAATACCCATGATGGATGCACCATCAGGGGCTGTCGATGAGATCAACTTACAGAATAAGCCTGCTTTTTGGTTATTATGAGCAGCCAAAAAGTCATACAACTCAGGCTCAGCCCATTTGCCACCATCATCAGCTGTGAGGGGGCCATCATCGTAAGTCTAGACGAGCGGGAAAAGTTCTGTATTAGTAAAAAATCTTGATCAGTTTGTTTTTAATTGTATGATGCACTATTTACCAAACCCCAGTCGCCGACATTGGGACAGTTAGCAACATCTGCTGGAATGGATGCGTTCTTTGGCGTGACACAGCCAGTAGCACTCCACCAGCAATCAGGATCTTTAGCATCGTCATAGCCAGTCATAGACAGGTCACCGTTGTTATCCGATTTACGGACAGGTACGTTAGGAACCATAGACCAATCAATAGCGGCAATAGCAGCTTTGACTTCGGCTGAGGTAGTTGGAGGACTCTTCCAACCTTCAGGATAGCCAGAAATATCGAAAGAAACACTGGGTAATGGGCCGGTAGGGATGGACTTACCTCCAGAAGGGTAAGATTGAACATTACCAGAAAGGGGAACGACGTGAGAAAGCCATTCTGGCGATTTTTGAGGAGGAGGGGCATTGTGTGTGGTAGTAGAAGAGGTAGATGATTTGCTGCTAGTGGACTTGGTACTTTGTGCATTCGCCATAGCCATGGCAGTGAAAACTAAGGTCACGGTCGATGAAAGCTTCATTGTACTATATTGATAAGGAAAGGAAGGAAGAAACCGAGGGAAAGACAAAGTCTGATGCCATCTTTTCTTTATTTTTATAGGTTTGATAGGCCCTTTTTTGTGACAGGTACGGTTCCTAATGAGCGTTGTAACCTTTTTAGCTAGTGCAAGTTGCACAGTTTAGGGTTATTTGTTTTCTGGATGTCCTGTAAGTATTTTTTTGTATGACAAAACTTGCTACTTCAGGCAGACCTAAAAAAAGACATTGAACTGCAGCAACAAATACCATAATAGAACAAATTGGTTTATATTTGGACAATTTTACTCGAATAATATTTGTGAAAAGCCCGAGAACAACAGCGCGCAGAAAATTGTTTTTCCTCTTTCCTTTCTGATGCCAGGTCAATGTAACTCCATAATGTTACGATACGGCAACCTTCTTACTGCTTGTAGATATCAGCCTTTCTGCAAAAATCATTTCGTACCCAAGCCCATCAACTTCTTCTTTACAAAAACCTTTCTCATTTCTTATCTTTTCTGATAGACAGACAGCACTAGAAAGACTAACGATTTCAATCTGATCACAACCTATAGACATTTTACGTATTTTTTTTTTCCCTTCTTCTCACAGTGATCTATCTGTCCATCAGAGTCATTGTTACGCCTTTTGTAGCAAAGCTTGCATTGCAATCTGATATAATATCATTCCTATTGACATACTAACTTTCAACATGAGAAAATGACATAGCTTCGGAGCTACTCATCTTTCAATCAATGTTCAAGTGATATACTGCCGAATTTTCTCTTAATTGGCATATGCACGGCATAAATCAGGAGTAAACAGTTACAAAAGTGTTTTCAAACTTAAAAAACTCGAAGTTGGTAATGTCTTTTTAGCCAACATACGGTACGCTCGCGTTGCTACCTTTGTCCTTCCTTCCGCCAGATCCACTGCACAATTTGAATCGGAAAGTACAATGGTGAGTATTTTATTATTCAGCAACTGGCATTGTTACTTGACTGAGTAATTAAAATCAACTTTGATCAAAGTAAACAGCCAATCATTATGGATAATCGCGCAGCACATGCGTTCGTTGGTATCTTCACAAAAAGGTACAGAAAACCAAACCACAAAAAGCAAAACAATCATTATTTTTTCTATTTCATTTAAATATAATAAAAATTGAAAAATATTACATAAATTATTAGAGAGATTAATGTAGGTATGTAAAATGTAAGGAAAAGAATACAGAATGAGGTATACAAAAAATTTACATGAATAGCTGAGAAGAGTAAAAAGCACCTCATTGAGTTATTAACAGGGCGACGGATACAGACAATTGGCGGCGCTAAACACGTGATGTCATGGAATGAGGAGCAGATGTTTCATTTTAATCTTCTTCTTCGGAATCATTAAGAACGGAATTTGAAGGAGAAGAAGGCATCAGAAGTGCAGCATTGGTTCTTCTGGGGCAGTATCTATATTCGGGGAAGGCTGCCTTATGTGCTTGCTTATCTTTTTCAGCCAGATCATGCCAAGGCTTCTTCTCGCTCTCAGATAAACGTGCCCAACATCGAGATGCGCGCCTAAAAGTTGGTGTTAGAAACCATGATTTTGAAAAGCAAAACTAGAAATTTAGAAATACATACTTTGAGATATCTTCTGCTCGAAGCGTAGGATCTTGAGCCTTTAATGCTTGACCATAATGGCAACGGAACTATATTGTTATAAATGAAAGAGAAATGTCGGTAAGGCTCAGTGCAAATAGAAACTCATAAAGAGTTGAGTAAGTGTAAGAAAAAGAGACTTACGTGGATCCAAGCATTGCGAGGACGTTTGATATGATCATTTTTTGTAAGGAACTTCTTTTGATTAGCACTGAAAGGACACCTACTACTGGGACGCTTTCCACCCTGAGTCATGAAGGCAACACGTGTAAAGGAATGGCGTTTAGGCTCGACCGTTCTTGGTGTTGCTGTCTGTTGGGTTCCGCGATAAAAGGAAGCAATAGGACACTTGCCCGAATGCTGCAGTTGTCCTTGCCAGTTGGGATCTGTTCCATTGGCGGAATAAACAGATCCAGAATGATTATCATTTACAATTGTTTCTGGGTAATTTTTCAGAGAAGCAGCGGCGATAGCAGCAGCAGCCATCATCGTAGGCGATTGTGGCTGATCAGCCGAATCAGTCGTTACATTATCATTCTTCTGTAATACATTAGGATGATTTGCTGGCCAATTAGTGATAGTCGCGTTATTATCACCGGCCATGGCATGAGCAAAAGGGCATCTGCTGACAGCCTGATTTGAGTCCGTTACTAGTGTTTCTGGCCTAGGTTGTATGGAGGGTAATGCGGTTGAGGGTGCATGACGACAGGGTATATGCGTATTGCTGCTCTTTGGATATACTGACTCCGCAGACAGATTCTGAGGTATATTGGTATTTGATAAAGGAGAAGGCGGGTTAGAAGACTCGGAGGTAACAGAAGACGCTGAAGATGGTAGCAAAGTAGGAGAACTAACGAGAGGTGGATGGATTCGAGGTAGGAATGTATTACCCCACTGTTCTTTGGTAGGTGTCGGACAGGGCTCAAGGAACGACGGAAGCCTGTTCAGATTTCGTGCTCGCTTAGCTATTATACAATAATAAGTCAGTTGAATATGGCCAGATCACAAAAACAAAAAAAAAAGGAAAAATCAATCAGATGTGTTACATTCGGATGAGATCTCTTTAATAGGAGCAAGTTCTATTGCAGTTGACGAAGGTGACAAATGAAGAGCAGTTGAATCGGATATAGAAGCAGCAGGTGCCAACTTCGGTGAAGCAAGCATTTGGTTAACGTTCATGTCTACGATATTCAGATAGCTTTGAACAATGGCGTTGAGGCGTTTGTAGTTGAAGAAAGTTCCTTATTTTTTTGTTGAAAAAAAAAAAAAAGAAAAAGAAAAAAAGCTATATGGTTGCAGGAAAAGAAGAAAAGAACAATAATCACTAAAGGCTTTTATAAAGAAACGTTCCATTTTTTATGAATCAGACTGAACTTCAAATTTTTGACAGTTTTACCCTTCAATTTTTTTCTATTTTCCCTGCAACAATTAGATCTCATCGCGCGATTTGGTGTGCAACAACCCATTGTTGTAGTTATTGTTGCTTTTTTCTTATGACAAAGACAAGCCTATTTTATATTTATCGAATTGCTTACACGTATTAATCGCTCAAGTAAACAACATTGAGCACTGATGTTCGTCCGCCTTTTAAGTAGGTGGAGGTTTACGGCCGAATTGAGATAAAAAATCAATTCAGTCTTTCTGTATATCGTTCCGTTTCATCACAATGAATACAATAAGCACAGAATTGAACCCCACCAAAAGCACGAATGTGAGGCCACTTTTCTGAATCCCCTTTTTTTGGAACGGAATACGATCTTATTGGCTAAAAACTTCTCAGATCTTTTATCAGATGATAAACCAACATGTTTATCTTTTCAGCCCACATCAGCGCGAAACGTGGCAATTTACTATTATACTTTTGCAATGGTTTCGATGACAGTATATGTATGCTCGTCAAAAGAAAATAAAATCAATTCTTTGCACGAAAACGTAGATGAACAAGGGTGGAGAACGTGCTGCTGCGCATTCTACATATTTGAAACCAATTGTTTAAGATAAGCAGAATTAAGCATCAAGTTGAGCTCGAAAACAGGGCCTTGAAGATTTCTATTGTTCAACTAATCTTATTGTTTGAAGAGCCTTCTTAACGCACGCACGTACCTCTGAAATTAAACAGTGCCGGATTCGAAATACGCTCTATAAGCGGCCTTCGGGACCGCATTTTCTTGTTCCGGAAAGCATGGAAAATTCATGCAGTGCACAGAAAAGGACTTCACAGCGCAAAACTTACTCTCTTTGTTCCTTTTTGCATTTGTAAGATTCTTCACTTCCCCACATTTGCCTACTTTGTCCACCCTGCCTTGTTGCATTTACTTCTCCATTGAGCGTTCATTCCTAGTTTGTCTTAGAAATGCTATATCAACGATGGACATAAGCTATAACTTGGTATGGGCTTAAGTACGGCTATCTGTATTCTCTTTGCTGGCATCAATATCTTTCCAATGCAATGGCGGGATTATGTCGCCTTACGGTTCCCGTATTTACTGCATTCTGTACATTTCTGATTTAAATCAACGTAATTTTTACTTGGGCGTCTAAACTCAAAGTATTTGGGTAGTATATTTCTTTCTTTGAAAAGAGGAAAATGATACTACAATGACTGATATTGTACAAATCATTCTGAGCGTCTGCTCTAATAAAAGTTCCATAAGCTAGTAGTATTAATAATAAAAAATGCTGGTCAAATGGGAAACGATTGAAGGTTAAAGCAGCGCACAACGAATGGTGTGTATAGCTCCCAAAAGTAAGGTATAAATGATAAAGCTGTTCATCCAATCGTACTGAAAGTCTCTATCTCTGAAAATTGAGATTGAGATTGATGAGATAACGCAAAACTCTACTGCTTGCCAGTTTGCGGCTTTTGTTAGATCAGCAATGATCTTTGCCCGGGCAACAAACAATAGGGAACAAGCAACGATGGTTCGACTTTCTGCCTATTTTTTATCGTATTCACAGCATAGCGATATGTAGGTTGCTGCGATGTTTTTTGCTTTACTAAGTATGTTATAATCGTAAAATTGGTGACTTTCAATGCGAAACAACTTGAAAGTAACATTTAGAAAAGTATAGGAGACTACAATAAGAATAATACCCAAGAAAAGAAGCACTTTGACTATAAATCCGTGCTGTTACATTTAAAACATGTAAAAGGACACACTGAGTTGTTTGAGTGTATTTAATTCACGTACTTTATTAAAAGTGACTAACAACGGACAATAAATTATATTTTGATAAGTGGCAATAAAGAAGTGAAGAAAAGGCATACATAAAAACTACGACAAAGAAACCATTAAATATACTACGAGCTCGTATTGAGTGTTCTGAATCGAACCTCGTCTTGGTAGACGGTATGAACTCCTGCTAGGGACCAAGAGATGCGATCAAAATGGCAGCGCCAATGATATTTCCAGATACTTAAAAGTATCAAACTAACCTGAACGATTGTGTGGTCAGGCAGAGGAGAATTATCTAACGGGGAACAAAGTGCTAACAATATATGCCAAATGCCAGTAGGTGAGGCAGGAAAAGAGATAATTCTATTTTCCTCCAGTGCCGTGATCCAAAATTGCCATTTAGGTGGACAACCAACGAAAAAATGAAAACCATCTTCAGGGGAGTCTCTGCAATGGCGGCAAAGAGGGGAGTCAGCTATAACAGGATTGATGGAAAACAGCCAAGCTCTGTACCCAACGCAATTATGCCATAAACGCCACCATGGAGTTAGCACTGCATGAGGGATTGAGAGTGACCAGAACCGTTGCCATTGAGCCGGAGGCCGATACCATAAAGGAAACACTTGAGGAATCCGAGGAGGGTCACTAAAAACGGAATAATCAGGATGCCAGTATAGCCGTAGCATACCAAGCGAAAGCTTTAATATGGTGGTATTGTTCTGAGAACCAGAAGGTACACGCCACTGGGACATATCAGGCAACCATAAGGAGCTGTAAGATACATTAGGCCATCGTGAAGTGGGCGTAGGAGCAGCAGCCGGAGGAGGGGCCCGGACGTCAATCAATCGGTTCTGAATAAAAGGAAGCCATTGTATTACACCTTGGGAAAGTAAACTAGGTATCCTTTTCAGTTTCGGATAGTCCTGAAAATACGTATACCCTAGCGTGTAGAAGCAGTTAGTTATCGAAGACCAAAGGAGAACAGTAGAGACGATTAAATGCCGTGGGAGGCTATTGAGATCCACGTGTAAGGGGCCTACAAACGAGGGGGAACGCTGTAAGGCACTACGAAGGGGCAAATCAGCAATCCAGCGGCCATGCCATGAGGAGGAAAGAGATGATGAAGGAAGTTTCATCAGCAGAGAACATAGGTGGATCATATTCGGAAGGAAGCGAAATGATGAACGATAAGTGGCAGTCGATAAAATCCATGGTAGTAAGGACAACTGACCGGTGTACACTTGGATACAATGTGCCAGTAATGGGGAGACAAAATCGGTTGATGAAGGGGGCTGTAGAAGGCGCTGAACATACACAAGATGAAGAGCTAATTGTTGTCGGTGCAGATCCACTAAGCCTAAACCACCAAAACGTTTAGGTGAGCACAAGCGCTCCCACGATGGAGCAGGCCAGAAAGGAACCACAAAAGACCGGACAATGCTACGAAGCTTATCAAGCCAGTCCACCGGAACAACTACAACACGCAGGAGATGCCATAACTTACTAAGTATCAAGGAATTAGCAACTAGTGAGGCACCTCGGACAGACAATCCCCGTTGTTTCAGGAGGTTACAGTGACGGACTATTTTCAGTTCAAGGGAGGCTAGATAGTGTTTTAGTTGAGCATTGGTTGAGAAGAGAGGATAGCCGAGATATTTGGCAGCAGATGGACTTTCAGCTGTATGAAAGGTTACAGATTCCTGATTAGCAATATGCAGCCATGCCGTATGCGGATGACCAGAGAGGGAAACAATTTCTGTTTTTGTCAAATTGACACGGGCATTACTAGCGTTACCATAAACTGTAAGGAGGTCTTTCAAGACACGCCATTCCGTAGGTGTGGTCAAGAAAACCTCTAAATCATCCGCATAGCTCAATAATTTGAAACGAGGGGGGTTTTGCCAGTCAAACAAAGGCTGTGGTTCAAAACGGACACTCAGACTGCGAGCTAGAAGTTGTCCATATCGACTAGAGGAGGCGGAGGTTGAGAGCAGTGAAACGCCTTTGATGTCAGGGCTCGACAAAATGGTACGTAGTAAGGGTTCGAAAGCTAAATTGAACAACAGTGGTGATAAGGGGTCTCCCTGCCGAAGGCCACGTTGTTGGCGAACGGGAGCACTTAACCATCCATTGATGTTAAGGGATATTTCTGTATCAAAAAATAGGCTAGATAAACAAGATACGAGGGAAGCAGGAAAGCCGAAATGCTTCATAACCATCTGAAGGTAGGTAGGATGTACTCGGTCATATGCTTTTTCTTGATCAAGGAGGACAGCAACAGCAGGGTGAGACATACCACAATGGCTATAATGTGACATTAGTATTTGGTTAACCCACCCATTATCCGAGATTAGTCGGTGCGGTAAAAAGCCAGTCTGATAGCGATTAATCAGCTGTGGTAAAACGACATTGAACCTATTAGCTAATAGTTTTGTGAAAATCTTCGCATCAGTGTTGATCATCGATAGAGGCCGCCAGTTCTGTAAGAGTTCAGGGTCTCCCTTTTTGTACAGTAAGACCATCCGAGTTTGTTTCCAGGTGGCTGGGAAAATATTTTCAAAGGCGTCAGTATAAACTTGAAGGAAGAGTTGCTTAAAACCCGGAATGTTCCAGGAAAGCAGATGGCGGTAAACCTCATACGGTATGCCATCTAAACCAGGACTTTTTTGTGGAGGCAAGTGGTTAACTATAGAAATTAGTTCTTCTGACGTGGGCGGTGCTGTAAGATCATTCTGTTGAGCGTTTGTAAGACCAATTGCCTGCGGAACATTATCGAGTAACGTTTGAACGGCCGACAGGTCGATAGGATCAGGGCGGTAAAGGTTGCTATAGAACATATGAGCTTCCTCAAGGATAGCATTAGTACTAGTTAAGACAGGGCCATCTTGACCACTTTTTAAAGATTGAATCGTTCGTTGTGCTTGTCTTTCTTTGATAACCCTGTAAAAGTATCTATTATTGCGCTCTCCTTTCTCATGCCATCGAGTGGCTGACCGTAAAAGATGTTGCTGCGCGGATTCTTCCTGCAATTTGTCTAGTTTCTGTTCAATAAGCGACACTTGTCTGTTGGTTATATTGAATGCTGGCTTATCTAAGGAAAGCAGGGCTTCCCGTTGGTGTTGAAGTTCGGCAATGGTTGTCTGCCTTTTAGCAGTAGATCCATGGGAGAATAGGTTTGCAATGTGTTTTAATAAATGTTTTAGAGCCTCCCAGGTACTTTGTGGGTTGGAGGTGATATTATTACGGACGTCAAAGAACTCAATGAGGGCAGTCTTTAATAAATCCACAAATATATCGTTAGACAGCAGCAAAGGGTTGAAGCGCCATACCCCGGGTCCTACGTCCAAACGATCGGATGACAGGTCAGCCATCATGAGGACATGGTCTGTCCAAGCGCTAGGTAGGTACCGTTGAGTTCTGTTAAGGACTCGTGCGGTAATACTTCGGTGACAGAAGAAATAATCGATGGTACTGCGAGTGACACCACGCTGGAAAGTAGGAATGCTTGCAGAGAAGCAGTTATCATAATAGTGAGTGAGATGACGATACCATTCATGAAAACTAGGATTGGTTGAAGTGGTTGATAGAGAAGCTAGCGACATATTAAAATCGCCAACAATAAAGCTGACATCTGGAGCCTCCTTTGTAAAAAACGGTTGTGACATCAAGGAGGCGAGGAAAGGCATTCTATCATGGGTAGATGCTGGAACGTAAATATTAGTGATAGAGCATATAAAGTTACGGGTAACTGTATCGATGATGGTCGCTTGTAAACAGCGTTCATCGAAAGTGACAATTTCATCTGTTAACAATAACGTCGGGTTTAAACAGATAATGGCACAATACTTAGAGAGTAGGATTGCACACTGGGGAAAGAGGAAGGAATGGAAATATTTGATTTGATCGATTGTGAGGTGGTCTTGTGAATGATATGCGGATACTTCTTGGAGACATAAAATGTCAACAGACAAAGCAGGGGAACGTAAATGGGATATATATTGTTTCTGGGTATATTTGTTAGCATCCTTGAAAATGCTGCGAGCATTTAAGGATTCGACGCGTATTGGTCGATTATTCATTGCCCTCCTGGGCGGTCATGACTATGTTGGGAGGAGTGGTATCCGCATCTATTATCAGATCCATATCATCGGTGTGAGCAGGAGTTAAACGACTATGAAGGGGTGTAGTCGCCGAACTAGTGTTCGCATCGGAAGAAGCAGGTGTTGCAGGCTCGTCCAGAGCCATACTGGCAGCAACAGTGATACTGGCATATTTTGAGCCGGCAGTACCAGTGGGTGTATTGAATGGAGACAAAGTATGATCTACAGAAGCCTTAGCGGTCGTTGATCGGGTAGCATATCGTTTTGCCTTTTTCGGGATGATAAGGCCAGACTCATCATTGATGGTAGAGGAATGTGTAGGGCTATCGGTGGGGCGTTCTTTATGGGCGAGTTCACTCTCAAAGAAACCTCGATTGGTAAGCATCTTGATCTGGCACACCTTGCCATAAATGGCCATAGATTTCTTAAGCTTACTTATCAAGGTTGCTTCATCCTCAAATTGAAAGAGGGTGAGGTTGACACGCGTGAAAGTGGTATCAACCTTATCTACGAAGCGGCTGGCTTTGTAGGTGACATGCTCAACAGTTACGCCATGCGAAATGGCTTTGGTGTTGGCATCATCGGACTTGAACTTAGTTGCAATGATTAAATCGGAAAGGGGACGTGTACTACGTAAAGAGATAGGATTAAATCCCCCAAGGACAGGGCCAAGCTGATCAGTGATCAATCTATACGCGTCGGTATAATGACCAAAAATTTTAGAAGGAAACTTGAAGATAACCGACCCACTCGTAAGAGTTGAGTGGACGATCGACGTGATTTGTTGTGAACGCAAATAAGCAGCCACGTCAGGTGCCTCGTAAAGCAGCTTAGCAACGAAACGTTCACGTTGGCCATCATGAACCTTTTTTAATGGCGCCGGGATACGGCTGGCGCTTTTCCGAGCAGTTACAGTTGCTCAGGTAGCCTCAGAAGATGAGGATGCAACACTCATTGTCAAATGGGTTGAGATGGTGTTGGCAAAAGTGGTTACGGGTTAGGAAGGGTATGTCGCGATTTGATTGGTGGATTTAGTTGGAAAACAAAATACGTTTGAGTGTAAAAAATGACAAATTTGAACCCAGTATTTCAAGCCAGTTTGAGACATCACAACTCTAAATTTGGGACTAACAATTTGGAATATGGAATCTTTACACTTTAGAAATAATCGAAGCATGTATGGATTAGGAAAATCCATACATTGAAAAATCTCGAACAAAAATACTTCTTATTTAGAGCCTTTGCTTCAGCTTTCAGTAGGATAACTAGCTTGTAAGAACATCATTAAAGATTACATAATGTCTTTTGAGAAAAAGGCCCTTCAGAAAACCATTCTGCTTGGCAAAAGGGGCGGAAGAGGGTCTGGGTTCTATTTTACTTTTGCAAAACAAACTAGAAAATAGAGAATTCCTGGCTGTTTACTTATTTTACTAAAAATAATAAATACCCCTTTTTTCGTGATAAGTTGACCATAATGCCATATCGCAAGAGAGCAGGCTACTTACTTCGTGTGATATATTAGAATTGAGGTATCAAGTTTTCTCTTTCATCCTCATTACATCCTTTGCCCTATCATATGGACAATTCCGTCTGCTTATATCCCATTATGGAAAAAATTTAATTATGTCAAAGAAAGCATAACAGTGGATCCGTTTCGAGAAAAAACGCGAGTATAGCACATAATAATAATATCATGATCGAATATTATACATTTATACGATATAAAGCGTCAGTGTTTTTGTGTTTTTTTTGTTTACGCTTGTAGTACGGATCAGAAGTGGTTTTGCTTTGTAGCAAGGCTCAAACCGTACACCGTATGATAATCTTGCGATTCAACGGAATCACAAATATAATTGCTTGAAAATTGAAAGTCAAAAAACTAAAGCATAGTCAACAAACAGATGAACGTCAATTCACAGTGATCAGTAGCTGTCAAGCTTGTTTTCTTCCCCTTTTTTTGGCATCTCAAATACTCTTCATGGAGATGAAGGCCTGAAGATTAAATGCAGACAACATTATAAAGGGTTTTCTTGTGATTTTGTGATGGCATGGTCAAGCTGAAGAGCCATCGAACTGCTGTTGTCGAAATATTATAGCGCGCATTACAACGAAGAGAAGCCGCTGGTGAACTGTTGACATCACAATCAATGAATAGGGCATCACGCATTTGTAATTGTTGTCGCTCAGGCAAATCGGAAGCATTAGTTACCATACGTATCCTTGTCTACAAAACTAGTGTAAGTTATTCTGAAACCGCGATATCAATGCAGCAAAAATTATGATGGCTATTGTTGTCTCTCTTTTAAAAGAAACTTTAGCCGAAAGGCGACAACAGAATCAGATATCCTTATATCATTGCCACAACGAAATTGGGTTGACTTACACAGGCATATTTTCTAATCAATATGCGACTACCTCTCAAAATTGTAGATCGAGAAATTCTAATTAGTCCTTAATTCGAACCTCCGTCTAAAACCGAAGCTAAATAACTGTCATTTGTGGTATCACTCTGAGCCGTGCTTTTTATAGACGCTGACAAGACAGATTTTAGAACGAAAAAGAAAATCTGACATTCTATGTGATACAAGCTTTTGTCTTGACGTTTGTCATTTGGTGTAGTACAACAGTTTATTTTTAAACATGTCAAGAAATTCTTTTGTTGTATATGCCTGGATCAAATAGAACATGACAAACTGTTGTAATGATGGAAGAGTCAGAAAGACTAAAAACTAGACTAAGGCAAATATACTAAAAAGACTTTGAAGGCTTCTTCAGACAAATAAACCTTTGGTATATGTTATTCAAACAAGTTCAATTGAACGAAAAAAAAGTATAGAAAAAAAGACTACTTCCTCGAGTTGCTATGCTTAAAATAGACTTAGTCAAAAGAAATCAAAGCCTTTTTATGGAAATATATTTCCTCTTTGACATAATTTTACCTTAATGCCTCAAAAAAAAATAATAATTCGCTTATATTTGTACATTTTGATAGTTACCTGGTTTATGAAACGACAATTATTAAGGTAAATTGTAAATAAAATAGAAGTAACCCGTTTTTTTGTTTTATTGTCGGAATCAAATGCGTTTATTTTTGTTCCTGCCGACGGCCGCGAAAGTTCCATGAGATCAGCGGATCAATAACGAAGGGTGACTAAACTTGGTCCAAGGCCATGAGCGTCTTCTATGGATTCTGCTTTATTACCGTTAGATCCATTTAAGGGTCCGCAAAGTATATATATACATCCTTTACTTCCACATCCAACCGGCTTGACTATTCTTATTATACATCTTTTCCGTTTCCTTTTTCTTTTATCAATATCCAATAATGTATCTTGCAAAAGTTGGTGCTTTATTTCTAGCTACAGGTACCTTTGTATCTGCTACCAAACACTCAAGCAGTAGTGATGAGCCCAGTTCTACAAGCGTCGGAATTCTACCTGTTGAATCGCCCACATGGTTACCCGACTTCCCTTTACCTAAAGATGTTAGAACTAGCTATCCCACCAGCACACCTCAGATTAGTACAACGTTATCTCAGGAGACCTTGAATCTAGATAACTATCCAGAACCTTGGTCTTCCCCTAACACGAACACTTCTGAAATCAAGGCCGTCATGAACGCTATTGATTGGACCAAGGTTCCTAAAGCGCCCATTCGTAAAGCGAAGAAGAACGGTGACCTCGATATGGACAGTTACAATGTTGATGATGACCCATACTGTTGGTGGTCTGATACCAACTGCGTCAAGCCTAAAGCCAAATACTTGCCTGAAGATATAACTTATTGCCCCAGAGCCGGCGATTGGGGACTTAATTATGATGATGGACCATTCAACCTTGCTGGTGATAAAGAACTTGATAAATACGCTGAGCCAGAACTCTATAACTTCTTGGCCAAGACCAATAACCAAAAAGCAACCCTCTTTGTAAGTATTGGACGTGAACACGCTTGATTAGGAAAATCAAAATTATATACACCTCTTCTTGGATTAATTAACCAATTCAATAATCACTTTATGCAAATAGTATATCGGCTCTAACGTAGCTACTTATCCTGCTGCTGCAAGACGTGCATTAAATGATGGCCATGTTCTGTGTGCTCACACTTGGTCTCATGCTCAAATGACTACGCAAACCAACGAGCAAGTTGTTGCTGAGCTCTACTGGACTATTCGTGCTATCAAAGAAGCAACCGGCGTTACCACAAAATGCTGGCGTCCTCCATATGGTGATGTTGACGATCGAGTTCGTGCTATTGCTCACCAAATGGGTTTACAAACCATCATTTGGGATCAAGATACCGATGATTGGAACATGTTTGGTGAAGGTGGCGGTATGTTGCCTACTTCCACGGTTGACGGCTACTTTACTGAATGGATCAAGGCCGCCAAAAAGAAGACTGATACTCATGGTCATATTGTCCTTCAACACGAATTGAACAATGCTACCGTTAAGATGGCTGAAAAATGGTTATCCACCCTTCAAGAGAACTTCAACGTCGTTACAATCCAACAATGCATGAATATTTCACAACCCTATTGGGAAAGCAACTGGGTCTATCCTACTGAAGCGAATCCTAACGTTGCCAACACCACCATATCGTCTCCCATCACCGACAACAACAATTCTACTTCCAAAAGTCAACCCACATCAACCCACAAAGCCTCATCCTCTTCGGAACGAGCACCAACACATGCAACTACTCATTATGCTGCTGATACTACCATCAAAACAGACGACTACACTGCCGATGCATCTGATAACAAAGATGCTTCTCCCACAAGCAATATCGAATTGAACGCCAAAACTACCGATATTCTCTTAGCTGTTGTTGACTCAGAGTTGCAAATCTCTGGTGCCTTAAGAAACAATGCTGACAGTTCTTCTTTAATTGCTCTTGCTGCCGCTTCCATCACTTATTTTTTCTTCAACTAATTAATATATTATTATTACCCACCAGCTGCTTTTAGCTGTTGTCCTTTAACTTATTTCATGCCAATGAACACGTTCATGGCCTCCATCCTCCGCATTCATGCATTTTTTTTTAACTCTACCCCCTTTGTATATATGTATAAAAATAGTATGTTCAACAATGTCAATAGATAATGTCTTTTATTTCGCATGAAGTAGTAAGATGGCAATTAGAGCTTTTCCCCGGGTGTCCTTTTTATGTCTATCATGTGATTATTGGCTAAAATAATGGTACAGTTTCAACTTTTTAATGATGTGCGGGGTTTTCGCATATGCCATACACATCGCCTGGTTCCTTACGACAGTAAAGGCCATCAGCGCAAACCAGGTTTTGGCTACACACTATAGCCCAAATGAATGATGTTAATAATGTCAATACTTAGCACCTCTTTCCTTTATTTAGACTAATCTTTTACTTTGATGGAATGAGCGGGACTCCGGAACATCCGCAGCAAGAGCAAGAGCAAAAATCATGGGGAGGAGGATCACAAGAAGCTGAGTTTTCATGCTGCGTTTGTTTCGTTAATGCCAAAGACTGGTATATTTTATGAGGCTTTGAGTGTGGTGTGCTTTTTACTTTAATGTAATTGAAGCAAATGACAATGAACAAAAAGAGAAGGTAGAAATATGTTATCATTTCGCCTCAGCTTCCTTTTTATCTACAATGAATCTTTTCACGACTATTTTAAATTGAACCACATAAACATACAATCTTGATTTTTCTTATTTAAAGGTAACAGAGGTCATGTGTCCAACAGGAAGTAGCGTAAATCGAGTAGTTTGTCGAGCCATTGGTAAAATATTATATTGTTCTTGTTGTTGGCTAGACATGGTCTTCCTTGTTCTAAAAATAGCAATCGGGTCAATTTCGTATTCTTGTCAAGATCTATAAACCTGCAAAGGTCTGGTTTCTTACCTCTCGAATGCTTGAACATAGCCACTTGCCAACACATTTAGTAGTAAGAAATGCTTGACGTAAAACTTACTAATGCTTGCCTTCAAGTGAGCTTCGAAAGTAGCCCAATTGATTGGGTCAACCTAATTGATATTGTAGAGCAGTTAAAAGAGAGAAGCAAAGCATAATATCAGTTTAGTTTACAGTGCCTTCCTTTACCTGTTTCTGTAAAATTTGTAATATCTCATCTGACATTTCTATATCTTGTTTTTTTAATACTGTATACAAGAACATGTAATCAAAGATCAATTGAATGGCTCCATTTTCAGTTACTCGTTTTCTCTGGACAGCTCCTTCGACGTACTCAGCGTAGACATTTTTGACAGAATTCAGCAATAGCGTTTTCAATTTATCCAATATTGTCTGAAATTAAAAAAGAATGATTGGAAATCAGACCTCAGTTTGGATCAATAGGTTGGTCATTCATATGGCTGTGTTTACCTGGTCAAGGATAGTACTATTTATATGCTGTAATTCCTTACAAATACAGTAAAGATGTCGAACAATCGGGTTTGATGCATTCGTTGGTAGGCGAATATTTTCATCGACATCTAAAAATGATAAAACAAGGTTTTCTAATATGAGCTTTCTCATTAGTTATTTTTTTCCCCTTTAAATATACCATGTTACCTTCCCATATTTGTATAGCTGAACATTGATCATTCCACTTTGTTGATATGAGAGTCTGTTTCAATGCGGCCGTAAACTTCTCGGTCAAGAATGATAACCATGGGTCATGAGCTTTATGGAATATGCTCAATAAATGTTCTTGGATCTCAATAAACTTAGAATCTACAAAAGAATCAAAACATCAGACGCAAACTATACAACCCCCTCCCCCTCCTTGGCGATGCGTATCTTTACCTTGATTCAGATTACTGTGAAGCTTCAACATGGATGCTGTCTCCGGTAGAATAGTAGAAACAGTGATTGATCTTGGTAGTTCTTTTGATAAGATACCAATGTTCCTGGCAAATCTACCTAGGAAAATAATTACATAGTTCTCTATATAGTGAATAATTAAATAAAAAAGTTCAAATTGGCAGTTAGTTCAAAACCATACGATAAATATTTGTCATTTTTGCTTTATCGAGGAAAAAAAATAAATTCGGCGGGGAGCATTTACTAGACTTTTGATCCATCCAGCTTTCTGCACTAACTTGCTTCATCAGCACATTTAAACCCTCACAAAAGTCGAGTACAGAAGCGTAGCACCTGTCTTGAAAATATTCTTTGATGGCTTCTGCATCACTATAAGAAATAGATTAATAAGCCGTTATCTGCTTCTGCAAAATTCAAATTTACAAATTACGTGATGGACTGAAAATGATCGTTATCAACATTTGGTATATTCATATGTTCTTGTATATCTTTTCTGATTTGTTCTAACTTATCGTCAAAAGCCTTTTGCAATCTGCCTAATATGTTGGTTCTATCATAGACTGTTTCCGTTAATGCTGATTTGAAAGCTTGAATTTCTTTTGAGGAGGATAGATTGGGAAGACTGAATGCATTAAAATACTTTGTTGTGGTGGGATCAGGCCAAATGTTCACTGTAACAGAAAAGCCTTTTCTCAGTGTGTTTTCTTTAGAGTCTATGATTGCAGGCCACACGAGTGTGTGTGGTTGGTTCACGAGTTCTTCCAATTGTTCGTCAATAATCAATTTCGCCCTGTTATTGAAGATGGTCCGATAAAGGTTTTCCCAAACAGAATATGAAGTACCCAACAGTTGCTCAGTGTTATGTTGCCATTTATTGTTTTTCTTTCCTTTCACATTTTCGTCAGCATCTAGGAGTGCCCATACTTTGGACCGAATGCTCACTAGTTCAATCTGTGTTTTGACTGTAGATAATATTTTTGGAAACTCTTCCTCTAATAAGTGTTTAATCTCGCTTATCCATTTTTTTAATAATTCGCGTACATCTGCTACTTCCACAAACGGTCCAGGGTTGAACTGAGGTGTAAAATTTTGAATTGATTCAGGTAAGTAACGAACTAGCAAATGAACGTTGGAACTCGGTGAAAAGAGTCGCGTTACGGCAGGTTGGCTCGGTGTTTCATTGCCATGACTTAGTTTAGAGGGTATCAAAAAAGTCTTTTGAAAAGACATGACATAGGATTCGATGAGGGTGTTTTTGTGGTTGTTCTCTTTTGATACAAAAATTTCGTATATTGAGTTTATGGTACGTTTTATCGTTAGGGTGACCTCTCGGATTTGGTGAGTTATACAATTGTCTGTGTTGTTGTTATCCGGTTGATGATGAAGGAGATCTTTGATCACAGCTGTGCGCATTTCTAAAAGCTTTTCCGCGGATTGCTGATAAGTTATACCATCTAAAAGCATTAAACCGACTGCTATCTCGGCCATATGCTACAATAACATATCAATGTCGCATTTAGAAATTGTTTCCTTTCGAATTGAAACGCAACACTCCTTTTACCTCTGAACTTTGCTCGGGCACCCGAAGATAATGCGTTGCTCGCTGTATAATTTGTGATTCAAATAAACTGACAGCATCCCACTGCCGTTGGATAACTGGAAAAGCAATGTCTATATCAATTGATGATTTTTGTTTTTCACTTTCCAAATATGCATGAACTTCTTGGGCTAAGGTGTACAAGCGACTGGCATGTAAATATCGGTGATTTTCCAAAGCATGCCATATTTGTTCTGGTACATCAGCTAATGACTTTATTAGAGCTGCAATAACGTAAACGTATATTCTTTTTGAATCGATATGGACTTTATTTCGTCTTCCTCTATTAGTTGATTTCAAACTTAGTTTAGCGTTCGACTTGATAGCTTCTACATCGCAATCTGATCGCATCTTGTCGAGGTTTGATTGGACAGCTTCAGAATTCTTGCTCATTTCGATAATTGCATCAGCAGCTGAAATAAGCTCCTGATATTGCTCACTAAACATGGTCATATAGTCATTGGGGCTTAGACTACTCAACTGTTTCTTCACATAATACAATAGTTTTTGTTGAATTACCCAACCAACGTGCGTAGTTTTTGCTTCTGGGTCTCGATGGCATTTCTGTTAAAGATTGAGGTGTAAGCAAACTTAATGTTTGAAATGCACTTTGATATTCTACCTTATTTTCTGTTCAAATGCTCGAACGTCGGGTATACTGTAGTCTATTAAATAGGAATCAACATTGTCATCTACTTCAAGTACATTTTCTGTGGACATATTGCTGTAATCAATCGTATGCCTCCGAAAAGATTAGCATAATTTGGTGTATGAAACAAAGTAAGAGCAGGAAAGCAACTTTCAGATGCGGGAAATGAAAGCGCGGACTCCATCAGTAGTAAGCTCTTTTTCATCCCAAACGTGCTATACCCAGTAATAAAATGGCAATTGAGCTATCAAATTACTCAACGATGCGAAGCAAGTCTCGACACTTATCAATTCAATGTCATGTACACATCGCTTGAATAAATAACTTTTTTTTTATTACGTAAAGTCTTCTTAAACTGTCTTTCAAAGATCAAAGTACTGTCGTTGTTCATGAATTCGCACCATTTAACAATAGTAAAGACGAGAAAGCACTAAAACGTCTCTATTTAGGCAGTGTTCGGTAAAAAAAATTGTTAAGAGTAGTTTAGTCTATCTCGGTTTTATTCTATATTTCGTTTATTAATACTCTGGTAAAAAAGAAAATGCAACGTTATATGTACAGAAGTGGTGTATATCGTATAAATGTAGTATTTGGGTTGATAATTGAAGAACTCATATTACTGTCTACAGACTTCGACTGAAAAGAGATTGGGGCATTTCAAACGTCTACGTTCTTCATCCCAATCGAATTTCTTCGTATTAACTTTTTTATCCAAAGTTTCAATGACTGACATGACAGCTGGCGCATCTACTAAGGGAGAAAACTCTTTCGGCAGAGTTATTTTCAAATGCATTGATGGATAATCACTAGCATTATCTCGTTCGATAGCACTATCATCGAACTCATCATCCGAATCTGTGTCGCTGCTTGAGCTATTGCCACCACTACTGCTACTGTTACTTGAGACGGAGCTACTATCAGAGTCCTCGGCATAAACGATGGTAGTGAAAGAGAGTCCACTCTCAATCAAACCTACACCAGGATGTAGTGGAGATACAGCAAATACCAATTCCATTAATCTCCCCAAATATTTACAGACGGCAATACCACGACGGCCTACCATGGCTTGAATAGCATAGAAGATTGGGTCCGGAACAGCACCTCCTTGGCGATAAGCCAAGATAATGGAAAGGATGGCCCGTTCTCTATGACTAATACCAGGTACATTTGCCAAAGGGCCACTAGCCAATGGCATATGGAAAGCCACAAACGCACGAGTTTCTTTCGGGTAATGTGAGGTAAGGTTAGACAAATGAATAGCAGCAGGCAACAAACGGTATAATTGCAAAGGGTGTCTTGGATCCATAAAAAGAACAGGAAGTGCGTCAACAAGTATGTCATAAATAGCGTCAAATTCCTTTTGTGTGAGAGCAAAGCTTGATTGAGCTGCATAAGCTTTGACTCCTTCCAAGAAAGGATCTCTTCTCTTTTCTTCCGGCGATAAGAGTTGGTAACAGAACCCCTGGCGGACTCCGCCTTCGCTAAAATAGATACGCTTGATTTTAAATACCTCAAGAATGGCAGACATCAAAAAGCAAGAAGCAGGGATCATACTGGCACGACGCTTGGATATACGAAACACTTTCAAGCGCTTCATCAAATCATGGGGATCTTTATCTTTGTATCGTTGAGCTAACTTTTTCAATTCTTTGCCTGACATAGAATAACCGTTGATAATGGGTATTGGGTAAACATGTTGACGATTAGTAGTCCACTTTGGCATGTATCTGTCCTGGGCACTCACGGCCATGGATAAGTAGCCTAAAGCTCTGAAACCTCCTCCACTCATATAGACATTGTAACCATCTTTTGTCAATAAGCTGCTGGGAAGCTTTGTTTCATTATAGGCCTTCTTCACTTCGGCTACAACTTCTTTATATAATGCATGCCTCTGCTTCGATGATTGACATTCTTCCAGTCTCTTCTTTAAAGCCGCAGCACCATAAGGCATTGATACAGGATTAGATGAAACGCGAATGTTGCCGTCTGAACCCCTATTGTTGCTACTATTCTCTGCTATAGGAACTGATGTCATGACGTAGCTTACTTCAACGGATCCACCACCAAGGTCCATTGTTAAACCATTCACTTGATTGAAGGAACCTTTTTGAAGAACCGTAATTTTCATTAACTCAATACTAAGAATTGCGCAATTCCACCACAAAGTACGATATACTTACCAACAATACCAGACGCTGAAATCAATGCCTCTTCCTGTTTAGATAATAGTGTAACATTCCATCCCGTTGCTTCATAGATTCTATCAATAAATTCCTTGGAATTTTTGGCAATACGTGTTGCTTCCGTAGCAATGACACGGATATCATTTACGTCTACTTTAGCGTCCTGGCATAACCTCTTGAACCTCAAAAAGCTAGTGATAACTTCGTCAATAACTGCGGAAGGAATAATCCCATCGTCACCTTGTGCTAAAAGCAGACCGATAGGAGCTCGTTCTTCATAGGCTACGGGTAAGTGACGGGCAAGCGCACTGACGATACCAAATCGAATGCCATTCGATCCCATATCTACAACACCAAAAGGTGCTTTTATGTTCTGTTTATCCATATTTATTAGACTTGGTTTTGATCAAACAGCAGTGACGAAAGATAGGTAGAAAATTAGAAATGAATTGAATAATGTTAACAAAAAAATGGGAAAATAAAGGTTCAACAGATGTTTCAATCATGTAATCGCTTGAGTGCTGAGTTCGAACGAGCTTTATTTTTAAATGGCTTCGCTTATTCGCTGATTACTTCAATGAGACACTTTCAATTTTTAGTGGACGATCTTGGGATACACTTTGAAAAATTGTAGAAGAGAACAAGGTTAATTTTTAATGGGGAAAAACTTACAACACGCGTTATTGTAGACTTTTCTATCTCAAGTTATATCTTCATAAAATTCTAAGTGTCTAATCCACCCTAAATGAACCTCAACTGTAAGTGAGACGGGTTTGCTTAGTAACTTTTATGATTAATTGAAATTTTGACAAGCTGTTCATTTATATCCTCGAGTGTCATATTAAGAAGGTGTTCAAAATAGTGCAGTATATGTTCCTACTTTATTCAACTTGATCCTTACTCAATACACTCTGTTTCATTATGAACACCAGTAAAAGCAGAAGTGTGTAGAGGAATAAGAGTCTTTTAGCCCATTATCATTTTTCTAAATTCTTCTACTCATCGCATAATCTTATTGGTTGTTCAATTTATTTTTACTTCTGAACGCGAATGCCAGTAGATCAACAGTGGTTTCGGGATAACCATTTTCTTTTCTCCTAAATTTTAAAGAGTTTTACCGAAAAATACATTATGGATAATAAAATCAAAATACCATTGCTCCCTGATATAGCATCAATACAATTCATAAGACAAAGTAGTACTATGCTTGACTTGTAAAGTATTTTACAAAAAAAAACTTTCATTTTCACCTATTGGTTCAGCGATCAAAGACTGATGAGCATGTCATTAGGCCTACACGGACAGCAGCAACTGCCATTGCATACTATCATCGTTTCACAACATTTATGATGCAGAAAGAAAAAGTTATCAACCTAGATGGCATACCGAATGAAGAGGCTGCTTTGCTTCAAAACCCTGAAGTAATATAAGATCCACCCTGACCTTCTCAACAGATATAACTAACATCTTGCATACATATACACTTTTTTCTTTTGCTTTTTTAACACTAGTTACTGATCGCAACTTGTCTACAATTAGCTTGTAAAGCAACGGACGTTCCTCGGAAAGTGAGGGATATTGTCAATGTAGGATATAGGTACGAGCCCCTTTTTTGTTTTAATGTTTTGTCCGTTATTATTGAATTTCAGTTGGTCTATGGTAGGTACTATCATTCAACTGAACCAACACTAGACGTCGATGAGGTATAGAATGGTTGTTCATCTTAATCGGTCTTAACAAGAAAAGGGGATTTAACAGTTATATTTTGAATCTTTTGTTGTTAGACATACTTCAAAATGCGTTCATCTTTGGTCACCGGGGAACTGTTGCTTGTAAGAGGTTTGGGATTTGATCTGGAAGTAGAACTACCCTTTGCATATTGCTTGAATGTGCTAAGAGGATTAGCGTCCATGCGATATTTCGTATACAGTGAAAATAATCATAACAACTATAACGGAAATAGTAGTAGTAACAACAAGAGGCATTCGTCCAGGAGAACTCATCATGCCAATCAAAAGGAAGTATGGAGAAAGATGGAGAATGGTAAAGATGATACTTTTCTCAAGGCTCTAGATGAATTGAGAATAATGGTATTTATTGTTTGTTAGATATGGATCCTCGACTAAGTTGCATCGCTAGAGCAGCCTGGGCTTACATATGGGATAGTTTATGTTCGCCCAAAATATTCATTACACATTCAGTATCCTGCATTGGACTAGGGTGCTTATATCTTGCCTTACGAACGTCGAAGGTTGAAATGTACATGACAATGAATGAGTATGTAGATATGTGGGGTGCATCGGAAAATATATCTGTACAAGCAGTACAAGATGTTGTTACAGATTTATTGGAATTTTACCAGCACTATCCATTAAAGGAAGAATATGCAGTTTAAAATGATGAGTGTAAACATTTTGCTGTATGCTATTTTGTCTAATTACAGAACACCCATGTTCTCTAATTTATGACGTTCTAAAAGGAGAGAGAATATCTTCGTAAATAATCACAAAGTTCTTATTCAAGTCAACCTTGAATAAACCAAGACTTACGTGTTTGTCGAGCATCTGCATCCTCCGCTTCATTATCCTCGCCATCATTATAATCGTCTGCATTAAAGTCTCGAGGTACTTCCTGTGTTTGTACTGAAGGCGCAAATGGCATACTCCTCAAATTATCTATGATTTTAGCACTAATAAAATGTTTTAAGATCGATATTCAATAACATACAACGTTGCAATGAAAGCTATACTTACGTAACACTATCTAAATATTCCCGCGTATTATGGTTGACCATGTTATTGGAGGGCACGTCTAATTTATATTCTGGACCATAATATTCAAAGTAATTATTGTACGGTAGCTCCTGCTTTGTTAAATCCTCTCCTACAGCTAAACCTGTTTCAAATGTCCACGTTCTTGCTACATTACGAATGGTATAACCACCTCCTCCAACCATCATCATCGGTATATTGAAAGACTTTATGAATTCTACGCAGGCGGCATGACCACGCATAGAGAGATTAAAGCAACCCAAACGATCGCCAGATAAAGAGTCTCCACCACATTGCATAACGACTGCACCTGGCCTAAACCAATCCATAATATGCTGTATGACCGGTTGAAACACACTTTTATATGATTCATCTGTAATACCATCCCTCAGTGGTACATTGACTGCATATCTTTTCCCTTTGTCCAATCCAGTATCCTAATTAGAAAGAAATGGGAATGAATATATGCTGACTCACTGACTATCAATAATAAACGTACTTACTCTTATATCACCTGTACCCGGGAAGAATTCACCAAATTTATGGAACGAACATGTCATAACACGATCAGTTGTATAAAATGCTTCTTCAACACCGTCACCGTGATGAACATCGATATCAACATACAATACTCTTTGATGATACCTACCAAAGTAATTCGCTGTTTAATTCTGTAGAACTCTATATATACACATTTACTGATTTTACCGTAATAACTCTAAAATACCAAGCACAATATCATTGACGTAACAGAAACCTGATGCTTCTGTTTTTTTGGCATGATGAAGGCCTCCTGACCAATTGATAGCTATATCTGCCTCACCGTTCAGTAATTTATTCGCAGCTCCTAAGATTTTTTTCGATTACAATTGCGTTCAGTTTTTATGTTTTATTCACGATGCGCGCACAAAGAATCAACAGAATTTTTTTTTTCTTTTACTAACCAATAGAACCTCCTGCTGAAATGGAGCAAAACTCAAATAGGCCTTCAAATACAGGGCAATCTTCACCCACATTGACTGGCAGAGGGTTCAGCATGAGTTGACAAAAGCTGCTATGCAATCTATTCAACTTTCAGGACTTACATCTCGCAATACCCTGTTCCAAACCGCCATACTGCATCGCTAGTGACTCTAAATTATCGGGCGTCACTGTTTGTAAGAAATTGATGTATTCGTCCGAATGAAAGCGAGTCATTTGATAAGCTGTAGATCGTGTTGGTTTCTATGGTAGAATGTACAAGCAAAATTCGTATCAAGTCCCACTGTTTTTCGAAGATAATGTTAGCAAAATAGTGCTTACCACAATGTCCAGTTTCTTATATAAACCGTAGTTCACAACCATATTATGAACCATGTGCATCCGTTTAGGCTTCATATAGTGTCCTGTATTACGTTGAAATGTTATAATAAGACCTAACAATCTTAGCATGAGCATAAACTGCCATACCAGGTCCATAATTGAAGTTGCCAACATCGTCTATAGAGGAAGATGGCAAGGTTAACATGGCGTTTACGAGAAATGTCGTATTGCGAGAATCGAACATATAGTTGTAAGACATACGATCGTAGAAATAAGATACTCTTCTTTTTGCGCAATCAGCTAAGCTGTATGAGTTGGACATTATAGTTGTAATCTATCGAGATCTTTAATTTGTAGTGAAAGAAGAAATCGAGCTGTCCAAGCGGAGGGAAGATGCTTATTTTCTGATTCGTGTCCGAGGTAACATTTTAAGGTTCCGAAGACATTGTGTACCTTGTGCAGTAAAGCAAACTCCCGAATTGTGATTGATACATGTATGCACCTTCGTCTTTCCTACAATAGCGTCTTTTTAAATGTGGAAGAAGTTGACACTAATTTGTTTAGAATAAACTAGCTTTCAGGACACCATCAATTTATATATTAAGAACAATTCAAATAGATTGCTGAAGGAATCAAGCAGAGAGAAAGATTTATCTTTTATCCATTGTATTTTTTTAATTATAGTCATGCCTAGTCTCACAACCACATCTTTTTGCAGCATTCTCTTTTCCTCTCAATTTCATGTGCTTAATTTCTTTCTTGACGGATATCTGGCACTTTGAGCGTTTTAGGATTGTCATAATCACTTTTGTGTAGTTTCCCTTTGAGTGATTACAATTGCTTCTTCTTATTGGATTTCAAGAACACCACATCACGCGTTTTCTCGGTCTTACTGCTAATATGCTATAGTGCTTTTCGTGACTTCATCAATTAATATAAACGGTATAAAGTCGACATAGGCACATTAAAAGAGCAATTCAGTAGAAAATCAAAGTTTTATGATATGAAACACAATGCAACAATTTTTTTAATAATGTATAGTCAAAAGAGAAAAGGAAAGAGATGGTATCATAATAAAAGCCTAGTAATGAGGCGAAATTCTCACAGAGGAGCTTCGTGAACATTAAGTACAGTAGATCTAAACTATTTTTTGTCGTATTCTAGAACTGTACCAAATATATAATCCCATAATTTTGAGGTGATTCCGAATCCATTGTTGAAATCTTTGTAATGGTGTGCAACATGATAACGCTTCATTTCTTTGAAATACACTTCAATCACTTTGGCATGATGTAAATAATAGTGGATCATATCATAGCAGACATAGCCAAAGAATGCCCCTGCAACGAACGCGTAGGCGAATGCTGGATAAAACAAACTGTGCGCTAGTTTGAAGACTGGAATACTCAATAATGCTGTCAGAGCGGGTGGCATCACTAACCGTAATCTGTGGTATTATAAGGCATCAGAAATTACGTAAAAAAACACCCACTCAAATCTTTTTGACATTTTACCTATCCATGGGCATGTGATGATGAATTCCATGTAATGTGAAATGTAGTAGAAGTGCATATGGATGATCCGGTAGCAAATCATCTAAATGAAACAAAAACCTATGCAATGTGTATTCAAAGAGAGTCCAGAAAAGAATGCCCGCTAAAAATCCTGTTAGTGTTGTACTGATCGATGCAGCCATACACTGGTATAATGATGTATAAAGTTGGTAGCAGACAAAGGGCAGCCATACAATAGGCACGATGTACCATTGAGTTTTCGAAAGCATATCCATTGTAGGGTTGCTGAAATAAGGCACACAATAGGGAGTATAACGTGGTTTGTGTACTTGTTCTAAATAAAACGCCTTCGAATAACTTGCATTTACGAGCTGAGGGAACAAAGGTTTGTGAAGGTCTAAAAATTCTTTATCTCGGTTGCTTCCTAATTTCTCCACCGTTGCTGCTGTCTCAGGAAGGGTTGTTTCGTGTTTCTTCACTGACAGCTTTTCTACAGCCTCGTCAACTTTAACATATGACTGCGCAAGTTCACCCTTATAATGCTCCTCTAAAAGCTCATAGGCGGCACTTGAGTGGATGTGATAGCTGTTATCGTCCAAGATATTTGTCACATCGGTACCTGCGAATTGCAAAAGGAGCTCATCTCCACCAGGATGATCAACTAGAAAAGAGGTGATGTCGTAAATCTTTCCTTTTACAATTACCCAGCAGGATTTTCTATCATTGTTCGCTTCTACTTGCTGCCTAGTTATTTGCTGTGTCATGCTTTAGTGAACAAAATAGAAGAAGTAACAAACAATTGTGTGATATGGTAGATTTCTTTTTTTTTTTGATTTCTTTTTCAGGTAGGAAGCAATTTAAAATGTGGGGTTGTTTGTAAGAGCAACTTTTTATTGGTTTTCATTCAATTGCCGAAAGAAAGTTTGTTTTATGTACAGAAATGCTTGATTACATTATGTATAAGAGTATGGGTTCTATGAAGGTATTAGAAGTAGATTTAATAAAAAAGGTATTAAGCTGCGCCGTAAGTTGATTGGAAATAGCTGCATCATGTGGGATTTACAATTGACTAAATTTTTGCAAAGAAAACCGAAAAATCTGTTACTTTTTTGATCTCAGGGGTAATTTTTAAGTAAAACGGACTTACCATTTTTCTGCAACGCGTAAGCTAGGATAATAGATACTCCAAGTGAAATCAGAATTAAGCAAGCTACCTGGATTGATGCAAGTGGTACCTTCATAAGAGATTCCATAATTTTCATACTTGTCTGCAATAATTAACTAAAATCGATTTCACTGTTTAATATGTCATTGTGATATTATTTATCTTTTTCAAAAACTTACTGCATGAGGTAAAGGGTATAAGCTTAACGCATTATCAAAAGCCCACATGACAGGTTTTACTGATAAGGGAAGTGGACAAAGATGTCCTTGGTCTACAATTGTATGGACAAACTGAGAATTTTTGCGAAATTAGTATAAAAGCAGCAGTAAATAGAGAGTTTATCATCATCACTTTTGCAATGCTATCATACATGGTTAACAGGATCATTATCCGCTTCTAGGTTCGTTGACAGTAAAGTATTTCTCCACATTTTCTGCATCCAATCTTCTCGAAAAACCACAATATCTTGTGTACAATAACGTATCCGGCAAGGATTTGTCGTAAAATGTACTTTCCTTACTTTCTGTCTCATTCTAGGGACAAAACTCGGTAGGATTGGTGCTCTAGGTAAAACCGTACCAGCCCATGGATCCTTGGGTCCTGGAACAAACACCCAATTCGAGTGTGTAGCCAGCAAAGGATGTTCATTGATTAGATCTGCTAATGCTGAGAAATTATCTTTGTAATCATCAACATCTGTTCCTGTGAAGGCATTATCTTGACTGGTAAAATTGCCCATCATAATGAATGCTAAGGGAATTTGAGCAGCTGCATAACCTGCAAATATTTGCCGTAACGCGTCCATAACCTAAAATATTTTGGTGTAAATATACGAATAGTGATTATATGGTTACTTTCGTTCTTACCCTTGGCTGATCTAAATGTACGTCTGACATAATCACAAATGTAATTTCACCATGAGCTTTTTCTTCAAGTTTCAAAAGGTTCTATGTATGCATTGATTTAATCATAAGAAAAAAGATTTGAAGTGAATTCATCATTTTAAATACCTCATCCACAAGTGGTTTTGGTAAGCCCAAGAAATCCACATGTCCGAACATTACACTGAATAGAGAATTCGATAAGTTTTGCTTTCTCGTAATCAATGACTGTGGTTTTACAAACTCACTCTGAAATATCACGAGGTTCAGCCGGAGGCAAATGGATCTCTTGCACATGAAATCTATGGTCTTCGCCGTAAACACCTTCAACAATGACAAAGCAGCCATCCGTGAAGAGTCCGTAATCGTACGTCTATAATTCGAAAGATCTTTTAAATATTTCAATCACACACACTCTTCCTTTGTTTCTAAGTTACACATACAGCATTATTGAGCACTAATTCTATATTTGCGTCCTCGTCTTCAAGATAGATTTTGCCTTCTTCCAATTGTGTTAGCATTCCGAAGATTACAAAAGCTTTCTTATCACGACCGATCAATGATTTGATGGATGTCAACTGAGCAACATGCCGGTTCAAATTAGTTTTTGATGGAACAAACATTAATTAATTTTGGCCTTTCTTACTTTGACATAATTATCGTTGTCATCAATGTTCATTGTGGGTGGACAAAAGGTTTCATTCCTTAAGATTCTTTGTTTTATGAGCTTCAGTCTGTTTCGATACATTTCTCCTTTTTCAGTTGCACTACATATTGCCGCTGGTTGCACCTTCGATCTATGATAAGGACATATTGGGACATCGAAATGGCTGTTAGATAGATTGCATGACTGTGCAAAGGTGACTTTCATACTTGTAAAATGTATTTGAGTTCTCGTCAAAGACGTATCTCGGCATATCAAACGCCCCCACGACGTGAAAATGTTGAGCGACATCGATATTTTCTTTGGCGGCTTCGTCCTCCCCTTGAATACTCATACCCTCAAAAGAGTCACTGATCTCTTCTTGCGATTTTTGAAACGGTGTTAAAGTCTGTGCGATTGCAGCTGAGGTTGTCATAGTGGTGACTACCTCTTCAAGTTTTTTCTTAGATACAATGACAGAATCTTCATCTAATTCAGACAAGAAAAGAGTCGGATCAAAAGACGTTTCCATATTAAGGACGCTCTGAAGTTCTTTGAATGTTACCATTGGATCGCTTTATATAAGCTTTGATGATCTTCTGCATTGCCCCTTCTAAATCGTCCTCCCTCGATAATATACTTTCCAGATATTTGATAGCATCAGTGCTCAAATGCAGGCCATGTTTTTTCGTGAATATAGTAAAAATCTGTCTTTTTAGTTTAGACGGTGCCATTTGTAAACCTTTTACTATGATATTTATTATGTGCTGAGTGTATATATGCAAGTCAAAAAGTGTAAATCAGGCAGATTTAAAAATTTAAACGATAAAAATACAGAAAATCGAATTGGCGCGTTACGCGTTGGTTATCTCTATCTTATTCAGGCTCAGAATTTAACCTTTTGGAAGCGTACTTTTCGCCGAAGAGGACACTCATCTTGAAGAGATTATCTTCAGCTTGTCGCCTTGGCTGCTTTTCAGTACTATTGATAGAAGAACGCTGTATATTACTATAATTTGAGTTGTATATTGTATGCTGATATCCATTATCATCAGAAATGCTGGAAAATATTGACTCAATTTCGTCATTGTTCAAATAACTGTTGACCGAGGCTCGCTCCGTTATGTTTGAGAAGAAGCCAGAAGAGCAGTCTATTTCATGGAATAAATTGTCTCCGTCAAAAATGAGAGATTCGTCTATTAGTTCAGAATGACTGGACTTTTGTATGGTCTGAAAATCGCCTATGGAGGAACTGTCGTCGTTCAGCTTGAATTCAAAAGAGTTGGAGCCCGCTCGCGTTATTTTTGTGGGTAATATATTGGATAGAGAGGAAAAGGACGTAGAAGATCGCTTTGATTGATTCGAAATTAACTTGCGCTTCAACAAATCAGGGCTTTGCTTGATCATCGAGTATATGAATTCTATGATATACAAAGAGTATAGTTAGATTTGTGCTTATTGTATAGCTTTGATTTTTTAGCAAATGGTATTTTCCGGCCTTACGTCTCTGAATCGCATCCAACATTTCGGCCGCTGACCATACTTTATTTTTATATTCTAGTTTGGGTTGCTTGAAGGGGAAGTTGTACAGATTGTAAAATGTATTATTGTTTGGACCTTGAAGGCTAAGACAATGCTTAGCACTTGGAATACGGATATATAGAAAAACCCTATTTCTGGATGAACGTTTCTTCATACGTTTAAGTTCATCTATTTCTGCAGTAGATTTTTTTGCTGCAATTGTTTTTGTAATTAATTTCACAAGTTTCAGTGGTTTGCTCAAACTTTCGCTATAAGTATTTTGCAATGTTTGTTTGTCATTCTCCTTTTCGTTTTTATTGGGTGAGGTGAGTGTAGAAGTTGGAGATGAAGGGGTGGCTGCACCAGCAATTTGCTCCTCATTGCTTATAGGGAAGAAGTAGTCTTTAAGCGCTGAACCAAATGCAGTGCTGATTTGAATATTTAATGGAATTAAGTTGACCTCCAGATGCTGTATGATAGAAATTCCACCGACTGGTGGTAGTGAAATTAACGTTGCTGCTAACATCTTTTTCTGCCGACGCAATTTTGGCGTAAAAGATGGACTTCCATTGCGTTGCTCTTCCTGATACTTATCAAGAACATTTTTGAAGACTGCATTACCAGAGGTGTCCTGCAGTTGCATCGTGTCAATTTCAATTTTATACTTGCGTGTGCTGTTTTTCTCATCCAAAAAGGTAAATTGCGTATCTGATAAAGTCCATCTACAGAGGGGCGAGTTTCTTTTACCTCCCTCAGCCTCTATCATCGCCTCCCAGAGCAATTTGTTAGACGTGAATATATACCTAGTTGCATTCAGAACGCCTGTGGAATCCGCTTTGCATCGAAATATATGAAGAGAATTAATCGCTTCGATTGTTAAGCACAGCTTTTCCAAATTCTGCCTCAGTTGGACTCTGTTGTCATGAAATTCCTTATGTTCTAAAATACTTCTACTGCATAAATCTCGAACGAGACGCTCGTGTTTATTACGCTGTAACCTCGCTTTCGCTTGTAGTAGGCCAATCTGCTTTAACACATCAGCCATGTCGCTGCTTTCCACTGCTAAAAAAGTTTCTTGACGATCATTTTCCTTCGCTTTACTGCTAACAGTTGATGTCAGATCATCAGTGGAAGCGAGTAACAAATTTGTCAATATATAGTATACTACATGAGCTTGTGAAGAATTTAAAGTGAGTTTAAACTGAGGAAAATGAAGATGCGTAATATTTCCACAAGCTTCGAAAGGATCCATTTTATCTAATGTATGTTTAAGTTGCAGTTGATTGTGTCTGTCTATACGTATTGCTCCAGAAAACTGATCTGTTATACGTTCAAACCCCTCAAATGATGTGAGGTCGCGATAATACCAAAGCTGTTCATGCTGTAGCCATACATAATGTTCATAATCACTACTTCCACTGACTTTTTGTACAATATACAGCTGTGCATCATCCAGACTGATAATCGCTCTATCCATCACTTTGAGCATCTCACTTACACCTTGACAAGTGGATTGATTTTTCTCATGGATTGTAAAGCTTTTAATTCGAACTTGTTCATTAACAAGCAAAAGGGAATGGGTCGGACAATTACTACTTTGAAGCATCAGTTGAGGTGAAAATATTGTAAACAGATAGTTGCTGTTCATTGTATGATTAACAGGAAGTTGACTAAGGTGGTGCTCAGGAATAAGCATATCATTTGCTTCATTAATTTCCTTATCATGGAAATCTGTAATTGATTCGTTGACTTCATGTGTAACTTTAGTCTGCATTGATGGCAGTTCTTCTTCATTATAGGCTACAAAGTTCTCTTCGAGCTCTCTCAAGAGTTTTTCCAAAAGTATTTGAGCTGCATCTTCAGTTGTCGAACATTCCAGATTCATAGCACCTTCATTGCTGCTTGTTGGATTTTGATGCACAGAGTCTGAACCCTCAGACCTTTTCTCATTATATTTCATCTCAAGGGCGCTTTTGACAAGCCCTTCTAAGTATTTAAAGCAATGAGCCGTAAGGTTGTATTTTCGTGCAGTACGATATCTTTGAATTTGCCGGCAATCTCGAATAATATCCCTAATAGCGCTATTCCAAACAACACGAGGATGGTAAATATAGCAACGAGATTGAAACGGGCCCAGAAAAGATTCCCATTCTGTCACGTCACTTTTGCGTTGTTGAAAGCTTGTGGAATCAGAACTGTTGTGGTCTGCCTCGTACGTATCGTAGACATTGTACTCTTTTCGTAGGATTAGCTCCGCCATATATTCTTGTAGGATATATCGTTTGAATCGCAAGCGTTCGATTTTTCCTTTTAAACGACACAGCTTTGTAAAGGCAAAACGATTTATATCAGGTTTATCCTCGTATTCTAAACACGTATATTGTTAAGTATTTGACCACACTCTTTTTACATACCTCCTCGACGAACTGTTCGTTTTCTTGTTTAGATTTTATACTATCATTCAACACTTCCAAATTTTCTTCGCATATTTCAATTAAATCATCCAGTTTGTTTGCTTGCCGATTCAGAAGCTCTTTTTGATATTCATGCGGTTCTTTGGCTATTTATGTATTAGGTTGTTATACGTGAGTTTGATGGTCGAGATTTATACATTCCGCAGACGCCTTACCTTGACCCTTTCCAAAAATACAATCATGTGTATCCCGCAGATACATTTTGTTCTCAATTGTCTCTTCACTATCAATTTGTTTTAAGAGTGAAATCAGCGGTGAGAAGGCAAACGGGTGAATTTCAATTGCTGAAAGTGCTGGCTCAAATTGTTTCGGTAGCAGATCCACTGTAACAAAATCCTCTATGTCGACCCATTCAGAAGCGCTACAGGAAGACACGTTCTCGGGCAATGTGTTATTTTTAGCGACCCTTACTGCACGAACCTCCGCGTTCGTTATTTCTAGTTGAGCTTCGTGAAGGATTCTTGTTTGTTTCATTGTTGTTACGAATTTCTTGTTGGCAGCTACTGTAAGATTGGTAGTATTGTTCTTCTGCGATAAGTATGCCTTTTGATGTCCAACTAATTGTTTACGTAGATGTAGATCTGCGCTAAATTGTTCTAATCTTGCCTTTAGTCCTGCAATGCCTTCTTCATTTGAAAGTTTGTCCTTTGATTCAAAAAAAAAGTCTTGTTCAACGCAGAAATAACCAATGGTTAAAGGACATATAGCCACCTTATACTTGACGGTATCTAAGAATGCACCAAATGATTTCGCTTTTTTTTCTTCGCTTAGGTACAATTTCCCTTGACGGATTGGAATAGAAAAAGGGCTTCCGAACAGTTGACGCCATTGCTGGAAATGCTCAATGAAGCAAGGGCTCAAGTGCATAGTGTTGTTGGTACCATTATAACCGTCAGAAGCGGATATCGTAAAGATACTGAACGATAAATGAATTAAGTCTGATCTGAAACCTTTGAAAGCATCATATGTAGCCTATACATATCTCATATTCAAGATCAACAAAAACTCTACTCGAGGCTCCTTTTTGATAATAGTATATTTACCAGATCATAATTTTTCTGCACTGTTTGTAAGCTTTGATAGAGCACTTTGTAGTGCGGTATAAATTTCTGAGTTCTGCATCTATCAGTCGAGCATTGGTTCTTAACGCACCCGTAGCCATTGCTTATTGAAGAGGCATCGCATGCAAATCGTTCGTAGCTAAGTCCAATACCCATTCGTACCTGTGGTCCTAGTTTGAGAACGGTTTTCAACAATTTTTGATTTCTGATCAGTTCATTATGGCCAAGCAAAGATGCAGTGACTGATTTTGGGGTGGATATTCCATAGGCATCATGAAGCAGATTAGGTACACCAAACTCATAGCGCTCACTCATGATTTGCATAAATTCGTTTTGTTCATTACTGTATCCCAAAAACCAAATAACATTGCCACTCCAAATTTTGATTAACCCTGCACCTGCACCTTCTATTTCATACGGACTTCTTGTTCCCTTGACAATTATACCTAATTCTCCTGCACCAATCTGAAAGTCTATTTTAATCTTCGAATGAATCATAAACCGTATTTTATCCCACCATCCCAACCGTGGTGAAGGATCTACAGCTGGAGGTATCAGTGTGCCAAGGATACGTAAAACATCTTGAATAGCTGGGTGATAGGAAATGGACCAGCAAATCAAAGATATACCGTTGGTAAGCATATTATAATTGATATTCGAAAAGAATTTCATGGGAGAAGCTGTTCTTACAATGGACAAACAATACCCATTATCGACATCCTTTTCGTCAGAACTAGAGCAACTTGCTGATGATATAAGTGGTACAGTAATGATTCTACTTCCCTTTGAGCTGCCTCGTTCATCCGCTGCGACATAGTCACCTTCTAAATTCCACGCGTACGATTTATTTTCTGCATTGCTTTGAGAAAGAGTAGACGGAACTGGCACCGATAAAAATGGAAGCGGATAGTCCCTTACTTTTATCAATGTAGTTCCCGCTTTTATAGATAGATGGAAGGGGATAAGGATAGAATAGTCTGTTTCAAATGGTACACCTTTGCCAATTGAATGAATAAAGGCCCTCGTTTGATGCCTGCCGAAGGTCTCTGGTGGCCTAATACTTATATTTGTATTTTCACAGCGGAAATGAGCCAAAGCAGTTTGTGTTGACCATGGTAATATATCCAAGCAGGTAATAGATTGTTGTACGCTCCTTATTGTTCCAGCTTGTTGATAACTGTTAAGGGCACTTATTGATAAAAGTCGCTGCTCGTTGATATTCCTCTCTCGTAGAGATTGCGCTTCTTCCCTTTGCTTCACTCCATTCATGTTTTTAATCCATCGCTTTGAGAAAAATTTGTGTAAGCTGATCTGAGCATTTTCGGCACGTATAAAAATGTCATCCTCAGATATATCACTGCTACTGGTACTACAGTAAGTGTCGCTGACACCACTGCGTTCATTAACTTCCCGCATATTGTACACTGCTATACAATCGGAAGAATCAAAGGTAGTACTATAATCCATTATCTTATCCTTTACATCATCGGGCAAGAGCTCATCAACAGTAGACAGTCGTTCTATATCAGTCTCGCTTGTGTTCTCAACGATAGCGGTTCCCTTCTCTTTGGTTATAGGCGTTTGAAATACCGTATGAAATGATCGTTGATCTGATTTGATACTGTTGGCGCTTTGTGGCTGTTTGTGTTTGAACCACCGTGAACCTTCATAATCTGTAGGAGCAGTAGTGGTAGTTGAGCTAAATTGATTGTTGTCATGAGCTGGTGAAGACCTAGTTGTTGTTTTGTTATCATTATTCCCATTCTCGAACATATTCTCCACTTTTTGGTCTAGCGCATCTTGATAAGCCAACCTTTTCTGTTGCTCTATTAGACCTACTTTGAAAATTTGTCGCAAATTCGATTCAAAAGGATCATCATCAAACTGTATTTCAAATATATCAGCTTTGAGATGTATAAGAGGTAAAGCCACTGGTGTATTGTTCATGCTAGGTCCCAGATAAATGTAAGAGTTGTTCTTTAGTTGTCTTGAATGAAGCACCTTTATCGCTTTAATGTTTGTTATAACACTTTCTATTATTTCACATAAAAGAAACTGATAAGGGATGCTGATCGAGATTCTTACAATCTCTAACCTGTTCGCTATTTCTGCTTCTCTTTTATTAGCTGAAACAGTAATGCCGGTATCGGTAAATCGACTCATAACTGCTTGATCTATCCATATAAATTGTTCCCATTTCGAAGCATGACGAGCCGATTGCACCAGAAGAAGTATGGTTTCACATTCAATGTGACAAGAAGCTACTTCATCAATTGTACTATATGCACTCATTCCTTTGTGCAGCTTTGCAATAGCGACTTGCTGATGGTTCGTCCACTTGAGCTGTTTTAATTGAAGATGTAGAATTCTCTCAAATGGTAAGTTTATACGCACGTCGATTTTGTCAATGTATGTAATCAATTTAAGCTTGCTTTTTTTACTATTACTGATAGGCTCATCACTGATCTGTTCTCCATGAATGACTGGAGTCAATTCGTATTTTAGATCCTGCAAGGATTGAAATAACAGTAAGCATATATAATGATTTCTGATTGAGTAAGAGACGACTACTCCTTTTATATCCGCTGTAGATACTGGTTGGAAAGATTTTGATTTTTGATCAAATGGTTTGCGAAAAGCCAATTGTGGAATACTCAGAATGAGGTGTTGAGCGCTTTTCTCGCCGAGATCGTCAATTATATGTGCAGCTGTTGTAGAAGCGGTGAGAGAAGATTGATGAACATTTAGATCATCCACAAAAAGTCGAATATGGTTGAAAGCTTGTTGACCATCAGTTATTCTGTGGTATTTTTCTTTAGTCATTGTGAACTTTTTTAAATTAACTGATATGCGAGCATAAATTGGATTCTTCGGCGAGTTGCCAATGTAGTCATGCGAGTTTTTCTTTGCTGCATATTTCTTTCCATTATCTGTACAATAAATATTCAGACCAGGTTGTATGATATCAAGGTGACATGAGCCCAATTGGAGGTTTTTCCTTTTGAAAGCATTACTACTGACCTCTGCTGTCGTTGCTGTACTTGTCTCTGTTGTATTTTGAACATGTATGAATTGTGTGGCTGCAAGTATAAGTTTAATCCAACCATTGCCTTCCCAGCGACGGCACCAGTTTTCATTGAATGGTAACATATCCACCACGGTAATGATGGGCTTATAAACGTATGCTTCTATATGAATTTCCATTGGCTTTTTAGAATTTGATGTTAAACTGAAGGCTACTCGTTGTGCTTTGTTGGAAGCCAAATTTTGTGATGTAAAGAGTGTATCAATGGCAGTTGTTGCTTTTATAGATGCGCGCTTGACCTGAATAAACTGTGTAATTGCTGCTGTGCCACTGTTTCCAGCTTGTCCTATCCGTAATCTTCCCAATGTGAGCTTTGTTGATAATTCGTAACTCCATTCTTCATCATTGTTCGTTTGGATCCTTTCATTTGCTACTTGTTTTTTCGTTGAGTATGTCGAGCGACATGATACCCTTCCTCCAGCATTCATTATGTTTGCCAAAACCTTTCTAGCAAAAGTATTTCTGTTTCGTTTTAGGTGTTGTTTATATGATCTGGTCTTTGGCATTGTCTTTGAACTAGTTAGCCACGTATATTCTTGCTGAGCAAGCCAGGTCTCTAAATTACTTGGTCTGGTATGGAGAGATTACATTGAAAATTCCTCATAATTAATAATCTGATTACAGCATATATAAATTCGTGTTTTATAAACATACCTATTTCTCGACGTATATTCACCCGACAGCCTGAGAATAAAATGGTTAATTTGTATTTCATTGTTATTCGAAGCAGGTTGCTGTTCAGTTTCATTGGCTATATAGACAATATTGACGGTATGGAAAACAATGGCAAACACAATTAGTGGCATCACACTCATAGTTCTACTTAATGGTGCTTCTGAAGTTTTATTGCTATTAATAGCTTCTTCTTTAGTAGGCCGTTGCATTTTTTTCATTAAAAGCTGGATGAAATGCTTAAAGGTTGGATTGGCGGATGGTATATTGATGCTCATGTCATGTATGGTACATATCGTATTTACAAATGACGTGCCAATTGATGTAGTCCCTTTGGTAATAGTAAAAGGAGTAGCTGAAAAATTAGGCTCGAAAATATCTGTGACAGCATCTATAACTGGGATATTGATTATAGATTGTTGCTTCTGAGGAAGACCACTTTTTCTAATGGCCGCAATAATAACGGTCAATTGGTGCAAAGAAAAATACAACGACCCTGCTGCCGATAGAAAATTGCTATTATGTTGGTTGTAAAGGCTATTTGTATTGTTGTATCCTACATGTATCCTTTCTATTTGAATAACTACACTATTGTGATTGGAAGATATAATCAAAGGAGATAAATAGCAGCCACTAGCCTTGCGTTTATATGTTATCTCCACGCCTCTGGTCAGGAACAGATTGATGTTCAATGTTGGAAGACCATGTTGCAACTGTTGCAGTAATAATGAGGGCATATTGTTTACTCTTTCAGCGGCTTCTTCGCTTTTATCCATCGTTGAGATTATATTCTTCATTGATGCACTTCTACGTTGCATTTGTTGTTGCTGTAAATATCGATAGCAGGCATTGATATCACCGGTGACTTTGCCTACGTGAGTATCTACATCTAAAAAATCTTCCAATGCCACCCTCTTTTTGCAAAGGAAGATCTTTTTACGTATGGTCAGCAGTGTCTCATAGGTGACCTTGAATAATACATTATCGTTGCTGTTGACTTCACTGTTGTAAACATCTTCATTGTTTGCTAAAACGATGGGCCCTACGTTGAAATTGATTGCTGCCATCGCTGTCATTGACTGGTCATCCTGCAGTTGTTGGTGTGGTTGTGTCATTGCTTCTGTTGAAGGTACTATCAAAAGTTTCATATAGAGATGTACATAATCAAGGTGCAGTGATAGATTCGTTTCCGGTGAATCTACAATAACGTCTTTGAATTGTACTGTAATGTATTTCAAACAGAATTGAAAAGGAGTCATAAGAAGACCCAATATTTTGGTCCAATTTGCTTTTGACAGAAACTTTATGGAAGAAGAACAACGTCTAGTAGCCTTGTCAATGGATTGGCCCAGCTTTGGAACTATGCATATACGTAAGTTTTGGTGTCGAATAGCGATTCTTCTACTAAATATTGCACTACTACCACCGTTGTTGCTGCTGCATAGATTTGTATAATTATAGCAAGCTTGAATTGATAACGAACCAAAATCCGTGATGCAACAGCCGACCTTACTACGTAGATGATCATTGACTATTACTTTTAATGATGAAGAGTAGTATGCAACGATATAGTAAGCAGCCGCCAGGTAGCATATTGTAACGGTGGTGAGTAATAACCACATTGACTTCAATAGTGGGAAAAGAAGAAGGGAAGAAGAATGGACTCATTATTGTTCTGCTGTTTCAAGAAGTTACTCAAAGTGAAGAAGCAAGAGATAAACAATACCGAAACAGGTCATCAAGCGATCGGACTAATCTTCCAAGAGCAGTAACATGATCCTAATGCACGAAAGTCAAATTACCTTAACTGGGATTCAATAATAGATATGGTAATGATAGGTTGCCTGTTGGTTCTTGGAAAGTAGCAGTTTTTTTTTGAAGTTGACTTTTTATTGAAGTTACGTTTTTTGAGATAAAAATCAGATTCAAAACAATATGAGAGCGACTAGAACCAGTTCAAATCGTATCATGGTCATTTGGGGGGAAAATAAGATGGAAAGCTTTATCTTGAAAGGTTACAAAAAAAAAAAGGAAAGAAAAATTTCATTATCTGAAATTACATTGTATCTAAAGTGGAATAAGTGAGGTATTGGCAGTATTACTGTTACTAGAGGGAGTACTATTAGTACTTGAAGGGGTAGTAAAGAAGTTTATACTATTATTATTATTATTATTATTGTGATAGTTAGTAGTAGGCAATGCATTTGTCATTAAAGCGGACGGTGGAAGACTCTGGTGTCTCCAGTAATTTTGCTGTTGATTCAGTAAACCATTACTATAATCCATCTGCGCCAGCAGAGATGCTTCGTCATTGGTTGCAGTATTTGTAAGCAAGCCAATATTTACAGGAGGAGGAACAGATGCCGAGGCACCCATATTCATTATACTCGCAGAAGTAGAAGGAAACCGGGTAATTTGGCATAATCTATCATCCACACCTGCTATCGTCAGCAAATCATGTCGAAGATCCGTTGCTAACCCACGTATTGTATGACGTAGCACAATTGAAGCTTGCATTCCCTCTGTAAAGTCACTACATTGAACCCAACCTTGAGCGTTCTCATTATTATTCATTGTTGTTGCGGTCGTAGTTGTAGTAGGGTTGATCTTTTCCATGAAAAATTGAGGTGGTTCCGACACATCTATATCCACTTGAGCTGAAATGTTGTCTTCCAGAACATTTAATTCGATGGATTGGACACTATCGAATGATATCATCATTTTAAAATGATAATTATTATCTCGAATGTGCCACGAAAAATTTCTTGTTTTGTTGTTGTAGGAACAAGTTAGGTCCTGCTGGTCGATTTTCATACGATGCCAAGATCCTATAGTAACAGCTGTAGCTGTGATACAACCTTCTTCGTCACCGTCTTTTTGGCACTGAAGCTGTAAAGGATACGATGCAGAAGGATTCATTGATAAAGATGAGAAGAGAACAGTAGCTGAGCTTGCTAATGGCTCACTCTCCATTTTTTTGGAAACGAAGGGCTGTGGGGTAGGCGAAGGTGAAACTGTCATGTCCGACAAGCCATTGGATCCAGTCATCAACAGAGAAGAGGAGTTATCACTAGCGTTACTGCCATGGCCGTTATTGTTTGTAGTGGCAGTAGCCTCATAAGGAAAGGGTTGTGATAAAGTAGTAGCAGTAGAGGATGAAGATAAGGTTGCAGGATGTTGCAGAGAAGATACGAATGGTTGATGATTGCTATCGGTACTCCAAGCGCGATGAATAGGCATTTTTTGTAGGAATGGAGCATATTGGGGATATTTGTTATACCAGTAAGGTATTGGTGAATTTGCGGTTGCAATAGGGTTGGCATATTGATATGGACTATACTGGTATGGATGTGGGTGGTGATGATGTTGCGTATGAGGATTGCTAGCATACAACCTAGCTCTAGCCGCTTCTTGCTCTTGGCGTAATAAAAATCTCTTCTGTAACATCTTTACTTTTGCACGTCTATTTTGGAACCATATCTGAATTGATCTTTCAGGCATTTGTAACTTGGCCGCCAGATGTTTGCGCATTTTGGAATCAGGCGTCGCAGTTATATTGAATGTTTCTTCTAATACTGTTAATTGGGAAGGTGTAACACGAGTTCTTTTCTTATTAATATTCGCTTCTTCGTTACTGCTAGCATTACTGTCATTATGATTGTTATTAGAAGTAACATTAGTGGTAGTATTCTTATGATGATTGCTATGTATTTGTTGATAAGGTTGATTAAACATCATTGCTGTTGTTATTAGTGGATTTATATCTGACATCATATTTGAAAGGAACGGTGATTGCTTTTGACTATTGTAGCTGAAAAATGAATGGTGGAGCAAAGTGAAAAAGATGAAAGGAATGTAAAGGTAGAAGAGTGTGTGGTTTTTTTTAAGGAATTGTTATTTTATATGATAAATCGTTTTCTTTATTAAATGAAGTAAGGAGAGTAGATGGGGTAAATCTAGTGTGTCAGAAGGTTTTTAGGGGTAAAAAAACTGGGAATAATCAAAAAGAAAAAGAAAAAGTAAGCGAGGAGCTAGTATTTATTTCCGTATTAAAAGGAAAGCTCAGGGAAAAGGGAGCTACTAAGGGGAAAGAGAGAGAAACAAAAGGCGGCCCTTCTAGTGTAATCACACAAAGATATCACAGACGGCACACAAGAGCTCTCATCAAGCTGGAGTTGAATTCAAATAGATTTGTTTGACCCTAAACAAATTGCGATCAAAAGGGAAAAATAAGTATACGCCACAAAAAGAAGTTGAACAGCACAAGTTACAGTGAACTATTCCAGCAATATATAGGAGAGTGTAGGTCCTAAAATAGCTGTGCCTGATTATTTCCTATCAACTTACTGACATGGACAAAAGTGCGGGAGGTGCACATTTACCCAAGGAAGCGCGTAACTTTGGACAACTTCAGCTTAAATATTCGCGTTTTGTAAACCCATAAACCCCACTCTCTGGTTCAGGACACGCTTTTTCGTTCTCCATTAAATAGGTTTTTTCTTTCTATTGGATTTCAATCTCGATATACGTTGTTTATATTTAATTATCACGGTTATGTCGTCTTTCCAAATTCAACTTGATGCTGTTGATCAAGAGATCGAATCCATCGAGACCTCCATTCATCTGTTACAGGAAACGAAGAACGATCTCCTTGTCAAGCGGGAAAAATTATTGGATGCCTTAGCTCGACAAGCAATCCAAACGCATACTACTACAACTTCCTCGTCTGCGCCATCGACCCGACTGGATCCGTCACCATCAGCATCTTTAACGTTAGAGGAATTTAGTTGGTCTGCCGATCTACGACGATTAGCCAAAGAATATTTTGATATTGGAAGCTTTCGTCCACTTCAATTACCTATCTTAAATGCAGCAGTACAAAATGAAAGAGACATATTTGTTGTCTTACCCACAGGAGGAGGAAAATCACTATGTTATCAACTGCCCGCAGTCCTACAAAATGGTTTTACTCTAGTTATATCACCACTCGTTTCTTTGATTAAAGATCAAGTTTACCAATTACAGCAAGCGAATATACCCTCTGCCTATTTAACAGGCTCGTCTACGAAGGAAGAAGTAAACTTTGTACAAGATGGTATGGTCCCGGCTAGAAAAAAAGGATCATCTTCTTCCACAGCAGAACCACCATTCAAACTACTGTATGTCACGCCAGAAAAGATCGCCAAAAGTAAACGGTTTATGGCCAGATTGAACAAGGCGTATGATGCAGGTTATTTGGCGCGAATTGTGGTGGATGAAGCACATTGTTGCTCACAGCAAGGCCATGACTTTCGACCTGACTATAAACAACTTAACGTTCTGAGAGTAAAGAGTTGTTTATTTATGCGGCGCAATTGGCATGTCGTATTCAGAGCTGTCTATTTGATATTGATAATAAATTCGATGATTACATCATCTTTTCTTGTTACATGTAGACGGTGTTTCCGAAAACAAGGATCATGGCACTGACCGCCACTTGTCCTTGGTCAGTGATGAAGGATGTCATGAAAATATTGAATATGAAGCAACCACAAGTAAAAGATGGAACTTTGGTTTTCAGTGCACCATTACACCGTAAGCAAACTTCAAGCACTTGCTGTATATGTTTAATAGTTGTAGCACCAAACAATTTATTGATCATGTCACCTTTTATGTTTGTTCACGTGTTTTTCTTTTCAAATGTTGCACTTTTTTTTTAAACATAGGACCTAATTTAAGATATAGTGTGGTACAAAAACCGGAATCATCGGAAGAAACGATCCGCCATATCACTGATTGGATTTTTAATCACTATCCTCGTCAATCTGGTATCATCTACTGTCTCTCCAAAAAGGATACTGAAGTTGTTTGTGAAGCTATACTCAAGGAAAGTAAAGGAAAAATTAAATGTGGCGCTTATCATGCCGATATGGATGACGAGGATAAAGAAATGGTGCACCAATTTTGGCGAGATGGCAAATTACAGGTGATTGTTGCTACCATTGCGTTTGGTATGGGTATCAATCATTTGGAGACTAGATTTATTATTCACCATTGCATGTCCAAATCCATGGAAGGGTATTATCAAGAAAGTGGAAGAGCTGGTAGAGATGGAAAACCGGCGGAATGCATTATTTACTATAGAGGCACGGATGCTATGCGCCTGTCTTCGTTGGTAGTTGGGGAAGTGAGTGGTAGAAATGGACGTGAGTGGAAGAAGGCTTGCCTACATCGTACTGTTTTTTGGATCCAGGGTGTTGAAATTCTTTCTTTCTTTCTTTAATCACTAGTGTATGAAATGATCCGTTATGCACAGGATTACCGCACATGTCGTAAAATACTCTTTGAGAAATACTTCTCCCTGGATGCTGTCAGTGAATCTTCATCCGAGGAAGGTCTAGTCAACAAAATCACGCCTGATGAGCCTTGTGGTATCTGTGATAATTGTCAACGGTCCAATGGAAGCATTCGATCCGAAGATATTGCACCTTTGGCAAAGGCTCTTGTTCAACTATGTAAAATACTAAAGGATTTCAATGAAAGAGTAACGATGTCCAAATTAGTGCAAATGGCTCAAGGACGTCAACTAGGTATTGTTAAGACAAAAGTGATGAATGATCCATCTATTCAAATACCCTTTGATCGAAAATACAATGACTATGTGAGTGAGCTTTATCTAACAATGTTACGTAAAAAGTGCTATCAAATCTGACCGATGAAATAATATTTAGGATATTGAAAGAGTCATCAATCATTTATTATTGGAAGAATATTTGACTGAAGATTTTCTGTTCACGCCCTATTCTACCATTGTGTAAGTGCGATCACTGTTTTGAAAGTACAACTAAATACAACTCACCTACCTGCAATTACTTGTTGTGAAAGATACATTGTTGTAGGGCCTTACGGACATGATTTGCTGAGAGGAGGACTTGTTGAAATAGAGTTCACTTTTTTGCATGAGAACGATAAGAGCAGGCACAGTAGCAATCAGAAGAGAAAAACGAACAGCAGCCCGAAAATGATCGGCAAAAGTAGTATTACTGTGAATAAGAGACAAAAGAAAGAGAAAATAGTGATAGAAGACGATGAGGACGATGATGCCAAGGACAACGACTTTGACTTTATTTTAACTGATGACAACTACGTTATTTTAGATGATTAACCTTTGTTTCACATTTGCAAAAAACCAAAATCTGGGAGTCAGCAGATCAGAAAAACAATAAACACGTCTTTCAGGAGTAAGAAGAAATTGACTTTTCAGCCTTTTTTAAGTGCTTTTGCTTCTATGTTTCTCCTCTCTCTCTCTCTCTCTCTCTTTTTTTTTTTTTTTTTTTGTTGCAAGTTTTTTTTTTCTTTTTTTTTCGCTGTTGTAAATGATGATGGATAGAAATAAAACTGCAGTGTTTGAATCTTTGCCTGCCACTACTGCAACTATACCGCCGATTTCAATATCTCAATCTACTCTAAGCACTGCTTCTACAATGATTAACTATACAACAGACGATGATAATACTGGTCCGGTAGTCACAGATTTCTCAGATGGAAATGAATTTGATCAACAGCCTTTCTCACCTGTTGAATCCACATGTTCTTTCATGTCGTCTATTTCTGGTATTGCCGAAAAATCTGCCTCTGAGCTAGGTATCCTCTTAAAGAATGCCTACAAGTCTATTAAAGAAAAAGAGAAAAGTAAAGTATGTTTTTCTTTTTCTTTCTCTGAAAGGAAACAACAATAAAGTTGATCTCTGATTTTGAATAACTTTAAATATAACGCTGTAAAATAGATTTATACTTGGCAGCAGAAGTAGGTAAATCTCTATTAGAGCATAATCAAGCTCTAAAATCTGATTATGAAAAATTATTACAAAATGTGAAATATTGTGGAGAAGTCGTTCAACAACAACAACAACAACAACAACAACAACAGCAGCAGCAGCAAGACTCTATAAAAAACAACATTGCCAGATGTAAGAAAAAAGAATATGATGCTATTATCGAAACACTTGAACGAAAAAATAGCGAGCTAGAGCAGTTATTAGAAATCGCTCAACATGAATCGGATGCCCACCTTCAAAGTCAACTGAACAAGCAACGTAAACTCGAAGCAGAAATAGAACTTTTAAAAATCAATTTGGACACTGCAGCTTCCACCATCGAAGAACTTGAAAATGCACAACAAGAGCGGGCCGCTCAACTAGTCCAACAAAAACGTCATTATGAAAAACGCCACACAGAAGATGTCGCTTTGATGGAGGAGCTGACGACGCAGATGGAAAGCTTGTTTTGTGAAAATAAACAATTGCAGGCTTCGAAACGGGCCGTGGAGGAAAAATTGAGGATTTCTTTGCAGGATTTAGATAGATTGCGGCAAGAATTCGAACACTTTGAATTATCGCACGCCAACTATCAGATGTTAAAAGAGGCACTAGGACAACAAACAATGCACATCAAGGAACTGAATGCAAGTTTGGAAGATCACCGCTTAATCTTGGCAAAGCTACAAGAGCAAGGCTTACTATGGTCACCTCCCATCATGCGTAGTACTGGTGATAGTTGCACTACAGCGCCTACAACAGCAACAACCCATTCTTCGCTTTTCTCTTCTTTTAACCAACAGCCATGTCTAATGGATGAACTTGACGTCACTCACAGCAATTATCTTGAGAACAATAATAGCAATACGAGTGAAGAAAAAAACCAAAATAGTCTGCCAAATAAATTGCTGAAAATGGCGAGCACAACAGAACGGAACATTACTTCATTTTGTCATTCACCCACTGATTACGCAGTAGATACAATACTATCCAAATGGATGGGGCTTGATTTCTATACCACCCACAATAGTAACATCGAAGCGGACAAAGTAGAGTTATTTGAGCCCCTTTACAGTGATAAGCGCTTCAAAGAAACCAATCTGTATCCGATGGTCGTCGAACATCTGACTTGCTTTATGAAAGAGGAAGACGACAATGCCCTTCGTGAAGCAAGCAGTAGCTGCAACAGTAACAGTGGTTTACTAAACCATCTTTTATGTAGAATACGGTATTTGATCCGTTCTATACTACGCTGGTGCCGGTTTGTCATTGTGTTAACAGCTGCTATCTTGATGAATTTGTGGAGGGGCCCTGATAATATTTTATTGGAAACATATTAACAAAATCTAAAGCATTTTATATTATTATTCTTATTATTTATCATTATTAACTATTGTTATTGTTGCTTCTGTAACGATGAACGTTTCATGATATAATCTAGTAAATTATGTGTCTATCATTCAATGAAAGGGGTTGAGGTTGGGGGGTGTAAGCGGGGAAATAAAAAGGAATATATGTACATGGCCTATTGTTTCAAGGAATAATGACTTGTACGTTTTTTACTATTGCTCATATTAGTAGCACTATTACTAGCATGGATTAGATGAGGTGATAAATTATATTTCATTGGTAATGGTGGTGATGGTGTGGTAGGCATTAAATAGGATTGTGGTTGATGAAATGTAGGTGTAGACATACTTGGTGTAGGTAAAATAGGTGAGGCATGTAAAAGTTGCGACCTTCTATTATGTGTACGTTGTTGTTGTTGTTGTTGCTGCTGCTGTTGCTGTTTCATCAATAATTGATGATGCTGGAAATTGATGTTATGTTGACCAGGCTCAGGCACTCGACTTAGCAATCCATCTTTTAGACTAGCTTTCGAGGGGTCTGGTTTCTTGTTATGCTTATTTTTACGTAATGCTGCTTTTTCTTGTTCCATTTGTAGCATCAAATCCATAGCAGATACACTTTGACGCTTCGTCTTCATCTGTTGCTGTTGTTGTTGTTGTTGTTGTTGATATTGCATTTGTTGAAATTGCTGAAATTGCAATGCTTGTTGGTATTGATACGCCGCCGCTGCCGCCGCTAATTGCTGTTGATATTGATATTGTTGCTGTTGTTGAAGATACAGCATATCCATATCATTCAGCATAGATCGACGGTGCATTTGTTTCTGGTTGGCCATGAAATTCTTGTTTAAGCTGTTCATATTCCGTTTTCGAGCAACGACTTCTTCCACTAACTGCTCATCGTCTTCAGTGATAGGTGAAGCCATCGAGTGTTCGCTAGAAGTAGTAGGCGTGGATGCTTCTGTATCCAATACAACAGATTTACGCCAGTCTTCAATCGAGCCAAGTTTACTATTGTTATGGATACTCGTGATACCTAAAGGCGTTGTCGATTCAGGAATAGGCTGCATCGGCGTCATATCACCTGTGGATCGTGTACGTCTATGTAAACTGGGTCCACGTTCCAATTGTCTTAAAGTGGACAAGCGACGAGCATTCATTTCTGCCATGGTTAATATTTCTTCAGGTTTTTGTTGAGGTTGCTGTTTATTGGATGGAGTGACAATGGTGGGTACTGGAATGGCTATTGTAGTGGCACCTATATTGATTTCCTTTTTTAGTTTATAGTTCACGTGGTACTGTATATTGATTTTTGAAAATAGAATAGTTAATTAATGTGTATCTATTACCTTTTTCAAACGTGGCGTTGCTATTGTTGTCATCCTCCTCTTCATCCTCATTTTCATCGTCGTCATCTTCCTCTTCATCGTCACTTGGCGCTGGTAAATGACTCATTGTTTTCATTCTTCTTCCGTTCGTCAACCATCGATCATTCTGTCTTGACGTATGAGGAGGTGGCGTTATTATCATTCGAGGATCACTGTTGTGAAGTGTGGGCCGAGGAGAAGAAGAAGAAGGTGGGTTCTTGTTCTGTTTTGCGCTTTTTCGTTGATTTGATGTCTGCCGTTGCTTTTCTTCTTCCTCTTCTTCTTCTTCGTCACTACTTGGTTCTTCCACTTGATCTCCTTCGTCTTCGTCGTCACTAGGCATATACTGACGACCATGGTTTGTTTTGTAGGCTACTGAGGATATGAAAATGAGTTTTCTTTCCATGTACACATGAGAGCAATTTAAATGGAGGACAGTTATTTACCTATTTTTCGGGTGCTATTAGCGGACGATGTCGATGAACTAACAGAGGATGCCTTAGTAGTAGCATTTACAGGGGCAGGCATCATAGTATTCGTGGTAGCAGCAATAGGGGAACTAGGTTGACTACTTGATATACTGGGAGACGTAGAGGATGAGCCTCTTTTCATTTGTTCTTTTAAAAAGGGAGGGTGACTGTTCTGATGAAGATGTTGAAGATGACTATGTTTTTGCTGTTGCTGGTGTTGCCGTCTATAGTGTGAATGCTGCTGTTGTTGTTGTTGCTGTTGCTGCTGCATGCTTCGTCTATTATTAACGGCGGTTTGTTGCAACACATCCTCTATTAAATGGGAAGAGTTTGGCGGTAATATAATAGATTTTCTCATGTTGTCGTTGATGTGCGATTGGTGAAAAATGACACTTTTCTCCCAATTGTCTTCTCCATGATCGGATGTGTCGGGCGTTTTGATAGCTTTTGCCAAAGCTAACCTTGAAAGACTGACAGATACGTCCTGTAATGACATAATTATATAACGTTATGGGGGGTATCAGGAAAAGAAGGTTATATTAAAAAATGAGGGAAATGAAGTGAGAAAAAAAAAAAAAAAAAAAAAAAAAAAAAGGGAAAAAAGAGAAAAAGAGAAAAAGGAACAGACATTTTGGCTGTTGTTATTTTTAGCAACGGTGCACAAACGAGACTGAAATTCTTCGCGGTTTTTTTACTGTCGCACAACAGTTCTTTCTCTTCTTTTGCTTTTTAAAGAAGTTTGTCCATTCTCGAGGTCAACGTGCAATTGATAAGTCTGGTGACACTTTCTTTTTACAGCAAAAAAAATAACCCAAAAAAAAAAAGTAATGCCTTATCAAAAAGTAGACCCACAAACGATTTCAAATTAGGTTATTGACTGCATAATGAAAACTCTGTTATACACGCAATCTTGTCTTAATAAATCATCAGGCTTACTTACGTAATCGTTGATAACATTAAAGAAAGTATAAGAAGGAAAAAAAAACTTCAAGTGATCAAGCCTTCTGCTTTTGATGGATGCTTTCAAAAGGGGAATAAGAGCTAAAAATAGTAGCCAGTTGTATGGAACGAAAAAATGTTGAGCATCATCGGATCATTCCCTTATTGCCCGCATGAATTTGGTTACCATGGATATTTGAAATAGCCATCAAGGCAGGCTACACCCAACATAGAGCATGGTCAGCGCGCTAATTATGTTTATGTAATAGTTTATTCAATGTTTCTGGTGTATCTTTTTGGATAAAAAAAGGGAGTAGGGTATTTCAATTCTGTACAAAAGGTGTGCGTATACATACATATATATATATATATATATAAATATAAATATATATATATACATATATGCCTATATATGAGCAGGTGAGTGGGTGTGCTGCATTAAGGTTGCCAGGTAGATGGATAGATAAATAGATAAAAGTAATACATGTGTCGTGCCTGCGAGTACTATGTCATTAACCGTCCCATAACCCATGGGATTTCACAATACCCTCCAAGTATTTGATTCGTTTCTGATAATCCGCTTCTTTTGCCTTCATGCTTCTCTTTTCTGACTCTAGGATAGCATTGTTCAGGACTAATTTCGCGTTTTCAGCTTGCAAGCTATTCACTTTATTCTCTAATTGTTCGACTTTTAACAGTTTCTTCAATCTCGATTTCCTAGCTGCCTCTGTATTCTGTGCAATAGATGATGAGTCTCTCCCATTTTTTTTTTCAAAGACATTTTTTTTTTTTTTTTTTTTTGGGAAATGAATACCTTTCTACGCTTCAATACATCTTCATCTATCGTTCCATCTGCGGACGGTTCCGGTTCCGGTAACTTTCTTATACCTCTAGGTTTTGGTAAGGGCCGAGATAGTCTCAACAGAGAAAGGTCATTCTTATTTTCTTCCTCTGTTTCTTCCGTCATCGTTTCTTCGGCAGTGGGATGTAATTGGCGTGGAGGTACATCGTTTCCGCCCCACGAGATATTAAAAACGGCTGTCGTTTTGCTTTCTTCTGTTCTGACTGTCTGACCATATTCCGATGAGGCTGGTGCTGACTGAGACAAGATGGAGGTGGTGCCGACATCAGAAGAAAGGGTGTTCATATTGGGTGTCAAAGAGTAATGCAAACTGGATACTGAAGGTGAGAAGCTATCTATTGTCATTTCGTCGTTCTCTTCTTCATCACCAGGAATAGCAAATGTACTCACGTTATTCCAAAGAAAGATACCTTCCTGCTCCTGATCGTTATTTCCGTGGTCAGCCACCCTATTGACATGTTGTGCGGAAAAGGGGTTGGCATCGTTTGGTAATGGCGGAAACAAAGATGTGGCAGAAGAAGAAGAAGGAGAGAACGTGGAAGAGGAAGGAGAAGAGGAGGAAGCAATGGTTTTCGTATGAGTGGTTGTAGAAGCTGTTAAGAGATTAGGGTCGACGTTCATTTTGTCCTTAAAATCATTCTTTTCATCAGTTGATTATCGTCCCGTAAAGAATAGATAAATTGTGTTTTTGCTGTTTATGAGCCTGCCTCTCTCCCTGCGATTCTATCTGGCATTGAAAAAAAAAACTCAAAAAACCAAAAAAACCACAAATGAGGAATTTGATGTGATAAATGGGCTAACGGAGGGGAGAAAGGGTTCAAGGGAACACAAAAAAGAAGAAAGAAGAAAAGCGCTATCATCATTTAGTCTTTTTTGTCATGTTGGATAGCCTTTTTTTCCACCACTACATAGCTGTGATTTGTTTCTTTGATAACCAAGTCTGAACCAAAGAATGAAATGGATTTGACACAATAGACGGAAAATAGGCAGGATCTGTCAACCTACGCCTTATTTGCCATGATCCATTTTTTGACATGTAGTTCTTTGATAAACACCAAGAACAGCTACAAATAAATTGTTATGTTTTATCATCACAAAGCGGGTTTTATGAAAAGAAAAGACCATCGACATCCTCATGGGGTCGATCGAAGCCTCCATTGTGCATAGATGAAAGTTGCTTCCTACACTCCGCTGAACTCACTGATTCGAATTTTATTGCATCACATTCCCCTCCCCAATTATCGGTTAATTTTTCCCTTTTTCAATTCCTATTATCTATTCTTTTTTTTTTTTTTTTCTATTTTCTAGACTGTGCATCTTACATGAGATGAATGCGAGTGAAACAGACATTGCACAAAGAACAGCTGCAGCACGAAGGGAAGCAGAACTTTTAAAAGAGAAGATAAAGCAAAAGAAAGAAAGTCTTTCAGACACAACACGTAAATATGTTGAGCATGATAACCTACTTGAGAGTGAAGGGGAATGACAAGTGACTCAAATGCATAACCCTATTCCCTAATTAATGTTTAGTACAAGAAGTAGCACAAAATGTCGGAAAGTTACCACGAATCAACATGAGAGTACGACGTACGCTCAAGGGCCATTTAGCGAAAATTTATGCTATGCATTGGGCCACCGATAAACGCCATTTAGTGTCTGCATCGCAAGATGGAAAATTACTTGTCTGGGATGCTTATACAACCAACAAAACATTCGCGATACCCTTAAAATCCTCTTGGGTCATGACGTGTGCTTATGCTCCCAGTGGTAATTATGTTGCTTCAGGCGGTTTAGACAATATATGCTCTATTTACAGTATACAATCGTCGTCATCGTCGTCAGCAACGCACAATAATAGTCACTCACATTCTAATTCAATACCTACACCGGCCAAACCAGCAAGAGAACTATCAGGGCATTCAGGCTATTTAAGTTGTTGCCGGTTTTTGAGCGATAACCAAATTTTAACGTCGAGTGGAGACACAACGTGTGCATTGTGGGATATCGATGCTGGTGTAAAATTAGATGAATTCACTGATCATACAGGTGATGTCATGAGGTAAAATCAGTAAGTTTTTCTTTTTTTTTTTATCTTGCTCTTTTTTGTGCTTTTGTCTGATCATTCGGGCCATTTTTTTTTTTTTTCTTGCTATAGTTTATCTATTTCATCGAACCCTCATATATTTGCTTCAGGCGCTTGTGACGCCAGTGCTAAAATATGGGACATACGTAGCAAAAGGTGTGTCCAGACGTTTATCGGCCACGAAGCTGATATCAATGCTGTTCAATTCTTTCCGAATGGTAACGCGATAGGGACAGGATCAGACGACGCCAGCTGCCGTTTGTTTGACCTACGTGCAGATCGCGAGCTCAACATGTTTACTCATGGACAAGTCTTTAGTGGCGTCACCTCAGTAGCATTCTCTATATCAGGGAGATTGTTGTTTGGTGGCTATGATGATTACCATTGTCATGTGTGGGATACACTAAGAGGTGAACGTGTAGCCGTGCTCAGCGGCCATGAAAATAGAGTATCGTGTTTAGGCATATCCACCGACGGTAGGGCCTTATGTACAGGAAGTTGGGATAACTTGCTGAAAATCTGGTCGTAGAAAGGGAATCCATAAGCCCTCATCCTCCTTTCTTTATATAATATCGTTCTACTCTACATCGTACCCTAATATAACTTCTTTTCCTATTACTAAATTCTTTCATCCTTTAGAACCGTTTTACTCGTCAAGCATTCCTCTCATCGACCCCTTCCCTTTCCTCGTTTGTATATTTTCTCTTCATTTTTTTTACCTGCATAAAAAAACACGACGACATGTGCTGCCAACTGAGGGGTCTTTTTTTTTGGTTTTTTTTTTTTTCCCTTTTTATGTCAACATGCTATGCTATGCAATGTAACAACCTCCGCTTTTGAGTATTGTAATGAGATGGCAATCAATAGATAATGACAAGATGGTTTGTCATGCAAAGGAATGAAATGCATATCAAAAAGCATAAAACAACCTGTATCGTTTGTCTATCTAAACAATCGACTTAAGGAGGGACATGGTAAAGCCTTGTCTTTCGTACGCGAATCATCTGGGAAAAACGTCCCTCTATCTTTGAACGTCAGTCAACAGCAACTGTTGTCTTTTGGTTGAATCATTTCGTTTTGAACATAAACTGACTGACACGTTTGAAACAAATGAAGGGTCTAGATTTAGGAGCCTTAAAAGAAAAAAAATAAAAAATAAACGTGATTATTTTTCCCTCATCGTTGAGGAGGTATCGACTGTTTGAAAAAAAAGGCTTTCATTATTGTAAATTCAATTTTACATGATGACAACATGTTCATAAGCTTAAAGAAGAGCCAATCGTTTTTATTCGTGTTTCAATGCTCGTTCAAACTCACAAAAATGAAATCCTACTATTGCTCGTTAGCATGATCATTTTTAAAAAAAAGAAAATGACAATGAATTGAAAATGGGGATTTACTGCTTTTAGGGGTAGCAAATCAATTAGTAGACCATGTTATTTGAAGAGCCTGAAAGCATTATAATCCTAGAATCGTTATATAAGTTGTAATAAAAATAGCATAGATAGATAATAGCTGTAGTAGTAGTAGTAGTAATAGTAGTAGTAGTAGTAGTAGTAGTAGTAGTAGTGAATAATTATTACTAAAATGTGAGATAAATAAATAGTAAAGGAATAAACGACCTGCGTTCATAGCTTGGGCATTTCCAATACATGCTCAGGCATCACATATTTTACTTCATCGTTGTCGTCGTCAAATTGTACTCTGTAATTCTTGATTTCTTTGTTCTATGTTGAAGGGTTAGTTTAGTCAATGTTATACATGTACATAAGCCTCGAAAATGGGATGATGCTCTTTTTTTTTTTGTAACATTTAAATTCATAGTTACCTTACTGGGTGGTGCAATGACAACGGCTTTATAAAAACATGTGGTTCCTGGATAAAGGGCTAAAACATCACGATGCACCGGTATTTCTGGCAACGATTTCGCTTCTTCTGATGTGGGTACAGGGAGAACATAACGAGGAGACAAAACATAGCGCCTAAAGAGAAGGGTGATGGACGATGAGGACGAGGAGGAGCGAAAAGAGAGAGAACTACTTTACTATTAGCGTGGGATACGTTACTGCTTCTGTCCATAATCATCTTGATCTACGTCTTCCACTTGATATTTGTTCTTTTCAGGAATAAACTGTATCACTACTGCCAAGATCCATTCTTCGCCTTTATCCTTTTCCTTGGTTTGTCTCGCAGCCACCTGTTGCTCGATAATGGATGATGAGACAAATGAGATGCAAAATAGAACCGTTTAGATTGTCTTTTCTTTTACTCTTTTGCTTGCTTTTTTTATATATATATATATATAGGCTGCTTTACCGTAGTTCCTTTGGGAAAATAACGTGGGCTGTGATTCGTCATTGACTTATTACCGATACCATTGCTATTCATGGGGGATTCCATATCAATCTATTGTGTGATTCCTTTTTATATTGATGCTGATGGGTGCATCGCTTTAAAATTTACCTTGATGTTGTATCAGTATCAAGTGTCGTTTTTCGCTTCTTTTTCTTTTGCAAATCTAAGATTAGATCAGGTTAGCAAAAAGGCGTGTACAAAATGAGTTCGTGTAAGGGCTGAATAAAGAATCAAAAACCTTGTTCACCACTGTCTCTCAGGGCAATGAGTACAGAAAGTTTCTCAATGATATCTCGAATCATTCTAAGTGAAAAGAAAAATCACTTTAAAGCTTAATGCAGGATCCTATGTCACTTTGTTCCCTTTTAAACAGACTTTCATACTTTGATTCATTCATGGATAATTCTATGCCACGCTTATAGCTCTCTTTCAGCTTTTGACGAATCATACTAGGTATGCCTTGTTTGTTGTAGCAGTTAATAACAGCTCCTTTTTGAAACAAACACCTTGCACAGATAGATCGTACCTTTTTCTGTATTGATAGACAATTGTATCTTATTGATAGTATTGATAATGGCCTCTTCCTCTTTTTGTATTCCTTCTAATCTCAGTAATGAAGTGCAAATGTCTTTCCACAGATTAAAATCTTCACTCATTTCCTCATGAGGTCTCGAGCGTGATTTGCGTTCCATGGCTTTTAAAGAGTGTGTGTGTGTGTGAGAGAGACGTAACTGTTAATAATTATGGTTTCCTCTTTCGTCAAATTCAAAAAGTATTTTTAGTAGTTGTTATTTTACGTTGTTTCAAAAAGCAAATGTAATATTAAGAGATTATTTTTTTTTTTTTTGTAATTGTAAATTTTTTTAATATGTTATTTTTTGCAAATTGAGAAAATTGAAATTTTTGTTAGATTTTTTTTTTTTTTTTTTTGTGATGTATCTGCTTTGCAATAAGACACTTTTGCAAAATTCATGATTTCTTTTTGTCTGCTGCTCTTTAATTTTGGGGGTTCTGCCGCTACAGTTTTTTAGCTTTGGGTTTAGACGAAGCCGCAATATAACTAGACGAAAAAAGTAAATTTTTGAGATTATTAAGTTATAGTTTCAGGATCAAACTCCACAAAAATTGAGACACTTACCTGTAAAAATCAAACCAGCTTCGTGCTGGCGATTAGAAGATGGTGTTAAGTGGTTGTTGCGGGTGATTTTGGTTTTCTAGAAAACTCCGCAGGTCTTCCCGTTGACTTCCAGATCGAAACGCTAATTGTTAACATGTTTTTAGCAGCGTTGACGTCCCGGTTCCAAAGTATCGAACAGGTTTTGCAGGCAAGGATACTTTGGCCGGGAACTGTCTTCAATGCTTCAAGATTGTTGGAACGACAATTATTGCATATTCGAGAAGTTAGGTATTCATCAATGGTTAATACGAGCAAATCGCCAGCAGCCTCTCTTCGCTTCAAGGCACGCCAAAGAACTCCCACGATACCAGTTTTATGGCCTTTGATGGGCACTGTACTCTTCCCGAACATGCCATTACCAACTACAATCAAAGGAATTTTTTTAATGTCGCCTACACTAAAGGGTTCAGGCTTCCACTTGTTCTTCAGGGAATTGCTGTAGAAAGCATGAGTTCTATCAATATTTCTGCGAATAGTGGATGAATTGCTTATCATTTAAAAACCTTACCTCTCTTTCTTAACGAGAACATCGCTTACTTCTCTCGCATCTGCTTCTTTCCTCTCTTCTGGAACCTTTTGCTTCTTCTTCTTCTTCTTTTTACGTTTACAAAAGGCCATTCTGTCGGTATGCTTCTTTGGCCACTTGCTTCGATCTTTCTTCTTCTTCAACCTCAATTGCTTATTGTACTTTGTGGTTCCATTAATAAGCATATTGACCATATTGTTGGCAGCACGCTCCTGACCCTGGTATAAACGAAATCTGTCTTCAGCAGTTCTCTCGCCGTAAAAAGAAATCAAGGCTTCGGAGTGCTGCAACATATATTGTACATGACGGTCATGTTGTTCGATGATAGAAGTTTTGGCGGTTGGTATGCCACTTTCGATCATTTTAAGTGTGCCTGCTTTCTTCTTTTCCAGCTTTGCAGCGTATCTGGTACTTCCGGTCATATGATAATATTCCTTGATAGAGCAGCTGCGTACTTGATGTTTGTTATGATCTAGTCCGATTGCCGCTGTGAAGACAGATCTTCTCCCTGGATCAAGGAAAGCGGGTCTGAAACTGTCTTGTACTTCGTCATAAGAAAAATCTTCCAAAGTCAAGCTGTGATTATGAATGGTCATGTCTTCTTTTGCTTTCTTTTTGCGGCTGAACAAAAAGTCTACAGTAAAACCGTCCGACCTAACCATGTTCGAAACATTACATCAGAACTTTCTTTCAAAGCGGTTAGACTATGACACAAGCAAAAATAGGGGTGTGTTTACTATTAGGGATAATTTTGCTGAAGAAGTTCTCCTATACGTTTTACCTCTTAAAGCCAAACTTTTTGAAGTCGAAGACTTTACAGAATTGTTCGAGTTGGGCTGTATAACCCTTGGCAACTTTTCCGGGAAACATGAAGGGTGTAAGAGCGTTTATACTTATCGCGATGAAACGCCATTTCAGCGACGGAGTAGGAAAGGGAAAGAAACGCTGAGGAAGTGGTAGGACACGGACATCGTACGGCTTATGCTGTATATGTTCTTGCTCGTACGCAAACTGTATGTTCCATAACGCATCAACAAACTTTGCAGGAGCAGCAGAAAGAGAAACGAGGGTTACTTCTCCTGGAATGAACTCTTCAAATTGTTTGCAGAGTACTTCAATTCGGTTTTTGTCAACGGCCGCCAGCTCGAGGTTTTCTGGCCAATGAGGATGACCATGGCAGACAGATTGGTAACAATACAGCTGTACAATTCTTTGTACATCAGTGCGTTTGATATTCTAGAATGTGTATAAAGATAAATAAAATGAATAAAACAGCAGAGCATTAAGAAAGTACTCGGTTACAGCCTTACCGGGAGCATAGTTCTCAATTTGTAAGTAAAGAACTTTGTTAAGCGCTGCTCGAAGCGCTCTACAATGGAGTTCGTGTAAGAGACGCTCAATTCCTTTGCTGCCTCTGTAAGGCAATGGCTATATCCCACGGTCAGCTTGTGTTTTACTTCGATAGTAGGGAACTTTGCCTTGAAGTCTGTATAATACTGTTTTATGTTCTCGGATAATGCCGTTTTGTGAGTAACTTGCTTGCCCGTTACTAGCTGACCTACTGAATACCAGAATTGCTGGCAGAATACATCAGGAATAGACCTGTCTTTGTTGGCTTCTTTGCTGACTTTCTTGCTGTCTTCTTTGTTGGCTTCTTTACTGCCTTTGTTGCTGTTTTTATCAGTGTCTTTCTTTTCGCCTTTGTTTGCATTCCTTTTATTCTCCTGACAATGAATGAGGTACGAGTTAACGAATAATTGACTAGAGAATACTATTCTCCTTATGTCAGCGCAGCAAGAGATGACTTTTTCTTGGAATTGTTGGCGAAACGCTGGCTTCACAGTAGACGTAAGAGGGAGCTTCCTCGTGAATACAGTGGAGCCTTCTCCAAGCGTCGAGGTAATAACTTCTTCCTTTGAAGCAATGTGATTGGGACATTCGAGAGAACGAGAAGTAGAATGACCCTTTAAGCCACAACTGATACACTTGATATCTCCAGTTGTTTGCTTTTTCTTTCTCTTTGCTTGCTTCTTTTCTTCCTTGACTGTAGCTGATTGCTTACGTTTCTTACCGCTACTTCCAACTAAATTTACGTTAAGCAAACATAAACTTGTTTTGCAGTGAGAGCATGATACTTACCATCAGCCGCAGAAACTGCTTTGTAAAACTTGCATTCATGGTATGCCTTGTTGAAATGTCCGCGTGCTTTGCAATCCTTGCACTCGATGCTTACTAGTCATACGAAACATGAATTGAGGATTACCACTATAACCTATTTGTGGCAGCGTGCTCATGTGTTACTTACGGAAGGACTCGTTTTTGGCTTTATTCTTATGGGCTTCTGCCACCGATTTGATTTTTTGCAAGATTTTGACTTTGTACATGGTTAGTAATAGCTTACAGAATGAGGAAAGAAAGTATAGAAGAAGAGAATGATGATGATGAAAGTCAAAGGAAAGGCAACTTTCTATAAATGCTTTGAGTTTGACAACATCTATTTTTTATTACGATTGACAACAACAACCGTTATCTACGTGGCGGAAGAACGTGTCTGGGACCAGTTTAACGCGTAGTTCAATTCATATGATCCATAAATAAAGTCTCGTAAACCACAACCCTGTATCTATTGCTGATAAGACCTATTTTACACTAAAATACTCAATAAGTCTCGTAGTACTCTAACGTAATGCCACTATCAATTGAAAAATGTCCACTGACCTTCAAAGTAATGTCTACAATTATTTATTCAATAAATCGTCCAAGAATATTATACCATTTCATCCTAAAGTAATTCAAAATTATCTAAATTAAATATATATATTGTCCAATAAAATTTGTATAAAGTATAAAGTTGAAGCTAAAACACTGTATTTAGCTTTGCTTCTCCAGCCCAAATGTTCGTACATTTTTACCATACTTTATTCTATAAGTAAAGGTCGCATTTGAAATTCCGGGAAAATGATATGACTTGTTTATAACGACAGCCCAAATATAGCAACTTTAGGTTGATGAAAATTTTTAATTGCAGTTCTTTTCGCGTTGACCAAAAAAAAAATCATAATTGAACTCACTATTTGCCACATATGAAAATACGGAAAATGATGCGTGAAATTATCAAGTGATATCACAGGACGAACTGATTTGATCGTATCTGAAGTGACATCTCATTTGATTATAGTATATGTGAAATCCCTAAGGGGATTCTTTGGGCTAAAAAAAAGAAAACTCCTTTTTTTGTTACACTTAAAAGACGCACAAAAAAAAAAAAAGGAAACCCCTTTGATGCAGCAGTTACAAAAGGAAAAAAAAAAAAAAAAAAAAAAAAAAAAAAAAAAAAATTGGCTACAGCACTGCTTTTGAAAACTCCTATTTATAAATTGTGGCCGTATAAAGTCTAGCCACCCATTATTACCAGAAACACACACATATATACACACACAAACAGGGAATAACGTTGCCAGCTTTTTGGCACGGGCTGGAAAAATGAGAAAAAATAGAAAGGTAGACACAGTTCTATTAGCGCAACACACACAAATCATAAATTACACACATTTATTGTATCTATTTCGATTGGAAAATGATCCAAAAAAGTAGAATGAAAATTTATGAACCTGTTTCTTTGCCACAAAGCTTTAAAAAATATCATTAAAAATTCTTAACAGGGAAATTATAAAATACGATCAAGAAACCACAAAAAAAAAAAAAAAAGATTTCCCATTTCTTCTTTCTTTCTTTTTTTATTATTATTTTTTTCCCCAAAATTACAAAAACTTGCTACCTTTTTACATTCTTAACATTCATCATTCGATTGAAATCATAACATAATATACTAGGAAGAATTGCATAATCACATTTATAACAACAATGAAATTCTCATTTTTAATCTTATCCACAGCCATTGCTTTGGCTCAAGCTGGCAATGTTAAATTTAATGTCGTCGCGCCCACCGCCACTGAAGTAAAGGTGTCTGTCAACGGCCAACAAGTCCCACTCACTGCTGTGGATGCAAATGTACCCTATTTTACAGGTTATGCTGACATTGGTGAAGCCAAAGAATACAAGGTAATATAATAATTCATATTATATACATAGACGAAACATACAATGATGAAATATGAGACCTCTGAACTGGGGTTAATTTCTCTTTGCGGTTTTTGTGTCGATCCTTCTTACCAAATTTGGCTTTTGGTTTTAATTCAATTACATATTGTTCTAATTTATAGTACATTGCTGGAGGAACTGAAGAACCTTTCACTAGAAAGTTAGATACAACCAAGCAATCTACCTTGAATGATTTTTTCAATCGTTCTGTTACCTATGCTAATATCCCTAAATTACCATGGCCCATTCAAAATAATGTAAGTCCTGGAATGGTTTTTTTTTTTTTTTTTTTTTTTGCACGCCATTTGTTATGCAGTTTTGACATTCTTAAACAAGATAAAAGAAGCTTCATGCTTTTTTGTTACTTTTGCTAACCAAAAGAAAGCATATCTTCCTACACACACACACACACACAAACACACACCCCTCGTTCTTCCCATTCCAACTCTACCTTCACGACTTTGCCCTACCCGCCCCTTTCTTTTTTCCTCTTCCATATCCTCCCCTGTTTCCTTTCAAAGCATCAAGCTCACATATTATCCATCTCTCTTATAGCCTCAATGGACTCGTGAAAATGGTAAACCTTCTCTTTTCGATGAAAACTACATTCCTAGTATCTTCTTCAACGGTGATGCTGCTACCGTCAACAACATTGTTCAAAATGTTCCCAAAGATCGTGTCGTCGGTACCCTCACTGTCATTGGTGTTGACTTTGCCAATACTTACCAAAACGTGTCCTTCGGTCTTCACGGTGCTGGTAAAAAGAAGAACAACGCCAAGCAATCTTGGAACTGGGAACTGCAGCCTGGAGATACTTTAGCCAAACGTACTTTCTTCAAGTTGCGTCATATGGAAGAAGATCCTACCCAGATTCGTGAGCGTTTGTATTCGGATGTATTACATGCTTTGGGTACCTATGCCAACCAAGCCACCATGGTCCGTCTCTTCATCAACAATGAATTCTACGGTACTTTCAACATGCTGGATGACATCACTCACTTCTCCTACATCAATGCTTTGTTCTACGGTGGTAAAACTCCTCAACAACAAGGTCTATTGTTCGATGGTCAGTCTGGTGCTGATTTCGCCGTACATACAGATGATGCAGACGGCTACGGTGCATGGGCTCCCAATCCTGCGAATGCAGAAGGTTCAGATGCTCTCGACCCCTTATGTAAAGCCTTCAACACAACCGACGTGCGCGATAATAACGCTCTTGCCGCTTTTGAAAAGCAATTCGATACAGATCACTTTTTGCGTTTCATGGTCATGGAATACTTGGCTGGCCACTGGGACGGTTACTGGATGGAACAAACCAACGATGGTGTCTTCCAAGAACCCGAAACCGAGAAATGGTACTACTTGGGTCAAGATTACGACGCTACCTTTGGTGTGAACTTGGCTGAACCTGAAGGCAAGGATTTCATTTCTGTTTCTTACAAAGACTTCCCCACCCGTTATCCTGGAGGCGTCATGATCAACCGTTTGCTAGAAAACGACAATAAGCGCGCTACCTTTGAGAAATACTTGACTGAAACCGTCCGCGTTCTCTTCAACAATGCTACTTTAACGAACCGTGTCTTGGCCTTGCACAACTTCTTGTTGCCCGATCTTCAATGGGACCGTTCTGTCGTCCAAAAATCTCCTGGCATCAACTTTGGTTGGAACTTTGACCAAGTCACTCAGAACTTATGGCAAGGTGTCAATGCACCTAACCAAAATGGCGGTGGTGCCGACTGGGGTTTGATTGAATGGATTGCCACCAAGTCTCAACACGTCGCTCAAGAATTCAACATCAACGTCGTCACTGAACCTCAAGGTCCTCCCAGCAACACTTCTACCGTTACCCCTGGTGGTGCCAATACCTCTAGCAATGTAAGCAGCAATGGTGCCTCTGATACCACTTCCGCTAACAGTGCTGCTACTAAAGCTGATATGACCAGCGCTGGTGTCCATCTCGTTCCTACGGCTGCTCTCTTAGCATTCGTTGCTTCCGCCGTGGCTCTTCTTTTGTAATTCCTGCCTCTCGTTTTTTCTAAATGGGCAGGATTCCACTTTTTTTTTTTTTTCCGTTGATCAATGGATACGATGATCAAGTCATTCCATTCCAATTCCTCGCCATTTCCTATCATATACCTCTCTCTCTTCCCTCCCCGTCCCCACCTGTAACAGTAGTCCCTTAAATTCACATTTTTGCAAAGACCATCTCATACCAAACCTATTATCGAACCTTTTTTTTTATTTAAACATCTATAATATATTATTTTATACACATTTATTTGTATCCGATGGCGGCATATTTAATATCTTTTTATATTATTATTGTTTGTCTTTATCAATAATATACTTTTTTTTTTTAATTAATAAATAATGAATGGTGCTCTTCATTCCTTTGATATTGGCTACGTTTTTTCTTTTTTTTTTTTTTTTTTCTTGAAATGTCTGTAAATAGGCCGATGATTACAAGCACAGGCTAATGTCGTATTGTTTATTGTGTGTCACCCTTGTAAATCTTATTTCGTAAGAACCTTGAAAGGAAAGTTTTTGGATACAATAGGGCAATCCACCCAACATAAAAGGCCTGACCCCCACAGTACCAATTCCCATTTTGTATTTTGCCTGGTTTTAAAAATAGATCCTTTAAAAAAGTACTAAGTACCTTTTTCGTAACGTATCACGAATGTCTCACAAACACGTTCTGAAGATCTTGTACACATTCTTAGTTTAGAGAGATACCTTGTATGGGTGTATCTTGAAGCTGTTGATGTGATACCAAGATCCATTGTGTATCAGAAGAAAAAAACTTTGATAAACAATGGATTGGTACCAACACGACATTCTATAGCATGATTATTTGATGTTACCTGAGTAAAAAAAGAAAACCATTCTCCAAAAATAGGTTCAAGAAGAAAAACTTTAGTTTTTTTTTTTTTTTTTTTTTTTTTCTATAGCATTATTAGGGACAAAGGAAGGAACGTGTACATATATCAATGACGTTAAAGTATGGATGAGGAAACTGACTAAAAGAAGGGTTGTTGTTGTTGTTGTTGTTGTTGTTGTAGCTGCTTTTGCTGCCGTTGTTGCTGCTTTACTTGAGAAGCAGAGGGTGGAGGTGGTATCAAGGGCACAAATCCACCATTCAGGGTATTACTGCTGGTATTGTTAACACTATTGCCGAATAGATCATTATGCATAGATGAGGTGGAGGTACTCATAGCTGCTGGTTTGGGTCTCTTTGACTATACAAATTGAGAAACCAAGTTGGATGATCAGACACGTACCTTTTCTTTCTTTGAATGTGATTTTATAGGAGAATCCTACTTACCCCCACATTACCAATCTTGATATTAATGGTTTGTCCCTCCTTTAAACTATAATCTTTTTTAGGTGTGGTGTCTGCATGAGCAGCTCTTTCTTCTGCTTCCTTTTCGGCCCGTAACTGTCTATCATTTGTTAATACAATAAAGACATCGATCAGCTTATGACTGCTGATAGTTGTATACTCAATTTAATCTGCGCTTTTTTTTTTTTACTTGACAAAATCTTGTAAGGTAACGTTAAAGTCAAATGCATCCGTGCGCTCTTGGAAACCCATACCAATGAAAGCATGGCGACCTAATGATAGGGAGTTGAGAACACTTATTTAGCTGCTCACGATTGATTGATTGCATTTCAAGTATTACTTGCCTTCACTTTCAATCTTCAAAACAAAATACCGGCTTGAATCCAAAACGGCTTCTACTGAATTCGAGTTGGGATCATATGGACAGACAGCAAACAGTTCACCTAAAGTTTGTTGAAATAAAATGTCACCCCTCCACCGCTTACCCAATAAGGGACGCGTGAGTGAGTGTGAGATAGGGCTGTTAATATTGTTTTGTATTGTTTTTGTTTTTTCGTTCGCAAGTCATCTGTTTCCTTGTTGCTTTCTTTTTAGTCCGTATCTAACCTGTACTGTTATCTTCGAGTCTGATTTCACATTGGTTGCCTTTGCTCACCATTCTTAATCTGCCTTTCCATAAGTAAGCACTACCGAGATCGCCCCATTCTGCAGCTCTGTTACAAAAAGACGTTGAGAATTTAGTCATACTCTCCAAATGATCGCACACACACTGCATTTCCCTCCATCTACCTGTATCCTCTTGCTGCTGTTCTTGGTGGGATTTTGTAGACTATGACGCAAAACGCATAGATGAAACTTTGATCAGTTCAAGTTTTTTTTTTTTTGGGAGGGGACGGTAATGGTATTGGTGATGGGTGTAGAATTAGCTGAAATATTACCAAAACATTCTCTTATAATCAGCAAAATGCTCTCGTACTCGTCATTCATCTTTCAATAAGTACAATTGGAAACGATGAAAGATATAGACAGATTGCTCAGCTTGACGGTTAAAAAAGGAAAAAAAAGAACCAACACTATTTTTACGGAGTCTCAACAAAAATGATGAAGGTGGGTGAAATCAACGATGTACCTGAAAAAAAGACAACCACCTTCTTTTTAACAAACAGTCTCTAGGGAGCTTGTTGAGTAATGCTTCCCTGTCAAGCTTCGTCCACACGACAGCATTGATCTCTAGCTCTTAAACAAAGCAATACAGTAAAAATTGCAGCGCGTCGGCTGGAACATTTTAGAGATTGAAATGTCTCTTCATGAGGGTGATGTATTTTTATCCTGGCCTCATGGGCAAAAGGTATATGTATTGTAGTCCAAAAATAGGGGAGTGTTTTGTATCAAAAAAGAGAGCTAGTATCACTATGCTCTGTATCGTCTGCCGACTTTACGTCACAATCCTCATCGCTCAAAACACCAAAATCTTGGACGCTCCGGACATCATCCTCGTATTCAGGGGCACTCTTTTCAATAGAAAAGATCGAGGTGTAATGTTGGGATATCTAATGAATACCAAGAGAGCTGTATCAGCATGATCTGATAGCATGATTCTCTATCGCAAAACTCCATACTTTACCTGACTGATCTGCTCACGGAGTTGGTCAAATTCTTTTTGTGTTTGGCAATAGAAACCGAGCATCATCGAGGGATCCAAATGCGAGATATGAATTTTACGTGGCAAATAACAATGATACGTATTAAAGTCATGTCTGGTATAATCTTTCAAGTTTTTCGTCTCAAGAGCAGCTCTTGAGAAATGAGGGTCCAAATAAATCAGATGATCGCCATCTAATCCAATAAAATAAAGAGACGAGTTGGGTCGACCGCCCGCAATACCAACAAAAGAAGGCAGTCCGAAGCAAGCTTTTAGCGCTGGATAATAAGTTGGGTGAAGTGAATCAATACCAAGCCGCAAAGCAACCAATATAAGCACAGGTTTTAGCACGATCGTCCCATTGTTCTTGCTGTTGGTCCTATCCGCGTCGATCGTGTCCTCGTCTTCTTCCGTTAAAGGCGTGCTATTTTCGTATAAATGCTTTGCTTCCTCGGCACTTATATCATCCGTCATGACTTCTATTGGATTGGCTGTCATCACCTCTGTGGTGGAGGAGGGGGAAGAAGTGGCAATTTTGGACGTAAAGTAACTGAAATCGCCTCTTGGTTTCCTTCCCGAAGTGACATCCTGTATACCATCCATGTAGACTACACCATCAGTAGCAATATAAACTGATAGATTGGCAGGTTTAAAATCTGATACCAGGGCTCTAAATGATAGTATAGGTGTGAGAGAGAAGGTGGGTTGGAACGGTCTGTGTTTAATGAGGTCACGTTTGCTGCCAACCACTTACTGTAACACTTGACTGATGGTGCTAGGACCGAACCATTCGCCTATATTCTTTCCCAATTGCTTACCCAGTAAGGCGATTCGATGAATGGAAAAGGGAGCTCTCGGGGATAGTTCATCTAAAAACCATTGTATAATCTATGTAAAAGAAAAAAAAAAAAAAAAAAAGTAAATCAAGATGCTTAGATTGGGTTCATGATGGCACTGTGCAGCCAAAGAAGAGAGCTTTGCTTCTTTTTTACTTTTCCATACTGCTTTCGTTCTGCTGGCGTTTGCTTCTGACGACGCCAGTCTATAGGAAACGATGACGTCTTAACAAAAAGTGTGCGGGATGCTGCAAAGAAAAGGTTGAGTCATGCTTACCTCTTGATAGTGAGTGGATCAATAATGTATTGGCTAATAGACTCTGTCCGCTTCGTAACATACAGCCCCATCCAATATCCGTCTTATGACTTGAAGGTCGAATCGGTGGATAATTGTGACGATAAGTCATCCATAATCGAGAAGTAAAATCTTCGTAGAAATCAGGCGGCCAAGCAGAAGGGCATTCGGGCTCTTCTTGCTCCTCTTCCTGCTCTTCACGCTCAGTGTTATTAGTAGAGGATGTTGAGCGTGGTTTGAACATTTCATTTCGTTGTGCATCTAAAATAGCCTGTTGTACTTTATCTAACGGTTTCTTTGAGTAGGCTCTTCCCAATAGCCAAATCTTTGGCTCCTCTTCCTCCATGGCTTGTTCAGACGGATCGGATGGCTGTTGTTCTTTTCTGTATGGGGTATCCTTGTAGGGTGCTTTTCTTAGTGTCCGCTGCTGATGATGTAATTGTGGTGGTTGTTGTTGTTGTTGTTGCTGCTGTTGCTGCTGTTGCTGCTGTTGCTGCTGTTGCTGCTGTTGCTGCTGTTGCTGCTGTTGCTGCTGCTGTAGAAAGAATGAGCTGGAGAGTTCTGTACCTGAGGACCAGAGATTCGACATGAAATGACCTAATTTATGTGGAATCTCGGCGGCCAAATAACTTGAATTTGTTAGCAGTTTATCTTTTAATGGTGCCGAACTCAGATGATTACTGTTATGAGGTTGTGGTAGTATATCTACATCAGCACTAGTGTCGAAATCGTTATCGCTACTATCCTGGCATTTTTCCTTTTGTTTTTTATGGCTATTATTGGGGCAATAGGTCATTAAAGGGCTTCAATAAAAATATATGTATTATGTGTGAAAAAAAAAAGAAAAAGGACGAAAAAGCTAAGAGGGGGGCAAAGAACAACCGCCCGTTCATGCAGCTGCTTTGGGTGAGTTTTTTTTTTGTTTTCTTTTGCTCAAAGAGTTCGGACTTTCAAAAGCGGAAATGCCCTTTTTTTTTTTTAATTGTAACCAAAATGAGGAGGGAGCATCTGACTGCCCAGGTATACATGAAATTCTTTTTCTTGATTGTAGCCATTGGTTTTTACGTAATGTCTCAAGGCAATCGGTTTATAGAGATCTTGTACGGTTTTTGAACGCATGGACATGTCAATTTTCCTCAATAAAAAGCCTTGCCATTCTTTTCATTTTACTCACAAGACTTAACAACCATCTCATCATCCAGTATCCTAAACTACACGGTGGGTGACGCTCATTGTCGATACCGTCATCATCACAACGTCTCAATACTTATCCGATGTATTCAGAGAAAGAACAAAACCTCGCCGTTTTTTTTTTGCCCGTATGACCTCCTCATATCTAAAAAAGTCTGCATTGTTTACAAAGATCTTTCGGCACTGACAAACGACAATTACATAAAGCTGACCGTGAGGAATGTGCTACCTGGGACTATGTATTGAAACAGAGAGACAGAGAGAGAGAGAGAGAGAGGCAGAGAGAACACATCATGCATAGAAACTAAATCGGTAAAAAAAAAAAAAGTACCTAAACGCATTTGTCTATTGACATTATTTCCTCATATTAACAAAAAGCCAATTTTCCCATTTTATTGTTGTCAATTGAATCAAAAAGGAGAGGGAAAAAAGAAACTCGTGTAACTTGAATGATCACTTTTTTTTTTTTTTTTTGCTTTACGGTATCTCAATAGCCGTTTATCAGAGCTAAATTTGAATTTTAAAAACCCTCTTCATTTCCATTCTTTTTTTTTATTTTTTTATTCGAGAACTTTATCCTTTTCTTTTTCTTTCTTTTTCTTTTCCTTAGTAGATACAGATAATAACGTTAGCAATGGTAACTTGGCCACGATTTGAATCACAACTCTTTACTTGCCATTTGGGTAGCTTAAACTTGTCATTAACCAAAAAAAAATAACTCAACCCAAACATAGGCTGATCAACTTACCGAAGAACAAATCGCTGAATTCCGTGAAGCTTTCCAATTATTTGACAAGGATGGCGATGGTGCCATTACCACCAAGGAATTAGGTACTGTGATGCGCTCTTTGAACCTAAACCCTACCGAAGCCGAACTTCAAGACATGGTAAAGTATAAATGATTAACTTTGAGAAAGGCAACTTGGGGGCGTTTTACGTGGTTTTTTTCCTGTTTCTTATCTTCTTTTTTATCTCGCTACCACGTAATGTTAGATTAATGAAGTTGATAGCGATGGAAATGGTCTCATTGACTTTAGCGAATTCTTGGCAATGCTTGCCAGGTAAGTTAATTTCTTGCCATTATAAAAAGTTTGATATGCATGCATTGGGGGAGAAAAAAAAAAAGGGAAAAGACCTTTTTTTTTTTTTTCTAGCTTGCATATATTGAAATTATGAAAATTTCCATAAATGACATGACTCTAATTTTGCTGGTAAATTCGTTTTGGTAGAAAAATGAAAGATACTGACTCTCAGGAAGAGATCCAGGAAGCATTCAAAGTTTTTGATAAGGACGGTAATGGTTATATTTCTGCTGCTGAATTACGACATGTGATGACATCTCTTGGCGAAAGATTGACCGAAGAAGAAGTAGACGAAATGATTCGTGAAGCTGACGTGGATGGTGATGGTCAAATCAATTATGAAGAATTTGTCAAGATGATGGTAAGAGCAATATACTTTTTGTGGTTGTATTAATAATGTGCATGTAAACTGAATAATATGGGTGTCTTCTTCCCATTGTAGATGTCCAAATAAACTAAAACCTTTCAAAATTTTACAAATTCTGATTAATAAATCCCAGAAAACCCAACTACAATTCACCTTAATACACATATACAATTCTATAGACTCCCAACCCCCTCCCCCAGACTCTTTTTTCATATTTCTTTTGGTAATACATACACTAGAAACATCACAACAAAAAAACACTGTTACATCACCCTGCATTACTGATGCTTTCTCGTAATTTTGAATACATCGTCTTTATGGCTGTGGCGAAAGCACGGATGGTTAGGATGGTATGGGCTGATTTAGAGACAGTTTTAGATCCTTGAGCAGACTAAGATTGAGTAATCTAGTGACGCTTTGTCAATTTAACCGTCCATATTACAAATGCTAAAACGTCCGGATATCCGCCAAATGAAGAGGATTAATAATATCATCGTACACTGGGATCAGGTAATGGCTGGAAATGACAATGGTTTGATAGGGGCGCCTTTTTTTTTATTTCAAAGACCTACCAAAAAAAGGAAGCGACACGAGGGTGGCCGACGCCGTCCATTGGCTTAGGGAATCACATGCAGTACATTTGGCAGCAACAATAAGCACTTATAGAAAGATCTCCCTCCAATGACTGAGCTGGAGTCTATCGCCCATCCCCATAGTGATAAGCTTAATTTTTCCATCAAATCTGACATCCAACAGAAAGTCAATTACAGTTTATTACCTAAATTTGGAAAAATATACACATAATTTTTAGAAAAATAGACAGATTGTATTTGAACGAATCTGGACACGTTTCAACTTTTTCACAGTATCGTTGGAACAGCAAGAGCATATTCTGGACGTCTTTGAATTCATCGATTTCAAGTACTTGCACCGTCAGGCATTTGATGCACTATGATAAAAAACATGTTATTTTCTACACAGAAGCTGGTAATTATCGTTTATAAACTCAAGTGTCTTTCTTCTTTCATCTGAGATCCACATGATACTTTGTATTGTCATTGATGAGCATGTTTACCATGATTGGCTGATACAGCTTTATGGAACTTGCATTTCGGGTTGCTTTTATTCCAGTGATCTAACTTGATACATTCTTCACAATGGGTATGCTCTGAAAAGTGTACAACAAGGTTACTAACGTCTCAAGCGACACATTGTATTGTGATATGCCCATAAAGATTGCAAGACGTCTAAAATGATTAGAGCACTGTAATATATCAACGCAATTTGTAAGCAGACTTAGGAGATCAATGCAGCAAAACTGTCTTCTAGAAAATATCCAGAATAAACATTCAAATTAACTTTTTTTTTTTTTTTGGTTTGAAAAAAAAAAAAAGAGAGCAATTCAATTGGTGGAAGTTCAATGGTCCACGATGCATGAAAAGTAGCCAACTCCAAACGCGACGATTCAGATCGCGCTTTTCCTTTGATATTTTTTTTTTGTTTCCCCCCCCCTTTCTTTGTCCTTGCCAAAAAGGAACACATTTTCTTTTTGTTTTGTCAACTTTGATTGAGTAATGGAGGAATACGTCATTGATGAAATCTATTTATACGAGTTATTGTTCTATAATTGTACTTGCAAAAACTTTGTTATACCCGCAACCGATTTTATTGTCGACAATAAACCAACATTTTTTTGTAAGAAATGTAGCAAGTCCTTATCTTATTCAGATGATGATCTCCGAGTCAAATACAAGTATATTAAAATGCTGGTCAAGAAGGTGACTACGGGTGAGATGAAATTGGTGATCTTGCCACCAGTGACTCTCGTCGAACTATTAGGATGTGATGCAAAGGAGTTTACCAAGGTAAAAATGAAAAAAGGCAACACGTCATAGACTTTGGCTGTATTCGATTGTTTGTGCTCAGTTCTTCGTCAATTAATTATTATCATTAGTGTTATGCTGAGGACCCCACATTACTTAAAAAAATAGAAGGCTGTCTTGTTGATCAGTTTTGCCTGTTAGAATTTGATCCTGAAGAGGTAAAAACATCAGGAAAATGTGTGCAAAAAATCCATCATGAGCAATCACCGACACGAACGTTCTTTTGGTACACTTTTAGAAAGAAGACATGTATAAGCCAAGAAAGTGCTCGAAATTTGTAGTAAAGCTCGGCAACAACTTTACAAACTTACTGGACTACATCAAACTCGTTTACAGCGCTGATTTTCGTTTAGGCGAAAACCCTTATCACTAAGATATTCCCACTATTTAATAATCGGACTTTTCTCTGTACTGCCTCTGTTAGATAATGTAACTCATTCAAGATTCTACACTGTTTATCACGCAAACGTCAAATTGTGTTCCTTTTCTCGGTAGAGTCATTTTATATAGCAGCAGATCACTTGGCTGACATTAATCATTGTGAATGTACCCAAAGCTACCTTACCTATCTATTTACCATCTATCCTAGAAAAAAAAAAAAAAAAATGAAAAAAAAAAGAAAAGCTTACGAATACAATGGATGACAGCTACAGTTTATTAACTTTATTTTGGGGGACGAAAATAAAATTGTGTTTAGACAAAAGCCAAGTTATTTTAGACCCTACGCTGTATATAGAGTAGACCATTGAAGCATACATGTTAGACAGTTTTCACAAAGTTATGAATACGAGTTTACCATTCTTACCTGTAAAAATCAGCTGGTTTCGTTCCAGCGATGTTACGTGTTAGCAGTAGAGGAGATGGTGGCGGTGGCGGTCTTCTTCCTTGAGAATATTTCGGGTCTACCGTTCCCATTCCAAATCGTAGTACCTATTGACATCATGTTTTTACAGGCATTGATGTCCTGGTTCCATAGTATGCCGCGGCTTTTACAGGCTAGTATTACTATGGCCGGTAATATCATCCAAACCATGCAATTCCTCACTGCGATGATGATGAAAGTTGGCCTTACAACGAACAAACTTTCAAGCTTGTAGATCAGGTATTTCAGCATCCGTTTCTCAAAGAGTTTAACAATAGAATTAGTGTATGCAAACACTTGTCCCCTTGGCAGCTTCTGTAAGACACTGACTATAGCCTTTGGTGAAATTTTTACTGATTACTATTGTCGAATGTTCTTGCTTGAAATCTTCAAAAAAAGTCTTGATGCTGTCGTTTACTGCTGTCTTATGAGCGACCTTTTTGCCTGTAACCAGTTGTCCAATCGAATACCAGAATTGCTGTGTAAAGACTCCTGAAGGGAAGTCATTCTTCTTATTATGGACGAGATAAGCATTGACAAATAGCTGACAACGGAACATTATAGCCCTAAGGTCTTTGCAGCACGAAATGACTTTTTCCATAAACTTTTCACGATACTCGGGTAATGCGGCACGGCTAACAGGAAGTTTCCTAGTAAACATGGTAGAGTCACTGCCTAGGACAGCCGAGATGAATTCCTGCTTCGATTGAGTGTGGTTGGAACAATCTGGCGAACGGGAGATGGTATGACCATCTCCTTTACAGCTGATGCACTTTACAGTCTTTGCACTTGACATGTTCTGATGGTGTAATAATGTTGCTAGTACAATTGTGCGCCGAAAACGCATTCCTTAATACATGCTTACCAAATAAGTTCTCTTTCTTTGTGCGCTTTGCTTTCACTAATTCGATTTTATCCATGATAATACTCTTGCACATGCTAGTAAAGGATAGCAGTGTTCATGAGGTGATTAAATGAAAGAAATGAGGAAGAGAGATGTGGAAGGTTTCAAACACGAAAATGATCATCACTGTTGACAACAAAAAGCCTTCCTTTGACAACATATTATAAAGCATTATCTCATTTACGCATTCAACATCGCGAGTAAAAGAAGCAGTCAGTCTCTTTATATAAAAACTTAGATTCGATCTTTACGCTGCCAGCTTGCTGTGTAGAAGTTCATTAGCATACTGCCCTCATAATCCAGCTTTCCATTACACTGCTTAGCACGTATGCCTACTTTGTCTCAGTTTTGGTCGTGGCCCGCTCCGGCTCACTACACATGATGGCATAATCCATCGTATGCCATAATCAAACTTTTATTATTATGCTTTCATGGCTACTCGATCTGGCTGAAGTGTGTCAGGAGAGCAGATAGCTTGAATAGAGAACTTGTCTGAGCTAGACAGAGCATTATCCCCATTGTGGGAAGAGAAGTCTAATTTTTTCTTGTAATGCTTATTTTTTTCCCCCGCAATCTCCCATCCACTGGCCACAACAAGAGTTTCTGATACCCAAAAACAATGGGACGAGTCTATTAATTTTTCTCAGAATGAGCATATCCCAATTCTTCCGCATTGAATATAAGCGCGCTGACATACACAACATATAACTGTACACAGTCAAGTATTTCAAAAGTATATTAATTATAGATGAACAATTAGATATTGATGGATATGAATAACAATTAGATATTGTATTCGACTGAGGTCTTCAATGTAAAGTTGTACGTATTGTGGTACAGCAAATATTGTACACGACTTCTTCATGTTATGAGAGAGAGAAGTAACCGATATGGCAAATGATCTATAATTCTATGTATATGGAGAAAGAGGGAGAAAGAAACCAACCCTTTCTTCCGTTCATCCTTACTGTATGTACAGTCATCCTGGAAAGAGAGAATCAAGTTTTTTTATCAGCAGCCATGTTATTTTCAATATCCTCTTTGACTTCTTGTTGCATAGTAGGAGAAGCTGCACCGTAGCGAACATTTCTGCAGAATAATGTACAAATAAAGCCAACTGCAGAAGCAGCAATAGGTAAAATAAAGATAGTGTGAATAGCTCTAGAGTAAGCAGAGATCACGGGCCGTTGAATGTCCAGCGGCATGGTACGAACAAGTAAGAAATTTTTGAGAGCGCCATATTTGTTTGCCGTTGTGAGGACATCGAGCGGCAATTGAGCAAACTCTCTTTTCAAAAATATAGCATAAAGCACTTGGTAAATCGCAATACCAACAGAGGAAGCTAGCATCATGAAAAAGTTATTTGAGCTGGTCGCCACCGCAATGTCCTTACATTCAACACTGGATTGACAGGTGAGAATGGCATTTTGCTGGGATAATCCGAAAGCAAATCCACAAAAGGCGAGATAGCCAGCTTGCTGTCCCCACGAGCTCTGCTCATGGACGGTGTAAAAAAGCCCGTAGCCTAACAGATTGGATGCTGACCCAATCATAAGGTAGACCTTGGTATAAGGAAACTTCCTTAACAATACGCCACAGCCGACAGAACCAGCAATGAGACAAACCATGAATGGGACAAGACGAAGACCTGACTGTGTGCTATTAGCACCGAATACAGCCTGAAAATAAATAGGGCCAAAGTAAAGTGTACCAACAAAAGTTAGACCCAAAGTCATAATGTACAAGTACACTACAAAACATCCAGGATTGAACAGAATGCGGCCTGGTAAAAGAGCCTCTTTAGCAATCCATCCTTCAGATATTATTAAACCGATGAATGAAATCCCTGCGCCTACAAATGCACCTATACAATGAGCATCGTTCCATCTATCTCCCACAGCCCATGCAAAAAATTAAAGAATAATATAAAGGATATAGGAAGAGTAAAAGTTTAGAATGTATTGTCATCTTTCGGTTGCATTCCGCTATACTTTACCCATAGGGGCTTCCCCAGTTCAGAGCTAATAGCAAGCAAACGATAAATCCAATAGCACAGACAGAACCCGTCCAATCAATGCGTTTTATTTTACCAACAAACGTATCTTTACCGGTATCTTGAGTTTCTTCCAAAAAAAAGAAAGCAATTATCAACGCACATGCAGCTAAAATAACATTCAACCAAAAATCCCAGTGCCATGAAGCATGATCTACAAATGCACCACCTTTGCGTACATTTGGATATACACATATAACAATCATATCAACATTCAGTTGCCATTTTCTTGGCTGCTTTGAAGAAAGGGAAAATAGGGGAGATGAAAGAAAGTCAACTTACCGATAAGTGGGCCGACAACACTCGCGATACCATAAACAACGGCCAACATAGATTGGAATCGAGGTCGCAATGGGATAGGAGCAACATCAGTAACTAGGATATAAGTCATGGACATGACACCGCCACCACCAAAGCCTTGAATAGTACGACCAGCAATAAGCATATCGATATTCTTGGATAGTGCATTTATCATTGACCCAATGAGGAACAGAACGATACCAAACAAGAAAACAGCCTTTCTATTATCAATGAGAAGCGTTTGTCAATAACTTTGTTCATCATCCCATCACTGTTCCTTTTTACCTTCCAAAGATATCGGAAAACTATAATAAAAGATTGTCAACATGTCAAGTTAGAGAAAACCATGAGTGGCATATATATAGGATGTTTCGTCTGCACAAGTTTGTATGTAAGTTACCTTGCCGGATAATGGTTGGAATGCATTCACGGCCACAAGATAAGCCGTCGCAATCCATGTTTGGGAATCCAATGCATTCAAATCGGTAGCAATAATACTCAGCGCAGGCGCAACCACAGTAGAATTCAAGGACATCATGAACATTGCAAAGACGATACCGATAATAACAATGATAAATCTTATCAGATCACTGGTTGTCTCAAAGTTTGAATATCTCTTCCTATTCGTTTCCTTTCTAGCTACTGTATCATTGTCCTGTTCATTGTTGGATACTGTCAAGCTGACGTTGTTGGTATGGCTGTCTTTATGAAAAGAAAATGAATTGCGTGATTTTGAATCTATCGATCCGTGGCGGTGTCTTCGATTTTCAACCTCATCCACTATACTAGCAGCACTGGAAGTATCTTGATGAGACATATATTTTGTAAGGTTAAGAGTGTTAGAAATGGATGAATGACCAACTGTAAAATGGACAGTAGTAAGAAAAATAAAGTTTGAAGTATAAAAATTCAAATCACAATTAGAATGAGAAATATCTATAATCCATACATATATATATATATATACAGGTACCCAATGAATCCTCTTAGTCATAGATCAGAAAATATGAATCGTTCATATGGTTGAGAAAATTCCAGGTAAATTGTGCACCACAAGGAGAAGGTAGTACCGGTTGAAAAATAAACCGAGAGCATGTTTACTTATTGATTCTGTCGTACGAGATCATCCTTTTCATTTTATTGTGCCTTCATACTTTCAGGACTGCATCGTTTTGCATCGTTATTCATATGCAGGATGTTGGGGGCATTGAATAGAAAAGTAGTCGCTGCAAAGAAGAAATAGTACTCTTAGATATGTCCAAAGATTGTCTCGATTTTGGTCCATTGAATCGTTATCAAAATGTATCCGGCAACTGCCTCATTGAAAATTTAAAGGTAAGTACTTTATAAAGATAAGTACTTTGAGACATTTAATATTGAGCGCGACCGTTCTGTGTTTTGTAGGCTGTTGAATTTTGCTAATGTTCGATACGGCGTATCGTGCAGAAATGCATGTCAGTGCGTAAAATTAAGCCTTGAGGAAGTAGGTGGAACAAGGACAAACAACTTTCCATTCATCAGCAAGATCCTGTGCTTCTTCAAATGAAGACATAGGAAAAAGTAATTTTCCTTGTTCAAGTATTACAGAAAATTGCAGGGAAAAAGGACGGACGTTAGAAGACATGACAATGTCATTTTTATTTGATGCTGCTTTTATGGCCAATCGCCTTACTTTTTGAAGAATTACAGTAAGGAATCAAAAAATGATGAGCCAGATTTTGTGTTTCGATCGCACTGGCTTTCTTCTTGTATAACATGAACACTACTTTTCCAACCATTCTTGCACAAGTCAGGAAAACTGGAATTTTCTCGGTAAAGTGTCTTGTGTTTCGCTGATAGCGTCTATGTCGCATGTTCAATACCTTACAATGTCCATTACTCCTTTACCAAGCTTAACAATGCACTTTTTGTTATTTACGCTTATAAATACACGTGTCAAACCGTTATATTGAAGGCAGCTTTTGTAAATGGTTTAATCAAGCGTCATAGCGCCGTGCAGCAGTACTTTGCTCGTAAACTAGCACGACTTTTGGCACTTTCCAATTGTTCCTAAAACATTCTTGACAACGACATTCGCTATAGCATTAAGTGGTTCTAATAATCGATCATCAACTCCAAATCGCATACATTTTTAAATGAATATGTCACCCAATCCGTTAAAGTTCAATGGCGATATGTTATATGCCACACCGCCTTCTTCGTCTTTCATCTGATTCTTTACCATCTCGATTGCTATCAAATGAAAGTTTACAGAATAAAGTGAACAAACCACAGATATATACGCAGATAAGGTCAAGGTCAATCACATTCAGTGAGAATCTAAAAATATCATCACGAGTGCATATTTCACTCTCGCAAACGCATTCTTTGTTTTTGATATTTTACAAAAGTTACAGTCAAAATAAACATTTAAACCCCATTTTGCTATGTAGTTTTGTAGAGTGTTTGGAATGGCACAAACAGAGTACTCTTTGACACGTTCAAAAAAGGAAAAAGGGTATGCATGTATGTGTGTCTGGAAGAGCTATCGATTCGAATTTTATTGCTTGATGATAATCTCGCCCTCAGAGTAAAATGCTTCCAACTTTTCTGACTGATATCTTGTTACTTTAACGTATTTCTTACAATATTCTGGACTGAAAGTACCATGATAACCGCCTTTTCGTAAGACGGACTTGATAGCTTCTTCTTTTGTCCATTGCTGCTCAACCATCACCTCTGGTAAATAGGTTGCCGTATCTTTTATGCCTGTACTGGGATTGATGAATTCAACCCAAATACCATGTTTGCCTATTTGCCAATCAAGATAGTCATCGACTTTTTCAAAGTTTGTCAATAATGAAACCGCACAGCTTAGTTGAGGAATTTCTGCTAAGGTAATGGGTAAAAAACGAGTATCTCGTAAAGCACTGAGTTTCAAGTAACAAAGGAGTAATGTAAGTATGACCTTTCGCTGATTTAGTTTATACCACTGGCTTAGAAATACCTTATCAACGCATATTTCTTCAATCCCTCATGCAAGGGCATTGGATTGAAGTTACCAATGCAGCCTCTTAATTCATAATTGTCGTACCGAGATTTTTTGTGCCAAGTTACAAACAGAGGACTACAAATAGAATACTGTTAGCTATCAGAGCATCAGTCTGCATCGTCATCGTGAGATAGAGTTGTTTGATTGTTTTCTTTTTTTTTTTACTATTTATCATTGGGAAAGTGAGGTTCAGGTAGCTCTTCCTTTTTCAAATAAGCTATGAGTACTTTAAAACAATATTTGACATGATCTTCTGTTACAGCAGATGATGATGAGGAGGATGCCATGGTTTTAATTCTTTTCTTGATTTGGAGAAGAATTTAATAATAGAACGATGATATAATATGGGTACTTAGTGTATAAATCCCAGGATATGGAGAGAAAGAAGAAACGGAATAGAGAGTCTGAAATGATGAAAAATTTATGCAAAATAAAAAAAAAATTAAACTACGCCAGCAAAGAGGCAAAGTTACTCCCAATCACTGTCACTGTCCTCTTCCACTTCCTCTTTATCAGACTTCTTTTCCTCAGCTTTCACCCATTCGTCTTCAGTTTTATTCGGTTCATCTGCAGAAATATGGCTGAAGTCATCTGTATCTTCTGAATGGCTGGATGTCGAAACTCTGATGGGTTGTTCTTTAGCAGACGATTCGTCTTTTTTAACGTCGTTAATAGCGGTTTTATCATCATCCTTTTCCTCATTACTGCTCTCATTTTTATTGTCAGACTTGGATACATCTTCCTTTTCTTCTTCTTCATCGTCAGAATCCCATTTGAAATCTTCTTCGTCCTCGTCCTCTTCTTGATGTTGCTGCACAATCAATTGTCTTTTCTGTTCATCCTGATCGATTTTCCATGCATGATAGAAATATCTTTGCCAAAACAATGAATAGCTGACTTCAACAGGAACTAAAGTGTTCATCATCTCTCTTAATTTAGGACAACCTTCCAAGAGCTGAGCAATTTCTCCGGTATATTCATTGATATTGAAAGTAGATTTGAATGTCTCGTACACTTTCTTTTCATCCTCCCTTGTGATTTCAGGTTCCTTCAAATAAGTATTTTCGTTGGTCTGCATTTTAGCGATCAGAGCTTCTCTACGAGTAGCACTATCAATTGGACATTTAGTTACAGCTTTTGCGCTACACTTCCAAATCATAAATATCTTACTATATGCGTGGCCCATTTTCTACTCCTCCTCCCTCCTCTTGTTCTGGTTCTGGGCTTTCCTCCTCTGGTGCTAATATCGTCACTGTATTCTTTAAATTTGATAGAACTTCTGTACCGAATCGTTGTAAATACTGTTCTGCCGAACGGGTACGATCGTTGAGCCCCTCTTTAAGTTGATTTAAATCCATATTTTCTGGTAATTTTACTTGTTTCAGAAGCTGAGATGACGGATTCTTCAGAGCACCGACAAGCCCATCGCGCAAGCTATTAAAGTTGACTGTATTTATTTTGCCCAGGCTATCTTTAAGATTGTCGAGTAATGCCGACTCATTATGATTCCCTTCGTCTCCTGCAGTTGTATCTCTTCTCATTTGACTGTCACTGCCTTCTGCGGCATCGTCTTGGTTGGTTGACTTTTGTTGCCCTTCGTCATCGTCAGAAGCATCTTCTGTCAAAACCTGAGCGAATTCTTGAAGGTCTTTCTTTGTGCCTTCCACGAAAGCCTCGCTCTATGGAAGGACGTGAAAAACGGAAATATAAACAGTAGTTTGTGTTGGCATGAACAGCCAGATTACAAATATTACATATACTGAGCTGCTTAATTTACTTGTTTCTTGACAGTGTCCAATAAACTGGTCCATTTCTTTCCCCAATTGATATTATTAAAGGCTTTTAAAACAACATCATTTTCTTCCTGCTGATGAGCGCCAGCATTATTCAGTGATTGTTCTTTTTCATTATCGTTCACTGCTGAAGCAGTATATTGATATATATCATCCATAGTGTGCAATAATTATAATAATTATATAAAAGGCAGAAAAAAAAGAAGAGAATGGTTTATGATGAAAGGAATTTTAAGCATGCATATGGAAAAGTCTGTGTGGAGTCTGAAATATGGGAGGCAAATGGTATCAAATGTGTGCCACAGCGAATCCAGGTGATAAGGTTTTCAACCCTTACTCCTCTACCGCCGTTACCGCTAATATTTCCTTCATTTGACTATCTTCATCGGTTTTACATTCAGCGTACGCTATACCAGCTTTTAAAATAGCAGTGCAGCCAGTATAAAAGATTTCAGCAAAAAACTGATGGACTTTAAAATGCTCATCCATTTCTATAGCTTTAGCAAGACCGGCATATGTCAAATTATAGGTTCTTTCACGAACGGAGCAAGTTTCGTCGAGTCTAATCAAAGCGTATTTCATCATTTCAAGGAGTCTGCTCATGAGGCCTAGAAAAGAATGCAAAAAATTATACCTTATTATTATAAAGCCTTTATCTACGTACCATGTCATTATAGTTGAAGCTTACCAGGAATGGGGCTCTTTTTTAATGCAATAGCTGTTAAAACAGCAGCCTGGATAATCAAATTTGAAAGGCCATTCAAAGCTTGATCTTGCTGTTCCTTTGTAAGTTTTCTCCTTGTGTGTTCATTTTGTTGCTCATTTTCTTCTTGAGCTGCTCGTATTACAAGATCATGTTTCTTTCTTAATTCGGTCAATTTTCTTTCCAAACTTGATTTCACAAAGAAATTGGAATCAACTGATTATATATAGTACGTAGTAGCCATATTTGTATGGAAGAAACATGTGGTTAATCTATGCATAGTAGTTCTTGCGCATTATAACTTCCGTAGTCGATAAGTAAACAACGACACTTACTTGGAAGCGAAGAGAGCACCTTCTCTAACCCCATCATATATAATTCAATTGACATAGTGTATTGACTGTCATTGTTGGCAGAACCGGTTGTGACAATTGTCGAGCTATTATAAACTTCAACGGCCATTTTTATGAGCGCTAAGCCTTCTTCTACCTTCTCTTTGTTGATCTTTGCGGCAGCATATGACTGGTGAGCAGTAATGTTATTGAGTGTTTCATCATCGTTGCTGCTACTGCTTCTGCTACAACTTTTTCTCTCCCAAACAAAATCTGTTAGTCGAGATAAAGTTGATTTCTGTAACGCTTTAGTATGTATGGTATCTTCTTTTTCATAAGGGGGCGGTGGTGGCGTCAAACAAGAGGTGTCCTGTTGCTGAAATAAATGATGCATTGTTGCAGTTGTTGTTGACATAACCTGTTGAATAGAATTACCAACAATGGGCAGCTTGTTTGCATTATTTAAAACGAGTGAGACCAAGCTACTCATTGTAGAATTTTCGGTACGTGTATATCTGTCTAAATTTTGAACAATGGGTGGAAAAAAGATGAGTACGAAGAGAAGGAAAAGGGAAAAAAAAAGGAAGTGAGGAAGAGTATGAGTTTTTAAAGCATGATACATAAGGCATGGCAGCCGGTAACATGTGAAACTGTGTCCTTGATCGTTGTATCACTATCAAATGTTTGCATATTCATGTTAGTAGCTTATTACTGTTGTTGGCAATTAATTTTCACAACTCTCTTCAATATACACGAGACAAATACATATCTAAATTGCCTTTGTGTTAGCTCAGTATGAAAAAATATCTAGAAACCCCTCATGAGAAGGAGGAAGCAAAAGGTGGAAAATACATTGGGATCAATTGTTCCGAGGATTGTAGGATTCAGTTACGAAACATCTGGGCAAATTCGTAAGTGGGCGGTAAGAAATCTTTGTTGTCCTGCAGACGATCGAGTTTCTGGAGTATATATTGTAGACTGGTCCAACAGAGTAACCATATCTGCTGCTGTTGCGGTTGTCGGGGAGTCTTTAGTCGGTAGCAGGTTCAATTTAAATGAAATTGGGTCACTGATTGATGCTGATAGATATAAATTGTGGGACATCTGAAGACAGTCCATTGCATGAGATTTCGTTAGTAGTGAGCTTGGGTATCTGGGGTACAGTAAATCATACCCTCTACGTAGCTAGCCAAGACGCCAACGAAGACACCAATCACGATCCACAAAGGCTATTGGTATCCACAGGATAAAATCAACACTAGTTTTGGGACGACAGTAGGCAAGAAGTTTAGTGTTCTTCTTTGGCGTTGCGTAACTTGTTTGAATTGTTTGGACGGTAAATTCGGATAGTCTGACGAAGTCTCTTTCTGTCAGCTAAATTATTGTAATACGACCATGTAGAAAATGTACAGAGAAAGGCATAAAAAGATCGGTTGGAGTTCTCTTGAATAAGTGGCATAAGCTGGGTTAGAAGTGCGCCTTCAGGCGAAGATTGAGATAGAAAGAGAAATTTGCTTGGAAGTAAAAGGGCTCTTTCACGCATGATTGGTATGGGGTCACGAAGATCTCGCTACACCGGCAGGAGTACACCAAGATAGTCGCCATGTCTTCTAATAAACGCAGGCGTACTGACTTAAAGATTCGCTGGTAAGACTTTTGCGTCTACGTTGGTTCTCTGGCACTGAAGCCACAAGCTTTGCACAAGCATCTTGCTTGCCGTTTGTTCGTTTTCGTTCAGTCAGCCTAATCGCCGATGGAAGATCATTTAAGCATTGGGAAAATGTTGGAATTGATATCGTGGTAACGTCTGGGGGTGAATCTGGCAACAATGTCACGGGATCAATTTGTTGCTGATATTGTCAAATCTCTAATAGAAGTCGACGTTTGGATGTGTCGTGCAAGAGAAGGTTGAGAGCAATCCATCACCGCCAGCTTTGCCACAGTACCTTTAAATACACTTGGTGTTGCTGCGCTTGACAGCTCGGGATGAAGGTATTGCAGTTGACTTGCTTTAGGATAACAAGGGTGAAGATGGTATCGTAGATGGTGGAATGTCTTGTTGAGTATATTTACCTTTGATTTGCATATGACAAAAACGATAATTGAATAGCTGTAACGCATTGGGTTTGGTAGTTGAGGTACCAAAATAACTCCCTTCCCCTTTTAGAAAATATTTCAGTTGGCCTATTGAAGGCGTTTCTAAAACAATCGTGTACAATGTAAGGACGCTGTCGTAATCAGATCATACTATTCCTCCTTCATTATAAAGTAATTTCAATATGTGAGTCGTTACAATCAGTCATTTATAATGGTTAATGAGTATAATCATATATGATATAAGATACATGCACATTTATTGATTAACTGAAGTATGATACTATCGAATTGAATCAACCTGTGGGGCATAGTTTGTATAATTCATAAAAATAAAAATCCAGCAAAAGCTTCTTTTTTTCTTTTCCAGATGAGCTTATCCGTTGCAAGTATAGATGGTATTCTAGAAATAGCGTTGGAAGACCGAATTCTGTTTATTCTTCTGTGAATAAATAAATGAGATAATATTTACAGATCTGCGCAAGAAGAGGACTAAGTAATTGCAGATATTAAACATCTAGAGCAAACATACGTATTACTCCTCGTTTTCGTTTGTTTGAGGTCTTCGAGGCGGCCTCGCGAAAATCTGGTAAGGCTTATTCCAGGTCAAATCGTCTTCATCGGGTGCGTGGTATAATTCGCTATCTTTGGTAATAATTGCATTCACTGACTGCATAGCTGCTCTTGTTTCCTCTGTATATTGTTCTTCCTCTCTCACTACTGTTTCAGCTGTAACAGCTGGTAATTCTGGCGGTGCAATCACCTCTTCTGGAGTTGAATAGGAAAAGAGCTCTTCATTGTGTTTCGCTCTGGCCTCTTCGAAACTCATATTCTCATCATAGTCAGCAGCAGTGACATGTATATATTCTTTAAACCTGCCACGTTCTTTACGCATATAGAGTTTAGAACGAAGGGCTGCGAATCGTCTCTCTAAACGCCTATTAAACTCTTGCTTGCTATCATCTAATCCACAATGAAGGAGTATACACAAATCCTTTTCCGTTAGTAACTGTGCCAGATCCGTCGTTATCGAGTTCTCTATTTCTTTCTGGTTTACCTTTAGAGTAAGCTAACAATGAACCTTCAGGACTATGTGTGATGTCTTCTGGAGCGCGCTTTATCTTTTTGGCAGGACGCTGCCTGGCTGTAACGATTGATGTAGCTACATGAGGGCCCAGAGCAAATTGTGGTTCTCGATGTGGCCTCCTTGGTGAAGAGGTTGAGACTGTAGGTGTTTTATATACTAGTTGTTGGGCAGCTGGTTGATTTTCGCTCCTAAAAGTGCGAGATGGAGGTTGATCATACAAACTTCTAAATGTAGACGGTGATAAGGGCGTTTGTTCCGAAGTAATATGGGATGATGATGATGCCGATGACTGATTATTATTTTCATAGGGTAAAATGGCATGCTTTGCTCTTAAGGCTGCTTTTTCCGAAAATAAATAGCCCGTTTGCTCAACATTGATTGTAGGTAATGAAGACGGTGATATGAGCTGTTGTGGTGATGCTGCTGTTTGTAACGTTGTTGATCTGTTTGAGTCAAAGTTGCTCGTCAATAGTGCCACTTTAGGTTTTGGTTTGGTTATGTCGCCTCTTTTGATCCTTTCATTCACTTTCAACTTGAATGTCATATGACTCCTTTTCAGCCGTTCTAAAGGTACTGCATTTTCTCTAATTCCTAATTCATAGACTTGGTTGGCTTCTTCGAATTTGCCCGTAGATTCATAAAAATCGGCATAGTGTTCGTAGAATTTTGCTAATTTTTGCCCGATTCCTTGCTTCATCAAAAATTTGAATAAATTGTGTGGCTCAGGCACCATAGAAGCATATTCCAACCAAACTTTTAAATATCTCACATCATCTTTATACCGAGGGTCGTCTATATATTTTATTGTCGTGTGTTTCAATAGCTCTATGATTTTTGAATCAGCAGCCGATTCCTCAGGGTACATCTGTAACATCCAAGTTATGTAGTTGATGTAGATTTGAAGCGGATCGTCTTCCTCTTCAATACGTCTTAGTTGGCTTTCAAATATTGCATGACCTTCTTTCAAGATTCTGTCGCGTTCATCAGGCTTACTATCGTAAAGCAAACTGAGAGCCCTGATCGATCTGCCTTCCTTTCGTGGTATAATGTTTTCAGCCTGTGCGCGAATGGCTTCTGTGAATCTGGGAACATTGTCAAGTACGGCCTCTCTTTCCTCTCGGCTTAAAGTACAGATTGTTCTACTATTTATAGTATTATGACTATTTGCGCTATTATTCCCTGTGTTTTCCATGTTGACGCATTAATTTGAGAAAGGGCTCTAGAATTGTTATGAAAATGGTTGCCAGCAATTTTCAACAATCATCGCGCCGATTGAATCTCCTGGACCAACGCTGAATGAAGAATAGTGTACCTTAAACTGTGATTTTATATTTTTCTTTCTTCTTACTAGTTCGCATAATCGCCTTAACTCCAGGCAATATGTCGAGTTCATTGTCGGATATGCTTAAAGCACATAATCAAAAACGTACCGAACTTAAACGACAGAATGGTACCTTAACTCATTTCACGTATGACTTGGCGCCTTAATCAGTCAAACTGAGCATTTATTATAGAGAAAACAAAGAAAATCGCTGTTCAATCGACCAAAGATCTGACCGATGCTCTAAATGATTATGTCAATGAAGGGTAAGCTATTACTCATTTATCAGCCTATTCATCATTTGATTTGATTCTTATACTTCCGTTCATGCACAGTGTGGCAGAAATGTTATCTAAAGAAAAGGAATTGGAACAGCATTCGAGGAAATTATCCACTCAAATAAGCCAATATACCAATCAAACACAGCAATGGTTGTCATTAGTGGATGATTTCAATGCCTCTATTAAGGTAGTCTTTAGCATAATATGTATGTAAAATTGCAGTTTTATCAAACATTCAGCGTTAAAAAATGCAGGAGATGGGTGATGTAAGAAATTGGGCAGAAATAATGGAACAAGACATGAAGGCCATTATGGCAACGCTGGAGTTTGTGCACAGCGGTAAAGCAAAATTGCCAGGCAAATTCTTTAAAGAGTAGCAGCTGATTATAGTCAATTATCCTTCATAGGCATACCCGAGGACAGTATATCGTAGCAAAATAGCTAGATGTGCCTGTTTTTATTGTAACCAACGTTCAGTAATAAGCTTTATATCGTATTCGTCCTCCCAATCATTACTTGTTCTTTTCAATAAATCATTCGAGTATCAATTGTTCATCGCATCACAAAAGCAATATAATAGTAGCAGGAAACTGATTGTAAACTTCCAAATCGGTGCTCGGCCACTTTTGGTAAAACTTAACAATTCTTTTTTAGAAGGCATGGGCATAAGTGAGAAAAAGAGATGTGAGATTGATTTACTTATTAGGAGTGCCTCAATGATGAGCGTCAAATCAAAACGTACAATTCCAGTTTGACGAAAACAGACTCAAACATCCAAATGCGAGACTAAACAGCAGCAAGATCAAAGTACAATATTCTTATGCATCAAAGCTTGTCAGCCAACTTCGGTCGAAGGTATGAATATTCTAGGATATGGTTACTCAAAGGTCGCTTTTGATAGGCGGCTATTTTACCCCACATTTTTTTTAAAAAACTTTATAAAGGTAGTCCCTCTTTGTGCCAGGCTGTAACTTATTCGTATAAAAAAGGCACCACAGATTCGTTTTCGGTTTTTATTTGTTCTTTTTTATAGAGGTCTTTTCTCATTTATAGGATTTGTGTTAATCCATGTCTGATTATCCTTTGCAGTATCAAACACAATCTTATATAAACAACAATGCCATGACTGCTGGGAATCAAGCCGAGCAAGGTCAAAGGAACTTGAATGAAAATGACAACAGCCAATTTACACTCGATTTTGTAAGAAATCAGCAGTTACTGTTAGCGAGCAGTAATCAGTCAAATACATCAATGCATTCAAATTCAATTTATAAACACAGTGATAACCAGTTTTTGCAGCATACCCAGTCTCAGAATGTTAACAAACAAAAACCAAGCACGATCGACAGAAACATGCAAGTCAATCTTACATCAAAAAATCATGCGTATTCATCAACACCTTCAGATTATCAATCTTTACTGAATTTCTTATTATCTAACGATTATTCACCTGATGTCTTACGAAACATTCATGACAATCAACGCCAGTATTGTGATATACCGTTAGCGTCTGATATAGGTGCCGTAAATGTATGTCTAGCTTTTTTATTTGACTGCACGTCTACCAGCAATCGTTGATACTAATTTTCTTAACTTAATTTATAAAAGGAAATGGATAACATCATGGCTTCCAACCAAAAGAGTACTTACATAAGACCACTACCTTCATCGTGTTCAGCTGGCGTTAATACAGATGAGGAAAATAACTGTGAAGCAGCAAAGGTAAGTTAGAAATTATATTTCGGTTTTCTCACGATGGAAAGGTTTGAGTAAACAATTAGTATTATATAGTTCCCTGTAGAGCAAAGCCCATTAGATCCATTGTTCCTTTTTGATTTGCACAGCTCTCGACCACATATACCGGTTACAACTGATAAAGAGCAGCCAATGACTCAAACGAATGAGCAGCAGTATCGATATGACTCATCTTTGAATGGCCAGCCGATAGCAAATGTACCGCAAAGATCGCATATCTCGCAACAATCAAAGCAGCCACAACAACTCAATCTTAACACACAATCATTACCAACACAACAGTCTCTTATCAACAATATGAGTGCAATAAATAATGGCAATTACAACAAATTCATGGATATAGAAGCTCAAAACATAACACGCATCAGTTCTTCTGTTACCTCTCGTATCACTCAAGGACTGATGAACGCTGTCAGAATCAAATCTGCAATTCAAGCTTATCTAAATGCTAACGATCCATTAGATGCTGGTGAGAGAACTGTTATTATCATGACAAGCAAGGTCGCCCAGAAAAGCTATGGCACCGAGAAAAGGTTTGTGTTTCTTTTTCTTCTTTTTTATCCTTCACACTCTCCTTCATATTACAGAGTGCTTACCGATTTAAGCTTAGATTCCTATGCCCTCCTCCGACAATTATGCTTGTAGGCTCCAGTTGGTGGACTACGTTCTCAGAAAGTCAACATTCACAGCAGAAATCAACTAGTATCATACATGACGAAAGCGGTAGAGCTCGCTCCCCTCCTTCTTTGGCTATTCGTATATCCGGTGAATCAGCAAATCAACAAAGCGGGAAAATTGAGTGGTACAGCTCGTCAGGTGAAATGATTTATCGAACCGGTACTGAAAATAGTGAGAATGGATTATCCATGTTGCAAAATGGTGTCAGTAATGTGTCGATTGATGTAGTAGGTGACCTCAATTCAGGAAAACACCGAACAATGCTTGGTGAAACAAGTACAGTCACTAGCGATGATTCTCAATGTGGGAATGAACCGCTTGCAGGAGGTCGCTGTGTTTTACGACAGCTTTATATAAATGATGCTGACGAAAAAAGAAAAAAAGTTCAATGTCTAGTAGAAGTCCAACTTGCCAACGGACTAAAACTTGGCACCCTGTCCAGTCGAGGCATCAAAGTTATTAGTAAGCCCACAAAAAAAAGGCAAAGTGTGAAGAATATGGAATGTAAGTCAGCATTGAGGTTGTGTATTACCTGTTATTTGACTTGCTTCTAACCAACGCAAATAATAGTGTGTATTTATCACGGAACAACCGTATCCTTATTCAACAGGGTACGCTCTCAAACAGGGTCGACCAAATACTTAGGCGTTGCATCTACTTCTGAGCACCCTTCAGTTTTCAACTATCCAGGACGACTACATTGTCAGTCATCAAAAGATCCAAAGAACGAAAGTCGTTTTGCAACGAAGACAAGCTCTTGGGATCCATTTATCATTTGGATTGTTGATCCTTATATCAATACGAACCAGGCTAGTGAACCACAGAATTATGATCGTGCTGACGAATTCATAGGCTATCCTAGTTTAGTGCCAACTATACCTTATCCCAAACCTCCCAAAATAGCTTTGAAGAATAAGACAAATCAGCCTCTAGCAATTCGCTATAATCAGCAAATTGTTTTGCAATGCTTAACTACTGGTCTTGTAAGCCCTGTTATGATTATACGAAGAGTAGATAAGGTATCTACGGTTGTCGGTGGGGCTCACTGTCCATGCGAATTTGATCCTTCTTTTTCAGGTGGTGGTGAGTTTGGTGATGAAGTACTCGGGGACCCTGTATCTCAGCTACATAAGATAGCTTTACAAATAGTTCAGCATGACTGCAATGACCCCACACGTAACAGATCAAAAGGGTTGTCAAATGATCAACCGACGAATACATGTCAGCCATCCAATCTTGACAGCAACAGTTTGGCAGAACGGCGAACGAGACAAACTCAAGCAGAAATGCTAATGCCACAAAAATCAATGGGTCCTGCCAACTATTTAGCTTGCTTAAAAGATCTTGTAGGAACGCATAACTCAACAAATAATCGTACACCTATAAAAGGTTCTTTTTCGAATATCGACTTATTTACGGCAGCAGTAGAATCCGAATGTTTCAATTACACAGCGCGCGCCTTATCAGCGATTTTGAATTCAAATACGCCATTCAATACAGAAGTACTAAACCGTAAACGCTGTCTATCGATGGTGGAAGAACTCAATGATAGTGAATTGCACACAATGGAAGATACAGAATTGTATGGTAAGCAAAGTCATAATAGTGCCAATAAGAACGCAAGAAGACGTGTTGATAGTTGGGATGCCAATTCTCCAACATGTACTTCGATAATACAACAAAATATAAATGTGCAATTACCCGATTACGCATCAGACCAGCGCCCTACAGTTTATCACGATAAATCAGCAACTGCAAATAGAAAGCATAGCATAGCTGCAAATAACGGACAAGCGTTGGCTGAATATGGGGCATTCTGGTCAGAGGATATCTCAGATAATGCTGTGTGGACTATTGTTGGAACAGGTACGGCCCGCTTTTTTTAAGATCCTCGCTTGGTTTCGTTTCTAATAGTTGCACATTTAGAGTGTGCAAGATATACTTTTTGGACACCGGCGTATCTTAACGAAGAGAGACAGATGGAGAAGCAATTTACAGCTCCCCTAAGCACACCATTCCCGTGTTTAACTCACTTTACTATTTCATCTGATATGGGTGCACTTCCTAGCAAGGATTCCGGTATAGAACAGAATGACGATAAAGCTTCAAGGGATATCATGACAGCATCAGGAGAGAATTTCACTCGAGATCTCCAGATATGGTTCGGCGATATCAAGGCCCCAATTACAGAATACCGTAGTCGTGAAATGTTAGTGTGCTGGTTACCAACACGTGCTGAACTGCTGAAATCTGTCGGCTTAAATAGGAGGCATGACCTGCTCGAAAATGATAGCGATGTCGAGCATAAAACTTCTAATATGCCCTACAGCATTCGTATTCTGTTAGTAAGAGGCGATGGAGTTGTCTATAAAACTGGACGATTCTATACATTTTGTTAAAGAGTAGTAATAATAATAAAATATACCCAACTTCAATTCCTTTTTTGAACAAAAAGTACGACATTCTTTGGGGAAAAAAAAGTTACATTTGGCGTGTGCTGCTGTCCTAAGAGTATTATCTTATCAGAATGCAATATTCTAACATTTCTTAGTTATAAGTGTTTATTTCGACAATACATAAAAATAATAGAATTGAAAATCATCTCTATATTTCGCTTTCAGAGAAAAATATAATACAAGTTTAGTTTTGGTTCATTAATTGAGAGTAATAAATTATATATAAGAAGACTATACACAAAAAGGAAATAATTTTAACGGCGTTGGGAACCCATAACAAGAGTAAGCAATGCCATTCTGACATAAAGGCCATATCTCATTTGTCGGAAATAAGCGGCTCTTTGGTCGAAATCGACTTCTGGTTCAATTTCATTTACACGAGGAAGAGGATGCATGACAATCATTTGAGCCTTCGCCTTACTTAAAACGTCGTTATTCAAAATGAAAGAGTCCTTAACACGGTGGTATTCTTCGTCGTTGCTGAAACGTTCCTTTTGAACACGGGTCATATACAAAACATCAGTGGAGCCAATAACTTCATCAAGAGTGGTATATACATTCTGCTTAACACCAGCAGCAGCGACTTCTTCCATGACATCCTTGGGCATTGACAGGGAATCAGGGCAGACATAGTTGATAGTGACTTGGTAATAAGCCAAGATTTTAGCCAAGGAGTGAACAGTACGACCATTCTTCAAATCACCAACCAAAGTAATGGTTAAACCATTGACAGTACCTAATTCTTCACGGATAGTAAAGACATCCAAGAAAGCTTGGGTAGGGTGTTCACCAATACCATCACCAGCATTGATGATAGGTACCTTTGAGTACTTGGCAGCAATTTGAGCGCTACCGTGCTGAGGATGACGAAGGACAATGACATCAGAGTAACAACCAAGAGTACGGACGGTATCTGCAAGAGACTCACCCTTCTGAACAGAGGAAGTTGCTGCACTGATAGATACAACCTTACCACCCAAACGATACATGGCAGCTTCAAAAGAGGATGATGTACGAGTGGAGGGTTCGAAGAACATAGTACTCATTACGCGACCTTGTAACAAATTGATAGAACCGTACAATTCAACGAGGTTACGCATTTCGTGGGCAACACCAAAGAGCAAATGAAGATCGTTACGGTCAAATTGTTTGGAACGTAAGATGTGCTTGCGGTAAAACGGTGAACGGTTGAATACACGGATGAGAGAAGCAGGAAGTTCATAAGTAGGAGAGGCAAAAGGCACCAATTGTTGATCGCTAGCACCAGCCAATTTGATGGAGTCAAGATGCTGAGAGGATTTAGCTTCAGGTGCTCTTTCAGGAACATCAGTAATGTTAGCGGCAGAAGTGGTTGAAGCGGCTTCAGCCTTCTTCTTCAAAACGCTAACGGATGCAGATGCCTTGGCTTGAGCGGATAAATCACGACCGACAATACCATCTTGTCTGAATACACCATCCATGAAGACTGTTACACCATTGACAACAACACGGCTAACAGAACCACGAATCTTCTTGCCGGCAAGTGGGCCACAGCTCCATGTCTTGGCACGATCTAATTCAACTTCAACATAGGTATCAGACTGAGCAGGAAGACCAAAGATACGACGAGGGTTTTCATTCATACGTTCAGCAATATCTTGAATAGACAATCTTCCGTCAGCAACTGCAGTTAAGAGTAAAGGCAAGCCTTCGGCAATTCCTTCAATGGCAGATTTTTCAGAAGGACTGGGGTTAGGACCCAAAGAGAAGCAATCAATGACATCCAATTTCTTCCATAATCCTTCTTGATCCGCAGGAGAGGGCAACAACTTGGACTCAAGTTCAGCATTATTGAGGAAGAGAGAATAGACTGAGACATCGCAAGTCACTTTCAAACCCTTATTTTTAGTCATTTCAATCAAAGCCAAATCATCCTTGCTAGTGACATTGGAAACATGAAGCACATGACCATGAATGGAAGCAAGCAACAAGATTGAAGCGAGATCAGTACCTTTAGCTTCGGTAACAATAATGCGGTCTCTAGGCCAAGAATCAAACACGGAATCGTAAACAGAAACATTACCGTTGCCAATCTTATTAGTGTTGACATAAGCAGCAGCAACAGAAGAAGCAACGGTATCGAATTTGTCTGCATTGTCAACAGTTGCAGTTGCATAGATCAAGTAGTCAGCACTTGATGCCTTTTGAGCGGCACTAGATAATTGTTCAACAGATGACATGTTGATTACATCAGGACAATTGATAGCAACGGTAGTAATACCAGACTTGAGTGATTCCTTGGTAACAGAAGCAAGGTCGTTCAAAGAAGGAATATGAGCATTGATATTGAAGAGGCCAGGAAGGGTAGCTGTGTTGCTGCTACTCTTAAAATCTACACCAAGAATTTCGAATTCCTTCTTACGAGCAAGAGCCTCTACAAACAATTTGGCGCACTTGACGTTCGTCAAAAGAGGAGTGGAATAATCAACAGCCATACGGCGAGATCGATAACCCTTGGACATGTAAGAAGCAGGTCTACGGAAACGGTTTCTAGAAGGCAAGTTGATGTACAAATCAATCAAGTTATTGGACAAATGTTGCTGAAGCGAATATTCAGCTTTAAGCTTGTCATCGACATCGCCATCCAAAAGATCGAGATGCTTGACGGGAATGTTATGTTCCGAAATAAAATCGGCAGTACCTGTGGTAGCAAAGAGGTTATAACCAAGTTCATGCAATTTCTTGACAGATGGAAGCAATTCCAATTTTTCCTTATAGGAACCAATGGAAAGCAAGATGTTCTTCTTCGGTAAAACAAAGCCAGTTGCCAATAGAGCCTTTAAATAAGCTTCGTATTTGTTTTTACCGAAACAAGCTACTTCACCAGTTGAAGCCATTTCAACACCCAAAACAGGATCGGCGCCAGATAAACGACTGAAAGAGAATTGAGGAACCTTGACACCAACATAATCTTTGGGAACATCAACCTTAGGATAAGGTGTAACAGGAAGACCAAGCATAGCAAGAGTAGCCATTTCAATCATATCAACACCCATAACCTTAGAAACAAAAGGAGATGAACGAGCAGCACGAACATTACATTCAATGACCTTGATTTCATTGTTCTTAGCAATGAATTGGATATTGAAAGGACCAGTGATATTCAATGCACGACCAATCTTGGCAGTAGCATCTTCAATCTTACGAATGGTTTCCGGATCAAGATCTTGAGGAGGTAAGACTAAAGTGGCATCACCAGAATGGACACCAGCATTTTCAACGTGTTCTGAAATGACGTGATTGATCAATTTACCATCAAGGGCAACGGCATCAACATCAACTTCCTTTGCTTCCTCGATATACTTGGTAATAACAACAGGATGATCGCGGGATACAGCAGCGGCTTCCTTCAAGTAGGACTCAAGATCATCCTTAGAAAAGACGACATTCATGGCAGCTCCAGAAAGAACATATGAGGGTCTGACCAAAACAGGGAAGCCAACACGTTCACAAAAAACTTCTGCTTCTTCAAAACTGGTCAGTTCTTTCCAAAGAGGTTGATCAACGCCAATACTATCACACATTCTTGAGAATTTATAGCGATTTTCAGCATTATCAATCATTTCAGGTGAGGTACCAAGAACCTTAACATTTTGACGGTACAAAGGCAGAGCAATATTATTGGGTGTTTGACCACCCATGGACATAAGGACACCACTGGATTTTTCAATTTCATAGATATCCAAAACACGTTCCAAATTGATGTTTTCGAAGTACAAGCGATCAGCTTCATCATAATCAGTAGAGACTGTTTCAGGATTGTAATTGACCATAACAGTCTTAATACCTTGTTCACGAATGGTTCTAACTGCACGAACAGCGCACCAATCAAACTCAACAGATGAACCGATACGATATACACCTGAACCCAAAACCATGATACCCTTATCATTAAAGTCAATATCGTGCTCAACAGCATTGTATGTCATGTATAGATAGTTGGTGAAAGCAGGGAACTCGGCAGCGACTGTATCAATTTGTTTAACGAAAGGAGTAACGCCATACTCTTGACGAAGTTTCCTGATAGCGAATTCGTTGCTGTTTAAATGGTTGGCAATTTGACGATCTGAAAAACCGAGTTGTTTGGCGGAACGTAACAAGTTACCAGGAACATTGGATTTGTTGAATCCATCCAGACGGTTACCCAAGGAGACAATGTGCATCAATTTGTTAAGGAACCATTTGTCAATCTTTGTCATTTCCCAGATCTTATCAACACTATAACCCTTAAACATTGCATTAGCAATAGCGAATAGACGTTGATGAGAAGGGTTGGTTAACTCGTAATCGATTTCGTCATCAGCTACAAAGTCATTCTATGGTTTTGAATCAAAATAAAAGTATTATTACCAGGATTTGCAATAAGATGAACAAAGCAATATCTTGTTAATACCTGACTAAAGCCCATGAAGTTGTAATCAATAGCACGAATGGCCTTCTGAATTGTCTCTTCAAATGTACGGCCAATAGCCATCACTTCACCAACAGACTTCATAGATGATGAAAGTGCAGTACTAACACGATTGAACTTTTTGAGATCCCAACGGGGAATCTTGACAACAACATAATCAAGAGAAGGTTCGAAACATGCACAGGTAACCTTGGTGACACTGTTTTTGATTTCATTCAAAGGAATACCCAAGCCAAGTTTGGCAGCGACGAAAGCAAGAGGGTAACCTGTGGCTTTAGAAGCGAGGGCCGAAGAACGGGACAAACGAGCATTGACTTCAATGATACAATATTCTTTAGAGAATGGATTCAAAGCATATTGAATGTTACATTCACCTACGACACCCAAATGACGAATGACATTTACAGCAGTAGTACGAAGCATATTGTAGTCTTCATCAGAAAGAGTTTGAGAAGGAGCAACGACAATGGAGTCACCAGTATGGATACCAAGAGGATCGAAATTTTCCATATTACAAACGGTAATACAATTATCTTGACAATCACGAACAACTTCATATTCAATTTCCTTCCAACCTTTCATGGATTTTTCAATTAAAACCTGAGGTGAAGTAGCAAAAGCCTTATTACAGAGTGCGACGAGTTCGGCCTCATTATCAGCGAAACCAGAGCCAAGACCACCAAGAGCATAAGCAGCACGGCAAATTACAGGATAGCCGATTTCCTTAGCGGCGGCGAGAGCTTCATCAACACAGACAGCAGAAGAGGATTGAGCACACTTTTCATCGATTTCATATAGTGCTTGAGCGAAGAGATCACGATCCTCAGTAGTAATAATAGTATCGATAGGTGTACCAAGAACCTTAACACCTAAAGCTTCAAATTCGTCCTTCAAAGCAATACCAACACTTAAGGCTGTTTGACCACCAAAAGTGACATAAATACCATCAGGTTTTTCGAATTGGATAACCTTGCGTACAAATTCAGGTGTAACAGGTAAGAAATAGACCTTATCAGCTAAACCTTTGGAAGTTTGAATAGTAGCAATGTTAGGGTTGATAAGCACTGTATAAATGCCTTCTTCTTTCAAAGCCTTGATGGCTTGAGAGCCAGAGTAATCGAATTCACCAGCTTGCCCGATAGAAAGACCACCAGAACCCAAAACAAGAACCTTATTGACATGAACTCTGGGGTTCTTGTTTCTATTTTCTACAATATCACCACCGGGCATGTTGATACGTACAAGAGACTTCTTTTCAAGGCATTCCTTAGCAGTGTTAAGGAAGACATCAAAAAGGAACTCAGTATCACGGGGACCAGGAGTGGATTCAGGATGGAATTGAACTGAGAAGATAGGAAGACTCTTATGAATAGTACCTTCATTTGAACCGTCATTTGCATTGACAAATAATTCTTGGTAATCTTCGGGAAGAGTGGAAGCATCGACAGCGTAACCATGATTCTGAGATGTGATATAACAACGACCAGAAAGTAAATTGGTACAAGGGATGTTTTGACCACGATTACCATATTTCATCTTCTTTGTTTTGGCGCCAGCAGCCAAAGCCATAACTTGGTGACCCAAACAAATACCAAAGACAGGTTTTTTGAGATCTTTGATGAATTTAGCAGTATTTTTTATGGTAGTATCAATGGTAACTGGATCACCTGGACCGTTAGAAAGGAAGAGACCATCGTAAGAATCAACAGGCTCTGCATTGAAATCATAATCCCAAGGAACGACTTTTAATTCGACACCGCGGAAAACGAAACAACGAATTTGATTGTACTTCATACCGATATCCACAGCAATAATACGCATTGTACGTCCACTAGGGACTTTAATGGCTTTTGCGGGATCAGGGTAGTAAATTTTGGGTTCCTTAATAGAAACTTCTGCTACCAAGTTTCTCTTGTTGGGATCAACCCATTCTACATCTTCATAATCAGCCATCCAACGTTCAGAGGAAGAGGCGTTTGATGAAGCGGTTAAACCAAGGGCAGAGGCAGCTGCATCAACAGTACTTGTGGCCAGAGACTTGGGGAAAAGAATTTTACCCAGAAGAACACCCTGAGTACGGATCTTCTTTGTCATAGCACGAGTATCAATACCGTAAAGGGCAGGAATATTGTTCTCCTTAAGCCAAACTGAAAGAGAAGAATCGGCCAGATAATGAGAGTAATCTTGAGCATAGTTGCCGACGATCAAACCAGCGACATGGATCTCGTTGGATTCGAAGTATTTGGGGATATCCTTCAAGAGCTCATCCATTGCAGTGCGGCTGGGTACACCATAGTTACCAATCAGAGGGAAAGTTAAGACCAGGATTTGGCCACGGTAGGAAGGATCGGTCAATGATTCGGGATAGCCAACCATACCTGTTTGTGAAACATGTCAAAAATTTTTTGTTCTAAAATCAAAGCACGCCTGCTTCCGCAAAATAACAAATAGATATCCCTTGCCCCACACAAAACAGCTACTAATGCTTACCTGTCTGGAAAACGCATTCACCAGAAATACTCTTCTCTGCACCAAAAGAAACACCCTGGTAACTGGTACCATCCTGTAGAATCAAAGTACCAGTGGTAACACTCTTTTCCTCATAAGCTGTCACAGGACGATGTGGCGCAGATGGAGAACGTGGAGAAAGAGCAGGAAGCGGGGTAGCATTGGCAGCAGGTGCAGGGATTTGAGCACCAGTGCTGATTGCAGGAGCAGTACCAGCAGCTGCGACAGAAGGAACAGGGAAGTTAGAAGCCATTTTATATTCTAATTAGAGTTTTGGTGATAAGATATCAAGACGGCACACAAGCACAAGATCACGTATTTGGTCCTTCTTTCTATGAAATGCCCCAGAATGATTAATTCAACGGAAAGCTCTTTTTGACGTGTACAATTACACTATCTTACGTTAGATAATAGTCAGAGACTTTGAAGACGTAAAAAGAAGAGAAGTTGTTTACAAAAATAGAAAATTTATTTGAATTAAAAATAGAAAATATAAAAGGTATTCCTAAGATCGTCAGCCAAGGAAGCTGAGAGGTTTCATGAAAACAAAAGCGAGCGTCTTTTTATACCTTTTGCAAGATACCCAGAAAAATTTTTTTGGTTGAAAAGAAAGTCCTGTTTTAGAGCCAATCATTTTTGAGGTACCTATCTGCGAGACATTTTCTCCGCCTTTTTTTTTGTTAAGCTAACCCCATTTTTGAATAGCACAACCCAATGGACAAACGCGGTGGTGATGATAATAGTGAGTTTTAATTTCATTACAGAGACGTGCAACAACAAAAAGCCCGATGATGACCAGCGATTACCAATTGCATTGCTGTCTTGCGTAAATGCAACGGTTGTTGAATTCACTGCTGTACCACTGTACACTCAGCACTAATAGTGTCATTTCAGGTCGGATGAAAGAGGTTACGAATAAGAGTGCTTGGAATTGCCCCTTTTTCTTAGTTCTATTCACATCAAAGAAAGCACTACATTGAGTGTCTCTGATTCGTGGCCACAGATAACATTTCAAAGCAAGAGTAACTGATTATTTGTCAAGACCGGGCGAAAAATTATAGACCAGTAAATAAAAAGTTAGCCTGTCTCACCAAATGACTGTAAATGAGTCAAATGAAAGTGATGACCTACAACTCCGTGTGGAAGATGATTCCTCATCGCCATCATTCATGACCTTCACACCCAAATTATCACACTCACTATCACGTCGTTATACCCAGAAAAAGCAGCCTGTAAATGCTACTGAATTTATGAACTCATTCGATCAACAAAAACTTAACTCAACTCTATCCAACAAGCATACGGGTAGAAGCAGTATCTCGATCATGTCTTATGAGACACTCTCATCAACTGAGGACGCCGACGACGTTACTGACACAGCTAGATTGACTTTAAACGCATCAGCACTAGATGGGAGAAACAACAAGAAAACGAAGCGCATCAGTAAGACACATCGATATGATTCTGAAGAACTATACAATGGCTCCTTTAGATTGTCAGTACAACAGGAACGACCCGTCAGTAGGTTTTACGAACCAGCTTACATTGATATGAAAGCAGATCAGCGTAATAAGAATCTACAAGAGATCATATCGAAGACCACAAAAGAGTATCTCAATGCTGCCATTTCTATAATCCAAAAAACGTCTAAAAGAGTCATTAATTTGCATGATATTAGTAACCAACAATGCCAACAATTGCATAGTACAGCTAATGTAGTAAGGCTTCATGATAATAATCTTAACAAATCAACGGAAAAGTTAACGTATCGTGACAGCCGCTCAGCCAATAAAGATGTCGCAATACAACAAACAGTGCCTGTAAGAAATCTTCCTCGTCTGGATTCGGCATTATGTGTTCCTAGTATGTCCCAATCAGCGACTGTGGACAGCATTGATAGCGAAACTGAGCTTTATGGACATAGTTTGAAAATATTCTCGCCTACAAATACGTTCCGACTTTTTCTTTTTAATATTTTACGGTGGAGGTACTAAAAAAGCAACAGAATGTCAAACCTTATCAGAAATTAACTTTCTTTCTCCGCTCAAAAAAACAAGATGGCTGGAACCATTTTTAATGCTATTGATTGTCTTCCACGGAATTGTGTTGTTGATCGTTGGATGGGGAAACAATCCATTTCCAGTTCCTCCACAGCAATGGGTGCCTACATGGGATCAATTAGCGCTCTTGATCATATTTTCTATCTATACGTAAGCACATTATCTATGTTGTCTTCACACATTCTCGCTCCAGTACTCAAAAATCTATCTATCATCTTTCATAGTGTCATTATCATAGCTCGCAGCATTGTATATGGTTTCATTATTAACTCAGCAAAGAATGGAAAGCGTCCCTTTTTAAGGCACAGTTGGAATAGAATAGATTTTGTATCAGTATTATCGTATTGGATTGATTTCATCTTACTACTGACGCATCAAGAAATGCAAGGAGAAACGCAACGAATACTTGTGTTCAGGATGCTTTCAGCGCTTATACTGTTGCGTTTATTGAATCTAACTGATGGCAATAAAGTGATTCTAAATAGCTTGAAAAAGGCAGCACCTTTATTAGTCAACGTTCTCTTCTTTGTATTATTTTTCTTTGTTGTCTTTGCGTAAGTACTGAAGTTTGTTAAATATATTGACTGTCAGTCATTGATAATTGTTATATACGGGAAGAATTGTAGGCATTCAATCATTCAAAGGATCGTTTAAACGACACTGCGTATGGCATGGTATGTCTATTTTCAGTTTTTTGGTTTGGCTTAAACTCATCTGCTAATTTTTACGCTCTATTGTGAAAGACCCCAACAATACAACTAACGTACAAGAGGTCCAGCAATATTGCGGTGGTTATATCAATGGTTCAGGAGCTGTCGTACCTTACAGGTTGAAAGATGGTACCGAGGCACTCTGGTCCAAAGGCTTCATTTGCGAGCAAGGATTGATCTGCGAGGTGAGCTCTACAGTTACCTGGCATAATACGTTGGAAGCCTGACGGTTTTTTTGGTTTGCTTTTTGTTACCTATAGGAAACAGATAATCCTTTTGGAGGGACAATCAGTTTTGATAATATATTTTCATCTATGCTAATTGTTATGATCATCACGGGCGGTACGTTCCAAATTCGTGATCTTCGTCAAACGGTCTGCTATCTTTACTTACTTTTTGTTTTCATAGTGCAATCATGGACGGATCGTATGTATGATATGATGGATGCTGAGTATTTTGTAGCTTGCCTCTATTTTGTTGTAATCGTTATTGTCATGAATTTTTGGTTGGTCAACTTATTCATTGCAGTTATTACTGAGATGTTTGCCAAAGTAAGAGAGGACTCGCAGCATTCTGCCTTCACAAATTCCAAGTAAGAGATTTTCCATCTTTAGGGTATAAGTATGTTGCTTATCAGATTCCAATACAACACATTGCTTATAGAGCCAAACCTGTATTAGCAGACTCTACTGATGGAGGATGGGCTTTTTCGGAAGAAGACGACGGCCTTACGGAACAGATTACTCGGAATTCCCTTTTCAATAGATTTGTAAAGTTTACATATCCTTTTTGGATCTTTCTAGTGCTTGTTGATTTGGTTTGTATGGCAGCTAAGAATAACAACATGTCAAGAGATACGATAGCTATGTTGGACGAGGCTGAGATTGCATTTACAATCGCTTTCCTTATTGAAATCCTACTTCGTCTGATGTGTAACAGACAGGACCTAAAAGGGTTTTTCCGTGATACGTTAAATTTGACTGACTTTTGTATTGCCATTATTACCTGCATCATTCAAATACCACCAGTTTCAGCACGCCAAAATGTTTACGTATGGCTTACAGGCTTTCAAGTGCTTCGCAGTTATCGATTGGTTGTCGCAATTCCTAGATTACGAAAGCTCATGGTAAAACTTACGCTTTTCCTCTAATCCGTTGCTTGAAATTCTGTTACTGAAACTCTTTCCAGTCCCGTGTGTTAGGAAGTCTTCATGGGTTGATCAATTTATCGTTTTTCATTGTACTCGCGACTCTATTATGTGCCATAATTGCTTTTCAGCTTTTTGAAGGTGTCATTAACGAATTAGGCGAGGAGATGAGATTTTTCTCAGTATATAACTCATTCACAGCCTTATATCAAGTAAGTGGTTAGTTTGTGCATTTGATCGGACAATAACTAAGAGCAAACGTGAAGCTTTTTTCTGGAGAAGATTGGACAACCATACTATACAACGTGATGGATGCCGGTTCCGAAAATCATAATAGTACTATATATGCATTGTTCTTGGTGTTTTGGTTTGCGTTCTCCAATTGTAAGTATTCTGTCTTCAGAAAATATCTCGGTAATGCTTTCTAAAATAATTGTAAACGTAGTTGTTTTGGTTAATTTGTTCATTGCTGTACTTATGGAAAACTTTGAGATTGCCGAAGAAGATAAGCAGAAGCGACAAATCTTCAATTTTATGCAAAAAACTGAAAATGAGTTGGACAAAGATGTAGTTATTAGCCGGTGGAACATATATCGATATTTCAAGCCAAAAGCAAAAGGTTTGAGTGTTAAGGATATGCCGAGTAGTTTAACTATATCTACTCAGAAGAGTATCGTAAGGGAGTTTATGATGGTAAAGACAGATAACAGTTTGAACAGAGCACCGAGCATACATAGAGACGGCTCAAACCGTGACGAAGACCACCGTCCAATGAACTTATTTGATAGAGCTAAAAACTTTTTGAATCAAATTCTCAGTACTTCGAAGGACGCAGCCGAACAACAACGACAACAAAAGCTCCGTAAAAGCACCTTTTACATTGACCCATTGAATGCGTTTGATCAAGTTGGGCTTTTACAAAGCCATGCTCGAAAGAACGAAAAACAACACTACACTGAGCCACGATCATTAAAACATTTAGTAGGACCTAGCTTGAGAGAATCCCTTCCTAACAAACAGAACACAGAGACAACTACTTATGACATAGAAGAAAGACGTGCATTAAGACGAGACTTTATTAATTCACATCCTACATATGATCGATCTTTATATGTGTTCTCCAATAGCAATCGATTTCGCAGATGGTGTCAGTTAATCGTTCAGCCAAGCCGTGGTGAACGTATTTTCGGCACACCACCTTTGAAATGGGTTAATATCATATTCTCAGCCGTTATCACTAGCTGTGTTTTAGTGAATGTTATCCTCACAATATACAACTCACCTGTATATCAGTTCGAGCATAGAGACAATCCTTCAGCATTGTTACCATTCAAATATTGTGATTGGGCCTTTACCATTATATTCTCAATAGAATTCGTTATCAAAATTGTTGCTGATGGTTTCGGATGGACACCTAATGCCTATTTACTGAATGGATGGAACTTGTTGGATTTATTTGTGTTGATCACTCTTTATATGTCTAATTTCGGTACATTTGCTGCGTCTACTGGTTTGGAGAGAGGATTTCGGGCATTCAAAGCATTAAGAGCCTTACGTCTTATCAATTTGTTGAAGCCTGCTAAAGAAGCCTTCACTGCCATTCTTGTTACTGGTCTTTCTCAAATTCTGGATGCGGCAGTCTTAGGTTTGTGCCTTATTGTTCCTTTTGCTCTTTACGGAAAAAATGTGTTTATGGGCTTATTCTACTTTTGTAATGACGGAGACAACGGCAAAACTGGCTGTATCTTTGAAGCACTCAGTGGAACTCAAGAACCAATGCCAGAAGACACTAGTGTTTATATGCCTCGTATATGGGATAATCCTTATGTATACAGCTTTGACTCATTTTGGAAATCATTGTTAATTCTCTTTGAAATTTGCAGTGGTGAAGGTTGGATTGACGTGTTAACTACAAGCATGGGTATTACTGGTAAAGATGAAGCTCCACAACAAGATGCAAGCCAACTATGGGGTATTTTTTTTATGGTCTACAATCTTGCAGGCTCTGTATTTGTTATTTCCTTATTTTTGGGTGTTGTTATTGAAAACTTCACGAAAAGAAACGGCACAGCGTACATGACAACGGATCAAAGGCGGTGGCTAGACCTTAAAAAGCTGTTGAACCAAATTCGACCTGCCAAACGACCTAAAATCGTTCCTCAAAACAAACTTCGCAAACTATGTTATAATTTGACAGTTGAGAAAAGAGGCAGATTTTACAAGTTTATGACGGTCATTATATCCTTGAATATTCTTTTTCTCTGCACGGATACTGCTCGTGACAGTGATAATGATGGTATAAACAGTGGAGCATCAGGTTGGAGTCGCGGAAAGAGTAAGTTGAAGCCATGTTGTATCCAAAAAGTTTGCTTTTACTCATCTTCATTCCCTTGTAGTCTATGTATACTTGGCCTTTATCTTTATCTATTGGATAGAAATCTTAATCAAGTTGTTGGGATTAGGCTGGCACTCGTTTCGACAGAACCTTTGGAATCTTTTTGATTTGGGAATAGTGATCGGTAGTTTTATTACAGCTATCATTACTTTGGGCAATTCTACATTGCAGGTCAACGTAGAGTCGCAGAAGTTATTTATGACAGCTTTCTGCTTCAAACTTGTGCAAAGAAGTGATAGCTTGAATCAGCTTTTCACCACAATGGCGTAAGTAGCAACTAGCATCTATGCCATTGCTGTAAGAAGCATATAGTAACTATCCTTTCCTATCCTAGAGCTTCATCTTACCAGATCTTCAACGTTTTCGCGGTTTGGTTTGTCGTTTTGACGACTTATGCAATCATGTTTATGCAAATATTCGGTCTTACCAAGTATGGGCCCAGTTCGACGACTGAGCACATGAACTTCCGAACATATTCAAACACAATGATTTCCTTAATTCGATATTCAACCGGGTAAACCTGTCAGAGCATCATGTGTATTAAATGGGTGTTCATAACTCTTCTGACATTTTTGTTCATAATATTTTCACTAATAGTGAAGGCTGGAATTCGATTATGCATGATTTTACAGTGGAATACCCCAACTGTGTGGTGGCTGACAATTACCTAGATTCTGATTGTGGGTCTCTACGATGGTCCTATTTTTTATTCTTGACTTTCAACATTATTTCAATGTATATCTTCATCGCTATATTCGTTGCTGTTGTTACGGACAACTTTTCCTACGTCTACCAAATCAAAGCAAACTTTTCACTGGTGAACCGCGATGAGATTAGAAAATATCCTTTTTCCTCCACAATATTATCCTTCAACTTTCAATCAAAAGTATATATTATCTTTAACCTTTTTACTTTACATTCAAGATGACGTGGGCATCGATAGATACTGATAGAACCGGTTACATCAAACCAAATCAGTATATGTCTTTTTGGCGGGTAAGCAACTCTTACAAAATTTATTTCACGGACAGGACTGAAGAACTATACAAATTTTCTGTTTTCTTTAGAAACTTGATGGTATATTTAAATGCAGGATTTTTGAGCCTGAGTATTCCTACAAAGCACTCGTTAAAGGATGCCGTCAGAACAGTGACGGTCCTTATCTGCTAAATGACCCTTATGAACACAACCTCGATTTAGCAGCGCTGAACGAAAAATTGAAACTACTGGATAAGCGTGACCTACATTCACGTAGGCAAGATCTGGAGAAGTTATACTGGGTATGTACCATTTTGCGTGTTATAATGTGTTTTTAAACTAATTGTACTATATCGTGAATTGTTCTCAGGAAACTGCTTTGATCGAATCCACTACAAAAGGCGTCACATTCAATCAAATGCTTCTAATGCTTGCGCAAAGAAAGCTCATTATTCCGGAAAAAGCTCTACTGTGATGTATAACCACGTAATACCCATAGCCCGACGTTTTCTGTCTTAGGCTAATATAATCTGCTTTTGTTTTTTCTTTTATTTTTTGTAGATTGGAGGAACTATTAGAAAATCAAAGAAAGGAAGAGGCAATAAATACACTTATTTCTATTGACCGTGTCCGTGGTTTAATAGAAACAATTGCTTTACGTAAGAAATTCTTGAAGCATCTAGAAAGCAAAAGGCATAAAAAAGGTAACAATTACTGTAAAGAAACTTTAGTAAGCAAACATTATTTGGCTGACCGTTTTATATAGCATCAGTGCCAATAATTCGGGTGGATAAAGACTTGGCTAGTGATTCTCTCATAGCACCTCCCTTGAGCCCGTTTGAATTAGTGAGTAGCCCTGATGACGACGCGTTTTCATCAAACATTGGATCTTGCAGAAGGTATGTTATCATCAATTTATGACCGCTCTTCTGCAACTTCATCTACCAAAGTTAAATTTTTGTTTTGACTATAGTTCCCTTAATCCCTTTTCTGATAATTATCATTTATCAAGTGATGATGATGGATTAAGCAGTGCCACAAATAGATTGATAGGCGATGAGCAGAGAGACAGGCAGGAAGGTATTGAGAACATGGTCAGTGAAAGCCTCACAGATGCTGCTTCTGTCTCGCATAGTTTATGGCAAGGTAAGGAAAGACACTTTTATCATGCACCACATGAGCTCCCTTACTCACATGTTAAATTATAGAAATGCTTCAAAATGAAAGCAAATAAGCTTCGCAATTGTTTTCAGAAATAAAATTTTACTTCACTTATGCCTGTTGTACAGTCTTCTGACGGAAAATTGAGGCTTGCTAGTGTTAATAGAAGGAATGAAGAGATCAAAAAACAGACACGGAGATAATGAAAAGTTTCAAATGTAGGCTTTGAGTATTCTGGAGTGAAGGAACCACAGTTGCCTAAATACTTTTAAAGTCATCAGGCACAGCTAAAACTGCGTATTTGGATCGTTATTATACCAGCAAAACAGGTTCTTGCTAGTTTTGCGGCTCAAAGCATACAGAAACTGTTGAATACAGTACTATTGTTGAGATCAATTGAAGTATGGAGTAACTGGTGACGGGCTTTCAATAATAAATCTGCTTTCGACAATTGAGGCTTGTTCATCCTGATAATTACCGTCACAATATTAGACCGGCTTTTCCATTGATTAAGTTTGTGATTTCAGCTTCGTTCTTCATTAACCTAACCACATTCACAATGGTCGCTGTAGAGAAGAAAGAGAAGAAAACAAATAATAAGCTAAATGATAAGAAAAACAAGGACAAGAAATTGAAAAATTCTAACAAGAGTTCAAAAACCGAGTTACAAGCGCATAAAACCGATGTCAGCTCTAATGAGGAAGAAATTTCTGAAATGAAAATTCACCCTACCAAGGCAACTAATACCAACAAAGTGGTTCGTATTATATATTGGTTAATAGTCCTCCTTAGCGTTCGGTATAATTAACGGGTTAATATTATAGGTTGTAGAACCCACGCCTTATTGGTATAAAGTTACACTTCCGGAAGTCTCTATCAAAAATGTGCAACGACTTTCTCCAACCGATGCTGCAGAGAAATTAACTTATGCAAAGCAACTTCTAACTGAAGAAAACGGTAGAGCTGAGTCACATCCCCTTTTGACTTCTTCCAACCGCAGCTTCATGTCCAACATCATTACGTCTGGTACTTTAAATGATAAAGTATCCGCTTTAACCTTGATGTTTCGTGAGTCACCTCTTCATGGCATGAAAACTTTGGATACATTGATGAATATGGGTCGTAAAAAGGGAAGAAATGAAGCTGTTATGGCTATCACCAGCTTGAAAGATTTGTTCATCAGTTCAGTGCTACCTGACCGAAAATTGATTTACTTTGTTGACAGACCTCTTGCATCCAAGGATGTCACGGATTTACATTTACTCTTATGGGCATTTGAAGATCACTTGAAAAAGACTTATCTTGAATTTCTTAGAATAATTGAAGTATGTCTACAGAACTTTATAAGGTTTTGTAAATGGAATTATAAGAGATCTGTATTAATGTTCCACACATTTTTGCACATTTAGGAACTTTGTCATGATACCTTAATGTACGTCCGTAACAACATGGTCACTTGCTTATTTGATCTTTTGGCCAACAAGCCTGAGCAAGAACAGAATTTGCTGAAACTGCTTGTCAACAAATTGGGTGATTCTGATAACAAAGTTGCTTCGAAGACATCACAATTATTGGTCGATTTACTGGTCAAACATCCAGGCATGAAGTTATTTGTAATTCGAGAAGTGGAACAACTTCTCTTCCATCCTAGCACCAGCGAAAAAGCACAATATTACTCGCTTATTACCATGAACCAAACTATCCTGACTTCCAGAGAAACGGTTACTGCCAACAAATTGATAGAGATATATTTTGTTTTTTTCCGTAAATTACTGAAGCTTGTAGAGGAAGACGAGAAGGAATTATTGAAGAATAAGAAGAAGACAGAAGAGGAACCACAACCGGAAAAGAAGAGCGAAAAAAGAATTGCAAAAGAGAAGCAGCAAAAGAAGAAGGAATTGGAAATAGAAGATCACCAAGCGAAGATGATTGCGGCCATTTTGACGGGTGTAAACCGTGCTTTCCATTTTGCGAATATCTCTGATGAAATGTAACGTCCATTGAAATAATAATGGTTTTTGCGAGTTATAGCTAACTCGTTGTTGATTTAATCTAGGGTTGAAAAACATCTTGAAGTTCTGTATAAAATGACTCACGTTGCCACTTTTAATGCTGCTATTCAAGCCCTCTCGCTCATTTTCACTATCTCGTTATCAAAGCAAAATACTTCAGATCGATTTTATAGAACGTTATATGAATCACTGCTCGATCCTAGACTTAGCCACTCTTCCAAACAATCAATGTATCTGAATTTACTGTATAAAGCAGTCAGAGCTGATACAGATACTCGACGAGTGAAAGCTTTCATAAAGCGTATGGTGCAGATAGCTCATCGTAACCAACCGCACTTTATCACAGGTATCTTTTTCCTTTTAAGTCAGTTAATGGATGCTCAACCTGGTTTAAGGACTATGCTTGCTTTCCCTGAAGGTGAAGAAGAGGACGATGATGAGGAAGAATATTTTGTGGATGCACCCGAGGAGGAGGATGATGAGGAAAAGAAAAAGAAAATTGCTGAGGAAAAGGCTAAAAGAGCCGCCAATAAGCAAGAATATGATGGAAGAAAGCGTGATCCTCGTTTCGCTAATGCTGAAAAAACTTATTTATGGGAACTGGTTAGTGATCTTTCATGCTATTAAACTGTTACGTAGGCACAAAATCTAATATATCAACAAATACATATAGATTCCCTTCAAGAAACATTATCATCCCTCAGTATGTAAATATACTGAACAACTATTTGCAGGAGAGAAGATCCAAAACCAGGAAGATCTTCATCAATTCACATTAATGCATTTCTTGGACAAGTTCGTGTATCGTAATGCTAAGAAACAAGCTACAACAAAGGGCCAATCTATCATGCAGCCTCTTCCTGGTAGTAGACGTGATGGTGGTGTCATCTTTACTAAGGGTAGCGGTATTGTTGGAGAAGATACTCCTCTCAATTCTGAGAAATTCTTGGAAAAGAAGGAAGAAGATGTGGATGCTGATGAGGTAAACAAATAATCATATAATGGCGGGGTGGTTTTGTTTTTTTTTTTTCTCTCTTTTTGTTGACATGTAGTCTATTTTTGTTTTCTAGTTGTTCTTTTATAAATATTTCAATCAAAAGGCGGCCGAAGCACCCAAGAAACCAAAGAAGGCAGCTGCCGATTCTGAAGATGCTGAAGAAGATGAAATTTGGCGTGCTATGATGAATTCTGTGCCTGGTGGTTTGGAAGACGAAGACGAAGATGACGCAGATCTGGACGATGATGAGGACGATGAAGAGATGAGAGCCTTATTAATGGAAGATGAGGACGACGAGGACGTCGACGAAGCTGAAAATCTATCAGAAGGTTTGATAGAATCGGATGAAGAAGACATGGACGGAGAAGACGATGTTGAGCTTGAGTTCATGAATGCATCTGATATGGACGAAGCAGAAGAAGAACAAACGAGTAAGCGTGCCCTTGATTCCGATGAAGACGAAGAAGGAGAGGAAGCTCCCAGTAAACCCAAGAAAAAGAAGGCAAAGAAGGACAAATTACCCACTTTTGCATCTTACGAAGACTATGCCAAACTTATTGAACAAGATTTGGCAAATGATGAAGATTAATTGTCATGCTTTCGAGCTGCCTTTATAAAGTTACACTATCTTAATCCTGTACATATCCATTCTTTTCTCACTCACACACACACACATATATATATACATGTAATAAAGGTTTATACCTCGTAACTAAATTTCATTTTACAATTGAAGATGTTCAAACTGGATCTCGAAGTCAGGAAACTATGTTTAATCAGATTGTAGGGCGACGAAACAATAATGACGAAGTCATTCCTCTAAGAAATATTGATTTATAATTTCACGGAATAAATTTAATTGTTTGGTTAGAAATACAGGTTAAAATAATTGAAGATGCATAAATTGATATGAAAATGAGGGAGGGTAATGAAGTAGAGTGGCGATAATGTACATTATACATAAAGATTAGCTAATAATCAGCATATTAACTTTAAGCGATCATTGAACTGACTCTCTTCATTTTATCAGCCTCATTTTTCTGCTGCTGTTGAAGCGCAGGATTTGCTGAAATATTATTGGTGTCACCGGCTACTGCAGTTGTCGAAACACCAAGCGGTTGATGATCAACACAGTGTCTAGGGAAGACACCCTTGGCTTGACCGCGCGTTAAATTGATACCTTGGCACCATCCATCGTCATATTCAACCAGAACCTCTATTTGATCCCCTAGCTGTATATCAATTTCATCACTAAGGGTAGGTGTATACGTCGCAATAACATGGAAGACTCCAAGCGAGTTGGATTGGGTAGGTGCGAGTGGATCTGACTGCTGTTGTTGAGGAGAGATGGCCGTAACAGCTGTAGCTGTTTTCTGAGCAACAGTGGCTGCACCTTCTTGCTGATAAGTAGTATCTGGTTGGTATGGTAAATTAATTTGAGGTTGATATTGCTGCTGCATGTAATATTGCTCCTGTTGACCATTAGTAGTAGCGGTAGCGGGTACAATAGCCGGCATCATCGATCCTACTATGATATGGTTGTTTGCATCGGCTGTAAATTGAGTAGCATCCACCTTGCTGTTGTTATTATCGTAGGGTGATTTTGGGGACGAAGGACTTGTACCAGCCACAACTGGTTGATTTCCATATTGTTCGTGCGGAATAGGTGACACAGGAGAAGCGACAGGAGCAGCTTCAGGTTGTGTGCCATATTGATGTTGGTATGTTGGTGCCACGGCTGTATTTATTTGCAGATTATTCTGCTGCATTTGTTGCTGTTGCTGTTGCTGTTGCTGTTGCTGTTGGGAGTATAAATTATTATTATATGAGTCACCGTTACCAAAGCCCATCGTGAACGGATCAGGTTTTGATAACCGAGGATTCATACTAATCTGCTTTTTCTTGTTCTTCTGACGAAGGACAAGGTAAGCAACGATACCTGCGACAATGATCACGACAGCTGCGACAATACCACCAATTGCGCCTCCTGATATTCCTTCGTTTTTTGATTCCTGGTCTGCGGTTGTGGCAGCTGTCGTCGAGGGTAATGGTAAGCCTGTAGTTGCAGTTGGCGAGGTAGTAGAGGATACTGCTAACGGTGGTACGAACGAATTGGTTGGTAGGTTATTATTACTGCTAGAAGTCTCGCTGATCCCTTTTGAAGCGACAACTGTTGGCGCTGCTGAGGAATCCACTGCTGATGCGGACGGTTTTGGGCTATTGGACGTTTTAGCAGCAGCAGCAGTATTAGTTGTTGTCGATGTTATTGCTGCTTTCTTCACAGTTGACGTGACCTTTGCGCTCGTTGCATGTTTTGTAGCTGTAGCAGTATCTGCATTGTGAAATTCTTTTGTAGATTCATTATCTTTATTCGAGTAAAGAAATAGTAAAAGGCAATTATTCAATTACTAACTGAAATTATGTTGGTTTTCCCTTATGAATCTTACCACTGCTTGATGCTGCACGTTTATTCAAATCGTTCCATATAAAGGGGATTGCTTCAACTGAATTAACCGCAAGTAATACAACGGACGATGAAAGAATGATCTGATTTATGGGTGAATTCATATTCTATACTATGTTCCCTGTTCTATAAGATATCTAATCACAGAGGCGAAAGAGGAAATACTTAATAGTTGGGCTATCTTACAGATAGAATAAAATAAGGAGAGAAGTTGAGCCCTTTTTCCTGCAAAGGAGAGGTAATAATGAAAAAATAAAAATGTTCTAAAGGTAGAAAAATTGATAAAGAGAGGAAAGAGAAGAAGTTTAGTGGTGGTAGTGATGGTGGTTGCTAGTGCTAAAAGTTTATTAACATTTAAAAAAAAAAAAATAAGGAGCAGCAAGCTATGGTAGAAACTTTAAGTCGTACAGTCTATTGCACAATATCAAAAAGGGTACGCTTAGAATAAATTAGTTTGCCCATTGTCAATATTACAAAAAAAAATTTTGTGCTCTATAGACTTATTACTTTTCCTTAACAAGTGGAATGTGACACTTGCTATATCATTAGTGTATCTCTCTTCATGCCGTTGTACTTGTGCTTGTCCATGAATCAAGTACCTGAGCGCTGTACTTTGTGTCTATTGATTTCAGGGTGTCGATTATTGTCTCTGCATTAAGAGTTGACAATGGTGACTGTAGGATAGCAGTTGAATTCTCGAAGAAAATGCGAGCATTTGATATCCAATCCATTGAATTGAATTTATTCTTGATTCTATTTGCGCATGCTTCACAAGACATACCACTAACCAAGATCCTATACACGTATTCAATTTGCAGAGCCTTTGCTTGATGCACGATATTTGTCTGATTTGCCCATTTCGTTATTTCAGGGCTTATCATCAGAAGAACGGCGATCACCGTTGTAATAACATCGCTTTTTCGGTTATTCAAATGTCGTTGTTTGTACAACTTGTACCCGAGTATGATGACTGTAAGGGTAGTGAGCATAGTACGATAAGGTGTAAACACAGAAAAGCCAGCGCACGAAACAGAGAACAGATTTAGGATTAGCTGGATAACACAGCAGGAGGAGGACAAAAGCGCAGATAGAATGGCCAACGCGTCTGAGACAGGTTTCATTAGGAAGTAGACAGCAGAGATGGAGTGGATAATGTCAGAGATGAAAAAAAAAAAAAGGGAGGGCTGATGAAAAGTGGTTCATTTTAAAGCACATTGGAATTATTTATTTTTGATTGGTTACATGCCGTTTGCTTCGTGTCGAACGCACAAAATGCTCATGCTCGGTAGATGTAATACTTGCTAAAGCCTTTAAACAAGATCGTGTAAGAAGTGCAAAAAGCTCTATTATAGTAGCATTGCGTACGTTTGAGATAGAAGCTGATAGCCATCAAATGAACTAACTAACTCTGCTTTAGCTATATTACACAGCGCTTTATCAGTTTTTCTTTCTTTTTTTCTTTTTTTCTTTTTAAGCAACACTTGATCTTCACTTTGTATTTATCGAGCTCAAATGACCGTAAGCATTACTATTTCTGGGTAAACCTTCCGACCTTAGAGTGCTTTTGTGAACAAAAAATCTGCAGTATAATATTGTTTCATCCGCTTGTTCGGAACGGTCGTCTCAAGTCTACCAGCTGATTCAAACAGCCTCATTCAAATCCAGAATGACAAGAGTGACAAAATAAAGAATGATATCCATATTTTCGAGAAGTAGATTTTTTTGGGAATTCCTATTCATGGCACAATTATGATAAATCACGATAGAAAGCCATCAGTGCCGGAGATTTTACGTTGTTCAATTGTCATTCGAAATACAAAATTTATGACCGAAGCTTCAATTCATATAGGCGTTGCACGGTAAAAACATCAATAATTAATGGTGCAATTATATACTGCGGTTATTTGATGCATAAAAATTGTTCAAGTGGTAGGACTCTAACCTACTTTAAAGTGCACAACGTAAAAGACAGCACGGCAGCAAGTTATATCGGAGAAAGTGGCAACCTTTGGAACATGTATTGTTTTCCTTGGGTGCAGCGTTATAAAAATAGCATTACCAGCCTCGTATAGACAATCAACCCATTAAGCACATGCATTATTCCTCGACCTATTTTGAATGGATTGTTGAAAAACAATTGATGGATGTGTTCGTTTAAACAGATAATACTGTGTCCCAGCTGTTTGTGTCGGTGATAATTAGTGAGAAAACGCAATCTCCATAACTGACAGAGCTTAGAAGATTTTTTTTTAAAGCTATGTTCAGCTGTGGAGTTATGCATACCATTTCGTGCAATGTGATCATTGTTATTTAAAATGAATTAAAGTTTTCAGTGGCATTAAGTAAAGCAACTGGATACAGTCAGGACTAATTCCGAGGAGATAGACACGAAGCATAGATCAGTTATGGTATATTTCCCTGAAAATGGGGTTGACTTATTTTTTGATAGCTGGAGTAAGATGTATTTATAGCTGTACATCTTTATAGAATAATCTAGTTTTACAACTGCTATCATAACAGTTAATAATCGTAAGCAACAAATACACCAATGGCAGTGCCATAGCTTTTCCACGTTTGAGAAATGAACGGTGTACGGTGTTTAGAATAAAATCTGGGGTCAACTCTGTAAACGGCAAAAATAGTAACCAATTTTGCATCCAATTGAAACTTTAAAAAAAAATGAATTTGGTCGATTTTAGGCTGAAGCCTTTGTTAAAAGCATCCATCCACGCGATGAGCAGATCGTAAATTGATTGGTTGAAAACTTCTAGGAAAATCAAGAATCATTTGTAAGAGATATCAATCAATACCAATAGAAGGCACTCACACGACCTCACTTGACACCAGGTTCAAAGCTTTTTGTGATATTCCATTATAAAAAGAATCAAATGTTTTTCGACACGTCTTACTTTTTATTGTTCCTTCACAAAAACAAGCAATTTCAGCCTTAGTTGAACCATTTTCTTTTTCACTTTTCACTTTTTTCTTTCCCCCCCCCATTCTTCGTATCTTTCAACAACACATCTTCCATCAATGACAGATATTGCTTCTCAACATGAGCAAGAACGGTTTGCTGCTGCTGAGAAAAGGCTCCAATCTCTTGAAAGGTTGGATGATGCAAATGGTGCTGGCGGATGGAATTGGTTCACTTTTCGTACCATACTGACTTCCGGTGCCGGCTTCTTCACCGACTCGTATGATGTCTTTATTATTAATCTCGTAACACCTATGCTTGGCTATGTCTACTATTCTCAACACGGCAACAAAATTCCATCCAATATTGAAGGCATCTTGAAAGGTATGTCTTCGGTGGGTACCTTTATTGGTCAGCTTCTATTTGGTTTCTTGGGTGATATTCTTGGTCGTAAGATATACGGTTTTGAGTTGTTGATTATTATCATCGGTACGATCAATTGTGCTACTTCTGCTTCAGCTATTCGTGGTGTGGATGCTATTGCATTTCTTGGATTTTGGCGTCTGATTCTTGGTATTGGTGTTGGTGGTGATTATCCTATGTCTGCTACTATTACCTCTGAATGGTCCGCTGCTGGTAAACGCGGTATGATGATGGCCCTCATCTTTTCTATGCAGGGTATTGGTAACTTGTCTGCTGCTATTGTTACATTGATTCTTTTGGCTATTTTCAAAGGTGCTATTAATGCTGATGTGATGAATTTGGATTATGTCTGGCGGCTCTGTATTGGCCTTGGTGCTGTTCCTGCTGTAGCTACCATATACTTGCGTTTCACTATGCCTGAATCACCTCGCTACTCTCTTAATGTGCAAGGCGATGTTGAAGCTGCCGCTCAAGCGAAAGGTCAAACAGTCAGCGAAGAGCTTATCAAACAACACACTAAAACAGAGGAAAAGCGCGACCACTGGGCGGAATTCAGAGCTTACTTTGGTCAATGGAAACATCTTAGGGTATTGATCGGTACTGCTGCCTCTTGGTTCCTCCTCGACGTTGCTTTTTATGGTCTCGGGCTCAATAATTCTGCTATTTTACAAGCCATCGGTTTTGCTCATAAAGCTACACCTTTTGAGACTCTTTGGGCCAATACTGTTGGTCAAATCATTATCACTTGTCTTGGCTCCGTTCCTGGTTATTATATTACTGTCTTCACCGTTGAAAAGCTTGGTCGTCGTACCATTCAAATCATGGGTTTCACTGCTACCACTATTTTGTTCGCTATCATGGCTGGTTGTTATAACATCTTGATTGAAAAATCTATGCCTGCTTTCATTTTCCTCTTTACCTTAGCACAACTTTTCCAAAATTTTGGTGCGAATGCTACTACTTTTATTATTCCTGGTGAAGTGTTCCCTACCAAAGTTCGTGCCTCTGCTCACGGTATTTCTGCTGCCTCTGGCAAAGCAGGTGCTATTTTGGCATCCTTTGCTTTTAACGTACTTGTCGATATTGGTGGTGCTCCTGGTCAACATGCATTCTTGCCTCAAACTCTTGGTATCTTTGCGGCTGTCATGTTTTTGGGTCTTATTGTCACTGTTCTCTGGGTTCCCGAATCAAAAGGTAAAGATCTTGAAGAGTTTGAAGAGGATTATATCCCTCCTGTCACTTTACAATTGGATGCTTCTGAGGAAGCAAGCACAACCAATGAAGCTATACTACCTGAATTAAAAGCTTAAAATCACATTTACCATTTCATTTAAATCTTTTTTTTTCTTCTTTTTCTTTTGTACATTACTAACACTTCATAAATAACCCGTTTCTTTTTAATGATCTGACGTACTCTAATTCTGTAAATATCACATTATTCCTTATCATATATCTCTCAAACATGAGGTTCACGAAATAAATTGTATACAATAATAATGACAATAATAACTGTATTCATATTCTTTTCTTTTTGTCTGTCATGACTGTAAGATGATCTTTTTTTTTTTTTAAAAAAAAAAAAAAGATGGGAATAGCAATGTCTTGAGTGAATGGAATATAGTAAGATAAATTAAATAATTAAGATCTAAGAGAGATAAGTTTTACACGTTGGTACGAATAAAGGAAGGATTTATGGTTAAAACTGACGCCAAGCGAGCATGTACTTCTACTTGGAAGGGTTTGGCAGGTGCATGTTCACCGTCAATGGCTATGTAGCCTTTCTGACCACTTTTTAGTATTGGTGTCAATCTAAAGGCTTTAATCTTCATATATTCAACCTGTTTACAGTTAATTCATCTGTTAGTCATGAATGATCGTGCATTGCTGTTCTTGGTTATTAAATACTTACAATACTGTTATCAATATGTTTACCAGTCTCAACCTTCGAAAACACATTCAGTTGTTTTGCAATACTCGCTGACCCGCGCACCAACAGTAAGTCGATGGTTCCGTCATTGGGCAACGCACAAGGATGGCTGAGCATGCCCCTAGATAATAGTGGTACTTTACTGGTTAAAAAGAAAGATATATCATCCTCAATCTTTATCCAATCGTTCGGTACTGGTTGATTTAAATCAGGAATGGTATCTTCCACTTCGCCTTCTAAATCGTTCAAAGGGACGCGATCAATAGTATTGTTACTAACGCTAGCATAAGAGGAGACGTAATCCTTTTTGATTTTCTCTTTATCTGATTGCACCACTTGCACGGCGGCTTCAATTTTATAAGTATGGCGAGAGAATATCTCTTGGAACATGCCGATCACAACTCGCGCATCCCCCATCCAACGCATGTGCTCTGTCCCCAAATCTGCATAGGATGTAATACCATAATTTTGTGAAAGGAAAGAAAAATACCGGTGATCATCGTATACGACAGAACAAAGGTCTAATGCCATTTGCTTTCCTATTTTTGAATAGCCGAATGAGCGTTTCTTGTTTTCTATGTGTATATGCGAAGCATCTATTCAATCTGCTACGCTTCTTTCTTACCTTTGATGACTTGCAATGCTGTATAGGTTGGATCAAATCCTCGCTTTTCTCCCAGCAAGGAGATACTCAGCGAGTTGCTGGTACCACCAGGAATGACTCCCAAGGAAATCTTTTTCATAGCTTCTCTTGCATCCTTCCTTTTCAAAAATCCATTTAAAACTTCGTGTATAACACCGTCACCGCTGACAGTAACTACAACATCATAATTATTAATGTCCAAATCTTGAGCGATTTGCAACGCATGTCCTTGGTGTTCCGTATCTTTACAAAATAACGTTTGTTAGCCCTCGTCTTCCAACCAACCACAACTGGTTCATTTTTCTGCTTTACACTTCACTTCAAATGCACACTTGGCACTTTCAAAAACGGGCCGTACATGATATTCAAAAATTTCTTTCGCTTTTCCTTGTCCACCAAATGGATTTATGAGTACTAATAATTTTCTGCCGAATTGTACGCCATTAAGCTCGTAAGCCTGACTTAGTAACGCATTGCAGAATGATTCTGCTTCTTCCTCCCTATCTGCTTCTATCGAATATGAAAATTTGTATAAATCTGAAAGAGAATCCTCGACTGTTCTGTCTTCCGGTAATACGGAATAAATATTGACCATGCGGGTGCGTTTATGATATGAAGCATTGATGATGTACAAATTATCGATAGGTAACAGAGTTGGATCAGGCCCCTTTTTAGGCGGTACTGGAACACAACAAACGGTTTTTACGGTTCTTGCTACAGAAATATTATTGACTTAATGAGAGGTTTCCCAAAGCAAAATAGCGAACAAGTGTGAATCGTGCGATTCACCTCTTTTTTCCGAAATCACTTACAAGGCTTAGCAGCTGTCAAATCTCCTTCAATTCGAAGCCCTTGCTCATCGAGTGTTAGCGTGACGGGATGGTTGACCTTATTGACTTTGAGTGTACGAATCATATACAATTCTGCTGTATAGAACAAACTAGCCAGCAACAATAAGAAAGGAAAATGTAAAAGGGCTCTTTGTTTTGCGGTTTCAAATTCAGGTACAAATACAGTTTTTTTTTTTCTTTTTTTTTTTTTTTTTTTTGTATTTAATTCACGAACTTTATTGTACAAATACAGTTTTTTTCGATTAAAATCGGTAATACTACTAGGCAACTTTGGAAAAATTAGTTACATATTTTTGCTAAATTCTATTATAAATTCAGACGTACTTACCAGAAATTACCAAATTGTTACCGAATTGTAAGTTGAGTAAATAAGGTCGAAACAGTAAGCATTCAGTCTTTGGTTATACTTTATGAATATCTTACTAACTTACACTGTAGAAATGTGTGAAGGAGTGATATCAATCACACATGAAAATGGAACTAATCTCGTTTGAAAACTGCAGGTCTTTGATTGTCATTTACTACAGCAAACATGAAAATATCATAGTTTTTTTGGCAGCATTGACGTCGCGATTCCAACTGTATTACAGTTTTTACACTGCAATGCAGCACGTACTCTTCGCTTTGGTGCTGCTGTTGTAACATTCTTCAAACTTCGATGTTTGCATACACTATATATCGGATTAGTCGGATATTCATTGATGATGCAGATTTCCACAGTCTCTGTTTGAAGTTGCTGCAGTTTCCTTTTTATCAACTTTACGGGCGCAGCTCGTTTACCCTTCATCGATGACGCAAAAGTTGCATTACCGAATGCGATGATTGTCTTACTAGGCGGAATAATCGGATCTTGCGGTGGTTGTGGGAGGTGTTCTGATCCGGCAGTCGACTGTTTCACGCCTGTAACACTTCCTTGTCGACACTTGCTGCTATTGCCTACAAGACGTCGACGTATTTTTGTGATAGCTTTCTGCTTTTTTCAGCGAAATCAGAAGGCTTTTTTGAATGATCGTTAGAACAGATACGCTTTTTTAAACGCTGGAATAAGAAGGAGACTGTATAGCCATCTGTTACCATGACGTTACTAATTGCCATTTGATTAGTATTGAAGTAAAAACTAAAGGCTTATCTGAATTGACTGCTGCTAATGTTTGCTCAAGCAGAGAACTAAACTTCTTCCTATTCAACGTAGCAGCAAATGGAATTTCAAAAAGTTTTCGACGAATGTAAGCCTTTGATACAACTTTTGCTGCTTGTGGCTCCATAATAAAAACCTTCTTTTGAACCTCCTTAGAGAGAAAGTTGAACCACTTGAAGAATAAGTGCGGCTTAGAATACAGTGTTTTTGAGTCTCAATCACTTGGCTGATACTTTTCCCATATGGCAGTGAGATTGGCGACTATCTTGTCCAGAGCATCACTTCTAGAGAGAGAGAGGCAGGCCATGAGGGGCTTGGTCCCTGCTTCTTTCCATGGACATAATGTGCTAATTTTTTCGTTCTGCTACCGTCAAATTTTTACAGAAGTTTACAGAATTGTTGTCAGACAACACGTTTCATGTAGGTAGTTCCTGGCGAGTGTTTCGTACTGTTTACCGCAATGGAAAGAACGCTTGAGTAGTTTATACTTTTTAACAGCTGCGGGTCTAAAGTCGTCAGGTCACAAAAGGTCTTGAAATGTTCTTTGATGTAGTCCGGTGCCTTCTTACCATTTCTGAACAGAGTTTGCTCAATAGCAGGAACATCAGCATCTTTGATTTCAAGCAACTTAAGGAACAGATAGTTGACAAACAGCGATCCCAAGTACAAAACTTTTGAAGTATAGGCTGCTACTTTCAGGATCTGTTCACAAAATTGTGTATGTTCTGCTACGTATCGTGTTGTCAAAGAACTGCTTCATTAACAACATCAGTCAATAAGTGATGGCTCTTACCAACATGCACCAAAGTTTTAAAAATCATTGCTATATACAGACAGTGACGTGTCCCTGCTCCTCAACTTTTAGATGTTATAGTATGCTTAACATATTACACAGGGTAGTTAAGCGCGCTGGTGATTGCTCTTGTTCCCTCGTTTTGTTGTGCCCTGAAAAAAGGAAAAAAAAAAACTAAAAATCCGTCTCAAACTGTTAGTAATAAAATCTAAAAAGTATTTATAGTACTTCTTAAATCTATTATTCTGTTCGTCTGGAAGCAAACAATATGAAAATCCGCATTGTAAATTAAATCTGTAATTGCTGAAAGGCCCTTTTCTCTGTTTTGATTGGATCTCACCTCGTGCTGTAAATCAAAAGAAGAACAATGGGAAGGGCAGGAGTAACTGTTCATCCGACAGCTGTACGTTTGATAGCCATATGACATCATGATAATTGATTTTGGCTATTTTTTTTTACGACTTCGTTGAACTTCAAGTGGATGAGCAGACTTATTGAGGTTCTCATTCAAAACTTATGTCTTTAGTGCAGTTGGCAAAAATCAGTATTAAAAAAATATCTTTTTTGCAGTCGAGCAGAACAAATGCCGACGCAGCAAGAGCTAGGTTTCCGGTTATACCTTGTTACCGTTACCAACCTAGACTCTTTGCTCACTCATCAATTCCTAAACCACCAAGCAACAGTATAGAAGACAAACCTGTCTCAAAAACTAAGCAATTTATGAAAAAGTATGGCTACGTTGGTATTGGCGTTTACCTCACTCTTAGTGCATTGGATTTGGCTGCCACCATGGCAGTCATCAATGTCAAAGGAGCTGGTAAAGTCGTGGAGATGGAACACTACGTGATGGGTAAAGTAAAAGGTTGGGTGGGTATGGAGCATCCACCTTTGGATAAAAGCCAACTATACGATCATAAACCATCCCTAACATCCGTTTTTGTCGTGGCCTACGGAATTCATAAAACGGCCTTGTTACCTGTTCGATTATCGCTTACAGCAGCTATTACACCCGCTGTAGCAAGACAGTTAAAGAATTGGGGATGGTTAAAAAGTAAACTTCCTAAATAAAATGGAAAGGCTTGTAGAAAAAATGATATCAGTATAGTATGCAACTCTGCTAGGGCTAAAAATCCTTGTCAGTTACGGAATTGATCTATATTATTATGATTTATATGAGTGCTAATTGTGTATGCAAGAAATGGTAGAGAGAAAAAGATGTTTAAAATAGGAAAGTGTATATATGCGGGTGTTGTGCGTTTGTATATGTATCTACGTATATTACAGAGTGAGTGTTTGAATCGATGAATGATATTTGAATAACTGTTTATGTATAAGAATGCGGTGGTGGGTTATGATTGCTGTCATTCTTTCGAGTCTCATAAGGCAGAAGTAAAGCACAAATACCAACGATAGTAAAGCCAACCACGCTCAGATAAAGCGGTAAAGAGGGATTAATAGCCAGTAAGAAGCCTGTCATGATAGGACTTAAAATACCCGCTATTCTACCGAGACCTGACGCTGTACCTACAGCCGTTCCTCTCACATTGGTACCAAACACCTCGGGAGTATAACCGTAGATGACAGCATACAACAATGTCACCAAAAATGAGACTGATGAGGATGAGAGTACCATAGTAAGACGCGAGGTAATTATGGAAAACAAGAATAAACAGACAGATGAGCCTAATGCTGAGATAGCCATGGTGCCTTTTCTACCAAGATTCGTTTCAATCATCCAAGAAGCAATCTAATATTGTACAACAGCTTGATCAGTTCTTGTTTATACCGTTTCCATAAGAAAATATGACTTACCACTGAGCCCGGTACACCTGCTATGGAGTAAATCATGTAATCCCAATATACTTGTTGGTGAGAAGGAGCCTTAGCTTCACCCTCAAATCCAAGCGTTTCGAGGTATTTCGGTAAGAACACGTTAAACATAGTATATGCAACAGCTGTAAAAGTCCAAATAATCCATACAAGAACAGTTGTCAATCTCCATTTAGGCCCAAACAACAACTGAAACGCCTTTGCTGAGTCTTTCTCGTTTATGCTTATCTCTTCGATACTTCTTCGTCCAGTAGATAGAAGTACGTGCCGTTCTGATGAATCATCAACAATCATTGTATCACTTTCATCATCTTCATCAGATGGATTCTCTACTACTGCAGTAGTGTTCCTTCTTTCTTGCATACTAATTCCATATGCCTCAGACATGGGTAATTCACTTTTATCAATTTGCACGTTCCCACCATTGATTTTTGCTATATTTTGTAATACAATGATGGTTTCTTCGTGCTTATCTTGACTCATCAAGAACTTTGGTGTTTCTGGTAATCTCAACCAGAATGTCCTCATGGCCAGCATGAGAATGGTGACGATAGAAACGCTTAACAACATTAATCGCCATCCTAAATTTTGAGTGGATATATCGCACGCTATGTTACTGTCTTGCGGGCAGCTCCATCGAGGTAAAACTATGTAAGCAATAATAGAAGCAATAACAGCACCGAAAGAGAAAAAGACAGACATGAACGTTAATAAATAGTGAAACTCTTTGGGTAAGAATTCGAGAAATAAGGCGCCTTTTTCAGCCAGGTATTATTGCAAGGAAGAGGGTTGATTAACATACATTGTATTGCCATAGTGTTCACAGTTTCTTTTTCTTCTTACCGTCTGTAGGCATATTTCCGCCAACGCCAAAACCAAGAAAGAATAACATTACACACAAAGTAGTAAAATTGTATGTAAACGTTGAGATAAGCCCAAACAGGGAGGTAATAGCCAATGTCATCGTATAGGGTACTTTTCTACCTCTTGAATCTGAATAAGTACCCCAGAAAAAGGCACCAAACGTCATACCAGCAAAGATTGAACTCGATAACGTACCGATCCATTCGTCAGATACACTATAATGTTCTACATACAAAAAAACATGTATTATTATTTGATATATCAGTCTAATCGAAGGTGCTTTATGGCTGTAAGGTACCTTGTACTCGTGGTAATATAATAGCAATTGTCTATCAATATTGTTAAAATCAAATTCTACTTGTAGTGTTGTATTACTTCAAATTTGATCTACCTGTAACCACATCTATAATAGTTTAAAAAAAATTGAGCTGTGATGTTAACTAAGTTCTTCGTTGACAATTGCATCTTTTTATTAGCTTGAAATTCGACAATTACATTGTCCGCTAACCATCCTAAACCACATAATATCTAATATAGTTGCAGTAGGAGGGACGTCCATCAGTAAATTTCATTAAGTAGAAAGTTTCCTTTGTTGTCTTACAAGTAACTTTTTTTGAAATAATCCATATCCAACTTTAGACAGTAAACTGTCCAAGACCTGATCAGCTGTTTTCCGAGAGGAAAGGGATTGAAGAGCTGTCTCAACATCTCTCTCTGCACTTGGCAATTCTGTGAATGTATGTACTTCTTCCATAACTGTCACAGTGCACTATTGTGTCAGTTCGAGAACAAAAGATGATGCTGTATAATATTGAGAGGGAAAGAGAAACTATAGTGTAGAATATTGAGGAATGATATACTTTTTATGTTACAAACAAATTGTTGGACCTTATTTGTATGTTAAATCAGCTACAGTTTTTGGCCCTTAATTTTGAACCTCAGCTTGCACCAACAGATAGTGGCTGTGATATAAAACTGATGCTTCGTTTAGAAAGGAAGTGAGGCCCAACCAAATCAGCAAGCAGTAACCCATCACATAGCTGGACCAAAATACTGTGCGCTGTTATATTGAAGAGCTTTTAGAAATAGTTTTAAGAATATTTGGGTAGGCATGACACTGAGAATTTTTATGTCATTTCCACCAAAGGATAAGATAAACCGTTGCAGAAGAATTTATCGAACAGTACTGAACGAGACTATTGTGCTGTATCAGTTTGTTTTCGTACTTAAGCAGATTGAGCGACAATCAGAAATATCTATTTGTTCAATGCTCATATTATAATGTTTGCAATATGGAAAATGTATCAAGAAATAGCGACTGAGTCAATTTTTTTTTCGCAAACCGTCTACAAATATAAAAATGCAACTGACTATTGCGTTCTTCTACTTCTTCCTCGTAAAGTAAGGATTTATATAACCCTTATTTTGTTATCAAAGTGTCGTACTCACAACAAAATTCATCTTCAAACCAGCCTTGGTATGGATAAATTATTAAAGTCTCAGATCTGAACCGGATCGCTTTGGATGGTAACGAAATTGACTAATTACGTCGGTTGTTATAGGTCAAGCAATACCAGTGCGCAACAGCAGCAAAATTGGCAACAGTACACCCAATATGGTGCGCCAGGTGCAGCTCTTACCCCACAACAGCAACAAGACTATGCAGCTTACTACCAACAATACCCAGCACAGACTGCTGATCAGCAAGCATATTACCAGCAATATTACCAATCACCATATAGCAATCCGCCTCCTCCGGGTGTAGAAGGGCCACCAGGCGTAGACATGCATACAGCACCTAACAATAATTATGACTATTCACAATATTCAGGTTATTATTCTCAGCCTACCAATAGTGTCGCTACCACTACTCCCTATGCTCAACAGCTACAATATAACTACAATTATCCCTATAACAATATTGATCGAGCTTCATGGAATTCTCAACCAATCTCAACGACGGCACAACAACACAGCCATTACACCGCACCGGCTGTGCGTCCTAGTCCTCCTGCACAACAACAACAACAGCAAAAGCAGCCCCAACAACAATTTTCGCAACAAAAGTAAGATAGAAAATGAAAGCAGTAGCAACAACTTCCGTATAATTGATTCATACTTATTTTATTCATCGATTGCATTAGGTCCTACAATGCTCCACTTTCACAATTTGTTCGTGGACAGCAGCAGCCCTTAACTGCAATACAAAAAACAGATACCACTCCTCCAACAACAGTATCGTCTTTTTCTGTGGCTTCAATAAGTAGGTTATGATGATTGACTTGGTAAAGATATCCGTCTTATTGTTTTCTTTTTTGTTATAATAGAGCCTCCTTTGAAGGTTCCACCTTGGTCAAAAAAGCCAGATAGTTCAGCACAACCATCAGCAACGGATAAGCAACATCCAGCTCCGTCGTCAACATCTATTTCAAAAGAATCGATACCCCCTGCCACAGCAGCTACTAAATCTCAAAGTGCCCAACAGCAATCAGAAAATGAGATAAATAACGAAAAGAATGCAATGGCTGTCGAAACTTGGCCTCCATCGTTAAAGTGAGTTAGATTGTCTTGTGTATCATTTTTTGTTTTTTCTGCTGAATGTATTCTAATGTCATTATAGACAATATGTACAGGACGTATTTGCTTGTTGTTCACCCGATAAAAGAGATGAAGCACAGGAACAGCTACGGAATCTTATTATTGAAAGTCATAGAGCAGGCACGTTATTAACAACGGACTGGAGTGAAGTTGATCTACCGAGGTAAATATTATATCAGAGAAGATAGAACTTGAGAATGTGACCATAGAAGTAACTGGAATTGTAATATCGTTAGTGCATGCACTAGTACAGCCGCAAAGAATAAAAAGAAAAAGAAAAGGTAATGATAAATGTAAAGGGTCACTTTAACTTGAAGTACATTGAGCTTACCTTTCTCAAATCAATAGTAAGAAGCAGAAACAACAGCAGCCATCAAATTTGACTGCAGACGAAGAAGCCAAAAGATTGAAGCGATTGAGAAGGTTCGAAGAAGATGCTGCACAATATCGTGCTGAGAATGTTTCATCTAATCTACAATCAATACATTTGGTAAAACAAGAGTTACACTGTCACTCAAAAGGAGCTCATCTTACTTACGGCGTATGTATCCTTTTCTTATAGGATGGTGCACCTCCAGACTTAAATCAGCCCGTTGTAGGCACATGCACAAAACTAGAGAAGAATTATTTAAGATTGACTTCGGTAAGCATTACTTCTCACGAAGTTATTAAATAATCAGAATGTTATGTTTGACACTGTTTCTATTTGTTTTTTTACTCGAAGGCGCCTGATCCAACAACAGTAAGGCCGCTTGAAATACTCAAGAAGACATTAAAACTTTTGAAAGAGAAATGGAAGAAAGAACAAAACTACACCTATATATGTGACCAATTTAAATCTGTTCGTCAGGATCTGACAGTAAGTTCTGTTGGTTAGGTTCAAATAGAATTAACGTTTGACGCTTACCGTTATATGTCCTCTTTCAAACAGGTTCAACATATTAAGAATGAGTTTACCGTTCAAGTATATGAAATTCATGCACGGATAGCACTAGAGAAGGTATATATCCCATGTAGGAGAGACTCAACTTCAATTGATGTATTAACCTTGTCAACTTTATTAAAGAGCGATTTAGGGGAGTATAATCAATGTCAAACGCAATTGAAAGATCTGTATGCGAGAGGAATTTGTGGCCATGACATGGAGTTTACCGCTTACCGAATTCTATACTATTTACATACTCAAAACTGGGGAGGTAAATGCACTATTATTTCTCAGTTTTACTATCTTTCTTAACGAACATTATATATATTGTATGTAGATGTCAACTCTGTTATGGCCGATTTAACACCAGAGCAAAAAGAAAATGAATTTGTAAAACATGCATTAGAAGTACGCTCTTCACTTGCTACTGGCAACTATCACTGTTTCTTCAATCTATACAAATGTGCGCCTAATATGGGCGCTTATTTAATGGATCACTTTTGTGAACGTGAACGCGTCCAATCTCTAATCACATTATGCAAAGCGTAAGTTGATATGCGAAACTTTATGAAAGTCTGGCAACATAAAATTTATGATTTATTGTCTATATAGCTGCCGCCCAGATATTCCATTCAGCTTTATACAGAATGAGCTTGCGTTTGATACAGAAGAACAAATGCTGAAATTTTTATCTGAGCAAAAGGCAAAGGTATACAGTACGAAAGGGAATGGATATTTAGATTGCAAAGGTGCTCTTGCAGGGTTACTAGAAAGTCAAAAGAAGTTCAAAAAAATTGATATCAAAGGTCAATTATAAAGTATAAAACAAAATTAGATATTGCTACAATAGTTCGATTGTGTATTATAAGAAAGTTTCAGCCATTTGCAGCAACTTATATAATTGCTATATTTTCCTCCATCATTCCAATATCAGTCTAAAAAGAAGAGGGACGATCGAAATAATAGGTTAAATATCGTATTAGTCGTATTCTGCTTTAAGATGAACTTATGTACATGCATATCGAAGCAGCCTATTCTTCATACCAATTTATCGTGTTTGTTTAGAATTCTCACCCAGATTGTATTTATATTATCGACCCTATAAAGGGCATCATGAAACAACTGCTATCGTAGGATAAATCAATCATATTGTTCATAAGAGAAGTATCCTTGGGTGCTTTTGCTCAGATTTACAGCGGTATACTGAGAATTTTCTATTGATAAGAATTATTGAAAACGGTTATTACCGCAGTAACATCGATGCTACCGTGCAAGGCTAGCTTGTACGAAAAGATTTACTATCCTTTTCTTTTCTTTTCTCTGTGAATATACCATTTTTGCTCGAAACAGTTCAATGCCAAATAAATAAATAGAAAAAAAAAAAAAAAAAAAAAAAAAAAAAAACCATTTTTTGAGCATATGTAAGATGCATGTACTTTGGTTTGTTGGAGGGCTAATCAGTTACTATCATGCTAGACACAACTTAATGTAGGAACAGACATCAGCCGGCTGAAGATAAAAGTATAACGATATCTGCAGCCAAATACTACTCTTGACTAACAATTTTACGTGTTGTTAATGAAATTAATTGATGAACAAAATAAAATGAGTTTTATTACACATTTCCGAAGAGAAAGAGATCAAAGAGATTCCAAAAGTAGCACCATAGACATCTCTGCCTCTTGTCCTTACAATTTGATCTAGCGTTTCTCCGTTGCTTTTGTCTTTAGTGCTGTTGTTTGTAACAACATAAGATGCTGCCTTTGCATATTTTTAAGCACATACTATAGCTGTTCGTACTGTCAAACGAACCGTTTTAGGATGCTTCTTCGTAGGGTGTCTTCTCTCCTCTACAGTCTCATCCTAAACACCTTTCGAAATCACTTCAAACTTTGTATATCAACTTTCAGGTTTACCGCGAGTACTTTCTAATCGTCAGCTATATTTCCATATTTGAATCATTTCATCTGCAAAGTTACTGATGGAGTCAATGCATAATTGGTAGAGTTTATGTTCTGTTTGGAATAGAAGAAAGAGACTGAAGGGAAATCCGTTTTAAGGCACGAATCGACGTATAACAAGCAGAACAGAAATAGTTAAAAGAGAAACATTTAAGGATAAACAAATATTACGGACAGAAAAGTTCCTTGGACTCAAGTTTAAAAAGATATATCAAGTAGATTGGGATGTACACTTTACTCCAATGCCATTTCTACTCTGTATAGAAAAGCAAACACGTATTATAACCTATGTCATACAATCGATAAGCCAAAGAAAAATTGGTGGTCTGGATCAATTTGTCAAGAAGCAAGAGTAGCATTTTGGCTCTCCAAATCATATATATAAACAGATAAAGATACATCAAAGTTTCACCTTTTCATTTATTTATCATTAAAGGGCTTCAATACGTGTGAAGCGCTACAGAGAATGGAAGTATATCAAAGCTAACTCTTTGAATAATCTCAAGACCTCATAGGCTTGAAAAAAATCGTTTTTCAATCGGAGATTACAAATTTTGAAAAAGTATCGATTTCTTTCTCAACTGAATACATTGCTTCAACTCCTTTTCTTTGCACTTTTACCAGCGCTGATCGTCAGATCGAAACAACTGAAATGTCCTCTCTTATCAGTACTGGTGTTAGTAAGTATATTTTTTCTATGATTAAACTCATTGATTTTTATGGGTTCACTTATCCTATTTATTTCAGAAAAAAATAAGAAGACTTTTACACCTAATGCAGGAAGGCGCAAGGATCGTAGTAAAGCTGCAACAAATAAATCAACGCAAAGAAATGAACCCGAACCGTTACCGGCGGTACCATCCTTGACACAATCCACAGATCTTTCGCAATCCTTCGAAACACAAACTCAACTTCTCACACAAGATGCACCAGTCATCAGCTCTTCATCTTCTGTTACAGATCACAAAAATAGCACGCATGTGAGCATAACAACCGCCCTTTCTCCTTCGTCACAGCTTGAAGCCTCTACGAGTATTGCACCTTCAGTGAAGATTATTGCCGCGACGTCTTCAGTAGCGGACAATATGCCTGATAATACTGTAAATAATGTTATCAATTCTCCTAGAAACCCCGTTGAGAAAGCTATCCATAAATCAGCCATCTTTGTTGAAGATGATGATATTAATCTGCAAGATGAAACAGCTGATATGGTTATTCCAAAAGTAGAATCACCTAAACCTTCCATTGAAGAAGTTGAGAGAGCAGTTCAATCATCCAGCACAAGTACTAACACATCGACAACAGCAGCAACGTCTGTTAGAATTAGAGAATTAAAGATTGAAAATGGTGATGATTCAGACAACGAAGGAGCTTCTGTTATCAAAGTGCACGAATTAGCAGGCATAAAATCAGAGTTAAAACCGCAAGCAGTCATAACTTCAAGTTTAGACACTATCACAGAGGAGTCTTTAACAGAGGAAGAATTGGCCATCAACGGACGTAATTCTTCATCGATGGTATCGACACATACCACTGATAATGAAAAAATAAGGGGAAAAGAACAACCTTCACTTCCTATAAATAGAAAAGCGCATAAGCGGAAAAATATTGATGAATCCGGTGAAGTAGATGAGGACCACGAGCGTGATATAGATATTGACGGGGATGAGGATCATATTGATGACGATGAACAATCAGGCGCTAGTACATCAGCATCTACGAAAGCTCCAAATAGACACAGAAAGAAGCGAAAGCATATTGCAAAGAAACTAACAACATCAATTGAGACTCCAAGTCGCCCTAGAAAGCCATCCATCGCTGAAACAGTAGATCCGCCTTCTCGCTTAAGACCTCGACAGGCGCCTGCTGTTGCTATCGGTATACCAACTGTTGCTAGTGTTTCTGATGGACGCGTAGTTCAAGAAGTGCGAGGTCAAAATGATAGCGACGAATCTCACAATGGAGCAGACAACGACAGCGAGGATATTGATATTGATGAGATTGATGAATTGGAGAGTATGATGAATAGTGATCATATAGATACCTTCCTTGAAAGAAGACGAAGGAGAGCAAAGTCGATGAGAGGAAAGACAAAAGGGAAAGGCCGAGGCCGACCAAAGGATCACTTCCGCCTTGTGGAGAATATGAAGACACTAGAAGATCTCGCCAATGATGAAACCCCACATAAAGCATCACATTTAGAAAAGCCTATGTCGTATTTCATCAAGGATATTGATGGAATTGTATCAAAAACCTACAAAGAAATGGAAATAGCTCGTCAAGCTGAATTAAAAAAGCAGGAGGCTTTACTGAAAATGTCACCAGAAGAGGCGGAGGAGTTGAGGAAAAAAGAGGAAGAGGAAAAGAGAGCAAAAGAAGAAATGAAAGCTGCGGAAAAGTTAGCTGCAGATGAAGAACGGCGTAGAAGAGAAGCAGAACGCCCAGTTTTAACTGAATCGTAAGTAATTTACTCGCTCTACGCGAATTGTAATACGACTGAAAAGTGGGTTGTGATTTAATTTATAATAAATCTTAGTTCTAATGCCGTTCAGGTGCGTATTGTGAATGGTGAAATTGTTCTGGACACAGACACTCTAGTGGTAGAGAGACACCAAGGACGCCATGATGAAGGCTTTAACGGTGACGCTATGGAAGTAGTGGAAGAAAATGCTATGACAAGAAAAGTCAATAGCACAACACATGGTAGAAGAGAGAAGTCAGCCAAATGGGACGAATTAGAAACTGAGGGATTTTATGATCTGCTATCGCAATTTGGGACTGACTTCAATACTATCTCGAAGATGATGCCTGGCAGAACCCGAAATCAAATCAGATCAAAATTCAATAAGGAAGAGAGAATGAACCCATGGAAAGTAACTGAATATTTAGTAAGGAAGAAAAAGCCAGTTAGTACGTGTCACAGTCCGAATACTTGTTATTTTAGATAAATTCAAACTAATACTGATATGAAATTGTTTATAATAGATCTTGATAAGTTTAGAGAAATTGTTGGCGAATTGGATGCCGTGCCCGAGGAATTTACCAACCTGGAATTAGCATGATTTTTCTTTTTTTTTTTTTTTCCCTACATTCATATACCATTTTCAATCGATAAGATAAATATTTCCTTTTCCTCATGTGACATGCAGATTTTACAGATTTTAAACAGACTTATTTTATTATATTTCCATTTTTTTTATGAAATAGCCAACAACCTCCTCTTCTTTCTCAGTTCTTCCTGTTCATTGTGATGCCCTTATCTGGACGATGTTAGGAAAAGCCAAGCTTGTGCTCCCAAGATAGCCGAACGGATATAACATAATCCAAGCGTTTGACTATTAGTCAATGATAAAGAGTAAAGACATCGAACTCCTTTCAAACAATATTAAACTATGGATTAAGGTAGACGATAAACCGCGCCAGGCATAACAAACATTTTAACTCTATTCAGAATGTTGACAGTGACCTTTTAAATATGAGTGGAATTAACCAGTGCTGAGCTACTAAACAAGCTGTAGTATTTCATTTGAGGCAAAACGATCATAGTGATAAGCGGCATCATACTAATGTGCGCCAGACTATGTAATTATTACTGTGGCTGTTCTGTTGTTAGTTTGAGGCAGCTTTTTGGATACAACAGCGTCCGTAAGATATGATTGAATACTGATCAGAATTTAGATGCTGTGTATGAAAGATGGAGAGAGCAAATAGAACACAAGACAAAACATGAAGAAGATCTGTATCCTCAGTGACCTCTATCAATCAAATATGATCCCCAATGTTCCGTGTTTTCAGTTCTCTTTTTCTGATTCTTGAACTGTAATTATTCAGAGTTGAAACGGCAACCAAATGTATAACTTTTTTATGATATTATATATAATATATATGTATACAGCCTCAAACTCTGAATCAATGATGAAAGTATATTACGTATTAAATGATAATGTAAAGATCAAAATAAAAGTTCGTTGTCAAAGGCATAATTTATGGAGAGGAGGTACGTGAAAAACTATCGAAGTTTTCAACTCAGCCTAATGCGGCTAAAGTACGGGTCACAACAGAACCGAATTTCATATTTACCCGGTCCAGAAATTTTAATTATATCATGTGATTGACATTGAATTTAATAAATAAGGTTCATATAGCTTACTTCAAAAACAGCTAAAAGCCTAGCTAGCTCAATCGGTAGAGCGTGAGACTCTTAATCTCAAGGTTGGGGGTTCGAGCCCCCCGTTGGGCTTTTTTGATAAAACTACTGATTTTCGTGATACGTTTCTGCATTTTACTGTAGTTAGCTATGATTGATCGTGCTCATTTGTGCCATTATAGTGTGTCTTTTTCTGTTTATTATTATGGATATTATGTTTGAAGGGAAAATAAAATTGATTACTTTTTATTTAAGCATTGTCTCTTTATATACTATATTGTTACTGTACCTAGGCTTACTATACGAATATTTCTTAACACAAGATTTAAGTGTATTGATTGTAATCCTTTGCGTATTGTTACAAGCCGACATCTCCAAATATAGATACAATTCAACTAGTTGTTACGATGGTGTTAGCTATGTATCTTGATTTTATAAAAATGTTACTATCAATTAATTTAATTCCTATCTCTGAAAATTATATAAGCCCTCACACTTCTCCATCTCGGTAAAATGCAAATCTCTTATTTCAGTCACGATTACTCTAACTCCTCTACTTACAAGTGTAACAGTGTTTATACACTTTCTACTTCTATGAAGTATACCTCAACCATTTTAATTATATACTGTGAAGCTATTGCAACCTTAATATAACCAGATTGTACGAAGATACATCTCAGATTACTGTAATTTGTCAAGCCAGAGACAATAAATCTAATCGTATCATTCTACTTATAGGACTTAGAAAAAAAGTCTAGTTACTAAAGGCCTGCTGTTCGATATTTTTCTCTACTTCTATTTCTTGCTTTCAACCCTCCTACAGAACCATAAGTGGGAAACGCAATCCATTAGACGTACTTTTACACACTGTATAATGACTTTATACAATATTAGACGCACTTTACTTGAACTATCCCATATCATCTTAGTTTATAACCTATATGATCTTCTCCTGTCAAAGATGCTGTTGACTGTCTCTGTTCGCTAAATGACTATTATTTTCTCTAATATCACTATTTCTTTCATACATCTACGTCAATAGACTGTTATTTTATACTATTCCCCCCCCCCTCCCCGAATAATTTCTATACGTAAGTCAGTGAACTTAAAAGAACGCTTTGTCACAAAATATCTACACAAATCAGTTAGACACATCATTACGAAAAGACATAAATGTATAAACGGAACACATAAGATATAATGTTAATAGTACCTTTGAAAAGCTTTTAATACTTTTTTTGTTCCCGTCTATATCTGATTATTATCGTCTGCCTTCGTTTCCCTAATCTTAATAGGTTGTTCAATTTTTATTGCTTTGGACTCATTTCAAAACTAAGCATCTCGTCTCTGATTTTATTTTAACTTTTTCTACTTTATGTCTATTTTGCCTTTTTATTGTTCTCTTTATACGGTTCGCTTGCTTAAAATGTTGTGCTCATTACTCTTAACTAAATACAACTCTTCTCTTGCTATTTTCTGTCCAAGAAAGAGCTCTTAATTTACTCAAAGCCATAGCAGCGACTACTATTATCCGCAAAATGGCAGAGGAAAGGAGTAATTAACGCACGGAAGATATCATTCTTGCACTTTTTAAACATAAAATCTTGCTTGAAACACAACATGAACGATGTGCCGTCCTCGAGTAGCTTTAAAAATAGATAAACCAGAAACAATATATGGTGCTTAAAAATGAAAATTAAAATGTTGGTTCAATATTAAGCTAATCAATATATGTACGTATAAGTGAATATAAGGTAATATGCAGGGTAATATCTTTCCATTTAAACAAGAAATAGACAAATATTTAATGTTCTCTATCATTTCTCGAGCCCAACTCATCCAGTACAAGTCTTCCTTGAGACTTTGAGTCGCTTTTACCAAGTGTCCAAATTTGTGCGAACCTATTAAATTCGATAGACTTCGGATCTTTCATTTCGTAGAATTCTCCATCACACATGATACACATCATGTTTTTTTTCTCGTATTTATGTCGTTTCTTGTCTTTAAGAAAAGCTTTGGCTTTTGTCCAAGTCGAAGTTTTCCCGTCTAATTTGTTTACTTCCTTTACATGGTGCTCAGGCTCACGAAAATTGATGTCAAAAGGTGAATCAAATTGGCCTATGCGAGAGACATGACCGCGAATATTGGCTAGCTTTTTCAAATAACTAGTCATATTTTCGATACTCATAACTTCCAATCGTCCGTCATTGGCACGTTGTGGCTTCCAATTGTTAGGATCACATGGTCCAGAGCGATTTCGAACTGATTCTAAACCCGTTTGCGCTTCTCCCCATAAATCCACTTCTCTGCCCCTGCATTCATATGTCGCAAAGGACAGTTAGTTATCGAAATACAATGATAATATATATATATATATGCTTAAAAAACACCTTACCAAATATGTGGTATATTTTGTATGACTAAATCGATTGGACTTTTCATCATTTGTGAAATGTCGGATGGAAGCATGCCTATGCCCCGCTTTTCTGAGGGCGTCAGCCATTCTAATACCTTATTGTCCTGTTGGGAAAAATCAGATATAAAGTGTGACAGATCTGGGAACCTTCGCCAGAATACCCATTTCGAACTTTCTTGAGCATATACCAGCTTATTAGCAAGCCTATTACCTGCCCGGTGGGCCTCAAATCCGCTGCCTACAAAACCTTGTACACCAATCGAAACATAATTGCTCATCTTCCTAACCATAGAATGCTCACAATCAGAAGTGTGACCTTTTACTTCAGCAACATCATGGCCATCTTTTCGTTCTTTCGGGCCAGCTTCTCTAACATATCCAGACGGGTATGCTGTCATTGTCATTTGCCAGATATCCAAGCGAGCAGCATCTGACTTTTCTAATCGCTCAGCAATCAGTTCTTCCAAGTTTTGCAATCTAGATCCCAGAAGATCCTTGTCAGGAATTGTACGGCCCCAACCCAGAACTTGACTGAAGTCATTGCCTGTACCAAAAGGGATACCTGTAAAAGAAAACGACAGATATTTAAAGGGTTGATGTTGAAGTGACACTTCTTAACGATTCAAATGTTTGACGAACATTTTAGAAAAACTTACAAGAGAAGTATACTAAATCAAGGTCGATCTTATAGTTGACTAAAAGTTCAAAAACGCTCATTACTGTCCCATCACCACCAGCACTCCACACATGGATTTGTCTCTGTTGAGCTGCCTGTGATAGTACACCCTTTTTATTGTCGCTATGGGAAGAAGATGATGATGATTGAGATGCTTTCTCTCCACTATTTCTGTCACTGGTTTCTTTTTCATCATCGCCATCAGATATCGGTGGAACTTGGCCGAGCTTCAATTTTGCTTCCACAAGCTTGATTTTTCGGACGCCATCTGTCACATCCTCTTCGTTTAAGATATCATGCACCTCCACTTGCACTTGTGGAAAACGTCGTAATCTGAAGTGTTGAAGAGGTAAGTTGATCAGATCTTCACCTTTTTTATCGCCAGAAAGTGGGTTGACGAAGATAAATAGGTAAACACTGGGCTTGCCTTCTGAAATAGTGTCATTGAGCTTAACAGAATGGTCGATCTTCCCATTGGATGTGACATACGCTGATGGTCTTTTACTATCTAAATTATTGCTAAAGGAGTGATCCGGAGGCGGCGGTGTTCGAGGGATTGCATCATCCTCGTCTTCGTCGTTTGTGAAGGACGTAGATTGAGTAATATTTGATGTGTGTGGATAAGCAAAATCATTTTCTATTGTTGATGAAGGCAATAACTATCTCATATTAGATTCCTTAAAAGAGATAGTGTTAAACGAATAATTCTACTACTTACCTGTGATTCGATTAAAATTAGAATTATAGCTAACTTCACATTTATTGACTGCAGGCTCTAATTTTTTACTTAATTGAACATTATCAGAATTATTGTCCAAGTTTGGCTCTGATACACAGTCTAACATGTTGCTTTTGTTTGCTGATAGCAATGATGGAAAAGGAAAAAAAGACTAATTTTGTCTATGATCTAACAGCTTTTTATGTCAATTAAAGGGGCTTTTTATTCTTTTTGTAAAGATATTATGATGTCATGTTGATGCTTCTTTCACATAGATTTTTCTTGCAGTTGCCTTATAAAGACAATCCAGGGAAGAGACGGGGAGAAAAATAGAGTCTCTGCAAGAGTAACGCGGCTCTCAAAACTTTTATTTGGTGTTATCCCTGCTTGAGGTGAGTGATATGATAGACTTTCTGCGATGCTCTTGCTGTGCTTCCTGTTCGGGCTTTGTAATAACCACCGTGCACGGACAGTTATGTGCAATGTAGTCGCTGACGCTTCCCAAAAGAGTTCTGTATATTACACAGATTGTTAATCAAAACATAATGTATCAATGCATAACTGAGCTTATAAATATGGGGCATATTTTACCTTTTGATGGCGCCCATATTTCGGGCACCCATAATTACTACATCGGCTCTAATTTCCTTGGCCTTTCGCAAAATTTCGTGCTTTGGATCACCAACCATCGATATGGCTTTGCAAGCAAACTTTTACAGAGAGATATCAGTGACATTCAGTTTAACCCAAGGCGCTCATTAAGCATACAAACCTTTTTCTTGTTCAAATCCTCGGCAAATGTTCGCAACAAGTGATGGCTCTCATTTCTTCTCTCCTCACTCACTTCATCAATATAGCCAGTAGAGTTAATATAAGGGGCTACGGGTATATCAATTTGTCGAACATGAACAAGTACAACCTTCATATAACATAATGTCAATAAATATGCTCAACATTGTCTAATAGACAAGCACTCCCTACCAAATCTTTTTCGATTGAAATAAAGTTGTCCAAAGCCCATTTGTAGGTAACTTCAGCTGATAAAGGATCCAAGCAAAGAAGCACGACACGGCTCAAATTGTCATTTCCTGAGTACGTATGAACGAGGGAATCCCTTCTGTTCGAGACGCCACCTTCAGCAGTTGTGGTTTGTAGGTTACTCTGTGACGACATGGGGTCAGTGTTTATAATTGAAGGTAAAAGATAAAGTAGAAGATAATAAAAGTTTAAAAAAGGACAGAAACCGGTGCAGAACCCTTTCTCTTTCTTTTCTACTTTAGCATGAAAACTCAGAAGATATACCGTAGGGCTGTTGCTTCTGCATGAATACAGTTTCTGTAACAAATCACATCAGCCAATTAAGCATTTTAACCCCGGCTTTCTCTCCACTTCTTTTTGCATAATTAACGCAAGTCACTTGTCAAAAAAAGGGGAACCCTTTCTTTTATCTTTATACAAGCCCTAAACTATCTTTACTTATCATTTAATACCAGACAGTATGCTTTTCTCAGTTCAACCAAGGCTAAAGCAGTCAGTGAAGTATATACAAAGTAGCTTTGCGAAGCGTAGTCAATGGACAAAAGCGTCTCTTCATAAAATGAAGAAAAACGATCTATTACGATTAGCCAAAGAGAATCACTTGAAAATAAGCGGTACAAAAAACGATATGATCGTTCAATTGCTCACTCATCAAACAGCCAAAATAGTTGGTACTTCGACGCCGACATTACATAGCATACGGAAAACCATACAAAAAGATAGTGGAAAGGAAGCAGAAAAGCTTCTTCAAAGCAAACACCAAATTCAAGAACGTAAATCAGTAGCAACAGAAGGAGCAACAGAGAAAAATGATGTGGGGAAGGGAGATTCAGAAGGCAAAGATACACCAATTGATATGGACTGGGTGAATGCTTTCGACATAAAATTAGGTCAAAGAAGTAGTCGATTTGCATCATTAAGTAAGCCTTCCAAAGAACAAAGAGCATCTAGGCAAATAGGTATCAATAAAGAGCTGGAGAAAACACTCCAGCATCCGCCGTCGTCAGATGCACAATCAAAATCTGCTCAATCTGATACGATACTTGTCCATGAGGTACCCTCAGCTCCAAGTGTGAACGCAGACAATGTGACTCAATCTGATCTACAAGAATTAGCTGACATGGATCAAGAATGGGTAAAGGCATTCGAAATGAAAGTAGAGTCGAGAGGTGCGCGACAACGTCATCAAGTTGGTGATACGTTATCAATCAAAGCTGGTACACCATCCCCGTCAAAGTCATCAACAGCATCTTCCAGCGGGAGTACAACAATGGCAGACAAAAAAGTCATAAGGGCTCCTACAGCATCAGAAACAGAAATACCCCCCCTAGATGATAATACAAAAAAAAATAGCAATAACACCTTTATAAGCGCAGCTATAGGCTCTAGCATGCTCATATGGTATTTTGGCGGAGGAGAAGGATTTAGTCGAATCTGGCATTTCTTCATGTGAGGGACCTAATCAAAACGGCATATCATAGATTGTACTATATATTATACAAAAAGCTAGTCTACGGCTAGAATCTGCGGGGAAAAAAAAAAGTATTTATTATCTAAAAGACAGAATGGTTACAAATAAATATAGAGTAGCTTGAGCAATGAGTGCGCATCTGCATCTCCAATCCTAAAAGTGCCATATTATAGAAGATACTTGCCATTGGCTATAATCACAATGTCATCAGTTCAGTTGTTAGGAGCCGTCTACGAATTCTTTAATATCTCTCAAAAGCAATTTTTGCTCTGGACGTTCTGTAAATAAGTTCCGCATTAAAGCTGCTGACATGGTTGATCAGTAGTTCAAATGTAACACTGACGGAAAATTCAAAAATTTACCTAAAACAGGTTCACTATGACCCATACGCTTGTAGAGTCTCATTCTTACGTCGACCTGCTCGCGATCTTTTGAAGAAAACAGCGTACCCAACATATTAAACATTCGAGTCGATTGTTCCATGCCGACAGTACTATCTTTTTGACCGTGAAGTAACAGAATCCTTGGCATCATATGTAGTAAATCTGCAGCATTTGTAAATAGATTCTGGTTCTCTTGAACCATGTACAGAGGTGAATTTGCAATGTATCCTTCGCGGTTGGAACCCATAGCTCGTGCCATAGCAGAGAGTTTCTCGATACCGCGAGAAGTTTCATGATCAAAATGGGCTGCTATATCGTATACACCTGAGAATCTGTATCAGCGTATAATAATCGTTACATAGCTTGTCAGTTGATGTTAGTGTGGATAAATGAACCGTGTTAAGCTTACAGTAAGAGGCCTTCGACAAGAGGCAAGAAATTTTGCGAAATGTTTGCGCTTTTACTTGTTGTATGTGGTGCTTTTTCATAAATAATACGGCTGATGAGGTCTCGTAATATTACGGAAGCAGCCAAGTGAGCACCTGCACTATGCCCCTGTTTGTTTGCGAATATTTAGATCATCAACAGACGATATACATGTACTCTTGATTCTTACATTGGCTGATACAGTACCAGTAAAAATATCTGCTCAGGGTCGCCATTAATTTCTTTAGCATGCTCATAAGTCCATATAACTGTGTCACGAACATCTTTATACATCTGTTCTACTTTTACTTCAGGATATTTGCGATAATCAGGCAGAACAATAACGTAGCCCATTTCACGAAGCGTATTGGCAAGTGTCGAATAAATGAGCTTGGAGCCTGAGCCCCATCCGCCACCATAAATAAAGATAATGATAGGCGGAGCTGTTGACTTATTCTTGGAAATTTTGTTAGGATGATATACATCTAATTTACTATGCTCGTTGTAAGGTATGTCAAGACTTTCAACGGAATGATGGAATCAGAGTCAATTTAAGGCGCTGAAAGTAAAAAAGGCACTGCATAAATTACGCACCTGACGAATTGCTTGAAACTTTTTGGGCTATATTGCCAATAACGCCAATGTAGATAGGATACAATCAACGGTATGTATCCAAGCCATTCAAGCGCATGACTTAGTAATACCATGTCGATCTTTAATATGGTAGACGGATCATACGGTAGTTCGAATTTTGGATTGTCTGTGCGTGCATGTACGTAAAACATATACCACGCAAAAAGATACAGGGCGACTACAGTAATGATCTATTTCAGTTGAAGAAGGTCCAAGATTTGATTGTAGATTACTGCTGTTTTACCTATAAAGGCAATAATAAAGGGCAATGAAAATATTCCAATCAATGGCAAAATCGGCAGAAGGAGCAACGAAATCGACATCAACAAGGTGTTTGATTTTAGCCACGCCATGATATGCTTGATTTTGTTGTAAACGCTTAGAAACGAAGGGAAGAAAAAGAAAATGTAAAATCTGAAATTATTGGATTACTCCATTTTGAAAGTCTAAAACCCAGTAACCCAATAGTGTTTAACGTGAGACTAAAAAAGGTCATTGCCTTACTACGTTTTTACTTCCAACATGTAAGAGAATTTAACAATTGAACCTCGTTTATTTGTATAAAAGACTGTATTAACTGAGGAAGAAGGTCTATCATAATGAAGGAACAAAATGACTTACGTTATAGGTTATTACGGAATAAAAATAAGAACTTGCCCAACAATGGGTTAATCAAAAGACATTGTTGCAAATAGTGACCAACAGTACAAGCAGCAATCAACGTGTGATAGTAATAGCAATGTATTCTTTGTACTGTTGACTTAGAAGCTAGCGAATGATTATTGTTATTCACCGTCGACAATGTTAATGTGTATTTTGGTAGTTTTAACCTGTGGATGATAATAAACTCATCCTCCCCCTGAATCGTTTAAATTCGCTAATGTTGAAAACGCCGTAACAACATATCTGATCTTAATAAGTTGCTGCTACTTCTGAAAGGATGTACATTATTATCATCTAACAATGAATTGTTCAAAATGTAATTGCTTCCTCCTTTCGTCCTACTCTTCCGATTTATTCTACTTTTTAAGAACACATTCGACGAATTACGTAAAAGCTTATTTGTTGCTTTCAAATCTTATAAAAAGCATCTAAAAAGGTTGAGGAGAAAACAGAAGCAGTAAGAAGGAATTAACTATTTTCTAACACACTCTATTTGTTAAATGCTGATATTAAGAGGGCTCATAAGGGCCAATACTTGTATCACTGGTACATCAATGGTAGCAGATAGCTAAAAATCGTCATGTATTTCGTTTTCTTAATTCATCATATTTTCTTGATACTTTTACAGCTTAGAAAAAAAAAAAAAAAAAAAAAAAAAAGAGAAAATCAGAAACTGAAATATATAATATTGAGACAGATGAAGCGACAGAACCAACAGAAATAGACGGCTTAAAAGAATATAGCCAATGGCAATAAATATTCCAAAGCAAGGTATACATGTGGAAAGCAGATTTATCTAGAAAGGAACCACAGAACAATAAGACGCTGAAAAAGGATGGTAAAAAAAACTGAACGTCAGGTGAACATTTGCTTGAAAATTTCTTGAAAGCAATAATAGTAAGAAGGATAGGGAATCCTTTAATAATTTTGCTAACAGAATTGACTTTAAGTGCCATACAACGACTGTGACAAGATACTTGTAAAAGGGTGCTTCCTAAAGTCAAAGACGTTCACTGATAGCTGTTGTAAACATGATGAATTTGCAGCTCGAAGGCAACTTCTTCAATTATTTTCTATACTTGTTCAGCCCTTTTATGATCCAATCAATTAAATCATCAGTAACGCTAATGACATAAACATAAGCTGGATCAAAATATTGACGCAATATTGTGGCAAGGATGCTCAATAATTTTGCTTAAGAATTAAAGCCTACGTGCAGAGGAAATGGTCGTTCGGTCATTTTTCATTGAGGCCAACGTAAAGAACATGCTGCCAAATCTTCAGAAGCAACGACTTAAAGATAGCTACGCGTTCTGAAATGCTGAAAGTTTGATCAATTTTTTCTATTCTTTTGAAAGTCTTCTACTTAAGTTTTAGTTTGAGCATATTCACTAAATTTTATTGTTTATTCTCTACCCATATTTTTATCTACTTTAAAAGTACAGTAAGATAGTGAAGCATCGATAGGTTTTATGTAAAAGATGGTGGAGTGGTGGAGTTCAAATTTTGAATCACCACGACTGTCATGCGAGGAAGGCATAAAATGCATTTCGCCTCGCAAGTAATCGTTTCTTCTTTCATTCTCGCTTAATCGCAACAGCTTCCGACAATGTTCAAAAAGCCTTTAGCTAATTTGAAAACATTCAGTCCTTTACGTTCCTCCGATCGCCGAAGATTTCAAACTGAGGCATATGAAGCTTATCCTCTCGTCAAGGAGATATGTACTGCCGAGGGCGGTTCACCTTTGATGCCTGACGATCTAAGATCGGCTAAGTTTATATCTCATAGCGGAACGTCAGGCAAAATATACATGTCTGGGAAGCAAGTTCTATTCATATCATTAGAAAAATTACCACCCATTCCAACAGGTTAGCTTTGCATCTCACCACCGCTTACAGTGACATATAAACCACTCTTTGTAACCAAAAATTTTCAACTGTTAGTGTATACTTTATGGCAATACCCGTCAATGTTACCGAAACTCTATACTTGGGATCCTGTTATTAATAAGCTGATGGAGGGTGCAGGTAGTATATTCGAATACTTTTTGTCAGGTAATGTTTTACCTAGTTCTCATTCGAGGTTTGTCCTTTTTCTTTGCAGATTTGATGATTCCCGGTTTAGTACCTGGGCCGGACGGTACCCTTCCGCAGTTAGAAACTGGTGACTTAGTAGCCATTACCATCAAGGGTTACGCGTAAGTTGGTAGAGTCTTTCAAAAGTCCACTAATTAAAACAGTCTCTCATCAATATTAACCATATAGATATCCACTTGCTGTTGGTACAATGGCTCTACCAACCTCAGATATCAAACCTCGTTCAGGGATGAAGGGCAAAGCGGTGCATATTATTCATGTGTATGAAGACTATTTATGGGCTATGGGTGATAAATCTGCACCACCAGAATTAAAAAAAGTAGAAGACGATGGCACTGATGGAGAAGGAGAAGAAGAACAAGAAGATATCAGTAACAACGATAATAACACCGAAAACAGCGAGCTTATAAACTCTGAGGTTGCAATTGCATCAACAGAATCAACAGAAATAGCACAGTCTGCAACGAAGGAACAGGATACGAAAGCTGAATTAAAGACAAATGGTAAGATCCCATTATAATAATCACTGTTCTGAATTCAGCTTAATAAAATAATTTGCTCCTTAGAAATTGACGAGTGGCTCAAAAAATCACTCTACCATGCATTAGTGCATAAAATCAAGGCAGATAGCCATTCCAATATATTACCATTATCAGGTTCCTCACTCTACTCAAGCTATATTATGCCATGCCGACCATTAGAGTTTGTTAATGAAGTGGATATCAAAAAATCTAGCTGGAAGAAGTTGCAAAAGTTTCTGAAAACGATGGAAAAAGCAGGCTTGCTAAAAACGAAAGAGCAGCGAGGAGAAACGATGATTACGTCTATCAACTATTCTCATCCAAGCTTACAAAATTTGCAGCCATATCGAACTATGGAAGCAGCGACTACAGCAGCATCACAATCATCTTCAAAAGAAAACCGTAATGACATTGAAAACACCAGTAAAAGCACTGCGCACCAAAAAGATTCACAGCAACCTGAACAAGCCGAGATCCAGGAGTTATACAAACCATTGGGTGAACATTTAACAAAGTTTTTCGAGGAAGCTAAATACGACGCGGGCCAAATGTATACGATTCCTGAGGTTCGTCAGGTTTTGACCGACTATATCAAAATCAACAATTTGGCAGATTCCCAAAACCAAAAGTAAGTATTTATCTTATTAGCCGCTTTATCCTAAGCTATATTCAATCTAAAAGCATATGACCACATTTTTAGGATGATCAACATCAATCCCACATTATGTGATATAGTTTTATCCAAGCAAGAATATCATTCTGTCCAAAAACTAGCCAGGGATCAGTTATTAAATAGACTATGCTCGAAGATGCAACACTTTCATACAATTAAATTGCCAGGAAAAGAACCCATTCTTCGTAAAGGATCTCCAAAGCCTATAGAAATTACTCAAGAAATCAGACAAGGCAGAAAGACAATTACGAAGGTTACTGGTATGGAAGCGTTCGACTTGGATGTTGATGAACTCTCTAAAGAATTGACCCGCCTATGTGCTAGTAGCGCAACATGTAGGTCCTATGTACATTTTATTATAACCGTTTTAAAAGCACAAATATTAACAAATATATGCTGTATCCTTCAGATAACCCTATCGCTGGCGTTAGCCCTAAGAACCCTTTGATGGAGTTGATGGTACAAGGCCCTCAAATAAAACTTATCACTAAATTGATGATCAACAAGGGCGTCCCCAAGAAATTTATTGATACCTTTGATAGGACAACAAAGAAAGGCGGAAAGGCAAAGTAGTAAACTAATCAGGTGTTCAGTTGGTATATTGCAGAGTAATCTTCCTGCTCATTTCAGAAATTCCTCTCTTTCCAACACCTCTTTATCCAGTTTGATCAGGATTGTCGTTCGTTGTGGAAATCCATCAATGGGCACAGTATGTGCAGTAACTCGGGCAGGCTAATTAATTGCACAAGTACGATTTCTCTTCAGAAACATTCGCTTAAAATCAATTCAAAAAAAATAAAGCTTACAAATTGACATCCATCCAGAACAGCTTCCACAATGCCAGCAACAAAGGCATTACAGTTGAGCTGTGAAAGTTCTTTTGGCACTGATATATATCTTGTCAATAGCGGGTCGTTATCGGATATCATGTCTATTGCGTAAATAAAAAAAAAATGGTTATCAAGTGTTTTGAATTTCACTTTTGGGTAGACATTATAGGATATTATTCTTTTACATTCATCTTCATTTTCAGTGCTTTTTTCAAGTGAATCTGCTGATTTGTTGAATAATGCTTTCCAAACTGTACTGTGAATAAAATAGAGAACATTGATGACTTTTATTTCTCGTTTTGCTGATTTCTCTCTCCAAGCTAACAATTCAAGTAAACGATAACCAACACGATATCCAAATTCATTGAGCCTTCAGGAGTAAAGTTTCCGTCTTTAGTCCACATAAGAATAATAAACAAAGGTTGATGAATATCCTTACTTTCTTTCCAAATCTTGAATACCGTTAACTCTCTTCTGTGCATATTGTAACATTTCAGAAAACAAAAATGTCATTCCACTTAAGCTAACCTATTTGAAAGTACAATAAGAACAGGTACACTTTGATGATGCACTTTTCTTCATTGCTAAACTGTAGTGGAGTGCACTATACTTCCGCTCCTTTGCTTCTATTCAAATTCTTCTCTAAAATGCTTTTGGCACGCGCTAACCGTTGATCGCTATAAACGGATGACTGTGTAGAAGGGCGTGTTGGTAGTTCACTCATTTGCAACGTTGTCAGTGATGCTCTTGGGATGTCAGATAAAAAGGTGTGAAAAAGGACACCACAAGAGAAAATGCGCCTCTGCTGAGTAGCGGAAATTTATTTCATGCGTGCTGACAAGTTGCAATACAGTTGCTGTAAAATCAGTGAACAACGTCTTATTTTCAAGCGAGCCTAACTACGGTTATTTTTGCAGCAAAGTTCAGACGATTATCGGCCTTTTGAAATAGGTTAAGATTGTAAATTCTGGCACAGCAGAGAAGGAAATTACATTATGAGAATGTCCTAGATGTTAACTGCTGTTGAGCCATTAATGTAACTGAGGAAATACGACCATAATAACAAGCAACATCAAAGTGTGCACCAGAATACTGACCTTATACTGAGGTTGTTCTATATTTAATTCGAGGTAACAATTTGGGACAGTATGGGTGCATGTTGATTAAGATGGAAAGGCATAAGGTACAACGCTGAACATATTCAAATGCGTTGTTGACTCAACTAAAACAAAAGTCTTCCGAATCCAATATAAACAAAACGTCAATGAAAAATGAAACATTGAAAATGGTTCACTGTTCTATTCATCACACAATCCACTCATGCTGTAACGGCAACTAAATTCAAATTCAATAATTGGTCTGCATTCTTCCATGCAAAAGCTAGCCTTAAATTGTTTGATCGACCATCATTTTATGAGCTTCTTTATAAATTAGGATAAGGTTTATTCAAATCTTGGCTAGTCTCACAGCCAACCATTTATCGCTTTGGGTTAAATTTTCCAATGAGCAAAACTTTCAAGATAGACTTGGGATCATCATCAATAGCTTGCTAATGTTAATTTGTTTATATTTTGGCTATCAACTTCCAGTGAAACGGAACAACCGTCTCATAAGTGTTTGAGCGAAGAAGATATTTTCAACTGATGCCGTTAATACTTGTCAAACCGCTTTAACAAACCGGCATATTAAAAAAGATGAACGTTTACGTTTATGGAACCTTTATTGTGGCAAAGGAATTCACAATAAAAAGGCAACCGAGATTGTTACGTTTGAAAGGTAAGTTCTCCTTGATTGGCTGAAGATTGAATTTGAAGTATTGAATTTGATTGGTATAAAAGATCTTTATAACTGTACTTGGTTGTGATACTTTTTGCTTAATGAGTCAGCATGTGAAATTCTGTCCCTCTTGCTTTCTGTTTCGTTTCGTGATTGAACAATGTCAAATTCTTCATCGTCTTCTTTAGTAAAAAATCTCATAAATGAACTTTCAAATACATCTCCTTCGACAACAACGATAAACGAAACACCAGCGTCTACAACTGTAGAAAAACAAGCACCGGCTCTTGAAGATAATAATTCAACTTCAACGAAATCCAACCCGTCTACAGCTGCTACTTCACCCATACCACAGACCTCATCGAATACAAACACCAACAGTACTATTTCTACTGCTGAGGCCAATGCTAATACCGATAATAATTCCAATACCGCACCCCTCCGAGAAGACATGATTAAACAAGCTGTTTCTTTCCTTTCTTCACTTAAAGTGCGTTCTGCTGATAAGGACAAGAAAATTGCATTTTTACGCAATAAGGGTTTGACCCAGGCTGAAATTGATGAATCGTTTAAGAGAGTAGACAGTGGTAACACTGTACCCAGCACTTCGAATTTGGAAAATGTAAGTATTCAAAATTGAGATAGTTATGGTAGATGCAGCTTTTGATATATATTCTGTAATTGATGGTGTATAGATGGCTACACCAACCACTACGACTACAGCTGTTTCTTCTCAACAACAACGACCTCCATTGCCACCTGTGTTACCGCCGAGAGCTTATACGCAGCCCCAAATTGTATATTACCCTTTACCTTCGCCACCACCTGTACCAACAGAGAGAGTGTTTGCGTTAGCAATGATGATGGGTATGGGTGCTGTTGGAGCAACAGCAGGCATTATTGGTTTATTAAAGGTAAAGAAGAGATACATTTTTAGAGTTTGAAAGGATGGGGATCCTTTTTTTTTCGTTCTGCTAAAAGCTTTATCTTTATATGCAATATCTACTTTTTATAGCAATTCATTGGTCCTATCTTTAACCGTATTGCAGATTATCAGCGTACAAGATATGTTCAACGAAGAGAAATGGCTGATAAACTATTAGACCTTTTAACAGCTTTCAACACTGAAAACGATGATTTGGATGCACTCATTGACCAAGGAGAGGAAAAGACAGTATCTGATGCTTTAATCAAGAGTCAAACAGAATTACCTATCAAATTGGATACACTACGTACAACTTTAAAAGATCGTATCACTGCTCTGTTCAACGAAAAACAAAAACCTTACAACGCTCTTATTGCAAACATTGACAGTTTTAAGGATACATTAGCGACACATACGTCAGGCGTAGACTTATCTTCCTCCAACACTTACAGCTATACACCTTACTACATGCGTCATAATTCCAATATGGATTCACCTGCTTTATCTGGTTTGAAGAGTGATATTCGTAGTTTGAAAGCTGTATTACTAAACAGACGGAACTTTCCAACTGTATAATAATGATATGATTACATCAAATCTTCTATTTATTTCAGGCTTACAAGAATAAACACTTATTCTCTTCATTTGCTTTTTATGAGATCTGACCGTCTTTGATTTCACATATGATCGGCCCTTTTTCTGTCATTAACTTTATGTTCTTGTAAGTGGCAATGCCCTGTTCATTTGTCTTTAGAAAGGGAGCCACACTTTCAAATACTTTCTGCTTAGGCCTTAAAACAGGGTCCACTTCACCTTGCCACTCCACCCCTTCTAAGGCAAGTCTCTCACCAACTTTGGTGCCCTCAGGTGGAGAAAGCAGTCGAACCACCTTACCATCTTTGGATGATGTAGCCAGTAGCATACCTTGTGATAGTACACCCCGAAATCGGCTTGGCTTCAGATTACTCACAACAACTACTAGCTTGTTCTACATAAGACGAAACCACAAAGGTTATTATTATCACATCGTCTGCTATTTAGCCTTTGATGTATATCTTTATTCCCTTACTAGTAATGATTCTTTTTGCATGAAAGGTGCAAGGCCGCTGACAATAGTACGTGGATTTGGCATATTTTCTGTAGATTCAGAATTCAAATCGACTGAAATAACGAAATAAAGGGTGTTATAACACTGCTTTACTCTTCATACATTGTGCTATGCCATAGATTTGCTCATAAAGCTGACCTTGTTCGATAAATAAATGTTTTGCTTCGGGATGGTCTTTGATATCCACGATTTTTCCTACCCTTAAATCAACCCTATGAATAGGGTCGTCTGGTACGATATCCGTCGTAGTAGTAACAGCAGCAGAAGTGTTTGTATGATTCCATCTTCGAAGTGGTTGTAATATGCTAGAAGCTTGTTGTCGTTTGGAAATGAGAGCTTGTTTCCTTAAAATGGGTGAAATGATCAACATGCCGACTTCAGCCTAAATGGGTTAACGATGAATAAGAGAAAAAGAGGTTTACCAAATCTGACAGGGGCGTGAATAAATGTAAAAAGAAAAGCCAGTAATATTACATAGTGTCCTGACAGTTCTGCAGTATTCCGGAAAGTAGAGTTAAGACTGAGTGTTTGGCCGCATTGTAAGCTGAGAACTACAACCACCAAATATGCTTAGTCACATCATAGGCAGTTTGAATAAAAGTATGTAAATATGGATTTTTCAAGAGCGATATAGGGCTTGTCTAATACTTAATACTAATGCTATCTTCACGCCAGAAGAGACCGCTACTTGACGGGATAAAGCTCTACCAGACGTAGGTATAATACACATAATTTTATTCTTCATTTACAATTTTATGTATACATAGTGGTCAAGACTAGTATTGCTTTTATGAGTAATATACAGCTCGTTTAATGATAGGTTGAACTCTAGGGGGTTTGCCATAAACAGGCTCGTGTTCTTTAAGAATATCTTTATAAATTGTTGGCACATGTTCATCCCACACCTCGCGGAAGAAACTGACACCAGTTGGTTTTAATCCATGTTGATCAGCTATATTTTTGACGTTCATACGATTTCTACTTTCTACTTTGAGTTCCACTCTGTCCTTGCCTTCGTTCGGTTGTTCGTAAGCAATAACAGTATATCGATGATATTTAGTGCCCTTTTCAGGATGAGGTGGAATATAATCGAGGACGATATCACCTTCTTTAACGATAGGTGAAGTAGCTGATAGACTGACATTCGATCTGGTAATTTAAAAAAAAGAACAATTTTTAGCTTTTCTTCCTCTATAGATCAATAGCCATCTTTTGTACATACATTAACCAATGACAACGTTGTTGATATGTTTTATTTTCAACATCAGGCGAATCTAGAGTGAAAAGTATCTAGTTTTAGTTTACGGTATTTACTTGGACAAAAAAAGCATACTTAGCAACATTATTGTTACTTACCTGGGTCAATCATCATCAAAGTATATAATCTAGGTTCATCGTGGAAGTTCACCACTTCGATTTCAGGTAGCTTAACACTCTATAAACGTTCATAATATTTCTATAAATGACCATAATTTGAATGGATTTAATCGGTCTTTACAACTTACTTCTTCAGATTTGATGAAAATGCCAGGCTCTATTGTACCTTGTTCAGGTAGTTTGATATTTACTTGAACAGTTGGATTCATATCTGTATTCAAAAGGTCAGGTATAACATTCATTTGAGTAATACGCTGCATTAGTATAGCTTTAGGTTGTTTCTCGAATTCTTTTTGTCGCATATAACGATACACAGGCTTTGACATGTCAACTACATTTTTGTTTATTGTTTCGTTAAGACAATCACTAACAGTACAGTTGGATTTTGTCCTTAACTTACTATTTCGAAGTTTGAAATTTCTTTGAACCTCTGGTTCGTTGAGTTCTGACTTCACTTCCAAATCATACTTTAGAGCATTGAGTGCTTTTAATTGAGCTGGTGTGGCACTTTTCGCAATACGGGCGATCTCCTTCTCCACACGGTTCAACATTTGAAGACGTTCCTTTTTATCTACTTGGATTAAATTAATAGCTTCCTCGTAAGCTAGACGTGCTGCAGCTGTTGCTGATGCTGTGGAAGAAGAGGCCTGACGTGTAACCTACAATTTCAACCATACCGATTGACAAGGGTGGATTTCAGCATGAATATGAAATACAACATAATGAGTGAAACAACCATATCGACAAATCTGCACTTACATTCCATCGAGCAGTACAACGAACCCTTAGAAGAGATTGCTTGACCAGGGTTGACATCATTATTATGCACACTTATCAAGAGGGGGGTAGGAACAAACAAAAATAAAATCAAAAAACCCCTAATATAGCAGATAAAGTCCGTGAGTTGCGGGTTTCTTCAGTTTCTTTTTGTGGGGAGGGCCTGGCTGAATTCGTTGAACTCAAGAAACCGTGACTTTTGAGTAGCGTGCTGAAAGAAAATGGGGTGCTCACTTTCACAAAAAAAAAAAAAAACCAGGTACGCAAAATGTCTATGGCAGATCAGAAATGAGTTATCCTGTTCAATGAAGATGGCCACAACATTAAATGACAATAATAACAAAAAAAAAGGCTTTAAAATTATTATTTGTTTCAAGCGTACATTCATTCTATATATATATATATATATATAAAAGTAAAATAAAATAAAATAGAGAGACATTGAAAGTTATTAAGTGAATGACTGTATTTAAAGCTCGTAAAAACCGAAAAAGTTTGCTTTGATAAGTAGTAAATAATGATATTGAAAAGGATGTTTTTTAGTTAGAGATAAGTTAATATTACAAGAAGAATTGAGTATATTGTCTGCTTTCCACATGAACTTCCATTTCCATCAATTTATATTCATTCAACTCTTGCTTGAGTTTCAAAGCAAGAGCTGGTGTCAGTTTTTGACAAGTAGCATTATTATCACAGCGACGGTCGTACTCAGAAGCATGGAAAGTTTCATGAACTGTAATTGTAGGGTCGAAGCGTATCTTTCTAATTAATCTCTTTTGTTCTTCTTCATTGATAGGCGTTTGAACGATTGCCAGTGAGCTGGTAGAGGAATTAGCAGTGGGCCTCAATCTGGGTGAGCTATTGTGCAATCCAAATCCATAATGGAAGCCTACATTGGGCTTAGTGATGGCATTAGTAGAGTCTTCATTGTTATGATGATTATCAACCTTTGATGAAGAGCTTGTAGAGGGTGTAGGTGAAGGTAAACCAGGATCAGGTAATTGAATGAATGTACGAGCAGTATTAGTGGCGGTAGCATGCCTTGTGGAAATAGATGATCGTGTTGAAATTGCAGAATTGGGCGACTCGGGAGCAACACTAGAGGTTGAGGAGGACGTTCGAACTAATTATAGCAAAAGCAAATCAAGAAATATGTCAGAATAAAATAAAAAGATCTTCATCACTGGTTTATCTATTTTCAATGTTTACCTTTTAACACCCCTTTTCGTGCTGTTGTATCTACGCGAAGCTGAGTATTGCCTGAACTAACAGTATCACCATGGAGAGTCTTTTTTTTGTCCTTTTTTACGAGATGACGCAGATCGCCTGTTGAATGTTTTCTTGTCGCTGTTGTATTCTTTTTGTTGATGTTCGATGTCGCTGAAGAAGTAGAATTATCTTCTGCTACCTCAGATACTGTTGACATTGTGGTTGAGGACGTTGTAGAGGTAGAAGCTATGGAGTTTCTGGAAAATAAAGCTGATAGTGAAGCGATAGATCTACGTCTAAAAGAGCTCTTTGTTGATGATGTCGTCTCTATTGAAGATGTTGAAGAACGAGCTACACTGGCGATGGATGAAACCACGGAGGAATTGGACCCGTTTCTTTTTTTCAATGTATTCAGATCATGTGAGGCTATGGTTGACTTCATGTTGTTCATACTAAAAACTTTTCGAAGCTTTTTAGAAAGCGATAGTTTTGAGCTGGTAGACATTTCCGAAGTGATTGAAGCAGCAGAACTAGAGATAATAGATTCACTAATGGAAGGACGACGGTCCCTCTGCAATTGCTGCTGTAAGGTATTCATGGTTGTGATGGAACGACGCCTATTGCTATTTACGGATTGACTGGCGGAAGTAGTAGACGATCCAGAGGAGGAGGGAGCTTGTTTCATTTTTGGACGTGCAGTAGTAGTAGAAATGAATGATGTAGTAGGTGATGATGATGCGGATGTTGACGATAAATTGCTTGTTTTCGGCAGAGCAGACGTTGAAGAGGACTTCTTGGGAGATTGATGTTTGGATGGTAAATGATGGTTCAGTGATGTATTACTACTGACGGTGTTATTACTTGATACTCGTTGACGAACCCTGTTTGAACGCTGGTGCTGCTGTTGTGCCGGTAGTGTTTGTTTTACAGGATAGGCTGGCTGGGGGTAGTAATAGAAATTACCTGTGTTGTAAAAAGCTTGTTGCTGTTGTAACTGCTGTAATTGCTGCTGTTGCTGCTGCCAAATATCTTGTGTCTAACATGTTATTACAATATAAAAAAAGAAATTAACAAATTTGGACTTCAAAACCAATGGTAAAATTGTGCATGAAGAAATTATTTATAAATAAACTGAATAACCAAAAATAGGCCATTGTGTAACTTGTTGATCCCCTTTTTCTTTCAAAGGCGCCAAAACAACAGTGTATTATGGAAGTAAAGCCATTGAAAAGGAGAGAAGACGAGTAAGAAAATAAAAAAAAGGAGATGTATACTTTACCTGGTCAAATCTTAAAGAGTTGGATAGATAGCTAGCCAAAACGATATCTTCATCTTCTTGATCTTTTGTGGTCTGTTGCTGTCGTTGTTGTTGTAATAAAACAGGATTAGAATGCTGGATTGTGGTTGCCATTGTTCTTTATAATTGATATAGAATAAGGTATATTTTGTAATTGGTTTCAAAGTAGGATAAAAACAGAAAGAAAAGATGTACAGAAGGGAAAGGAGGAAAGATTAAAATTAAAATAATGATATTCTCGTTGGTATATATATACAGATAAGCTTAATAGTAGTAATAGCAATCGTAAAGGTATTGAGAGGCAGACGTTAAGTAGAGATCCACCACAATAAAATTGAGAAAAATGATAAAATGTAAAAGTAAAGAAAAGAGAAAGCGGAATCGAAAGGATTAAGGGCTCCTTTTCTCATCTGCAAATAAAAAAAAAAAAGGGTTTCCTCTGCTGTCGATTCGAAGAATAGCAGTTGCACAAAAGGAAGACAACGTACTCACTTACAGAAAAAGATGAGCACTCCGCTTGAACTCTAATACTACTGCAACCTTTTGATCTGCTACTAATAAGTTTAGCAAGCATCTAAAACTTGTTCATGCCGTCATCACCTTCATACTATTCAGACAAGACACGTTACTCATCGCCCCTTTTTTTACCTATCTGCTTTTCTATCTCTTATTTGTTGCTAGAGTAGACTCTATATTACCATAACACAAGAAAACTATTTGTTAAAGTAAGGTTATAGTTCTTAGACAAAAATTACTTTCTTGCATGTGCCAGCATGGTAGAATAAGAAATAAAATAAACAATAAGCCTCGAATACATGGAGCTATTTAATACAATTGCATTTGCATGCATCAAGTAATATTAAAATAAAACTATTTCTTACCCAATGAAAAGTTAGTAATAAACTTGTATGAATACGCAAGAACTATTTGAAGGAAGTCCTTCTACTACTACTTTACGAATAGTTGAGTTTGCAATTGCAATTGCAATAAAGTCGCTCAACATACAGCTTTTTGTTCAGCTTGACCATATATACCTCTGCCTTTGGTCCATGTAAAAATGGTTCGAGAAATCCTTTACTCAATTTGTTCTATGGCTTCCTTTTGCTTCTATCATACAATACTTGCAGAATTTCTTTATTTTTACTATCTCAATGAGAATTCTCAGCAGATGTTTTTTGGAGGTAGGACAAGCTGTCATGGGACATTTGTAAGACATTGAGATAATGAATAAGTATTATGTACAACTCTTGACTTCTTGTATGATGCGGCAAATCTTCAGACACAGGGCTGGCAATAGACGCTGTGTAGTAAAAAGATCGTCCTTCAAAGTAGATGAAAGCTGTCTATAGAAAAAGATAATTACATTGAACCTGCAATCGTTCAAAGGCGGTCGCTGAAAATCAATCCATAGGGACACAACTGCATACTGAATAGACTAACAAGGACTACTACTACATGAAACCTTTCAATTTTAATGCTATTCTATGGATTTTCGGCTGAAGTTTAACCTTTTTTTTTTCAACTTGCAGCCTGTAACCCATTCAATGCTTGATGAGACGGCGGATCGGCCATAATAGTGATAACAGTACAAACACCTTTTGCAATTCTTCAATTGGGTTGGATCTCTTTTATTTGTGGTTTTCGTCGTTGAGGAATTTCTGATTACAGTTTTTCAATAATTAGTACTGTAGCGCTGACTGTCTTTAGAGCACACCTGGAAATGACGAGCGTAATTTGTTCAATCAGTTGGCAGTTTCGAGCTGGTTGCGTTTTAGAGAGATGTATGACTCTTTCACAATATTATATACAAATTATCGTTAAGTATCGTGTGCTACTCGTAACGAGTGCTTTCCTTATGTTGAATTGATACACTACCCTTGAGCTATGACAACCAAAATCTGCTCGTCCTGGTAGTAATGTTCTATCATTTATCTTTTAAAGGCAACACAAGCATATATGCAGAGGCGGCACTATCATGTATTTCAATTTCTTCAACAAAACCTAGGAAATTCTGAAGGCAGAATTTTCTGTGTCAATATTTGGTTTAGATGAAAGAGAATCTTTGCCAAATGAGCTTATGGACAGTTTTAACAAATGGATCAGCTTTTAGAGCTTGGCGGCGAGATGTATGTAAAATATAGTGCACATATTTGTACTTTTATCGATACCGTTACATCAAGGGAAAGAAGCAATCAGGCAACCTATTAAAAGAACAGAATAAGTGCTATATCCGATAGCAGTGTTCCATTTTTCATTGACAATTATTTGTCAACTTGTAAATCCAGCTATTTCGATGCATCAATCGATATTTACTTGAAGTTTCAAATCGTCTCCTTCTCATTATCGATTCAAAGTTTCTATATATTCCTACTTTGCTCTTCATTGTTTTCAAGATTGACATATTATAACTATGTCGATTAGGTCGCATAGTACCTGATATTTAAAACTGTACCGCTTTCACATAGGAATTTTCTGATTTGACTTCATTCCTGATATCAGTCACAAACAGAGTAAAGTAACAACGCAATTCTTGCATCTATGTAGTTGATTAGACTTTATTGTCCGAGCAAATTGAAAACTTGGAAGATCTCCGTTGCTTTACACTAAAAATATACATGGCTGGCTATAAGTTACTATACGCCACGTTAATTTTCGCCGATTGTCCCTTTTTTAATAACACAAAGTTCAATTTGTTATGCTAAAAGGATCGGACAAGCTAGCAACTTATGTTACAACTTGCCAACCAAGATTGAGTGTTCAACAAGTATCTAAAGGTGATAAGGCTTTCACATTGCCGGGAGACTTGTCCTAGCAGAGTAGATCTATACATCGTTGAGCGAAGAAGCACAATGTTTCCCAAGAATTTATGTTAGTCAGAGCTATATTAATTACTAGCCAACTGATAGGGTATACTTTGTATCAAATAAAGAATAGGCGCATCACGCTTAATGATCCAAACAGGTAAACAGATAAGATACTCAAATGCACGGAGGAATTTCAGTCACTAAATTCAGCACACACATATGTTTTATTCAAGAAATGCTTTATTCAAAAGAAAGCTTGCTAGTTGAATAGAATTTTATTTACAGTATAGAAACAACTTTATGAAAATATTTACAAAAAAAATCGAGAGTAGATTATTACAGAAGAAGATAGATTTGTAACGCGACTTTTTAAGCGCGACTTTTTAAGCTTAGTAGTCATCATCACGATTGTTCTGATCAGTGTTACCAGAAGCCTTGCCGCCTTTACGACCTGCTTCTTTGGCACGTTGGCTACCTTTTTCGAAAGAGCCGGAAGAGGCTTTACCTCCCTGGGAAGCGATTTCACGTTGTTTATCAGGATCCATAGAAGCGAAACCTTGGTTTCCAGTATTAGGGTTAGAGTTAGGATTCTTAGGCATGTTGATTGAAAATTAAATAACGATTTGGCAAGTTATTTGACTGTCGTGCAGAAAAGAGAAGTTATGGAAATCACAGGAGAGGTATTTATATACAAAAAAAAAAGAAAAGATGCTGTCCGTTTCCAATCCTCATTGTTATGTCATTTTTTGATAATGTTGATGGAATCCCACATATTATCTTTTGCACATTCTGAAATACTAGCAGTAAGCCAAGTGTGACAAAAATGAAACCCCTAACTAAGAGGGGAATGTATTGTCTGCTTGCGACAAATCTGATTGCAGAGGGGCATTAGCGCGATTCCGAACTGCATACCGCAAACGGCACGATTTGTTATTTAAACACAGAAATGCCAGTCTCGCTTTTAATAATGCGGCAATTTTGATTGCTCCGTCTTCATACAGATGAGCTTGAAAACACATATTATACTAAACACCATAAAAACGATCTCTGCGCGTCTACGCTCTGGACAAGTTCGTGTGAGGATACATTTGAGGTTTCACATGCACCATATACGATGCACATTAAAAATTTTGACAATAATAATGAATGAATCAAGTCCCACAGACCCTCGCCAACTGGTGAAAGCTCAACAGTAAAACGTCGAGACCCCAATAGCCAGATACTTCGGACATTACACGTTTCATTCAGTTTTTGGCGATACTTTGAGAATTTGGAGAAAGATTTCCATCTACATCTCAGTAAACCGAACTTTTCTCAACACACGAAAACTCACTTACGAGTGAATAAATATACGAAGGTACTATTTTACATTCAAGATGGAGTAACGTCTTAAGATAATAGTGTATTGCTAGGCGTGTAGTATGTTATTACATCCAATAATAATGCTCAATACGTTTGGTCTATCTATCGATTATTGAACAACCGACCGATGACAAACTCATACCTTTGGTTCTAGTGAATCAGAAACTTCAAATCAATTACTATAAAGTGTTATTTTTTCAAGTATTTGAAAGTTGGAATTGTATGTTTCTTTCAAGCTTTTATATCTACATGGTTTTTATGAATTTACTCTTATGATAAAGTATGATATATTGTTCAAGAGTTTTGGACATTCAAACATTTGGGTTTGTCGTAATATCATTATGAGCTTCTGCATTATTGTTATCAGAATTGCTGGGTCCGAAAAAGCTTTTGGCAATTGGTGCTCCAAAATAAATGATGAAAAAAACACATATCGCCATTGTGACATAAAAACAAAGCTGTCGTTGATGACGCTTGGATATCATTCTATTCATTCTGCCAAAGGAGTTACGAAGCCGATGATTCAAACCACTAAATGAATCATGCTTTCATGTTTTACAAAGATAATGTGGTAAGTTCAATTATTTTAGCTCGTTAAAAATCGAAGAGTTGAGGGAGCGCTACTTACTGACTCGTCTAGTAATCTATCTTGATCCGAAACATCCTGATGAATGTCAATTGTAATCTATTATGTTGTACGAAAAAGTGAATGAACATACAAGCTAAGCATCACAACCAATCGTGTTGACGTACATTCTTAATGGCTGAAATTTTGGAACTGAGATCGTTTAATCGCACATCGTTTTGTTGTTCGAACACATAGCCACTACCCTTAGACGCAGACGAACTATTAAACGAACGGGAAAAATGAATATTTTAAAAATTCAATGCTGGATCAGAAATCAATTAGTCACCTCATAGTAGTCTACCGTTTATTAAGGAACAATTAATACACAGTGAGTAGAGTTAAGCAATCGAAAAAGAAGAGCCACACAGACAAAAACCAAATGCATAATAGATTTTAGCTGAAGACCAATTGGTGCCAATCAAAAAAGGTTGCTTTTTTATACAGCCATTTTTCCTTGATGAAACGGAAAAAGCGTGTACATGCAAGCATCAGTCAGAAGACGAAGTTGTTGAACAAGTCACTGACCATAATTGAGCAATAGTACAAAGAGCATTTGGTGGCTCATATGAATATATTTTGGCTGTCGACATTTTCTTTTTTAATATGGAGAAAGTAAGTAAAACTGAATGTGAAGGTGAGGGTCTCAATAAACATGAGATTGATTTTCCTTACCGGCTTATTCTCCTTCTTAATCGATTGATACATAGCTAATGTTAGATAGGTTGAGAACATATTCTCGGTCATCTGTGGGGAGTTGTTTTGTTTCTCTAAACTATCAATGTCCTCCGTTTTGTCCTCTTCGTCGCTATCTGTGCTACTGACAGAATCGACCATGCTTTGCGATGGACACATTATCTCTACATTCTTCCGGATAACCTGTTTGAGGTGAAACGGTATTGGAATGAGCATAATTAGAGCCGTTGAGCAGCTTAAAAACTCTGTCACCTACCTTAAGTTTTTGCAACATAGATTCGCTGAACTCATGGTTACTGACGGACATTGTCGATTTCGACGTGATATAAATTTTTTGCAGAGATTGAGCGATATGAGGTAGATAAGCTGAGGTTTGGGACAATTTCTTTTACAAAAGAAGGCAGAAAGAAAAAATGAGTGAGTGCGACTTAAGTTGTATATATATGACCCATGTTTGATGTTCACCTTGGCATAAAAACTACTGAAAATCAGCGGATACATGTAGAATGTCTTTTTGAGGAGTATTAAATTCAGTGCATATTCCATATACTCAGATATTGTATCAACATGGAACTTTCGTTTCCAATTTGTTACAAACTCCTTCGATTGACCGTTACTGCCAAAGTCAAAGACAATTTCGAGCTTGTTCAGTACAGCGTGAGGAGCTTGTCTATCCAAAATGTATGAGAGAGGAGTTGTAACAAAGGCCTTCCCAATTTTAAAAATACTGGTTTGTTGCAGGTGTTGCTCAACATCGGAACTGTTTTTTTCTACTAAAGAGAAACCGCAATTTTCCATCAACTGTTGCAGTAGAAACAAATGTCCTTCGTCAGCAGACCATACAAGAATTTTACTGATATAGCAATGAACTGCAAAAAAAAAAGGAATCCAAAAAAAAGGATGTCTTTAAACTAACCTTTGCTAGGTTATCCGTGATCCAATCAGGATATTCTAGTATGTTGTTTAAGCCATTCATCAAGAAAACACAAGTTATACTCAACGTACTGTTTTGATTAAGTACAGTGTCCAGTTTATCCAATTCAGATTGTCGAAAATTTTTCTCTTGTTGTCCTAAATCCCATTGTAGTAGCTGGTAGGAAATATGCTGGTTACACGTAATGCTGCAAGTGAAGGGCAAAACTGAAGAGAGAGGTATCAACTCCATACTTTTGCTTTCAGGAACATTAGCGAACACTTGTTTTACACTCGTTCTTTGTTTTCTATATAAGTTATTGCTACTTTGCGTATCCGCACTATTTAAAGAAAGAGAACCTTCAAAATTTGCCACAGAAGGCAATTGAGACGAAACATATGTACTGGCCATAAACGTTGTCGAGAATGAGGAGCTATTGCTACTGTTATTGCTGCTGTATAGCGAGAAAGGTAGTTGCGAATTCTGGTGTATTAAGGACGAATCACTGTTACTATTGCTGCTATTACTGCTGGTGGTTGTAGTAGTTGCTGTGATATCGTCACCATTATATGCCCTTGCACGCTTTTTGGACGGGAGCATTTTTAGTGAAAATAACAAAAAGTAAGGAAGAGAGAAAAGAAACAAAAAAGCAAACTTTGATTGTGTTCTTTCTGTGCGGAAACCCTGTTGAATTGGCAACACAATCTTTTTACGTTTGTTATGAAGGTATAATAGCCAAATTTTGTCTCTGTATTTATTGATAAAATATTAAGTATACTATTCACGTAGAAAGGTAAAATGCAACAAATGATATATCGTGTCTACATAGCAGCAAGGGCTATAGTTCCAACAGCGGTTGCACCCAAAACAGCATAACCACTTCTATACACATCCTTGATATCCAACATCTTTGTGGCATCCCAGACCTTCAATTGACAAATGATGAGATATTACTACTACGTGATTGATTCCATACTGACAAACTAATATAATGAGAACTTACCAAGTGTCTAATACCATTGAGACAATGGAAAACGAAAGGGAAGCCAACAATAGTCTTTGCGGCGAATTTGGCAGCAAAAGGTGCAGCAGCTACTGACGAAATGATGCTAGCGGTGTCAATGGTAACACCAAATGCAGGTGCAGCAACGTAGGCCATAGCGCTTAAGTAAAATACTATAGAAAATAAGCCAAACGATAAGTGTCTCCATTACTTTCGATTTTTAACCTAGAAACAAATCATATATATATATACTGTACATCCACCAAGGGCAGCACCAGTCACTCTGTGCGCTCCGGACATATACCAAGTAAGTTGTGGTTGATAGATTTGCAAATGTGGTGAAACTGGTCTACGCTTACGTTGCTCACGTAAGAGCTCGGATTCTGCAGCGGCACATTGTTCGTCTCTTCTTGGTGTAGCGTTAAAATGTCTACAATACATAAAAGGATTGTCTTTTCTGATTAACACGACGTTATAATGGAAGACTTGACTAATATTTGAAAAGTTACCTCACACCGTAGGAGTGTACAGTAGCAATAGAGTTCCTAAAAGCAACAGGGTCTGAACTTCGTTTAATTTCAAGGCCTCTTTTGTCTTTCTTGAATAGTGGAAAGAGTGGTAATGAGGAGAGATGAGCATATAACTTACTTTGAGCAACTGTTCGTAAGATTGAGCGAGTAGCCAACATTAGGATTAAAAGAAAAAGAGTATCGTCAGAGTGGGGTGTACAGAAGAAAAAGGATTAAATGCAATTATTCAGAATAAAAAAGAAAAAGGTGTAAGAAAAAGGAAAGTTTATCGATAAGAATAAATTAAAATGCGGGGGAGAAGATTATGGACACACAAAGAAAATGGAAAACCTTTCCATCCAATGTGACATCGACACCCGCTGTGAGAATCGCGGGATAGAAGGAGTTGGTCTCTTTCTAAAAGGAGAAAACTTTTAACCGGAGAGCAATAAAAAGACCCCGCAAATACGATGTTGCTGTTTGTGGAGGATCCGTGCTTAACACGCTGTAGGACGGTTCCTTTAGTTCACAATAATCGTAATTGGTAGAGAAAATTTTATAAGACAACAACATGTTGAAGCCTAAGCAAGTGAATTGTAAAAAGATACTTGCTCTGTTACACTCAAGAAAAGTTGGCCAACAGTCCTCATTGTCCCCTTACCCATCATATTTTGTCTAGTTTTGCAATGGAAGAAAGTGATGACCCCGGCTACAACAACACGACTGTACGCAACGTTGGATAGCAAAGCATTTGTTTACCAAGTGAAAGTGAACAATCTTCCGCAAGGTCATTTGAGAGAGATAATCGACTTTTTTAAAGATAAGAGTTTCAGAAGGTTCCATAAAGATCTCAATGCTACAAGCGCATATGTCAATTGTGATAGCGAGCAAGCTGCTAAACTCGTTATGCAAGAATTGGAAGGTATAAAGTTTCAAAACAAATGGACTTTATCAACAGAATACACAAAGCTATCCCAAAGTGAATTTCGCAAAGCGTATCTTCAAAAGTCAAAGAAGGATAAGAACAGTACACGGAAAGTGCAACAGAACCGTTACCAAACTGTTATAAATAAAATTGATCCCAAAATACGTATAGCTCAAAGTATTGCTCCAATGCATCAGTAAGTGTTCAAAAATTGCTATCGTTAGATATTGAGATTATCAACGCACTTTTTGCTATATTAGGCGGCCCTACTCAAAACAGTTAGAGCGCAAGGAGAGATTTGGTCAAAAATATTTAACGCAACTGATCAAGAGTATAAGTGTTTTAAGGCCAGGATTGGATGAGAAGGGAAGAGCACAAATAGCTTGGGTTAATGAACCGTAAGTCATCCATTTTTTAGTTCCACAAAGGGTCAGCGATAGCTTGATTTATTTACTTTCGTAATATAGTTGTCCTTTTCTTGGCATTAGCCCGTCACCATTACTGGCAGAGTACAAAACGGACTGCACGTTCACAATTGGTAGAGATTTACAAGACAACGTTTCGGTAGGATTTTTGTTGGGCCCTGACAAAAACGGTGAATTTGGTGTGATTCAACCTGATAAGTGTCCGGATATAACCAAGAAGGCAAAAGAAATAGCAGACGTTTTAAAGGTAGGATAAGTTTAAATTGCAGCCATATTTAAGAAGCAGCAAATTCAGTAATCAACTCGCTTACCAATGCCATAGACTTATATAAAAGAATCGAAATATGACGTCTATGATCCGATAAAGAAAAAAGGTCTTTGGCATTCGGTAGCTGTAAGAACGCAGTCTACCGGTGATGGTAACTATTTGTTAAAATCATTATGCATTTGTAGCAATTTTAGCGTTTCTAGGCTGCTTACCGTGGTTTGTTTAGTGATGATTTCTGTAAACATGTACGCTAATCAGCTTACTCAAGAGGAGTTAGCAGAAGAAAAACAAAAATTACAATCTTACTGGGAGAAATGGGAACGTGATGATAAGAACGCAGCAATGACACTTTTATTACAAACGGTACAGAAAGACGACACAGAGAATATATTTTCAGGTTTTAAAATACAGTCAACAGACATCCTGAGGGGCAAGGGATACGTCTATGAAGAAATACAGAAGCAGAAATTCCGTATCTCTGCAAATACAACTGATGACTTTTTGGGCAATATTTATGTTGTGGAGACTATTCTTAACAATATAAAAGAATGGTGCGGACGAAGCGTGCGGCCTACTGCACTACTAAATTTTGGATGTGGAGTGGGAATAATCAGTAACCTATTAGCAAAGTCGATGGATGAAGTGTTTGGTGTAGACGAATCAACTGAAGCTCTAAAAGATGCAGTTGTGAATGCAAAAATCAACAGTAAAGTTCTTTTAAAACTATGAGAAGGTGATAAATATCGACGAAGCTGACCGGAACTTAATTATTAGACGTACACAATGTGACATACTGTGTTGGCGAAATAGAAAATAAGTTGCGTTCACTCAACTTGGAGGAAAAGGATATTATTGCTGTTATAAAGGCTTCACAGGAGGGAATGGATAATTCTCTCATAGCAGCTTTACGCTCAGCAGATCGACTTCAAAAGATCATTTACTTGAGCTTCGATCCCAAGAAGCACATGGATGACTTCAAAAGTTTATGCCGGCCTTTAAGTAGCAAGTTCCTAGGGAAGCCATTCAAACCCTCAAAGGCAATGATTATAGATTCATTCCCTCAAAAAACTCAACTCCTATTTATGATCGAATTTGAACGTGCTGTGGAATGAAAAAAGTAACCTACGATAGTACTGTACTTAGTCTTCAACATTTTCATCACTCACATGTAATTTCAAGCGGAACTTCTGAAATAACTTGTGCCTGAGTTGAGTTAGACTTCGATTGGTAAAAAAGAAAGTTCATCACGTTCATAACGACCTCCCGACAATAGTGTCAACTTATCAGCGAAACTCATTCTGTGCATTCACATATCAGGCAAGGTTGTTCGCTATGCTTCATCAAATGTTGTGAAAACCACGTCATCGCCATTATAAATAAAAAGAGAACTGAGCCTTTTATCGAAACTTTGATGCCTTTGTGCAATATTCCTTTTTTTTTTTTCAAGTGTTCCCTTCTATTTTTTTTCTCAATTTGTTTTTCTTCCGTTTTTTTTTTTTTTTTTTTTTTTTTTGAGAGGCTAGCATTTTAGTAACAAACCGATAAAGTGCTCAGCAAAACAGCTTATTTTTCCTAATGACAGAAGATCTTCCTACTTCTTCATTTACTCCATCCTCTAACAATTACTTCTTGCCAAACTCAAGATCTATTTCTTACGCAGTTGAAGAAGAAGACCCCTGGAGCAGCGTTACTTTTGAACCAGTCGATGAAATCAGGCAGCCTTTTAATCAGTCTCAGAATATAAGCGATAGTTTAGTTTCTGATGGTCTAGCAGCATCCAATGTTTTAGGTAAGGCTACGTAGCGTAATCAACCTGAGCTTTATACCATATTAATTTACGAAACACGTTCCTTTTTTTTGACAAAGTCGGAGTAGATGTGCCTGAAATATTTGACACAGCTTATATTCGTGCAAGTCCTATTGGTGATAGAGTCAGTGTAGAGGCTGTGGAAACAATTGTAAGCCTAGGTGGTCTTGGACCGAAAATAACTGAGCAAGTAGGTAATAAGTTTAAAAGTTTTGCGAATTTGATTTTGCCGAATGTTTATTGACGTTAACATTTACATACGACTTATATATTCTTAGATTGTAGCTTTGACTGTGCCTTCAGGTGCTATGTATATCACCAGGAACGAATTTAATTGTGCTATGGCTTTGCTTGGATTTGCTCAGAAGAATATGGGTTAGAAATAACATTCAAAGTATAAGTATCTCAAATGATGAAGCATAAATAGCTGACATATCGGTCTGTATTTTTTCTAGAACTTTCGTTACTTACAGTCTATCAGCATAGAAATGGTATGCACATCTATGAAAGCTGAAAGGATCATATATTCACACTAAATAAAACGCATCGAAATACTTAGAGTTACCTACAACATCCTTACCAGGCCTTGAATATGTTTCTATCAAGCGAGCCAACCCATTATTCACTGTATCTCTCAAGCCTAAACGACACCAAACATTTGACGATGATCCCTGGAGAATACCGTCTAACTCGCCAACCATGAATGGAGACGGACTTGTCGCAGCCTACACTTCAATTAGCAGTGGTATAACAAACAAGAACGAGAAAACTCTGGCTGTGATGGATGCCAGCAACGGTGCCACAGCAACAACAACAGAAGATGCAGTTATATCAGAGGATCAATTTGCAGAAACGACAAACACCGTGACGACTACGGAGATTCCAAGCCATACTGTACCAGTTACTCTTATCACCGACAAGGCTTCTACACAGGCTCTTGTGAAAGCCTCAACAGAAAGCTACCAATGGTTCTTAGATTTGGATCAGATTACAGTTTCTGTAGCCGAGAAAGAAGGATTCTTGTTCACACACATCAACTATTGGGTACAAAGTATGCAAAGACAAACCTCTGTTAGACGGCGTTATAGTGATTTTTACTGGTTTTGGGAAACATTATTGAAACGTTATCCCTTCAGAGTGATCCCGAATTTGCCGCCAAAGAAAATGTCGAACAGTAACGTGTTGTCATGATGGAAGAAGGAAAACAGTATTAATCAAAAATAGATACTCATATATCCTTCTTGACGATGTATAGAGGATAAGATCTTTTTGGAGAGAAGGATACAAGGTTTAACTCGATTTATTAATCATATCGTTCGTCATCCTGTGCTTAAAAACGACGAAGAAGTGATCATATTTCTAACTGAACAATCAGTAAGTTGAGTAGTTTTATCCTTTTCAATGTCTGAAGAAAATACAACTTATGTATAAATTGACAGGATTTTGCCGCTTGGAGAAAGGCTAAATTGCCAGACCTACGCGAAGATTTTGAACGCCTCCATCCCCAAACAGAAGAATTGGAAGGCTTTATACCAAAAGACCTTGACGAGCGAATCAAGCAAGTGAAAGAGAGATTACCAAAAACAATTGAAAAGTACGATGCATTATGCAGCATAATGGAAAATATGATCCACTTGAAAGAGGCGCGTGCGAAAAAAATGAAACAATATAAAGATAATTTAAGGTAATGATGCGATTAGCGCAAAAAGTCTAATGAGATGATCTATTCTAACTGGCTGTTTAAGGGAATTGAGTGACATCGAACATGTTTGTTTTGTTACCGACTGTAATGCTTGTAAAAAGGTTGTCCAAGCGTATGACAGTGTGGGTACTTACATAGACCAAAAAAGTACCATTATGGAGGCTGAAGCTGCCACATCTGCATTGGGCGTACTTGAAAAACTCAAAAGTCATCGTGAAATATGCGCTTCCTTCTTGGAAATGTTAGATAGGAAGGCACAGTTAGAGTTGAACACAATTAATGCTCTGTATCGTAGGATATCAGCTAATACAGCAAAAGTGAATCAAAACCGTGGTGTCCCCAGTCTCGAAGCAGAGGTTGCAAGGCTAGATGATGCTATAAAAGCTGTAAGTATATAATTACGGTTTGTTGTTCATAAAGCAGGAGATTAACCAGCTCAATTAATATCAGGATACAGAAAAAATGATATATCAGCAAAGAAGAAATACATATATTCGCTATTGTGTTGCAAATGAATTATCTTACCTGCACAAGCAGCAAGCATTCGTAGCGATACTCTATCAAAGTTTTGTACACGAACAATTACAATATGCTCGTAGATCAGTTGAAACATGGAAGGCGTTGGAGGCTCTCTTATGTGAAATGCCTAAACCTGAAGAATTTGCATAAAACAGTTTTTCACAGCTATTCAGCAATAGATATACCCTTCACTTTTATACTAACAACTAATGACCAACCTACTGTTCTCTATTTCGAATTATTTGCTATTCGTATCACGGCTGATTTCAATTAGGCTCAACAGTAAAATAAAAATGTTCAGGAATAATACAAACTTTTAATAATGAGAAGAAATAACTTTAAAAGAGTTAAGAATAAATAGAATTATAAAGAATCCTGGCATTTAAGCCAACATAATGTCACAATAACAAAAAAATGAAAGGTTTGAATTCATAGTGTATAGACACCAAGATTAAGGAAAGTACGGGCTATTCTAAACTGAAATTGTTTTATGTTATTTTCTTTCCAATATTTCTAGCAGGTTGGTTATTTTTTCAAGCTGTTGTGGTCGTGTTCAGACATCCATTATTACTGCACCTAATAGAATTGCTTGGTGTGATTCTCACAAACTTCACGAAGCTTGGCTTCAAGGTCCTTCGAAAGGACACCTTGGGCGCGAATTTCTTCAAGGACGTCCTTGTGTTGAGTGGCAACGTGGCTAATGAAGTCCTTTTCCCATTCAGTAACCTTGTTGACGGGAATCTTATCGAGATAACCATTAACACCAGCAAAGATGATAGGAACTTGAGCTTGAATAGAAAGAGGAGAGTATTGAGGTTGCTTCAATAATTCAGTGAGACGAGCACCACGGTTCAACAAGAATTGAGTGGAAGCATCCAAATCAGAACCGAATTGGGCAAAGGCAGCAACTTCACGGTATTGAGCCAAGAAAAGCTTCATAGAACCAGCAACTTGTTTCATGGCCTTGGTTTGAGCAGCAGAACCGACACGAGAGACGGAAAGACCGACGTTAATAGCAGGACGGATACCCTTGAAGAAGAGTTCGGCTTCCAAGAAAATTTGACCATCGGTAATGGAAATGACATTAGTGGGAATATAAGCAGAGACATCACCACCTTGAGTTTCGATAATGGGAAGAGCAGTCATGGAACCATAACCAAAGTTCTTATTCATTTTAGCGGCACGTTCTAAAAGACGAGAGTGAAGGTAGAAGACATCACCAGGATAGGCTTCACGACCAGGAGGACGACGAAGCAAGAGAGACATTTGACGGTAAGCAACAGCTTGCTTGGACAAATCGTCATAGATGATCAAGGAGTGACGACCATTGTCACGGAACCATTCACCAATGGCAGCACCTGAGAAAGGAGCGAGGTATTGAAGAGGAGCGGCTTCAGAGGCAGTAGCAGCAACAACGATGGAGTACTTCATGGCATCTAGGAATTTCATACGAATAGTATTCCTTGAGTATTGTATTCATTTACTGGCGCATATTATTTTTTAGTTTTCAATTGACTGTAATTCAACGATTGAGACTTACCATTTTCTTCCAAAGTTCTAACAAGCTGAGCAACAGTGGAACGCTTTTGACCAACAGCAACGTAGATACAGTATAACTTCTTGGATTCATCACTACCATTGTTCCAGTTCTTTTGATTCAAAATGGTATCGAGAGCAACGGCAGTCTTACCAGTTTGACGATCACCGATAATCAATTCACGTTGACCACGACCGATAGGAACCATAGAATCAACAGATTTGATACCAGTTTGCATAGGCTCATTGACAGAGTGACGAGGCAAAATACCAGGAGCCTTGACTTGGACACGAGAACGACCTTCAGTTTGAAGAGGACCCTTACCATCAATGGGGTTACCAAGGGCATCGACGACACGGCCTAAAATACCGGGACCGACAGGAACGTCGACAATGGCTCCGGTACGCTTGACGGTATCACCTTCTTTGATCAAACGATCGTTACCGAAAACGACGATACCGACGTTATCGGGTTCCAAGTTAAGGGCCATACCCTATAATGAATCATTCAATAAAAGTGTTTTAAATTGGTTAATATGCGTTCAACCATCCACATTCTACTTTTTGTTGGTCCTGTTTTGTATCCTCACAAAACGGGAATAAAAAAGTTAGAAAGTACCTTAAGACCACTGGAGAATTCAACCATTTCTTCAGCTTGACAGTTCTTCAAACCATAAACACGGGCAATACCATCACCAATGGACAAGACACGACCAGTTTCTTGAAGGTCAACTTCAGAGTTAGCACCCAAAATACGTTGTTCAAGGATGGAAGAGACTTCAGAAGTAGAAGGCTTGGCAGAAGCGTAAGTACGAGCCATGGTAGCAACGGCACCGAGATTGAGGCGAGCCTATTTAAAAAGGTGGGGTTAGTTTTGTTTGTCATTCCCATAGTCATGCCGTTTTAGACAATAAGGTTGGTATCAAAATTGACACTGAGAAAATACATACAGCGGGTAATACACTGCGGTTCAATGCGGGACGAGCAATACGAGCAACGTTTCTAAGCATGATGAGAAGGGTGGTTGTTTGTTGATTGAGTGTTGTAGCAAGAGAATTAAAATCCTAGAGAAACAGCAAAAAATATATTGTGTGGGTTATACTCAGACTAGATTATGCCAGGATAGACAAACCACTTTTTCAGCTCAGGCACAAAGTTCGGTTGTTTCCCCATGCCAGCATAGTGTGGAGTCCGACGTCATCTACTTTCAGTTCGTATACTCAGACGCATTTACAGTTTTCTCCAGATCCTTTTTCTTTTTTTTCTTTTTGCGCACTCCAATTCGTTAACTTACCTTAAATACTTCTCTGATATGAAGCGAATCATAACAGAATGAAAGTTATTGATCAGCTCTAACTCTCAATACAATAATTGAGTGTAGAACAGTTTTCTTAACTGAACTGGAGGTCAATATACGAATATTTTAGTTTGAAAGTTTAGAGCATGCTTTAAGGGATGTATTGAATGGCAAATTTTGCAATTGCTTAGCAAGCGTTGAAGCCTGTTGGTTTGTATGGAGAGTATTAATAAACTGAAAAACACTACTCAGTGAGCGGTTTTTGAGCAGATTGCACAGATCGAGGCCTTGGGATATTTTTTTCAGTTGATACTATTTCTTGATATTGAAACAGCAAATAAGCCAAAGGTCACTGTTCCATAGAAGGAATTGCAAACAATTTTAGCCATACGGGGTTTCGGTATCAAAATAAGCGTGTGGTTTTTCTTTTTTAACCCCCATATTTACTACTACACGCTTTTTATTAAAGTCAACTGAAACTATAAACATATTGGACAGAAGAATAAATTAATCTCTTGATTTTTTCAAAGTTTCTTCAACGGCAGGCTATGACAGATAGTTGGGTTTTAGTTAAATGAAGTATTTTCAACGCGATGTTCTTTCTATGTTGTTACCTTTGCTCTGGTCGAATACATGCTTTCAACGTTCTTCTTCACTTCATCAAACTTATCATCGACTTTTTCTTTTGTTTCTTGAGTTGTTTGGTTGACTTGGCTTCTTACTTTATCTACATTTTGCTCAACTTTTTTGCGGAGAAAAGAGGTATTTTCATCGACTGTACCCCGTAACTTCCTAACTGTTTCATCCGCTTGTTTACGAGCATCCGTAATAGCATGGTCAACCTGCTGATGAATGGATTTCAATTGAGGATATCTATTTTCGAGTTTTTGAAGTTTGTGTCCCACATTGCAGGTAGTTTTGGGTAATAAATAATAAGAAGTGCCAATAGCCAATGTTGTGGAAGTTAAGAATCGAAGAACAATGTTGCGTCTACGTGCAATAACTGTACCGGCCAAGGCTGCTACACCCACATATAGAATGTTGGGCATAATTTCTTCGTTTTTATCAATGATGTTATCAATATCTGTTTTCAAATCATTCTCTACAGTTTTGTATTTATTGACCCAAGTATCCACATGTGACTAAAAAAATTTATACAGCAGTATATAGCTTGTAAGTTTGTTACGACAAATATGAAGTCGAGTTTAAAAATTGACCCTACGCTACCTTTCCTTGCTGTAACGTCTGGTGGGCATATTTTTGGGCATAGTGTACTTGCTCCTCTAATTTCGTAGGCGATTCAACAATGACAACTTTTGGTTCAGGCTCATCGTAAATGCTTAGCTATTGATCTTCATATTAGCAATGATGAATTTTCGGGTATATTTTTGCGTATTGCTTACTTTGGTTCGTTTTTCCTCTGCAAGCACAGGTGCAGCGTTAGCGATCAAGACACTACCTACAGCCGCTGTAGCCAGCTACAACAATAAAATTGAAAGTTTAAGAACTCGACGATTGTCTCTGCTAACTATGCCATAAGCGCTTACACTTCTCTTAAGAGCAGACGAAAACATTGAATTAAAATATTGTATTATTGGTAAGAAAAAAGTGGAGAAGCTCAATTGATCTTTGCCGTCAATCCGGGGTGAAAGTTGACAGAATACAAAAACTGAGTTCACTCGCCTATGGAAGGTGACGTCAATTAATTTATAGGGGCTCAAATTGTTTATTTGTTTATTTGTATTTTTTTTTTTTTCAGATTTCACAGAATATTGTTTTCTTCTTTCTTTTAGTTTCTCCTTCAACACAGTTGTGTGGCCACGCAATAGTATCTCTTCTCTCGCTTGGAGATGGAAGCTATGAGGTGAAGAAGGAAACTGCAAGGTTTACATTGGTTGTTTCTAAGCTCTGTCCGTACGTCGCACATTGTTACGAAATCCTCTTCTTTGAGCAACCAACACACAGCTGGTTCCAAAAAGCAATATTTTCTCTTAAATATGGGCTGACGCATAGGCAGGACGATTGCTTCAAGGTCAGACGGAAAGAGAGAAAAGCATAAATGTACCATCAGGGACTCCTTCGTGGCCAACTGACAAGCATTATCTCCACTGCGGTACACTGCAACATTGCTTTGCAGAACGGGCAGGTTTGATTTCACCTACTTTATAACTTATTGATTCACCTTTTTTTTGAGTTAGAATGTGCTTTCCGCACCTGTTTTCTCTCTTTTTTTGTCGTTCTTGAGGAGAATTACTGTGTACAAAAAAGCTGATCAATTGGCCTCTTTCATTCATATTTTGAGCTCAAGTTATGCTGGAGTCCTAGAAATGAACCTCCTACTGCCCGTTGTGAATTGCCTGCCATTCATTTGATAAAAAAGTTGTCAACATTCCGTCCAAACTCGTGAATATACCAATGTGACCCTCATCCTCTCTGTATCCCCCCCGTCTATTAAGCTAAACAGGTGTTTGTATAGGCTTACATTCTGTGAAAAAATTTCTGCTGGCTGAGCAATCTTGTTCTATAAATTTAAAAAACAAAGTACTGAAAGAATGTGCCGAATACATGACATTGACTGAGGCCGATGGTCTTGCTTTCAAAAATTCGACCCTTGGCACGATTATCAAGCAAAATCAATCAGTATCTATTGCAAGTGGAAGAACGACCTGCCCCTATTAGACCAAGAATTGCATTGGATGGCCTGTGGGTTGTTTTCCATCTTGGATTTGACAAAAACAGACTAGGCTATGGTTTAGTTTTGATTCAGAATTTGGATGGTCTTTTATATGAATGCGAGGTAGAAGTGAGCTTATAGTGAAATTAAGAAAGTAGCAGTGACAACCGAATAATATTGTTCCTGTTAATGAATTGTACAACGCCACTGCGAGATATCTGGCTTACTAGTAAGGCTGAAATGTGCCTGATGAAATCCTATTTGTTCCAGTACACCATAATTGGTCAAGGCTGAAAATCTGGATTGTTTCTTCGATTGTTTTTATGATTTAGATGTTAGAACGTGACATGAACACAATGTCAAGCAGGCCATCTTGTACATTCAGCAAATCAAAACAAGCTGCCTTGACACAGAACGGCTGCTTGCAGCACTCGTCGCGCGGATCACGGTCGTTGAAACCAACGCATTTCTGCTCAACTCTGAAACTCGGCCCGCGTGACAGAGTATGATTTCATCACTCAAGTTTGGGCACCCATACTGAAATCACTGCGGACCGCCATCCATTTGACGAATCCTGAATATTCCGTTAATGCTCTCCCACATACCTCCACCTTTCCCATCTTTGATGGTTGTTTCAATTAAAGAGTATTATCATTCATACCAAAAGACATCATTCCATTTGCTTGTTGCTTACATTTGTGTAATCTTTCGTCCTGGGTCAGGTTACTGGCCATGATTTCTTTTTTTTTTTATTTTTTGTATTTTGTGTTTTTTTTTAATCTCTTCTTGTTGAGACATTTACCGAAACATTTAGCAGAATGAGAATTATGCCTTTGAAAATCATTTAAATACAACTTATCGCATGCCTCACTAATTCTTGTCATTAATGATTTCTCTTTCAGGAGTTTTTTTTTGTTTGTTTTTACTCTTGACAACTGACTAAAATTGTTCATTTGGATTGAGTTTAGGAGAATACGGAGGAAGGTAAGCATAACGATATCCTTGAGAGTGAATGTATTTTCTTATATCAGTTGCGCCATGAGTAGGGGCATTATCCATGACAAGATAATGTCTTTTCATTTCTGGATACTTGTCAATTTCATCAAGAGTAGATCTAAAAAACTTCATAATGTTTTGTTACTGTTCCAGTGCTATAATCATCTGTCTCATCACTCGCTTTGCAACTCGCAACATTACTTAAACCTGTGGCAGAAATTGCATTCATTAAAAAAGATACGCGTTTTCATTTAAACTTTCCTAAAAAGAAACGCCGCCCTTTGAGAAACCAGCCCTTTTGAATTTTTAGAAAAATAAATCCGTTTGGGGGTTCTGCTAACTGTAACAAACAGCCCTTCAAAAATACGATGGAAGACGAAGAAACGCCTTTGTACGGTATCGACAAAGGTAAATATAAACGAAAGGGAAGTGGAATTACATTGAAAAGCTAGCGCTAATATTACCTTGTCGCTCTCAAGAGATTCACGCTAGAATTGATGCAAAGTATTCTGTAGAACGGGAAAAGGAAGCACGCCAATGGATTGAAGATCTCATCGGCGAGAAGTTTCCTTCAGAAGATTTCGCTGAAAGTTTGAAAGACGGTACTATATTGTGCAAGTATGTTTGAGAAAAATTCGATGGACTTCAGGCCGACAGTTTCGCTCAGATTGAATTCTCATAGAGTCATTGAAAAGCTAAAACCTGGATCCGGTAAATTCAAACAGTCGAGACTACCTTTTGTTCAGGTAAGCATCTGAACAATAAGCTTCCAGAAGATATGTTAATAATTGTTTGGAGTTCTACCGAATTAGATGGAAAATATTTCTATATTTTTGCGAGGTGCAGAAGCCCTAGGAGTACCAAAGCATGATCTTTTCCAAACCATTGATTTATACGAGAAGAAAAACATGACACAAGTGGTGGACGCGATATTTTCATTATCTAGATATGGATATAAGGCAGGAACCTCACCGGATGTGAGTTATTAACGCTACGATAACAAGTTGAATACGAATTGCTGGATCAAATTATAACTTGTTATATTTTGCCGATGTTTGATATATAGTATCTGGGACCCAAGCTTGCAGATAAACAACAGGCTGCATATTCAAAAGAAGCAGCAGCAGCAGCAGCAGCAACATATAACACATATCAATATGGCTATACCGGCGGTGCTAATCAAGTAAGTACTTATAGAAATTTTATCGAAACAGATAAATCAAAAATTCTCAGAAACAATTGTTTTCGCTAGTCTGGAATGACTTTTGGTAAAAGACGTGAGGTAGTAGGCAGTGACCCAAACTCTCAGTACAAATAATCATTTTACAACTATGAAATTACAACTGAAAATAAAACTTCACCTTCCCTAACTTATTATTGACTTCCGTCTCCAATTCTATGACTTCAGCTGGTAACTTCTGCACGTACATTTACTCACGTTCACGAAGAAAATGAAAATAATATTTTCTTATGTTGCAAATCGTTCATATCGGCACATAATCTCTCAACAATTTGGCACATCCACATCCACATCGAAACATACATTCATGGCAACAATTGTTTTTCCTAACTACAAAGTGATTTTAATTTTTGAAAATTGACTTAAAATATCTTCATATATAAATCCAATAATTTAAGCAGAAGCAGACTTTTGCATAGAAGAGGTACGGCGACGTTCGGCCTTTTCTTGCTTTTGTTCCTTGACACGCTTAGCGAGCAATTGCTTATATTCAGCTTCAGCTTCACGGGAAGCTTCAGCTCTTCTACGCTTAATGGCTTGTCTATGTCTCTTACGTTGGAGAGTAAGAGGAGTGACAAGACGTTGGATCTTAGGAGCCTTGGTGTAAGGCTTCTTACCCTCAGTCTTGGGTTGAACTTCGCGACGAATGACGTACTTGCGGACATCATCTTCCTTGGACAAGTTCTATAAGAGCGTAAGTGGAGGAAGCCTTATTAAATCAAATCTTCTCCAAAAAGATCATAATAGAAAAATCATATAACTTACGAAGAACTTTCTGATCTTGGAAGCACGCTTGGGACCGAGACGCTTGGGAACAGTGGTATCAGTCAAGCCGGGAATATCTTGTTCACCTTGCTTGACAACAACAAGAGACAAGACAGAGAGGTCAGAACCAACGATACAACCACGGACGGACTTTCTCTTACGTTCACCAGTACGACGGGGACGGTAACAGGAGTGACCCTTGGACATCAAGAGCTTAACACGGTGAGGTAAGAGGACACCTTGCTTCATGGGGAAACCTTGCTTGTCGTTACCACCGGTAATGCGGAAAACGTAACCCTTGAATTCGTCACCGAGGGAATCACCAGAGACTTCTTGGGCCATACGCTTATCGTAGAAGCCACGACTATATCAAAGTTAATTGCTACCATTAGTATCTTTGAAATCGATCTAATTATTTCAACATTCAAACTGCAAAAAAGCAAATGTAGAATGGCCGAGTTGTTGAGCTGTCTAAAGAATATAGGAGGCACAAATAATGTAGCCTTATCGTTGAGCTGCGTATGACAAACATATGTGTTTCTGCACTTCGGTTTTCAAAGTAATGTTGGACTAGCTGATCATCAGAAAAAAACAACCAGTTGTTCACGTTGCTGATGGTCTCCTCGGCTATTCTTCATTTGCTCTTTCGCAATAACGAATGGACTGAAGAGACACTTACAGACGACGTTCGTCTTCAATTTCAATCAACTTTTGACAGCCGGTGGCTGGGTTGGCAATGTTCAACTATTGACATGAGAAACAGAAAAGAAAGTTGCAAAGGTAAATAATCCGTAATCCGTAAACATCATCCATCCATTTTCTATAATCCTTCTGTTGAAATGATGATGTGTTATGCATAATTGATAAGTGTTGAGTACGGACCTTCATACCGCAGATAGAGAGGAGGATCTATATGTTTGTTCTTTCCTCTTCGATGTAACTCTTCCTTCACTCATCGCCCTTTCGAAAACCAAAATGGCAGACAAACAACGCTGCTCCGGCCTGAATTCCGGAATTGAAGCGTCACGTTTCGAGGGGTTTCCTTTTCTGTATTCTGGCCCGAAACGTGAATTTTACCTAGCTGTGCGTTGTCATCCAAAAGATTTTTTTTTTATGTGGTAATGGAACTAGCTTTCAGTATTTATTTGTTAAGTAGACTATTACAAACGGTAAATATTTTAAAAATTGCTGACAACTCTCCACTGTAGTATATTGTCAAAAAAATTGAAAGACATTGAAATTTGAATATGCTAATTCTTTCTTCTTCTTTTCGCGAAAACACTAGAATACAAAAGAATATGACTGAACAAGAAGTTTTGGCTGCTACACCAGTGCAAGAAGATACAACAAAGGAAGACAGACCCATTACAGTTTTCGAAGATCCCAAAAACTACAACGTCAAACATCCTCTTCAAAATACCTGGACTTTATGGTTCGATAACCCTGGTAAAAAAGCTAGCGCTACAAACTGGTCTCAAAACTTGAAGGAAATCGTTGATGTCAATACAGTCGAAGATTTCTGGGGGTACGTGTGTCAATCGAAGAAAAAGACTAAGAGACTACATATTGTTATTCTTTTTTTTTTTGTTTTACCAGCATGCTAATTACATTGGTAACGATTTTAGAGTTCATAATAATATTGTCAAAGTAAATCATCTTGAAATCAGTTCCAACTATCATATATTTAAGAAGGGGGTACGACCTGAATGGGAAGATCCCGTTAATGCCAGTGGTGGAAAATTCAGTATTCAGTTTCCCAGGAATAGAACAGGCGAGGCCATTAATGATTACTGGCTTAATTTGGTAAAGACGCTCATATTGTTTCGAATAGAATGGATTGGGATTATGAAGAAACAGACGTGATTAACGACTCAAATTCTTCTGATATATAGATCCTTGCCATGCTGGGCGAACAGTTTCAATATGAAGACGAGATTTGTGGTGCAGTCGTATCAGTGCGTAAAGTATTTTACAGAGTAGCACTTTGGATTAAGAGCTCAGAAAGAAATGAAAAGATTGAAACCATTGGGTAGGTTCAGATGAGACTATACAAAAGGTAGAATTTTAAACGACCAATACAGTATTAATCTATTTCTTTTATGTAGCCGTCAATTAAAGGAATTCTTAAATCTGAACAGCAACTTAACAGTTGAATTTACTCCTCATAGTGATTCGTCAAACAAGTCAGGTGAAAATAGATTCACTGTTTAGGAACTATATATATATATATATATATTTTCTTTTGAGTTATGATGAAGTCGCCAACCTGCCTAGAAAAGAAAGAAAAACGAAAACAGATTCAAGGTATCTGCTCTGTATATTATCTTCATTTAAAAACAGTTCAACTTCTCGATAAAGCTCGCTAACATTATGATAAACCGCAACCAAATAAAGAAAATGCATATTCGTAAGCTTTTTATTTTTGGAATAATGACAATATAGAATTATTATGGCTAGTATTATCTATCATTAACTCTCGGTTACGTGTTTGGTTACAAGGATTTGTTATTTTACAACTCAATGCTCTTTTTGAGTGTCATAGAAATTACTGAGAGGATATTCTCGCTGTAATTCTTATGTATCTTAATTTTGTTAAGCAGTATGGCTCTTACTTGGGAAATTTTAACTTTCAAAACCTTTGCATAAGGCATTGCTATCAAAGCAAACAGTAAGACAGTTCCCATTCTACAAATATCCTACGTTAGCAGATCAGGATCTTTAACTCGATGCTTGAGTAACATACAACTGTAAAACTTAAAAGACAGACGGGAACGTGATGAAGCAAGACGAATGTGTATTTGGGAGATGATACAAGTTTTTTCTTTTTCGCTCCGAGAGATTTTCCATTTTTTTCGCTTGTCTCTTTCGCTTGCTTCACTTCTTCGCAGTATTATGTATGAAGAGCCTCCACCTTTACCATTTCCGTCTTTACAGACTTTAAAAACTGTTGCAGTAGACATATTGAAAGTACAGAAAACCTCAACTACTCCAGACGTAGAGTTCAAAATATTCGATCCTGATTTTTCCTCAGCGATATCTGATAAGAAAAAAAGAACAAGATCAGGCAGTAAAGCTTGTGAAGTATGTAAGAAAAAGAAGATTCGATGTGATATCAACGCCTCTCGAAATGAGCGATGTACAAAGACAAATTGCCAATGCCTTCACCATCGAGTTAATATCAATAAGAATAAAAATACTATTGATGATATAAATATAATACAACAGCAACAGATAGGGCCGAACACTCATGCAACTATTATAGATCCTAAATCCAATACACAGCGACAACATAATAACAATAATAACAATAATAATGCCATTTTTAATCAACATGAAACAGCACCGTCAACAACTGTGTTCCGCAAACCTGGTCTGTCGAAGTCAGGTCACTTCACAGGTGAAACCTCGTTCTGCGAAGATCTCTTCTCTCAAAACCAACCATCCCTTGTCACCTTTGAATCGAATTATCCAATAATGAAAGCAATACCAAAAGAACCAAACATTTCCAAATCAGATCAACTTTATCTGATTGATATTTATTACGAGAATTTAAACCCATTCTATCCTTTGATCAATAAAGAAGAGATTGTAAAACAGCTGGAGTACGTGTTTGCTAACAAAGAAAGCTATTTATCACCGTTATTCTATTATGCCCTTTTTGCGCGAGCCGCTCAATTGCAGCACACCCCTCAACAACGACTTACTGCAGACAATAAAGCTTATACAGACCTTGGTGAAGAGTGTCTGAAATATTCTTCGCTTCTCATTGATGGTTATAGAGACAAACCACGAATCAGTACAATCTTAGCACTTATCATCTTGGCAAATCATTTAGAGCAGAAAAAAAAACTCGAAGATCTGACTAAAGTTTGGCTATGGGTGGGCGAAGCATTCCGAATGGCACTAGATTTAGGTATTCATCGGTCCTTTGTAACAAATGAAGAAGGCCCTTTTGATCAGCTCTGTATCCGCACTTTTTGGCTTGCTTACGTGACAGACTGCACAATTAGTATGGTGTATGGACGTCCTTTAGCCACTGAGGAAAAAGTACTGTAAGTGATAAATTTTCTGTTTTAAAGTTATAATGTCTATTTATAATTATCTTAAAGTAATGATTCTATTTTATGTCCAATGCAACTATACAACCTTTATTAGCGATGTGACATACCCAAAAAAACTTGAAAATGATGATAGTTATGTTTCTGTCTGGATTGATAGTCTTGGTACATTGATCGCTTCAAGCAAAGTGACTTCAAGAGTTATCAGATTTAATTATTGTCCCCCACCACCCTTCATCATTCAGGGTCCTATCAAGGTATGTAAGTTACGTAAGCCATTTGACCTGTTACAAGTATATCAATAAGCTTTAATTTATATAATGTATAGAGACACAATGCCTTTCTTGTAAGTGTTGACTCTTGGTTAATCGACATTATGCATCCATCAGAGGAACCAGAATCACCTTTCTCAAGTGTTCCGAACATAGTGACAGAAGAAACGCCTACCGCAAGGCGACTCCAAACGCAAAAACGGTTATTTTTGTACACTAATTTGATCTTACTGCATCGACCTTACGTCAGTGACATTCTATCGAAGAGAAATACCAATAACAGGCCCTCGTACGATATTTGTTCGTATGCAGCGATTATCATAACCGACTTAGCAAGCAAGCTTGATACGAGTGATTTGTCATACCATTCTACATTACCTATCCTGGCTTATGCTTTAATAATGGCTGTACGTATACATATTATGAATGCTTCAAGCTCGAACCCTGAAAAGTTCAACGCTAAAAGGAATTTCGATTTGAGCATTTGTATATTAAGCAAGTTACCTCAGTCGCGAGATACGACATCAATGTTGTACGATTCTATACAAGCTTTAGAATATAAATATCATCACCGATATACTGGTTTATCAAATGAAGAAGAGAATGACCAACATGCCCAGTCTACTTCAAAAGTAAAACAACAAGTGATTACGGCAGCACAGATTGTTTTCTCTCCAAATACTATTGAAAAGCCTGCAACTACTACCGGTGCTAATTTACCCTTTTCACAATTAGTTAAAAGCAATGCTAATATTGTAGAGCAGACGAGCTTGAGCAACACTCGCATACCTATTAAAATAAAGGATTATACAAATAGAATAGAGAGTGTAGGACGGAAAAAGAAAAAGTCCAAAACAAAGCATGTCAGACACGCATCTTTACCAGCGACAACAACCTCAGGTTCAGTTCAGAAAATCAAAACAAGTGGCACACTATCATATTCCGTCAAACAACATGATATTGTTCAAACACATCAAGAGAAACTGCCAGCACCTGTACTCCCTGAATCTGGTAGACAAAATACAGCCGCACCAGTATCCTCCTCGTCTGCAGAAGAGCCCGTACAACCATATCAACTTCCCGTCGATGAATATCCACAGATAAGAGGTTTTACCGCTGGCACTTTGAGTTCTTATTCTTTTCATCATCTCGCGTCCAATGCCTATCATTCTAAAAGCTCAAATATTGTAGATGCTTCGATATCCTTTCCCAATCATCACAGCATACAAAATGGCCTGACCAGAGCTTCATCAACAACTTTTAATCAAGCATCATTTCAGCAAGATTTTTCGTTACTGTATCCAGAGCTGGCAACAGCTACGACGTCTCAATTTAACCAATTAGTACCAAACCATTCACAGCAACCTTTGTACCAACAGCAGATACCCCTTAGAGACTTTGGCTTTCTGAGTGACGATTATTTACCTAATAACACCACCCTTCCCTTAAATTTTTCAAACAACACTAAAATTGGCGTAGCATTGTCGAATGATTATAGCAACGCGTTCTTCCTTCCTCCCGAAAATGATCAGCAGCAGCTTTTATCAACCTCAAGCATGCCATCAGAGGCGCCAACAATTGATAGTTTGGCATCTCAAAATGTGTTTACTGATCATAACTATATATAAAAGCCAATATATAGCGATGCTTCAAGTAATAATTTAGTACTTTTTGAAAGAAATTTACATAATATAATACTATATACAAATGGAACCAAAAACTCTGGGCGATGTTTCTAATTAAAAATGTCCAGTGTAGTGAATGGTTTATCTTTATCTTGTTCCTTCTGTTTTCTGGCTTTTTCAGCGGCGAGTTTTTCTTCCGCATCCAACCGCTTATGATCAATTACATTTCTCTTTGCCTGTTTGCGCTGATATCTCTTCAATGCAGAATTTCTGCCTCTCATTTTCTTCTTTTCTTTGACAGATCTGCCATCGTCTACTTCCTCACTTCGTTCCGCCGCTTCTTCTTCTGCAGCTCGTTTCTTCAAAATGTCCGCCTTTGTTTGTTTATTCACTCCACCAATTTGTGTGGGATCCAACATAATCATATCTGGCTGCAATTTATCCAACAGAGAGTGTACTTCGGTTTCTTGGCGTTGACGTTTAGTTTGATAAGGATTGGCTTCAAATGAATCAAAGTTGGCCTCACCAGCGCCTGGTATGACAATGCTGGAGATACCTTTACTATGTCCGAAGCCTAACACATCTTCAAATGGCACAAACCTAAGATCTTCGATGATGGAGCCACCTTCCAGATGAGACATGTAGGGTGAATTTTGTTTTGTTTTGAACGCATCTTTCCACACTTGTACATGTGCACCGCAACCTACACCTAATAACCCGGTATCAGAAATGTCGAGTGAGGTTGCTATACGAGTTGTATAGTATTCTTGTAAAAGTCCGTAAGTTCTAATATCCCATAATTTCATTTGTCCGTCAGCGCCAGATGTAGCCATATAATGTCCTCCTCTGTCGATAGCAATGGCTTTGACAGGACCCCGATGACATTGCATTTTTACAAGTGGTGCAGGCATGGAGGGAGCCCAAAGTGTCACTGTACCGTTTTGATGTCCTAAGTTGATTACTGCATTATATCTATTTTGTGTCATTGTGTTGCATGGACCAAGTCCTGTACGTCTTTCGGCAACAATTTCTCCAGTAGATGTATCTTGATACTTGAGGTAGCCGTTACTACCAACTGAGACAAGTAGATAGTGGTAAGGCAAAAATTCCAGCCTGTCGACGTAGGTGTGGCGTGTCAAACGATGGATTTCCATGCCGGATTTATCGTAGATGTAGACATATTTCTTCTGAGCAACCGCTAATAATGTCTCGTTATGTAGCCATCTGCAATTTAAATAGAATTCATGCCATAGTATCTCAGTAAAATAGAAAATATCATGTATAAATAAATGGTTCTACAATGCTAAACTTACGTAACATCACGCACAGCCTCATTAACATGTGTTTCAAAATGAAGATGTCCTGTTTGCCAATCAAACGCTGCTATATGACCTTTATGTCCGCCAATCAATAAATGTCGGCCATTGCGGGTATAATCTATGGAATAAGGACCATATTGAGGCAGGTCAAGTGTGAAAATCTAACAATATAGTATTGATTAGCCGAACAATTGATCTATAAAAAGGATCTACGATGAACAAGTAATAAAGCACTCACCTTGCTGACAGTATTGACATCAAGACTAGGTGCTAACTGATCTTGTCTAAATTTGAAAGTCTTTTCTATTCCTTCTGCTTCTAAATAACCTGCGTCCTCTTGCAATAAAAGTTCTGCTCTGGCTGCAGCTCGTGCGGCATCACGGCTATTTTTTTCCTGCTGCAATAGTTTAGCTCGTAGCTTTTTATCTGATATTTTCTACAAAGATGAAGTAAAGGATATCAGAATATCAATACAAAAGCCTTCTTATTATCGGCAAAAATGCTGAAAAAGGGGCGATGGTACAAACACTTTACTTTGATTTCTGAAGTAGCAGGAGCTGCACGCAAATACTTCTCTTCATTCTCAACCGGTTCATCATATTCGGCCATTCTTTTCCCTTTGGGTAATTTGAAGGCGGGTTTTTTCTCAGTTGAACTCTTCTTATTATCTATTTTTGTTTTGCTTTTATTGCGAGCCATATTACAATAGTTTGCTAATGAAGGATATATTATATGAAGGAGAACCAGAAGTTACTGCTCAGTTGAATTAAAAGCAGTAAGTTCTGGCTATTTCAACTTCCACCGTTAAACTGAATTTCAATCCGAAAAGCAGTCCGTTTTAAAAGCCACGAATTAAGGGGAATCTAGAAGAGGTGTTTTATTTGCATTGAAGGCATTTCATGCTTTGATAGTTGCAGTGTATAAAAAATATAGTTAAAAATACAATGGAAAGGCAAAGATATACAATGAATGATCTATGATACTACGCTACCATTCCAAAATCTATAAAAATTGTTCTTGTTCATCAACAGGTGTACTTGTTCCTATTGAGGTTGTTCTTGATCGTTGTTGATGCTGTGACTTTTTACTGCACATTCCATACAACATATTTTTCAGGGCACGTAGAGCGAACACAGTGAGACCAATGCCAGCCCAATCTTCATCATGTAGGTCTCTGAGGTCACCTACTGTCATAATATCTTGATTCTGTAATTTTCTGACCCATTCAATTGCTTTGTCTTTGTTGCGACCTGCGGCTGCAGCAGTTTCCAATACGAACGTTTCTATACTGGTTTCGTTGGAGTATTCTGGTGTATCCAAAGAAGCAGTTGATGCAGAAGAAGAGGATATGGAAGAAGACGACGCAGTGGATGATACGGTATTTGAGTCTTCTTGTTGTAATAATTGTGTTGAAGGGTAATGGTAAGCTTGTTGTTGTTGTGAATGATGATGATTGTATTGTAGATCAGTAGGGGATGACGAAGTAATTGTAGGAGTAGTTGCGGAAGAGCCTGAAGAAGAGAACCTAAACTGTTCTATAGCAAGAATGGTGTCTTTATATTTTTGTTCAGCAAACTGAATCCTTTGACTGTAGTTGTCACATTTGCTTTCCATATCCATAATTTTAGTCATTGTTGCCTTTAGTTCTGATTTTGCACGTTCCAGTTCGGACCGAATATCATTCTCTCTCCTCCATACCAAACGTTCATTCTCTAAGAGGAGTTTATTGCTGTCATCGTCGTCGCTTTGAGCCGAGAGTTGCTGTTTATTCAAATCACGTAATAGTCTGTTTATATCACCTGTAATTAATTGTTGGTATCTCTCAGGTAATACTTGCTCTTCAATCATTTCTGCTACAACCTCTTCAGCTGTGTCAGTGTCCGCATTGAACTCAAATTTGACAGACAGTTTATCCATGCCCTTAAATACAACCTGTAATGTGAGTTGTTTCATAGCGACATCTGTTGCGAGTACAACTACCTCCGGTTCTACGGCTAAAAATGAATGCTCTAGAATATCTTGCGCAGATGGACGTTCATGCTCTGGTGCAAGGCAGCTATTGATCAAAGCCAAGACTTCAGGATCCTGTACTCTGGATAGGCACTTCGGTCGGATGGTTTGAGTGACCTTCTTATATACTTGAGCTGCATTGGTGCATTCATTATAAGGATATTCACCAGTTACCATTTCCAACAAACACATACCGAAAGCATAGATATCGACCTTTTCACTGTAGCCTTTTTCCTCGTACATTTCTGGAGCCATAAACTCAGGTGTACCGATAACTGTATATTTCTTATCAATTTTCATTTCTGCTGTACCCATATCACCGATTTTGATTTCTCCATGTGCGCCATTGATAAAGATGTTATCACATTTGATATCACGATGAATGATGGTGGGTTGGTGGCCGTGTAAATAAACGAGCCCTTTTAAAATTTGACGACACCATCTTTTGACAATCTTCATATTGGGTAAGGGTGTCAGTTTGCGTATATATTCACGAAGCGTACCTGACGTCATGAGTTCAGTAATAAAGACGAATTCTGTATCGTTATACCAAGCGTCATGAAATGTGATAATGTTAGGGTGTCGAACAGACTTGAGAATTTCAATTTCATGGGCAAAAGCTTTCACTTCTTGCCTAGTGACCTATCAACGTCGAATTTTTTTTTTCAATAAACACCGTCATTTTCCGCAATAAAACTTTAACTCTAACCTGTATCACATTCCAAGCTACTTCATATCCTTCTTCTCTATCAATGGCTTTGTAAACACATTTGAAGGCGCCCTTTCCGAGAAAAGTATTTAACTTAGCATATCTTCCATTATTAGACAGTTCAAGTACTCTTTCGGTATCGAGTTTCTCAATTTCTGTATTGGGATTCATCCAAACACCTCCAAAGGGCTCCATATGAGATTGCTTTTCATATTCAGGGAATTGTGCAGCTAGCTGTCGAACGAGTGATAGAGAACCAGCTGTATCTTGTGCTTGCTCTTCAGTTACTGCAGCAGCGTCCTCGCCTTCTTCTTCTTCTTCTTGTTGTTGTTGTTGTTGTTGCTGTTTAAGCTGTTCTATGCTGTCTTCCGAATCATTGGCTGTATCATAGTTGACGGATGAAGAGACCGTGGTAGTGCTATCAAAGCTATCGTTCGATGCCGTCGGGCTAAAGACGCCAGAATCTACAGTGTCTTCATCCTTGGATTCCGCTAATATAGCTGGTGTATTCATTTCTTTAGGTCACTTAATAGATAGATACTCAAATAGAAAATGGGTGTAGAGTGGATTTGGGATTTGCTGTTAAATGAAATGGTTGTTTTGCTGCTTTCTTCTCTACGTTTAAAATTCAACTTGTATGTGCTTTCTGTAATGATTGGGTCGCAAATGGTCTTCTTAACACAATGGCAAGACCAACATCGTTAAAGCTGAGAGAAATTTAGAGATTTTCTGGGTAGACAAAATAGTGAGTTGCAAAAAAGCTGAACAAAAAGAAAGGGGTTAGGGGAAGGAGAGGGGACAAGCGTCTTTATGATTTATAACTGAATGGTCTTTCTTTAAATAAAGTACACAAGACTGAAAAAGCAGGGAAGAGAGTGGTATCAATCCCCTTCCTTTTTCAAGTGAGAGACAAGTGTAAAAGAGATTTTTTTTTATGAAATGCCTTTTGTCTTTTAAGGATATGAAAAAAAAAGGGGAGGCAAAAAAAAAAAAAAAAAAAAAAAAAAAAATAAGGCTCAGAAATGTAAGACTGGATTTACTAAGTTTGTGTGTTTGCACTTATCAGTCAGCAAGGCTGCATTTCACTTTCCTCTGTGTTTTCTTTATATTTCAATATTGTATTTTCCTATTTATTCTATTATTACTATTGCTATTTTTTTTGAGTTTTTCTTTTCTTTAATAGCCCTTTCTGTTATTTTTTATTCCTTTTTTTTTTTCTTTTTCTTTCAACACTATTACTTCTATGCACCCTAATCTTCACCAGTATTTGCAGCAATCTTCTTTGACGAATGCCGGGACAACAGGAATTGGCGGCGGCGGTGGCAATGCTGCTACTGCTGGTAACCCGTTAACCTCTGCCTTACAGCCCACAACTAATGCTAGCAATAACCTTAACGCGTTATCTCAACATTTTTCGGCAATGAATCGCAATGTCGCAGCGGGTGTATCAAGTGCCGGTGGTGCTGGTGGTTTGAACACAGCTGATCCATTTATGTACGCACAAATGATGAACAACAATCTCGGACCACAAGGCATGCCTATGCCAAGCAACTACCTCATGCAACAACAACAGCAGCATCCTTCTCAAGCACAACAGCAACAACCTTCCCATGTTCAACAACAACAGCAGGACCATCAACAGAAAATGCAACAATTAGATGAAGAGAAAATTTACGGGCTTGTGTTGGATTTATTGAATCCCTCTACCAGAGAACAAGCCTTATTGGATTTAAGTAAAAAAAGAGAACAATATGAAGACTTGGCTCTCGTTTTATGGTACTCCTATGGTAAGTGCTTTGAGACTGCAGTGTTTACAGCATGCAAAGAGGAACATTAACCTTAAAAACTACATTTCTATTGCTAGGCGTCATTCCTGTATTATTGCAAGAAATTGTTACAGTTTATTCCTTACTAACACCTCCCACCTTGAGCGGAGGCGCTTCGAACAGGGTCTGCAATGCACTTGCGCTTCTTCAATGTGTTGCAAATCACAATGAAACCAGAAGTTTATTTCTCCAAGGTAAGAAATATAAGGAAATTCTGTACAAGCTTCGAATAGGGACGTTTTGTGCTAAATTGTCTATTTTGTTATATATAGCGCATATTCCCCTTTATCTTTATCCTTTTTTGAACACAACCAGCAAAACTCGTCCTTTTGAATATTTGAGATTAACGAGCTTGGGCGTTATTGGAGCTTTAGTCAAGGTAAGAACGTAAATTTGACTGAATTTAACGCTTTTGAACCGTAGAACTCATATACCTTTCACTGTGTATCAGAACGATAATCCCGAAGTCATTAGCTTTCTCTTATCCACCGAGATCATTCCACTGTGTCTTCGTATCATGGAAACCGGAAGCGAACTTTCAAAGACAGTTGCTATATTTGTTGTGCAAAAGATTTTGTTAGACGATACTGGCTTGGTAAGTAGAAAATGGGAAATGAAGTAAAAGTTTCGGTTTGCTAATAGCATTTCTGCTATTCTCTCAAACAGTATTACATTTGTCAAACATACGAGCGATTCTATGCTGTAGCTACAGTCTTACACAACATGGTCAATCAGCTCGTCGAAAATCAAGCTATGCGTCTGTTGAAGCATGTCATCCGTTGTTACTTGAGATTGTCAGAAAACCCACGGTAAGAAATAAATGCAGGGTGGAAGAATACACATGAAGAGCGTAGAGTACTTAAAGAAACTTTTCATCATTCCTTATCATATTAGAGCACGTGAAGCTTTACGTCAATGCCTCCCAGAGCCACTTAGAGACACGACTTTTCATCAGATTTTAAAGGATGACCTTGCTACAAAACGTTGTCTTGGTCAACTTTTACTCAACCTATCTGATGGCATGAATTAGAAGGAGGAACCTTACATTAGATACAACACATCAATACCAGCAAACAAAGGCTTTCTAATCAAAATATTTTAGGCATTTCTCTATGCTTAAAAGAAAACATGTAACAACAAGAAAAAACAACAAAAAAAAAAAAAAAGAAAAAAAATCCAGAATATAAAAAAGTGAACACACCAGCAGCTTTCATTTTGAAGCATTACAATATATAAGTTATATTTATTTAATGCTTAAAGAAGAGGTCCTTTTCTCGTTACATTTTACACATGCAATCAACTTATTTAACACCCTTATTTTATTTTATTTTTGGTTTACTGGCTGGGTCCTCTTTTCGTCCCAACCATTATATTTGTAGATGTACAACATTTCCTTTTATTTTTTTATGCACATATTCTTTTCTTTAACCTTTCTACGTCATTATTCCCCCATCCTCACACATCCATATTGATTGTTACCAGCATTTTATACAACAAAAATGATGTAAAAAGTAAAGGAAAAGGAGATAGAATAATAAATATATCTAGTTTCCTAATGCAATTACTCAATGTATGCCTGTTCGATGCAGTATCTTGCGAACTGGTTAAACGCGCATGTGTCGGTAGCATTCATGTAACTCAGGCAAGGGTGATAGTCGTGCAAAATTCTGCAGCTGTGACGTGCGTAGTAGTCGCTGTAAACGATCAAGCGGACAAGCTGGGTCAGGAAGTTAGATCAAAATTACTATGAAGCAGCGAATTCTGAAAATGTAGCGTCTTTATTCGAAACCGTACAAACATTCATAGAAAAGCACAACCACATTGTTCTGCCTCGTATAGTGCTAATGTTGGTTAAATTATAGCCACTATTTTTTATATACTAACGAATAGCTTGGATTTGTTTATCTGAAACCAAACAAGTAAAGTCCTAACGTATTCGATCTGCTAGAACCATAAACCGAATTGTTTGATCTGATTTGATCTGCTGACTATCTACAAGGCAGCATTGTTTGCAAAAAAGTCGCTCATAACGAAAGCTCAAGGTTACTAACTCCTCGCCCTTAATGCACTTAAGCGCAACGTTCTGCGTGGTGGCTATCAACGAACAGTCGTAGCACAGAATGCTCAGTTTTTCCCAGGGTACTATGATGTATCACCTCTGTATTTTCGTTTTAATCGCACTTTTGCATGTTTGCATCTTGTTAAAAAACTGTCTGATTTCTAAGCAAAAAACTAAAACTTCCTCCACACTCATCAAACCAAAAGATTTGCTCTTTTTAATTTCTACTTTAATTCGCCGGCAGGAACCTACAAGTAGTGCAGTTTCAATAATGTCGCCATCTTCCACCAATCGTGATACTCTAAACCAAATAAATTGCGTGCTGGTGTATCGGAATTTGTCAGGAAAACAGGCTTTTTTTTAGGTTTTTTTTTTTTTTTTTTTTTTTTTTTTTGAACTCTTGACAGCTGGTTGTGCAGCTCACCCGTCACAAAGCGGATTTTAGCTATAAAATGAAAAAAAAAACTTTTTTTATCTTGATTGTTTCTTTTTAATAAAAGCTTCAACCCTTCTATATACTAACTAGCTATACAGACAATGACTGTTACATCAGGATTCGGTACTCGTGCTGTGCACGCTGCTCAAAGACCTGATCCTACAACTGGTGCTGTTATTCCTGCCCTCTCTCTTTCTACTACATACAAGCAGTCTGCAGCTGGTGTTCATACAGTAAGTATCTGTTGCAATCTAAGGGTTCCTAGGGATGAGGAACATGAGTGCAGAAGCGTTTTGAAGATTATTCTGGATGTCTTGCATCCAAGGGGTATAGCTTCGACCGATACTAACTGTATAACTTGTGTTTCAATTCAGGGCTTCGAATATTCTCGATCTGGCAATCCCAACCGTAATAACTTTGAAGAAGCCATTGCTGCCCTTGAAGGCGGCAAATATGGTCTTGCTTTTGCTTCTGGTTCTGCTACGACTGCTACTATTGTCAACTCTTTAGAAAGCGGTTCTCACTTGATTTCTGTCAATGATGTTTACGGTGGTACCTACCGTTATTTCACCAAAGTTGCTGTCAACCTTGGCATCGAAACCACTTTTGTCAACTTGAGCGAACCCGCTAATATTGAAGCTTACTTCAAGCCAAATACCAAGCTCGTTTGGCTTGAAACTCCCACCAATCCCACACTTCGTGTCATTGATATTCAAGCCATTGCTGAACGTGCTCATGCTCACGGTGCTACCTTGGTTGTCGATAACACTTTCATGTCCCCTTATTTCCAAAACCCTCTTGCTTTAGGCGCTGATATTGTCGTCCACTCTGTTACCAAGTATATTAACGGTCACTCTGATGTTGTCATGGGCGTTGCTGTCACTTCCAACGAAGATTGGCACAAGAAGTTGGCCTTTATGCAAAACTCTCTTGGTGCTGTTCCTTCCGCTTTCGACTGTTTCATGGCTCGTCGTGGTCTCATGACTCTCGAAGTCCGTATGCAACGTCATGCTGAAAATGCTCAAGCTGTTGCTGAAGCTTTGCAAGAGAACGAACACATTGAAGAAGTCATTTACCCTGGTCTTACCTCCCATCCCAACCATGAATTGGCCAAGAGACAACAAAGAGGCTTTGGTGGTATGATCTCTTTCCGTCTTAAGGGTACTTTGGATAACGTTAACAAGTTTTTGAGCCGTCTGGAACATATTACTTTGGCAGAATCCTTGGGTGGTGTTGAATCTTTGGTTGAAGTTCCCGCTATCATGACTCATGGTTCTGTTAGCCCTGAAGATCGTGCTGCTTTAGGTATCACTGATACTTTGGTTCGTATGTCCATTGGTATCGAAAACAAGGAAGATTTGATTGCCGATATTCAACAAGCCTTAAAGGGCGCCTTCTAGTTTATACGCATATTCATCGTTTATCTTCATGACTACTACCTTCTATTTTTTTTCCATTTTCCCTATTTATATTCATATTATTATTAATCATACGGTTTGATTTACCCTTTACTTGTTAATCATGTAAAACCTCTCACAACCCAGCCTCATTTTATTCTATTTTGCTTTTGAAATTTTGTATGTAGACTTTTTTTTTTTTGTAATAGACTTTATTAAAGCAAAATATGTCCAAAGGATTTTGTAACTGTCTTGTGTTCTAAATGGTTCGTTTTTTTCCTGGTTTCTACACAAAAAAAGATCGATGGCATTTTAAAAAAAGTATATTTTTGAGGAGATATATAAGTAAAGAGAAAGCTGTATAGAATAGATGCATAATGACTGCTACGGTGAGTGGATGATGATGCCTTCAAAATACAAAAAAAATAGCTGAAAGAATGAATGAAAGGATAATAAATATTTACAAAAAGAATCTTTTACGACTTGTTTCCATCTCGGGTTTAAAGATCCATTCATATTCACCATCACGCTGGTAAACACCTTTCTGCAACCAACGCAGTTTCAAAGTGAACTTGGGTCCCAACTCTTGCAGCCCCACTTTCTCTGTATCCTTAAAAACATAACGGTGTCGTCGCACAAAGATGAAATCACGCTGATTGTGAAAAGTGATGACTTGTCTACCTTGGAACTCTGGCACTTGAGGTACCAACGCTTGGAACATACGACCGACAGTGTGGCCTAATCTCGTATTAAAGTTGTTGAGAATTAATTCTGGATTATGTGCTGTAACACGGCCATGATTCTATAAGGGGTACGTCAATCAATGTGTGTCAGTCTACTGCAACAATTGCCGTTCCAAAAAAGAAAAAAAAAAAACTTCCAGAGTGATCTACTTACAGAAATCTTCTTGGACGGTACAAAGCTCGATAACTTGAAATACGCAGAGGGTCCATCTGGCAAGTGTATTAAAGTGATGGCATCTAAACGGACAGAGGATGAATGAGCTAATAGTTCAGCTGTTCACAAATCAACGGTACTCACTCGGAACTTTGCGATCCTCGTTCACGATCAGTAGATCTGTAAATTCCTTCTCCTTTGCGATTTTGATCACTTGTCTCAACTCATGCTTGGCTCCACGTTTGGCAAATTGTGCATTGGGAAACATGGATACCAATTCCGCACAGAAATCGTAACAGTTAGGGGAAGGATTTTTGCTAGAGGTGATTAGTATCTTTGGTGTCTCTCCACTGAAATATTTGAGAAATTCATCCATGGTTTCGTCTTCAGCGACTTCATCGTCTTGCTCAACCATAGTTTCATCTGCTTCTCTTGTATTGTCTAATGTTTTTGGCACATTTTTCTCTAGTCGTTTCTAAACACGAGTGAGTGAATAGAAGACCATGTCACTTTTGTGAGTGCGAAGAATGGTTTTGCAAGGTCATAAAGAATTAGCAAATAGATCTACCTTTTTCAATTCAGGATCTTTCTCTTCTGCTTTGGCTTGCGCTTTTCGCTTGGCTGATTTAGCCTTTTGCTTCTCTAACTTTAACTTTTGATAAAGTTTTGTCCTTTTATCTTTATTTTTTAGTTCTGAAGGCTGTATTGCTGGAGTTCCCATCGTCGTTATTTGGGCTAATGTCGCTGGAAGTTGAAAGCTGACCTTTTGAGAAAAGTTTTGATAGCTTTGTTCTTTCTTTTTTTTTCTATCACAGCTGCAAAAAAAAAATTTTACAGTCACTGCCTCCACATTTTTCGCAGCACTGTCTGATAGAGCAAGCCATGCAGTGGACTAAAATAGGACCAAGTAAGAGAGTGTTCCAACGTTACCATTTTCAAAGGAGAGAAAAAAAATGAATTAGTTGCTTGAGTCATGAGGTTTAGATAGTAATGAAAATAAAAACAAAAAACAAATTAATTTATTTGAAGCAAATAAAAACGATTATACAAATGAAATTACAATAGGTATGGGACAGGTTGCTTATAAGCATGAATAAAATTGCAAAAAGTAAGCTAAAGATGGATGGAATATGGCGCAGATGACGAAGGTGAATGATAGGGTGAGTGTGTTTTGTATATACATAGATAAAAGCGTGTAATATAAAAATGTGAAGAGAGAAAAGAAAAATTTCAAGTACAGGGGATATTTGTCGTTAATAACCAATGGCTGCCATAATACCGTAACCAAGAGTAAAGATCAAGATAGTATTGAAGACACTAGTAGGAATACCGGTAATGATGAAATCTTTACCAGAAAGATAAGGTTTACCAGCTGGATCTTCCAGCATAATAGCTGACATGTTAGGGAAACCAGACACAGGGAGACCCATACCAGCAGAACATGCCAAACCAGCACCCATTACCAACAAGTTGGGATGGGGAATGGGCAAGTTTTCACCGACTTCTTTGACAATCGGAACAATAATCAAAGCGGCAACGGTATGCGAAACGAAGGTGGCGAAAACCAAAATAAGGAAACAAAAGATGGCCAAAATGGCAATAAGCGGCAAATGGGAAATACCGTCCTTGAGACGAATGGCAATATCTTGCAATAAGCCGGAGGAAGTGACAGCGTTACCAAGAGCCATACCGCCCTGTGCAAGGACAACAACGGACCACAAAAAGTTGTTGAGATCTTCCTTACCCAAAATACCAGTACCGAAGAAAACAAAGAGAGGGATGGCGGCAATGACGCCGGTATCACCCAGAGCATATTCCAGATTACTTTCAACGCACCAGAGAATGATAGTGGCAATACAGACCAAAACGATGAAAATTTGGGAGAGAGTGATCTTTCCTTTGGTAGGTTTGATCTTGTTCAAATGAGGAGTGTCTCTAGCAGGTTTGTAGACAGCTAATAAGAGACCCCAACAGACAAAGACAGTTATAATAGCCACAGGTAAAGCAACAGCGAACCAAAGACCCCATCCTGGATTAGGATCCATATACTGAAGGGTAACAATGTTTTGAGGAGAGGAGATAGGAGATGTCATACCACCAATACAACTGGACAAAGCAATACCAAGAATCAAGCAAGGACCGACGCGGGACTTATCGGGGAGTGTACGAAGAATAGGATCAATCAACGAGAAACAAAGCACAGGGGTAGCCACATTGGAGATGAACATACTGAGAACACCAGAGACCAACATGATAGCTAACAAAACCCACATAGGACGCGTACCAGCACGACTCAATACATGTGAAGCGAAAGCTTTCGCAATACCGTACTTTGAAAGTGCAGCAGCAAGCGCAAAGCCACCCAGCAGCATCATAATCGTACCACTGAACATAGAAGAGAAGGTAGCCTTAGCAGCTGCTTTAGCAGCCATGACAGAGCCGTCAGGGTTACGCATGATACCCATAGGTACAATCATGAAGGGGATAAGACAAGAGGTAGCGTAAAGAGGAATAGCTTCGGTAGCCCACATGATGGCAGAGAAAATGAGAAGAGCAAAACAATAATTTTCTTGACGACTACCGAAACAATCGACACAGAGCAAGATGATGAGAACAATAATCGATAGTGCAATACAGAATATTTGACGCAGAGAGCTTGCTGCGACTCGATAGTTGGTAAATGGAATCTTGTATGATTTGACGACCTTGGGTTCAACTAACTTGGTATCTTGAGTTTTGCGTTCATGACGGACCATATCCTTCCAAACGGTGTTACGTTCAAAGGTAACTTGATCGCGTAGATGAGTCTTCATTTGACGAAGAGCGAGAGTGCGGTTTCCATTACAGAAGGTATTCGCAAAGATAGTCTCTACACGATTAAGTTGACTCTTGAGAACATTTTGTGTTTCAGGACTGAAAGGCCTACTATCCATGACCATTTTGTTGATATATTGGCTTTTGAGATTGCCTTCGAGCACCTTGTCGTGTTTCTTCAAGATTTTTTCGAATGCTGTACGGTTGAGATCAACATAGGATTCGAGTTCTGATAACGAAATATAGAGCAAGATAAGTTGAGATCTTAAATCAGACAAACGTTCAACTAATAAGCCTTCCTCATCTTGATCAATAGATAAACGCGATTCAAAGGACTGTCGGGAGCCGATACGAGAAATACGGGAGGCTCTAGAGCCTCGACGTCTATGCGAGTCAAATTTGGGATAATCATTCTTGTCGATGGGTGCAATTGAGTTAGGATGCTCAAATGTGGAGTCCAGGTTTTCAAGAGGTGATAAATGATTTTTGCCGTCAGAATAATCAATGTTGCCGTTGTAATAGCCACTGCCTTGGACTTCAGTCTCTAATTCATCAAGTGTGCTGTAGAGTTCACTTTCTTTTTCTGTATAAAATTCAACGACTTTATCAAGTTGAGCGTCGAGAGCTGATAAAAACTTTGCTTCACCCTCAGTTTGAAGATCAACAGCCTTTTCAGGATCACCAAAATGTTGAGCGTTAAGATAGTCGACACGTTCTTTTTCTAACTGAAAGATAAGTTTTTTTAAAGATTCATAGCTAAGAAAAAACAAGGCGTGTGTGAGTACAATATGAATAGATTTGACAGTTCAAAAAAGGAAAATAAGAAATACAAAAAAAAAAAAAGTCGATGTTACTCACTTAACGTAATTGTCAATCCAATCTGGCACTGCGTTTAACTGCAATGTCTGTGAGAACCTCATTACGCTTTAATAGAAAGCAGACAATAAAAAAAAAGAGATATTTGGAAGAGGTTGGTTTACAGTGAGAGGGGTCTATCAAAGTTTTTTTTTGGGTCTTAAAAAAAAGTATTTCTTTTTTGTTTGGTAAGGCTGATTATATATGAAAGATCGGCGTGTAAAGTCTTTAACCGGAGATAGGTTTTATCATCAAAATTTATTGCACCCAATTATAGAGCTGATTGGGTGTCTCCGGGGGTGGAGTTAACAGCTCACACGACCTCACATGTAGCGAATAGAAAGACAGCAGACCCTAAAATAGATACTAAAATAGCAAAGTTTTGCAAATTATTGGTTGGCAGGCAGGCAAACAGGCAAGCTGTCTTAGCAAAGCCTCCATATTACTCTATTCTTATCTAATGTACTACACAAAAAGCATAAATCTTTCTTACTTTTCTTTTTATGGTGAATAAGCGGCGCTGATTTGCGTGCTATTCTGGTCTCTTTATTCTTTTGCTTAGAAATTTGTAGGCATTTTTGATCAACCGAACAAAATCTTCAAGTTTGAACTTCCATGGTTTCAATTTATATTGCTACTCTACAGCCAATGATATACTACACGTGAAAAAGTTCGTCGAAATGTACGTTGAAGAGCCCCTCCCCGCACTTTTCCTTATTAAACCACTTTATTTGTCTTTTTCTATAAGCTTTAAGAAATGCACAAGTGAAACGATATATTCATATGACTGTTATAAGTCAAGAAAAAAATTGATTACGCTACTTTTCGGCCAGACACGACTTTATCTTTCTTGCCAACACAATAGGCCATACTTTTTCATTTTGACCTCTTTATTCAGCGTGTATAAATTTAGAAATCAAATTTTAAAACATCGTTAAATTTATAAAACCAATGAGGTGGCGCCTTACATTCCGGGGTGGAAGAGATCTTTTACCGAAAGGCTGCGGTTGATTCGATCTTGATAGGATTTAAATCAAAACAAAAAAAAAAAAATTGATTAGTAAAGTACTAAATACGAATTTCATTTTCCTTTGTTTCAAGTAGCTTTCTCTGTCAATAATGAATAACGTTTTTTACATATGCTTTGAAAGAGATGCACAGGGATATCAACGTTTAATAAACATCTCCATTATTTGAGGATGAAACCACGTGTAAACATGCTTTGAATAGGCATATCAATACAAGCCTTCCAAAATGAAATAGACTGTGTATATTTGCATCTAGACGCGCGCGCTTCCAGTTGGTTTTAGTGCTTGTAGAAAAAGGAACTTGCTGCATGAACAGTTAACTAGCAAAGATCTGGTGCGCCCGTATAGTGAATACAAGCTTATTATGGCAAACGAGAATAGAACGAATAAACAACGCCAATAAGACTATCTTTTATGATTTTTGTTTGTTTGTATAGTGCTCATCACTGCTTTTTTTTTTATACAGATTCCAGCAGATTAAAAATAAAAGATATATTTAAATGCTTGGTAACAAGAATTTAAAAATAACTTGATCTAAAAAGGTACTGTACTTTTCAAACAAAATAGACTCTGCTTAGTTCGTTGTTTGTAGAAACGGTTTCATGTTATCAAGTGCTTGCTGATGAAAATAGAAGCAGCACTGCATTCTATGGTAAATAAACTATTGAACTGCGTCCAATGATAAGCTTGCATTTGTATCATTGGACTTTTCAGCTACACATTTGCTTAACAATAAAATAGTGGCTAATATAGGAGATCTCTAGAATGAAGCTGTGAGACAATCTAGGGCCTTCTGGTCAAACCGAGAAAAGAAAGGTCATGTGATGTATACTATATACTTTGTGACTCCCTTTTTCAAATGCTTTGACGCGTATTTTGAGATGACAAAGAACTAGCTGTCTACTCAAGTGTCGAGCTTCAGACTAATACACTTTCTTATATGTTTGTTGTCGCAACGGTAATTTTGAAACAAACAGATAAAGAGGGAAAATCAAATACCATTCAAATGATTTTCTATGCATTCACCGCTCCTGTAAATCAAAGGTAGCAAAAATAAACACGAAATCTACTGTTGCCATACCTTTTGTAAAAGATTTGAAATAGCCAAAATGAGCAAACTTACTCATTATAATAAACGGAACTTACGCGTCAGGTACGCACCGGATACACAAACACGATCATTAGAAAGTAATCACTGTTGAGTGACATTGAAACCCTTGATATAACACATGCCTTTGTGACATACTACTAAAATGTAGGTTTCTTTGATGAATATTTTTCTTTTCTGTTTTCCTATGAAAATAAGCGCCAGTCGCCAATTTCATGCAGATTTCGCTTTTATGTTTCGAAATAATTACAAACGGGGAAATAAAATTTTTTCCTCTTTCTTAACCAACAGATCAGAATCGCCTCAATTTTAGATCAGCCTCATCGCAATCTTTGTTCGACCATGTCATCTACTTCTTCCAGTCAGAACGGAACCATAAGTTCATTTTTTAAACCGGTAAAGAAGATGGATGAGAGTGACTCGAGTCCGAAAGTCGTCGTCAAGAAGACATTGAAGAGCAGCAACCTACCTACCTTGACTTCAAAGTCGTTTGTTTTCAATCTTACTAAACAAGGAAGAAGTAGCAGTAGCAGTACCACGTACAGCAGAAGCAGCAGCAGCAGCAGCAGCCGTATCTCTCTTTCAAGGACGAACAGCGGTTATGGTAGTAGTACTGAAAACCTGGCAGAACATTTATCAAGGTTTCGATTCGCTTCACCTGAACAAAAACCACTCATCGATCTGACAACACCTACCCGACGATTAACACAACGACGATCGCTCTCCGACGAGGACAATTCAGAGGAAAGCGATCAAGAGGAAGACGCTGTAACTTATAAACGTAAGCTGCGTCAAAGAAAACCAGCAAAAAGGATAAATACGTACATCTTCTCTTCGGACGAGGAAGAAGAGGCGGAGGAATCGGAAAATGACACTGAAGGAAATCAGAAGGAAAATTCAAATACAGATACCACAAATGCATCAGCGACGAGAGTAAATGTAAGAAAGCGTAGAATACTGGATTCAGATGAAGAGGACGATGTGATAGAGGATGACGCTGTGGACGACGCTTATGTCGATCAAAATAAGAAAATAGACGTATCTTTGATTGACGCAGCTGAGAAGGCAAATATCGAACGTGTCCAACGAATTCATCCAGACAAAACGCTGGAGCAAATAAGAGACGCCGTGCGTCATGCCGGCAGTGTTGTGGGCGCTTGTCGACTGTTAATGCGCGAAAATGTTGTGATCCCTAAGGCAGCAAAACGACCTCGCCTGATGGACGAGGAAGAATTACAAGAAAAACAACGTCAAAGGCTTTCTGAAATTCAACGCGAGCGTCTTGTCCTCAGGTACTTCAACACGTGTACACCAAAAGATCTGCAGGAAATCACCGGTTGTAAAGAGGACGTTGCCAAATTGGTTGTGAACGAACTAAGGCCATTTCCCGATCTTGATGATTTGGAAGAAAAATTAAAGCAAACCAAAGGTGCCGGTGTCCGCTTTATCAACATATGTCGAGAAATGATGGAAGGCTATACAGCTGTAGATGAGATTATCGAAAGTATAGAGAATTTGGGAACAGAACTACGGGATATTTTCAGCATTTGGGAACGCCTAGGCTCACACAAATCTATCTCCAATCGAGCAAGTTCTCCAACTGATAAGGATGAAGATGATCAACCAGGAATGAACATGACTAGTATCGACGCTGATGTGGAAAAGTATAAATCAAATCCGAAGTATAAAGATGCCTTGCAAGGTTATCTCACAGCACAGCCAAAATGTGTCAATTCAGAATTCACTTTGAAAGATTATCAAATACTCGGCATCAATTGGATGCTACTTCTATACCGCAAAGGTATATCAGGTATTTTGGCCGACGAAATGGGTTTGGGCAAAACGGCTCAGGTTATCACTTTTCTTGGTCGCTTGTACGAACTCGGTGACTATGGACCTCATTTAATTGTTGTACCTTCATCCACCATTGAGAATTGGGCGCGCGAATTTGAACGCTTCGTACCTACCTTGGAAATTCGCCTTTATCATGGTAGCCAGCAATCCCGCGCTGAACTACGTGATGAGTTGAGATATGAGAATAAACAGAAAGAGTTTCAAGTGATTCTGACCACTTACCAATTAGCCTCTGGTCATGCTGACGACAGGAATTTCCTCAGAAAGTTACGGTGCCGCTCCATGATTCTCGATGAAGGGCATATGGTCAAAAACTGTAATAGTGCACGTTACAAATCCTTAATGTCTATCAAGGCTCCTTTTCGTCTGTTGTTAACCGGCACACCTTTGCAAAATAATCTTCAAGAGCTTGTCTCTTTGTTGACTTTCATCATGCCAGAAACCTTCTCTAACTTTGAAGAAGAACTCCGCTCGATCTTCAAAATTAGAAAAGCTAGCGCAAAAGAAGAATCAACAAAGAGCAGCACGAATGCAGAGACCTCGGTCCAATTGCTATCCAAAGAAAGGATTTCACGTGCTAAACGTATGATGACACCTTTTGTACTTCGTCGGAAAAAGGAGGATGTGCTCAAGGATCTGCCGAAGAAGCATCAACTTATCGAATACTGTGAAATGACGCCATCGCAAAATACAGTCTACTCAGAAATATTATTAAGGAACAAGGCCAATTACGAAAAAACGGCGGAAGAGTTAGAGAAAGATACAAAAGCAAAATCAAGTGATTTTGAGACTATGTCAAATGTTGTAATGCATTTACGAAAGGCAGCAGATCATCCGTTATTGTTTAGGAACCATTATACAGATAATCTACTGAGGAAAATGGCTAAAGAGCTCAAAAGCGATGTAAAATATTGGGATTCTGACGAAGATCTAATTTACGAAGATATGACTATTATGACTGATTTTGAGTTGCACAACCTATGTTTAGAGGAAAAGGTAAACAAATACAGAGCCGATCTGCAGGATGTTATCTGTTGACTGATTTTTGATGTATATGATATATATATATATATATGATAGAAAATCAAGCGCTATATGCTACAGAATGAAGAATGGATGGATTCAGGCAAAGTGAAGAAGTTGCAAACCCTTTTACCAAAATTCAAAAAAGACGGAAACAAAGTATTGATCTTTAGTCAGTTTACTACCATGCTGAATATTCTTGAAATGTGCTTGAATACAATGGGCACTTCGTACGTGCGATTGGATGGTTCGACGAATGTTATGGAGCGCCAAGCATTGATTGACCAATTCAATAATAGCAAAGATATTGATGTGTTTTTATTGAGTACGAAAGCTGGCGGTTTCGGCATCAACCTTACTTCAGCAAAGTAAGTCTACAACGTCGATGCAGTTAGAGAGGTGTGGGTTGGGGCGGTTTCAGAGCGACTCATTGACTGTTTTCGTTAGCATTGTTATTCTCTATGATCTAGATTTTAATCCGCAAAATGATAAACAGGCTGAAGATCGAGCACACCGTAGGTGTTTAATATGAGTATATTTTCAAGCAAACCACGATGGAGCTAACTGTATTATCTTCTCTTTGTCTGTTCTTTTTCCCTACTCTAAATATTATTAGGCGTTGGCCAAACCAAGGATGTGACAATTTATAAGCTCATAGCCAAAGATTCTATTGAAGAACATATCTTAAGTATGGCTAACCTTAAGTTACGATTGGATAAGAATATTTCGGCTAAAGAAGACGAAGCAATGGACGAGTTTGACGATGAGAATCAGAAAAGGAGTCTTGTTTCTATCATTAAAGATACTTTCAAATCTGCCAATACACGACTCCATACTTTGTAATATTCTTTCCTTCTCCTTTAGCCTTAAAGAGTATCTACATTTATTACCCATAATATACTCATATATATCTTTTAGAATTGATTTAAACGTCAAAAAGTTACCCACAATTTAATGCAGTAAACAATTTACAAAAACCTTGGCTACAAATGTGTGAAGCTTATTAAGATGGTATCAACAGTTACAGTAATGCAATACTGAAAAGGCACAACCCTTTTATATAAATAGTACACAGGAAACCTGGAAACATAATCCATATTTTCAAGATGTATATACACGAATAAGACAGGCTATTACGGCGAGGGGGAACAAAACTTTGTAGTAATAATATAAGAATAAATAGAGGAAAAAAGGATAAAACGACATGATAAAATAGAAGTTGAGGGTATGCATATAAGTGTATAATAGGATCAAACTATTAAGATTCCGTAGGTGAAGCCTGAACGTCCAGCATGGGATCGTCAGCGGTAGTCGCAGTATCATTATCACCGACACTTGTCGAAGGAGAAGTATTCGTGCTGCCACTCATGTTATGGACACCTTCTTCCTCAATCTTAAATCCTGTTTGCTTTTGCATTAATTTTCTCCGTTTTTTACGCTTATTCGCACACGTCTTCAATGCTTGCTTCATTTCTGTCATTGTGAATGGTTTACTGATAAAATCATCCATTCCTGAATCAATGCAAATTTGTCGGTCTTCACGCGAGGCTGAAGCCGTGAGAGCAATAATATATACCTCCGTGGCATTAAGAAGACCAAGCTTTACAAAGTTGGTAGCACTCGTCGTATTCGATTGTTGAGCTATATTATCAGCATGGTCTTCAGAAGATGTTGTTAAGTCCATGCTGTCAGTATTACCTCGTTCTCGCTCTCTGATAATCTCTCGAGTTACTTCTAAACCATCCATTTCAGGCATATAAAGATCCATCTAAATAATTCAGCATTGTGAGTATATAATGTTAATTAGAAATTCAATACTGTATATCGTTCACTTACGAATATTACGTCAAAAACGGATGACTTCATCAATGTCAACACTTCTTTTCCATTATTGGCTATTTCAACATCTACATATCCTAAGCGCTTTAAAATACTTATTGCAATCTTCTGATTCACTGGTTACAGAGAGTAATAGCAAGAAAAAACCATTAGCGACCGTCCATTTTATAAGAACATTAAGGGGTCGGAAAATAATGAAATAACTCACATATATTATCCTCTGCCAAAAGAATCCTTAAAGGATAAACTTTTGCCAAATTTTCTTCTTTGCTTTGCGGTTTTCGGTTAAAGTACTGTTTTGTTATACCGATACGCGAGTTTCGACTAGCTGGTGAAAAACCATCATTAAGTGCTTTTCTGCTGCTGCTACTCCGCAATGGCGCTTTAGCATTGCCCTCTAACAAGCCGCTATTTACATTTGCACCCGCTTGTCTACCTTCTTCAGGTGTACTGCTTGCAAATGATGCAATAGTATTCATCGAGGTGTTATCAGGTACGCTTGTCGCCATTCCTCTTTCACTTGATTTGCAATTTTGCAAAAGCTGAGAAGTGAACGAATTATCTGAGCGTACATTATACCCATTAGGCAAATAGGGTTGTGAGTGACAAGTTCGTGATAAAGTAGGGCGAAGGGTATATGGTTGATGTTGCTGATAGGGTGGGGGCACAGACTGTCGTATCTGTTGTTGCTGTTGCTGTGGCTGTGGCTGTGGCTGTGGCTGTTGCTGTTGCTGTTGCTGTTGCTGTTGTTGTTGTTGTTGTTGGGTATGCAACTGCGGAAAGTTTGTCGAATTTGTCGTTGAAGAAGCGGTTGGAAAGTAGCCTGAACTAGTTAAGTTACTATTCAACGCTGGTGTAGCAAAAGTATATACTGAAGATGTGACTGGTGATACTAAATCGTTGTTATTAGCGCTATTACCCGCTGCCGAATGTACACTACTGTTACTATCAGACGCCGTCGAACAAGGAGACGACGGTGAGCCTGCAAAACCCAAAGGTGCGGTGTCACTGCTATATTTTCTACCCCGGGGGGCTACGGTAAATGGTAAAGTCAGGGCAAATCGTGAGCCTACATTCTCCTCAGATTCTACCCACAAGCATCCACCCATACGGTTGACTAGAGTACTGGAAATAGCCAGACCCAAACCGGTACCACCGTATCTTCGTGCTGTGGAGATGTCGATTTGAGAAAATGATTTGAATAATTTAGGCAGACGGTCAGCAGGTATGCCAATGCCGGTGTCCGTTACAGATACTTCTAATATAGCCTTTTCGGTAAAATAGTCTGCATTCTCAGAGTCTTCAGAGGCAGCCGTGGTGAGACCACCCGCTGAAGAAGCGCCTGAAGATCCAGGAGAAACATTAGGGTTGTAAGAATTTGACTTTTCTCTAGCCTGATTCCATATTGTCTCTATTTTGGCATCGTATCTTTCTTTAAATGTCATACATCTTTCTGTATTACGCGTTTGAGAAGAAGCACTAGTACGAAGTGGAGTCGGAGTAGATCGTTTAATTCGTACATGGATACCGCCTTCTTTGGTAAACTAGGATTCGAATGGGTCAGTACAAACTTTCGATGAAAAAGCCTCTTAAACAAATAGGAGGTAGTTTTGCATCTTCAAACATACCTTGACAGCATTAGAGCAAAGATTCAGCAAAATTTGTGTCAAGCGCATTGTATCGCCAACCAGGTGATCAGGTACGTCGGAATCAATCTTCCATATAATTGGTAGTACAGTTTTACCTTTCTTATGCATCAGAGGTCTAAGAAGAATGCCCTTATCTTCCAACTGTACAATAAGTTCAGGCAATGGGATATTATCGTCTTTGTCCGGTGGATATTCGATCACATATACGACTTTGTTCTGCTGGCTCATGGAGGCTTGATGACGAGCCATGTTTAAAGTATCTGCAAGAATAATGTCATAATATATGAGCGATTAATCGTTTGATAAATGAAGACAGACGTTTTTACCTTTTAGGCATTTCCTTAAACTGAATCGTCTATTCTCAAGCTTGAATTTTGGATCGTGATTTAATTTAGATATATTCAAAATGTCATTTATGATCTAAGAAAAATACGATCATTTTAGTACAAGATTTCCAGAAGGAGCTATGTAAATATGATGACTTTACAGTTAATAAATGACTGCCACTCGTTTGTATAACCTCTAAATGCTCTACTTGCTCCAGGTTCAAACTGGATCGTTCCTGCAGTAGTAAATCTGTTAATGCAATGACTGCATTCATAGGCGTCCTGTAATCAGAAGGAAAAAATGTAAGTATCTATCGGAATCCATCCTGCTTCATCATTACTGTATGTCTACCTTATCTCATGACTCATGTCAGCTAAGAACTTTAGTTTATTCTCGGCATCCAATACAGCCAAATCTCTGGCAATAATCAACTGTTCCTGATAATTTATTGCTAGTAGCTCGTTAACACATCGCATATTGACGGCATTCAGAATTGTCGTCATGTTTTCAAGTTTGGCAGTATCAATTTCATTGCTGGCTGTCAAACATAGCATTCCGTTCACCGTCGCATTCTTTTTATGCGTTGAATCGAGTTTCATCAATACAACGTGCTGATAAGCTGGGTATACGCCTCTTTCAATCTCCTCCTCTTCTATTTCAGTGTGCTGATTAATAATATGGATGGTTTTGTCTTCGTTCAATAGAGCTTTAATGTAAGGTGATGAAGGATTCAGCTGTGACAGCGGGATAACTGTATTCGTGAAACTTTCGGATTATAAAACGAGTGGATGTTAACAATACAACAAAACCTTTCCAATGTGGGCCTAAAATACTTTACCTTGTGGGGGACCTTGAGGTACCATTATTTAAAAAGCTTGATCTGATCAATAAGAATCTGTTCTGTAGCATATCGGATTTTGAATCAGCAGATACGGACGATAGGTGTTGCGGTGATGGATCACTGGATGATGGCTGGATTTCAGGGGAACTTGAATTGGATACAGACGAAGAAATAATATGAAGTCTTGCCTTCTCATTTTTCTTGTATATCTTTGTCAGTTCTTTGTAATCATCCAATGTAAGTAGTTGCAAGAGAATGGCTGATTGTATCTTGGTTTGTATGGTTATTTCCCGCATAAGGTTGTTCAAAAATTTGTTTCCAACATCCGAAAATGTGTTGTAGATTATTGATAAAAGCTCAGGCGGTACGTTGTTACTGTTGAACTGTGCTGGAGGAATGTTGTTGGAGTTTGACTCGCAATTGACCTTACTGAATGAGTCATTTGTGTTCATTATCTTTTTCGTGATGAAAAATCGTGGAAATCAATCGTTAGCAGTGAAACACTGTACAGAGAATTCTTGTTTAGATAGACAGGCAATGTAATTTTATATTCCTTTAATGAGAAATAAAAGTTTTGAATTATGAAAGGAAAAAGAGATGTAGACTTAGGATTAAGCTATTGAAAAATTAGACTATTTTGTTCCGAAAAAGAGTGATTTCCCTTCTATCATACGTCACTTTTAATATAGAAAAGTGAAATAAGAAAAATCAATGCGCCAATACAGTTTTGTCAATCGCGTGACTTTTCCATTGAGATCTGTACCTCTTGTATTGACGCCTACTTTGCCCTTATAATGTCTTTTAAGGTGCGACTTCAAAATATATTATAGAGGGTTATGAATTGACCAAGCAGTTTTGAAATTAATGGATCGCTTGACGTGCTGTTCGGAGGGTATGGAATTAAATCCGTTTGTTGCAGGTAATTTTAATAAAGAAAGTGAAAAATCCATATAAGTGATAGGGCACTTTTTGAAAGATGAAGTATTTATTACTGTAATTTAATTGTTCGAACAGTATTATACTCAAGAACTTCGAGTTATTGCCTACTTGACTCTATAGATACAAGTGAAGCAGCACCAGTAAATTGCACAATGAATATCAGGGTCCAAACTCACAAGTACACAGAATTTTGCCAACGGTTCCATGCGCATATGCATATCTATATTTTGAATATTAGTACATGGGGCTAGTAACCGTATAATTTTTATTTCGGGCATTGTATGTGCATATACATACAACTTTTGATGAACCGCATCTTCAAGTATTCTAGGTTTACTTCAACTAATAAATAGTTTGGCTTATCAATTATTGATTTTGGATAAGTATCTATTGCAACTTTGTTGATCCCTTTACTGTGGTTCCAACAGTAATTGATGTTGCACTCTTTTTCTCTTCCTTTTTTTTTTGGAGAAAAATATGATTTCAATGAGTGCTACGGTGAGACATTGAAAAAGACCAATTCAGGGATCAATTAATATGACTATTATTGAATAATATGAATAAATTGCATAAGGGTATTGTCAAAATATATTAACAACCTACATTAGATTTTCATCAAGCGAAGTATATCCTGAGTACATCAACAAAAGTAGGAAATAAAAAACCAAAGTCATTGGTAACTGCCGTATCGTAGAAATTAAATATTTCTTTAAACATCTGTTCATAAATTGGTAGGAAGAATAGATCACTACTGATTACTATTTTACGCAAGTTTAATCATTGTCATAACATTGAATGAGAAACTCAAAAGATAATTTCTAAAGCCTGGATTGATTAGAGTACGTAGGAATTTGAGTGCACTAAATAAAGCTGTGGATCGAAGTGAAAGAACTTTAAGCAGTCCCAAACAATGTGCCTTGATCGGTCATTTCAACAACTATATGCACTAAAAGCGCGAATAGAATCATATTTACGACTGCAATGATAGAAGTAATCAACATATCGTCAGCAACTACGTAGAGGACAAAAGTATCAGTGAGCGTTTTTGATTTCTCAAAGGATGAATGCATAACTCTGCTGCATTTACCTGGTTTCAACTGCTTGAAATTATCTGGTAGAACCAACACTTTACAAGCTCTATCAGCACTGGCACTTGCCAAGTACTTACCGTTTTTACTAAAATTAAAAGCTGTAATAGTGGAACTATGCTCCTTTTTTAGTTTGTACAGTGGCTAGTTCATTATACAGATTAATAAAAGACTCTACAATTGTGATCCCAAACTTTCAATACCTTTAATGTCGCTGCATCAACAAAACCAATACTATGATCGGAAGATGCATAAGCTAGTATATTACCCTTTGGACTGCGAGTAAAAGTACACTTTTTAATACACAAAGAGCATGCCCAAATAAAATCAAATTCGACTAACCTAACACGTAAATGGGTAATCTTCTTTCGACCTATACCAACTGTTTTTGCCGTTTTTGAATTCAAAGGGTATGCAAGTGATGAGGACGAGCGTAGTGTCCAAGCTGTGATGTAGGCGCTTTTATTATTTCTCTGTATTGGATTAACAGCTGCATACAATACTTGTTGTCCATTTTTGATACCATAACTGTAGAACGTCCATTAACAAATGCATATAATTGTTTTCAAATGGTTGTTTGCAATTGAGCTTACCGACTCGCTATAAATTCACATTTTATATTCTTGTTCAACTTGGGGCTGTCAATGACTTGCACAATATCCCCACTTCCATCGTGAACACATAATATGATCAGAGCAGTAGTTGTAGTAATAACCATATATTCTTCATTTGCGTCGAAATCAATATCTTGAATAGATTGATTAAATTTCACAGAGGGAAAGCATAGGTGCCATCCGAAATCATTCTCTTTCATTACTGTCAGTCTACCATCACTAAAACCAGTAGCCAAATATTTCCCTGATGTTTGGCTGAACACAGTTACTTTCTGATATATATCAGAGGACGTACAGTTACTTGCTTTTATTTTGATTTTCAGGTTGATGTCTCTGTGATAAATGCCTGCTTATCAGTATTTGCCTCTTGCACTTTACAATAATCGCACTCATTTAGTTACCCATCCTTCGTTATATCAAACAGTCTACAGCTAAGATTATTTGCTTCTTTGATATCGTTCTCATTGCTGTTCATGCCTACTGCTGTTACTGATACCTACTTTTTTGGAATAAGTTACTCTTACTTCGGACTTTGCATTTTCTATTAACGAGATGAATAGGATGAACTTACATTAGGATGACTGGACAGCGACATGGGACAGTCTTCGGTCTCGGACCAGTTTATGGTACGGATTTCTCTTAACTCTTTTTCGTCCTCAGAGACTTCTAAGCAAGTCTAAGTTATCATAGCAGGTAGTACATTAAGTGATCGCGCTCAAGACAGAAACGATTTAGCTAATACGACAACTTACCAAATGATTGTTAACGCCTGGATGGTTTGCTCCTCCTCCTCCAATCAAGACCAGTATACCGTCCGCTGTAAAATCAACGCCGTAGATAGGAAATTCGACTCTCTTTTCATATATGGTTAGAAAGGAAGAAGGGCTCATCATTGTTTAACAGCTAATCAAGGTTTCACAAATTTTAACAAAAGTCAAAGAAATAAAAGCATCTCAGAATTTTTTAATGCGAGTATAAAAAGTATGTAATTAACCGAGTGGATTAATCTACGTAGATTTGGTCATCTATTAGGTAATTTAGAAGTAATTCTTTCCTGTAACTTTTTCTTTCTTATTTAATAGAGATGTATATGATCATTATTAAAACTGTCAGAATCACCAGCCCTCTGCCATTTTTTGGAAAATGAAAGACAACAGATAGGCATTAAGACATTCTATCCTAATCTCAACTTGATTTGACACTCAAACCAACTCAAAGCAAACAAAATTAGCGAGTAACACTGTCAAGCTTTAGGGGCGCTCGCCGCACAGAGAGCGCCCCGGTCCAAAGAATCTGATCAGCTGCCCAGTCCAATTGTCAGGTCTTGGATGTGATTTATCACCGCCAAATTGTGGTGCCAAAACAGGAAATTGATACCAACCATCTGTTGCAACAACAGATAACTGTAAACTGTTGTTAGTATTCACTTCTATAATTCAAAAGGTATGATTTTCGAGACAAGTATTAAATTAAACGAGAATAAGTCAAGGTGGATTGACAGAGTTATAAGTATATAATATGGACAAACAATGAGCAACTTTAACAGCCTGCATACTGGAATTGATGTCGGTTGATAAAGGTGTTTTACGATGCAAGGCGTTAGTATCAAGAGTAGGGTGGGTATTTTTCATAAGAGATAATCTCTTCATACCTTTGTCCCTGTCCTAACGGGCGTTCCTGTTAACAGCAGCCATTCCTCCAAAAAAAAAAAAACAAAAAAAACAAAAGCTATGTGTGCTTTGTTTCGTGCCGCAGACAAATTGTTGTTAGTGCAAGCGGTATAACGAGGTCTACTATGAACCGATAGGAAACGCGTTATTCTGATGAGTTTACGTTTTTATTGAGAAGAGTATAAAAGAATACAGGGAAAAAGTTTCGATTAACTGGTTAATCAAGTACCCAACGAACCAGAGATATGTCGATTTACAAAATTTATATTAAATTATTCGTATTCTTTGAGAACAGTAAGAAGTTATTGAGTATTTGCTGGTGTTGCATCAGTCATAATAGAAGGGTTATGTGTACTGGTATAAACATCATCCATATCGTCATCAACAATTTGGTCCTCATCTTCTTCATCGTGATTTAGAATACTGGAATCCGCTTCTGGTGAACCAACAGTTGACGTTACGGGAGAAGAGACACTGGATAACTCCACAGCTGCTTTACTGTTATCAATACTAGCAGAATGTTGCTGTGGCTGTGGCTGTTGTTGAGTACTAGCGTTATTATTGTCCATGATATTTACACCTGTCAGTTTATAAGTTTTCATTGCTTCTTCATATTCTCTCATCTCCTTATTGAAAATGTCATAATAGAACTTTTTTTCTTCTTTAGGTAATGCTCTCCATTTATGGGCCAATATCTTGGTTACATCACCAACACTTTCGTCTGGATTTTCATCCTTAATTTTATCACGTTCGAATCTACAGTACAAGAAAAATACATTGCCTGGGCCTTTAGGGGCGTTTGGATCCTTCTTTTTCTTAGGTGGCTTGATAACAGTGGTAGTTGTTGGTTTACTGTTGTTACTGCTGTATAATACTGAAGATGATGCTGAATTAGGTTTAATATTGTTGGCGTTGGGTTTGTTGTTCAACAAACTATAGTGATGCTATGAAATATAAAATCAAGGTAAGGTTTAAGCATACTGCATGTGATAGGCTACGATATTTCATCGACTTACCACCTTATGATGATGGTGAGAACCTGACTCTAAAAACTCATCTGAATTCGTATCAGAGTCTTCATTGTTACTACTTAGGGTGTAGCCCTTCTCCAGTCTTTCTAATAATAAGCTATGTATTTAAAATGATATGCTATCAGCCAACCATTTGTTAATATACCTATAGCTCCTTCGACTTACCTTCTTTCCAAGCGTAGCCTTTTGATATTTTTACGAGCTTTATGCAATTTTTCTTGAAGTAAGTCATTTTCCTATTCATGGAAGAAATAAGTGTCAACTACGGTGCACTTAGTATTCAATGATAATGTTTGTATGCCTACAGTTTCCACTTCTCTATATCTCTTTTTTAGGTCGTCCAACTTGAGTTTCGTTTTAGCGTCTATACAATGACTTGTGAGTACTTGCATTTTCGTGCAAATCAAAGATAGAGTCTAAGCCTACCTTCTGCCATTTTTTAATTTTTTTTTTTTTTTTTTTGCTTTTGGCCAGGGAAAGATATACAAAGACAGATAAACGAAAAAGAAGAAAGTAAAGAAAAAAAAAAGTCAAAAGAAAAAGGAAATTGAGAAAATGTTTCAATTCGTCGTTCTTTTTCGTGAATAACACGGTAACAAGGTCAATAAAGAACAGAAGACAGTCAAAAAAGAAAAGGGAGTCCTTTCAAACCGGAACACGCCTTTTCTTTAAATGTATATACCAACACGCACACACGCACACACACGCACACACACACACACACACAAAACTGTACGTACAGTTGCTAACAATAAAGTACCACGCATCGAACAATTTTTTTTTTTCCTGTTTTTAGTGCAGCCAATTTAAAAAGGCGAATTTATTTGTATTTCTTTAAAGTAGTGCACTCTACTGTATGTGAAACGCTTCTTTCTTTCTAAACTCATAGTGATCAGTTTGAAGCGTTGGTCTCTCCATCTTTAACTTCTTCCTCTTCATCATCATCGCTATCATCACCTTCAGGCTATCAAAGTGAAATTCAGATCAGAAAAGGACCCAAAAATAAAGGAACTGATTTAAATAGTCATGCTAACTTACCAACATACTATCCATGTTCACATTACTTAATCCGCCGCCAGCAGCTCCTGCTTGGGCCATTAATTGTTGGAAATCTATACCTGCCATAGGATCACCAGCTGGTCCCTCGTCGTCTTCCTCATCTTCATCCTTCCATTTTTGGAAATCAACCTTAACAAAATTGAGCTTGTTGCCCTTCTGAAGTTTGGGCCAGTAACTGGCTTCCTTCTTATAAATGACCATAGTTAAATTACGTGCTGTTAAGTGCTTCTTAGATTTCTAATGCGATACCCCCAATAGAAAATGAAAAAAACCGGTTTCGTATTAGCACCCTATTACTTCCCTCTCTTCGATACCTTTGGAGTATAGCTTGACAAAATAGATCCTCATGCTTTACCTCGGGATCCACATTTCCGTAAAATTCGATTTCGAATTCGTAATCGTTCTGTTCCTTTTCACCTTTTCCAGTGAAGTTAATCTTGCTTTCATTTAAGTCGATTTTTGGATCCTTTGTTAACGAAAAGAAATATTGTATTAGCCTCTCATGCTCGTTCTTTACCTTTTCTTTAACATTTATCAGACTTGCAGTTCCATTCAGTATTGGAACTAATTACACTACCTTAATATCAGAAATTTCAACAGTTAAATAAACTACATCGGCTCTTTGAGCCCAGAGAACGGTAGGATGAAGAGGCATTTTATATCAAATCAATTAGAAAAAGACTAAAGAAAAAGAAAGAAAAGAGAAGAATACAGCTTTGTTTTGACTTTATGGCTCACGCGTCTAAAGAAAAAGCTGGAAACTTTTTATAAAGGCCGCTCGCAAACCGCAAATTTTCCCTTTTTGCTGATTTTGATGACGGCATGAATGTCAAGTAACAGGCACGCTAGTTTCTCTTGTCTATAAAACTAATCTTCCCTTCTTCAGTTAAATGGTGTTGTATACGTGCTTCAAGTTTAACAGAAGCTGCGAACTTTACTTTATAAGGCTGGGTATTTGTTAGATTGCAGATCAACTATATCTTTGAATCATTGGGCAGACATGCACAAGAAGTTGCGCATCACTTCGTATTGAAACCATACTCCAGTTGGACATTATGTATACTACCATTTATGGACTTACTTGTCCACTTCTGAATTGTCATGTACCTTTCGCGAAATCTTACCAATGATTCACCATAGGATTTTAGCCACCACTTACTCCGCTAGCTGCTTTGATCCAGTGACAGCTCTTAATTTTGATCATCCTCAAAATTTTGATTTGGTTGAAAAGAAAGCCCGTAGATAGTCTTATTTTCTTCCCCTTTTTTTCAAATTTATTAAAGAGCAGCAATGGTCAACAGTGATGATGTCAAGATCGCCGTTATCGGTGGTTCAGGTCTTTACAATCTCGAAGGTTTGGAAGTGGTTGAAGAAGTCAACCCTGAAACTGTAAAGTATCTCTGACAGCTACAGTCATTTATACACACTTTTTTTTGCTAACTTCGTTGCTTGCCATTTCAATGTATCTTAGCCTTGGGGTTTTCCTAGTGATAAAATCATCATCTGTCGTCTTCCCAGTGGCAACAAGGTAGCATTCTTGGCTCGCCATGGTCGTGGTCACTACTTGACACCCACTGAAGTCCCTGTGCGAGCCAACATTGCTGCTCTCAAATCACTCGGTGTCGAAGCCATCATTGCCTTTTCTGCTGTTGGTTCTTTGCGGGAAGAAATTCCTCCTTGCGATTTTGTTTTACCTGATCAACTTATTGATCGTACCCGTGGTTTACGCCCCTCCACTTTCTTCGGTGAAGGTATGGTCGCTCATGCCGTCTTTGCTGATCCCTTCCACGCCGGTCTCGCTGATATCATTGCACAACATGAAAAGGTACTAGAATTCGGTGCAAAGCTTCACCGTAATAAGACTGCTGTTTGTATGGAAGGTCCTGCCTTCTCCACTCGTGCTGAATCTCACATGTATCGCAGCTGGGGTGGTGATATCATCAACATGAGTGCGTTGCCCGAAGCCAAGTTGGCTCGTGAAGCAGAAATTGCCTATCAGATGGTCTGTATGTCGACTGATTATGATTGTTGGAGAGAAAATGAGGAAGTGGTAACAGTCGAGACAGTGATGCAGAATATGGGCAATAATGGCAAGAATGCAAAGAATTTGTTACATGCTATTTTGCCTGATATTGAACAAGCAGTGAATGCAGGTACTTTGATGCCTAACTATAAGGGATCCATGAAGTACGCTGGTATGACCGCACCTGAAAAGAGAAACCCTGAGACTGTTCGTAAATTAGAATACATTTTACCCGGTTATTATTCCTAAGGAGAACTCTTTTTTTGAAAGTAGAACTTAATTATTATGGCATATGATACACAACTTTTAGACATAACAATCGACTTTATGTAATCATACATTCAGTAAATATAGAAGGTTTGAAAAGCGGAATAACGCTTGCTCTTCGGAGAGGCAATGTTTTTTTGTTTTTTTTGGTTTTTTTTTTTGTCACTTGTATTGTTTATTATTAATGTACTTGAAAGAGCACGTATTCGGTTACACTGAGAGGTACATAAAGCTGAGCCGTTTATTCACTTTGTATTACGCGGATAAAGGTCTGTATTGATATACAAGCGTATACAGTTATGTGAATTTATTTCAAAGATATAGACGCAAATCATTATGAATAATAGCGGGTTATCTGGAGTAAAAAAGTGATGGTGAATCATTGAGCCGCAAGTAAGCTTTTCGAGCGAGATGGACAATTGAGTTCTATTTCATTCCTGGCCGTATCACTAGTGCTTGTATTATATGAAGGTGCCACTCTCCAAATATCGCTGCCGGTAAACTTAGATTGATTAAAACCTGATTTCCAAGGTGCCAGCACAGTTGATGGTCTTTTACTACATGGCTTTTGCAAAATTGAAGTACTATAAGAGCTTGCTATTCTAGAATTCGTGAACATTACTGGTAAGCCTCGATTATCTGATACATTCTGCAGACGTGAACTAGACGAATCAACAATTTTTGCTGCTTCAACAGGTGTATGAGGAACAAAGGAAGGCGGTAGCGTCCAATCGGCGGTTTCAAACGTGGGCGTTGGTATTATAGAAGATGAATGAGAGGGTCTTATAAAAAGGTCATTCCGACTATTTTTGATGCTATTTTTATCTTGGTCAGTTTTCCTATCACCTTCCTTCAGATCGTCATCATGGCAGTCTATATAATAATTGTCGTCCGTAGAATACGATGAACACTTTTGAATATCTATAATCAGGGATGCAAATGGTAAATTATCAGGTTCGTAATTGCCGCTACAGTTTTCTTGTCGTATTGCTTTTTGCTCTTCTTGTGCACCATTGCCATTGGTGCTTCTCCTGCTATTTGTATAATGATTTGGTTGGTTTCCCTTTCTTTCAACAAATGGTGTTGATCGGTCCGTTGTTGCTGCGTCAGCTATGCTCTGCTGATCAGTAATTGTTTCATAACCATCGTGGCGTGTCGTAACTGGCTTTATCTTTGATGCAACAGATTGATAAAATGCAGCTGTGCTTTGATAATAGGGCGCTAACGGCGCTGCTGGTGGTAGCTGGCAATTATGGTTTGACAACGGCTGGGGAGTTGACGGGTATGCACATCCATAAAAATCAGAACTACTATTTACGGCTTCTTCTCCGGAGTATAGGCTGCCAGCGATATTGGATATCGCATGATTTGTTAAAGATGTAGCTGTTCCAGAATGAACTGGATAAAAATCTGTCAGCATACGATGCACTATATCTTGCGGGCATTGCATTCGCGCTGTTTGCAAAAGAGTTGTTTTCTGTCGTGCTGTGAAGGCAGGGCACATAACGCCTGCCCGAACCAATCTTACCATCAAAGTAGGGTCTATTTGAACACATTCTTTGAAAAGATGTGTTTTGAGTGCTTCTGTTGATTTTGTGTTAATAGTTACATTTGTTTCGAAGGAGGAGAGATGAAAAGGTTAATTGCAAGCTTAGCTGCCTTGATATTGTAATGTTTGATAAATTTACCTATTGCCGTTTTCAACATTTCGTAAAGATGATCTCTTTGGAGATTAGTGATAAGATGTGCTTGATGCCAAGGATATTTGGCTATAATACTAATAATGTTTTCAAAAGGCCGTTCAGCACATTTCCTGGAAAAGTGCAACTGATAATTGCTCCTTGACACCTTTAGTATATGGTAGTTGCACAGTAAGAGTTTAGTCCTTCTTTTACCTTATAATTTTTACAAACAACCACTATTGAATTGATTTCCTCGCGGGTGATAAAAGGTGGACAGGCCGACGTACCACCGCCTGCTGCTGTTGACATTGTTCTCACAACCTCTTCCGGAGGTGGGATGGCATTGGTCCCGTCAAATTGTCCTCTCCACTTTGGAAATATTGCTTTCAGAATTTCTTCCTGGCTTGACTCTACAACAGAAATGATACGGCCTTTTAATGGTCGCTGATTTCTGGTATGCATGGCTCGTCGCATATCGGCTATACTTGTAAATTCTATATAAGCATCTGATAATGTCTTTCCTGTGTTTCTATCCATCATAATCTAGATCCTCATAATGAGTTACCAAAGCTATTTGTATCATTTTTTAGAGCAGGTTTCACAACATTTTATACATACGTGGATAGATTGAATACAATCTGTTGCGGAAGGAAAATGGCAATTGCCAAAGAAGCTTCGAACATCCTTCTGTGATATATCCCAAGGTATCTAATACGCAACAGTAAAATAAAGTGTAAATAGGGAAATAATTAATTTATTATAGCCTTGTCAGATTGGCTTACGTTGGATAATTTGACACAAGCATAACTGAAATTCAGCGGCACAATGCTATTGCTGTTGTTAACGAGATAGTATGAATCATGATTCATCTGCTGCGGCTGATATATGTTTGTTGTTGGCAGATATACGCTAGGAGGGGGATATGTTTGCGTTGATGAACGCGTGCATGCTGTTGAATCAGCGTAGAAGTAATCGTTACTGTTTGGTGATGCTATCGTGCCATTAGTATTGGGAGTGATATTGGCTGAAATTGTGGCAATAAAAGGTGGTTGGTATGCATTCTCTTCCGAATTTATGGCATCAGTTTTCCTTGTCTTATTTACACATATCAATTTGAAATAGATTAAGTGGTAAGTTGCTGTTACGGGCAGGTTCAATAATGTTATCGTTTTGCCCTTACCTCCAAAATACACAATGGGCAAATAGCAGGCAGACATTGGAGTAATGAATTTATACAAAAGGGACAAAAATAATGCTGTCGACGACAAAACATTGCCAATTGCTGTTGAGGGTGTTGTTGAATGTAGCAGTAAGAACAAACGTTACTTGTAATTAGGGGAGTGAGGTTCGGTGAATCATTGTTGTTGTTATTATAAGAGGAAGAATTATAATTCGTATTCGGTAAGTGCATCTTTAACACGATGAACAACAGAAAGGAAAGAGAAAGCAGAACTGATCAAGTAGAAACGCCATTACTTTTAATTAATAACGATTTTTGACCATTCTAACACTTTAATTAATCTTTCTTTTTCTTTTTTCAAAGCTGTAATGTTTATATTAACTTTCTGTATCCCTTTACATTTTTCATTCAAATCTACCTGGGACAGGACCTTCAGGTTATTTTATTTGTTTCCATTAAAAAATGGCAATACTACTGTTTTTATGATTCATAATTTCACTGATGAATTGTAAGCACTGATTCGCTTCTGTTTCTGCTCCTCTGTCATTAATTTATCTTCTGGCGGTAACAGTTCAAAGCTACATAGTAGATCTGGTGCTATTGTCATAACAGCGCCATAGTTATCAAAATCGCCGCAGTAGTTTGGCGCACTGAAGATTGTTACTAGCTTTCTATTATTAAAAAACTCATAACCATCTTCTACAACCTACGATATTGAGGTCCGTAACAAGTTAATTTAATGTTTACAAGCTCAGTAGGCAATATAGTATTTTACTGTACCATGTGCGCCCGACATATCAAATCTAGGTCAAATCTATTCAAGAATTGATCAACATTTCTTGCGCCAAAACAAACAGATACACCTCGATCATTTTCACTCCAGTCCGAAAAGGCGTCACTTGGATCGGACCAGAGTAAATCATTGAGAAGTCCTTCCTCTGGTATATCTATTGGTCGTTGTATTGAATTAATCTGTTGCATGGAATTCAAGTAAGGTGATAGCCCTCCATGAACACAAAAGATGCGACCTCCTACTACGGCAGCGATAGGCATTGAATTGAAAACATCAACAAAATGTCTCCATATTTTTACGCCGCCATTGAAACGTCTTTTACATTCATCATAAAATCCGTAGACTTTGTTTTAGCAAAAAAGGTTCATATGTATTAGTATACTACTGTTCTGTGTGTAGAATCTTCTGTATCTTGTCGAGTAAAATTACATACGCTACCTCTTGTCACATCTGCACTCTCATGATTGCCTCTTAATAAAAAGAAATTGTTGGGATATTTCAGCTTAAAACAGAGCAATAGTAAGATGGTTTCCAAGCTGTACATTCCGCGGTCCACATAATCGCCAAGAAACAGATAATTTGCAGATGGTGGGAACCCACTCATTTGAAATAAACGCATTAAATCATAGTACTGCCCGTGAATCTATTTGTGTGTAGTATATCAGTTGATCAGAAATCTACAAATATTATGGTACAATCTTCTCAAGAATTTAAACATACGTCTCCTACTATTTTGACGCCTGCTTCTAGCTCTAATAAGGCCTAATTTGAGTTTAATAGCAAACAGCATAACGTGGTTAATAAGTATATACTGATAGACATCTGATACACAGTGCTCATAGGTCCACTTTACTGGTTGACTCAAAAATAAATCGAAACAATATTGACATAGTATTATCACTTCGCTTTGGCTTAAGCACAGTTGTCTTTTTATGCTTCTCTTCAATCCCACGGCGCTAAGTCGTTCAATACAAGAATCAACGTTGAATTGTTCTTGCTGCTGCTGTGATAATACGTTGTTACTGACGTTGCTTTTAGATGTGTCATATTCTTCATATTCGTCACTTTCTGTTGAATATCGGTTGCTGCCTTTCGAAGTATAATATATATCTGTCGCTGTAATTGTGCTAGCTGGAGCAGGGTGTTGATAATGCTGATATCTGTCGCTATAGTGGCCATTGTTTGGCTGTATGCTATTATTATATTGTTCTGGGAAAGACTCTTTACTATTATTCGCCAGTCCTCGAGACGCTGATTTCTGGATAGTGCGTAGTTTATGTTTTGAATGATGGTTTCCCATTTGGTTTGTCTTGATGTGAGAAAGGTTACGAAGTTGTGGTAATAGGAGATAGAAAGTTTCTCTAGAAAGGAGAGAAGAGAAAAGAAAGAAAGGAACAAAAAAAAAAAAAAGCCAAGACTATTTCTAACACGGGAATATCAGACACCATTTGTCGAGAAGAATGGAACTAATTACTGGGCGAGAGCATGACGATCTCTTTCTTCCTCACGGGAGCAACTGAAAGTGTGTGTCTTTTCTTTGAATTAAGCTCGTTTCCCATTCGGTAAAATGAGACATCAAATGATTCTTCCTCTACAATAATGCCTCAATCATGTTCAATGTTACACAATAAATTATCACAGTTCGTCTGCACTAGGTAAAAAATGGTTTAGTTTATTTGAGGGTGTAACGATATATGGCTTGATCTACGAAATTTCCTCTGTTGGATCACTGCAAGTTATTATGCGTGGGTCCTCTCCCAGCGTAATATAGATGGAAACGACGTGCGTACCATATCTTGACTCATCAAGTGTATAAATCGAGCCCCAGCAATCACTTCTGTCTATGACCACTACAATTGTTCAAGCTACTATTACAGCACATAAATTCGCAGATTCATCTAACAACGTCGACTTGGAGTAGCTGAATCATGTTGATGAACCTTGGTGCTGCTGTCTTGTGACCATTGAAAATACAAACTATTCGTCAACTTTGCTGACTCTCTTATTCTCAAGAAATAAACGACAAACGCTGCAGTAATGGAGCCAATGCAGTTGTTGCTCGATTGTTCAATGAAACTTATAGAGTGTTAATGCAAATACAGAAAATGAGATATTCCATCTCATGCAAAATAACGCAGCAGGCCTTAGCTGGCAATTCACTCAAGTAAAACCGCATTGTCAATCGCTTGCAAGCATAATTTACAGCTGTATTGCCTTCTAATACATATAGTCATGTCACCTGTGTCAAAATATTCCGATCACCGGCATTTGCATAAGCATAGCCTTTTTGTTCCTGATTTCAGGACCCTGTAATTAGATTACATAATGATGATTTCCGAAGAAAAGGACTTCTAATATTGGGCAAATTTTTGTGGATGGTTACCCTTTCGAAGACAAAGTATAATATTGTAGCAGTTTTTTGACATCATTCTAGGAGATTATTATCATATCACTAACATAGTTAGTGTTAAATCTTTCCATTATATAACATGGATCTTGTAGATCTTTTTAACCCTCGTTCGACAGATATGTCTATATACTAAATGCCGTGTGGATGTATACTGTGATTTCACAACTCTTTCTTATAAATTATAGCATGCTGATGTCGTTGATAAGCATGTGTACAAATTGTTGCTGATTGTAGCTCGTCTAAACTGATTATTCTGCTTATAATCAAAACAGCCAATAAGAGAACTTTGCAATAAATTTGCATAATAAGTAACCGTATAATGTTGCAATGTAAGCTCAAGTAGTGGGCATGTTACGTATATTGTACGATCTTCTAGCTTCATTAAAGAAAATGATCATTGATTACTGCACAATTAGGATTTACAGATTGTATAACCCTGTGCAATCAGATAAATGTAAAAAATAATGATTGCGCCCTTTTTATTGATGTTTGCGCAATTAGGAACCTTCCTGACGAACAAGAAAATCGAGATGGACCTTCAAACTGAAGCAAGACTACCGAGTTGTTACCTTGAAATCTTGCTCCTTCTAAATTGCAAATTGTAAACATTGAAGAAGGTAGTACTGATGATTATTATAAAGTAGAAAAGGTAACCGAGAGTTCTTAGTGAAGTGGAAAGGTTAGTTTCAAAGGTAGCCGTGGGGCAAAGCCATTCGTTTTGCTGTTACTGAAACAACTGATCGATATTGAAAAGCGGCGCCTATAGTAATGAAGGGCAAAATTAAAAATTCAAGTTGAAGTGCCAATGTAGTTTAAAGCGACAATACAGCAAAGAAAACACAATGCAGAGTGATAAATGAAGAATCCCGAATTTGCCATTCCTGGCAACAACCATAGAAGCTAGGTTACATATTTTAATTTGCTGGCTTAAAATATGCAAAATGATGATCGGCAAAAAAACTACGCTTTCTAATATATTCTTTTATTAGAAAGATCCATGGTGTGTAATATGTATCTATTTCCAACTGATTTTTTAAAGTGAAAGCTTCGAACATATTTTTGTTGGTACCAATACTTAAGTCATTATTTGCAAAATCAATACTTTGCTTAGATATTCTAATAGGAATTTAGAGACGTACCCTTTTGAAGAGTAAATTATTTAGTTCACTACTGAGAATTATAATAATGAATATTTTAGGCTTGTCTTTAAAAAGGAAGAAACGTATATGTTATACAACTGGTTAATTGAAAGTACCCAATACGGGCTTCAAGTGGTTTGTTAAAGTCTTACATCTTTTGCAATGATTTTCAACTTTGCTTACATGTATTTCATTTCTCAAGACTTTTGGTATACTATTTGTCCATCTTAAGAGATTCGGAAATGACCAGTCGTTCGCGTAGTTTTTGTGGTATTTGACGACTTGTAGAGTTAAATATCACTTAATTAAAACAATAAAAAGTTAACGAGATCAAACTAGTAGGTTTTATTTTGAATCAAGTTAAGTTCAAAAAGAAGAAAAAAATCTACTGCAAAAATTTAAATATCTTCTTCATATTGCGGAACCTAGAAACTAACAGCTGAGTTATTCTACTCAAAGAAGACGTACGTCTTCTGAACCGTAAAAGAATAGAATTCTCCCTTGAGGAGATTACGCATCTACCCGGAGCGGGTGGACTTGTAAACGTATCCATGGCTTGATCTAGTGATCATGCAACTAACCTATTTTCCCGTGCTACCAATATGTAGCACTGCTTGCAGGAAAATAGAATTAATTAGGAAAATAGTATTCGTGCGTGATGTTTGAGTTGAGTGAACAGTTATTGTAAAGGATGATCACAAACTATTATCTTGTGGTCATTCTTTATGCCGAAGGCAGAGAATAGTACTTATAACCTATTATACCTTGGTGTTGAATCAATATATCCTGCATGTCCATATATTAATTCTACTATATATCCTATGTCATATAGTAACGTATTATAGCAAAATAAGTAAACTATATATCCTAAATGACAACCTGTTCAGCCTTCTACGAGGTAGCTAATCTCGTATAAGAATCATCACTTATTCTATATTCGTTTCCTACTCTGCTTTATATTATTTCAGCAGTAATGAGGTGTGAGGATCTTGTATAATTTGTATACGAGTTCTCCACATCTCATATGATGCTGTCAACTAAACACAACACTTAATTCACGGTACTCATATATTAGAGTTTATGTAGTTTCTAATTATTTCTGGTTTGCAATATTGTATAATTCATCTTTATCCTTCATAAAGTGAATTATATCTTTAATATTTGTATATCATCTACCCTCAAATACGACAGTTTTTATTAAAAAAAAAACTTGCGGTTTCTGGTATTTGAATTAAGTTTGATGGTCTTCCTAAAGAAGTTTCTGTGTACTGAGTCGATAATCATAGATTCAGCGCCTTTAATACTTTTAGAGGAAGTAGGAAGAATTTTTACTAGAAAATCTTAGTATGAAGATGGCGTATCTATGCTAATCACTAAGAGGCCCGGATACTTCACATGTTACTATTCATGCTTCGGCCTTGATCTTATCATATATTGTGCATACGCTATGTTAGATGCAATATAGATAGAACTTAGTTAGCTTTAAGTACTATGTGATTGTATGTAGTCAAACATCATTTTACCAGACACTGTATATAAGTTGCGCTTTCAGTTTTGTGTCATCATTAGAAAGCTAAAAAGTAACGTTTGACTTCCAACAACGTTTCCAACTTTTACATTGACGGTTGTTCTTTATACCATTTGCCCGTTGAAAATTGCTATTCTTGTAATAGCTTATGGATTATGACTTCACGTATAATAATAGAAGAAGGGAAGGCTAAGAAATGTCAGTGCCATAAATGAGGGCCTAAGTAACAATTAATACTCCAAACAGATAACGGAAGGTTTCGAAGGTCATTTGAATGTATTATTAACGCTGTTCTGTTAGACATTTATAAATATTGAAAATTTCCATGCACTTTCAAATGAAACATTTATTCGTAGAGATCGCTGTTGATATTTTTTTAAACCTCTCATTAATAGTATAGCTTCTATAAATCTTCCAACCATAATTGCCATCCATGAACTGTAGCTCTTACTTCTTCATCTCCTGGATCTTCTTCAAACATAACATTCATCTTCTCTATCCAAAAATAATCCACTTTAAAGCCATATCCTAGTCGTTCTTTATCCTCTTCTTCTATGTCGGGCATAACGGGTCTTTTCGCTATTTCGAAAAACTGAAGATCTCTATCAGCTAAATGGGGTCGATGATGCGTATAAAATACATAAACGCGTCCAGTTTTGGGTGTGAGTAACTGACGGCAAGTTTTAAGCATAGCATGATGCTGAGAGTGATTAAAAACAAGGTCACTTAAAATGATAACGTCGTAGGTCAAAGGCTGTTGTTGTTGTTGTTGTTGTTGTTGTTGTTGGGTTGCTTCAAACGAGGCTGGCAATAACTGGTTTACTAATTTCTCAGTATTGGTTCCCCATACATATCCTTCCACTATGATATTGTCAAACCCTTCCAAGTTTTTATCGACATTGTATTGAATGTTATCAATTAACTCCTTATCAGGATAATCTGTAACTACAACTTTTTTAGCGCCATTCAGAGTAGCGACAATACTGGGTAGAGCACCGCCTGCTCCCAACTCCAAAACAGTTTTGTTTTGTACCAACTGAGGAAACTTGTCAAACAGAGAAGCAAAGACTTTAGAAGCGTTCCACAAATGGTGAGCCCATAAGGGATGCGATCCCACTAACTTTATGGTAATTTTTTTATGAGCGTCATCTGTAAATAAATTCAATGAATTAGTAAAGTTATTACTCTTCGTCAACTTCATTGGTCTAATTTCTGCTTTACTTTCAGATACTGAATCTCTTGAGTAGATTTCGAACGTAGGCTCTACTTCAGGTATACTCTCTTCATCACTCTATAAAAACGCATGCTTTCAATGATTAACACAAAGGGAAAGGTGAGGGAATAAACAACAACCCAGTAAAAGAGAAAATCACAGAAATAAGTGAACGGGATCTTACGCCAAATAAGTCGGCAGCAAAACCTTCTTCTGAATCTGACGTTGATTGTGACATGAAGAACAAATACTATGAGTTCAGAAATAGATGATTTAAATGAAATATTTAAAAATTCAAAAAATTATTAACTTCATGCAAACCGAGAGTCTCCAAAAAGTAAAATAAAAAATAAGCCACCACAAACCACAATGTAAACCCAACAGACGTGAAATACATCTTATAAAGCTCCTTTATACTAGCCCAAGTAAAATATGTAAGCAAGACAGTCTTTAAGCGCACTTTCACACCAACTCTCACGAAGAAGTTGGTATAAACGGATGATAAATTGTAAAAATACAATGCTGCATGAAGAATACATGAAAATGGTTGGGAAGCCTCAATCACCTTCCATAGCGTCCCATACAACAGATTTATTATCATTCCCTCATAAGACGGCATCTTTATCTTTATTGGTATCTTAAAGTATGCACATACTTGTTTGTATTCGTTTGTTACTTAAGACAAACAGAGGTCGTGAACGACCAGGATTGTGTAGCAGCACTTCTGTTTTGTTCCCAAAAATAACGGGAACAACATCTAATCCTCGCTCTTCATTTGGCTTGGCGTTTTTACTTTTGAACGAGCGTCGATGACCTTCCCACTGGTCCCTTTATTGCTCGCTACTAAGAGATAAATGGTGTATTCACTATTGTTAAAAGTGCTTAACATCAATAAACTGATTGCTTGATGATATGTCGTAATTCTGGGGTATACTGATGCTGCTTGTGTATTTAAACAATGAATTGATAGTTACTTTTTCTCCTAAGTTTCTCCAACTGGCACAACTTATCCCAATCCTCTGGTTTTTTTTTTGGGGGTTTTTTTTTTTATTTTGTAGCTGATGGCTAATACACGTTGGTGCTCTAATTGGTATCCAGATTATTTAAAGTCCATGATGTATTATAGCCGATCGTTCCATTTAATAAATTCTTGTTTAGCTTAAACTCTTCCTCTATATCGGGTTTATTGGGAGCCAGACTATATTTTTTCATCAGTATATTGTGGTAATTCGAGGGCTTGGACCATAAGGGTAAATTGTAGGTAGGCGACCCTTTTTCAACCACATTTCCATTCACAAGTTTAACTTTCAAAGCAAATCCTTGTTCAAATGAAACTTGGCTCATCCCTACTATTGTAAATTGGATTTTACTCGTCTCCTGCTGAACGAATTTGATTCGTTGTTTCGGCTTAGGGCCTGACAAAAAGATTTCATTACCAAAGAAGACTGGTGTTTCAGCGTACATTCTCTCCCAAGATTTCCCGTCGCCAGCGGCTTTCAGTTCTTTTTCATAGTAATCACAGAATTGTTCATGCAGGTGAGTCACTGTATTTTGAGAGAGCTTTAACACAACATAGCGCTCGACGCGGCGTAGACTGACTAAATTATAAGAGCAAATCCTTTGTCCATGTATATGTAAAGAGACTAAGGGACCTCCGAATGCTTTCCGTTGTCGTTTATCAAGAAGTTTCGTCCGATTAATATGATTACTGTTGATGGGAGGCTGGCTTTTATTATAACTCTTTCTGAACTCGTTCACTGCTCTATTATGACTGTTCAGCATATTCTCTATGGTTTTGAGTTCCCAATTTGGATGGTATTTTGGCTTCACCGGGCTCACATAAACTATTAGTCCTTTTTCAATAAGTCCTTCCAGCGTCAATTGTTTCAGGTAAGCTCTAAATTCATCGACATGTTTGGTTCTATCATCCCACATTGTAATATTCTTAAGACTGGGAACCGCTTTGAGCAGATTTATGATGAAAGCGCTCTTAAAACTCATAGTGTTCTTGAATACATTGGGTTCAAAATTGTATCTGAGCCCATCGGCAATGATGGGGTTCGAATGAGGCGTGATATCTATTGGATCAGGCCGTAGGCCTACTACATCGAATTTGTCCAAACCTCTGGATGCAAGAATTTCTTTTATCAGTTTATGAAAAGGGTGGTAACGACGACCAGTGAGAAGGACAGTCATACAGTCCGGGTCCTCGAAAGATCGCTCAACTTCCTTAACAATATCTTCGTTCCAAAAATGACTGTAATCAGGGTATGTCTTTTGTTGTGGTTGTTGCTTACAAGTATCAGTGTCATCGTGGGAGGTTTCTGATAATACTTGCAGGCTACGAAGATCTCTCCACCAGCCAGGTCCAATAAGATTTTCAGTTGTGAGAGCGTTGATTAGCGACATATCCCAAAGGTTTGGACTGAGCAAAGGTGAAAGAAAGAGTGTAGAATCAAAGTCAAAGATATTTAGAATTTTTGGCTGATGCTGTTTCTCTATGGGTAACTGATGTTGTATTTGGTAAAAACGTGATCGTTCAAACTGACGTTGGAGGATTGCCTACGTAGAGTAAATATATACAAATGATTGCTTAGCTACCAGGAGCACTAAATTGTGGAGTGAATACTATTATTTACCCTCTCAGCTTCGGAATAAAAACTGAGATCGGTCGGTTTTGCGGCTCCCATGATCTTTTTAAACCGTTACTACGTTCTTCCTACGACAAGAAGGGAGAAAGTAAGAGAAAAAGGAACTAAGGAAAAATCCAACGATAAAACGTTGGCAATTTTTAGTCGCAGATTGAATTTGTCGTTCCTTGAAAACCTTTGTTTGGCAACGACTTAGCAAAACGACCAACATTGTAAACTTTTTATTGTTAAACCTAGACATTTACTTTCTCATTTAAGCATGAGTTTCGAGGCTTTTTATTGCCAAATTTATTAAGTTTGAATATTCTTTTTTTTTTGTTGTATTTATTTCTCTTGTTTTTCACTTCAGAAAGAGAATGTCATTTACACCAGCAAATCAATTTCTTGCTTAAAGGTTTTAACTTCATTAAAAACCTCGTTAATACGTTTATCCAATTCGGGAGTAAAAACTAATGTCTCAAGCGTCACCATGAAACCACCACATTCTTTATGATACTATAATAATAGAAGGATATTACTCAGTCTATGCTCTTTTTCTAGTCCTATGAAAAATAACTTACCACTCTCAAAATCTCTTTATACCATCCAAATACCCATCTGTATTCGAAATTAGACTCAGGTTCTTCCCCATTAGATGTAGCATTATTAATCAGTTCTTGAAGGACCTGAGTGAATTTCTGATACACAAGCATGAATACTTCTTTTTGATCTCTTGTAACATTGGCTAAAGAGTTCTCCACTAAACGTAAAGAATTCAATTCTTGCTGATCTTCGGCTTGAGCAGCTATTAACATCAATAAAAAATTATGTTAAGCACTCACAAGAAACATCCAATTCCTTTAAAGATGCAACGCTACTCATTTTTACCTTCTGTTTGTTCATCTTGAGCTGCTCTTTGAGCCTTATTCGTTTCATGCAGCGACTGGAAATTTTCCAATTTTGCCTTGACTTGTACAACTCTTGAATTCACTTTACTTAAAGTGTTCTTCAAGATTTCCCATAAAAAGGCCCTTCCGGTAAATTGTAATTGTTCCTTCTCGAATATCCACGTTATAACAGAAGTAGGATCAATCACACGATAGTTTAATAACTTATCCAGTAAAATACCCAAGAACTGTGTATTATTCTTCCAGAACGACGCTACAATTTGAACGGTATGCACTCTCGCATCGGGCGTACTATTCAAGCTTCTCAACATTTCTAAATAACGCTCCACAACATTCAAAATGTGAGAGAAACTCTTCGAACCAACCCACAATAAGCATTGAATAAACATGATACGTTTCAAATGATCTAATTGTAGCTGCTGCTGTTGATCATCACGATCAGACATGACTTCTTCTTTCATACGATTAGCGTATTCTTCCAATAGTTGTTGGAGTTCATCTACAGTCTTCTTCGCTCTTAAACTTTCAATGATAGTCTTGGCTGTAGCGTGTAAGGGATCGTTGGGGTCCTTAAACGCAAATTCAGGAGCGGGCGCTTGAGGGGAAATCAAGGGATACAATTCTTCTGGTAAGATTGCCTTGATACGTTCATAATAAGATAAGCGAATAACTTTTTCGAGTGTTTCTCTCAAGAAACACACTTGAGGATGGTTAGGTTGTTGTTGGACCAAGGGTAAGACTGTAGGTTCCCAGAACTTCCAATCCCACTGGAAGCCAAAATTACTTAAGTGATGAGAGAACCAGTTCCAAAATCGGGCAATACATTCAGCATCCATAACATTGAGACGGTTGAAGAGGGTTTTGATGCCTCGGCCAAGAGCCATGGGAAATGTAGCGCTTTCGGCTCTGCAAAGTTCAATAAAAACACAAGAGTAGAAGATTTGGCGAATAGTAGGGGTGGGCAGTTGGAACATATGTGAAAAGATATTTTCGACGAGCAAGTCGGATATGCTCCATTTACCCTCTTCCTCTTCTGTAGCTGACGTGTCCATTTCTTCGGTTTTGATTACACTATCTTCTTCTTGTTGTTGCTTCTCCGTTAAGGATGGTGCTTTGAACAACTTGGAATTGAAACTATTAGGAATACTCAACAGATATTTTGCACAGTCTTTTCGGTTGACTTCGTACAAGTGTAAGACATCAAAGATGATTTCTTGCAAGATAAAATAGTCCATCGATTGATGCTCAGGAATTATGTCGAAAGATTGTCCATCTTCATCATTGACAAGAATTTTCATGGTGAACATAGGGTGAATATATGTAGTTTTATCGGTATGTGGTGGAACCATGAATCGTGGTAAATCATGCTGAAGAGCTGATGTAAGATCTTTGTCGAACCAGCGATATAATTTAGGAATAAGTGGGAGCTTTTTGATCAAAAGAGAAATAACAATTAGTTCAGGTCTTCAATAGGTTGATCACTTAAGCTTTTTTTTTTTTTTTTTTTTTTTTTCTTCTGCCTACCTCCCAGGCGTTATTTTTAAGGTCTTGAATTAAGGTCCAAATATGCGTGAGCATCTAAGGGATTGATTATTCCTGTTATTTCCATGTTGAATTTCAATCACTTTTCTCATGTTTATTTCTTACATCATCATTTTCGCTGTTGAATTTGTCATCGTGATATGCCTTTAGAATTTGCAATTTGGGTATAGACCCTCTCCTTTGCATGTAAATCTCAATCTTCTTCAATACTTGCTCATCCAGCTCTGTCGCACAACGTTCGCTTAATTCTTTACCGGCCCAAGGTAAAGTGGCCAAGATAATATAAACAATACAGTCTAACCGTTGACGTGGTTGCTGGTTGGGTTGGTCCAAAACACTTAACAAATCATTGAGTAAATTACAATAAGTGGTGGGTAGAATAACATTGGCGTTCACAAGTTCTCCATAAAATCGTAAAAGTTGTTTGACTTTAAACCATTGAAAAGATTGTAAAGCTTGTTCAAAGGTTTTATTGAATTCGATCATGAGCTTACTGACAATATCGTGGCTGGTAATGTTGAGTAGACCGATCAAAGTACCATAAACTGGTGCTTTGGTAGGTAACTCAGTGACGCTAAAGTAAACCAGGTTTGAATTAGTTGTTGTCCGATCTCTGTTTGTTGATAAAAGGAGGTTTACCATGCTGTTAAGGTATTAGTGACAGTTTCTGGATATTTAGAATAATCTTTATCTAAAATGTTTCTCATTTTCTTCAAATTGACTTGCAAGTCGGTTTTGATCTATAGCCATTGAAGCGCTGGGTGAGTCATCGTCAAAGTAATTAATTCCACCATTTACAACACCCTTACCTTATCGCCAATTTTGATAATTAGACCTTTCAAACGGATTTCAATATCCTCTAAGTCATCCTCCTCACGCGATGGAGGAGGAGGGGGTCGATCGTAAGGACGACGTTGATGGTGGGCATATCCTCCACCATTGTTGTAATTTCTTCTATTGTCTAATCACATTATTGATCGAAATTAAAAAGCTTAAATATAACGTTTTGAAGAATGATTTGGTTTAAGTTAAGCTTCTGTAACAAATGCTTACCTCTGTAGCGGTTAGGTCCGCCTCCTCCTCCACTATTTCTGTAACGATTACCACCACCTACGTGAACGGTACAAAGATCGGTGAGGTCAGAACATAGTTAACTTTCGTATTTGATATATTTATTTCTTTGAAACCTTCATAGCGTGGTCGATAGCCTCCTCTGTTATTATAACTCATGGCTTGACAAATTTTTCTTGCAAGAACGCGTTCTGTTATTTATATTAATATGACAAGAAGGCTAAAAAAAAAAAAAAAAAACGAGGAAAGAAAAAACCAGGCATTTTAAATTGGGAATGGCTTCTTCATGTTACTCTTACATTAAACGGTTAATGCAGTCACCGTGCGGAATATGAAATCATGATATTGAACCAGAATTGACCTACTTAGTGTATAGGTACGTCTCCTTTTCTCTTTTTAATAAAAACTTCTTGCGTTTACATAACTTCTAGTATGAGCAGCGCTTTGACAAAACGTCGGGATGAAATACAGAAACAAAATAATGATATGAAAAAAATGAAAATAATCAACGATACACCATCTGTTGGTAAAGGGAGACTTAAAAAGTTCGTTCGACCGCCACCTAGAAGAAAACAAGCAAGTACAACAGCAAGTGAAGCAAAGCATATCGAAACCTTGACTGAATTGAAAGAGAAAAAAGATAGAGATGAAGAAGCCAGCAAAGAGGAGTGTAAATGTTGTAAAAGCAACAATATAATGTATAAAGAAAAAAGCACTATAATGACTTTTTTTCAATTCCATCATACTATTTCATTTTAATAGTCTTTGAGTGCCCTAGTTGTGCTGCTCAAGTGAAGCCACCCTATCCACGCTCTCTTCAACTTGCCATGGATGACTTAAACCAACAAAAACTCAACTATGAACAATCCATGCGCGTCGCTTATGCACAGCAGGTTGAACAACGCAAAAAAGAAGAGGGCGATGATACTCACATTATGCCCTTCATGCTACAACCATTTGTTATACAAGATGCTTTAAAACGAAAGATTTGTCACATTCATAAATTGGAGTATGAACTCAAGCCCTTGGGCAAAGAGAGAGGCTATCCAGAGTTTATTGATTTTGAAGTATTACCTAAAAGGGTAAAAGAAGTGTGTCAAAAAGATTTAGATCAGATCATAAGCAGAAAGCTTGAAAGTGATTACTTGGAGAGGGCTCTAGCACGGTTCAAAGAATTGGGGGAGAAAGCGAGAAGACCAGAATACGCGATTGAGCAATTTCAGGATTATTTGGTAAGAGAACAACAATTGCTAGACATCTTAAAACCTCGATAAGGCCACTCAATCGATCCAACGTCGTTTTCCACAATGATTAGCCTGGTTATTATGGTCATAAAGGGTCTGAAGTTATTTTAGATGTGTTGAATGAATTGTATCTTCAAACTGGGAAAGTGAAGCATAGTTCTTTCAAACCTTTGACTGCTATTGAAGTTTTACAACAAGTGTTGGTACCAGAATGTGGTCTTCGTTTAATTCAACAAGATTACAATGAGAAGAACAAGAATATAAGTTTAGAGGAAGCGAGAAAAATTATGAGGGGGAGTACAGAATTTGGTAACTTGATGTATCCAAAAGAAGAAGATGAGATTGAATCAGACAGAAAGGGAATCTTATCAAATAACGATGAGCATGACAGTAAATATGATGGGAAGGAAGAATATGAGTAATGGTAATGTAGCAGTACATAGAATAAATATTACATGATACAACATTTTTTATCTGATGTGGTTGTAGTTGTTGGTGACGTTGGTGATGATATTGCATGCTGGTTCGAATGCTTTCTGGAAGCGGTTGGTGAGGGCGATGACTTCTTCATTCGAATCTGCGTATTTTTATTATTACTATTTTGAAATGTACCTTGCTGCATGTCATGTTGTTGCTGAAGTTGTTGCGATAAAGGCGAATGAGGCGGTGATGATGTAGGCAGCAAGTTATTCAGAACTTCATTTTTAAAAGCTTTTGCATTATCTCGTAAGCTAGGTCTAGAAGACGTGTGTCTCAAATGTTTTGGTATATCTTCGTTTTCGTCAATCGGTTGCAATATCTCGTCTAACCTTGTTTCTTGAAAATAAACCAGCATATAAGCATTGGTGAACCGTTTCAACTCTCGTATATTTGTGCATCTGAGCTGTTTATCTCCTTTATGTTGATTTTTATTATCTTCAGTGTCCTCATCTTCATCAGAAGTATAAGGATCGTCGCCATAATTATCTTCAAATACTTCTCTTAAGGCAACCGGCGTTACCCTATCGTCATCAAATCTATACCATTTACCATTCTTTTCAGGCTTTAGTAAGGCGAAGTAATGCCCACCATCAATATCGCCGCTATGCACTAGTACTCTAAGTTATAGTTTGAAATAAATTAACTGACTCGTAGATCAAACTATTGAATGCACGATATGTATATAAATATATATTTATATACTTTACCCGTGGAGTACATAATTCCTTTCTTTTGGGTCTTCGCTTTGTACAGAGCAAAATTCGTTCAAATTGATTTGATCAGGGAACACGTGGCGATCATTAATCTATTGTAATACGTAACCGAGCATAAGATTAAATAGAATATTCGCTAGCAACGAATTCACGTGTTTTATGCGACTGTTCTTTACCTTCACCATTGTATCTCTATACATATCATATTCAAATCTTTTTAATTGTAAATGCAATACTGGTGGAAAACTTTCAAACGAAACGCCTTTCTTAGCATCTTGTAACCCATGTCCCTCTGCCATATATTTATTCTCTCCGTCCAATATTTCTACATCCACATATTTTTGAAAAGATTCGTGCAAATCTTTGCAGCCTTTCACATTTAATTGTATATCTAAAACGCAAATCATTACGTAAGTTCTTTCCTATAAATGACGAAACCTGATGAATGCCTCAGCACACAAATTAGGCTTACCATAAAAATCTTCTACTCTTGATGATTCGTAATCGACATTTATACATTTAATGTAACTTTTCATTTTGCCCATAAATATATGATTGACAGCTCCGTCCACTGCTGGTATATTTTTCATTCTGGCCTCTAAACTATCTTGTAACACTCGACTGAATTCTTGCACATCATGCTGCATGAAGGAGTCCAATGAATCCCACCCAAAGGACTTTGTAAGTTCTGTTGTGCCTACTGCTTCGTCTGAAAATTGCAGATTATAGAAGCAGCGTTGTAATGCCAGAGCTACACTATTATTCGGATCTTCCTTTTCTGTGGGGATTTTATACACGGCCCTCCTGAAAACGTTGGTAAAATAGAGGGACTGAATCAATGAGTTCATATAGCAGGTGGCGCCCTGATTCTTGATACCGACATAACCTGTTTCTTTGCGCGAATCGTAATTGATAAGATTATGCCAAAGAACGCCTGTTTCATCTTTGACGACTCGCAAAAAGATAGAAATGGTGGTTCTGTTCTGATGATTGATATATGGGTGTTTGCCATAGAGTAGCTGTTTGAGTTCGTAAAAGCGAGTGAAGCCCCAATCAATTTCCTCTTGACAAAAGCGATGATGAGCGTCTATAAACAAAACAAATAAAGTGAGCCGACTATTTATGCAAACATATATTGAAGAAAAAATATAACGTTACTATTAGAAAAATAATGCTTCGGATTATCAGGATTAGAAATGACAATGGCGAATTGAGCGCAAACGGACCAATTTTTGTCATTCGATGATGAAGCTGCAGAGGAGGTCGAGGAAGAGGAAGAAGACAAAGTGTTGTTCTTATTATTGTGGTTGATGTTGTCTCTGACCACTTCCAAGTAGATGGAGACCATATCATGCTGCCCTCCATTTCCTTTTGGAAATAATAAAACGCGCCTGCACAATAGAGAGAGTTAGTAAACGTCGTGGTGTTCAGCACAAGCACAAGCGTTCTTACCATTCATAACCTGCTGCTTTGAATATCGGTCCATGACAACGATTACTCAGGGAAGTCCAGTCATCAATTTCCCAGTGATGAATTTGAAGATCAATTTCTTCTAATTCTTTGAAAATAGGTAAAACTGAAGGTAAAACTTTGTCATCTATACGTTCAAAATAAGTGAGATTAGCACATTTGAAAATACGAATTTCGATTTTGAAGACGCTTACGATCAAAAACACTGTACTGATTCGACTGTTTGACAATATTGGGTAATTTGGTTATTGTATCCTTATCGTTAAGAGTTGTTGATTTCTTTGTGGCCACCTCTATCATTAGGAGTATGCTCTATATAAGCTGTTTTGTTATCGGTGTTGAATTTGAATGTTTATTTTAGCAGGATACCAAAAAAAAGGATTAATGATGACAGCAGTAGCATAGACTGTGTTTATGGAAGATTGTTGCAATTTTTCTCAAGCCATCATCTCCGCCTTTCTCATTCAGGAAGAACGATTTGCCGCATGAATTACGACACTGAAGGACAAAAATGATCTTGGTTAGGATAGTGGTACTTGATAGGTGGAAACTATGCCATCAGGGAACATTCCATTCATATAAATAGAGGTAAACTAAAGTGTGAGCACAATAAGTGCAATCTTGCGAGAAAATTCTTTATGAACAGTGCATACTTATGCTCTTAAGGCATTATGCACATCTTCAATCTTTACAGCTGTGCGTTAAGTTTCCTGCAGGCCACCGCAGTTTACAGCTTATAGTTTCCACTTTTTGGCTAGTGGACGTACTGAATCGCCAATTTCAGAAAAGATTCATTGTATTTGTGTGCTTATCCCGATCGTTTGATGTTAGTGGGAAAGATGTGCATAGTAAATTTTTATTTATGCCCGCTGCTCAATTGAAATTAGCTTTCTTTACAGAAGACAATAATCAATCCCTATGTATTGAACTTTTTGATATCTCCTTGACAATTAGCTTCGTAAAGTCCCAAATGTCAGAAAACGGGATTTTTTGAATAATACTTGCAAAGTGTTTTCACCTAAGAATAGGGTAAAAAAGCCCAACGTTAACGTTTAACCTTCATCTGTGCATGTATTGTTTACTTTACTATACCAATCTAACCTTCTTTTTAATGAGAATCGAACCATTCTAACTAAAGCTGAATGTTAATAAACGTTTATTATAGCTTTCACATACTATAATTAAGTATAACTCCCGTTATTGGGTATTTTTGGTTGGCTTTTTTTTTTTTTTTTTTTTCTGGCAAGACGACTCTTAAGTATGCATATTTCAACGGTTCCAAACGGCTAATTCAGTATAGGATCGTATAAACCTCATTCAAAAACAGTAAGCCATCAACTAGCGCACCTGCAGGCGGAATATAATTGAAGAGGAAAGCAAGCAGCTTTATATGATACAGAATCCCAAATCTGCCACTATCCTTCTGCATCCATCAACAAATATAATTAATCAGCCTGTAGCGATGATTACGTAAACAAGGAAGTTTTTTGGGTCGGGTCTCTTCTCAAATAGCCATAAAGAATCTCATAGCTAGTCTGATGGTACTTATGTCAAAGAGGCAAGTATTATTGACGAAGTAATCGTGCTTTTTTTTGTTATTGTTTGGTAGCAATGTAAAGTTACCGGCAATGGAAGAAGGATATCGTATTACCTTTCCTCTGAGAAAGACTGAGGCAGTAAAACAGGAAACTGATTGTTATATTTATTGTATGTGTAAGGGAAAAGCGGGTAAATAACAATTTTGAAACTCAATAGACATGTTGAACAATGGAGCGAACAATAGAGAAGAGCACGCTATCTATCAAAACTAGCATGGCGACTTTTTAGGATAACGATAAAGATTACTTTGTGATGTTAAGCATACTTTGAATTGTGTGGAAAATGCTAAACAACCATGAACAAAAAGCTGCTATTGCTTGCACTACTCTGAAAAATTACTTGGATTATAGGAATAAAAAAGGTTTTTCAATCACCATCAGTTAAACACTTACGGGTGGCTCGTCTGTCGACATACTGATACGTTATGTCACGAGCGGCACAAATCAAAGAAGTGCAAGAAAGTTTTTGATTGGTCTAGGGTTCAGGGCGGAAAATTCTGCCATTATTATTGCTAGGCGAGTTTACAAAGCGTTGTAACTTTGCAATGTTTGTGTATATATTCTACATTAATAAAATGCAGAATTTGATATTGCAGTATAATGAGGCCTTTAATATAGAAGAGAAAGCAGCGGTTATGAATCAAAATATTGCTCGTATGGTTTAAAGAAAGTGATACTCTATACATTGACGTTGATGCTAATTCTGCTGCCAAACTATACTAGCAATAGCAGGTTTAACATTCTTACATTCCACAAGTGTCTTACCTTTGGTCCAATAGAATAAAAGAGAAAATCTAACTCAAGCCCGAGTGTGGTTCAGCCTATATCTCGTTTTATCAAACTGCAAAGCGGGGTTGATAAAAAGCGTAACCTGGGGTTTGAATGTTCAATTAACAAATTTGGCTACTGTGTGTTTCAATCATTCTGTCTGCGGATGATTTTATTTTCTTTTTCATTGCGGCAAATCTGCTGGTTTTTTTTTTTTGTTATACGCACATGAGGTCTCTCTTTTTTTTTTCGCAAGATATATTGCAACGATAAGGGAAAGGAGCTTTTCTTTTCTTTCCTATACTCTCCTTGCCACGGGGAATTTTATACCTTTTGCACGAAGCACCTTAAATATTACAAACACACGCTATCCTCGCTCAATTCTGCCTTTCGTTTTCTTCCCTTTTTGTCGAACAGTTTGATATTTTCACTATATAAAGCAAGCAGTAGTAGTTTAATGGGTAAACCTCGATCCTTCTACTGCTACCACAATAACAACAGATTCAACTCAAATCAATTTAAAGTTTCAATATAAACAAATCGCAGCATATGCCGTTAATCGCTATCTATTATCACAATACAACACCCAATAACACACCTGTCTTTAGTCCAACAACAACAACAGCAGTGTCGGTCTCCAGCAGTAGCACGAACAGCAGCAAATGGAAAAAGGGCTTAGCTGTTCTGTCTACAAAATACCAAGAAAGTAAAATGAAGTATCTACACCATCACAAATTGTATCATCACCATCTAGATGACCAACTTTTAGTAGCAGCTGCGGCAACCGAGAAAGTACTATGTCATGTGAACACCAACGATAGCAATTACCAGCATCATATTGACCATGCACCTACAACTCACAGCGTACACTTCGACAACAGCAGTACTAGTTATTATACCATTAAATCATTTTCTAATATCCAGCAATTCCATCACCAAGCCATTACAACAACAACTGCAACTACTGCCTCTACCACTACTACTACTACTACTACTACTACTACTGTAAATACCAGTAATGCTTCTGCTGACGTTACTACTGTTTCTCCCTCCAGCAGCAATGATGTTCAGTGCGGGAACTTGACAGCTAAAGAATTTGCCCAAATGGCGGGAATAAAAATTAAATCAGCGCATGATTTCGAATTGGAACAACAACAACAACAATATACCACAACAAGCAGCGTATTGCCTACAACTACAATGATGACAACTATGACAACCTACTCAACCAGAACAGCTTTTTCAACAAAGAGTATTCAACAGCAACCTCACATTTGGGACTCTGTTTTCTGGCAATCTGATAAAGAAGGCTCTTCTCTTCCGACAAAAGAAGCACAAACTCTGAAGGAGGATAATATTAAAAATCAACGAAATCAGCAGCTATCACAGCAGCAAGAACCATCCGATCCTATACAACCATATAATACCCCCATCTTGTCTCGAACTAGAAAAAAGCAAAACGTTATCCATAAAGGTCGATTCGAGATTGTTGTAGGCGATGAAGATGTGAAACAAGAAAAGAATATTAACGGTGCCAGCGTACAAGAACCGCAGAATCTTGGATCGCAGAAGAAACCGACCGTAGTTGAATGGAAGCGAAAACGATCAGATTCTTGCGCTGTTCCTAACAATATACCAAGAAAACGTACTTGATTTTAATCTTCACTAATCATTTTACACTTACATATCCATAATGTTCTTCCTTCCCTATGTATATAAATAAATTTTGCTTTTTGCACGCTTCTAGTTACTATATCCATAACTACTGCTTTATTTATATACAATCTTACATACAATACTTTCATACTGTTTATTGAAAGTTGTAACGGTGGTGATACCTGCTTCTATAGATTTTTAAAGCACGAAACAGCCATTCCATTCTGCGAGCTTTTTGCATCTTTAGGCAGCACTCTTCCATAGGCAAGTAAGAGGCTATATCACTTTTGGCAGCAGGCATCTTCTTTTAAGCATTGAATTTGGAACCTGCTTGAAGAACCGTTATCAATCCGTACAGACAGTCATAGCTGATAAGTAAAGAGACAACAGTGGTGATGCCCGTGATGATGTTGAACAGGTAACGGCGACCGTGATACGGTCTGGTTGGTGGATATTGTTGTTTATCAAAGGGTAATGGTCAATCGAATATAAAAAAAAGCTGGATAAAAGGGATAGGTGCTGCTAGGCTTACTTCATAGCGCTTGATTCGGCTTTTCGTGATAGGATTATAAAGTAGCTTGGATTTTAAGTAATTGGAAATTAAACTGTTTTCATTCATGAAGGATGGAAACAAGTAAGGCTAATAATAAGAAGTGTGGACCATTGGTCACCAAATGATCGCTGGTAAATTAAGGAAACATTTATATACGTGTCAATGACGTTTTCAATTTAAGTGAAAGTATATGACAGGTTCTCTCTCGCTGGTCTGACTCCTCTGCCAAAGGTGAGCTAGAGTTCTGGAGAAAGCCAAATCGACTACACCCAAATCAATTGACGAGCAAAGAAAGTACTCAGAAAACCAATGAAAGCAATACGTTAAGAGACCTGATGCTATCACTCAGAATTCGTTGATGAACGCAATGTGAGTATTACGCAAGAGGTTAATAATGAGGTTGATGTGTCCTTTTTTTCTATGAAGCTTCCATCTGGCGGATATCAAGCTATTACGAAAGTAAATCATGAAGTATGTTTCTTTAATTGCCAACCATCTCTTTGCTTATGACTTGAGCGAGTGTACTGAACAGTTCACCTCTATTGTAAACAATTTACAACTTTAAATGTCGGCTTACACTGTTAGACCAAAGATAAGTTGAAGTTTTTCTGTTGAACAGGTTACAGATTAATTTAAGGATTCATCGTATGGTAGGTACAACCATGATATAGTCGGTTCACCCACTATTCGTATAGGCAGCTATTGTAGTGAATTTTCGCAAATGTTCGATCCTGGATTATTATTATGCAAGTTTCCTGGATCCGAATGCTGTAAATCACTCCCTTTTAATTTCTTTGAAATCAACTGCTGACCTCCGATGTATTGAACAATCTTTCGACAGTAAAAAAATGATTAAAAAATGCGGGTATGAAGGTGTAAATGAGGTTATATCCATGCTTATAAATGCCATTTCCAGCAGATTTGCATCTATGAGCTTTACGGTTGCCCTAACAACAGAGTGCTTACATACTGTCCCTAATCTATAAAGTGTGAACCAAATCCCAAAGGAGTAATATAGAGATTGCTTCTGCTGATGCTACGTTGAAATGTAATAAGGATGTTACGCCTAAGGTCTTATTTTTGAAACTTTTTCTTTCATAGTGCGATCAGTTGCGAGCACCACAGAAGGTCTAACCTATGGCAACCGATATTGTTATAGTACAGCTTCTGCTTGTTGAGTTCTACTGTCTGCCTCCGCCCCAGCTTGCTATAAGATGGCCTATTGCATCACGTCTTTTCTTCCAAGTAGCCAAGTAACACCAGACCCCCAATAATGGCCGTCATCTGGTTCAAGAATTTATTCAAGCTTACAATACGGTGGATGCTGATGAAGCTAATGGTCAACTGCTGGTCATTAGAGCCCCTGTATCAGTAAAAGCGCGTCAAACAGGTAATCAACATTGAATGACAGCATAAATATTCAGATCCCCCTTCTATCTTAGACTAATAAGTGTATCTATATAAGTCTCTGCTGCTCATTTCCTTGTTGTACGACTTCTTTCAGAAGTCTTTTAAGATCTCTTAGTAAATCGCGGGTAGAACTTAGAGGACTCTCTTTTTCTTAATCTCTTAGAATGCTTCGAAGGTCCCAGTTGCTAGGATTTGGTTCGCTAATTAATTGATTAACTTGAGTCATAACAGAATTTGGGCTTTTTGGAAGAAGGAAGAAAGAAAAGGTGCTTGTCTAATGCATCATCAAGCAGTGCATGGTTTTTAAATTGTTCCATCCCTGAATGAGTACTCCCGTTGTCACACGTTCTATTTATTTTTATGATAAACTAGAATATATTGTAAGGAATGGCACAGCTTTTATAAACATGGGAATGCTTTGCTGTCAAATGAGATCAGAATTAATGCGTATAATGCAGAAAACAAGGCTGGCTGTATGAATATGCAACAGTTGTAGCGAAACACAGTATTCTTTGAGAGGGGTTGTTTCAAGGCTTCGTGTGCTTTTTCCCGTTCAGTTGACGTTTCGGTCTGATATTGTATGCCATGAGACCTTCTTTTATGTCACTGTTATTTAGCAGTTTGTCACCCGATATGCAGTCAACGGTTATTCTCTTTGAGTACAGAGACAAGGGACGTCTTATATTCAGATTGTTACAAGTTATGTTTCAACTTTTTAATAAAAGCAAGGGAAACCTATTTTTTTATCTTAATACAGATAGAGGAGGAGTTGACTTGCTTGCATGTTTGTTCGTTATTATTGATTGTCATAAATTGACTTCAGCCCATAACTAGCTCAATCCTAGCAGAGCAAAATAGGAGAAAACTGTCAAAGAAAATCAGAGATCTCTCAACAGCAAAGAAGCTTTTGATCGAAGTAACTCTCGCTTTGCATCGAAATGAGAATGTGAAACATGCCAACCATATTTCATTGTACAAGCAACTAATCGCCCCTAAACTGAAGATCATGAATGCAAAAGCAATAAAAGATAAATTATATTTGTTGTAAAAGATAAGAGTTTAACAGAAAGAAATATGTTAGTATTTAAGCTACATTGCTGTGAGAACCAATACAGATTCGAGGATTCTTCTTGTGCCTTTATTGTTATGTCGGCATATGAATATGTATCTCTTCGATAACACTTTGATTGTGCTTGTAACTCTATTGCAAAGTACTTGTTAATGACTGTAAAGCTGAAGAGTAAAGAACAAAGCTTGCATTTCAAAAGACGCAAAGCAGATGCCAAATGCTGTAATGCTGTACAAACCAGTAGTTTCAGAGTGTTGCTTTTGGTTTTTAAGCACTACATAACTTTCCTAGCATTGTTTTGAGTTTTTCATTCTGAGATTCTGTATGAAATAGCTACTGTGCTCTAAGCTTTAGCAACAATTAACCTTTAGCATATGATATAAACCTTCAAAAATAGATTTTCGATCCAATTAATGGTTGTTTGAACCATCTATTACGGTGCCTTATCCGCAAAGTAGACATTCATCGTGAAGCATTAAGCGAGCTTCTTTCAAAGGGTAAGAGTTTCTAGCAAGCTGCACTACTAACCTGACAATATTCTATTTGGAAAAGTCCATATTCCCGTCATCTACCTGGTATGACAGTTAGTATAATCTTGGCGCTTCCAAACACTTTGATTAGTGGTTATACCTGCTTCAATATAGAGTCATCATAAGCAATGTAATTTCATCAAACAAGTGATATTGGACAGTCATTTTTGACGCTCTTCGTAAAAAAAAAAAAACCTACTCTTTATGGGTGCAGTTTTTTCCCTCATTTATCTGCATCCTTTACAGTTAATGACACTGAATTTGTAATATCCAAATATGGTAAATGACCGATAGTCGATCCCGAAAAATTTTCTTGACTAAAAAAAAAACTTTTGACAGATCAGGTTGAAAACAAAGGGTATTGGTTTTCCCCTAATTTCTCCTTTTTTATAAATTTTCTTTTACTGTTACAAGAAAATCTTATTTTTTATTTGCATAAAGCAATGGAATTTACCTTACTCTGGTCACGTCAAATCGAAACTATTTTTTAAAAGAGGAAAACGTCAACTTCATACTGCAGCTATTACCTTTCTATCAGTACAAACAATGAGCAGTACCACGCTTTCAAATGAGAAATACTTGGATGCTCACAATAACAAATCTTACCCAGCCGAACTTTTAGACCAATCCTCCGTAGAGAGACGATTCACTGCCAAGAAAGCTACAACGGAGGATAATTATTCGATTCACTCAAAAGCTGATCAACTCTCAGTAACTTCCACAGCTATTCATAGAGAAGAGTCGAGATCAAAAGTGTTTTCAAAATGGTGGTCAAAAGTAATGGGCGATATATATGCCAACGATGATCCACACAGTTACTCAAAATTAAGGAAAAATCTGATTATCTTCATTGTCGCTTTGGGCGGCATCAGTGGCCCCATCGGTAGTATGATCTACATGCCTGGTCTAGTTACAGTTTCAAGAGATTTGAATACACCGATGACGGCTATTAACGGTACAGTTTCTGCGTATGTAATTTGCATGGGCATTGCAGTAAGTATTCAGCAATCAATTGATGTTCAGCTCTTTGTTTTTAAATTCGTCCGATCATCGTTTGTTTCATTCAATAGCCGCTATTTTGGGCTAGCATGTCGGACGCCTATGGAAGAAAGCCCATGTATATTTATAGCTTGATCATTAGTGTTGTTGCAGCTATTCTTTGTGCTGTATCCACTAACATTGGTATGCTTATCGTCTTCCGTGCTGTTCAAGCTTGTGGCAGTTCATCGGGCCAAACGCTTGGTGCTGGTGTAATTGCTGATACAATCGCTCCTCAAGATCGTGGCAAAGCTTACGGTATCTTCTATATAGGGTAAATTCTAATTGCTCGCATTTTTCTTTTCAAATGTACGTACGTTGCTAATCATTCGCACTACTCGTTTGTTCCAACAGACCCTTATTAGGCCCTGTAATTGGACCTACTATAGGTGTAAGTGCAACTTACTAAAGTCTTGAGGTTGCGAAAACAGATTTTCTAATTGAAGACCTATCTTTATTGTAGGGTGTCCTTTGTCAATACTTGGGCTGGCGTTCAACCTTTTACTTTATAGCTATTCTTTCAGTGGTTCTTTTGCTTTTGATCTTATTCTGCCTTCCTGAAACACTCCGTAGAAAGCAGGTCGAAATTGCTCCGGACGAAGTTGGTCAAGTGGTTGTCAAGAAAGAAAGGTTTAAAGCACTTGAAAATTTAAAAGCCGCTTTTGCACCAATGTTGGTTATGCTTGGTGACCCAACAGTTGTTGTTATTACAATCTATAATACCATTATTTTTGCTTGCCTATACTTTCTTGTAAGTGGGGGATAACAACCTGCTATTGTATAGGCATTTCATGCTAATCATCTTCTCTTAGACACCTACCATTTCGGAAACATTTGAAAAACTTTATGGTTACACTTCTACCATTGTAGGTCTTTGCTATCTTGTTTTCGGTTTCGGTCTCATGTGTGGCTCTGTCTTGAGCGGTCGATATTCAGACTTTTTGGTCAAGAAATTACGCGAAAAGAAGGGACCAGAAAATATCTATCCTGAACTAAGACTACGAGCAACTTTCCCAGCATTTGTTTTGATTCCTATCGGTTATTTAATTTATGCCTGGACAGCAGAAAAAGGTGTTGGCGTTTATGGACCCTTAATTGGTCTTTATATCTGTAAGTTGTTGTATAGTAACATTACAAGTTTCATTTAGGATACACCCCTGATCAATTTGTTTCACTACAGATGCTTTAGGACAAATGTGTGCTTTTACCCCAACTTCTGTTTATCTGGTAGACTCAAAACCGGGCAGGTCTGCTAGTGCTGTTGCCATCAATAATTGTGTCCGTTCCATCGTTGGCGCTATTTCGACTATTTTTTCAAGTAGTGCTGTTGAAGCAGCGGGCCCAGGAATTCTGTATACGATCCTGGCTGCAATCAATGTAGCTAATTGTCTTACTGTTGTGGCTGTAATGATTTTTGGAAGAAAATGGAGGACGGATTTTGAAAAGAGGACTGGTACAGGCTTTGAAAGCAACATCAATGCTGAACCTACGTCTAAACCAGAAAGTAAAGAAAGGAGAAGTTCTGCAGAATATGCAGACGAGTTGTGTATTGTCCATTCTAGAATGAGTGCCGTATAGCTTCAATTTTATTATATTTATTTTAAACCTTATCAAATAATTATGTACAGTTTAGATATTATTTACAGCATCACATTATATCTAATATTATTCCATATGTAATACATTCAACACCCATTAACAAAATTTCACAGTATATCCAGTAGCTGCACATTCGAAGGTGGATGATTGATCGTCATGCGCGTAACTATAAGCATCAGGGCATTTTTGTTTCGTAGTCTGGGCTTGCTGTCCAGCTTGGCATTTACCACGTTCAGCATTTTCGCCTGTGCAGCAATCCGCAGAAGAACCTGTTTTGGAACAGTCGCTCATACACGAAACAACATTTCCGGTAGCATCTTTAACTGCAAATTGATCAGCGCAGGCTCCAATATCACATTTAGGTGCGCCGCAAGAATAGCCATTAGAGGGGCCACCGCCACTGGGTTCTATGGATAAGGGCAAGTTATATCCGTCTACCAGACTGATATCGTAATAATCTTGTCCGCCTGTTCCTTTGAAGAAAAACTCTGCCAAACTGGCAGGGTTGGTTGCACCAGGTGTCCCACACGAATTGGGATCTTTACCTGAATCTCCTGAACATTGATAACGTCCCCAAACACGACCTCCCCATTGATCAGGTTTGCTGAAACTGTTACTTGCTGAAGGTGTTAAATCAAAAGTTTGATCGGTTCCACCTCCACCGTTTGTCAATACACCAACTGAAACAACTTTGTTGCAATTATTTTGTACCATGACGGTTTTATCGGCATGGACGAATGCTAACTGGCATAATAGAGCGACCAATGAATAGAAATAGTACAAAACCTTCGACAAAGGCATCTTTTGCTTTATTTTTTGAATCCAATGTAGAAAAGAGTAGCAATTAAAAAAAGGCGAAGAAGCCAAACTACTTCGTTGTTGAACCAATTGATCTAATGCTATAAAGTTATCAAGGGTCTGCTTTAATCTGTAATCTCGCTCGTCCGTATAATGGAGGACAGAAAATTCTCAAACTGGACCATACGCGACCGTTAGATTTGAAACAAATTGGAATTAATGTGAAGTGTTACGTAATGTCTAGACCATAAGACTGTTGAAAAAAGACTGCAAGGTTAAATAAACGCGTTTAGTAAGCTCGAAAACAAGCTATTTTTTAAAAAATAGAGGCCATCCACAGACGCCAGAACGATGTCATTTCGAACGCCAGTGGTTGGGAGTCAAATCACGAGATTTACCTCATGATCTGGCTCTGATAACTATAGCATTACGACTTTCGAACAAAGGCGCTTGCTTTATTTGCCTAGAATCACAACTATACTTTGAAAACCTACAAAGATAATGCAACCTTCAAGAATGGGTCAGCAAGGGTAAAGGATTTGGATTAACCCAACGATAGCGCTCCCGTGAACTCTGCAGTAGAATATATTGTGCTTAGTTACTGTTTTGACTTCCCACTATATGGTTATAGACTTTATTAAAGGAACCCCATTCACTTTATAAAAGAAATAGAACTAAGGACAGAAACGGTATCAAATACCAAACCAACTAGAAGGACGTGGTAGTATTCCTAAATGCCCCAACTTTTCAGAAAATGGCAAGGAGGTCTTCGGTATATCCGAAAACAACCTACATAGCCTTTCCTCTTCTGTATTCCAATGGGCCGTACAAAGGCGATATTCTATAGGAATCCAATTATCGTCTTGTTGTCTCTGTACAATACGGTACCGCACCACGTAGGATCGGAAATAAACACCACCACAAGAAGAGCATGCTTTAGGTTGTGATATAAAGCGTACCAGATGATTTGGTAACTCTTCAAAATACAGTCGATGCCGTTTCTTAAGCTTCTGCAGTTCCCTCTTTGTTAATTTACGATTGCTATCTAGAATCTGTTGTAAGACGGGATGCAGCAGTTGCCGAGCACAAGTTTCTACTAAGCTAATCGGGTCATGAGCTAATTCTTGCGTGAGTTCGAATGATCGATCAATAAACCGTTGACAATTCTCCGTTTTTATGGTGGTTGTTGATAATCTAAGTAATTCTGCAGGTAGAGAACTGATGCTTGTCCTAGATAAATCAAGTATGTTTAAACTGGTTAACTGAGCCAAGTTGGGTGATAAAGTAGCAAGAGGATTTGATGATAAATTAAGGTATGCTAGTCTTGTCAACGAATACAGGTTCGTCGGTAATTCTTCCAAAAGATTGTGAGATAGGTTGAGGTGCTTCAACTGCTTTAAAAATTCTATGAATGATGGTACTTTTTGTATTTTGTTACGGGATAGATCCAGAAATGTTAGTTGAGTCAATGCTGCTAATTGTACGGGAATAACTTGAAGGCCAGTCTGGCGGCTTTTCGTCTTTTCATTAGTATGGAGGAAAGTATAAATATATCATACTAATAATATAGATACGGTACTTACAGGTTCAACCGAGTTATTGTTGAAGTACCAATCAGACCATTGTTGAATATCATCGATTGCAAATGCAATAAAGGCTTTAACGGTGGGATTTTTAATTCTGCTTCATTGGTTTTATTTGGCGCATAATATGTTTTGTCGATATATGTTAGATCATTGTCCACAGTCGTAAGTGAAAATAGGTGGTGCAAGGGGAACTGGTCAATAGACCTTGATAGGTTCTTTATGTTGAAATGGCTACACATGGTAGACTGTTAATTTCTACACTACGCTTATGTTATGTGAATGAGATTTAATGTTGTATAAAGTACGCTAGATGTTAAAGTGTAAGAAATACTGAATGAATAAGGTATAGAACTGTAAGCGTTCTTAAGATGGAATAGTGAATTATAATAGTAGTAAATGGTAATAGAGGTAGAATCTGGCGAAACGAAAAAGAAAAGAGAAGGGAACTACCAACAACTGGTTCAATATCTGTAAATGCTTAAATAACAAATATAAAAAGTAAAATATTATTAAGCTCTTAACGTTGCTTCCAAATGTTTGTTAATTTACGTCTATCTGCTGCTCTTGCTGCTGACACTACAGAGTATTCTCGGACCATTTCCAATCATTCTTCCAATTGCTGATTACTTTGATCTTATTTGTTCGACCAAATTTAAATGCTGTCTGAATCAGATTCAAGCGATCTTCTGGTTTAGAAGCTGTGAGATAGCCGACTTTGCCTTCCCCGTTTTCGTACTTCAAAGCAACAGTGCCAACAATTTTATCGTCTTTTTCCATAACCCAGGCATTACTTTTCTCATTGCTTCGAATGTTCCTTAAATCGCTCACTGCTCGTTCAGTCGCTTTTGTCAAGTCGTTAGAATATTCTCGGCATAATAGATAGTACCACAAAATGCCAACACCTGCACCCCATAATGTCATTCCAATCAAGGTGAGGGCGGTATCTCTGAGCAAGGCTGTCATTTTCATAAGTTTGGGTGCTTGAATGCCCAGAATTCCTGCAATGCCTGCTTCCAACATAACTTTGGCAGCCGAATTATGCTTCAACGATTGCATAACTCGCTTCTTCTTTTTTGCGCCTTCAACTGCATAGAAGAATTGCTTGAATTTTTCTTGATCATCCAATGAATATTCTCGAATATTCATCCTTCTTTAATATGCTTTCAGCCAAGAGCAAAGGGAACAAAAAAAGAACCTTTTTTCATTACCAAAATTTTTTCCAAAAAAAGAAATGAGTAGCAGGAGCCGCGGAGCTGCATTGCTTCTCTTATTTGTTTACAGTAAAAGTAGGAACAAAAAAAAAAAAAAAAAAAAAAAGAAAAGGCATAAACCTCTACCATATCTGATAATTCTATTTTTTAAGAGACGGTTGCTTGGAATCCCGAGGTAAGAATATGCCAATAAGTTTTACATTATTTGAACTTCTATTCGTTAAAGGATGTGGCCTTAGAAATGCGAACAGAAGGTTGCATGACAGATTCTATGCAAAAATTGTGATTTCTGGACTCTAATTACTATCTGCTGCCGATGAAAGTAAGAAGAAACCACACTGCGTGAGTCTAATCTCTGTGCAGCGACATTATATCAACAGATTAAAATGTTCCTTATTGGCAATGGCCCGTGCTTAAGTTTACAGGTTGATGAACAATTTGTAATTGCTACAACAAGCCTTGTTTTTTAACTTTTGCAGAAAAAAATTGAATATATTCCAATTAGGGTTTTAAATAAATCAAACGTCTTCATCATCTATAGCACACAATAAAACGGAAAGCATATGATTCTTGTTGATCATCTATCTACACGGTCCCGCCTATCAAAGTTTTTAGCCTTCGAAACGATTCGTTATGTTGGCGGTAGATGATAACACGCTGTTGCAAAGATATATGAAGTTTAGAGTTTCGTTTGAGAACCTTCTTTATTATTGCCAAACACCGACACTAACTATAACTGTTACAACCCTACCGCTATTCAGGAAAGGCAATGCCGTACTGATTTAACTTAAATGCTTGATGCTTTCTCTCTTTCTTTTCTTTTTGTTTATAATAATAAGGAATGAATTTTTGTGAGTCCCCATTTGTCATAAGCATGTTTATAAAGCATGAAAACTGATAGTAAGCACTCTACGTTTATAATTGCCATGAAATCATAAGAATTATAATTATCGGACAGTTTAATTAAGCATATCACAATTTAGTTCAAAAGGTAAACTTTATTCCTATAAAAACAAATTGAATGAGCGAAAAACAAACAAATTTTCTTTTGATATGCTCAAAGAATCGTAGATAAACAGGGAACTGTATCTATGTCAACAGTAGTAAGGCCATCTGAATCCGATCGTGAAAGCAGTGGTCCGACAGTGAGCTCCTTCCACGACTCCCAAAGCTCAAAAATTTGTTTTTTGGATTTGTTCGATAGTACAATACAAAATATAGCATCATAGCCGCCGGCTAGTGTTAGGAAAGATGGGTTAGTCGAAAAGTCAAATACATCAGATAGCTGGACATTTTCTCACTTCAATTTACCTCCGGGAACACCAGCCATAACAACGCCTGGTATGTTTGTACATGCATCTAAGAGCTTAGTCTGCTCTTTAGGTTCAATTGGCACATCTGCTAATTCACTCATCTTTTGTAAAAGTCGACGAACAACGCTAAAATCATTGACTAGGGCGACCAATTCTTCAGCAACGGGGCCAGGCACTGCATTCCAGTCTGTAGAGTTCAGATTTGTGCACTTATCGATAGTGTCATTGTAAATATGTGTATCTTTCACATATAGCTCGTTTAATCGGCGGAAATGCTGTTCAACTTTGGAATTGTATGATCCCAATTCAGTCCATAAAGCATTGGCTAACAGAATATATCCACAAGGTGAGTCCAAGTAAAATAGAAAAAGTCACTGTTGATGAGAGTAGTTTTTCTCGCGTTTACCTTCATCAGGATTCAATTTTTTCCATGCTAGAACTTTTCCAACGAGAGTGGGTGTATGGCTTCCTGCATCTATGTCTGCTAACATTAAATCGAACCCAGGTGGTAGTTTGAATGGATCAACTTCATTATCCCAACTAATGTTACAGATCAATCAGCCGGCGTCAATTTTGTATTTCAAACCGAGCATGCGTTTGTAAAAGAAATTACCTCTGGTTATCTGCATCAAGTGCTTTAGATAGGACCTTGGGATCAACATTTTCATCCTAAAAATTAAGCAGATGATACATTGATATGTGTGCATTGATGCCTCTCGCTAAACGAATGATTTACCATCAGCGGTGATAATATGGAGGGATTGAATCTCTTATAGCGATGGCTTCCCCAAATTGCAGATGATACATCAAATCCACTACCCACTTTTCCTTGGGCGAAACAATGAACGAATTGAGCAACATTATGAGCCAATGTCTTTTCTGTCGTATTCAGTGTTGGAGTAATCACTTTGAAGTGAAGTAATAAAGCGGCTACGAGAGATACTGTAAGGGCTGCTGAACTCCCTAAACCAGTTTTGTGAACTGCAGATAATGTGGTACCAGTTTTGCAAAAAGGTTTAAGAGAGGCTAATGCACTGGCGGTATTTGGTAACCCTTTCGATTCTAACTGTGGAGACATAAAATCCGATCATGAGGGGACTGTTGCGTACAAGAATTTCTTTACTGTCTATTTCTGTCCCTTTACCTGAGCTCTTTGTGAATAAAAGTCATTATCACCAACAATTGTAACCTCAATTCCATTGTTTAAAAAGCTATTGAATTGTTCTAAGCCTGTCTTCGCGGCTATTATATTCAAGGTGAAGCATAAACAAGTCTCAACAAACTTATTTCGGGATTCTGTTGTACTATTTCATTCAAAAGGCAAATGTCAAGTCATTCAGTATAGTTTTCGGCTGAATACGGATGTCTATATCTCTATAAATCCTACATTGACTGAAAGTTTACTTTTTCTTTGTCTGCGATTGCGTTGTATTTCCAAGTAGCCGCGTTGAATTGAGGCGATTGAACGGTAATGGTGCCTGCAGGTTCTAGCGACTTTTCCGATCGGATGACGGTATAGAATCTTGCTGAAGTGCCTACCACAACACCGCTATAAGCTTGTTCTAAAACCAGATAACCACCGGCAAGAAGAACTTTACCAGGTGCAGAAGCAACTGTGCAATGCGAACTCATGCCAAAGAAGAATAAAGAAAGGATACAGGAGCTACCTGAATAAAATAGACGTGTTGATCTCCTTAAATACAAATCCCAAAAAAGTTTATTGCGGTGTTTTAATGGGCTTTTTTTTTTGTTCCTTTTCCGTGTGGTAAACTGATGGGATGTGCAACAAAGGGAACAGGAACAGAGCTCAATGAGCCTTCAAAAATTATAAAAATAGGGAGTGCAGCGCGATAGAAAATGCTTAAACAAAAGCTTAATTTTTCCAAGTTCTTTCCTCTCTCTCTTTCTTATCTTCCGTTCATTCAAATCTTTGATTAAACAAAGCAATCCTTTTTCTTCATGTCCACTGACATTTGTGTCGATAAGGCTGCAAAGAAATGTTCCTCATCCATCTTTTTGAAAAAAGCCAAGCTTCGACAATCCAAAGTTGACAATTCATCAGTATCCCCTACATCTGACATTACCAAAAACAACAGCAAGGCTCAGCTGTCATCCTCCTTTAGCAAAATTCAATCAGTTGGACTAACGCTTCTAGCATCTGTTTCTAAAAGAAAAGCAAAGAATAATGAAGCAACGAACCCACCACCATCAACAACCACAACACCTTTGAGAGCAGTAAAGGAACCAAAAACAAATAATTTTGAGCTGGATGCACGAAATAGTAAAAAAGAGACGCAGGCCATCAAACGAAAGCCATCCTCAAGCTTGGAGCCTTCCTTTTCAGCTAGACCATTTTCACAGTTCTTTTGTTCCATTGAAGAAGAAGAAGTTGTTCCAAACGGAGAAAGCGTTAATAAAGGGTTGTTGCTAACCGAAAAATTGGTTGCTGAGCAATATACGCTTTCACAAGAAATAAAGCAGCAAAAACAACAACAAACAAATTATAGGCCGCCGCAGAGGCATAGCATTGCACTTGATTATATCAGCTATCAACAACGAGGAATCCCAGTAAATTTATCACACCATAACAACTTTTCACCAGACATTTCTATCATAACTCCTTCCATATCATCAACACACAATTCGTCACGCTCATCTTCTTTAAAAACTGTCACTTCATCTTATATAGCAGAGGAGCAGGCTCACATGTTGATGGAACAAGAAATCGAAGGAAACGATAAAGAAAAGAACACTTTCACCCCTTCTCTTCCAAGCATACAATCTGACATAACATTTTCCTCATCATCACTTGAGCCCGCATACATTAAGTCAATAGCAGTAACAAATAATAACAAACCATCACAGATGGGTCTTTCTCGTTCAATTTCACAACAAATCAAAGAAAAGAGACTATCAGGTGTAGTCAATGTTTCACGAGCACGAACAGCTTTCGGGTTTGACACAGCAAAAAGCAAAGAATCTCGAGCTATCCATGTTTGGAGAAAGACGATATCACAATTACTCTTAGATACGTTGGATGAGGAAGAGAAACATAATGATGATGATACAATTTTGACAGCTACTAACCATATTGAAAACAATTCAAAACAAGAATTCTGTGACATATTATCCCATCCTTTTTTTATTGTAACGTATATATCAACATTAAAATGAGGCAAATATCGCATTCAAAGTTTAAAAAGTTGACCGTCTAACCGCTTCATACCTTTTTTTTTTAAAAAAAAAAATGCATAAATATCTGCAATCAACGCTATCTTATGAATCCGCCTCGTCTTTTGACACTAAAAATACAAAAAAACACAGCCGGATTATACCTTAGAACAACAAAGATTTGTGCGACCTTCAATTGCGGCAACATCATCTACATCAAAAGACCTCACCATGATAAAATTTATACTAAATGAAATGTTAGAAACAGAAAGAACCTATAACCAATTACTCTATTTAATAAGAAACGTATGTCAGCTTACAGTTTTAATTACAAATGCATGCAGCAAGGCATACTGACAAGTTTGCTTTTTTCTTTTTCTTAATGTGCAGAAATATATGCGACCAATGGTTGCTGCTTCTAAACTAAAAGATCCACTCGTAAAAAGTACAGACATTCCCGTATTATTCAATCATTTACCAGAACTTATTCGTGTGTCTGATAAATTACTACGTGATCTGCAAACAAGTGATAACATTGGGCATACATTTTGCTCACTGGAAGCCAAGTTGGTCGTATTTTTGAAATATGCCATGCATTATAGAACAAACCTAAAGACAATCCGAAAAGCATGCAATAATGTATTGTTCGTAAAGATAGATCGGGTAAGCATGGTCTTGGCAAATTTTCAATATAGCATTAATGTCTGCATAAGTTGAATGGTTTCTGACAAGTTTTTTCTTTTCTAAAAATATTTACCTGTAGGAAAACCTTTCGAAACGAGATACGAATCGGCTAGGAATGTCGGATTATCTGATTGCACCTATCCAACGCATACCGAGATATTGTTTGCTAATAAAAGGTAAATATGGCAAACCGAGAATCATGGTAGTGTGCCACGTTGCTTATTAAGCTGATAATTTGCTTTTAGATTTACAAAAGTATACGCAGCGATCAAATCCAAGTTACACAGAATTAGATTTGGCTTTGAAGATTTTGACGGGCTTAGCTGTGGCAATGGATTATGCCCAGGACAACAAACCCTTGACGACGACTTCACGACCCTCAAATAAAACGCTTTAAAATGGAGATTCGCTTTCATTATGCTCATGCAAGCTGTAAATATTTACAAATATACCAATCCCTGATACCGACAATAACAAACCTAAGCCTTCGAGACTTCCTTTTTTCGGATTGAAGCCTAAATCCTTCCCATTCACTTGAAACTGTTACATTCCCTAATGACTACGTATATTATTGCGAGTAATAAAACAAAAGAAGACTAAAGTTATGCTCACCATTGTTTCATCTGATAGTCAATCATGACAGGTATCTTTTATGGTATTAAAGTTTACAATTGACTATTTATTTCATGGCATCCAAAGTGGGCCATACATTTATTGATTGAAAATCTTTTATAATTTCATTGACTTTATCTCGTATTAATAGCGGTACTTCATAAGTAAAGTGAGTCTCTCTTTCAATTTTGGAACCATCCACCGTTAGACCATTATTTGTTAAGAGTTCCTTATTAATGTAAGGTGTTAACGGTGTAACATGGATACCGTTTGCGCTCAATAAATCGGTCCATGGCACTAAATGTTTTTCATTGATGGCGTGTACGGTGGTGTCATCATTGGCCTAGGTATAAATTGAAAGAAAGCCAGCCCACCCACGCAACCCATCGCCCAAAAAATTAATAATTCAAATACTATCTCTTCGTAATCTAAACTTTTTGTAGGATACCTCACCTTAGCGAAAGATGAAATCATAGCACCATGATATCCGGTTTTTATGTTGAAAATGGCCTGTAAATGTTCATTGATAGTTTCTTGATCTAGAAGATAATAACATGACGATAAGTATGTACATTGAATGGTCTGGTTTGAATTTTTTTCAACAGGTTATACACCAACATATCAATACCTGTATTCTGCTTGTCAGCTAAATTAAAGATCTGAACTTCATTTCTCTGAGCAATTTCGTTATGAACATACCATTCAGCTATATGCCAGCATGCTCTTGTGACGTCTTTGACATGAACTGTGTTTAACTTCAAATCTTTCGACCACAACAGCTTCAACTCTTCGCCTAAATATTGATAAATTCGTCCGATCACTAAACGTTGTGCTGTAATGAGAATTAAAAAGAAAAAAAAAGAAGACATTATGGTCTACTTCATATGATGTATAATCAACAACCATTACGTAAGGAGAATAGTTACTTAAACCATTGATGGCGCCTGGACCATAAACAATCGCAGGACGCAAGATGATCAAGTTAAGGCTATAATATGATGTAAAAGTTTAGCATTGTTATTAGCTCTACCGGATAAACTACTGTACAGTCTCTCGTCAATATTTACAAACCCTGGAATCTTTCTTAATTCTTCTTCAACTCTATATTTGTTTTTTGCGATAATTGTCAAAGGCTTTATCTTTGAAGTCTCAGTAGCAGCTTTCTACATGCCACATAGTTGCCATACATCAGTAAAGGATTTACTTTGTTCACATTAACATCTGCATTCATGAAGAGTAACACTCGCGTATATGCTTACCTCATCACTGTGATAGACTTCTGCAGTTGACATTTCGATGAAGACTTTCACCTTCCTGCTCGCTGCTTCTTTGGCACAGTTGACAGACAAATTAAAAATACGTTCTTGATATAGCTCAGGCGCTTGGGATCCTTTGGTCTCTGCTGCAAAGTTGAAGACGTAGTCAAACTCCTTTCCGTCGTCTCTGGTAAAGCACGAAGCAATCGACACTATTCAGTTTTATGCGAAATGATAAGGGATGTAAGTAGAAAAGCTCTCAAAGTATTTGGCAGGTATTCCATCTTACCTTTATTTGTCAAATTGGCCTGTTTGAAGTCAACTTTTGCAAAATCAGCAGTAAACTTTTTTGAAAGATAAGCTGTTTGCGGGATAAGCTTATCGATCACACGGATATCCGCGGCTACATTGCTATTTAAAAGATAATGAACGAAATGTCTACCGATAAAGCCGGCTCCACCTAAGACAAGAACGGCTGGCTTTTCGACAGTCATACCGTGAAGAAGTGTACAGTACAATTGGAATGATAAAAGAAATGCAATGAAAAAAAAGGCTGCATTGTGATGAAACTAATTGAATGTGATGTGATTAAGGCTGGTTCACAATAGTAAGATAACACAATATGGACCCATTTAGGAAAGAATAGAGTATATTTAAGTATTACACAGTTGGTTGGTTATTATTGGCAAGTGATGGAAAGAAAGGCAATTGGAACTTATTTTTAGCCGCCCATCAAATTCGCTGTCTCTGTAACAAGACTGGGTCTGAAATAAATGAAATGAAGTTGGTAAACTTATTTAACGATGTTTGGGAGTTTTTAAAGACGTTATGGATATAGGTGTGTGCTTATAGATAGCAATTGACGAGATTTGAACTCGACTTTTGATAAAAAGCATATTGAGACTCATAAATGTAATATTTTTCTATTTTAATGTATATGAACCAAGCGATCGTGTCAAAAATTAACTTTCAGAAAAAAGATATGCTGTTATATCTTTTTCGTGTAGATTGTCAATCGAGAATTTTCAATTGTCATACTTTAGGATTTCTTGATGCTCTTGATAAAAATAACAGGATGGCTTCTCTTCAGTAGTACTATGTGACGAATATAATAGTATCTTTCGCAGCATTCATGTCTGGTTGTGCCACAGCATACCGCATCCTTATGAATAATGTCATTACGAAAAGAGACTACTCCCTACGCTTACTCCTGAAAGCTACACCCGGCGCGCATATTTGTCCAACAGCACACTTTTGGCTGGCTGTAACTATTGGTAGTATTCTCAATCAGATTATACTTGCAGCATCGACTTGAGCTTCCATGCAGCAATTTCTCAAATATGTATTTATCTCACTGAACAACGTGTGCTGTCTTTTAGACAGATCACGGATCAGTGGCCATCTTGCTCACAACGTCTTTAAATTCAGAAGGATATTGTCTGAAGCAAGGTCTAATAAACTTCCTGCTTGCAAACCGCTTTGGCAGTAACCGGAGTCTAGCTTTTGTTTTTAGAGCTCCTATATGTTTTCTCGGTAAAGTAAGTTATACCTCATATTAGCCATTCAATTTTTTGTTTTTCATAATTTTTTTTTTTTTTTTTTTTTATTTTCTCATTTCAAATAACTAGTTTACACAAAAAAAAACCAACCAAGCTTGGAAAATTTACTCTTCAAATGTTTTCCAAACACAAAAGATGTCGATCTTTTAAATTGAAAAAAAGCAAGAACTCCGCCTATGACTTTATATTTCCTGTTCCTGTGGTCGCCGGTCGAATCAATCTTGGTACCTTTTTGTGGGGAAGAGAAACAAATAATTCATACAACAACAATAGCGACGGATACTGAATGAATAAGAATCAGATACAGTCTCTTGTAAAGCTTTTTTAAGCTCTCCAAAGGTGTTCTACTTTCTGATTTTACATGTCAAATTTTCAATAAGACGGCAGCCTATGCTACTCTGATCTTTCTACATATTTCATGTAACTTGTGCAACAGGCCATCATTTATAAACGGCAGTCTGGATGACGCATATTTGATTCAATCGTATCAACAAGGCTATTGTTATGCGAAGAGTGAAATCGAAAGATAATGCTAGCCATTTTGCCAATGAACACATCTTTGCTTTCCGTTGTAAACTACAGATACAAACAAGATGCACAATTGAATACAGCAAATGTGCGTTGACAACGAGTCAATTGTATTTTCTCCATATTTTTAGAGCAAGTCGTGTGATGCAAAATTTTAATAACATTGGCTTGAATATTTTTTTTAACGGGCAATCAGATTGGTACTACAACCATTTTATTTGCTCTTTTCCCTTCAACTTGTTTCCTTTATTTCTTGTTCTTTGTTTCTTTTCTTCTTTGCTTCAAAGCCATTCACAAATCCTTTTTTCTGTTCATCCTTCTTACGACGTGCTGAAACCATTGGTGGTCTATCTATAAGGCTTGGTTGTGCTAATTGAAAAGAGCAGCCTATCTTGCAACATCTTCTTACCACATACACATACACACACATACATACACTTTTACACATACACATTCAGACATCCAAGATAAAAGAGTTTGAGATTTAATAAAAGAGCAATAGGAAGCAGAAAAGACTGATATCCCATGAGTAACAATAATGAGCCACTTCGGCCTACCGCCGCCACCACGAGTAACATGGCTCCAGCTACTGCTGCTCGTTCAACTTCACTGCTTCGGAATGCATCTAACTCATCACATTCAAATCCAAACAGACCACGGAGACAAAAATCATTAGTCAGACCAGAGCGTGAAAGGAATTATCCAAATAATCGGTTATATCATTATCGACAGAGAGCTGAACAACGGCAAGATACTGATTCAAATAACTTTGCCCCGAGTACGACGGGTAATTTGATATCTACCAAAGAGCCTACACGAAAGTCGCATCAATCGTCCCATTCACAACAACAACAACAACAACAACAACAGCAGCAGCAACAGCAACAGCAACAACAGCAACAACAGCAACAACAGCAACAACAACAACATTCAATGCAGCAAACAATGGCTCCAAAAGGTTTAGAAAGACGGCCAACAACTCGTGAACAATTATTACGACGAGGCAAAAGTATTTTAGGTCGAGAAGAAAAATACAATGATGACGATGACGATGACTACGATGACAGTCTGGGTGGAGCCATTGACTATGGTATGAAAAGAAACCAAGGCTGGTGTTCAGACTTTCAGCCATGGCTCACTTACTGCCGTCTATTAACGTGTTGTATTCCAAAGCAGGTTTTAAGATGTACAGGTAAACTTTAGTTTTTTAAGGCTATTTTATCAATGAATTTCGAGTCATTTTGTCAATATGAAATTAACCCACCCCCAAAAAAAAAAAAAAATCCAAACAAAAAAGGTATACCGGATGGACCAGCGCAAATGGCATGGCGAGAAAAAATTGGCTTGGTCTCTTTTATCCTGTTTATCATGGCTTGTGTGGGTTTTCTCACTTTTGGATTCACTCAAGCCGTGTGTCCCATTCCCCCCATGAGTGTGCGTGGTGGACAAGTGAGTCCAGGTTATCTTGTCATTTCAGGATGGGCCTACATGCTTGCGGAATGGCAGCATCCTGCTGGGGTGAGTGGTACCAATGAAAGCACCAATATTCTGTATCCTCCAGTGGATGCTGGAGGCATGGATGCCAGTTTCTTATTCCAGACGGTTCAACCAGAGTGCGCATCTGTGTTTATACCAACACAAGGGGATCAGCCCATCTATTTTCCTTGCCAGCTCTTCAATCCCAATTCGACCGTACCACCTGACGCTTCTCAATTTATGAATAGAACAAGCTGTCATTTATCTGCCAATGCACACAGTCTCTACAACACCTTTCAAACGCAAGGCGTACCTAAATCAAGGGGTGGATTCGACAAGGCGGCCCGTATTTACTATGACTGGAACGATATCAAAGCAGAGCAATTTCTTACTGTTTATAATGGGTAAAGTTTAAGGGAGCGCGCGTACCTATTGACTATCGCGCAAAAAAAAAAAAAAAAAAAAAGAAACGCTCATAGTCCATGACGAAACCTTATTCTGACCGTTTTCCTTTTTTCTTTTTTTTTTTTTTTGATTCCTCACGCTTTGCCCGCCTCCTCTGCTCTATCACCCCCTCAACCCCCTTATGACTTATAGGTATGTACTCAATTTGAGGTTACTGTCGTCCTTACCCACTACCCACTTTAGAACACCACCCGATGGATTGATCGCGGCCATCCATGCAAATATCACGCAATTTGTAGGAAAAGACATCACAAGAACGATTAACGCCAACCGAGCCAAAAAAGGGCAGTGGGAACAAGAAGCGAAATGTCTATCACAGACGATCAAAGTGGGATCATTAGATACGATCAGCATTGGATGCATGGCCTCCAACATTGTCCTTTATGCCTCACTCGTGGTTATTTTAGGTGTGATTATTGTCAAATTTGCGTTGGCAGTGGTGTTTGGGTGGTTTTTGTCGTGGAAATTGGGTAATTTCAAAGAAGGAGCCTCGTATGCAGCGAGAATGAAACGTGAGGCAGAAATTGAGAATTGGACAAGTAACATGCAAGCAGGCGCTCCTTTGACCAAAGCCCGCAACCAGTCCATGCTCTTTGGAGGCGGTAGCCATGCGAAACGGAAAAGCTTGTTTCCCCAAACGTCTCGTTTTACACAACCCATGCATGGCTCTACACGTTTTGATACAGAGAAAAGTGGCACCGTATCTTCTGTATGGAAGACACCGAACAGGTAGGTGAGCCCATCGAGGATGAGATGGGGGAGGGTGAGGGGGGGGGGCGGGGGTGGAAGGAAGGGTGGGTTGTTTCTCAAGAGATTGACATGATCCGATGATAATCCTATCTATCTACAGTGCGTTAGAAAACCATGTTTATCGCCACTCCACCCTATTTGGCATGGATGGAGCGAATCGTTATTCTACGGTCACGATGGGAACACCTGACCTATACAACGCGAGTAGAGCCTCCGTCTTTTATAGTACACCGTCTGTATCGGCTCGATTTCTGGGTCACAGTGAGCTTCATCCTCCTCGTCGGTCGTCGATCACCTCATCTGATCTAGCGAGTACGACCGACACGCATTCCACGGGGCCCATGTGCCCCTTACCGGTGTCGCGGCACGCTGTTCGACAACCGGCGTCCGATTACATGCCTTTCCACTTTCCTCTTGCTCAGACGATTTGTCTGGTCACTTGTTATTCCGAAGGCGAGGCAGGCATCCGTATTACACTCGACTCGATTGCGACCAGCGACTACCCCAACAGCCACAAGTTGCTTTTGGTGATCTGTGACGGATTGATTACGGGTTCGGGGGAATGCAAGTCGACGCCAGAGATTTGTGTCGGCATGATGCGCAATTTGATAGTACCGGCGGAACAAGTGCAGGCGTACTCTTATCTCGCGCTCGCGGACGGAGCGAAGCGACACAACATGGCCAAGGTGTATGCGGGATTTTACAAGTACGACGATACGACGGTGGACAAAGCGCATCAACAGCGCGTACCGATGATTACGATTGTGAAATGCGGCACACCTGAGGAGCAAGCCAAAGGGGGAAAGGCTGGTAACCGTGGCAAACGCGACTCGCAGATTATTCTGATGCAGTTTATGCAGAAGGTGATGTTTGATGAACGTATGACGACGATGGAATACGAGTTTTTCAACAGCTTATGGCGTGTGACAGGGGTAGCGCCTGATGCGTATGAGATTGTGTTGATGGTGGATGCCGATACGAAACTCTTTCCCGATGCGCTTTCCCGACTGATTTCTTGCGCAGTCAAAGACCCTGAAATTTGCGGGTTATGTGGTGAAACCAAGATTGCGAATAAAACGGATAGCTGGGTGACGATGATTCAGGTGTTTGAATACTACATTTCCCATCACCAATCCAAGGCGTTTGAATCCATCTTTGGCGGTGTCACTTGTTTGCCAGGGTGCTTTTGTATGTATCGAATCAAAGCGCCCAAAGGACCGGATGGATACTGGGTACCTATCCTTGCCAACCCTGATATTGTCGAGAGGTATTCTGAAAATGTGGTGGATACGTTGCATAAAAAGAATCTGTTGCTTTTGGGTGAAGATCGTTATTTGTCGACGCTGATGCTTCGTACCTTCCCGAATCGGAAAATGATGTTTGTTCCACAGGCAGTGTAAGTAGTTGGAAAAAACCACAAAAAAAAAAGAAAAAAAGAAATAGATCACGTATGCGAGTGTAAGGGAAACCGTACTGACATGTACCTTCTTATGTTGGATTGGAAAAAAAAAAAAACGCCTTTAGATGTAAAACGGTCGTGCCAGACACGTTCAAGGTGTTACTGTCACAACGAAGACGATGGATTAATTCGACGATCCACAATCTGATGGAACTATTATTTGTTCATGACCTCTGTGGTACATTCTGTTTTTCGATGCAGTTTGTAGTTTTTATGGAACTTGTGGGTACATTGGCACTTCCGGCAGCCATTTCGTTTACGTTTTATTTGATTGTGATGGCGTGTCTCGGTCAGCCAGCGATTATTCCATTGATTCTACTGGCTCTGATTCTTGGGCTACCAGCTGTGTTGATTGTCATGACCAGCCGAAAAGTGGTGTATGTGGGCTGGATGCTCATCTATCTGTTCAGTTTACCTATATGGAATTTCGTTTTACCCAGTTACGCTTATTGGCACTTTGATGACTTTTCTTGGGGTGATACGAGAAAGGTGGCTGGCGCAAAAGCGGACACAAAAGGAGGACATGCAGACAAGGAAGGAGAATTCGATAGCAGTGCTGTGACCATGAAGAAGTGGAGTGAGTATGAGAAAGAGAGAAGGGTCAAGGAAGCAATGGAACGCAATATGCCTGTGCCACGATTTGTGGAGAGACCGAGGGGCAGCATGGACGTCTTTCGTGAATCCAAGATGTTTAGAAAGCGAAGTAGTAAGACAGGCTCTGATGGCTCTCATGAAAGCGAGGTTCCTTTAACGCAAGCGGTTGCTTTGCATCATGACAAACCTCTTCCTCCTACGCGACATCTTCATTATTCAAGCACGCCGTCATCACCGCACCCTCACTCTCGCTTCCACGACGATGAGAATGGGGAGACTCTCGTCCATGAATTGAGGGTGCAAAAAAAGACGTCACCGCTGATGTCGAGTGGTGAAGATTCTTCCTCCTCATCGGTAGGCCCCGATATCCCTCTCACATTGATGCAGAGAACAGATTCGCAAGACTCGTCCCATCTGCTACCCTCCTCTTACAGGACTCGTGCAAGTTATAATGCAGCACTCACCCATTCTGGTATAGAGTATGAAGACGAAGGATTGGATGGAGGGGAGGCCGACATGTCATTGAACGACAGAGGTAGGAAGAATGAGGCCAGTACAAGCATGGATAATAGTAATGAGAGTCCACCAAAACATCAAGAACAACAACACACAATGACCTTTATGTCACCTTTACTGTCATCCACATCAGCTGCTTATAGCAATCATAATAATAACAACAACAACAACAACAACAACAACAATGATCTTATCCTAACTGACCGTTTCAATCGTGCACTATGGTCTGATCCAGCACCTCATCATCGTGAATCTACAAATGGCATTACTGACACCACACAGCAGCAGCAGCAGCAGCAGCAGCAGACAAGATCCTCTGTTCCTGATAATATACCCGTACTTCCTCCACACAAGAGTGATTACAAAAAGAACTAAATACAGTTTCTCTTGGTCACGTCTTTGTTTGCGGTAAAAAACCAAAAAAAGACAAACTTATATAGTAGCGTTTTTTTTTTTTTTCCTGTTACCATCGTACTAAGTATAGATATCCTATACGTATTTTACCTTTTGATGCACTACTTTTAAAACTCTTTTCTATCTACCTTGGAAATCAGGAAAACAATTAACATGGACTTTCATCCCATTTTGACCCAACGTCATCATCCCAAAAAAAAAAAAAGCTTGTAAATAAGTCTATTTCTGATGCAGGTAGTATCATCTCCTGTAACCCTATTCCCAAATATCGTTTTCTGTTCCACATAGACACAAGACATTCAATAGAAACACACACACAAGTTTATTTCGTATAATAACATGTTCGTTGTTAATAAGCGGTCATTAGAAAAAAAAATTTAGGCGCGTAATACAATTGCATCTTTTGTACACTATCAAATAAAAAAAAAAAAAAAACTTTGTTCTCGTGAGACTTGGGTCCGTGTTTCCCTAACTTTTTTTCGTTTTTTCGGTTTCTAAGGCTTCAAAAACATTTTATTTCATTTTCATTTGTTAAAGAAGGATTGACAAGGGATTTGTTTTTGTTTACTTTTTGTACGTGGAAAAAGAACGTAAAAACGGCGGTTTAGATGGAAAAAAAATGAAAAAGAAAAAACTGCTTTTTTTTATTATTTTTGTTCTAATGAGGCTTTCCATTTGAAATAGGTAGAATCATGAGATGTTGCCTGAATCAATGAATCTTTTCCATTTTGCTGAGCTTTCTCTATTTTTGTAAGGGTGTATAAAAAAAAAAGAGAAAAAGTCCTACTTTATACGTTTCGTGATTTCGTGTTACCCCGGTCCTGACTCTTCCTCTCCAGTGGGCTCTCTTTATTTTGTTTCTGGGTGCGTCTCTTTCTGTAAATTGAGTCTGAAATCTTGAACTGAAATTTTTTAAAGTTGAAACAAAAGAAAAAAGAAATTCATGCAGATCAGAAAAATCGAAAGGAAAAAGAAAAACAAAAAAAAAACCAGAAAATAAAAGAAACAATGTTATTCATAATGCTTTTCTTTATATTTTAGACAAAAGAAAGTAATGAATTGAGAATTCAACATGTATACAATGACAAAGAGTTTTTTTTGAGAAAAAAAAAGTGAACAAAAACGGTAAACAGTAAAAAAGAAAAAAAGACATTTCTCCTTATTTTCCAACCGTTCTTTTACACATTTTTACCTGATTTTTACTACCCCACGTAACTGGAAAAAAAAAATACTATTCTTCTGAGTTCCGCCAAATTCCTAAAAGAGAAGGAAAAAAAACGAAACAAACTGGAGATCCCCTCCAACCCACTTTTTCTCACCAAATATCAGTTCGACGGATATGGAAAAGTGAATACTACTCTGATTCAATCAAGTCTCACTCAAAAAGCAACCACCGAATGAATCATTTAAAAAAATTAAAAAAAATGGCAACATGTGATATGGAGTACTACAAACTTAACAACAAAAGCAAACAAGAAAAAACCTATGCACGCGTATCTAAACTTTTTTTTTTTTTCATTTCATGGAAATGAATATGCAAATGATCTGATGGAAATAAAAAAAAAAGATAGATGAGTGTTGACGGGAAATAGAAGCATGAAATCCAATGCCTGCTAGTTTTACAATTGATTTGAAATCGTTTAAAACAGACCTCTCTCACTGGCCCTCCCCCGCACCCCCGTCAAAGTAAAACCCAAGACGATAATGAATGGAAAATAGGTTATAGCATTTTTCTGCAGGCTTTGGATTAACCTAGATGGAACAAGCGGAAGACTAGGAAAAGAAGGGTTTCCCTCCTCCCTCCCCCACCCTGCTCCCTCCCTAATTTTTTTCGTTCAAATTTTTCTGAAAGATGTCGAATTTCGTAATATCCAAATTTGTTGATTTTTCCCATAAGAGTATAAACATGGATTGTTTTTATCATTTGAGAGAGAGTGTGTGTGTCTCTATGAAAATAGAGATGGGAGGGTCTTGTGGGTTACTTACTCGAGAGTCATAGGGTTTTTTTTTTTTTCTACCTTTGCTTATCTTAACCGGCTCGTTACTGCACAAATGCATGGATCGTCTCCGCACCTTATGCGCTTTTTTTTTTTTTTTTTTTTTTTGCAGCGGTCAATAAAAAGCAGTAAGACTGATTTTAATCGTACAGAAAGAATTCTGGTTTGGTATTCCATATTTCGATCAATAAACCACCAAACGCAAAAAAAAACGTTACTGGATGTACTACTAATCAGACGATTTGGAATTGTGTTAGGCAACATCAAATCTGCTATTTTTCCGCAAATTTCACTTTTTTTTTTCTTTTTTTCGACTTGGACACATGCACACACACGATTACCCAGAGATGCTGCACACAGACACACCCCACACACCCACACACACATACCATGCACCCACATAAGACACTTACGGGACTCACTTCGCTGAACTCGCTCACTGGGAACGAGAGACTATTTAATCCAACAGATTCTTTTTTTATTTTAACTTTTTTATTTCTTTTTTCTTCTTCTTTCTTTCTTTCTTTCTTACTCTCTTTTAATTCTTTTTCATATCTTCCCCTTTTTCATTAAATATCCTTTTAATACTCTCTCTCTCTCTCTCTCTCTCTCTCTCTCTCTCTTTTCTATTCATTTTTTTTTTTCTTTAACACACACACACACACAAAGTGCGGATCCATTTTTGCAGAGGAAATACATAGCCATTTTTCTTCCAAATTTGATTTCAGACACTATTAATCATCACCCTTAGAATGTCCATTGAAGAGGAAAAGACTAACGTTCGACCAGTCGCTGATCTTCAGGGAAGCAGCGAAAAGAAAGAAGACGCTCAGTTCGAAGATCATGAACATGTTGAACACGAGGATGAAATCTCTCCTGAGCTTGAGCTACTGCTACATACAGATCCCTCCGTGGGTCTTTCCAGTGCTGAAGTAGAAGAGCGCAGAGCAAAGTTCGGCTACAATGAACTACCAGAAAAGAAACGAAATCCTGTCATCAAGTTCTTGCTCTATTTTACCGGTCCTATCTCTTACCTGATTGAAATTGCTTGTATCATCGCTGCTGTGGTCGGTGACTGGCTTGATTTCGGTATTGTCTTGGCTTTGTTATTTATCAATGCTTTGATCGGTTTTATCGAAGAAGCAAAGGCTGAATCCGCTTTGGATGCCCTTCGTCAAACATTGGCCTTAAAGACAAGAAGCTGGAGAAACGGTGAGTTGATCGAAGTCGATGTCAAGGATTTGGTGCCCGGTGACATTATCGTTCTTCGTATCGGTGACATCGTTCCTGCCGATGCACGTCTTCTAGGCCTTGGCGTCAACGGCGAAGTCAATGAAACCGAACTCCACATTGATCAAAGTGCTCTGACCGGTGAATCCTTGCCTGTACACAAGAAGAAGGGCAGCACTGTGTATTCCTCGTCTATCGTCAAACAAGGTCAAAACTTGGCTGTCGTTACAAAAACCGGTATCAACACTTTCATCGGCCGTGCCGCTAATTTGATTGCCATCACCAACGAAGAAGGTCATTTCCAAAAGATCATTGGCAAGATTGGTAACGTACTCATCTGGTCCACTGTCGTCTTGGTCGTCATCATCTTGGTTTACCAATTGGTCAAGTTCCGTGGTACTCCCGCCGGTGACTGGAAGGAGGTCCTCATCAACTGTCTTGTCTTGACCGTCGCTGCTATTCCTGTCGGTTTGCCTACCGTCATGTCTGTCACCATGGCTTTAGGTGCGAAACAATTGGCTTCCAAGAAAGTCATCGTCAAGCGTTTGACGGCTGTGGAAGAATTGGCCTCTGTCTCTGTTCTCTGTTCTGACAAGACCGGTACCCTGACTTTGAACGAATTGACCTTTGACGAACCTTGGTTAACGAATGGCTATACCGCCGATGACATCCTGCTCTACTCCTACCTCGCTGCTGAACAAGGTGCCAACGATCCTATCGAAATGGCTGTCCGTCGTGCTGCTGAAGGCTCTCTTGAAATCTTGAAGAATCGTCCTGCGAAAACTTTGGATGTGCCTGGCTACAAAGTTACTGCTTTCCAACCTTTCAACCCCGTCACCAAGATGACCGAAGCCACCATCAAGGATTTGGCCACCAACCAATCGTTCCGTGTCGCCAAGGGCGCTCCTCAAGTCATTACGAAATTGGCCGGTGGTAACAATGATGCTGTCAATGCTGTCAACTCGCTCGCTCGTCGTGGTCTTCGTGCTCTGGGTGTTGCCAAGACCGTGCCCGGTGATCTGTCAAAGTTCGAATTGGTCGGTATGATTTCTCTGTTGGATCCTCCTCGTCCTGACTCAGCCGCCACCATCCGTGATTGTAACCTTCTCGGTGTCGATGTCAAGATGATTACCGGTGATCAATTGATTATTGCCAAGGAAGTCGGTGCTCGTCTCGGTATGGGTCGTGTCATTTTGGATGCTAACCATTTGGTCGATCCTACCAAGTCGGAAGAAGAAGTCACTGAACATTGTCGTCGTGCCGATGGTTTCGCTCAAGTCATTCCGGAACACAAGTACCGTGTCGTCGAATTGCTGCAAAACAAGGGTTATTTGGTCGGTATGACTGGCGATGGTGTCAATGATGCCCCTGCTTTGAAAAAGGCCAATGTTGGTATTGCTGTCGAAGGATGTACCGATGCTGCTCGTACGGCTGCTGATATCGTCTTGTTGGCTCCTGGTCTGTCCACCATCATTGATGGTGTCAAGACTTCTCGTGCCATCTTCCAACGTCTTCGTTCCTATGCTCTTTATCGTATCACTTCTACCATTCATTTCTTGATGTTCATGTTTATCATTACTTTGGTGGAGAATTGGACGATGCCGGCTATTCTGCTCATCATGATCTGTGTATTGGTAAGTTGAATTCAATAGAGGGGCTGGCCTACAATGAGTGGGGGCAAGTGAGGGGGGGGGAAAGCCGTGCGTTGTGATTTTTTTTTTTTTTTTTTCTATCCACTCTCGTGTGGGATAACTCTATTATATAATGATACTACGTGTGATGATCTAACATCCTCCTTTTCCCCCTCTTATAGAATGATGCTGCTACCTTGGTCATTTCTGTTGACAATACCGAAATTTCTGAACGTCCCGATAAATGGAGAATCGGTCAACTCCTTACTTTGTCATTTATATTGGCTATCTGTCTTACTGCTCTGTCCTTTGCTCACTTCTACATCGCCAAGCTCGTTTTCCACGTCCACCCTTACGTACTGCATTCTATCATGTATCTGCATATCTCTTCAGCACCTCACTTTGTCATCTTCTCTACTCGTGTCCCTGGCCATTGGTGGAAGAACATGCCTCACTGGCTTTTCACAGTCATCATCCTGGCTACCCAAGTCCTCGCCTTGTTCTTCTCTGTCTATGGTGTCTTTGGTGAACGTGAAAAAGTCGCTCCTTGTGGTTGGGGATGGGGTATGTCCGTTTTGGGCATCTCTCTTGTCTACTTTATGTTCCTTGATCTCATCAAGGTGTGGATGTTTAGAAGATGGAACTTTGCTCTTACTGCCAAGTTGGCTCCTACTCCCAAGCGTCGCGCCAAGTTGTCTGACCGTGAAAAGCAAGCTGAACAAAGAGAACGTCTGGAAACGGCTTGGACCAAGATTATAGACCCTGTGGATGCTTATCAGATCATTGCTGCTTTCAAACTTGCAGCGCAATAAGAAACAGAGAAAAAAAAAAAAAAAAAAAAAATGGGAGAGGGAGCGAAGCCTATAATAGCTCCCCGCCACTCCATCTTACCCTACCTTCATCTGCTATTTTCATCTATATATTTAATATTCACTACGAATACCTTTTTCTGCTTTTTTTTTTTTCAGAAAAAAAAAAATAATCCTTTGTCTCTTAACCCATCACTTTTTTATTATATATTTCTTTAACTATCCTCTATCTACACCTTTACTGTTTTCTTTTCTTTTACCTATTTTCTTACCATCCAATCTGTTTAATATTTATCTGTATGCACAAACAATAAAGATCGAATTGTAGCAGCCACACAATGTACCTATTTTCTTACCATCCAATCTGTTTAATATTTATCTGTATGCACAAACAATAAAGATCGAATTGTAGCAGCCACACAATGTTTTTCTTTATTCTGATCTTTCATTCTGATCTGCTTCAGTGTAGATGATCATTACTACTTACTTGTTTGTTGACAAGTTTTTTTTTGTTTGATCTCCACATCACATGAAGCAGACCTCCTTCTTCTGTCTCTGAGAAATCATATGCGTTAAAAAAAAAGGTTGTATAAAATCAGGAGGCATAGTGAGCTTTTCATCTTGAACAAGGGAGAAGGGGTGGGAAGCGAATATTAAAATTTAGATAATCTAATTAGCTTTGAAAGAGTTCCGTTAAAACATAGATTGAAGAGAGAGAGAGAGAGACAGACAGACAGACAGACAGAGAGCGTCTTGACATGTATCTCACTCGATCACGCATGCTATAACACCTTCATGATACTGGTACATTTTGCTCTATTTATTTTTACTTTTAGAAACAAGAAAAAGCATCAGGGGTTTCCCTCAACCATCAACCATTGATATATAGACCTTTTTTCTAAAAAAAAAAAAAAAAAACGAGGAAAAAAAAAAAATGATATCAGCATGTCATCACGAGCAAAAGGGCAAAGGAAAAAAAGAAAGGTTGTTCAGTAATATTTCTTATTCTTAACAAAACTAACAAATATGGAAGTAAGCATTGACAATAGACCCAATGACATGAAGAAAATAGACAGTGGGCCCAAAAAAAAAAAGGCTAGGCACAGCCTATCAGCTTTAAGGCATCAAAGATGACTATTTAAATATTTCCTTTCTTTGTGCGCCCTATTCTTGTCTTTCTTGATTTCTTCACAAACAACACAACCACATCACATCACAATTTCTTCTTTATTCAATCAATTCATCTCAAATAATGAAGGATTTTGTGACAAACAAAAGGTTGATCTTTTCATTCCTCGTAGCACTGGCTGTGGCCAACGTTTCTGGGCCTCAGTATGTCTTTCCTACGTATGGCACATCATTGAAGAATCGATTTCATTGGAATGGCATCGAAAATAGTATGGTTAGTACAGCAGCATTTGTCGGTGTGTCATTTTCTGGCCCTCTATGTGCTTGGTTAATAGAAAATTATGGATTCAAAAGGTATAGCACCCCTCCTCGTTCAATCCTAACGCAATTTGAAAAGAGAATAACCAACCTATCATTTTGCTACGATATGAAACACATGTCAGGACTTTGTTGTTGTCTTCTTTGACCGCTTTTGCTGGATTATTTTTATTAGCAGAAACATATGCAGGCTATTTATCGAGCAGTCCTATCCTTTGTTCTCTGTATCTCATATGTATAGGTTTCGCTGGCGCAGCATCTTATCTTTGTGCTTTGGATTCTCAGGTAAAATTAAATTGTGGGCTAGTCCCTTTTTCATGGGGGTTGAAAAAAGTTCTATCACTCATTCATGTCATTGTCACGTAATAAAATATACAAAAGGCACATAATTTTAAATCGCATCGAGGAATGAGTATGGGGTTTACTAGTGCCTCCTTGGGTCTCAGCGGTTTAGTATTCTCACAAATCAATGATCGATTTTTCCAGTCACAAGCCGAACGAAACGAAGAGGACAATAGCACCTTTCATTTCTTGATCTTTGTTGGAACTTGTGCCTTGTTCATCACGTTGATCGGTGCCTTCGTGCTGGGCCCCGTAGCACATCAGCAACCTCACCCTGCCCCCATACAAGACATAATAGAGCCTACCCGTGCGTGCATACAGTCACAACCACCACCATCGACGCAACCCGATCTCGCCCCACCTCAGCATTATCCATCCGCTCATTATTATACACAAAGTATCTGCAGTTTCAGCACCTCCTCCACACGCTATGAAGATGACCCAGTCATGGACGGTGAAGGAGAGGATAAACCATTACTGTCCAATACCATTGTAAAATCTGCTGACAATATTTGCATGATCAGAAACATGACTGCACCCTTTCCTCCACCACCCTTAGGTGCAGCAGCAGCAACAACAACAACAACAAATGATGCGACTGTCACAATGGAAGAAGCAGAGGAGCCTGCTATTTCGGGGATAGCATTTTTCAGTAACCCCATTGGATTGTCACTTGCCGTTGCCATGTTGGTTATCCTTGGTATGGGCTATGTTTATCTGACCAACTTGGGACAGCTTGTCCTGTCCTTATCATCTGCCGATTTATCACTCGGTCAGGCACAGCATTTACGTAACCTCCATGTTTCGATTTTCAGTTTGGCAAACTGTGCCTCAAGAGCTATTTTCGGCACATTAAGTGATATTTTTCAGAGAAAAGCAGGTATCCATCGCCTTTGGTTCTTTTGGGTTGCGTCAGTAGGTCTGATGATATCGATGGTGCTCCTTACCACTTGCGTCTCGACCCCCAATGACTTGATTCTACCGACTATTTCAATAGCTGTCATGTATGGTATAGCATTTGGTGTAGCTCCTGCCACAGTCAGTGAATTTGGTACAAAGGTAAGAGAAACGAAGAAACGTTTTTTTTGTTTGTTTTTTTGCTGTTTTCAAGCTCTGTCAATCGACTGTATCTAACAACAAGCTATTTCTTTTCTTCTGCACGCTAGACATTTGCTCGTAATTGGGGTTGGTTATTATTTGCTCCTTCGATTGGAAGTCAATTGTATAATGTTCTCTCCGGCGTATTTTACGAATATGAGTCTGAGCGTCAAAATACACCCGGTGTCTGTTATGGCATCGTCTGCTATGAGAAATTGTTCTGGACAGGCATTTTATCGTCTGTCCTCTGTATAGTCGTCGTCACGCTGGCAATCTATAAAAAGAGATTGTTCAAGTCAGTCTTCTCCTCGCAATAACGCTGAAAGTGAATCAAAGATATACCTCGCTACTCATCTTTTAGCGTGATATCCTACAAAACGAGAGTCATTTCATTCATCATCTATACCAATCGAACGTACATATACACTTAGAGACATAATATCAGCTCATCAAAGAAAAAGAAAAAGGCAGAGCGTTTTTTCTTTTTCTTTTTATTCTTCAAGTATAGCTTAGCCCTTTATTTCTAGAGTTCTGCTACATTCATCCTTAGCAGATGTAGTTATTCAGAATATATTGTATAGTATCATTACATTACATAATATATCACATTATTCATTCGTTCATTTCGACCAGAACTTCTATTCTATGCGTCTATGTTTGATTGTGTTATTGTATTGGGGGGCAAGAATAAATACGGAATCAAAATAAGGCAAATCTAAAAATGACCTCCGTAAATAACGAACAAGTCTATTATGCTTTAGCCGACCCATTTATTCTAACACGTGAAAATCAACGATAATCTTTTGTTTTGACAGTCATTTTGCGAGACATATTTCCTTGAATCGTCCACATGTAGTCCCTTTTGAGCAAAGCCATTCTTCATATCATATGAAAGAAGGATAAAAGCTGTCAGTTATAAATAAGTACAGTTAGCCTTATTACTGATGCAAAGATATTGCTTTGATATCATTCAACATGATGACCATCATTCAGCCATGTACAATTGTTCACAAGGAACTTTCATTAAAGAAGCCCAGTTTTCTATCAGTTAGCATTTATCTGGATGCTTTTTTTTTATTCTGTCTAACTTTCTTTAAGAGGTGAATACAGCTATGACATCGAATAAATCAAGGCCTCCTTATCTGAGAAAAACGACACTCGTGTTCCGTAGAGTTTATTTACGAATACGATCTTCCTTTCTGTTTATCGCTCAGTGAGCTCTTTTTGACACCTGTCTGTTGCTTTTCCTATTTCATGTCATCTTTTCTCAAAAATCAAACCGTTCAGAAAGCCGTTCAAACAATGGATATTATGAATGAGCAACACCATCAGCAGTCAGTCTTTCATCATTGAAGTAGCAGCAGCAGAAAATGGTAAATTGTATGAAAAAAAAAAGAGTAAACATTTGCAGCCAATCACGGAATCATAACCAAAGAGAGAGTACATAACGTGAAAAGGCAAAAAAAAAAAAAAAAAAGGAAAAGATAAGCAGGATTTAGAGTTGGTTTTGTATTTATTTGTTATTATTAGTCTTTATCTTTTTCTTCTTTTTACTTTCTTCTTTTTTTTTCACATTAACGGTTTCTCTAACATACCTTCTCTACCTCTACGCTCTGCTGGGAAAAATAAATAAATAATGAAAGATCAACCTAATGGTTACAAGCAATCTAACCAGACAAATGGTGACGCCTTCGCTGTAGATCCTACCATAAGACAGAAGACGCCAACGAAACAAGATGAACAAATCAAACAGCAACAGCAGGAGCATCAACATCATCATTTCGTGGAGCGTGTTGTATCTCTTCCCCTCGTCAAAGAAAGTGTTGATACAGCTCAAACATTCGCCAACAAGACCTTTTTGGGACGCTTTGCTATGAATTCAGCCAACACCACGCTCACCACGCTCACTCGCTATGCCTCAAAAAGCCAACCGATTCAACGTTATTACCAAGATTATATTCAGCCCCATGTAGAGAAGGCCGACTCCTTGGGTTGTCAGTCGTTAGACTATGTAAAAGCCAAAGTGCCTCTTATCAATGAACCCAGCTCACACATTATTTATGTGGTGGTAAAAGAACCTTCTTCTAAAATTATCGACGGCATCAAAGTTAAATTGGATAACACGATTGGTACTGTTACCCATCCTGTATACCACTTGGCCAAAACTGCAAACAAGAAAATCACATTCGTGGTGGATAATGTGGAGGGCGTGATAGACAACTATTTACCTCCTTCCTCAGCCCACAACAACAGTAACGACGAAAACAATGAAAAGAGTGAAGCAGCTGCACAACAAAAGCATGAGCAGCAGCAGCAGCAACAGCATTACGATGGCTCCAACCGTAATTTATTGAATGGCACTCTTGCTGTTGAACAGAATCAAATGAGACGACTCTACGACATTATGAAGCAAATTCCTTCTCGTATTTCACAACAAGTTCAACGCTCCAAAAGCGATCTCGTCCTTTTCATCCAACAATATTCTCCTTCACGCGACGACACGTCTGCTTTATTGGAAAAGAAGAATGCCGCCGTTGCCGTTGCCGCCTCAGAGGGACATCCTTATTTGCGCAGATTAGCCGATCAAATCAAATACGCTCAAGATACCTTTACTAATATCATCCGATTCTACAGTAGCAATGCTCAGGAACGCTTACCTGATGGGATGAGCTCTTCCTTCGAATACACAAATGCTCTGATGACTGGTCTGCGTAAATCTATGGAAAAATTTGTTCACCATGTGAAAACCACAACAACGGCTTCTACCTATTCCGCTGCAGATGCTGCAGTACCTAACTGGTTAAAGAAAAGAATTCAGGCCACCCTTGAGACGACGGCTCAACAGTTGAAAGCCTTACAAGACGAAATTGCTAGAAAAGATATCAGTTACACAGAAAAGGTCGGCTTCCTCAAATCTGGTCTTCAACAACAAATCGCGCCTTTATTTAACAACCTTACTTCTACGATTCTGACCTACATCAACCAGGGCAAGGAAAAAGGTCAAGCTTATTTGAGCCATTCTTATAACCATTATGAAATGAGCCAGAAGGTCAAGACACAATAAGATAGGGAATTTTACCCAGTATAGCAGGCTGTTGTAAACTGGATATTTGCGACTGACTTGTGCATCCATAAGGTAAACATGACATAAGTAGTTGGTAGCACACTTTATATTTGGATATCTCTGCCTATACGTTTCTCTCATACCCTTTCATTTTATACGTTAAAATAGCTGTCCAGCTCTTACTTTGTGTCTAAAAATTAAAACAACTACAACTATCAATTATGCTATATATTATTATATAGTAATATGTTTTGCATTTATTTTCATTGCTCGTGATGCTTTTCTTTATCATTATCACTTTTCGCTTTTCTTTTTTTTTTTTTTTTTTCGTTTATAAAGAAGAAAAAAAATATATATATATATATATATATAAATAGGATCACGACTATTTTTTTTTCCTGTGCGTTTTTTTTTTTTTTTTTTTTTTTTTGTTTTTTCGTGCATCTCTTAGTGCATAAAAAAGACCCTCTTGAAGGGCAGTTATCGTATCGTAAACTCATAGGGTTCAAGTATACCGATAGCATTCCTGCCTGCAAACCTCCAACGTGCTGATTTTCTTTCTTTAATTCGCTTCATTGTCGTTGCCGAGTTGGTCATTGACAACAGGTGGTGTTTCAATCATGACATTGAATGCACCGTTTTTGCCTCTTTCAGTAACAACGACCTTTTCATCCATTCTAAGAGGTTTTGAAGAGTCTGTAGCCTTTACAATCAACTTTAACTTTTCTAGTTTGCGCTTTCTATCCATATTGCAGGCTTCAAATGTGACTACTGAAATACCACAAAAGGAACCAACTGCCCAGTTAGCAGATGTAGGGACAGAGCGCTTCAATGCGAAACGGATGGCACCCATAGTTACGCCGCCCACTATGTCGGTCAAGTAAAATAGCATTAGATGAAGCACTGCCAACAATTTTGTATCACATTTCCTTTCTTCTTCTTCTCTCCTCCATCAGTACCTATGCCATAAAGTAAGGAGTTGCGTGCACATGGGATCTTGTTGATCTCTTTGAAATCGTCGAGCTTGACAGTCTATTAAGTTGATTGAAATAGGACGGGTAAAGAGTGAGCTGGCGGGTTTCTTTCTCAACGTGATGAATTACTATCTTTGGTTGAAGCTTTTCCGAACTTTTCTCTTTCGATGCTATACCTTCAAGGCATCGATATAGCCAGGTTGACCTTCGGAAGGTGATGACATATTTTATTTCTGAGGGGTTTTATAACTGAAAAGAAAATACATGGGGTGGACAACAGCATAAATTTCTGGAGAAAAAAGGGAAACACCTAGCGAAGTGTCAATGCGGGGAGTTTTAAAGAATTTGTCTGTTGCACCATCCGATCGTGTCTATCAAAAACTGTAATAAGATCATAACTGTATGTGCATAGTAGTAGTTGGATGTATGTCAAGTAGGCTCTGGTTCCTTTTTGACACCAAGACCTATCTCCAGGAATGAAAATTTCTGGTTTATTAATATTTCTTTTTTTGCGTCTCACGAAATTAATTTTTTGCATTATTGTTTTTTCGCTTCAGATTCGAACTATTTTCAAAAAGAAATAAGACTCTTTCATTAGATAAATTGGACAAATTTGGCGATTTGTTTTAAGCACTACTAGAATTAAATGGGACTTATGGCAGCTGTTCAGCTTAAAGCACCTTTAGGAGTGGCAGCATAGCCTACATAACCCTTCTTTTACATATTTTCGTCTTAAAGCTCCTTTTGAAGAGCCAAAATATAGACCTTATTGAATGTAAAGCTCTGTTTGCACATTCTGTTGAGCATACGGAAACAGATAACTTTTACGCCATTCCAATACATCAAAGAGTAATAGAGTGATAATTGTTGTCATCTATACTACTCTCACTTTTATCTCCTTTTTTTTGGTTTATTCATCTTTTTCTTTTTTTCTTAAAAGTTACTTAGATTCGTACACTCTTATGACACGGCATAAGCTCTATGCTGAAGCTGAAGCTCTCATTCATGAAAAGAAGAAAACAAAGCTAGCTGCTCTCGATGATGAAACTGCCGAAAGTTGAAAGAAGATTGAGAAGTATGAATTCCTAGTATTGCTTATGTCTACTGAAAACTTACAATATACTGTAAATATTGTATTAGGCCAAAAAACCAAAGATTGCGACAGCGTTGTTAAAGGTAAGAAACGTGCAAAACAGACATTCTTTTTTTTTTTGAAATCTACCACGCTTCCAAATAAAGTTCCGATAATGTATCGGATCTAAGTAATATACCGAGATTTTGTCCCATATTTACAATGGGTAATCAGCAGGAAACCAAATATCATTGATAAATGATAGAGTAGGATCTTCAGAGACTAAACGCGAGTATACATCTTATCAATAATATATCCAAAAATATTGTACTCAGAATCCCAATTCTTTGTTCTTTAATCTGAAAATCACCTCAATGCTGTCCGAAACTGAACCGAAAAGACTGACAAAAAAAAAATAAAATAAAAAAAAAAGTGGTTCCTGAGACGGACTCCCAGACTTTACACTCAGCAATGATACAGCAGCAACCAGGAATCATTCCCATTCCTATTTTCCTCAACATTCCAGCGCTTAAGTGACATTACCGTAACGGCTTTATCTATAGTCGTTATCCCCCAGCTTAGCATGGCCATGTACTCATGTCCTATCCACAAGCATTTCAAACCAAAACGATGTCCAGCCAAGTAGACAAGCCGCATTATACTTTCCTCCATCCATTAGAAAAACTTATTGTGCCTTACCTATGCGATATTGCAAAAGACAATGAGGCTCTTAGAGCTTAGATTAGTAATTCCCACATAGTTCCTTTCGTAAGCAAGTCCAATTAAGCATTCTGAAATGTTATTCATTGTTCTTCAAAATACCGCGTATGCCAGTAGTAGGCTCTATTGTCAATATCTGAAGCGCAGCTTAATATTCTCGGTGGTTTTGAAAAGAGGGTATGGTTGCAAAACTTAATGAGGATGGCGAGAAAGGCTTGTAGCACCCAAACTAAAGATAACAATATTACAATGGTTGAGTCTATTCTATTTGTTCATTGTTAGGCTAATAGAGGCACTTAAGGTTGTCATCCATCTAAGCTTTTGTCCAGTTATATACAGGTCTACGCCTAAAAGTCGGACCTTCTTGTCGTGTCCGCTCGGCCCCGCACTCGCATAGCCGAAAGTGTCACACCTCCTCACTCAAATATCATTGGATAAACGGTCGCTGAATGGTTACTAAAGAGGATAATGAACAGCAGCCAATAAGCGCCCAATATATGATTGGTTCAAATCAGATAAAGCGTTGTGACTTAATTTGTTATTCTTCTAAGTGGGAAGCTTGAGATGAGAATTTTGACATGTTTATTCAAAGCAACCCTCTTTTTTTTTCTTAATTTTACTTTTACTTTTTTAAAACCGTATATTCTTCTAAACTAAAGGATTTCTCTATCCATTGGAAATATAAGATATATCATGTTGAGAAGAACGTTGCAAAAGAACTTAACAAGGGCTAATTTGTTCCAAACAGCCTTCAAAACAGCCCCATTGTGTTCTCGCAGATGCTTTTCTGTTCACACTACGCAACAGCAACAGAACCAGGCACAAAGCGTTGAAACTGTGCAAAGCAAAATAGGTATGATTGAATCCTCTTACAATGCGTTTTGCTTTTCTTGAGGAAACAGTTTCTTCTATAATCATTTCTTACTAATTCCTTTACATCCTCTTACCATTTTTTGATTTGTAATCAAACCACTCGTTATAGATCCTACTACTACTTCAACTGTAAGAGATTACAAAAAGCCAATCTATCTTGACATGCAAGCAACAAGTCCCATGGATCCCAGAGTTTTAGATGCTATGCTTCCTTATATGACTGAAATATATGGAAATCCTCATTCTAGAACACATCAATATGGTTGGGAATCGGAAAAAGCAGTTGAAAACGCTCGTGAAGTAGGTTTTTACAATAAAATGACATTTATATCATTGGGAAACCCTTGCTAGAGAATTGGCTTGCTTACTCATACATTTCTTCTCCCTTATTCTTTGTCGGCATTATACAGCACGTTGCAAAATTGATTAATGCTGATCCCAAAGAGATCATTTTCACTTCTGGTGCAACTGAATCCAACAATATCAGCATAAAGGGTGTTGCTAGATTCTATAAAAATAAGAAGAAGCATATTATCACTTTACAAACTGTAAGTATTGTCATCTATTTTATCATTCTCTTCAGCCAAAAAAAAAAAAAAGTTATCTGATTACTAATCTGATCCATCTGATAAAATAAATAAATATCAGGAACATAAATGTGTTTTAGATTCTTGCAGAGTTTTACAAGAAGAAGGATTTGATGTCACTTATTTGCCTGTTCAAGAAAACGGTCGTGTTGATCTGAAGACATTAGAAGAAGCTATTCGACCTGATACAGCACTTGTATCTGTAATGGCTGTCAACAACGAAATCGGTATCATGCAGCCTATTGCAGAAATTGGTAAATTGTGTCGATCGAAGAAGGTATTTTTCCATACCGATTGCGCTCAAGCTGCCGGTAAAGTGCCATTGGATGTCAACGCTATGAACATTGACTTGATGAGTATATCTGGTCACAAGCTGTACGGTCCAAAGGGTATTGGCGCTGTGTATATTCGCAGAAGACCAAGAGTGCGTTTGGAACCTGTCCAAAGTGGCGGTGGCCAGGAAAGAGGTTTGAGAAGCGGTACTGTACCAGCTCCTCTCGTCGTGGGCTTCGGTGAAGCTTGTAAAGTGGCCAAGGAGGAGATGCCGGTAAAAATCTGCCCTTTTAGTAAATATGTCATATGTAGAGGAAGGAATGGAAGAGCCCAGGATGAGTCGGACCTTAACTGGGTACCGCTTGAAATTGAAACAGAGTGAATAGTTACGATTGGTTTATTATTGATCAAGCCTTATTCTTCGCCTTCGTTGAAAGCGAGGAGTCTGGTAGTAAGGTTTTCACCATGATTTGTGTGCAGGGGTTCTGAGGCTACATTTCCTTCCTTACATATGACATCCTCACTTGTAGATGATGAAGGATTTAGGTTACTAATCTCTCTTTCTTTTTACAAAATTATAGTATGATCATGAAAGAATTTCCAGGTTATCAAAGCGTTTGATTGAAGGCATTGTTTCTAAAGTAGATAATGTTCATCGCAATGGCGACCCTGAATACGGCTATCCTGGTTGCGTTAACTTGTCCTTCGCTTACGTTGAAGGTGAATCATTACTAATGGCCTTGAAGGATATTGCATTGTCTTCTGGCTCTGCATGTACTTCAGCATCGCTTGAACCTTCTTACGTACTTCGCGCATTGGGTGCTGATGATGAAATGGCCCACAGTTCTATTCGTTTCGGTATTGGCAGGTTCACCACTGAACAAGAAATCGATTTTGTTGTTAACAAGGTCACTCAACACGTTGACAGATTAAGAGAGATGTCTCCTCTTTGGGAAATGGTAAGAAGCACGTTGTATTAAATCTAGAAATTACTTGCGAACAGCTATCTAATTCCGTTTTCTGTATTAGGTTCAAGAGGGTATTGACCTCAAGTCTATTCAATGGTCACAACATTAAATACAAATGCCGGTCTCTACGCAGCTGCTTTACAGTGCATTAGTTTATACTTTTTTTATTTATAAGTTTCATGAAAAGAAATAAATTTTCTGATACATAGAGATACCCAGGCCTTCTTATGAATGACGATAAAGGAAGACAGTTGGACCTATTTTTTGATGCTGAGATTGTTTATAGTTCTCCTTAATAAGCCAATCCATGCGTTTTGCTCTGCTTCAGTTCGTGTTCTCATTGTATATACTCGCTTAGTGCTCCCACTACCATTGTGGTGAAGGGCAATAGTGTTGTCGCTCCACAAGCCTGCACCACCGCCTTCTACAAAATATTCACAAGTGCAAATTTCAAATCCATATACTGTTGGTGTGGTTGCAGCAATACTATTTTGTCGTTGCTCTGATGTTGGTTTTGTCTCTAATGATGCTTTGCGTATCCTGAATGCGAATGGCTTCTTAACCTCTGAGGTTATCTTTGCTACAGTCTTAGGTGATAGTGGCATTATCTCTGCCTTTTTCAAACGAATCGACCCTTTATAATGCAATTTTGTTGGAGAAGTTGTCGTAATTGCATCCTGATGACTGGTTACTTTGATCTTTTGACAATAAATGAGAGCATCACTGTATAAAAAATAAGTTCTTGTGTCTGTTAAAGAATGTGGATTTGACTGATCCACTTTCGTGAGCAGGCCAGAAATATACAATCGACGCGTAGGTGACACATGAATAGGAACATCGTGGATGAACCGAGATACTTCTAGAACACGAAGATGACTTATTCTATCTGCGATACTGTCTCTCATAGAACACATAAGAAATGCTGTATGATGAGTCGGGTTTTTCCTTTGCATGCTGCAATGATTTTAACAACATCGAATTGATGATACTCACGCTTGTTCCATCTGCTTCACGATCTCGGTATATTTTTCCTGTATCTTCACTAAAGATCTGTAATCTGGATGCGCAGCTTCTGTTGCTTGAACAAGTTGGTTTATATACGGTTCGTATTGAGAGAACTTTTGCATAGGAAGTTTAAGGTAGGTGAAGAAGTCCTTCAGATTGGTTGATTGAGTTTTTGACGCGCATTCCTAAATTGAACGAACCTGAGAATTAGCGTTTGGTCATAGTGCTATAATATACGTACTTTGTTTTGTACATACATCTATCATTTTACAAAAAGATGTAGATCTTTTATATAAAATATCTAAAGTTAATATTACACTAGGGAAATTGTCGACATATCGTCTATAGGCAGACAATTTGTCGTACTGGAAAATTTGATCAGTCGATGGGACCGAGTCAGTTCAGTCAAAATTATAGAACTTACAAATTCTGCAAAAATATCAGAAATAAACTGCGTTGGGCCCCACATTTCAAGCCTGCATATGTAATTTTAGTTTTCTTTCGCCACAACCTTTGCTCTGCTTTTCTTGTTACCTCTCTTTTGATCCGCGGTAAAATACTTCTTGTGCCTTTGTGATGTCTTTTGTTATTTCAAACTGATCAATGAGGGACTGCTTGGAGCAAACATCTGAATACTTGTGGAAAATATCGTGGTTTTGTGATGATTCGCAGATCCAATGCTCTATAGGTTCGAGATAATAAAATAGAAAGTTCTCTAAATCGATGATATATTTATCTTCGGTGAGACACATTTGTTGAATGATAAATTGTTTTTGTGCCACGTTCTTTGCTGCATTCACAAATTGCGTCTCTACGTTTAAAAATTTGCAAACGCTATGGTTGATACCTGACATACACAGTAATTTATCAACGTTCTAATTATTTACCATAAGGCCCAGTATCTGTTTCGTCGTTGAAGGCCTGGTATACTTCATCAATTATGGAAAGATCATCCAATAACTGAGACAAATAATTCGTGTCATAAGAATCAAAATATGCAGGAGAACGAACAAGGAAATAGGGATCCTTTTCGCTAGAGTCGTAGGATTTAAGACTTTCTTTTTCACTAGAGCTTGTTGCATAGCTTTTTGCAGATGTAATTGATTGCTGACGCCATAAATCGTAAGAGTAAATCTCATTTTGCAGATCTGCTAAGTTAGTCGTCATAGTTGGCTGTAAAAAAGGGATATAATTTCGATCGATCTGTATCCGAAAGTTAGGAGATGGTATTTGAGAAAAAGGGCAGAAAAGTTTAAAGAGATGAAAGAGAGGAAATACCGAACGAGAGACCTAATATTAGACGGCAGGTTCCTTATTTCAATAATATCATTCATGTCATAATTAAGGATAAGATAATAACAGAAAGCTTGAATTGTCAACTTTGATTTCATAGATTTTTGGGAGTTTGGGAGAAGTTGTGTGTGCGAATAAAAGTCTAGTTGGAGGCATTGTTACATAATAGGTTCGTTTTTCCTAAAATATCTATTTTGTACTTTTGTTATAGAATGCTTCTCTGAGGATGGGAATAACTTTCCACCTGATAAGCAAGTTTCCACTGAAACTTGTTGTTGAAAAAATCTTAACTTTTCATATCCTACATTTAGGCTTATCGGGCAGACACTTTAAAGGTGCAGTCGCAATACAATTTTGTCAACTCAAATGTATCGTGCAAAAACAGCCATTATACATCGTACAATAAATCTATTCCAAGCAATTCTTGTTTTACAAAAGTATTACCTTTAATTCGCAATCCCTCATCTCTGTGTATTACGCTACCTCTATTTTCTCTTTGCAACTTCGTTTATAATTGGTCTTCACGTTTTACACAACCCTGGTTCGTTTGTTTAGCAAAAGTTGGCCATTCCGTTTCAAAGAAATGAAGACAAAAACACATGATAGAGTTGGATTTTCTTATTCAAGATTATACGCAATAATTTTCCTTCAGATATGAGTGTTACCGGATGAAACATAAAATATAGATTCGTTAAAAAGTTGTAAGAAGAATACAGTGAGGATATTTAATTTAATCTTCCAGTTTGTCCTTATACTTGGTCAATAAAGCTTTTCAAAACTATTAACCGTATTACCGGTAGGTTTTTCATATATCTTCTCTTCCTTAAACTGTTGAGCTTACTTATATGCGTATATTTAATGAAAGAACCAACGTGAGCTACGCAAAAAGGCAGTCGTTCATGGCCATAAGCAGTGCACATAATGCGTAATGCAAAAGCATAAAACCAATCCTAATGAATGAACGAGTACAGAATTATGTAAGATCCTTTGACTATGTAACAGCTTTACCTTATGTAATCTTCTCGAGATTCTTGAATGAAACGCATAAAATCTTCGAGGTACCTACTATGTGAACACAGGCTGACAATCCTCCAAGGTCGAGCATGGACCACCGAAGTGTTTCTTATTCTGTGAAAATTTGAGTTACGTAAAATCCATGTACTCTCTCGTTTTGTCCAAAGTAAGGCTTTATTTACATTTGAAATGTCTTTGTTGGAAGTCTCGGCATGAAACCGTTAACTGTGATTGTTATGATAGTCCTTAAGAATACACTCTACTTGGTTCAAGATAGTTCTTTTCAATAGTAAGTGGCTGCTTCTTTGACAAAATCAGAATTAAACCAATATTAGTAAGTTTTACTTTATGAGTTAACTTTGGTCACTTATTTTTGGTAACACATGCTATGTCGGAAGTTACTTACTCATCTGAGCCATTTCCTGAACTTGTAGGTCGTTTGGAAGGCTGTTTGTTCTTCCCGTACCTACAGCAGCGGATGTTTGCTACCTAGTTTGAAGATTTTCACAGTGAATATTCCAATGGGGATACTGGGTCTTCCGTTGCTACAAGAAATATATTACTTTTCTCTTTATAGTTCAAGGATGTTTGGCTCCTCTACTATAGCGTATCACTTTTGAGAAGAAGAAACATCAATCCCTAATTCAATACAGTTATAAAATGCAATAGATGCAAGACACATTACGACCTCACTTTCGATACAATATTAAATCTTTCAAATCTGAACAAAGAGATATTCTATTGATTGGTATGCGGGAAATGTCACAGAAAGCAGCATGTTTAATCATACGCATGTAAACAATTTTGACGAAAATTATTACAACGTTATCATTCAACGATATGTACTTGCTTGGTAGATAGCTTCCTTGACTTTTATAATGTAACTGTTAGGTGTTCAATCGTATCCGTAAGTTGGTGACAGTTTGGAAAAGTAAAGAGGGTTAAAACGTAACCAAGTATTGATATCAAGTGAAGGAATTTTCTTATTTTCTGTTTCCATGAAAAGAACTCGTTACTCCTCATCAATGATGCTAACGAGATAGTTGCTTCAAGAATTTGATTCTACATCTGACTTGGTTAAGTTGTCCTTGTCCTGGTTGTCGCTATACCTGACATTTGTCGCTCGTACATCTAGCAGCACTAGCATAGTGGTTCAATGTGTACTTTGGCTTTTAAAGCTGTTTAGACTCCGCTTAAGAGTAGAAATTGAGTTTGTTAAGAGACTAAGCATATCCAAGTGAGCTTCTCTCATAGAACATCTCTGTTTTGCGTTAGATATGCCGATCGAAGTTGTACCGTTGGGGGCTGGTAAAGATTCAACTTCTTAGTATTCAAAAAGAGAATACGAACAGGACTAACCTTCAGCTGAAACAGGTCAAGATGTCGGCAGAAGCTGTATTCTTGTGACGATCGGCAGCAAGAACATTATGTTTGATTGTGGTAATTTTACGCCTACACTTCTCAATTCAATTTTAGATTAAAGCTCTGAATGATATTCTCCCTATAATATTAAGGCATGCATATGGGTTATCAGGATAGACGACGGTTCCCTGACTTCAGTTACATTTCAAAAACTGGAAACTTCACAGATATTCTCGATTGTGTAATTATTTCTCACTTTCATTTGGACCATTGTGGAGCGCTTCCTTTTTTCACTGAAATGTGTGGATATGACGGCCCTATTTATATGACCCACCCCACTAAAGCTATTTGTCCAATTTTACTGGAAGATTATCGTAAAATCACTGTAGAGAGAAAAGGAGAGAGTAACTTTTTCACATCAGCAATGATCAAAAATTGTATGAAGAAAGTAACACCTATCAATCTCCATCAAACCGTCAAGCTCGGCAATGATATGGAGATAAAAGTTTATTATGCAGGTCATGTGTTGGGGGCAGCTATGATTTATGTACGTGTTGGACAAGAGTCTGTAGTTTATACGGGCGATTATAATATGACACCAGATCGACATTTGGGCAGTGCATGGATTGATAAAGTGCGGCCAGATGTTTTAATCACTGAAAGTACTTATGCCACGACAATTCGAGACTCAAAGCGCTCTCGTGAACGTGACTTTTTGACCAAAGTGCATGATTGTATTTCAAATGGTGGCAATGTGCTTATTCCTGTATTTGCTTTGGGAAGAGCACAAGAGTTGTGTATTTTGGTCGAATCTTACTGGGAGAGAATGGGATTGGATGTACCGGTATACTTCTCTACAGGCTTGACGGAAAGGGCGACTGAGTATTATAAATTGTTCATCAATTGGACAAATCAGAAAATTAAGTCGACCTTTGCGCAAAGAAATGCATTTGATTTCAAACATATCAAAACCTGGGACAAAGCCTATTTAGAATTGCCAGGCCCGATGGTTTTGTTTGCTACACCTGGCATGCTTAATGCAGGTACTTCGTTACAAGCCTTTCAAAAATGGGCACCGGATCCAAAGAATATGGTCATCATGCCTGGATATTGTGTGACGGGTACAGTGGGAGCAAAAGTCTTATTGGGGCAGAAGTTGATCGAAGTTGATAAGTTCACAAAAATCCAAGTCAATTTGCAAGTGAAGAATTTATCATTCAGTGCGCATGCAGATGCTAAGGGTATTATGCAATTGATTCGTATGTGCGAGCCCAGGAATGTTGTTCTTGTGCATGGAGAAAAAGGTAAAATGGAATTTTTAAGGAGCAACATTATGAAAGAATTCGGTATACCGTGCTATATGCCAGCAAACGGTTGTAGTATCAAGATGGAGACAACAAAAGCCCTCGATGCTAGAATTAGTACAGACCTGTTGAAAGCGATATTTCAGTCGGCAACATCTCGAGTGCCATACAATCACGCCAATACTGATCATGAACATACAATATCTCATCAACCAATTACATCTGTTCCCATCAATGCTACCTTATTAATGCATTTTGACAATAATAATAATAATGCCATAGAACGCTCGACAGCTCCCACAATAGACATTGTACAGTCATCCGAAATCACTGACGATAAGTACTTGTCAAAGCAACGAAAACAATTGTATTTTCAAGTGGAGAAATCTTTCGAAGTATCGTCATTGTTGTCAGATATGGCACATACCAATACAACTGTAGACGATGTACAGAAGAGGATGCTGGATTTATTGCAAGTAGCCCTAGTGAAAACTGTAGGAAGGAAGTGTTCGATCGAACGACGAACAACAAGTATTGTAATCCGCAGTGTAACTTTGTGGTTATTGAATTCTCAGTCTATGTGCATTAAGTGGAGCTTTGAAGATGAAGATCTGGCCAGTTTCATTTTAGGAGCAGTAAATACAGTCTTATATAATGATCAACAGCAACAGCAACAACAACAGCAACAAAATATGGTGGTAACATAGTAGATGCCCGTATGATTTTTATTTGGTGATGCGCTTGTGGAATAAAACAACTTTTTTTTGCGTTTCTTTTTAAAACTCGTCAATTGGTGTACATGTTGGTTTGACAGTAAAAAAAGCGTGTAGAATTCTACAGTCGCGTTTAGCTGATAACACTTTGTCAAAGGCTCCACTTTTTGAAGATACCTGACACCCTACTAGTTCCTTAGAAGGAATCAGTCATTTGTACGTTAAAATAACTTGCCGTCGTTACCTGTACTTTCTTAAGCCTCTGTGTTTTGCAAAAAAGGAAAATTAAAACCTGGATTTGAATCAACCTTTTCGGGATAAAAGACTTAATGGACTCTGTATATTACTATAATTAAATTCAATCTTTCTCGCTTTTTACAGTTGTCTGCATTTTTTTGAGTGCGACTGTCCTCATATATATGCATTGGCCCTTTTTCTCTGACAATAGCAAGTAGGAAGCGATGGATTATTTTGCTAAAGTTAAAAAAAGGCCTCCAACAAGCGCGGCACAATTGGCGCGGTTCCATAGAAGCTGGGAATATATTCATGTAAGAAGGAAATGCCAGAAGAAAGCTTTAGGTTGTACAGCAGTGATAGCTGAAATCCTTAGATTCATATCCGATGAATCAACGAATTTTTAGCGCGTCTGTTTGGTAGAAGAGAGAAAAGCCAAAATTTATGTTCAGCAAACTGACATTTCGAGCACTTTACGACAGATGGCAGATCTACTGGTAGATGAGGAAGCACGCGAAGATGAAAATACAACAGGCCCTTGTATGGAGTATTTTCTTAAAAACAGTATATTGCAATATTTGGTTGATGCAGCAGAAAAAGAAGATTATCCAATTGGTCTTCGTGGAGAAATTATTCAAATAGTGGCAAGCATGATCAATTGTTTAAATGACCGATTCCTAGTGCATAATGCTGTGCATACGCCAATTGTCAAACTGTTGAGATTTTGCGTGCTACAAGACGATCAAAAGGGAATGTACACTGATGAGTTAGTGGATCTAATGTATGCTATATGCTCGAAAATACAAGGATATCCGGCGTTGTTGAACATTTTTTTCTTTGATAAGAACTGGCTGACAACCCCGCAAAAAAAGAAGCATGCTTTCCCCAAAAGCAGCATTGATGAGAAAACGGAAGCCGTTAACAAACCACATAGCAATGGGTGTAAGGAAGCAGCAGCAGTTGATGACGGCATGTTACAGCAATGCCCCAGTTTATTCGGCACTAGTCGCCCACCTGATTATGAGTTTTTGCTCTTCACTTATCTGCTTCGATTTGCTCATTGTGAAGGAAAAACAGGCGATTATGCTCGTACAGGATTATTATTCATCATAGAGATGGCAAAGGGTCAGTTAGGTGATTTTATCCTAAGTTCTGATTTTACAACTGTTCTGGCTGCCGGACTTGGTGCTTTATATTCACAATTACCAAGGAAACTGATAGTAAACGGTAAAATGGACGACATTTATACAAATGTTACCAGTTATCTTTTAAGTCAGCAATTTGATAGCAATGGCAACAATACGAATAACCCTAAAAGCATCGGTGCAGAAGATTCCAACTCTTTTGTTTTCAGATGTCAGCTGGACTCGTTTTTGAAAACACTAGAATTTTGTCAGGATGTCATTTCGCGTTGTCCTAACGCAAACATATGCCGTTCACTGCTAAAGGATGTACGTAGCGTATTTTTGGAAAACATACTCTATCCGTCTATCCTGGAATGTTCCGATTTGGATGGCTCTACGGTGGCAGTGATAACCTATATTGATTTAATGTTACAGACAGTAGAGCAAAGTGAACTATCAAAAATGCTTGTAGAGCTTCTGATGGATGATGAGCAACAGCAGTTGGATCTATCTACCGCTATGGAGCAGATAGACATTCTAGAAAAAAATAGCGAGATAAGAAGAACATCAAAAGCTCATTTTACGTTGAAAGATTTAATCTTCAGTCGCTTGAAGTCTAAAGCACAGCCTACCGTCATTGCTACGCTAAAATTGCTGAGGACATTATTGAGGAAACACTGCGTACATGCAAATGGCTTAATATCAACTTGTCCAGATGTAAATAAAAACCAAATACCTATTTCTCAACACTTACGCGAAGTGGAGTTGTACTACTCACTTATTAGTACAATTGACAATCAACAAGCGTCAAAGATTCTGTCTCAAGGCTATGGAGAGTACTTGCACGATTCTGAGTTTACTATCGAAAACGACAGTTGTTCTAAAAGTAGAAAACGTACCACAGGTAGTACGTACGCCAGCTCAGATGAAAGCAGACCACAAAAGCAATCCTCTATAAACAGACGAAGCTTCAAGTACGGACAACGCCATTCGACTGTTGAGCAACAACAACAAAACGAAAAAGAGTATACAGCGAAATTACCTGATAAAGTACCTATAAGACATCGTTTCCGTCCGTCCGAACCACTCTTACAGATTCTGCTAAACCTGCTTGCACATTTCTTTACGCAAAGTATAGAATTGAACGTAGCCTTGACAGGAGTCATTAGCGCGCTTGCTCTTTGCCCCTATCGAAGTTTAGAAGGGTGGATTTCCTTCAGTGAAACTGACAGAATCAGTCAGGATGATACTTTACGCTCGATATCAGATAATCAAATTGTTATCAGTCAAGCAAAAAGAACAGGTTCCAACGGTGTTACCTCAATCAATTGTAACAGCAAACTACCTGTCTTCACTGACAGTGATGAAGAAGATGATTGTTCTGTCGACTATGAAACTGAAAGGAAGGCGGATGAAAAGACAATACCCACTACCTTTAATTCCTATCCTACATTTTTCACCGTATTCCATACACTTATACAGCAAGTAAATGCTTTTTATCGCACAGAAATTGCAGATTTCGATAATTTACTGAGAGAAAGACGTAAAGCACTGCTGACTGGACAGAACTATTTAAAAAATGAACATGGCCCCGCCTTTCGCAATAAGAAGACCACAACACCTTTAAACAGTTTAAGAACAGGAGGTCTTAACCCATCATCCTTTGCTGCCAGTTTTACAAAATCTTCGTTTTTCAATCATCAACCATTTTCCTCAACATTCTCATCATCTCGAATTACCCCCTCAATAAACATTTCCTCATTGTCAGCACAGACAACATCAAGTATTCGAACACAAGGCAACACACAAAAATTACCTACTACACCCTCAACCGTCAATATAAGCACGGTTCTCAACGATACTGTATCTCCGCTTTCATTACATGTAAGGAAAACAGCACACACGCTCATACAGCCCTTAGTACCTTCTCATTTCAGTGAAGTTAATACTATCGGTGAGACTGTTGAAACTATTTCACATTTTGATGAAGTAGGAAGCACTCTAGCGGTAAACACTACTGGATTAGATGATGAACGCAGACAATGGCCCGACGGAAACACAGAAATTAGCTTATCGATGCTGTTAAATAACGTTGTTATCCTTGAAGAAGCTATCAAAGAAGTCTTGGCAGTATTGCAAGTTAGACGTAGCTCAGGTGTAGATTCTGTTCTTTATACTTAATATGATTCAGACAGAATATAGTAATAAATCACATAACTTAGGCTATTATCTGTATTCCTTGAAACAAGATGAAAAGCATGCTTTGACCTGAGTACACAATGTGAATCATAAATTTGTCTGTCAAGTACATCAAATCGTCAGAGTACAATAAATCTGCGAGCTGACATTTGGGCACAAATTAAAAAAAAAAAAAAATGAATTGCGAAATGTTTGTGCGAGTCTGTGTGTGCGTTTTACAACTGGCTTTGGTAGATGACATTCGAATAAAGTAAATGACGTGCTTCGACTTTGTGCCATCTTTATATGAAGTTACTCGGTGTATTAAATGATGCCATTACTAAACATTCTAGCACCATCAACCATTATTTTACTTATTTTTTAGGGAAAAAAAGAGATCTTCGACTTACAAGGATATTAAACACATAACATGAATCTAGCATATTGTAACAACGTACAATTTAGGCTAATGAAAGAGATCAGAAATATTATAATTTTGGCATTTTCGCAATAATCGCGAATAATTTTACTTCCTGAATAATCAATATATATACAATCTACTTTCCATTATACGTAACTATTGTGTACTTTCTCCTTATACACTTAAGTATTATAAGAACTTTTTTCTTTCTGTTCTTATCTTACTTTGCTTGTCTTTGTTCCTTTAACTTAAGTGTTTTTCTAGAAGTGTCAAGCGAATACTCAAATGTATCAGGCTACCAGTATAAAACAATCAGACAAGCATCTTGTAATCGAAAAGAGTGAGATATCGTTACAGTCCGATGATAAAATCAGTGACCTTCCATCCTTACAATATTTGGATGAAGACATGGAATGGACAAACGAGGAGGAGAAAGAAATTGTGAAAAAGCTGGATAGACGCTTGCTGGTTTTTATATTGATAATGAGTTTCGTTTTAAACATGGACAGAACAAATTTATGTGAGTGGAAATAGCAACAACCAAAAATTGAAAAAAGCCGCATTGCCTTATATAACAACCGCGTTCGTAGATAGTAATCCATTAATACCTTACATTTGTTTCCTATTTATTATGCCCAAAAAAAAAAAAAAGCCAACGCAATATCAGATGATTTAGCAGCGGATCTGGGGTTTACTAATGATGGTGTTAACTTAAGTATCCTGGTCTACTTTGTAGTATTCACCGTCAGTGCATTTATCTCGAGCACAATCGGAAAGGCAGTCGGTACTCATCTTTGGATTCCAATTTTGATGACCTCTTGGGCTATTGTCACTTGGGCGCATTGCCTTGTTCACGTAAGCATTTGTTATATACTTTTGCTGCAAACAATAGCACCGCCTAGCGTTTAAAGTAATTGGTCACATTTTGATAGACTGTAAATGTAATAACACATTGCTTTTCACACAATTAGAATTTCGCTGGTTTTCTGACTGTTAGAATTTTAATTGCGGCTACAGAGGGAGGTTTCATTCCTACTTGTCTAACATATATGACTAGATGGTATAAAACAACAGAAATGGCCACAAGATTAGCATGTTTTTGGGCGGCTCAAAACCTTGCCTCAGCATCCTCGGGCTTGATTGCGTTCGGTGTCTTCCGTTTAGAAGGTACATTGGGCCTTGAAGGTTGGAAATGGCTTTTCATTGTTGATGGTATAATTACTCATGTCGTTGGATTTATGGCATTGTAAGTAATACAGCATTTTTATAGCAGAAGTAGCTATATCAGCTTCCACAAGTGTCATCTCAGAATGCTTTACATTTGACCATTCATAGCTTTTACGTGCCTTCGTCGCCAATGCGAACGGCTGGTAAGCTAAGAGGAAAGAAAGGCTGGTTGACAGAGAGGCAGAGCAGGATAGCTACGTTAAGAATCTTTCGAGATGATGAAACAAAGAGAAGCGGCGATAAGCATGTTAGCCTTAAGGATATACTACAGGCAGCCACGGATACCAATTTGTGGGTACATCTTATTATTACATTTTTAGGGTGAGTCAGTAACTTATTTTCGCAAGTCCATATTTGAACTTTTCCCTTTTTTTTTCATCTTACTAACTTCTCTTTCTATTGCAGTCAAATGCATGAAACTCCCATTTATAGCTATTTACCTTCCATCATTAAAGATTCAGGATTTGCAACTACAACGGCTAACCTCTTAGCAGCCCCTGCTTATATCATCAATCTCATTTTCTCCGTAATTATCGCTCATAATTCTGACAAACGCGGAAATGTTGCTTTGCATGCTATCATCGGTAGCGCTTGGGCCCTACTTGGCGTCTGCTTATTGGAATTTTTGCCTGATACGGCTGACCGATGGAGTTTATATGGCGCAGCTCTATTTGCAGCCTCAGCGCCCTCTTGGCACGGAATGCAAATCGCTTGGATGTCTGCAAATTTGGCGCCTAATGGAAAGCGGTCAATTGCATTGGCTGCTGTAATAGCATTTGCTAACATAAATGGTGTACCTGGGTCGCAATTATATCGTAAGTTAGATCGTTTTATGGTAAAGATACTTCTTTATGAACAAAAAGTCTTATTATTCTCTTGGACATGTAGAGGCGGCTGATGCACCAAGGTTTAGAAAGGGCAATCAAATCATTATTGGCCTGCTGATTGCTACCATAGCCTTATTCCTTCTTCAAAGAACAAGATATGTCTTTGTGAACAAGTGGAGACAGAAAAGATGGAACAATTTAAATGATAACGAGAGACAAAAATACCTAGAAAAAAACGAGCATGAAGGAAATAATAGATTGGACTTCATTTACAGATTATAACAACTATATACCTATCTACACAAACTTACACCATCATGGACAATTAAACATACAAAAGCTTAAAATATATGGAGTATCCTTTACCCATCGGCTCGTACGCTTCGCCTTTTTTTTTTTGTTTTTTGTTTTGGCAAACGGTTGCCCCTTATCATCCATATGCAGCATGAATGTAACCTGAAAACTGACGCCCTTACACAACATCATATGCTAATATAAATAATTAGTCTCGCATGAATAGTTTGAAAATGCCCCTGAAAGGGCCAAAAATCAAACCAATCTAAGCTTATTTGAGGATGGGCGTAAAAATACTCAATTTGGAAAATTTAAAAGCATGAATCTGTTATTCAGACCTGTATAAAAATACAAACAGACTTATTTACCATCCCTTTTGGCGTTTTGTTTCTTTTCTACTCTTCACTTTTGTGATTTTTTTTCCCCGATTCTCTTTACGCTCGTTTGCACCTGCACATAGAAACCTCATGCTCGCTACACCTACTTCTCCCAATTTCGATTGTCATGCTCCTGTCGCTGGCTGGTTATCTAAAATGATAGCGTTGCCGTTTGGTAGAAGCAGATGGGTGTCCAGATATTTTGTTTTACTGGATTCCGAACTACGTTATTATAAAGATGAGGTAATAGCATCAGATAAAAAGTGAGCCGATATGGAAAAGTGTTACTTACATATCAGCCTATTATAATGTTAATAGCACTTTGATACGCCAGCACAAATTCTTAACTTACGTGAGATAAGCCGAGTCATCCCCGCTGGCAGCTCACAATACCCCTATTCTTTCCGCCTTGAGCCGCTAGAAGTCAACGAAACAAAACGCTCTAGCATTCAACGACCTTCTTTCATAAATAATCGTAATAGCAAGCCATGGGTAATTAATTGCAAATCAGAACTGGATAAGCAGCACTGGATGTCCGCTATCAGTATAAGAATCATAAAATATTCCCCTTTGCCTTCACCTAATACACCTACGGATGAGCTTCCTGCACATAAGCGCTCAAAATCCGATGCTAGTGAAGACCTTGATAATACTGCCATCTTTATTGTTTCATCTGATTTCTATCGTTCACCAACTGCCCCTCTTCGATGCATAAATCCTTCTACCAATAGCAAAATTGTTTCCAACACAAAAAGTACAATCTCCATCCATAACAAAACTATAACTTCAACATCTACTTCGTTACTAGCCAGGCGAAACAAGAAACTGCTTCCTATCAAAATATCCTCTCTAACATACGATTTTAAAAGAGACACGAATGCACGCGCAGAAGACAATTTATCAAATAATTGTACCCCTCTACCTTCTCCAACAGGTGCTGTTCTTGACGAATGTACTATGTGTAATTCTACTAACCCCCTTAATTACAATAATTCAACTGATACAGCTCTTGTCAAAAAAGAAGAGTACTGCTGTCAGATACCAGAACTAGGAGATACACGTTCTACATCAACAGAGGAGCTGTCACCAACATATACATTGTACAAAAGAAAGTTCTGCTTGTAAAATTCATAGTTCTTGTAATAGAAAGGGAACAATCTTAATAAATAAACCATAGCTATTGCATTGCACAGTATCGCCTTTGAGAGCTGTTGTTCCTTCATACGATATTTTTTACATTGCTTTTTGTAAAATATATTATTCTAGTAGTTGTTCTCAATTCAGTTGTTTATACATGTTTGAGGAAATGGTTGCCTACGCTTGTCTGTAAAAGACGAATCTTAAATGCGTGTTAAAAGAAACTTTTGTAGCCTGAGTAGCTTCAGGGCAAAATCGTGAAAAAAGAAGAAAGCCAGGCAAAACTCTTTTCTTTTGGATTTTTTCACGATTTTGCTTTGGTTCGGAAATAGATTTTTACCTCAGGGTCCTATAAACTTGTAGCACTGCTACCTTCTTTCTGCTTACCAGCGTTCAACATAAACTGCTTTCAGTATAGAGAAACCTTATGTCGTATTTTCGCTTATAATCGGCAATGGTATGTATTCGTAAGTGTATGCCTACTTTATACACTTTGGTCCAGAATTAAGTCAGACCACATAAACGATAACGTAATTAGTTGACGACAGCAAGCCAAGTCATTAACATAGCAATGAATCCTTAAAAACAGTTCTTTATGTTTCTCATGTTGCCCTTATCGATACTGGCAAGGTTTATCGTGGTTAAATATTTACTTTATCATTTAATAATATGATGGAATAATTATACATCAAGAAAGCTTCCATGCATTCTTTACGCAGACGTTTCTTATGTGGTAGTAGAAGTAGCTTTTCAAGAAAAATATTTTATTGAGAGTTCCATTTGCATTTTCGCGAAATAACGAAGATGCAAATGTAAGGACACTAACAATGTCGCTATTTCTTTGCTTTCCTATTCTACGTCCACGATACATACTGTTAAACGACCCTAAAGACTTTTGAAGAAGGTTTTACGGTAAAGCAAGATCTTCAAAACTCAAATTCTTGCCATTTTCAGTCTTCTTCAATTCTTCAAGGTCAACCAGGTTATATCGTTCAGCATAAAGCGATTTATAAGCGCTCTTAATAGTCACTTCAGAGACACCAGCAACATTGGCAATATCACGAGTTGATTTAGGTTGACGAAACAGGTAAGATACGAGATAGATGCAAGCAGCAGCAACTGAAATAGGCGACTTCCCTGCTAACGTACCCAATTCTTTTGCCCGTTTCACTAAATCAATACCAGCCTTTTGCACATAGTTTGGTAACTGAAGATTAGAGCAGAAACGAAGCATAAGATCTTCAGAATTCATAATGGAGGTATTAGTTTGTAACTTCGATTGGAGTGACTTATAACAGCGACCAATTTCTTTCTTTGGCACACGAGTAAGAGCGCATATTTCTCGAAAGGTACGGCCGACTTTTTCTTGACGACATGCTATGAAAATACAGGCAGCAATAATAGCATCACTTGATTTGCCCCGCAGTAATTTCTCGTCTTCCACTCGTTTATATAATTGTTTAGCTGTATCACTGACAATCTTAGACAGTGAAATGGAATCACACATTGCACTGATCTCTTTGTAGGCTTGGACAAGATTCCGTTCGCCTTTAACAGCAGTTGCACGGCCATGAACTTTGTTCAAATCCTTTGCTGTGCCACTACCACCATCTCTTCTCGAAATTACTGTATCCAGTTGATTACCGTCTAATAATGGATTTGCCGCAGCACCTACACGAGAAGGATCCTAATAGTTATAGGAAAAAATAATGATAAATAATGTTTTAGCAACTGCAGAAAACAACATGTCGAAGAACATACATCGCCTTCGTCATTTGCGAAAGTTCTCCACTCAGATCTCGTATCGATAATACGATCACCAAGGACTAGACCACAATCACCACAAACAAGATCACCAGATGCGAATTCCTCAACAATATGTGGAGGTTCAATTCTACAATCCGGGCAAATTAACCTCACATTGAGGTTGGGTTGAAATTGTTTGGGTTTTTCCTCCTTCAGTTGAGGATCACGCAAAGGGAAAGGAATTGCAGTTGTCATGTTATTGGTATGGGTTGAATGAAAATATAACAGAGTATTTACAGAAAGGCTTTGAAATGACTAAACGAATGATAATGAAAATGTGCAGTAGTTGATTTGCAAGAATAAAATTTGAAGATGCTGGTAGAAATGCTGCTGCGAGATGCTAAGTTACAAGTGCCGATGAATAGGAATTGCTTGTTTTTGTGAGTTGCGCCTTCTCTTCTTTTCTTGGCCGTAAACTAAAGAGTTGTCCTCCTAGGAAAGAAAAAAAGAAGAAAGTTCACAAATAAAGAAGAAAAAGATGAAATCATGGAAGAAAGTAGAAATTGTTTTTCTTTATACATACCAGCACCTTTTGGAACCGCCCTCGGTCATTGGTCAGCTGTTTATTCCCGCCTGCCCGACGGCAGATCTGACCTATCCGACGAAATGTGAAGAACTAAAAAAGAAACAATTCTTAACAGCCTTTTAAATCCATCTGATCTACTGTGCAGCTAGAATCCAGTCCGAAGATACGTTCAACGCAACATTTGCAAAATGCTGAAAAAGGAGTGGACTATATGTCTTTGGTTACATTCGATAGAAAAGACGAAAATATTTGGTTTGCAGTTATTGAGAATTGTTTACCTTATGTGAAGTAGAAGGGTAATAATAATGAATCAAGTGTTCAGAGCCAAGTTTTCTGGTAATATACTTATTATACTAGTCATATTCTTATTCTTTGCCCTTTGCTGATTATAATGGTTTGTTCTTATCCTCCAACAAAAGCTACAACAAAAGAAAACGTACACGAAGCCATGAACAGCTTAGGAAAGCTGAGTGAAGCGAAAGGTAGATTTGGTTTGAACACTCAAGAGGGCGACGAGAGCACTCGAAATTTAGCATGGTCCACATTATAGCTGTTGACATGTGACAAGAGCGCAATTTAATAAAAGTGGCGTTGCATTGATTCGCTTTCAAGGAAGTACGGCAATCAGCAGGAGCAAAGGAATTGGTGATCACTGATTTTTATTTTACTGTTTTTGTTGATAAATATGTTTACTACAAATTGACTAGATTTGTTAGTTTGACTAATGCGTCCAAAAGTTGTCTATCGAATCAGATATTTGGCTGAGAAAATGAAGTTAATGTTTCAGTAGATGATGGCGCTAAAGGTGTTCCTCGTAATATCGTTGTTGTGGTGTTTACTTATGTTGCGAGATTGATAACTGTTATTAGACTATGACTCTTACGTATCTTTATTCATCTTTCGATGAAGTAGAAAGATTATTTACCTTGTAGGTCTGATGGGAAGTTTCATTATTGCGGGGACGCGTATGCTAGTCACTAATTTCAGGTCCTGATGCTTCATGGGTAACCATTTATACTTGTGCTTTTATCTTGTTATATAATGTACGTAACCTATATTATATACAATATAGATAGACTGTGGTAGAACGTATTCTTTTTTTGGTTGTACGTACTCCAGTATTATTAGTTGTTATCTCACCAAACATGTCATTACTTCCGTCCACATAGATAATCGTCCTTTAAAAGTGGAGGTGATACTATCTTTGATTGTAGATTTATGAAATTGATAAAATTATAACGAGGAATTGAGCATGCACTCTCAATATTCAATATTTACGCATTCTTGTGAGATCGTCGTAAACAATCTATGTTTGTAAATGTATGGGACAATGAATGAATTGATTCGACAGATATGTATGGTATGTTATCATGTAGTGGACATAGCATAGATTATTCGTGTCGTGCTAAAGCCATTCAAATTCATCTGATGTCGATGTATCTCAATGAAATCCCCTAAAGGAAAAAAGCTACAAGTCAAATGTTCCAGCGATATAGCTGCCTCAAAGTTTACTACTTATGATTTGACGTATAGAACGACCTTTCTTGTTTCTTTTTTACAAAGATGTCATGATTCAAAAGAATGATGTATGCCATGACTTTGGATCAGTCACATCAAGGATCCAGTTTCGTGAAATCAGAATAAGGAGCCAGTGGTGGGTTGTGTTATTATCGATGAGGAGATAGAAGACTTCCTTGAAAGCAGGTAACACAATACATGAATAAAATTCCTTCTGATGGTCATATAATCATGGTCACCAATAGTTTAAAATCTATGTTGGTGAGGCCCGAATTCAAGGGTGGATGGAAGAAAGGCAGAAGAAAAGAGAAAAGAGTGGCCCAAGATACGAAAGCTTTATGCTGCCATGCGCTAATGTGACGAAGACACAAAGAATGGAATGCTCCTGTGCGAGAAAAACAAAGAAAAAGGGATAGGGATAAAGGTAAGCCAAAAGTATGACTCTGAGCAGAATAGTGTATCTTTTTCTTTTTACATTTCTCCTTAATTTTTATTTTCCAACAGTCTAATAATGAAATTGAAGAGTATAGTCTCGGTACTGCTAAGCCTAATTGTTCATAACACCTTAGCAGAAGTTAACAGAGATTTTGAGCGACGGTAAGCCCATGAAATTGATCCTTCTTGTTGGTATATTTGACCAAGATTAACGATTTGGACTACTACTGTAAATGTATACTCACAGGCATATGCACGAGGCTCACCAAATAGAAATAAATGACGAAGTCGCATTTTTCAAAATACACGATCTAAATAAAGATGGATTTTGGGATGAGAATGAGTTACGCTCTATGTACGGATTAGAGCGTGATATTGATCCAAACGCACAACATGTCCAAATGATTATCGAGAAGGTGTACGAAAAAATGGACCTGAACCGTGATAGGTTCATCTCTCAAGATGAGTACATTTTAGCCACTCTTCCTGACTTTAATGGAAATGCTAAAAAGAAAGAAGATATCGCCACTTCAGCAACAGAGACTACTGTGCAAAAAAAGAGAAACATTGCCAACAACGAAAGTAAAAATAAGCAAAAACGAGGCAATAGCAACGACAAATCAAAGAAAAAGGCTGAGGGAGTAATTCCTGACAAATTCAAGGCTTAGAACGTTTGTTAATTTATTTCATCGTACGATAAACGCTGTTGAAGCTTGAAATTCGGCATGTTTGTAGTAGTTTATTGAATGAATCTGTCTAATAAACTGTTGCACTTTTGGTACCTGGTTTTTATCATCCTCCCCATATTTATGCAGCGTCGTGCTCCGATTAAACTCAAGAGGCAAAGTTAGGAAATTGCGGGGGAGAGTGACGTTAACCTCAAAGGCCCACTCATTTTGCAGGGTGAGCTAAATTTGTATTGACAGAAGGCATAGACCAGAGTGCCAACTTATTTCTTATTTCTTTCTGATTCACCTTCAGCCTTACATTAAAATTATAAAAGAATAATGCGTTTTACTCGCACCCTTTTCCAAGCAGTTACCAAGGTAAGTTCTGGTACTCACAAAGATAGGCTTCACAAATACTTGTAGTGCCCTGAAACAAAAAATTTTGGACATCGTGTTTACAAATGACTTATGATTTCACGTCCTTTGTATTGCAGCCTTCGACAGGCATTGCAGGTCTCAAGGTTCACCGTAATCCCCGTCCTCATTTAATTCAAACATACAACAGCACTCTCGAAGTATGCAGTCGTCTTCCTACCACAGCTGTTTATCGACAAACAACTGAAGCAATAACAAAACACAGATTGGCTGTTGTAGAATCAACAGAGAACATTGAAGAAATCGAAACCAAGATCAACGTTGGCCAAATTGAAGAAATCATCGAGCAAGCAGAGGATGAGTTAGGACTTGCTAAGAAAGTAGAAGAATGGAAGCCTTGGGAACCACTTGAGGTACCTATTCCTCCCGGTCAATGGGTATACCCTAAGAAAGAGTAGAAAGAATCTTCCTATTTGAGATGAAGCGTTTGGCAGCTTCAGTCATCACCAGCTACAACAATTTCGCACCATAATCCGCCGACGCATAGTATTTCTATTCAAATGTACACAGTTATCCATAGTCAAGCTCACTCTATTTATATATGTTTACTGTTGACCGTAATATAGAAACTGCCACCAACATAAAATCTCATATTGCTTCAATTTCTAAAAGGGAGCTGCAATAAAAGAAATATACTTTATTTATTTCAGTAGAATGATAAAAATTTGGGCCATTTCCTTTGTTGAATGCCATTAAATTGACCCAAAAATATTGATCTGATGCTAGCAATGAGAATGGAATATGACTGTTGACACTTTTATATAGACGTCTAACCTTAGCTTTTTATAAGTGAAGCATATCTCATAAACCAAACCGATAGAAATGTTAAAAATAACCATGAATGACTCAATGAAAAAAGCTACCAGATGAATGGAAAGCCAGCTTAAACTTCGTTGCGCTAGATAGTCACAGCATGATAGTCTATGTATGAAGGGTCAAAAAGAGCTGAGCTCTGTATAATGAACGGTAACTTATGATGCACACTTGTAACAAGAAAAACAAATATATTTCGAAAGTTTGATAGTAATCTTAACAAAATGCAATACCTTCCGCGACTTATAAAGGGATAAGTATATTTAACTTATTTCTAATGCTAATGAAATTGATACCCCTTTTCCTTGATCAGCACCGATGAAAAGACGTTCACTCGCCTGCTAATTTTATGCCTTTCTTCCGTATTAGTTCAATGCAACTCGGATTTATGTCAAGCCGCTTCGTAGCAAACCATACTCCTACGCTGCAGCTTTGGAAAATGATTGCTCATACTCAGGACTCCAATACTATCGCGTTATTACATGGCCAGGAAAAAGCTTATGATCGCGTTCATCCTAAATACTTAGCGCAAGTGTTGCGTGCCTATGGTACAACTTGTCATGCATCTTTTTTTCTCTACTGAAGTAGCCCTCAATCTCAATAACCATATTATTTCAGCCACCATCCGTCAACAACGCAGCCTTCGTCAAGGAAACTCCTTTGGCCCGCTACTCTTCGACATTGCTTTCGACTCTTTCATTTGTTTAATCCACCAAAAGCCCGGAATATCAAGGGTTCAATTTTCAACATGAAACAGCGTCCTTAAGCAACCTTGGATGGTACGGTAATCTTTTTGAAGTATTCACTAACCTGCATTCCCACCATCATCAAGCACTATCAACTTTGACTATCACTGTCAAAAAAATTCAAATACTGCTAAAGACTGCTTTACCTTCTAAGTGAAAATCCTAGCGTATGCCGATGGCACTTTTGCAGTCGTCAGTAATGAGTCTTTTATCTACCGACTATTATAATGCTGGATCGTTTCGTCCTACCCTACTCCTTTGTCCTATTTATATATTTTTTCCCTTTCAGTCTTTCGCTTCCCTCAATGCAACATATGAAGGGCTTTAAATAGAACAGGAAGTATACCCAAAAACCTGACTGGTGTGCAACACTAATTCTGATTGGTTGCGACATTGCTTCTTGGAACCACTGTATCTTCTGCCCTCAACATGAGAAAAGCGGATGAAATGAAGGCAGAGCGATGGTCGTTGGTTCGAATTAAAGATAATTATACACTTTTTAAGAAAGAAAGGCATTGTAATGCTCACTTTTGACAAGTAATTGTGAACTTTCATTATACACTTTCCTTATATAGGACCTTTATTCATTATTATGTTGAAAGTGGGTTAGACAAAGAATTACAGTTATACAAATCAGCAAAAAAGAGAGTAAATATTATATGCACGTGTATTGGATAGAAAAAAAAAAATTGAATTGCATGTACTATGTATTCAACCTTCGTGAAGCAATGCATCAAACAGATTGCAGCAGCAGTAGCAAATCAAACTTAATTGCTTCAATCTCTTTTTACAGCATGCAAAATAGAGCAGCAGCAGCAAAGATGGCAACGGAGGTGATAACCTTATGTTGAGTAGAAGCCAGTTGACTATTGCCTTCACTCTTAAAAATAGAACCAGAGGAAGTAGATGAAGCAGAAGCACCGCCTGTTGCGGATGCAGAATTGATAACAGAAGCAGAGGCGGCAGGAAGAACATTAATAGGAACATCGAGATGAGTATTAGTCTTGGAATCTAAGAATACAACTTTGTACTGGCCAGGAGTAACTGTGGTAGGGATATTGTAGTTTACAGAATGTTCATAATAAGTAACGTTGCCATTTTGCTTAGCACTGGCAGGCGTTTTGGATGTGTCGACAGATGTAGCGACCGGCAGTGAGACATTAGAGCCTGCAGCAGCAGATTGAAGTGTAATAGAGAGACTAATATCTAAATGCCATGATAGAAAGTTTTTTTCATTAGTTTGGCTTCATCCTTTAAATTTTCCTCACTTATATTGCTTAGAGTCAATAGAGCAGACATGGAGACGAACCTGATACGATATTCTCGAAAAGAACAATGGTGCAGGGTAGAACCTGACCGACAACGTAGGGACCGTTTGCTACAGGGCTTGTCACATTATAGTTCTGCATAGGTGCAGTTAACTGTCCAACAACACTTGAGATCATCAAGGCGATTCCTGAAATTGCTGCAAAGAATCTCATTATCGATATTTTTTTTTAGACCAATCAGAAAGGGTTGAAAAGGCGAGTATGAATGGACTGTAAATGTGAAGAAAGAAAAGAAAGAGAGAGTGGTTGAAGAAGTAGAAAGTCTATAAAAATAGGGGGACAGAAAAGAAAAGGGAAAAAAGAACAGATAAATCAACATGTGTAATCCTTAAGTACATCTGTCAACAGGGGGAGTTTCAATGCCTCGCTATCTGTTGAACATAGAAACAACGGTAATGCGTGTAGATCAGAGGCCCTCCTTCCGACCCCTTTTTATCGCTCTGTGATACTCGCTACGTTAGGATTACACAAAAGCACATACATCCATTCATTATTCAATGACTAAATATACTTTATTGATAAGTTAATAAGATTATAAAATTCATGTCAGTTACTCTGTAAGAAAGAATAAAGACAAGTGCCTTCTTCTAATATTCGATTAATATTACGATGTTGTGGTTTGAACCAGATTTTGGAAAAAAGGGAAAGAGGAGGTGAACAGAAGGAGTATGGTTGAGTATATGCAAGCATTCATTATGGTTGTTTCATTCTCTACTACTAATTCAAAATCTTTCCAAACACTAAAGCAGCGGTTACGGAAATTAGGATGGAAGCAAGATCAGCCATTGTATTGGAATTGGCTGAAGAAGAATTGCTTGTAGTAGCAGGAGGAATGATAGATCCGCTAGGCTTAGCAACCGAAGAGGGAATTGCAGAAACAGCAGGTATGCTACTTGCAGATGGCAATAAGGCCGAGGAGGAGCTAGACCATGCAATGACGGATGGAGTACTTCTGACAGCAGAGGACACTATACAACAATAATGGTAAGAAAAACAACAAAGAAAAACAAGGAGAAGAGGATTCTAGTGGTTTCTTTTTGTGCGACTATATTATAATGTCTCAATTTACCTGCAGATACCGTAGAAATACCAGAAGCAGATATAGAAGACAAACCAGAAACCGTATGACTTAAAATAGAAGCGACATCGCTTTCAGAAGCGCTTTCGCTGGCAGAAGTCTTAGCAGTTGCACTAGCAGAAATGGTTTCGCTTTCTGAATCACTGGGAGTTGCATTTTCATTTGTAGCTGTAGTAGGTGTAGCTGTGCTATCAGGAGTTGGAGTGGCAAGTTCACTAGCGGCTTCGGTAGCAGTAGCAACTGTGGCAGCTTCGGTAGCAGCTTCAGTAGCGGGACCTGTTAAGTAATTTTTCAGTTCATCATCTTTCAAAAGGGTCTTCCACCAGTAAATATCAGTAACTGGAGTAGGTAAAGCGGGAATATCATTACCAGAACCTTCATTATCTGTCAGTATATCAAATATAGTAAGTATTTTAAGGAAAAAACAACAGCACGATACTATTTTATGTTTTGACTTTTGCCCCTGCCCCACTTGATTCAGCCTGTACAATACCATCTTGAGCGAAAGCAATTTGTTGGAAAGCAAGGGTTGCAATAAGTGTTAAAGCCAATGTAGATCTCATTTTGTTTATTTATTTGTGGATGGATGTTGTCAAAGGGCCAAAAATTGTTTTGAAAATAAGAAAGAAGAGCAAAATGAATGCTAGATTAGAAGGTTCCCCATTTTATAGTCAAGATATACCTTTGAGAAGATCTCCTATTATTAAAGGAAAGAGCCAGCCTCAAGCCATGTACACAAAAGTAACCTAACCTTGTTTCAAAGTTAAAAATAAACTAAAATGTTATAAGAATACAAGATATGTAACGCTGCAGGGATCGACAATAAATAGAAACATGACTGTCCATCGACGTTGAAGGAACAAAATTTAATGTAACAGACTCTGTTCTAGGCAAGGCAGGCAGGGATGGGAGATCCTTTATGTCTGGATTATGTAAGTTTAGGTTTATGCCGGATCTCCCTAAAACACGCATTATCACAACATACAACGTCTGATCCTCTTTTCAAGCCCACCTTTAAGAAATTTACTAACTATTCTTTGATCCCTTATATATTTGATTCATTAAGTTTTATTGTAAGCGCTATTTACAGTAGAAAAAAAAAACTATTTTCTTTCACTGCCAGTGCATCATTTGAACAAAGAATAATACGAAAAGATTAATCCATACAATTAGAAATACATATGTGTAAGCCCTCAGCACTAACGATGATCATCAAGAAAAACGTAGATCTAAAATGATGATATATACAGTTGTTTCAACAAATTCAGTTTTGTTGCTTTTGAATATTGCAATTTGTTGTGATGGTTGGTGGGGATATACACATATACACTTAAATAAGGAGCTTTTCAATTTGAGTCTTGATGTTCAAGATTTGAGGCTTCAAGTCAGAAGCTTCGTTGGTGGTGATGGAGCAAGAGATAACAGCACGAGAAACACCACAAGCACGACCCAAGGCAGTCTTGGAGGGAACGAAAACATAAGGAACGTTCTTATCTTCACACAAAAGAGGGAGATGGAGAAGAATTTCCAAAGGTTCGGTGTCAGCTAGATTTTGTTTGAATGAACAATAAGTTAGAAGAGATTCCAAGAGGTTCCAAAGTTCAATACGTAAGTAGTAAATGCGGACTTACCAGCCATAACAATGAATTCAGAGATACCTCTGTTAAGGGTCTTTGTGGTTTCGTTGGCACCCTTCTTGAGTTGCTTGTAATGAGAAGCTTGTTGAACTAAATCGAGAATGGTGCTGGTTAAAGCGGCATCGGCGAGAGGGAAGGCCTTAGGGTTGACTGCAGCAGACTGAAATTAAAAAACAAAATAGAGACACACGTCAGCTATCGTCAAACATTATATAGAGTCGTATGCTTTCGCATGTAGAGTCTTACCATTTTTTTATAATTCTTTCTTTGATTAAAGATAAAAAGAGAAAATTTTTTGATCAAACGGCCAACAGCACAAAAATGAAGCAAAGCAGAACCGTCAACGCAGTCACTAGCAAGCCAAATTAAAGAAGCCACTGCCCGCCAATCAGCAAGGTTTTTTTTTTTTAATGAAACTGATCTACTATTCAACTAATTCTAAGGCTCTAAGCTTTATATGGGCTTGAGCAACGGATTTTTACAATTAAAAAATATGATTTCATTTGGAACAGGAGCATCTGATTCATAATGAGAGGGGCTGCAGCAGTCCTCAGACCCTTTGAGAAAAAGGCACTACGTCCCACCATACCGTGCTCAGGATGGAGTAGGCATTCTAAGAATTAGAGGGGCAGGCATTTTTAAGCGAGGCATTTAGGACTCTTTGAAAACATGTCGTCTTTAATGTAACATTTGCTTCTTGAAATGTCGATCAATTGTAATTATCTGGGGAACAATATCAATTAACTTATCATTTACTACATTTTTATAAGCATATTCTTCGTTACTCCATCCCTTTTTCCCCTAATAATAAGTGTATGTGATTGCGCTATTGAGTTGTGTATTGATTTGCTACACAACTCAATAGCATACCTTCGCTAACACATTTACTATAATTTTCATCCATATAACAAGCATTACGTCGACTTAAAGCTATGTTATTGAGACGTGAGTGCAAGGTATAACGCTATTAATGAGGTAAATATTGCATGCATGCTTTGGGATTTTCATCTGTATAATCTACTTTGTATTGTTTCCATTTGGGTGGATATTTTCTTTAGTGAAATCGACCTTTTCTTCTCAGATAGGGCGCGTTCACAAGATGGACAGTTGTGAAACGGTAAATAAGAAATAACAAGAATGGCTTTTTACTTGTAATGTAAAAAGCCCAAATTCAGCGTCATCAAAATGGAAAATGTAATGGATTATAGAAAGTCTGACTCATTTATAAAAAAGGGCTTGCTGCCGTTGCACCTTGTGTGCACTTATTTCTTCTGTTTTTCTTTTTTCTTTTCAATTTGAATCGAAAATATGTTTCGCCAAACTATCCCAACTTTGAAGAAATGTAGGTCTTTTCAATGGTATACATGCCAAAACGATTTGTTTGTGTGCATAAAGCATTTCTACTTCTTTTTTGCTTTTTTCTTCATACTTATCACTTTTTCTTTTCTCAAAAGACTCTATGAATTTTCAGCAACAGCAACAGCTTCAACAACAACGACTTTTTGGTAGTTTGGTTTCAGCAAAAGATCTTAAAACTGCTTTAGGCAGCGTCAAGATTTTGGATGGTTCCTGGCATATGCCAAACACGAACCGTGATCCTTATCAAGAGTTTTTGCAAAAGAGGATAGCTGGTAGTCAATTTTTCGGTATAGATACCATTAAAGATACTTCCACCGATTTGCCACATATGTTGCCTTCGCCAGAGAAATTCTCAACTGCTGTAGGTACGCGTAACCGTTTCAATCTTACTCATGACACCCACAGCCACACATACAAGAATGTAAAACGATAACCAACTTGATTTCTTGAAAAAAAAAAAAAAAACGACCCTTCTAGGTAAAATGGGAATTGACGAAAATGATCATGTTGTTGTTTATGACACTGCTGGTGTATTTTCAGCCTGCAGAGTCTATTGGACTTTCAAAGTGTTTGGTCATCAATCTATTTCAGTCTTAAATGGCGGTTTACCGGCTTGGGAAGATATTGCAGGACCCATTGAAACGAACACAACACCGGCTCCTGTCGAACCAAAGACATACAAAGTGCCCACAATTGACAGAAGCCTTGTAAGAGATTATCAGGCTGTTTTGGAGAATGCACGAAATATCCAAAATGGTGCTCAGAACGGTGCTCAGGTATTGGACGCGCGTCCTTATGCTCGGTTCACGGGTGAAGCCCCTGAACCTCGAGAAGGATTGAGCTCGGGACATATGCCGGGATCTATTAGCGTCCCCTTCAACGAGGTGATCCAAGATGGGAAGTTGTTGGATGAGAATAAACTGAGGGAGGTTTTTGAAGCGAAAGGTGTAGATATTTCTAAGGATATTATTACGAGTTGTGGTAAGGCTGAGCAAACCCCGGTATAGGAGAGAAAAGAAGAAAATTGAATTCTCTTTGTTCATCTGTGTAGGAAGTGGTATTACAGCATCTATTCTCTACCTTGCACTGGAGAGAATCGGCGCTCGTCATTTAGCAGTTTATGATGGTAGCTGGACCGAATATGCTGGAATGCAAGACAGTATTATCGTAAAGAAGCAATAAGACCATTTTATGCAATAAAAAAAAAATTGGGATTCTTTGCATTATTTTCAAAAAAATAGTCCACTTCCTTTTTTCCAAGACTTCTTCTTTCGGTTACTTAGTGAAATGCAACCTTTCAATAAATATTACCCTCCAGATTGGACACCTGATAAAGTATGAGCTTTGATAGTATTGGCCATTAAAGAGGCATAGTAAATGGATATTTACAAATCTTTACTTGTGAGTGTAGGGATCTATCAATAAGTATCAGGGTAAACATGCTCTGGGAGATAGAGCCCGAAAATTGGATGAAGGCATCCTCATCGTAAGGTAAAAACCTTTCAACGACAGTAAGCTATTATCGTTTAAATGAGCTCCCAAGACAGAAAAAAGAAGAAAAAAAAAAAGCTTTACCTTTACTGATAATGGTAACTCTATCAGATTTGAATTGCCTTTCAACATTTGGTGTAATGGTTGTGACAATCACATCGGTCAAGGTAACTCTTTTTCTCCTCATTCGCTTCCTCAGGGTTTGTGTCATTGTAATGCTAAATCTGATTTGGCAATGTTTACTCCATAGGCGTTAGATACAACGCTCAAAAGAAACAGATCGGCAAATACTATAGTACGCCCATCCTACAGTTTCGGATGAAATGTCATTTATGTGATAACTGGATAGAAATACAGACAGATCCCAAGAATACTCAGTATGTTGTGGCTAGTGGTGCTCGCAAGAAAGTGGAAGAATGGGAGCCAGAAGAGAATGAGGTTTTGAAGATACAAGGTATATTTGCCTTCCATATCTTTTATTTTTACAATTAACTTATCTCGCTGATATCACGATATACTTGCACACCTTTTAGATGCTGATGAAAAGGAAAAGTTAGAATCTGATCCGATGTATCGATTAGAGCATGGAATAAAAGATAAGCAAGTGATCAGTGAGGCGACACCGCATCTAACACAGTTACAAGAGCTGAATAACACACAATGGTCAGACCCTTATACAAGGTCTCAGCAATTAAGAAAACGCTTACGAGAAGATAAAAAGAAAATCAAAGAAGCGGAGACGATTCGAGACAAATTCCAACTCAATATCAATGTGCTTCCGGAATCAGACAAAGATTTGATAGAGGCTAAAACAGTTGACTTTCGATCAACAGAGCTAATTGAAAAACAAAAGTTAAATAAAGCGGTTGCACCGCTCTTTACGACAAACTCAAACAGAAAAGGAACAAAACCATCATTAACATCAACATCCACAGCAACACCAACAGCAGCAGCAGAGCAGTTGACTAAATTGAGCACAGTCGCCAAATTACATACAAGGGCTAAATTAGATCCTTTTTATAATACCACGAAACCATTTACAAAACTAAAAAAGGGAAAAGAGGGACGGCCGAAGAACGATCACCGAGACAAAGATAGGAGCATTAGTCATGACAAAGAAATACATGGTGATAAGACTATAGGCGTGACAAAAAGACAAAAGACTAACGACAGCACGGCTACCAGTCACTTGTCGACTACTTTAGTCTTGTATACCGATTCTGATACCGATACCGACTAGTTTAATTCAACTCTAATCATTTAATCTGATGCCAGCGTAAAAGCAACATCAACAATGGATGCTTATCTTTCTCGAAAATACAATATACTTGTAGTAAAAAGATTTATTATCGATAATTATGTACATATGCAAACAAAAAGAGAAACACTAATAATACAGAGTTTGACGAACAGACTATATAAATAAATCGAAGAAGAAAGGATAAAAGATTTCAAAAGGGGAAAGGGTATTTCAAGGAAGCTCATAAAATAGCTCGATTCAAACAATCAAAGGAATACTCTCTTTTATATAATACGGTTCAGAGGGATTAATCGTAATGTTCTCCAATGACAATAAGACTTCTACATCATCACAGCCTGTAAAACGTTGAGAAGAGTAGTCTCGAGGCATGATATCAATGATGATCTCTACAAATAAGGGAAATTGCTGAAAGAAATCTTCCATATCCGCCGTGATGAGTGGTTGTCCGTCATCGGACTGGTGATATGTGTACACATGACCTGTTCTTATCTTCATATATATACGTGAAAGCCCTGCCAGTCCACGTATAGAGCTGCGTGATTTTAATTTGTTGATGATGTCTTCGGCTATGAGCTCGACAGAGTCTTCCAGGATGGGTAAGCGATCATCCAAAATACCGTCATAAAGAATTGTGTTTTGGTGGTATAGTTTGGCTTGTAACCAATCCTCAAAAATTCGCGAAATGTGTGATGCTGCTTTAGAAGAGCTGCCCAATGTTGGCAACTAAGGGTGTGTATTATGTAAGAAACCTCAAACACAAACATATCGGTTTTGATAAGTACAAAAAATTAAGAGAAGAAAACTTACAGAAATAAATCGATGGCCTCCATCCATGAAATAAGTATTTTGATACCGAGATACTCTGTTACTATTCTGTGCATCCTTCATGATATTTTTGAAATACATGAAAGGTGTTTCCTCTTCTTCTTCCTCTTCTTCGTCTTGATGATGTTGGAAGGTAGTATGGAGCAATGGAGCTGCAGGCTCTGCTAAAGTGCTGAACGTTCTACCTGTGTCGGTTGCTGTATCTTCATCTTCACTGTAATGCTGATCCAATAGGGTCGGTGCTTGGCTTTGTTGAAGCTCTTCTTTTATTCCAGTCGCTCCTACTAACCCGTCATATATGTATAAAGTTAGTCCAATGCATTATGTAAGGTTAGGAAACTCTTTTCCTCCCCTATTTACCAAAAGCAGTAGTAGATGCGCTCTCTATTGCAATTGTTGTAGCAGTAGTAATGGTAGGCTTGGATATCGACATAATGTTAAAAAGAGATAAACTGAATAAAAGAATAAAAGAGTGTGTAAATGTCCTACTTTTTTTTTTTTATTTTCTTTAATGCTTTTTTTTTTCTTTCGTCTTCTGCATTTTGAGATTACTATTTTTCATTTTTGATTAAGGTTATTTATTGTTCCCGCCGCCCCCCCACAACATTAAAAGAGCACCCCTTGGGTTTCAGAAAACGAGCCCATTATCGGTAATGGAACTGTTTGTAACATTTTCATGACAGGCGGAAAAAAAAAACCACCTTATTGTGCAACATTATAGCAATTGAAAACGGCAGCGGCTTTCGACTGTAAAGCCTTTATACTCTGACACTCACTGGAAAGAAATTGATGCATAAATGCACTCTATACTTTCTTTCTAAACAAAAGAAGACAAGAGCAATCATCTATCCGAGGTTGATAAAATACACCCATAAGCCTTTAAACATACTTATCTATCATGGTTTTTGAGATAGGCAATTTTAAGCCGAAGATATAAAAAACGACCCATGCACAAATAGCGCCTGTTGCTTTGTACATTTGACTTTTTCTTTTTTTAGGGTTTGTCATTCATCCAGATATGTACAGGTTCTTTCATTTGCCATTCACACCATCTCTCTACGCTGATTATCCTACTTTCGATGATGATGATGGGAAAACAGCCTTTGCTTTTTTTGCTTAGGAATTTATACCACAACTTGGCGTTTTATTGTCAAAAGTAAATCTCAATTTTAATATACGAAATTTGAGACAAAGTGTGCGATTGAGATGGAAATTTTCGGGACATGAATTGATTGTATTGTATTTCTATCCCGCTCTGTCAAAGGAGCGACTATGAAAAAGATGCATTCACCACAAAATGTTCATGTAGATTTTGAGAAAGAGTTTTTCTTTCTCTTTGTTTTTGCCCATTTTCCTTGTCTTAATTGTGGACTAATGCAAGACGGAGGAAGGTTAAATTCCCCGTAGGTCATCATAGTACATTGGGTGTTTATAAATTGCTCCACCATCCAGGGTCTCCAATAGGCTGCACATTTTTTTTTAATTTTTTATATTTAAATTTCTTCTACCTAACGTGAATAGTAAGACACAACCAATAACAACGAGTGAGCCAAAACCTTTCGATGCTGTAAAGCCTATCATAGAGAAAAGGAAATGGCAACGTTGTTAATAAGAAAAAAGATGTATGTACTGTCTCATTTTCTCAAAAAATATCTTTTTACACTGTGCCGAGTCGTTTTGACAAAAGGAAGCATGGCTAATAGCATAGACGAGAATGGCGCGTAAACCTTGTAAAATGCCAGTAGCAACGTTGCCGGTACGATCAATAAGTTCGTAATAATTATAGGAATGTAATGTATGTGCCACTGTCACAATAGTGTAAGCGAGTGTCACCTCGAAAGTTGTTGTGTTCGCGTCAATGTGAATAATGTCAGCAAATCTTGGTAAGGTATAAATGAACATCCAAATCCATGTATAGCATGAGGTGTAGACACCCATCCAGCAGCATATTTTAGCGGGTAAAGGCTGTTTACCTTTATCGTTGCTGCTTGACAGGACCTTGTCAGAATACACATATATACACGCTAATTATTCAGACATGTGAATGATTTGTATGGAAAAAGATTTACTTCTGACATCCATCCCTCCCCAACACACACACACTCATTTCATAGTTGATACTCACCAGAAATAAGCGTACCGCCCAATGTGACTAAAGTGCCATTCCATAAACTCTTATTAAATGCTATCAAATCGAATAATTAAAGCAGTTGATATCGAGAGCGAACTACTGAGCAGTTTATGTACCAATACACTATACTTTACCTGTATGACTACTGACCTGACTTGTATTATCATTAAACGTCATTGGTAACTCTAAATCTAATGATGTTTGTTGCAGTGGCGGGGCTCTGAAATTATCGAATGAACAGATACCCAAGCCAATGCTGGTGCCGATAATGGCTAACCATTGTATTTTCGACAAGGATTGTTTCATAAATATCCACGTCAAAATAGCACACCAAATGACCACACTACTGTAGATGACTTGGTACATCTACAAGTAAATAGTAATAGAAAGAAAGACATTAGCCTATTCGTTAAACCAGTTACCTCTCGAGCATTCTTCCTCCTCTTACCCCACTGCCGATGATGGAAAACCCTATCGTCAACGTAACGCTTGAGAACAATTCCAATGTTGCTAATTTTATTATTTTCAAATGAGGAACAGGTGCATGTATTGAATCCTGTTCTTCTTTTGCTGCTGTTGATTGCTCTTCATAACAACTAGTGTCCAAAGACAGGTCTTGGTCCTCAAATCCCTTTGTTTCCTCTTTACTTTCTACATTTAGTGCTGTTAGTGATAAGCTGAGTGTATCTGCTGAAAGTAGCTGTAAGAGTAATAAAGCAACAGAAACTTATCCATTTCAGTGGGGAATGAATGTGTAGATAAGTTAGAGAATAGATTGGATGATTGCATACCTGTTGCTCCAGCAAATTCATGGGATGATCTTCAGTTGCACTGGTCGATGGTAGCATATTATATTGCATGGATTTCCTTCTGCTTTTTCTTCGGATTAAGAAAGGGATGAATGCGCCTATTAATAGCATCCCTGTGTAGCTCGACAATTGAGGCAATAAACTCATGGAAGCTATTATATATTTTGTATCATCATTAAACGAGAAAGAAATAATGAATACCCTACACTTCTACCTCTAACAATATTCTTCTTACTTGCAGCGCCTTTATAAAACAACCATTGCATCCCCAATGTTGTGCATAAGCCTGTTATAAGAAAACTTATTTGATGAAGTGTGATGTGAAGCATATCATGTTTATTATCTGAGGGACCATGGCTACTGTTCTGCATATTGCTTGGTCCTTCGTGTGGATTTGCTATTTCAAAATTGCACAGTGATAAAGGACAAAGGAAGTGTGAAAAGAAAACGATAATAAAACAGAGAAACAAAAGTAAAGAGTTACGTTAATGAATCAAAATATAGCTGCAGCAATCCTATTTTATACTTTTTCAGCCCTTTCTAACCACACATGTTGTTAGTCAGGAGAGAAGAGAAATATTTTAGAAATACACGGGCAAGAGCCTATCTTTGTGATCGTCCTATTTAAGACTCCAACAACAAGCATCTCGTTTTGGTTTGTTTATTGATTTTTCATCCCTTCTTCAATAGATACAATAAATAGTGTGACGGAATTACATCCTAATGGCGTTGAGGTGCAAGAACAAACTTGTAAACCAAGATACCAGCCACCGCAAGAGCAGGCAAAATGACACGTAAAACACTAAATGAAAGATTTAATGTTATAGCTTTTGTTCGAAAACAAAGGTAGATGTGACTACTGCTACTTACGATCCTGTCGACTTCTTTTCTTCGGGAAGCTCTCCAGCACGGATAACATTAAATTTATGAGTCCGCTTCTTAGACTAAATCATTTATATACAGTATTAAAGAACAGTGCGTATACACAGTTACTCACTAACAAGCTTTTGCTGTTTCTCTTACTTCTTCGTCCAAAGTGCCAATCAAATATTTTTTCAAAATTTCTCTAGCTTCATCAGAGTGTCCAATATCTTCAAATGCCTCAGTTGCATCTTTGCCTGCTTCATCAACTAATACTTCCTCGCCTATATTCCAGGAGAAGGGTTGTCAGATGATGGCTGACCCCTCTTGTAAACAATTTCTGTTTTATAATAACTTACCACCAGGATGCTATAGATACGGAAAAGAGATTGAGAGATTAATCACCAGTAGGAGGACATCAATTAACTTTTAGTTTTTCGTTGAATACCTCCCAAATGAATTCAGTAACATTATACACTTTATCGTGAATAGTCATCCACAAATCATTTTTTGTGTTGTGCTTGGACACATCATCCGAAGAATAAACAGCCAAGCCAGCGTCAGTAGTAGCAGTAGCAGCAGTAGTCATTGCTTATTAGAAAATGGGTGCTTGAAGGGAAAAAGGTGTCTTTAGTGTAAGTTGACAGTAAACAATGGAGAAAACAAGACAAAAAAAAAGGAACAAACGAGATTTATCAGGGCGGGGTAAAGAGGACAATAACATTACTAGTCAGCTCATTGGATTGGACACCCATGGGCCGCCCCTCCCAAGTTTCATATTGTCATTGTGTCACGTTGAATATTAATTCAGGGCCGAATTATTACCCTATCCATTCAGCTTAGTTTTTTTTGGTAGTAATCTCAAATTTACCATCTTTGTATTCCTGTCATCGTTATACTTCCACTACTAACACTTCTATTTAAACGCGTTGTCATAAATGCATCACATGGGACATGCAGCTTAAAACAGTTGATCGTAAGCTTTTCCTTGAAGATTGGGAACCACCTCTCAAAGAAGACTGAAGGAACACCATCTGGTGCTGCAAAGAAACTACACATTGCTGAGTTTGGCATCCATCGAAAACAAAGATTTTATGCAGCCAGCTTTTTCTTTCCTTTCATAAAGAAAGCCTCCTATCCTTGCTATATTGTTTAAGTACATGTATGAATTTATATTTGTTCTTACCTGGTCTATTTGCGGTTTTCTATTTTTGTTTCCGCCGCTAGAATAAACCTAGGGTAAACGGACATGATCAACGCTGGTTTCTGCATTAATTGAATACTTTAGAAAGAAAAAACAAGGATGATGTAACTCTCCTGCGTCCGGATTACAAGTACAAAGAACCTCATTTTCCGGCATATTTTGTTCTTTTTTTTTTTATTTCTGTATTTTCTTTCTTAATCTCCTTAAAAAAATGACTAAAACCGGCTTGACCGAAGATAATATTGCAGAGTTCTTGAAGGATGATACTAAAGTTAAAGTCGCTGCAGTGGATATCGATGGACTCTTACGTGGCAAGATAATGCACAAAGACAAGTTCTTACATGTCGTCAAGACAGGTTTTGGTGAGAGATTCGCAACAACCTCAAACACATGTTATCGATGAAAATGTAGATAATTAACCTTAAAAGGACTCTAACAATTCCAAACAAAAGGCTTTTGCTCAGTTATCTTTGGTTGGGACATACTCGACAAGAATTATACAGAGCCTGGTGAATTTTCTGGAGAGGAATGTCAATATTTTGATCTGTTGGCTAAAATCGATCTGTCATCCTTCCGTCGTATTCCTTGGGAAGACAATATTCCCTTCTTCCTTGTCTATCTGTATCATCCTACCACTGGTAAGCCTTTATACTGTTGTTCTCGTAACGTACTGAAAGGCGCGGTAGATGATTTGGATCAATTGGGTTATACTGCCTACTGTGGTGTAGAATTTGAATTTTTCTGTTTTAAAGGTAAGGTTTACATCATGCATACTAGAAAGAGAAACTCTCTTCGTCCCATTATCTTCATCCTTTGTCACAAGATGTTACACTCAAAACGACCAAATAAAGTCGAATCCATGAAAGCCATTCTAATCGATGTTCTTGGTTTTTCCCCCCCCCCCCAACAATAGAAAATGCTGAAAGCTTGGACGCAAAAAAGTATAGTCATTTGACACCATTGACTGTAGGCATGTGCGGCTATTCTTTATTGCGTCCTCTTCAGAATCAAGAATTTTATTACAATACATTTGACTGGTTAAAGCAATTCAAAATTGACATAGAAAGCTGGCATACAGAGACAGGACCGGGCGTGTTTGAGGCAGCCCTATTGTATACAGATGCTAAAGAAAGTGGCGATAGAGCAGCATTGTTTAAATCAGCCGTGAAACAGATAGGTTTAAAACATAATGTTATGCCGTCCTTTATGGCCAAACCTTATGCCGATCAACCAGGATGCTCGGGTCATATGCATTTTAGCTTAAAAAATGCAGAAGGAGAGAATGCCTTTGCTGTAGGCAAAATGCATGAGCATATCCCTCATTTAACGAAAGCTGCAGTTTGGTTTTTGGCCGGTGTGTTGAAGGGATTACCAAGTATTTTAGCAATTTTAGCACCAACCATTAATAGGTACAGGGAAAAAAAGGAAGAGGAGGTGGTGACAATATGACATCTTTGTTTTACTAACGCACAACAAACTCCTCACAACAGCTACAAAAGATTAGTAGAGAATTATTGGGCCCCTGTTAGCGTTTCATGGGGTGTTGATTCACGCCACACAGCTATTAGAGTTATTGCACCACCAACAGCCACGGAAAGTTCTACCAGGATGGAAGTGGTAAGTTATGTCTGTGAGGATAGTATTAGCTGGAAAGGAAATATATACACACATATACATAAATACACATAGTGAATGCGCAGATGGGCGTAGCTTTGTTATTGTAATAACTGCTACCCATTTCCTCGTGATATAAACTTGTTTGTATATGTGTGTGTGCACAGATAACTGTACGCTTGTGTCTAACAAACCTAATTTTTGTATTTTTTGATATACCATTTTATAGAGAGTACCAGGAGCCGACATCAATCCATATTTAGCACTAGCAGCAGTATTGAAATGTGGATGTTGGGGCATCAAAACTCAACAAGAACTTCCTTGTGAGGCCAGTGCTACTGCAGCAGACGTCCGCCAAAACCAAAGATTGGCAAGAACATTGGAAGAAGCTACTCTTGAAATGAATAAGAAGGATTCCGTTGCGCGTACCGTTTTGGGAGACGCATTTGTAGATCATTATGTTGCCACAAGAAAGCATGAATGTAACTTGTGGAAGAATGCGGTAACGGATTGGGAATTGAAGCGTTATATGGAATTAATTTAATTATGTATCAGAGCAGTAAATAGAAAAAAGGAAACCCTAACTAGGTCCTTCCACACCTTAGTCTATATCCATAATATATATTGGTTCAAATACAATAGTAATTTTGTACGTCTAAAAGCAGTTTTTGTTGCTCTTAAATGTACACTAAATCAATAACCGCACAAATATAACGATGATCTTTACTAATAGTAGTACTGTAAGAACTGGAACAGAGTTGTTGTAAAACAAAAATATACTTTGGATACTGAGAGACTGGTAAACTCTAAGAAAGCAGCTAAAGCTAAACATGTAGTCTTGGAGGTCGCTAAAAAGAAAAGAACTTCAGTATGAAATGCGTGCTCTGTTCTGGGAGACGTTGAGTGTCGCGTAGAGGTACATAAGGTGCTTGCTATCTTCTACTTTGACTTCAATAAGCTACATGTTTTCTTTTCATGTCCATACTAAGAAACTTTCAAGTTAGAATCCTAGCTCAAGTATATAATTGTATGTGTATTTCAGAAGGAGGAGCTGGGGGTGTTAGTATTTGGGGGCACTCACTTGTCCGCAATGTTCACTATTACACATAACAGTGGTGTTAATCATTTATTAAAGATCTGCGTGTTTGTTTATTCTTCTCTCCCTTACCATTGACCTCCCGATAGATTGACAGGCTTGACTGGATAAGGCATGTTATAGTACTCGAAAAAGAAATGAAGTAGAGAAGGAAGAAATGTTGCATATAATCATTATGTAGTCTAGTTTTATACTTTTCGGCTTGAGCACATATGTGTTGTATGTCAAAGATATTTAGAAATAAACAACATCATATGGATAGCTAATTATATTTAAAAAAAGTGGGGTTCTAACTAAAGTTTCATAAAACTTTAAAACTTTTTATTTGATAAGGAAAAACTGAAATCTTGTTTGACCAAAAAATGTTATACATAATGTATGCGGGTTTGCGGGTTTCAGCTTTTTTCTCTGTCTCTGCCTAATTGCACAGCTGTACGATGAATAGTCAAAAAGGAGTAATTGTAGTATTCGGCGCGGTCGGAGATACCAACATTGGAACTTTTGAGAAACAGCAAAAAGCGTGATGTTAATGCTGTATTCTCATGCAGGAAGCTTGTTCTATATCTCCTTTGGATTTGAGCAATTTATTTGGAAGGGAGAGATACTATATTGTATATTTTGATCTCTTTTTTCTCAATACGAGAGAAGAAGAGCACAATAACCTGTCTCAATAGAACATAATCAATGAAAGAATTATCAGCTACCCAGCATTACGATGAACCCTCTGTAGAAACAAGTCCTGATCGAGTTGAAATGGCTTCACTAGCCTCATCCGTTGATCGTATACGAGAACAAGAACTTGTACATAAACTAGATAGACGATTGCTTTTGCTTGCCATGTTTGGTAACTTGGTGAAAAATTTGGATAATGCCAACTTGGGTAAATAAGGGGGAAAAAAGAGAAAGGAATGGTCATCATTCTTGATTTGTCAGATGGGGTACTTATTCGCTTTACACGACCTTCTCATCATTTCGAAAAAGCTAATGCATATATTAGTGGTTTAGAAGAAGAACTGCATGTTCAAGGCGTACAATACAACTGGATGGGACTGTTATTCATGTTTGGATACCTAAGGTAATGAAGAGGGAGTTGTTTCCCTCATTTACAATTTGTATTACTTTCAACTATTAGCTTATACTGAATCTTATTTATTCTACCTCTATATTACTGAATTTACCTATTGATTTACGTACATATATGTGCATAGTATGCAGATACCTTCCAATATACTACTGTCAAATTTGAGGCCATCCAAGTATCTTCCAATGCTGGAGTTCATATGGAGTATCTTAACATTTGCCATGGCATGTGTCAAATCCGTACACAGTATCTATGTTATTCGTTTCATCCTTGGAATAGCAGAAGCAGGCTTTTTACCTGGGGTAAAAAAATCACTTGAACTGCTAAGAATAGTCATTGTTGTTTGATATCAACATCTTTACATATCTAATTTTAAATTTGTGTATAGTTTATTTTCTTAATTGGCACATGGTATACAAAGAAAGAGTTAGGAAAACGACTAGCATTACTGACTATTTGTGGGTCATTTGGTGGTGGTTTGAGTGGAGTCATTCAGGCCATCATGCTGAAAACAATGGATGGTGCATTTGGCATAAGCGGGTAAATCAAACTGGACGTGTTTGTTGTTACTTTAGCATAGAAAGAACACAACATAATAACATTTTACTATATGTTATAGATGGCGTTGGATGTTTGCATTTGATTCCTTTCTTACTCTCATACTAGGCATCGTGGGTTATCGATATTTACCAGATTACCCCGACAATACTACATGGTTGAATGAAAAAGAAACTGAGCTAGCCGTTGAAAGATCGATGAAGGATAAACCGCAGCATGATCGTACAAGCACAAATTTAACAAAGATTGAAAAGCTCAAATTGTTAATGAAAAACAAATTTCTATATGCTTTTGTCATTGGCTGGGCAGTCATCAACACCGCTCTGGGAGGCGCTCATGTTCTTGGTATATTGACAAAAAAACTAGGCTTTGATTCTGTCACTTCAAATCTCTTGACAACGGTAAAAAGCAATATATACTATTTAGAAAGAGTGTTTTCTGAATAATGAAAACTGACTTCATTTGTGCTATCGGACTTCTATAGCCCGATACACTCATCACAATGATTGCTGGTGTCAGCAATGGGTTTATAAGCGATAGATATAAATCAAGATATCGGTGTATTTTATGGCCACTTTGTGCAAGTCTTTTAGGAATGATAATGCTATCTGCATTCGTTCAGCCTTTTGCAATACTGTATATAGCCTTCTTATTAATGCATTCTGGAATAGGCTGCACTACATCGGTACGTACCGACTTTGTTGGATACACGATATCGAGAGACTGACAAAACATCTTCAATTGAAATTGTAGGTAATCATGACCTGGGCAAGTGAAACTATTTCTGCAAACAGTGAAATTAGGGCCATGGCTATTGCCATAATGAATACGTCTTCGACATTATTTTGGACATGTACATCATTGTTTATATGGCCAGTAACGGACGCACCTTACTTTCGTAAGTACAAAGATTTGAATACAACATTTTCCTTTTCTATCGAATTAAATCAAAGCTTTCTTTCCCTTTTTTTCAATCACGCAGACAAAGGATTTACCATTAGTATTTTTTTAGTGATCCTTGTAATAGCAGCTATGACAGCTGTCTTCTTCATGTTACAAAATGAGAAAGCGGTGTCGATAACGAATATGGAACAAGTATCTGACCAGCAAGATATCCCATTATTGCATGATATGGTAGAACAAGAAACAATAAATGGCTACGATGAAGCTATTGAGCTTGCGACGAAATCAAATGCCCAGGAAGTGGAAAATAACCTCAAACATAATTGGAATAGTAAAGCATAACTAAGATACCCCCTCATCCTTTATTCGATCGAAACCATTGTAATCATCTCATTTAAACCTGCATTACAACACTTAACTTTGAAATCTTTCATAGCATCATTACTGTAAATAATAAACTATCATTTCTCTCGTCACTCCACGCCTCAATTGTCTATCATTGAAAGTGCAATTTAACAAGTATTATGATGCAAACTTTTCAAGGCGCTTTTGGAATTTATTATGCATGATTGTAATTAAATATAAAGAATAGATATGCTGTACTATGATTGAAGAAGCAAGGGAATATGATACACAAGAATTTGGATCGTGAATAGAAGAGATAAGTACACTGCTTTGTACACAACAACTATAATAGCATGGATGAATACCCAGCATTTACATTAGCATTGGCTCCATTTTGCTGTTGTGCTTCATCGCCAAGAAATCTCTTTGTTTCCACTCGGAGTTGTTGGTCTTTATCGACCATATATTCATCGTCATCCGTCCCAGATCTACGGCGTCTTCTTTGTTGGTTGCCAGCTTCAGGTACGTCCATTGCTGAGTTGACTTTACGTGCTTTGTAAATAGGTTCATACTCCTAAGATAATGGAAATAGTTAATCAAAGGTATGAACTGAATTGGCTCTCTTGTTTTGATCCATCGCTTTATGCTATGCCATTTCTATACTTACTTTAAGCTGACTTTTAAAGCCATCATTAGGATTGATGCAAAGACGCTTTGCTTGCACAAAATGATAAGCTGTTGAGGCGTCTGTATCAAAAATCTCCATAATATAGGCTATAACAAAGGTAGGACTACGAGACATGCCTCCATTACAGCAAACCACTATTTTACCACCTTGTTGAAGTACATCCCGTATATGCTGAGAAGTAGTAGGGAAGATCTGGATCAGATTTTGCAAGTTGGAATCGTTGACGATGAATTGCTTATAGAGGAACGCTTGTGATAGGTGTTCTATACGCAATAGCCTTGCTTCGCTGGGATCAACTATACACAAGATATTTGTAATGCCTTTTGCCTTTAAGTTCTCAACATTTCGACATGCTGCAAACGGTCCTAAGAAAACGCCAGGCTTTGATTTGAACACATTAATCAAGCCTTATTCATACCTATGCGGATTTCGGTTGCTTACCACAATTTCTTGAATCTCTCTTCTCATTTCATATTTCCAATCGTCCATAGAATTGTGAGTATTGATAAGCATCTCTCGATCTTCTGCTGACAGTTCTGTAAACCTGAATCCCGTCATCAGATGACTTTTTTATGAGGGGTAAGGAAAAGGGAGTATGATAGTACTGAAATTGAACAGGAAGAATGACAGGCTATTAAAGATAGAAAAGCAGAAACTATGAGAAAAAAAAATAAAAAAAATCATGGGAGTTGAGCATAATACAATGAATTCGAAAGAATGAGTCCCCACGATAACAATAATAATGAAGCGCAATTTTTTGATTCAACAAATCAACAATATATGTTCAAACCAGTAAGACGAGGAGGGAATTCATTGAAATTGCCACTCTATTTTAGGTTGACATAGCTTACCTAACCATGAACGAAACCATGACGGATGAATCATATTGGCTACTAAATTTGCATCAACTATGTTTATTGCACCGTATGGTCGCTGGTTTTTTTCAAGAGATCCAGCTATCTTTAAAGAAGGATGCGGACTCTTCCTTAATGATAAATATCACCATGCAGTTCTTTTGCATGCTCTACCAGTCAATGTTATATATTAAATTGAAAACTTCTTCAACTTAATTAACAAGAACGATGAAATACATGAATAGTACTTGTTTACTGAAGCCTTAAACAAATCTCTGAGTGAATTTTTTACACTATCCTGTTTGCTGCCTTCATTAAGTGTAATTATATAATCATATGTCATTTTAAAATAAATTTGTGCTGTTTGTTATATTGATGACGGCAAGTTTTCTAACAGACTGTTAAAGGAAGTTAACCGCTGTTGAACACTTCATTGTAACCCTACAAGAAGTAAACATTATTGTCAACTGCACGTAAGACACAATGATTCAGTCACCTTTGAAGCTTTTCAGCAATGCAGCAAATATTACAGCTTCATTTTAAATTAGCTGGCTTCACAAAAAAAAACCTCACATTTGACGCAATTCAACCACATACTACCTACTTTCTAACTAGATAAAATAGGCCTTCCCTACCCTTTCCTCCTCATGAATACATAGCTTACGCGTTGCACTCGACATATGACTGCCCCTTGAACTTAAGTTGAGCTGATCTTGAGAGAAAAGATGATCTCGCGTATCCAGTAAGGTAAGGCCTGACTGGTTTACTTTGTGAAGAGCAATGAAGCATCAGCTAATTTGGTGAGTACATTTGAAAAGGAAGAGGAAGACTATTATAGAAGACCTTTGAAGACTTAATGATATTGTATAAGTAGCATAGCGGTTTATTAACCTTAAAAATTGATGGTGTCAATCAATTAATGTCAAGATGAGATGAGTAGCAAACCCCTTTTTTTCTTGCATTGAATATCAATCAGAGGTCGGGAGTAATGGGTGAAATGATATAAAGTGTATATTGATGTGCTTGAGCCTGCAAGGTTTAAAGCTTGGCAGTAGGGTTGATGCTCTTGAAGACGTTATCCAGCTTCATAGCAAGCATAATTTGTCCCTTAATCTTGAGCTTACCACTCATATATGCCTTTTGTCCATTCAGTTTACCAGTAGCCAAATCAACAAAGTCATTGTCCTTCAAGGATAAGATAGCATCAGCCTTAGCACTTCCTTTACCCCGAGTCACCTTGCCTTCCTTCTTGACATCAACTGTGAAAATTTCTTCCTTTCCTTCGTCATTCTTGATTACGAATTGGAAAACACCGTTAACTTGCTTGATAAGCTTGGCTTTTTCTTCAGGAGTGAAGTTTTCAAAGGCTCTATTTAACGCATCAATAAGTTCAGAACTCTTGAATCCAGGAACGACGATATCAGACATATTATTTGAGTGGATGGGAGGATTTTTTTTCGTTTAAAATAAAACTAAAAGAAAAATATAAACAAAGGGGCTAATGAATCGTCAGTGAATTTATATATTGTAGAGAACACAAAATATTTTTGTCAGCTTGATCAAACTAAAAACGGCTTTTAGATGTCACATGCCATGCGAAAATTGGAATTCACAAAATGATGTGGTGGTGCCTGAATTTAATTCAAGAATCACATGTAAATGATAAAAACAGTCAATAAATCTTATACACTGCTACCCCAAGGTTATATGACGATAGAATTGTAAATGTACTTGACCCCTTTTTGTCATTCTTCTTTCAGTGACACAATCGCCAAATTGGACGTGATGGGGATCTCTTTTCATCATTTTGCGTTGCTGCTGGTTAACATTTTGTCAAAATAAAGTAAGCTAGAAATACCATAATGCCGTTGGGCGTTTGTGATAGACGATGTGCACAATTGCATACAGGAACTGCTACAGTCTATATTTGTCTTCGGTTATCATCCATTAATTGCGTTGTTGAATTTTTATGTCAGAATAAAGAGTAAGTGGTGCTTACGCGTTTCTGTCTAAAAGAGACCAGCAGGTGTAGTCAGAACCACAAACAGTCGGTAATACAGAAACGACTAACCTTCAGTAGAATATTCACATTAACAGTATAAAGTCAAACTCAATGTAGAAAATTTTAGATCTCCTAGCAACTATGTCGTTTAAGCTCTCCTTGAAAAATATCAGTAAATGGAATGACAATATCAATCCAGACATTAATACGGCTGCTGCAAGTATTTTTAACGATACTTTGCAAATCATCGACAATTGAGAGCAATGATTGAAGCGATAAGCTGAGTAACATTTTCGAGTGTGAAAAGTTGATAGTACGAAAGAATTCAAATGTTTTCAGTGGATTCGAAGGGCGAGAACAAAAGGATTAAGAATACTCTTACTTTCAGAACTAAATAATAAGCTACTTCAAGAGAATTTGACTTCCACTCCAAAGGTCTGTTATAATTATCAGTAATTCTAATGTTAATTCTGGTTCTGCATATAACAAACCACTCATCAACAACAATCCCTGAAGTTCAAAAGTATTGCTTGATTCCCCCGATAAAAACTTATTATGAAATTTATTGCGACAACGGCGAACTAATTTGCAAACAAATTTCACTCTACTATCTCGTCAATAGAGCTTATTCGTAGAAGACGCAAGACTTTAAGCTCATATAGCATGATATCGCTTTTTATGAAAAAAGCTAACTCGTTCGACTCAATACTATCCATCATTGTAGTGCTGTATAAGATCCTTCAATTCAATATCTTCAATATCTACACATCAAAGTTTATACATTACGACCTTACATCTCTTCTTCAGAATTATCCAATGACATAACTTTTTGTATGAAAAGCGGTATTATGTTGTATTCTCTTAAAGTATAGTTTATCTACTGGGCTTTTTGCGTTCCATGATATACATTCCTTCGACATCACATCTATAATTAGCAGTTTTTCTTGGTTTTGAGTCACAGAACTCACTACAGTTCTCTGCATCTCAAGTGCTTCCTTATTTACCTTTGCTAATGTATTGTCTATCTATTATGGTAACATTTGAATTGACCTTTTCTTTCTCCGCTCTCTTAGCTTTCACTGATGGACTATGATTAAACATGATTTTTATTAGCTAATTCTAAAACCAATGGGCACACAGGTCACTAGATCAGAAAATTGCCCAGGACAGGTCAAAATATGTATTGGAATTGGAAAACCCTAAAAGAGGACTAGGGAAAAAAGATAGTGGATTACAATGCAGACTAGGTAAAAACGGGACAATCAAGTAATGATGGTAATGACGCATAGAGCCAGTCTAGCAGTCTAGCAAGGGCTGTCCTAATGTTTCTGATGGGGTAGGGAGCATTTTTTCGTTCTGAAGGTAATCGACCTCATGAAGAAGCATTTGGACAATTGGTCAAGATATACTTCAGTTGACCGGGGGATTGGCACAATGTTTTTTGGGTCGAGTGACGAGTTGGTTTAGCAAGTGAGAAATGAGGTCAACGACAGTTGTCGGAAGTTGCAAGCGGTTATGCATTTGTAGGCATTCAATGGCGTGGGCTTTAGTGAGAGTGCATCGGGGAAATAGGCAATGGGCTGAGTAGGTTGTTGGGACTACAGTATTACAGAATCACGATTAAAATCATTTCATTGGGACAAATGCAACTTTGTCTAACATGGCAACAGAAAAGGCTACAGACATAACAAAAAACGCCGTAAATTGATAACATTGCCAAGACAATTTGGATAAAAAAAATTCCAAATATTCTTTTTGTAAAATCAGAATGCGGATGTGTCGCCTCTTCCATTCATGGCTGGTCTCTTGAAGAGGGGTAAAGAGTCTTTATCAATGGGACTTAGTCAAAAAGAAGGTTCAACCAAAATGAGTTGCACGATAAGTCTTCTTGTCCGTTTTTTTAAATAGTACTCCATTGCATCACAATTCATCTTGCTTGTTCATAAATGAAATATCAATTGATAATGTTATTACATGAACCAAAGAAGACATTGAATGTTAACGGACTCTTAACACATGGTTACATTAAAGATAAGGAACTCTGTATAAAAATAAGTAGTAAGATGCCTTTTTCTCTGTTTCATTTACTATTCAATACTGTTCACTCACAAAATCAACAGTGCAATTTCAATTTGATTCAGTATGTCTGTAGAAGATGATTTCAGGACTCTTCGCTACTTCCATTATATGCCCAACCTGCCACTTGCAATTGTAGCACTGGTAGTTTATGCCTTTTTTTCAGTTTTCTTATTCATTCGAATCAGTCGATCCAAAAGCCGTCAATTTTTGTATGTATTACCTTGGACAGCCTTATTCGAAGCGCTTGGCTATCTCTTGCGAATCCTATGTCGCGTACAAGGCAGCACTTTGCCCAACTATGTCGTAATGATGATGTGCTTATTGCTGAGCCCTAATGCTTTGGCTATGGTCAATTACAAAGCAGTCGGTGAAATAATCAGGCTATCCAACGTTCCTACAGATCGCTTCTACTTCCAACCAAAATTTGTAACATGGTTCTTCTTTTCAAGCGACATATTCTCATTTTTATTACAAGGATCTGGTGGCGGTCTCCAAGCAAGCGGTGATATGAAAAAAGCTGATATAGGAAAAATGATTGCACTCGTAGGCTTGGCAATACAATTGTTCTTTTTTGCTTGCTTTGCCTTGATCACTATTTATGTTCATCGAAGCTCGAAATATCAATACACTGTCATTGAGGAAACCAACGCGAAAAATAAGATGATTTATTGTCTCTATATCACAATTGCATTTCTGTATATTCGTTCTGTTTACCGCGTGGTTGAATTTGGCTCTGGTTGGGATGGAGCAATTGCAAGTGCAGAGTGGGCATTCTATGTGTTTGATACGTTGGCTATAGCAATTTCATTCATTTGCTATTGTACCTTGTTCATGGGCAACTACCTTCCAAAGCGCGATGCAATTCCTCTGCCTATTGATATTCGGAGCCAGAGTTCGAGTATCTGTGCAAATCAATTAGAAAAAGGGTTACAACAATATGTTTAGCCACAAAGGACGGCATGTTTATATAGCGAACGACCTAAAGTAGTAAATAAATCATTTTTAGAACAAACTCTCTTTGCTCCCTCAGTGCGTTATGTGCAGTCAACTTCTATTTTGATGCCTTTCCTTTCACCTTTCCTTGTATCCTACATTCCTTGTTCAATCTTCTATACAACATAAAGTGGCACGCATAGTTTTCGACCATATATAGTGAAAAATGTGCAGAAGAGTACGTGAGTCTCAAATAGTGTGATTTTATACATACTGTTGTTTTTTATATTTTGATCAGCATCGTCTTCCATAATGCATCAGCTTCTATTGCAACCTTAAAGTGTAATATTTCGCTTAAAAATAAATCTGATCTGATTAGTTTGCTGGATAGAAGTTAGAGCTTTGGTATTCAAAATAAGTATTTTTGGATATTGCTATCAAACATTAGGTTCTTTTCCGGGGGGGATGACGATGGTTTTTTGCTATTGTTCGTAGCACGGTGAGATAGATGCCTCTATAACAGTGCCTTTTTCAGAACAAAAAAACAAAATCGTAATGATGGATATACTGTACGTAACGATCCATGTTTATTGTAACTCGCGATAGAACTATACGTTACCGATAAATTCGATAAACCCGCGCTAACACTACGTAAGCAAAGCGTTTACAAAAAGGTGAATCCCATGCTTATAAGATCTTCTGTCTCCGTGTTTTTTTCCCATATCGTTTTTCTTCCTCTATAGATTATAATTATCATTATCTTAATGAGTATCGCTACTACGGATTTAAAAATCAATGCTGCTCTTCAGAGAGTGCAGCTTATACCTGACGGTAAGCATTTAAGCTCAGAAGTAACATAGTGGAAAAGAAACGTCAAAAAGCTCACGATACTGTATAGTACTCAGTGATGTAACTTCATCTACGTTGCTCCAGATTATCTTCAAAGAGAGTGGTAAAGAAGTATTGTTAGGAAACAACTTCACATCAGTAGAAACAAAAGAGCAACCTACGATCAACTTGATCGCGTTAAGTGAATCAGATTATTATACGCTTGTGATGGTATTGTACATATTGAGTTCGCCGTATAGACTATTTACTGGGCTGTGTAGAATTTTATTGATATGTATCACATAGATGAATCCTGACGCTCCATCAAGACATGACCAAAAAGTTGCACCTTGGCGTCATTGGATAGTTGTCAATATTGCAGGTATTATAGTGATCAACTAAGTCAAATATCCATAAAGACAAAATTTGAACCATCATTATCATTTTGCAGATTCGGACGTAAAGAATAGTGTATCGCAGGCAGAGAATCACCACACACCCTACATTGGGCCTGGCCCGGGTGAGAATACAGGAATACATCGTTACACATTCTTACTCTATAAATAATTTGGAGGAGGAAATCAACATTTCAGGGCTATGAAACTTGAACTAAGAGAGCATCGTCGTAAATTTGATATTCAGCAATTGGAAATAGAGAATCAACTCGAATTGGTTTCTGTGAACTTCTTTTGTTGCCAACTTGATGCTAACAAAAGACTACTTTAAATCACCGAGACGAGCTCTATTGATTCGAATCTTCAAGTGATGGTTTAATGGAGGTGTTGCTTTGAGTACCTCACTTCAAACATTAAATTGCCATACAATCAAACTTTATTATACTTTAGAATTCCCACATAAGATGTTTAATACTTGTTTGGTTGCAATACTAAGAGAAGGTAGTACCACACAAATGTATTTAATGGTGTTTGTACCTTAACGCAAGCACAGAAAACCAGTTGCATTTTACTCTCTGGCAATTATATTAAGCAGTATCAAATAAGGTTTTCAGAGCAAAGCATTAAAAGTTATTTCAAGCCACTTGGATGCTGCTAAGCTACTGATAGATACCTTCACAAGTACCATAATACAGTATCGAGCTCAAACCATCTTCCTAGATAAATTCGGAGTGGTTACCAACAGATGCATTCTGACTTTGAAAGAGTCTTCGTCATCTTTACGCGATCATTGGAAGAATTGAAGTGCAGATGTTGAACGTCGCAGCAGCATGAAACTAAAAGAACTACAAGTTGCACTGTTGTACACTAAAAAATGTGCCTCCTTAAAGGTTCAAACTTGGTCATTACAAATGCTATTTATTTTAGGATCGAAAGTACGTAACAGAAGATAGTTTACGCAGCTGTATAATGTAGGTTAAGGGAGAGGTACAAGTGCTGGAGGGGGATAAAAAATGTATTTACAAAGATAAATATCATGTCTAAACTTTTCCTTGCCTAGAAACCGTGAATCTTGACGTCTGCTTTTTTAGCAATTCCTTCCTTGACGAGGAATTCAGCAATTTTAACTCTTTGATCGCCACTTAATTGCAAAATGGAACCAAGCACTTCATCTTCAACAATGGTGCCGTTGCAAGCAAATTCCTTTTTGAATGTCTTTAGAATTTTCTTGGAATCATATTCCTTAGGAAGTCCTTCGAGAGTGGTCAAAGTCTTTCTACCGTTTCTTTGTTGTATACGCAAGTCTAGAATAGCCGAGTGAGTTTTCACTTAAAAACCAAAGAACGCTTGATGTTCTTTTCGTCTTCTTCAAACAATTACTTACGAATATTGTTTGCGTTTTGTTGCTTGTTCTCTTCAACATCAGCAAACGGATCTAGTCAAACAGAGCCCAACAATGACTTTTAATAAGCTGTATTTAATATTACAAACGCCTTTTAAGATCTGTCGTTTACCAAAAGGGGCGTTGAGCTCTTCGATATTAGACATGAACTTCTTCGAACTATATGATACTATTAAAAAGTAGTAAAAATGGGGAAAAAATTGAGAGAAAAACAAATCAGACCAAGCGAAAACTGATAAATTTCCATTTATTGTTTCTCGTCCAATCAAAGACTATTTTATTAACCCCTCTTCTAGTGTACAAAATACGTCTAGTTTTTTCATTTTGCAAATGTCAATATTGGTGATACAGCAAGCAAGACAAAGTCTTATTTAGCTGTCTTGGAGACGTTCCTATTTCAATTACGAAAAGGCATGAGAGATTGATTGTGATAATATACTCTATTCTATTCCATAGGGCAACGACTAGATAAGCGCTGCAGCCAATTGTTTTATTTCAGGCCGCTAATCGTCCATACTCCAAGTAACAACACGCCTTTTCAAGCTATTGTATGATATCTAAAATATAAAACAAATTTTTTGAAAGTGAATGGCCTAAAAGATACAACACACTATAAACAGAAGGCATTATCTGTATGGAATAGTCTCACTCAGCGTGCTATGAATTAACGATGATCGCTTATTGCTGAAGTAGATCATGTCAGGAGTACACACCTACATTTGCTGCTATGTATATATTTATATATACAGATATGATGCATGTAAATATTTTTTTTTTTTTTTTTTTTTTTTTTGTAGCACACACACGTTCAAGCTTTTTCAACTTGAACAAGGAAAGAAATTGATAAAAGATAAGATCGAATATTATCTGTTTTCGCCTTTTACAGATGATTAGTGAATTCATAAGATATCTATTATTGTTTATGAGATTCTGCCAATTCTTACTACAAAATCGTTCGAATTGTCTAAAGGCAACTTATTGCGACATGTATAAATGGTATATCTTCGTATAGTTTGCAGTTCCAGTTGTGATATTTTATTCCTTGGAACGTCCATTGTAAAAAAAGAGGTGCTGTTCCGCGGTATGGTGTTTAGAACTGCAGTTGATTTAAGGGGTCAGACAAGAGATAAAATGAGAGATTTTTATATTAATCAAAGTGAAAGATAAACTCATTGTTATTTGATTGATTGGACGCTATCTCTTCCGATATTTTTAATTCTGCTCTTGGATTTTGCTATCACTGGCCAATCAACGTTATTGCGTCTCTACCTTCTTTTATGATAAAGTAAAAAAGCTTGCTTGGACAAAAAGCTAATTTGGCTGTTTATATAAAAGATCAGGGCGTGCTGCTACTGTCCTTTTCTTCTTCTTCTCCCTTCGTAATCTAAGCAGTTTATTAAAAACAGCACAACATGACTGTGAAGTCTCCTTTTTATAATAAACCTTCGACACTAACAAGTGTTGATTCTTGTCATAAATGCCCGTCGCAACCGTCGACAACTCAACTGTCAGCTAATTTTAGAAAGACAAGTGGTTTATTATTCTTACCTGAAAAAGACCAGTCTAAAACTGTATCTACAGTTAATACTGGCGTCGATCAGTCGATGGTTTTCGTTCCTTCCACCAACAATAACAAGATTCATACTGCATCCTCTGTCATTGTTGAACCATGCAACTCCAGTGTTGCGAAAATGGATATTGGAAGTACAGTTGCCACCTCCTGTTCGAACTGCGGCATTACTTCTACGCCTCTATGGAGAAGATCTCCGCTTGGGGAAATTATCTGTAATGCTTGCGGTTTATACTACAAAGCACGCAATACTTCCCGCCCTGTCTGGTTGAAGAAAAACACAACTGCATTAACAAAACGCTCATTCAAAACATGTCCTATTGCACCTCGTATTATACGATCGCCTCCTCTTTTGGCTCCTGCGCCTAGTAATACTGCTAAAGACCCTATCTTATTACTAGCAATAAAGACCAACAGAAATCAGGAAAAAGACACTCAAATGCCACCACAACAGCAACATTTTACTGAACCCATCAAAAACTCCTTCGACTCTACAGTATCGTCTACGCCAGATAGCACTACAACAACTGACACCACACTTAGTTGCATCAATTGTCATACCTCGACCACTCCTTTATGGCGGCGCGATGAATTTGGTCAGCCAATTTGCAATGCATGTGGTCTTTATTTCAAGCTACACAGCATTCATCGACCTATCACAATGAAACGCTCCACTATCAAACGAAGAAAGAGAGTTACAGCTGCTACTATTGCCACTCAGCGTAGACATCCTGTTATTATTCAGCAATATCCTCATTTGAAATCTTACCCTATCAAACAGCAACAACAGCCCAACCGCAACAATGAAACGAACAGCAGTCTCAGCAAAAGCACGTTGCATCCTACAGATCCACAGTTGCGCCCTTTATTGCCTTTGCTTTCACCATCATATATAAGATCTACTAAAGATAACATCCCTTCCTATCCTGGAGTTCCTGGTCCTGATCCCATAGAACCCGACGTTTCTCAGCAGCATTTTCGATATCTACCTTCCCCTCCAATGAAGCCTACTAAAACTCGCAACAACAACAATACGAACATTGCTTGCCTTTTGAATCCTGATATAAAGAAGCATGAACGAAACTTACCTGGACTGCCATCTCCACCTATGTTGACACACGATGATACCGGCCCTTCACCACCTCCGACAGCAGACTTGGACTCTCCTTTATTGTCCCACCCCATTAGCAAAGATCCCAAGCATACTCATAAAGTATTGAAAGCTCATCGTAACGAACTGAAACGCGAATTTAACAATTTGACTTTCCTCTTGACTCGTACAACGACGATGCTTCAAAATATTGACCATGCTATGGCTGTTAACACCCTATCTATCTCTGCTGCTGCTTCTCATAAAGACGAGTATTAGATAATTATATCCTTATGGTTACATATTTGTCTTCTTTTTTCATATAAACTCTCAGTATGCTATTTTTACAATTATGTTTTATTTTCTTTCTATGCCGTCACTATGTGTTTCATCATGTGAAACCATGTGAGCTACAACATACGCTGTTGTGTTATTGATAAAAGTCAGGGACCTTTTTATTACAATGATTATCACAAGCTTTTCTTTTCTCTCAAACATAGAAGTGGAATGAAATAGTATGTTACTCTTTAAACATATACAATAAAAATTTATTCAGCTAGAAAAGCATAAGGTATTATTTTTTTATTTTTTTGTAGGAAACGCGAGACCTTAAAGCAGCAAAATCGCTTGCCTTTCTTCTTTTTTTTTTTTTTTTTTTTTTTTTTTTTTTTGGCTACTGCTTTACGCATTAACTTACAAGCTGTAGGAAGAAGGAGGTACAAAAAGGTACCCCACATTTTTGCTGACTCTTTCCAATTAAATGAAGGGAAATCTTAATTTCTTATATTGTAATGTTGCGAGATAAAATTGTCTTATCAACATCCTTTTCCAATCTTTTATTTTAAGTTTTTCTCTTTTCTTCGACAATCCCATTAAGAGATACTATGGAGTATGATCCTGCACATAAAGCGTCTAGTATAACTAGCACAACAAGTACAAGTAGTAGTAATACAAGTTGGGAACAACTGCCTCCTTCAGCTGAATCTACATTGTTTTCAATGCTTTTTAACGATTATAATCATCATAATAATGATGCACCGCCGGCCTTCACTTTGGATACCAATAGGTATTCTCCATCCAGTGAGTGATTATATATTGTAATACTTTATAATCTGTTTCTTTCTGATCACATTTTTGTGTTAGACTTTACCGCCATACCCGTCCATGATAAAGAAAGTATTACGGATCCAAAGCTTTTGCAACAGCAGGCCTATGAAGATAGAAACAACAGCACGATGGCGCAATTACCAGTGTTGGCTGATTATTTCTGCGATGGCTATGGTGACAGTTTTAAATTCCATAGTGCGAAAGACCTTAGTACAAAAAAAGACCTTTTCACAGTCTGCAACAATCACTGTCAAGCTGATGTGAAGGCAACTTTTTTTTTTTCCTTTCTTTGATTATTATACTTTGCATCCCTTTAAACCGACTTTATTTTTGTGCGTTCTTCAAATAGAACTTGGTCCGACACGAAAAACTGAGTACAAGTCAGGCAATCAGCTCCCACAAAGGCACTACGAATAATGAATTCACGGCATCATTTTCTGTTATTCACGGTGAGCAATTAAGTCCATCTGCATATCAACCATTCAACAGTAACGAGCACGACCAATCAGAGAGCAATGAAACGGGTATTCATGCTATAGAAGACTCACAGCAAAATTGCACGTCCTTTGCTAAATCAGCGAACGCACTAAACGAAACGCAACTGAATGCGCCTGCTTTTATTCGCAAAGAAACAACTGCCAACAGTTCAGCTTTAGATAGAGCTCAAAACACAACAACTCTGGAACGTAGTATTGAGCCTATAGTAATCAAACTGCTTCCAACAAAACCTACTGCTCTCAGTGGAAACAAAGAAAAGAAGATCAACAAATTGAGCCATATTGCTTCCGAACAAAAACGAAGGAATGTCATTCGCTCAGGATTCAAAGATCTAACGGATATCATACCAATTCTACGCAACACTAATAACTCGAAAAGCGCTATCTTGTTTAAAGCAGTAGATTACATCAAATACCTTGGTAAACGCAATCAATATTTGCGGGATCGGATAGCAAGGCTACAATTACGGTTGAGCCTTGTGAAGAAGTCGGCTATTGTTACTGCTACTACAACAGCTTCCGCATTTCAAATGGAAGATGCTCTGCTACAAGGGCAATATTGGCTTAACAATGCAAGCAATTCATATTGGCTTAGAAAACAACAAGCCAAACACACAGAGCAGAATATGCTGGCTACTGATTCCACTAACGGACAGTTGCCATTAGATACAATAGCGGCTCTGATGGTACATAAAAATCAACAGAAACAGTTACAGGAGCTGCAAGAGCAGCTGCGAATGCAACGATATCTGCTAAACAAGCATCGTATACCTATACCGGATAACTTTGATAGAAAAACCGAAGCTTTGCTGACTAATGATGATGATAACTTTTCAAAAACTCATTATAATTCTTATAAATATGAATCAATTCCTATACCATCTCGAAGAAGTAGCGGTAGCAGCTGAATTAACTAGGCCTGCTGTTTCATTTCCATCAATAAAGCCCTTAAATTGAATATAAAAGAAAAGTACTCCTTTTCCAATATGAATATGTGATAGTTATTTTATCGAATATTTTGAGAATCAGTATCAAAGACAGCAAGTGAAAAGAGAATATACAAAAGCATGGTTTCGAGGTAGGGATGCGGGAAAGCTCTATCCTGCCAATTGTAATTACTCAATTGATCAATTCTTCAGAACAACCATTTTACCGCCGCCTATATCATGCCTTTTCCCTACTGGCATACTGAACCATGAAGGCGTAGTTCCTTATGTCAGGTTTCATTTTACTACGTTCAAAACAGCAAACTTTGAATTTTCTTTACTTGGATTTCACATGTCTGACGAATAAGAAAATGTCTCGGCTGTAGAATTGCTGTTTGAGACTCATACAAATGCCGTCCGTTGATAGGTGGAGTTGTGGAAGCTCTTGCAAAATTTTCTCTTCCGCAATTTTATCCTTTCAATTTTTCCTTTTCCTTCCTCATACTCAAAAAAACGAGGCTTGGCTGAAGGCTTGGTTCTATACTCTTGCTTTTCCTCTTAGCTAAAGCAGAACTCCGGTCAGAACAGAACAATACTAGGAAGGCGAAAGAAAAGGAGGCATAATATAGGCGAAAAATCAAGGAACGCAAAATAAGTTGCATAAATAGAAATATCGTGCATAGTAGACTAGCTGCATAAGAGAAAAAGACCAGACCAGCGATACTTACTGGACATCATCACCCGACTCTCATTTTCAAGCGATGGCTCGTGTTCATCTTTTCACGTCAACTGCTTATGCACACAGTAGCGGTAAGCGTCGGCAGTCGCCTGCTTTGCCTGATATGAAAGTGGAAGAACCGCCGGTACCATCGTTGATTATTAATAATAATAGCTCGAACAGCTTCAATGATGATACCATTAATAAAACCATTGCTGTGACGACAGAGCCAGCTATTGCTACTCCTTCACAACGGCTTCAGCAACGCTCAACCATAGAAGGCAACGATACATTGAATGTGGATGCTATTGCTTCGCCGTCCTCGGCAAATGAAGCATTATCGACGTCAGTAGAACGAGCAAGCACAAAAGATAGCAATAATGATGAATCAGCGGCAGCGGCAGCGGCGGCGGCGGCGGCAGCATCTACTTTGACCAGCCAATTGACCGCAGCGTTATTACAACAAGGGCAACATCATGCTATAAATACCGAGCGATCCATTAACGAACATGAAGCACATGGTTCAAAAGATCAAACAGCAGTAACAGCAACAGCAACACAATCGTTGGGATTATTGCATAACAATGATTCGGAATTAATTACTCACGATAAACATGCGACGGGACTGATTACCGGAAGCCAGGAAGAAACGCTCCACCAAGACTATAAGAAGGGAACATGGACCAAAGAGGAGGATGATTTACTGTTGGCAGGTATAAAGAAATTTGGATATGGAAGATGGAAAGAAATAGCCTCCACGATACCTGGAAGAAAAGGAAAGCAGTTAAAGCAAAGATGGGACAACACATTAGCGGCGAAATATGTCGATCAAGAATGGTTAAGAAGCAAAATTAAAGATGAACAGCAGCATCAACAGCAACAGCAGGCAGTTACATCTCAAGTTTCGGCTCAGTCGCATGATGATAAGGACTCCAAATTCCTGGAAACGACGGAGTGGACAGATATTGCTTTGAAAGTGAATGAGAAAGCAAAGGAAGGTGATCAACATGCAATTGAAACGCTTCTATCTCAAGCACTATTAGGCACCGTAACAGGGCATAATTCTACTATTACTAATGTTGAAACAGCCAGTACTGCTAATGTTGTTCATTCAACCCCTGTTACTCCTACAGCTCATAGCATTACTTCATCTCCAGCGCAAACACAAGCCGCACTTATTCATTCGTCCGCTCCTACTACACCAACTGCCATTGAATCAGCTAATTTAGCGCACGATGAACTTTTCAACTTTACACGACAAGCATCAGACGTAAATAATACATCTACTCTTGATTATGCTGACGCAGCTGCGTTGGCTTTATATGCAGCTCAATTATCACAACACGCCGCTAATCAAAACACTAGTACGGGTACTAGTGATTTAACCAATCATTATTTCTTACCAACTACCAATCCTTTCGATCATACCAGTTCTGCAAGCAATAGTGCAGTAGCAGCAATATCAGCAGCTTTGTCTGCTATGGCAGCACAGCAACAACAACAGCAACAACAACATAATCAACAGCCACATTCGCAACGACAATCCTTAACGGACTCACATACTAACTTTAAGCCATCATCTCAATCTACATCTGCTACACCTGCCTCTACTCCTCAGCTTACTGCCCTGCATCCCCGTATTCCTACGAACAATCTTAATACAAATCTAGCGTCAACAAGATCAACACCATCCACAGCAGTAGCAGGACATAAACGACGACGTTCAGATCCAGCTTTAGCTGATACTCAAAGTGCTGCAATGAGTATTTATGCTTCTTCTGAACCTATCACTACTACCATTAACAACCAAACACAAACCGTCTATCCTTGCTTATTTCCTAATTGCGGTAAAACTTTTGCACGACTGTATAATTTGAAAAGTCATTCAAAGACGCACACAGATGATCGGCCATTTGTATGTAGTGCATGCTCAGCAGCGTTTAGTCGTAATCATGATCTCAAAAGGCATTCAAAGATACATGGTGGTGATAAACCTTATAGATGTGAAGGCTGTCAAAAGAGTTTTTCAAGGTATGCTTTACCAAAAGTGCTTATTGCATATGAGTCCATATGTTCGTGTGTAACTGATATATTTTGTAATTCGTTGTAGATTGGATGCTTTAAAAAGACACAAAAGCAATCAACGAAATAAGCAAACTTGTAATATATAAATTTGTATAGTTTTATTCCTCTTTCAAAAATTTGATTTCCAAGTTCATACCTACCACTTCAACTTGGACTACTCAATATTAATCTCAACATCTATCTTTATTTATGAATTATTTGTATTAACTCCCTATTATTTGTTTCATTGCATTTCTTTTTCAATTGGCTAATTGACATGAACAATAAAACTGCAGTGTACGTTAGGTTCCTAGCAAAAGCCCATATTAAACACAATCTGTTCCTTGTGAGAACGCTGTGCTCGGTACGCAGAATTGATATTTAATGAAGGGATCTGCTCCTGAATGCATTGCTTTCGTGCATTTTTCGTAAAGCTACCGATGTCGATGATAGCGTTGGTCTTCTGAATTATATTTTATAGTCTGCTGTGCTTTTTAACATTGCAGCAGTGCAGGTTTTACACAAACACCCTTCCATCCAATATGACATTCTGCACCTTGTTTAAAGCTTGTAAATTGGGAAGCAAACTTCGGGCGTAGAGCCGCTATATACATTGTATCTGAGATATTTGCGTAAGTGCTGGTAATTGATAACTGTTATAACTTGATGACTATGAACTTAGTGTATGGTATTCGCTGATTCTATTTCGGATTGAAAATAAAATAGCACATGAGAAAGTAAACAGAAAGCTTAATGAAATCAAAGCACCATCTTTATTTCTCTTTCAAAAACAAACTAAAGAAGGGACATCTTTATTTCTCTTTCAAAAACAAACTAAAGAAGGGAAAAAAAAAAAAAAAAAAAAAAAAGAAAATTAATATTACTGCTATTAATAAAGAATTATACTGTTTGCTGTCTACGAAATTTGTGTATCGAGATCTATAGCTGACACCAATGCGTTATAATTGATAATACTTAGCGAGTCGGAAGTTTCCGTAAAAGAATAGGTCTTCTCCTTGGAGTCCATTGAAGTAGAGAATGAAAAAGAGCAAGGTTTTGTGGATATTGTTGATGTGATTTGTTCCAACAATAAAAATTCAATCAGTCGGCTAAAAGAAGTACATGACTTTAGATGACTCTGACTCGTCTTTGGAACCTCTTTCAAGCTACAGTCTTAAAGCAACGGCATCAGAAGATCTCAACTCGCAAGATGTTTTTGAATTCATTATCAAAAACCGCAAGGAAAACGCTGGAAAGATGAATTGGAAACTTTGTCTGCAGCTAGCACAGGAAAAAAAGTCTTTGCATGCGATTCTCCACAGTTGAAGGCATTCGCTCCTTTTTCTACCACGCAAAAAGAAGAGAAGAATGGTGCATCCTTTATACCATATTCTTTATATATCACTACACATATTCTTATCATCTCAATAAGGTCTCCTCCAAATAATATTCCACCTCTTTGAAAAACTTATAAAAATGAAGTCATTGTGGATTAATAAACCAAATATATCGATTTTTTATGTACAATTTCAGTGCATATCATGCCTACTCCAAAGCTTACGGATGGATTTAAAGGTACAATTCAGGCCAAGTGTCTCAACAGCAACTGCATGTAGCAGCAAACTTATTCAACGTTGCTCTTTGGTACGTAAAACTTACTCGTATGGTATCACAGCTAAAAGATATTCATTACAACGTTTGAAGTAACAAACAGACCGGTTAGGTCAAAATTCCACTGTCGCCAAGAAGAGTGGCTAACACAGGTCATAATAAATTGTACCCCTTTTTGAATTATATTTTGACGCTGACCTTATATGGCTACAAGCCTATTATCAGCTGAATCGAGTTTGGCTTTAAGCTCGACCAGTAGATACATTTGCGAACCAGTGCGTTCATTAGAGCAACATTACCAAAGTAACTTTAATATGCTGCTTATGGACTAAGAGTTTTACGCTCTCTAAACGTAGGCAGAGTAAAGTATTCATCACTTTTAACGTCAGGAGGTGCCTCCATGACTGCAGTATTAGTTCTCATTACCGCTTTATCCCCACCCAGTTCATTTGACTTCCACTTCAATTGAATGTCAACTTCTTACAGCCTTTGAAGGATTCTGGCTCAAAGAGGTCACCACCGGTCGACTTTTCTAATCCAGCATTTTTCCTTGCCCAAAGCAGACTGTTTTATTTCCATCAGTTTAACCTCTGCCTCTTCCTGAATGGTAGAGACATTACTACTGCTGATATTAAGTTGCTTAACTGAAGCCTCAAATCGAGTAGAGGGGGCCGCTTGTACGGAAACTTTACGGCCGTCTCTATTTTTGCTGATTCGCCAACTCTACCGCTTTAGAGCATATGGTTCATCTTCAAAAGTGATAATCTCTACGAGTAATCTATAAACGGTGATGGTGACCATTGATTTCCTCTTCTCCGGCAAAGAACTTCAGCATTCAGACGGTCTCATGAAAAAAATTGAAAAAGGATAATATATCAAAAGTAGGTCATGAAGAACGTAGAGCTTACTTTTTTGTCGATTATACAATAAATTACTTATATAGAATTGCTTTTTGGACAGATTCCGTAGGTTTAAGAAGCAGTGAAATGCTCTTCCTGGTTTACCTTGCAGTTCTGAACAGATACTAAAGTTTTTGCCTCTCGAATCACTGAGGAATAGATTCAGGATATAATTCAGATGTTTCGATAATAGAAGTATATTTAGGCTAGAAGTAAACAAAAGGACAAACAGAAAGATGTGAAATGCCCAGTGCCCACAACTGATAAGCTTTGTCTAAAGAAGCGAAATACAACAGTCTTGTGTGCAGTAATGGCGTAACTGTATCTTCTGTACTTTCTGAATTTACTATTAAAACTTCGTTTCACCTGGTTTTCTTTCCTTTTTTATTTGGGGATGCGTTGAAGGTCTAATAAGGGTATTCATACGTCTGTAATATTGTTGTCATTTACTCTATTGACAATGTGTTGGAGCATTTCTACCATTTCCTTTTTAACTAATCATAGATTACCAAGAGTTGGTTAAAACAACATTCTGAACTTCTTAAACTATCTTCTTATCTTTACACTTCGTTGAACACAGTCTTTGAATGCCTGGAATTCACTCTGGCACATGTTGACATGAACGTCTTTGTAACTTGCCAAAATACACTGTCCATAAGCTGTAGCTTGCATAGAACAAGAGCTAACTCCTTTAGCCAATTGCTGAATATTATTCTTGGTAGTCGTTGAAGTCTTCATTTTACTGTCAACTTGGAAACCGCTGTCAAGGAAAACCGGAAAATAATCATGCAAAAACAAGGGCAAAAGTTAGGGCGACCTAAAAAACGGAGTGTCCCAAAACTGCACAGCACATAAAAAAAGTAACGGCATAATTTTCCCTCTCTTGTTTCCCAATTTTGCATATCACGCATTAGAGCTACTATTCCATTTTATATTACTACTCTACATTATAATAATGTCTTTAAAAAAAGGTAGAATCAGACCAGTAAAGCGTATGGTAAGTAGAAAGTGCATTTTGGGTTTCGGTTATGTGTTATGCCAATCTAGATTAGTTTCTCATTTATGAATTCTTAACTCAGCCTACCCATACACAAGAGTACGATGAAGGATTTGAGATATTAAGCAATGCTATGATGGTTATATTTAAAAAACAAGCACGAGAGTTGTCTTATGAATTGTTATACCGCACCGCCTACAATTTAACTATTCGGCAATTTGGCGAAAGACTTTACCACGATGTAGAAAAGGTGATTGCAACTTATTTGGAGACAATTGCTGAACAACAAGTCGTACCTGCCTTTACCAACACAGCCTCAGCTGATGAATTTATCGCGTCAAATGCAACTGCCGACGAAGGTGCGTTATTTTTGAACACTATTAAAAAAGTATGGGATGATTATACAGCAGCCATCGATTTAATATTGCAGGTTTTGTACTATCTGGTAAAGTTCTTCATGATGCAGGCCATGTATAACATTACATTTATCTAATAGATAGCTTTTGTAGAATGAAAGGTTGCCAAAGTATAATTTACCAGGCATTTACGATATGGGTTTAAACTTATTTCGTGACAGAATTATACATTCAAATAAATACCCAATCCAGCAAAACCTGATATCTGCTATGTTACGGCAAATTCAATTGGAAAGAACAGGCGATGTTATTGATAGAAGTGCTTTACAATCAGCGGTAGATATGCTGGTCAAATTAGCTGATCCATCAACGCAGACCACTGTTTATGCTACGGATTTTGAATCAAAGTATTTAGAGACCAGTACATCATTTTATCAGATCGAAAGCCAAACCTTGATATCAGAATGCGATGCGCCAGAATTTATGCGGAGAGTAAGAGATTTTTAATGGTTTCTTTGAGATTCGAAGTGGTTCTGATAAATTCTGTAAATCCTTTGTTAGGTGGAAAAACGATTAGACGAGGAATATGAAAGAACAGTTCACTGTTTGTCAATGTCCACAGAACCCAAAATAAGAAATATAGTGGAAACACAATTGATAGCTAAGAATCTGAAAACACTGATGGAGGTAGGATATGGAAAGAGCAACTTTAAGAACTTTATTTTATTCACCTCTATTTCTGCATAGATGACAAACTCTGGTCTGAAAAGTATGTTGGATGCGGATAAATATACTGACCTCCTGCGCATGTACAACCTCTTTGCACGCGTTCCAGCTGGACTGAACGAAATGAGAACCTTTATGAGTCAATATATTTTGGATTTAGGAAGCCAGATCAATCAAAATACAACAACTGATTTGAAAGAACACCGACAACAGGAGAAGGGTTCCAACGCTGCTATCAATTGGGTATTACAAGTTTTATCTTTGCAAGAGAAGTTTGACAAATTGCTAGAACAAGCAGCCAATAATGACAAATCATTCCAAACCATTTTCAATGAAGCGTTTGAGCATTTCATCAATGAAAACCAAAAATCAGCGGAATTTATATCCTTATTTATTGACGAGAATCTCAAAAAAGGATTGAAAGGAGTAAGTTAGAACTGAGAGTACAATAGAGACAATATTGATCTAAACTTTAAGCATTTTGGTTTAGAAATCAGAAGATGAAGTGGATGACATCCTGGATAAAACGATTACATTGTTCAGATATTTGCAGGATAAAGATGTATTTGAACGATATTATAAGCAGCACTTAGCCAAGCGTCTATTGTTTAATAGAAGCGTATCTGATGATGCAGAAAGAGGCATGTTATCTAAACTAAAGGTAGGGGGCAGCATCACACAGAATTGCATAGTAAGCATCATGATAAAATGGAATGGCAGGTTTGCTCACTGTATTATTTTACAGAGAGAATGTGGCTATCAATTTACAAACAAATTAGAAGGAATGTTTAATGATATGAAATTATCGGCAGAAATGAATTCACAATTCAAAGATTACTTGGAAAAACGGTCTACAACGGATGCAGACAAATTATTTGACACTTCTGTTACAGTATTAACGTCCACATTCTGGCCTCTTAATTTATCAGCTTCGCCAAAATGTACTTTACCTGCCAATCTATTACAAGCTTGTCAATCTTTCGAACGATTTTATTTTGACCGGCATAGCGGAAGAAGATTGACATGGCAGCCACAAATGGGTTCAGCAGATTTACGGGCCCAATTTAGCAAATCAAAGCATCTATTGAACGTCTCTACATACGCCATGATTGTTCTCTTACTCTTCAATGAAAATGATTCTTTAACATTTGACGAAATCCTTCACAATACCCAAATACCAGAACAAGATCTGAAGAGAACTCTGCAGTCTTTGTCAGCAGGAAAATATAAGCTTTTAACGAGAAAGTCAACAGCCAGTGAAGAGGAAAGGGAAAGCAAAAAGAGCAATGCCTCCAACTATACTTTTACGTTCAATGCTGGATTTACCAGTAATATGGCTCGTATCAAAATACAAGCTTTCGTGTCCAAAGTTGAATCGGATAACGAAAGAAAACAAACACAGGATAAAGTAGATGAAGAACGTAAACATCAGATTGAAGCCTGTATCGTCCGCATTATGAAGGACAGAAAGACTATGGAACATAATTTATTAATCGCAGAAGCGACGAAACAGTTGAGTTCGCGATTTATACCAAGCCCTGTGATGATAAAGAAACGTATCGAAGCGCTTATCGATAGGGAATATTTGGAAAGAGACGCAGAAGACAGGTAAAAAAAATTGATGTGAAACAAAAAATCAGATAAGATTATCTTGTCCGCTTATTTATTGGTTTAATCGTCCATTATTATTCGTTAGACGTTCATATCATTATCTGGCCTAAGTTGTCCACGCAATTTTGAGTAACAAAAGAAAAGTGAATTTACAGGAAAATAGTGTTCTATATGATAACATGACTTGTAATGAAATATATAAATGTAGAAGCTGGAGAATAAAAAGCAACATAACAAAAATGAATAAATAAATACGAAGCCTTCTAAGGCTTTTCATCATGATTTAAATATGGATCCTAAGGTCTCTTGTTTGATTTTAACGGTTGATATCGTCTTTTGGCTTTCTTCGCCTTATTTATCGTCTGCAATCTCTGCTCTATCTCTGCTGCCTCCTCTTCTTCTAACTTCATCTTTGATTCAACATCAGATAAAAAGTCAATAACTTCTGAACTGTCTGGCATATGATGAATCGGTAGGCTTGACTTCCGATTGAACTCTGAATAGAACAGTAAATCCTCATCATGGATGGCATCGTCGATATCTTCTCCAAAATCAAATTTATCGTTATGGTTCATTTTCATTTGTTCGCTGGAGGCTTTGTACTTCATGTCTTCTGGTGGTACAAAGGGTTGTAAGTCCTTCATACAATCAGCTAATGCATCATCGACTGTTTTAACAAAAATGTTAATTAATAAGTTTATCCTGAGAAATTCTTCTGACCAAAAGCTTACATTTATCTTGTGCCTCTTCTTCTATGGTTCTGTTTGAAAAAAAAGGTCGATCGCTATCATCTGCCAGTCCAAAGAAAGGTCTATGCAGCGAAAAGAAGGAATGGTATGCAAATTCTGTTTTGGGAATATTGATAACTGGCACAAAGGGTAATTTCTCAATGGTGGCTGGCTTGATCTTTTCACTCTTTTCTTCGGTATCATTAGTGTTATTGAGTGATGCTGCTGTAACTGAAGCAGTTGCATTAGAAGTACTAGTAGTAGTAGGTGTGTCAGCTTTGTCCTTTCCAACTGTCCTCGTTGTAGTTGTAGAGTTATTTGATGCAATTTTATTATTGATAGAAGAGTTGTAACGAACACATTGCATTCTTCTTGCAGTCACATGGCTTTGAGAAGCAACTCTTCGTTTCAAAATGCTGAAGACAAAAGTAGAGTGTTGGAGAGACATGACTTTGCGAATAGGCCAGTTACGTTGCTGCAAAGATGATGGGAAAAGAAGAAAGAGACGAGCAAACTGGGCAACCCAACCCAACCCCCCACATTTAACAAAAAAAAAAACGACTCTTTTTTACACTCAAGTCAAGAAAAGCCGGATTTTATGCACAGCCAACCAATCATAAAAGCCTGAATAAAAATTATTTTGGTAATATCATCTGGCAAAAGCCCTTCGCTTATCTCTTCTCCATTGGGTAAAAAGCCTACTAAAATAACCCTTCATGGACCCAACCACTATATCAACTACGGCTACACCAACAACAGCGACACCTGCAAGTCAACTGCAATTACTAGAAATACCTCAGTTCGTTGTCATTCATGACCAAGTCAATAACACTTACAAACACCCTGTGGTGCATTATGCTTTTGAAGATGAAGAGTTTCCAATAGTACCAAAAGACAAACTCATTCTAGTTGATTTGGATTCAACAGCAACACACTTAAAGAGTGTTAATAGTTATAGCCCGCATTTTCAAGTGACAGAATGTATAGTAGAACAAGGGCAAATGAGTGACCAATTTGACCATGACGTACCACTTGTGAATTTAACAATTGAAGGAACTGCTGCACCAAGGATGTAAGCTAAATAATTTCAGTTTCATTCATAACTTAAACAAAGCTAATTTCGAGATAGTCATGATATCATAGAAGAAGGAAACCAACCTATTCGAAATATGGATCATTTGAAAGAAGTTCTTTTCAATTTCAGGAATAGGTAAAGAAGAGAGCTCCAGTTGTAAGAGCCGCTTAGTAACATCCTATTACTTTAGGAACGAAATTCTAAAGGAGATATTACAGCAACCTGCTGAAGCACTCATACCTAGGAGCGAATGACCCATTGGTTTGAAGTACTATCAAACCTCTCCTTCCTCTTACCCCCTATTTTTGCATAAAAGGACCTCAAAAAAGCTCATTTTGCATCGAGAGCATGACTGCTTTGTGGCTGTCGTTGATTTGCTTTTTTTTTTTTTGCCATAAAATCGAGATTCCTTCATATACCTAGTGTTTTTTGCCAGTTTATACAATAGATTTTTGTAAAGGATGGGTAAAAGTTTGAGATCACAGCAAAAGAAGCGAACCAGAGGTAAGAGTTGTTTGTTGTTGTTGAGGATGTATTGAATTAAGATTTTAAGCATTGAAAAACATTCAAATGATGTAGCTATAAAAAGACAACAAGTTTTTAAACCGGTTGAAGATGCTCGTCTTGAACGATTAGCAAAAGCACAAGCTGAAGCTGTCACAAAACCTTCTGTAGGTGACTACATGGAAGATACAACAAAAGATAACTCAGTCACAACCAACCCTACAGATACCACTTCCACTAGCGGTGCAGTTGCTATGGTGACAGATGAGGCAGAACAGACAACAACGAAAAAGATATCAACCAGTGGTCCTCGTAGTAATAGACATGCTAGAAAGTTAAGGGAGAAGAAGAAGAAGGGCAAAAAGGGCACCAACAAATTTTAATTCACTCCAACTGACTGCTTCGACTCTTTTATCTCTGACAATATGGGATTTGTCCAGCATTGACATGGTTGATACCTTTTCTTTCCTTTTTATTTGTAATGTATATACTTCTTTTTAATCTGATATCTCTAGATTTGAATATGGATAAACGAAAATAAACATTTGATATTGTAATATGGGTTCTTTTCCATAACGACATAGTAGATGGGGCTAGCGAAGAATAATGTTGGAATTCAGGTTGTCTATATTATTGTCAGATGAGAATGCTTCAATCTATGAACTTCAAGTAAATCAAGCATCAACATGGAATAACAATCCCGAGTAAACTTGAGCGTGCACTGTTTTTCCGCTTGATTTTCGCATGAAAAAATTACCATGCTTTTCAGTCTTACAAGCCGTGGGGGGGTAGTTTCATCGGCTACCTGCAGACTTTGTAAGCATGATACCGACACGTCTGACCATTTCACAACTAGTTGCCCTCCACGCTGGCTGATATGGCAAGAAGGCCTCGCGGTATATTTCCCGTCCTTCTGCTTTGATCCTAAAGCATTTCTGCCACTCTACGATTACACCTGCCACCATCCCTACCTTCGTCTGAACAAGCTCAATTTTTCACCGTCTGCTTTAGTATCCATTGGGCTATCTGGACTTCATTCTTTTGAATGATACTCCATGACATTCCTTTTCAAATCCCATCCGTCCTTAGTAAAGCACACAATATTATTTCCTTGAATCTGTTTTCCTCACAGCTCTTGCGGGAAGCGGCTGCCTTACATTAATTATCCATCATAGGACTTGTCTTTTCCTCTCCATGTCCCAAACATCAATGCCAAATGTGCGGCTTACTCATACTCAGACAAGGTAAATCTATTGAGTCAATCGAAAGGAAGTTTATAGACTACACGATATATTCAGATACCGGTTTGAATGTGCGGAGGTTATAATAAAATAGATAAATAAGTGTCGAAGACACTTTTTTGTAAATGCTCTTTCTTTCATATAACAATCTTATATTTTTATCATGGGACAAATTGACAACAAAATTTATATTGGAAAATCAACCATAGTTATCCCATGGACTACTTCTTCTAACGTGTCAACAGTTATTGGAGAAGGGACCGTCAGGTCTCTATCCAAGGAGAGCCTTTAGTCTTTTTAAATGCTGATGAAGCTTTGAAAAGAGTGAACAATTGTTCGCTCGTTAATTTGTTCACTCTTTTCAAAGCGATTCACATTTACAAAATCAAAGACAAAAGGGTACGTAGGAAAAGCGACAGAAACTGCGTAAAACTTAGAATTAACTTTCAACTTGATTACAGGTATGCCCATCTTCATTTCGAAGATAGTACCGAGGCAAGTAGGTTTACTTTGGTCAGAGAATATTGGAGTTCACAGCAATATTTTCTGCCCTTTTTTCTCGTTTGAGATAAAGCCGGCTTTGTCCTTTGGACAAGTTGTGTCCTACGTAAGTTATGCTACTCAAACACGTGAATAAGCTATAATACGTTGTACTAATAACGCTATTTAGTCTTCGGCCGATGATGGCATCCCAAAAATGAAAAAGTTATGCAAACGTCTGGAGTTTTCTGATCCCCCGCCTGCTACTGCTAATGCCTCTCCTGCTGCTAATACCAATGCCTCGAACAAAAAACAAGCTTCTTGAAAAGTAAACCTCAGACAGAGATCCTGGAGAAGGAACTTGAAACCCGTATTCTAATAAAAGAAAATCAAAGTATTTGAAAAGAATTTAGTTTTAGTGTAATGACCATCTGTCTTGTTGGCTGCGTTTCAGATATAGCACGTATGAATCTTAGTCACTAATCCATAGTCGTGCTGTTCAGTAGTTTTTTGATTCTGTTCTTCTGATAGCAATATCTTGTATTATTACGTCTATTAAATCTCATTATTCAAGCGTTAATCCAGTCCGCCTTGTTGTAACTTACTTGTTTAAAGTATGTTTAACACCACATCTAGTCTTGTTCTGAGCAAGGATCTTTTAGCCAACAACTCAATAAATCACTGCCATTTTATTAAGATGTAAAAGGGAACTCTGCCAATCACATACACTCGAAAATTCGATTTCAATTGTGGGTTTTTTTTATAAGAAAATTACTTTTGAAAGCGAGGAGACTTATACCTATCGAAAAGCTGACGATTACTCTTATTACACAATACTAATATGATGACGTGATTTCGTTTGTCGATATATTTTACTTGAAGCTGTACATGTAATGGAGCTAATTGCCAGCTTTCCAATAATATAGTTCCTGTGCTCTAAACTTACTGGTTTACTAAGAAATCTAAGGTTAAAGTCAAAGCTGATCCTAAAAATATCGCAAAATCCATACTTTATGGGATACTCGATCAGCCGCCACTCGCCAATCATGGAACATCCGTTGGTCGGCCATTTGCCACATTCTTTATGAACCCGATCATTTGTTTCATGGATTGGATCCACCTCCACCAGACCCCTCACTAGGCTACGCCCTATTACAATGGTTGACCCAGCCCTCACATAGTAACAACTGATTAAAATCCTTTTTTACACTTGTTCCCAAAGGGGTTTTTAGCAATATATAGTTTATACTATAGAAACATTAGGATCTGCCCCGGGCAATTTTTGGTGCTCATTGGGTTTTTAATATTGTAATAAAAGATTTTTTTAAACGTATAATCAAGATGCGGCCTGGCTCCCCAACAGCTGCTACTCAGCCCATTGCCTATTCCAACCCCTATGCACTCTCACTAAAGCCCACGCTATTGAATGCCTACAAGTGCATAACCGTCTGCAACTTCCGACAACTGTCGTTGACCTCATTTCTCACTTGCTAAACCAACTCGCCACTCGACCCATAAAACATCGTGCCAATCCCCCGGTCAACTGAAGTATATCTTGACCAATTGTCCAAATGCTTCTTCATGAGGTCGATTACCTTCAGAACAAAAAAATGCCCCCTACCCCATCAGAAACATTAGGACAGCCCTTGCTAGACTGCTAGACTGGCTCTATGCGTCATTACCATCATTACTTGATTGTCCCGTTTTTACCTAGTCTGCATTGTAATCCACTATCTTTTTTCCCTAGTCCTCTTTTAGGGTTTTCCAATTCCAATACATATTTTGACATTCCCAGGGTAATTTTCTGATGAGTCTGTTTGCCCATTGGGTTAGTAAAAATCATGTTTAATCGTTAGCAAGGATTGTTACTCCGTTCATACGCGAAAATTATTAAGGCACTCTTTTTCGGTTTTTTTTTTTTTTGGAAAAGATCGTGTTTCCAACAGGAGACAGAAATAGTCAACAAGCTAAGCTCCATTATTCTTCAATGGCGAAGGCTTTCGACACACTTGTGAGGGATATTCAGAGTCGTTTGCACAATATATTTTTGAGAAAAGCAGACTATAATCCAGGAAAGAATGCTTTGGTTACAGCAGCCAGAATTCCTTGGTATCTTTTTTTTCTAGACTTGATCGATCTTGTCACAATAATCTTTGAAAAACTGACATTTACAATCTTTGCTTTGAATTGCAGGTCATGGGTAGCAGTTAATGTTGCAGAGACATTGTCGCAATATCCTACAGGAATAACAATGACCGTTTTATTGTCAATATTGGAATTGAAGGTACAAACATTTGCATAGGAAACAACTTAAGTAGAAACATTGTTTATTCATTTACTGTATGATATAAATAGTGGGAGAAGACGTTCATTAAGAAATTTAAAGGATTTGATAAAAGTAAGGAGGATGCAATTTTAAAAAATGTTTATCTCTCGGTCTGTCATAAGTTTAACGTATTGTAACAACAAAGGTTTCAGTTCAATACAAGCCGTTTATGATAGCACTGCAGCTGAATATTTCCTCTTAGAAGTAAAGACAAAGTCATGGGAGAAGAGCAGTGGTTCCGATACTTATATCCTTTTCAGCTTGAATTGAAAACATTGAAACATCACACTAATAACTGTAGTCTATTTTATTGTTTCCTTAACTCTTTCTCTCTCTTCCTCTATTTTATACATCAACTAACAGTAACTGATGACTCAAATATGCGTGATTTAGATCTATACATGCATCCAAAATACAATCGTTGGATCACTTATAGAGTTGAATGCGGACAGCAAGAGAATCATAGTCAATTATTATTCTTTAAGGACCGTAAAATTAGAATGATATGCCCACCAAAAGCCAACTCGCCTGTTATTAATAGATATGAAGATACAACTCTTCCTCGCCGATACCGTGTAGCACTGATACCCCCTACTGAACTACTTCTTATTATGCTTAACCGAAACGACAAAGAATTTGTGCTAAAAGAATTCCCGCATAAAATCAAGCATATCTATGACCCGGATCTGTCGAATAATAAGTCATTTGAAGCAGGTTTGTCTCTTTGGCTAAAAATCATTCATGTTGAAGTGGTTGTCCATCAAAACCCCACACCAAATCTACTTTTAGCAAGCAATGACGATGGACGAATGACCAAAGCGCAAAGGACCGATTTATATCTTATAGATATGAGTAGTGATTGCATGCCGGTAGTGCTATCTTTGTTTGATGACCAGACTCAGTTAGCTTCGATTTTCAAAAGAAATGATTACATTGGAATATACCGTCCTGTTATGCAGAATCAGCAACAGCAACAGTCAGATATCCCTAGTAGTCAACCGCAAGAGGTTATTCTCGAGCTTGGAGGTGAAACCGTTATATTTTTGATGCCTGAAAAGGAGGCACAAGACGCAAATCTAGCCAAGGTTAATTTGGCAACACAAATAATCGATGAAAGTCAAGGAACAGTAAAAACAGATCCCAAGAACGAGATCACTGAACGTGATGAAGAGGTATTTTGTCGCAGCCCGAAGATCGTAGTAACTTTTCTGTGTTGACTTGTCTACTTTTATATATTTTAGGGTTTCATGGACTGTTCCAGCTACATGCCTAGAATTTACGTCAAAGATTTAGTTCATCGTATGCTAAACGTTACACTGTTGGGGAAGGTAATCGGTCTCGCCAATAATGTAAGTTATCTCAAGCACCCTATAGTCTTTGCAATATACTTCAAACTTTTGGTAATCAACAAGTACTCATAAATAATTCTTTCGTGTTAAGAACCCTTATATAAAAAAATCGTCTTCGGGAGAAACAAAGAAAATGGACAGGTATGCGTTACGAATTGCAGATAATACAGGTAATTAAGAAGAACTACCTTATCCTCTACACATGACTCTATATTCATTGTTGTTGCTATCAACATTATGCATTATGAAAAAGGTGTAATGGATGTAACGTTATGGGAAGATGCTGGTCGAGAGTCCAGAAAGTTGAGATTGGGTCAGTATATTCTACTTGATCGTTTAGTCACATCTGATAGGCATAAATCAAGAAACATTTGGTACGTTAATGGAAGCGCTGTCTGTGGCACAAAACTTTATAACAGTAAGTATTGCACGTAAGAAACCACAATGCTCTCATTATGCTTTGTCTTTCTCCTTTAATAATCCTATTTTAGTCTCGACCTTGAGCAGTCTATTATCCAGTTCATCCTTTCGCTCAATTATACCCTTATGGCATGCTAAAGAAACGAAAAGTGACCAATTTCAAGCGGAGGGAGTTATCATTGGGTGGAAACTCCATTTACGTTCTTCAGGACATGATAATTATGTCTTGTGTGATGAATACACCGAACCTCCTGCAAAGATGTTTCCAAAAGTTGACTTTTTGGAGCACTCAATGGGTGACCGAATAACAGCAACTGCACGTAAGAAAGTAAGAAATTTACTACATATTATTGACGTCTAATTGCTCCTATTTCTACATCTGTCGTAGATACGAATTGCTTGTTGCCGTTAAAAAAACACCATGAGGCACATTGCGACTTCTGTGGAGTACCCGTACAGAATAATCATGTCTTGGTCTTCAGACCAAGACCAACCCATCCTAAAAAAAGCGGAGAAGAATGGGAAGGCTGGATCGAATGGAGATTTGATGATGGAACCAGCAGCTGTAATATCTATGGAGGAGAAGAAGTGAGTAAAAGCGTCCCTTGGGTCAATTAAGGAGTAACATTAGATTACTATACTTACTTTTTCATTAAACAACTGAATTTTTCAACAATATAGTTTTTAATGAATATTACTGCTCACCATTTTCGTAACATGTCTCAACAATCGCAAATTCGTTTATTGAACAGTGTCATAGGTGTTTCGATTCGGTGTACACTCTCTGTAAGTATTGTAATTCAGTTTGTGCGACATTTTCCAAAAATAAAAAATGGAGGGAAACGATCATCTTCAATGCTGAAATGGCCAAATACAGCCAATCTGTTTCCAATATTTTTAAACCTTGAATTGATTGTTTATTGTAATCTTTAGGGAAATGGAGCCTCATCTTATAGACTAGATCAATTGGCATTTCTAGAGCCTACACAACAGGAGTGCAGCAAATTACTGGAAACACTAACTGAAGAGGTTGGGAACAGTTCTTTTTCAGACATTCTACAACGTGTTTCTAATGTCCCACAAGCCTGAAAAGTGTGGACTTCAAGTTCACAACTTCTCTTTTACACTTTTTTTCCTTCTTCTTCAGCGTTACTTTCCTTCTTACACGGTATATATCCCTATCTTACTTTCCTTTCTATTGTCATTGCAGGCTCTTTGCCCTTTCCATTCCTTTAATATAACCTTTAAACAGCACTACTGCTAATATATCTTCTAAAAAAATGAAATTTGCTTTCTTCACTGTTACTGGTCTTCTTACAGCAGTTTCTAATGTCGCTGCTGTTACTGTAAGTACGACGATATAGCAAAGTTCTACCTGGTGGTTGGTTATCAAAGAAGAAAGGTACTAAGAAAGTTGTTTGATTGCAATTGCATTTTCATAGATCGTAACCCCTTGGGCCCAAACTGTTTGGGTGAGTATTGAATTCGATTGCAAGTGATTATCTTGACAAGAGAGATCTCTAATATAAGTTTTGTTCGTACACTGCGCAAATAGACTGCTGGTGGTCATGGTAACATCACTTGGACGACTACTGCCTCTGATGCTGGTTTGAAGTGTGATATGTATTTGCTTAACGGTGACTTCAAAAACTCAAAGTAACGTATATTATTATTTTTATTGTTTTCACGGATGAAAGGGCTTGATAATTGTACCTCGCCCCTTTCTTATCTATCAAAATCAACCCTTGATGCATGGTGTCCTACGACCTACTTACCATTGTCATAATTGACCTAATATTCATGTATAGTATTGTCGCTCAAATTACTGATCCCTCAACTCCTGTTGATTGTTCGATTGGAAGATACGATGTAAGCGAATTTCATATTCGAACAACGGTTCGTCGTATTGTTGGCAAAGGCACAATATTAATTTGGTATATGGCTTGCATGATTGTGCAAAAATAGATGCATCCTTTGAATGATTTTGCTTCAGGTACATACTGGGTTCGTATCGGACAAGCTTCAACTGGCACTTGGTCTTATTCCTCTGCCTTCCAATTCAAAGGTAACGGAACCGCGAGTCCTGTCTGTAAGTATTCAGAGCAAATAAAATCGCTCACAAATGGATATTCTCTAATCAGTTACACAATCTTACTGAAACTCTCAATTTGTATCACTAGCCATTGCCGCTAATCCATCTGGCGTTGCTGCTGCCGGCGCTGCTAATGCTCCTGCTCCTGCTCCTACTGTTACTACTCCTGCTAAGGGTGCAACCAATGTTACTCCTACTGCTACTCCCGCAGCTACTAAGGGCGCTGATGTTAGTAAACCAGTCGGCGCAGCTGCTGCATCTGCTAATGCAACTTCTGAAGGCTATTCCTCTAATTCAGTTAATGTAATGGCTCTTGCATTAGGTGCAATTGCCGCTGTTGCTGTTACACTTTAAAGCAAAGGACCAGGTACATCAGGGTGCGTTAATGCATATACGTCGAATATTCCAGAAGCCCATCAATGGGCTGCTAATTGAGCAATATAGTTTGAATACTAAGAACAATTTACATAAACTTTAACTTTCTTTACCTATAACAGCAATAGAGCGAATCGAAAAGGGCAATAATGATCCGTTTCGACGATTGTACTATTATTTACTTAATCCATTTCTAATAAAGTGGCGTATTTTTGCACGTAACAGTTGATGGCAGCGGATGGAATTAGTCGGGATACATTGTTCGTTGATATGTCCATTAAGCAAAATCGCAATAAGATAGTTACTTATATGGGATGAATTAAAAATACTTTTCAAAATAAATGTTGAAGCATTATCTTTGCTAAAGAATCATTAAACGTATAATATACATAACGTCTCAACAGGTATCATAAATTTAAAGCACCTGCTTAAACATACACGCGATCTGTTTAAGGAGAATTTTGAATAATAAATAAGGGATTGTTTGATTCCAATGTTCTTGACACATATCTTCAAAGAGGAGTCTATAATATCAAAGAAGGAGAAAGTTGCCTATCATTTTTTGCCACACCTTATTCATACATGTTCAAAAGGTTGTGTTATGAAGTCGAGTGCATGCATATTTCGAAACTGATGAAGACATACCATGCTTGTATATAATGTAAAGTGATAGGTCTAAATGTAGACGGTCTATCAATTTTATTGTTCCTTAAAAGTAGCGCACTTCAAATTGTTGATCGAAAGCGAAAACGCGAAAAAGAGCCAGCCTGTATTACATGCAGATTTTGTAACCGAAACAAATAATAGACTTCGACTTATTCGGTACTCTCAAAACAAGCCAAAAACCTCACATTCTGTTGGGTTCTCCAAACTCACATACATAAATGGCCTAGCATATTAGAGGAGAGATAATATAAGGAGTTAGTACTTTACACAATAGTTTTGCCTGGATTAACGGATGAACAACGAATAATCAAATCGTGTGCAATCTCGAGAAAAAAAAAAAAGCTTAAATTTGGTTATTCACATATGCCAACTGATTCGCACCGTTGAGTTTTTAAAGTGTTTTACCACATCCACAAAAATCAATCAAGAAAACTGTTCAAATGATATAATCGTGAAATGGAAAGCTGAAAAATTTGAATTAAGTCAAAAGTCTTTTAAGTTTGTAACTTGTATGAACTTGTTTGATTATTGTATTTTGCAAGAAAAAGAAGATATCGTTTATAGTTTTGACTCCTTCGTAAATCACCATCGACATCAAAAGCACGTTTAAATGGCTGCTGATCCAAGAAAATTATTTAGAGATTGAAGAATTGAAGATCGTTTATACAGTTAAAATAGCAGTAAAAGAACGTCTTTTCATAGTAAAAAAAAAAAACCGTACATAAAATGCCGGACGGATCAACATTGTTTATTTATCACGTTTTGTAACTGCGTTGCATATTGTTCATGTATGAAACTTACCTCCTTTTGTTTGAATCATCAGAAAGACTATATTCATTTTTGACCAAATCTGTATATAAACATCACAAACCTTCTTCTTTTTTTTCCCCCTTTCTCTGCTCTTTCTGCCTTTCTGAACCTTCTTTCATTACCATAACCACCGTTACCACACTTATAATACTTATTCGTATAAGTATCGCTTCTGCCACATTATCTGTAACTTGGACATATATTGAAGTCTAAAAAGGAAGGAGGATGACTTTACTATTCAGCAAAAAAAATAAATCAGCCGCAGCCGACAAGCTTGTACAGAAAAAGATAACTTTGATAGAAAAAGATACATTAACAAAACATAAGCGAAAACCTTCAGTAGAACGGCGATCCACAGCAAATACGACTTCAACACTTATTGCCAATAATCAGGACAGTCAATTAAATGGTATAGGTCCTTATGAATTCCTGAGGCCGTTAGGCAATGGAAAGTTTAGTAGAGTGTTATTAGCACATCATTTAGAAACGAAGCAACAAGTGGCTATCAAGGTAAATAGTTCAGGAGAACAGTTTCTGTACGAAACAAGGAAACAATAAAAATTGACTCAGAGACAAAATAATAATAGATTATAGACAAACAGGCTCACGATTACAGAGTCATGTCGAGATTGGTACGAGAGATCACCATTATGGAGTTAATTCAGCATGACTCTATAGTGAAATTGTATGAAACGTTCGAAAGTTGCGATTCACTTTACTTGGTTATGGAATATGTTCCTGGATTTAATTTAGACGAATATCTCCAGAAAAAGAAGGATGGCGCTTTAGATGAACATGAAGCCCGACATTTATTTCGGCAATTAGTTACTGCAGTTGATTATTGCCACAGAAATTGGGTTGTTCACAGAGATTTGAAGGTATGTTGTAGTTGTTATTGAAAAATATACATCATCTACAAAATCTATGTTATGAATACTCTATACTGATCTACTCTTTGTTCGTCTTATCTCTTGCATGCATATCATACAATTAGACTCCAAATATTTTAATCACACCAGATGGTTCAGTTAAATTGGCTGATTTTGGCTTAGGTAATCGATATGGCTTGCAGCGATTGCGGACGATATGTGGCTCAATGTTATATTACAGTCCTGAAATCATCACGGGCCAGAAATATTATGGCCCTGAAGTCGACTGTTGGTGTCTTGGAATCACATTGTTTCGTATGACAGCAGGGTTTGAACCATTCGCTCATGCTCATAGTAAATCTCAATGAAGCCCTCCCTCAATATATATAAGTGCATTTTATTCACATTGAAAATCTTCTTTTTTTCTCCGTAGCTGTGGGAGAGTTGAAAAGCGATGTATGCAAAGGCAACTTCCCGATGCCAAGCACATTAAGTCCAGAGCTACAAACAACCATTCGGAAATGTCTTCAAGTAGATAAACGGAAAAGGATGACAGTACGCCAAGCTTTGAAAGACGATCCATGGTTAACGAACTTTGGAGAGCTTCCATGTCCTATATCAAATGCCCCCAAAACATTGTTTGAAGAAGCCATGGTGGCTGCTGATAATTATGAAAAAGCAGGAAATCGAGATGAAAGGACGCGTAGACAGTTTTTGCGGGATGAGCAAGACTCAAATACCAATATGCATAAGGTGAAAAAAACCATTATATATCACCCTCTCAATCCTTCTATTTATTACACTTCAAAGACAGAGCCGTGCCAAATGATGAACATGACCAAAAATGCAGCAGGGCAAATGGAAAGCGTAGAGTCACTTAGATCCGAATTGTTGCAGTCTGTAAGATCGCGTGCTCGACGTTTAGGCATCAAACCTGCAGACCGCTGGGAGCTTCGGTCATCTGGTCTCAAATTATTTTTATCAGCACTCAACCCTCAGCAAATAAAGAAAGACAATAACAATAATAGTAGATCTATTTCTGAAGTTGTTCATCGTATCGCCAAAGACCAGGTTTATCATTTTCACTTCTCCAATATACAGCTAAAAAATTATTCCCAAGGTTCTCGTCCGCCTTCCCTCTCTTCTTCTATCAGCACTTCATCTATCTCCAGCAGTATCATTGATGACTCTGCTTTGGCCACTACCACCATCTTTAATGCAGACTCCAATAAGAAACACCTCCGTGAAGTGATGGCTTTGTTAAAACAGACATGTCAGTTGATGGGAATTACTTATATGCATGATACATCTACTACACTTCAATGTGTGTTGACTTTGAGAAGTGCGTCTAAAAAGTCCAACAGTACTTCATCCGCTACCACATTGAACGCGCCCTCCACACCGACCTCACCCTCTTCACCCGCATGCCCAATCGCTAATACCAACAACACTCAGCAGCAAACTACATCATCAACATCCAGACAAAGCCGTAAACAAAGTCAGACAAGCAGCCTTGGAACAAACATTGGAGGGTTACTAACAGATGATCCCACTTCGAGATCTTACAAGCGACTTTCATTACCGCTATTATCACACTTAACGTCCTCAATGACAACGTCTTTTTTTGGTCGTAGCAAACCACGACATTCAATGGAAGAAACAGTTATTTCACCTTTTGACCTTCAGCATCATCATCAACAGAGTCAGAAAAGAAAGCAGAAAGAAGGTATGGCTTTGTTCACTATTACGATCGAAGCTAACTATAAAAAAAGATTGGATAAAATCAGTTTGAGATTCTCTAAGCAGCAAGGTTCAACAACAGTTTTCAAAATTGCTAGTGGCTGGGTAACTGGTGTTATGGTATTAGACGGTAAATTCAGTGGTTATAGTAAGTAGTCATGATATAACAGTTCATGATTCTTCACATTGTATTATTGTAATTTCTTTTAAGCATGATGTAAACGTAGCATATCAAATCATTCATTATTATAGTCTCATTTTTCCTTCCTATGCAATGAATATGTATTATAAAGCTAGTGATAGCATTTTATGTGTAATTTGAACTTATTAATAAATGCATCAGGCATGTCCCTTGATACACTAAATGCATACAAATAACCTTTTTTTATGGAAGAGTGCAATCAGTCAGTCAATAAAAAAGCTTATTTTAGGTGACATAAGTTTTGAAAGCAAAAGTGACAACTTGAATTAAAATGTAAGAATCACTAACGTCTTCTGTGGTATATGTGTAGTCCGTATATAAAAACGGGGAGTATCTGTTACAAAAAAGAAAAAATAAATAAATAAACTTACGATGAAGGAACAACTGTATATTAGACGTCTACGTTGGCATAGCAAACAAAGCCTATTGATTAAGCATGCTTCCTGCCACTTGCTTAGTATTTCTACGAGCTTCAATAATTTCTGCATCAGTCCATCCATTGAAGCCAAATTCTTCAGGAGACTCATCATCGGACTCGTAGAAGATTGTAAAACTACTTTCAACTGTTGGATGCCCGTCTTGTTGGGTTCTACCACTGGATGATGAACGGTAATCATCCTCAATAAACATAGCAAACACTTCGTCTGTAGGCGCGATTCCACTACTGTCCACAACTGTAGAGCCTTGAGAGGAAGCTGAATCGATGGAATGATTTTTTTCTTGTTGCTTATTGGCATTGGACGTATTGATAGTGCCTACAAACGGTGGCGAAGAAGACCCATTTCTTGTATTTTTCGACGAGAAATATTCTTGTCGATTCAGGCTGCTGCCTTTAGATAATGAGGATGAAGAGCCATTGTTCCTGCTGGTTGTTGGTGATCTTAGTGCGCCTCGATTGGATTCCACTATAGCAAATGATTTTTGTCGGTCTCGTTTGTTCCAATGTAAACACTTTTGTAGTGAGTTGAACCAATCTGTTGCCTGGTCTGCTTTGCAGACAGTTGGAAAAGAATATCTTGAGGCTGTCACTTTTACATGATCACCCTCTTTAGAAAGGTCACAAAGACATTAGTTAGATGTAAGTAGCACAGATAAACGATGATATTTTGCATTTACGCTTCAGTTCGATTCTCCCTCTTCCGTCAAAACTGACCCAAGCAGTATTTCTTGAGTTGAACGGGACGCAAATGCGAAGCTCCATTGAATCAGGAACCAATGTAGGTCTGAACGACAACGTATGTGGACATATTGGCGTAATTAAAGTTGCATGAATCTCAGGATGTGTCAAGGAGCCGTTCGCTGATAACTTTTTTTTTTCCGTTGCGAACAAAACATTAGGCCATGCTCAAGCGTTCGAAATTCATGTTCGTACACAATAATCATTTAACTTACAGAATATGCTGTGCTTCCCGTAGGCGTTGATATTGCTAAACCGTCAGCTTGAACAGTTGTTAGATGTTTGTTATCGCCAAATAATTCTAACAAGCTCATGTATGGACTGGGACCTCGGTCAACAACTAGGTCGTTTATTACTTGGTGCTTTTCTACCGGGATGGTAGTGAAGCATGGTATTTGGCGTTTTTCCTCAAATTCACTGATGTCTTTTTCATCTACTTCATCGAAAAGGAAAGCTTCATCTTCCTCTGTGCCAAAATCTTCTCCATCTACCTCCCCAAATTTCTTCAGTGAATGGTTTATCGACTCTCCTTCTTTTTGTTCCTGTTGTTTATTATTGTCTGTCAAAGGCCTTGATGCACACCAATCGCCTATCTTGATCTTTCCTGTGATAGGATTACGTAAAACATTACGCAATTTAATTGAATGATTTGTACTTTTCTGCCCACTGTCTGTTGAGCTGTCTAGTTGATTGACTCGTCTGTACACTGTACATGTCAATCTTCCCCTAAGGTTGACTCGCATCCCACTCTCCATGATTCTTGTCAGATATAGTTCAAATTTGTCGAAATCAAACGGTGTCAAAAATCCCAGAGAACCCAAATTGAATGGAATGACAGGTGGTACATAGTTTTGGAATAGCCATGAAGCAAAGAGAACAGTCCCGTCACCACCTAACTATCACATCAATCTCAGATTTACACTTTTTAGACATTCTGAAGGATTGACTTATTCCCTTACTGTCACTATAAAATCAAACATCTTGGGTTGAGTAGCACACAATTCCGGATTCCAGAAGCCGAGTCTTTCTTTGGTTTGCGGAAAGACATCCAAGATTCGCTCATATTTGAAACTCTTTGCGGTTTTCAATTTCTCATCAACATAACTATAATTTGAGATATGAAAAGGCATCGATAATTGAACTCTATTATAGTGTCTGTTATTGAAAATGTAACTTACACTTTGACACCCTGACAGGCTTTGGAAGTAGTTATAAACCAGAGTGCGAGATCTCTCGTCATGTGCACCAACGAAAGATCGCCAGGTTTTGTAATGACCATCACTGTCTTTGGGTTATCCCACTTAACTTTTGTCTTTCCTATAATTTTATTCGATTTCAATAGAATATATGTGTTAGCAACGAATTTGGGTCAATTTTTGCTATCCAACAATCCTAAAATACCTATTTTCTTCGAGACTTCACGAACGACTTCTGCCGTATCTGAGAGCCGAGCTGCGTACGTTGTTTGTAATTGTACTTGCCTTTTTGCTTCGAGGCTCATAGTCTCCACGTTTGATAGGCCCTTTTCAGAGATATCCATATTCAAAAAAAACGGTAGTGAAAAGCTTCGTAATGTAGGCCGTAATAAGCAAAAAGAAAAAATTTTGATAAACAATGAAAAAAAAGTGGGGAAGTTTTTTTTTTTATTTAAGATCCGTCAGGGACAAGTTTTAGAGGCCCAAATTTATAGTTTTAACTAATATGTTAGATGTTAGACGAATTTCAATTGTGTTGTTGACGAAAAGATAAACCGTTATGATATTCCATGACATTCCTTTTCATCCCCATCCGTCATTAGTAAAGCCCACAATGTTATTTTTTTGAATCTGTCTTCCTCGCAGCTCTTTCGGGAAGCGGCTGCCTTAGATTAATTATCCATCATAGAACTTGTCTTTTACTCTCCATGTCCCACCCCTCAGCGATGTGTGACTAATTTATTATTCTTAAATAAAATAATCTACAAAAAAAATAATCTTGTATATGAATCATGATATCAAACACAAGTTTAATGTCAATATTTGCAGTAGGCGGGTCAGAATAAGCGGATGAATGACCGGTAGTTTTACTGGAAAGTTCAGGATTTATATATATATTGAAAGTACTGATTTTTGAGTTGCTATGAGCTTTTGGTAGACAGTCTTAAATGCATTGCTGCGAATTGAAGACTATGGCATGGTGAGATCAAACTATCTCAGGGTCATGCTTCTGTAGCCATGGAATACCGAAAATGATTGGATACTGGCCAAAAGATGTAATATCAAGCGTAAGTATTTTTGTATGAGGGTCCATACAGATCGAAGTAAGGACCTCATGTGTTATCGTACCAGAGCTAATAGGGGGGGGGGGTCAACAGTGATCACATTTACGGGGCTTGTCTTTTCAATGAGTGTAAACCCGTTGGAGGTAGCGAAATCCTTATTCATAAAGTTTGACATAGCATCAGAGTCTACTTAACAACAAAGTCAAGGTGTTTTGGGGGTTGGCAGAGGCGAACATCAGCGATGAGATGTTCATTGGATGAAGTGTTTGCGATGATCAAAAAAGTTGCAACTGCACACGACAAACAGATAGTTTGATGGACTTTTTGAATTATCACTCAACATCGTTCGTTCTCTCGACATTGAACCCGATGAAATTCCTGGTAAGTAAAGATAGCGGCGTGGGCAAGCTTATGACTATCTGATATCTGAAGAGGAGGCAGAAGAGGGACGCAGGTTCCTAAACTTCTTGGGGGCATTTATAGGCATGATTGTCTTCACCACCACAATATAAGCATAGATTTGTTGTTGATTCGACGAAGTTTCTCTTCAAAAGAAAGTTGACGACCATACATCATGGTTATGTTGTAGGGCAAATGACTGTTGTTGACGTCGAGTTAAATGGGATGGTTGACGATTGTTGAAACGAGCGTTGGGAGTTAAACAAACCAGTTTTTGGAAAACGAATCTGTTCGCGAAACTTGTTATCAAAAGAGATAACCTTATTGATTGTACGGTGTTAAACATTCAAGTAGGTCTTTGATAACCAATTCGTTTTGTAAGGGCAGGTTCCTTGACTTGAGAAATGAGAGCTTAATTCTGGAATTTGATCACATAGTCAGAGGCAGGACAATCACCTTGCTTGATTGTAAGTAGTTTATGTTGTGCTTCATGCACCAATTCGATATCACTGAAATAGCTTCGCAAGGAATTCAGGAAGACTTTATAATTATTTACGATGAATAAAATAAAGTGTCATATATTTTCAGAGAAGAGTGTCGCACAATTAGGACAAAAGGATGTATAAGGAAAAATAGTGTCGTGCCTTTCAAAGAAAGAAAAAAGATGTTGCATATGTAACTATTTATTAGATAAGATAGCCTGCAAGACAGTCAGCGAAACGGTTAACAGAATAGCGTGCAAATTGTTCAAAAGATAACTGGGCATCTTAATTGCTAGTATCAACAATTATTTGATGTATCTCTTTTGAATATAAACTCTCACGAATACAACAGGCCCAAAATTGTTCTATTTGGACTGTGCAGAAACGTATCTCAGTTTCTCTTATTACGATATACAAGAACAAGTACTGATACATTTTCAATTATCAGCTTTGTGCACTGAAATATCCTTCTCAAGTTGTTTATAATATACGGCACACATAAACTTAATCCCTATTTTCTTCTATTCATAACTGTAGTTTTTATTGTTCATTAAAGCAGTTCACACGAGCATTGAACTTACAAAGGAAACCAAATCTTTGTCAGGCTTCAATTCCGATTTAAGCAGTACCATGTGCATGTGCATGTGTATTCTTTAGTTTTTCCGTTCATCTCGTATTGTAGATCTAGTGACATTCATAAAGATATGGAGTGAGCTGAAGAACTTCTTTATAAGACTTCTTGACAATTGAAAATGAAAACGCACAATTAAAGAAACCAGTGCCGTCAATAAATTAGAATCTCTGTAGAGAAAAGGAAATGCTTTGATTTACAACCAAGAAGTTAATGTTTTGATGTGGTCTCATCTCAAGGATCATTTAAAAGTGTTCAGTAATTGTTACGAGTCAAGTTTTTTATCTTTCCTTGGTTGAGGATATATTATTGGCAGCATGTACAGCTTTATAACAGATTTTTCATTTTCTTTTTTTCTTTGCAAGTAAACCCCACAAGGAGGAATAAAAAATATTGCAATACAGTATTTTACCTTATATTTTAGACGATTTACAATTTTTAATGGACAATATACATTTTAATTTTAGATTTAGTAAAAAATATTTTTAGAAAAGTCCATAGTATTTGGATATTTGGATACTCAATTATTCAGTGATATTCAAGCAGCATTAAGGATGACATACAATCGAACCCTAGAAATTAGTCTCTATCAGTAAGAAAGTCGCCAATAATGGTTTTATTGATGTTATCTTGCAATAGGACAAACTACAAAAAGCTTGACAACTTTTTTACTAAATGACGATGTGTTCCGAGACCAACAAGATATTCGTTGGTGCCTTTTTTGGACAAGAATTCCAAAAAAAGTTAACTTTGAATTGATTGACATCAAACCATTGATAGAGGGCTGATGGTCATAGTATAACAGATACCATAGCGGAATGGGATGGTTATATTAACTGTTGTCAATGTTTTTGTATGCGTTCATGGGTGACTTTCAAAGATAAGCACTATAAAATATATTGCTCTCTTAGAGTCAAATGTTGTCTCTTTCACTTTTATTTCACGTTTTTAAGATACATACTATGACCCATGTTCAAAACAATAATTTATGAAAAGAAAAAGCAAATTTTTGAAAAGAAAAAATCAAGTGCTGTTAATGGTAACTTGCCTTTTGAAAGCCTATATACCTGATCATATATATACGTAGAGATTAATCATCGTGTACTGTTAGATGTAACGTGTATTGATTGCGGTAAAGGGGGTCATTACACCCAACAATACTTTAAATGTCAATTGTATGAGACAGAAACTGCAGATCAAGGTAAGCACCTCATGTGGCTTCAAAAGTTGGTAAATTCATCGTTAGTAAGCGACCTCACTGTACCTATAGTTGGTTCGATAGGCAGAAAACGCAAACAGAACTTTGAAATCAAGAAGGAAAAGAAGAAAGCAAGGAAAGAGAATAATGAAGAACCGGATAAAGACAATGCGTGTTGTACCAAATGCAAGCAACCAGGACATAAATCGGTGCGTTCTCCTCTGTGTCCTCAACATGTATTATCAAAGGCAGAGGTCTTTCAACATCATTTGGGAAGTAATTACAAGGCGTTTACAAGAAGGTTGCCTCTTGATAACTGCGTTTTTGGTGACTATCGCAACACATTCAAGTCAAAAGTTGTTGAAGCTTGTTCTGTTATCCGCAACTTGGTTCTTAGAGCCAAGCTCTTCGTGAATTATTACGTCTTGAAAAATGCCACTCTTGCTGAGCCAAAGTGTATTAAATGTATCTTTACACAAAATTTCTGGTACTCTATGATACAACTGATGAATGGACAAAGACCAACAAATAGTAGGATGGTATCAGAACAATTATTGAGCTCGTTTGATTCTTTTAAAACGACTTACCCTAAGATTGTCTTCCCTGTCAAGCTCTTTCCTGGACTTAGTCAAGCCATTACAGAAGCATGCACCGAAATTGCTACTTCCTATACGAACAGTATAGTGGAAAATTTTGAGGAGAAACTTCTCTATTTTTTGATATATAAAATACAAACGGCATTTGTGGTAAGTTGCAACTCAATATTACTTGGGGTCTTACATGAATTTTAAAAAAAGCTCTCATCTTGCGTAGTGTATGCCTTGGAAGCTTGTCAAAAAGGTCACAAGTGATTTCTGCTATCAAGAGATATGCCAAGGAAAACCTAAATGGCCAACTGATGACTACCTTACCAAAGATATAAAAGCAAAGATCCAAACCTTTTGTGAACCTTGGAAGAAGAAGCTGGGGAAGAAAGTGAACATGAAGACATTATCTGCTGATCCTGGGTCTTTCGTACCCTTTTTGTTATCTTTGAACGCAGAATTTGAGAGCGAACACGATGATCATAAACCATTTGACGTACGACGACGTCCTCTTCCAAAATTGCTATCCTTACTGCCAAAGGTTTCCGTTCAATGGAGGTTCATTACCTTGAGCGTGAACGCTCTGTCTTCTTTTGTGAAACGTTCTTTACCCCGCAATTACCAAAGCCAATTAGAGCTGTTTTTCCATGTCTTTGATTTCAAGAAACTCCGGTACAAAAGGTAAGCATACAGTTAATACGGTATACAGTCGAGTATAATGTATGAGCTTTAACTTCTTGGGCACTTGTAGTATCTCTGAACTAACACCGAATGGTGATAACAAAGAGCTCTTTGGTAATATTGTCAGAACAGATGGGTTTTCAGTTGACTTTCTTTTTTATAAAAGACAACAATCTGGCCATGGTGCCTCGTTCCAAAAATTTGACCTCACTCTTGATGATTTCTCTCTGGATGAAGTTGACAATACTTATTTACCTATTACCCTGGATCCCGGAAGAAAGTCTGTTTTTACTGCTGCTATTGGCCTTGAATATAACAGACAAGTGCGAAGATGCACTACATCCGAATACTATCATATGGCAGGGT